ATCTTAATCCGCCTGGTTGTCCCGTCTTCTGCATGTGCACGACCTGATCTGGTGTCAGCTGCAGGTTTATTTATACCAATAGAAATCCATGCTATCCACGGCAGGAGGAACTGCTCTGGGGTTAGTCAGGCTAACTCCTACCTGCTGTCCCCAGGGTAATAATTTCCTCCTGCCAAGTAAAGTGTGTTGTGACCTCCCCAGAAGCAGTACTGGTACATTGGCATCAGGGTTAGAGAGCTTTGACAGTGGGGGGAACAAAGTGATTAGCAAACCGGGGCCCCAGTATGTGAACACGGGTTAAAAATAACCTCACTGACCCAATTTGTAGAAAACATGCACTGCAGCTGCAGAGCTCCTGTGCTGTCATCTTCACTTTTTGGCTCAGCGATTGTTCAAACAAGATGAATCTGAAATCTTGGATTTTTTCACACTGAAATAAAAGCTATGAATCAGTTGGATGTCAGGTTGTTTTAAATGCTGCAAATTTATGTTATTTTATTTTGTTTTTATTTTATTATTTTGTTCAGGGGTTTTGATCGTTTCTTTGTACCATAGAGATCGAGCTTGGTTCACAGATGTTCCATGTTTTAATGATACATAGAAATCAGTGAGCTGTAGATATTTCACTTCTTCAATTCTGTGAGAAAAAATTATCAAACCCGAAAATATTATTTACAGTAGAATTTTTCCACTAATCCTGAGCTTTCCAACACACACTTAAACATCAAGATTTTGTCTAAATATGTAATCAGCCCATGAAAAAAAACCTAGGTTTAGAAAACAGGATTGTTGAATTTCTTTCTGGGCCAATTAAAGAGTCATGAATATCCCTAATGTGTGCAATAGTCCAGAAGTCTAGTATTATTCATATTGAATTGTCCTGTTTAATCTCATATGCCGTGTCATTAAATATGGGACTATGTCTTATCCTATTTAAGTGTGTGTCATATCAGACCATATTGAACCATTTTGTATCTGAACATGAACTCTATCATACCAATTTTTGACAAAGTGTAGTTCTTGTCATATTGTATTTTAATGTCTCATATTGTCTCATATTGAATCATGTCCTATCATATTGTTACATATCCTATTTTATCATTGAATCGAACCATACTGTAACGTACTATTGCACATCTAAATGTATTGTATCAAATTGTATCGTATTGTATCACTGTACCATGTATATCATATTGTATGGTATCATTTCATATCTTATTGTGTTGTGCTGTCTTATGTGGTTATGTGTTGTATCCATAGACTGTATATAGAATGGATGCTTCTGCCTCCTCGCTGGATGAAGCCACCCCGAGAACAGCACCCTCTGGTGACGGACTGCAGTATAGGTCATAAATCCCGCCTGCCCCAGCAATCCCTATGGAGCTGTGGACAAACTTTAGAAATTTGTTACTCAGAATATAAATTTTTCTCCTCCCTGTTTGCAATGTTGACATGTAGTTACTGTAAGACTGGTTTGTGTTTAAGTCCTCTTTTTTTCTGTGCAGCTCCATTTTTAAAAGTTATTAGGAGGTTCATGTTTTCTATGATTGATACTTAACACAGCCTACAGGCGTACAAAGATTGCGTAGCTCAGCCAGGTCTACGCTGTTTGAGCAGAGTGTCATCACAGTGACTCTCCCACCGAATGCGTACGATGCTACTGCGCGAGTGATGGTGCCAGGAAGTCGAGAAAATCCCAGAAATACAGAGAGCAAATTGGCTTTAAATTCGTATAATGACGAGTTGTCCATAGTAAATACAATCTATGGTTGTATCTCATGCCTTACTTTCAAACAGAATTGTGTCATTTTACATTGTTTCTTTTCCTGTCTTGTCATTTTGTATTTATTTCTTTATATTTTGTGATATTATCTATTATATGAATTTCTAAGATTCCCCACTGTATTATGTGTCATATTGTGTTATATTTGCTTATTGTTCGTTTCTTGCATATTGTTTGATGTTAAGTATCATGTATTGTATCTTATTGTATCATACTGTTTCATGGCATATTGTATTGAATCCCTATCGTGTTATATCCCATCAATGTGTATTATATTGAACGGTTGTGTATTGAATCGTCATTTATGAGATCTCATCAAAACAAGTGAAACTCAGCCTTGATTCAGATGAATCATTTTTCCTCAGTATGAGAACCATAAAAGGTTTTATTGGCTCTGTCAGATCTATAAATGATCACCAAGCTGGTGATTGAGGCTCATATCAGTGAAACAGTAAGAGGGGTTGACAGATGAAAGAAGAATCACACAGTAAGATGAGATCTTTTGCGTGATGCAGGCCACATGATGAAAAGGGAGCAGATGATTAGAGGAGACACCCCTCATCTGATCCGTTGGTTGGCTGATCCTCAGTATTTGACGGCGATCAGCTGCACGGAGGAACAGCAGGATTATGATTTGTGTCTTAACCATTGTGTCCGGTGTGACTGACCAAAGAATCCACTTGACAACAAAAGTCATCTGATATTCTCAGCACCCTGATATATTTGGCCGGGCCTTGGCGCATAGCTGACATTAGTGGAAATGTTGTATTTGTGATACACCCTGGCTTTGGGCCATGGGAAATATCGAACAACTGTCCAATTTAAACAACATCCTGTGTGCTGGGAGAGAAAAAAACGGGAGCTACAAAGATGCGATGGGGAGGCTATTTGTGGACGGCGAGTGCCTCGAAAATAGCGAGACTATTAGGTTTCAATATAAGCCCCCCTCTCTGAGCTGGAGCTTTCTGTGAATGAGGCCCGGGTTCCTATCACACCCAACCCTGCGCTGATTTTAGAACACAGGTGTTGACCTTAGCGGAGCGGCTTGTGCTTGCAGCAGAGGAAAATGAACCCCTGAGCTCGAGCCTCTACAGTATTGGTCACTGTGTGGTCGCACAGATGCTCCAAAACAGTCATATAAGGATCTACAGAACCTTTATGATCACTGGGAAGATAATATTAGCCATAAAATGAAAGAAATCTGTCACTTGGAGGTTAAATTGCACATGAGAAGTAGTTTATAAACTGCAAATCCCAACTTCATACTTGCAGCTTATATTTGATCAATTCTGTTGGATTTTCCTTCCACAGCAGCTCAGATCCAGCTCCTGTTGTTACATGAGTGTCATGGCGGCAGGCTGGTCACCTTGTGGCTGCCGCAGAGTTTATTGCCCAGGTTTTATAGGGCCACAGGAACACCCATATAACATTTTCACACTCCTCACATATCATTGACTGAGCTTCATTAACAGAGGTTTACATTACAGGTGACAGATTGATTCTTTTGGGCTTTCTTCCAAAAGAAATCACCTGAGGACATCCGAACACCACATGATCGTGGTGCATGTCAAAGGCTGCTCAATGGACCCTTTCCCTACATTATGATTGGTACAATGGCACTAAAGTGAGGCGCAGAAACCAAACTAGGATGAAACTCAACCTTGTCTTCAGCTGTGGCTCGTGGCCTGCCGTACTTCTCTGACTGTACCCCCAAACCCCAATAAAACCCGCCCACCCTGCAGTTGCTTCCTTGTTCCCCTGTATCCTTCTCTTTCCCCCCAATTATTTTTTTCCTCTCCCAGGAGCAGCCATTGACATTCAGTGTAAAATAGAGGCAGGGTGGGGTTGTTGGGGGGGAGGGGGGGTTGAACTGAGGAACTGCAGGGGTGTAGGGTGTCTCAAGCCCAGTGTGAACAGCTGAGAGGTGTGATTTCACAGGCTGGCTCCCCCCTGTCAGGGCCCTGATTGGGCCGGACAGGAGGCGCAGGAGAGGCCCGGGCTTCTAAAGGACACCAACAGGTGGGAGGCCGCTTTGGAGGGGGGCGCTCCTGGGGCGGGATAGAAAAGGCCGATCTGCAAGGCCTGCTGTGGGCACAATCCACCGGGTCAGATACGGAGAAGGACGGTCGATCGCAGGCAGGAGGGCTGAGGTGGAGAGAGGAGAGGGGCAGGAGGGAGTTAGAGAGGGTTTTAGGAGGGAGAGGGTTGAGTTTGAGCTTTTTAAAGGGCAACTTCACAGAAAATATGTTTAGATGATTTGAGATTTAAGTATTTCTTTATTGTATTTTTGGTGATGTGTCTTTAAACATTCCTCTTTTGGACACTTCACTTTTTTAGAAAATTAATGCTAATATTTCACACTAGGCCTTATATTGACAGGGTTTACTCTCAGGCATGTTCTTCTACTTATTGTCTTGATTTTCACCACGATGTGTGTAAATCAGGCGTGGAACCAGTTGTTGAGTGTTTCTGCTAGTTTTACGACAGATTGGGGCCACAGTGAAGGAGCCTGACACTTCCGACAGGTGAGGGGGGGGGGGGCTGAGGTGCGATACAGGAAAGAATCAGGATCACTTTATTGATCTGGCATGTGTCTCTCACAGCTTTATCAAAGTGGAGGGGTTAGCCTTTTTCAAGACCATTTGGTTGACAGAGCAGGGATTAGATTTATCAGGGAAGTCAGAGCAGCAGATCTCAGTGTGGCCTCCAGCTCACAGGACAACACAAGAGAAGACACAACAGAGAAGAAGGTGAGTTAAGAGTTTATTTGTCACTTTCTCGTTGTCTTTGAGAAGATTTTCACACAGCTGTTGCTATCAGAAGGTGCTTTGGGAAGAGATGTGACCTTAGGGTGCTTGAAGTAAGAATCTTCAACATGAGAGAGCTCAGCATCATCATATTGAAACATCTATAGGGCCATATTTGCATTTTTTTTAGATGTGTTCATCAGAGACTGACAGGGTTTCTGATGTCTTTACCTCCCATAATACTTTTTAAAGCTTTTAGAAAGCAAAATCAGAAAAATTAGCTTCTTTGTAACTAAATTTTTCCACTTTATCGAGCAAAACTTCTGCTTTAAGTTTTTGCCGCCATCCTTTTTCTGCCCGGTGTCACAGTTAACCATTGTGAAGCCGGGTTGTTCCTGCCTCTCTGCATCTGTGTGACTATGAAAGGCTGCTTTGTGTCCTGCTTTGAGCGGTACATCCAGTTGTTGCCCCTTGTGAGGACATGCTTCCTTATATCCCCATATTAATACACCACTTATGGAATGTAAGGAAGTGTGTGGTTTCAAGGGGACCAGAGCATCAAGCGCACCAGGAAGACCAACACGCACTTATATTTTGTTTAGTGTTGTTTTTTTCCTGTTGTTGATTTTATTTTCATGCGGCACAGTTGCCTTTGTCTGTTTTATGAGATGGGAGGGGGAGGTCAGGGTTCATAAGTGTATATATGTGTGTGTGTGTGTGTCAGGACAACAGGTGAAAGGCCCCCGCTCCCTCTCCTTCAGCTCAGGCACGTGTGCAGTTTAGCGTTACTCCCTGGGACGCTCATCAGCTCTCAGGGACTTCTTGAAAAAATTCCTGCCCTGCCCCACCACCCCACCGGCTGACAGTGAAGGGGGATTGACAGAGCACAGCTGTCACCCATTATAGCACCCACAGGACCCTCAAAAAGGAAGAGGAGAGGGGAGGGGAGGGGAAGGGAGGGAGGGGAGCTGTCAGTGAGGGTGAAGGTTTCGCTCCTGTAAGGCCGGATTTGGACGAAGTAGGGCGATGTCACCGGCTGTCAGGGTTCCCAGGTCTCTAAATAGGAACTCTCTGCTCGGTAACATGGCGACGCTCGCTGCTATGCTGTAACTATGCAGAGTATGTCGTGAGTGAGTCACTGATGGTATTTCTCCCTCTGTGTTTCATCAGGTAAGGCTGAGGAGGACATGGCTGCCATGCTGACTGCTCCAGAAGATGATGTCTGACTTCTATTTTCACTCCTTCTCCTCTATCAGTTCCTTCTTTTTCCTTCTCCCTCTTATACTCTTCTACATCCTCTTTCTCCTCTTTCTCTTTCCAGCTCTTTTCCTCTTTCTTTGTCTCGCTGATGCAACACGCCTTGCTGTGGCTGGTCAAACGGAACCAAGTCAGGTGTTTCTGTGAGGTTTGGTCCCCTTCAACCAGCTACTGCGTCGTGAATTCAGTCAGCAGACACCAGCGTGGAAGCAAAGACACAGAGGGCACTGTGCTGGAAATGCTGCTTCTTTTACAGGTGTCAGCCTACTCATAATGATAAATAATCCAACCTCTTTACCAGCTCAGTGATGATTGTTTTACATGTGGACATGCATTTTGTCAGTCTGAATAAGCAAATAAAGAATTGTGGCTAATAAGAGTCAGATTTCATTTTACGGGCTTGTTTTATATACTACTTCTGAGTGGTTTTGTTATTTTATAATACACAACTGAACCAGCTATATCTAAGTATTATTCTGATTATAGTATGCTGTCATTATGTGTGGCTTAAAGCTGGTTATAACAGTTTGCATTGCATTATATTGAAATATGTTTCGTACGCTGATGACACCATCATGAGAATGTTATCACTTCAGAGATGGATCACTTAAAAATATGCTTTGACAAAATAAATCATCACGATATTGTAATTAAAAAATAACAAGAATTGAGAGAAAATACTTTGACCACAGGGGGCACCAAAACTGACACGAACATAACGTTCCTCACAGCAGTTTTAAGTCAGGAGGTCAGTAAATCTTCAAAACTGATACATTATTCAGAAAAACATGGGCTAGCTTACAAATTTGTGAAGAAATGGCAGCAGGTTTGGCTCAGACCCTCTGACTGATATCACTAAAAATATGAAAAAAATTAACCTATGTCAATTTTAAATGGCGCATATGTGACATAACAGTTCACTGCAGAGGACACATGGGGTTTAGAGGTGATCCATTCTAAAACCATTAGCCTTATATGATTCAACATTCTCTCCATTCAAGAGCCTATAAGACTGGGGATGGAGAGTCACTGACAAATGAATGATGTATGACGTTGGGAGTCTAACATCACATTAAAAATAAAAGTATAAATATGGATGATATAACAGGCTCCTGAGGTAAACATGAGTAACTGTGTCCACTGACTAAGGCCAGACTTTCTAGGTTGGCCAAACTGGGGCACAACTTTGGCTGGGGTAGGCAGGCATGGGAGACACTATTGGACCTACCCCAAACCACATCCACATAGGCTATCTATATTAAAAAAACATTGTAGTAATTCAAATATAATTTTCTATAATCTACACTGTTAAAAGTAACTCAGCTGAGGCGGAACATTTTAATCTCCCGAATTTAATTCTGTGAGACAGGACCCAAAAAGAAGGTGTTTGCTTAAAATCAACATTTATACCACCAGTAAAATCAATATTTCACATTAAAATGCATACATAATTTCAACGGTTTTCTCCCCTGGTGATGCAAATAACCATTCATGGTTTGAAACTCAAGGGTGGCCAATTAGGTTTTGGGGGGTTGCCCCAGGTCACCCCCGTTGATCACTACTTACTGTCAGTGTTTAGAGCCAAAAAAAATGTAATCAAACCTGGGCTGATATTACATGCAACACAAAACTGAAATTACAGCGCATTTAGAACAGTGTTAAATTTTAAGAAATATACTGTAATTCTCTCTACATATATTTTCCTCTTCTGATGTGATGGCATTACAGCGTCCCTCCACTAGGGGGAGGTGCCCATTTTCAGGGGTAGTAGTTTCTACACCAGCGGTCGGAAGTGAAGCGGCAGCGTAAACATGGCTGACAGTGGAGACACAGGTGAGTTTGAGAATATGCAACAGCTGGACTTTACAGCTATTTACTTAAATTTTCGAAGTCTTTACGATACCTTAGAGAAAACATGTCCTCCTCGTATTATCGGCGCTTTTTTGGTCCCCGAGTCTGGCTTGTAGCGATGTTATTTCCCTCATGCGGATGATGCAAATGTTAGTAATGCAGGCAGATGAACGGGACCTTATTGCATCATCTTTACTTGTAGTTTTTAAATGAGCAAAACGATAAATGCAGCTGTTTTGAGTTGTCTCTATGCTGAGCTGATGTTGTCAGCCTATTAGCTCTTTGACTGGTTTGTTATCATGAAGGAAATCAGCAAGTCTTAATGTTATATCTCACCTGGACTAAAGGGGTGCGGACTAAGTAAAGGCTGATTTTGTTCAACACTGATGTGATCATATCATCTCCTTTTGGTTGTTTTACAGAGGGAGCCGGCAAGAACGATGAAATTGAAAGAGCAAAGGTCAGCTGTTTTGTTTAAAGTTGTCACAAGCACACATATTGATTAATAAATTAAGGTTGGCAACCCATCAAAGAGCCCATAACCACCATAACAGTCACTCTAACAATACATAAACTCCCATTTGAGAGACAATGTGACTATAGAGTTCAAATGTATGATTTCTGCATCTTTCAGAGCCCCTCTCCACTCCCCTTGTTGATTTCCCTCTCTCTTTCTACCAGACTGAAGGTAAAGAACTGACCAAAGAAGAGAAGCAGCGGCTGAGGAAGGAAAAGAAACAGCAGAAGAAGAACAAAGAGAAAAAAGAGGAAAAGGCTTCTCAGGAAGGAGGGAAAGAAAAGAAGCATGTCAGCTCAGAGTCTCCAGCCTCCCAGCCCACAACACAAACCCAAACACAGAAAGGTGAATATCATGCAGACACGGTTGTGTTTTTTGTTTTTGCGTGCTCCTTCAGCTGTGATAACTCTGGTGATTTTTTGTCACAGCTCCTTCAGCAGTGCCTGCTCAAGTTCCTGTGCCTGCATCAGAAACACCCGCACCGGCAGAAAAGCCTGCTAAGAGTAAAGCAGAGTTAAAAGCTGAGCGGAGAGCCCGCCAAGAGGCTGAGAGGTCCTCCAAACAGGGCAAGAAGGGGGAGGCCTCACAGCAGGCTGCCACGGGGAAACCTAAAGCCCCGCCTAGTGAGCTGCAGCCAGGTAATGTTGTAGCCAAGATCATCATCATACAAACAGTCCTAAAAGATACATCATGCATAGTGGAGAAGGTGAAACCTTGTTTTGTGTTTTTAGTGGTTAAGAGACTCCCAGAGCATGTCCAGGCTGATAACCCAGAGGTCTTAAAGAAACTGGCAAAAAAACTTGAAAGACAACAGGTAAGTGACGTCATGTGTCATCCCCAAAACCAAAGAACATGATAAGCTTCAAGTCTAACATTGTGAGCACCTTATATTTTTTTAAATTAACTTAAATCTTGAACATAACTGTTAACTTATTAGAAACAGCTTGATCTAAGGAAAGTAAATATAAGTTAGGAATTAAGGGACGCTGAGGAATTTTGGATATGACATAGACTGATACGTGATTGTCTGAGTCTTGACATTTTCATCATACACCTAATGCAGATATTTATCCGTATAATATGTGTAATCTGTCAATATTGCATGTGCTTTCACCCAACTTTTCTTTCAGACACCTGAGTTCAATATTGCAACAGAAGTTAAGGTCTAATTTTCTTCAAAGTGTGCCTTTTACTTTGGTGGTCTTGTATTTTATTTGCTAACTTTTGAATGTAGCTGTAACACCACACTGTAGTTCAGGATTGACACTTGTTGCTCAGTCCAGTGAGGCAGAGATGGTTTGTCAGTGGGCTGTGTGTTTTGGGGTTGTTTCTTTTTTCTTTGTTTTTACACTGAGCTGTTTGCTGTGCAGATTTCAGTTTGAATTTCCTACTGTGCTGTTAGTGTAGGACGATGTCAATTCTTAGTGTTAAAGTCTCTGTGCCTTTGTGTCATAGAAATACTGAATCACTTTGTGTTACTTGGATCTGATGGAAATCAAACATCCTTTATTCCAGATCCCTCTTCGCTCAGACTATGGCTACAAAGTCAGCCTGTTTTCTCACCTCCACCAGTACAGTCGCAAAGCACCTCTAACACAGCAACTCGGGTAACCTGAAAACGTACCATTTCTGACAATATTGTATTTGTGTTGGGGAACAGAAGTTTTAATGGTGTGGTTTGTCAGCACTGGTTGTAAATAGGTTGTTTTTTCTCTGTTGCAGCATTCCCTCCACAGTGATTCATCCTGCTATCGTTCGGCTGGGTCTCCAGTATTCACAGGGAATCGTTGCAGGATCCAACGCTCGCTCTGTCGCCCTGCTTCATGCCTTCAAACAGGTACAGAGCACAGACAAGTCCAGGCTGAAAGTCTCACAGTCTTGATGTCCTCCTCTCTACTCCTCTCAAAAATTCTTTTTCCACCCAGCCTTGATTCAAAACTCCTAACTCTTTGTTTTAGTCTCTTGTATTATTCAATTTACAACTCCAATACCTCAACACAGTTAATAAAAACTGAATTTGAAGCCATGGTTTTGTAATGCATTCAACATGTAGTTTACCCTGGAAAAAAAGCATTACTTGGATGGCAGCATATGTAGCTCCAAAAGCTTTAGTGTTTGGTACTAATGTTGCTTTCCCAGATGTGTGAACTAGCCATGTAATGGGCACTTATACATCTTTATGTCATCAGTGATGCCGGCTTTTGAAGTGTGCACACCGACAACAAGTGGAGTGATCTCCTCTGTCAAGTGTGAGGAATATGGCATCCATAATTTACAAAGAGAGTGTCAAAATTTGTCTTGTCAGACGTCGGGAAGTTCTTTATCATGGACTCATCTTGGAAAAGTTGTTTGCGTATTATAATACTGTGATTTTTTACACTCAGGAGCACCAACATTTTACACAGCATCCCAAATTAGAGGACATCACATTCAGAGTGACTGTCTTCACTATTTTATTGAGACTGGTACAGTTTTTAAATATCATATTTTTGCTGTCTTATCTTCATCCAAGCAAATGCACTTACTATGAATTAACTCCACTCCATTAATGAAGGCAGTTTTTCAAAGTTACAGGAGAGCATTTTCAGGCTCCTTAGGTGCTTTAGACTCAAGAAAATCCTTCAGGCTCCTCATGGTCCATCAGCTCTGTGAGTGTTTGTTATTAAGCCTGCAATGAAGTTCAGCTCTCAACCGAGCATAAAGCAATGCAGCTAAGAAGCTCGGTCAGCTGCTGCCGCTCAGTGCCAATTTTCAGCAGCAGCCAGCAGTTCCTCTATAATGACATCCAAACTGTCCTCTTGTTAGTTAATCTGTCATTAATTCTTCATTATGGAGAAATTAATTTTGCACCAAGTTAAAACAAACAGCACAAGTAATGTATAAAGCAAGAAATAATCTACTGCCAAATACAATCTGGAAAATGTTTACAGAAAGGGAGGGAAAACTTTCTTCATATTGAGCTGCGGGGGGACTTTATGGAGATAAAACAAAGTACAAATAGCAATCTGTTCAAAATAAGGTACAAAAACTGTTTATGAACAAGTGTTTGGAAGAGGAAGTGTGTCGTGGATGAGAACGAAGGGGTAATTAAATAAATAAACCATAAAAACTATGTTGAAATTAATTAGTATTTTGCTATACAGTGTATGGATATTGGATATAGATATAATATTTATTTGTATGGGCAGTTATGCATTATGTATATATAGGGGTGAAAGAAAAAAATTGATACAGCATAGTGTCACAATATTTTGTGTGGTGATATATCATATCGTCTCATTTACTAAGTATAAATTTTTTTTTCAAATTAATTGCTAATATGAAGTCAAATATATCATAATGGAAAAAAAAAACAACTGTTTGTTCAGTGAGGTTGGCAGAGCTGATGTCAGAGCAGGAGAAAGTGCATCAAATATATATAAGATTTGCAAGATGTGCTACATGAAAATAAAATACAGCGTAAATAAGACAAACATAAAGGAAAGACAAATGCTAAATTAGCTAAAGAGTTGAAAAAATTGTATGAATCGCAATATATTGTGTCACAATACTCACTGCATTGCAAAATGTTAAAAATCGCAGTAATATCGTATTGTGGCAAGTATCATGATAATATTGTATCGTCATTGGTGGGCCACCAGTGCCCCCCCCCGGAATATGTTTCTATAGATGTTTAAGTAGCATATGTATATTATTTCAATATTGATTTTTCTGTTAGATACACATGTGTATGTATATATATTTATCTATCTGTGTGTGTCTGTGTGTAATATAGAGTCTGTTGATAAACACATGTTTTGTAGTATGCATATGTACAATATATTGCATTGACAGCAGAATTTAATTTTTTTATAAAACCCATGAGAAAATAGTCATAAGGGGTAGGAATTCAAAAAGTATTTACTTCTTCCCACACCTTTTCAAACATTTATAATTACTTCATTTCGTTCTTTCTTTCTATATTTCTTTGCATACATGTTTGAAATAAATAAAATTAATTGATTCATTTAATACTTGTTGTTTCTTATTTCTCAGGTAATAAGGGACTACTCTACACCTCCAAATGAAGAGCTATCCAGAGACTTGGTTAACAAGTTAAAACCTTATATCAGGTACAAGACTTATTATAAGTTTTTACTCTGTTCAACTCAACTATTGTCTCTTCTTCCTAAATGTCTTATGATGTCAATGCAAAAGTGAACTCTTTATTTGACATTGTAACAGAAAAATGGTGTCTCTTGTTTATTTCCTGTGCAGTTTTTTGAATCAATGTCGCCCCCTGTCAGCTAGCATGGGTAACGCAATTAAATACATCAAAAAAGAAATCTCCAATATTTCCAGTCAATGCAAAGAAGAAGATGTAAGTGTCACACCATGTTCTTTCACAATTTATTCAGAAGTCATCATTTCAAAAGATTTAATTTCACGTTTTTTAGTATCAGCTTCATCCTTTTGTTCTCCTTTTCTCTGTTTAGGCAAAAAGCAAGCTGCTGAACTGTATCGATTGCTACATCAATGAGAAGATCACCCTTGCTGCTAAAGCTATTGCCAAGTACTCCATCGAAAAGATCAGTGATGGGGATGTCATCCTAGTCTACGGATGGTAAGGAAAAGTCTGATTTAAATCTCACATCTCTGTCACTAGTTTGTAACCCATTGACATGTGAAGGAAATGCAGCCCTTGCAATTCCGTGTCCCACTTTCAACTGCTCCTGCCACATTTACTTCCTTTTTTTAGTCTCCCATTGTCTTTCTGTTGTCTCTAGGCCTAAGGGAAAGGGTGACTGTGCCTTTGCTGGAATAGCTGACCTTTTACAATAAAGTGCTCCCCCTCTAGCCTTTTTGAAGTCTAGACCAGTGGTGCTTAACCTTGTCCTACTCAGGAGCCACACTGACCAAATACAGTTTGACAAAAGCAACAGCCAAAGTCACCTCTTTCTAACCCCAACATGACTCACATTTGAGAAAAGGGAGAGCAGTTGCAGATTAATAGGGAGTGAAAAGCAAATCACAGCTGATAACAGAAGTCAGAAGTACAGTGTGACACAATTTCTATTAGTAAGTCCGTAACAGTGTGATACTGATTATTTTGCACACAATCACACTCTATAAACAGCAGGTCGTCTTCCTCTTTTGTCTGTGATGCTTCCCTTCCTCTTTAATGGAGAACAGACTTTCACTTCTACTCCAGCCAGGGTTTGTATTTCACAGTAGAAGAGAAGGAATAATAGTGAACTTTACTTCACTCAGAGCGATTTCTGGCACTCTTGCAGGATTTGTAGTTGGGCTCTGCTGTAAATGGTGATCCAAAAGTTCTCTCTGTGTGGCAGACTCAGTCAGTTTTGGTGGTTAAATTTTATTTTTCGGAGAGAGCAGAGAAAGTTGTTGATGACTGAATGTGGCTGGAAACACTCTGATGGTGCTGCTTGCAAGACTCAAGTCTAGGGTTGTTTGGTAGATGCCCAGAGGTCCATCCTTATTTGTTTTTTTGAAGTCGGACATGAAGCAGACTACATGTTCTCGCAAAGTTGGGGAATACCTCAAATCTTTTTTACTATGCGGCAGAGCACGCACAATGCAAAAAGTTACAAACCTCGAGTGGAGCAAGGAGCCTGTGGCGCCTGTGCAGCTGAAACAGCTGACCATTCACTCTGCTTTCTCTAGTGCAACGCCTTACGACCTCAAAGAGACACAAAGACCTCACAGATGCAGTAGCTTACTGTACTACAAAAGACATGCTTCAATAAGCACTGTTAAATTTCATTTAGGAGTAACAGGGAACATTTAAGATTGAAAAGTGATTATTTTATATCATGATATATATCGACTGATAGGAAAAAAATATATTGTGATAAACTTTTTCCCATATCGCCCAGCCCTATGCTGAAGTAAAGTTTATCAGAGCGCTGACGCTGCAGAAGTCAGGCCGGTTGCATAATTTCTTAAAGGTCAATCATGAATGGGTTCTGCACAGTTAGAAACATGATAGCTGATGTGACAGAATCTTGACTCATAATTTTGATTGAGCTCAGTTAACTCTTCACAAATGAGGACTGACAGGATGGGCAGTGTTTGCATGCATCGGGTTTGATTTGGTTTGATTTCCTTGTTCTCTCACACATCACCTACTCTCGTTTACATCTTGGCTCCTGTCTTCATCTGCTTAGCTCGTCGCTGGTCAACCACATCCTGTATGAGGCTTTTGAGAAGGACAGAAAGTTCCGTGTGATTGTGGTAGACAGCAGACCTAGACTGGAAGGCCGGGAGGCTCTGAGGCGTCTGGTCCAGAGAGGCATCAGCTGCACCTATGTCCTTATTTCAGCTGTCTCTTACATCCTTCCGGAGGTAATTAAAGTGTTTTTTTTTTTTTTTTTTTTTTTTACCAGCAGCCAAAGACTGCTCAGTTTTAGTGTTTGTAAAGGTTACAGTGATGTCTTTGGTTTTGACATTGTAGGTATCGAAGGTGTTCCTTGGTGCTCACGCGCTGCTGGCCAATGGTTATGTCATGTCTCGTGTGGGGACGTCACAGATAGCTCTTGTGGCCAAAGCCTTTAACGTGCCTGTGCTGGTGTGCTGTGAGACTTACAAGTTTTGTGACAGGGTGCAGACAGACTCTTTCGTGTCCAATGAACTTGGTAAGTAAAAAAAAAGCCTGTGACTGTATTTTTTTAAACCTGGTTTTAAAGTCATGTTAGTATTCATTTTAGACACCTCTCCGGATTTAGCCTGAGTTTATAATTGTTTTTTCCAGATGATCCTGATGACCTCATCGTGACCCGGAATGGGAAAACCCAGCTGGAGCACTGGCAGCAGGTGCCATCTCTCGGCCTGCTTAACCTGGTGTACGATGTGACGCCGCCTGATTTTGTGGACCTTGTCATCACAGATCTGGGGATGATCCCGTGCACTTCGGTCCCTGTGGTGCTGCGAGTCAAAAACGTGGACCAGTGAATGTCCTCCGGCTTACATCACCTCGAGCCTGGAGGCTGTTTTTTCTGTCTCTATGGAAGAGTTTGTGCACTTCAATGCCTGCACACAACACAAAATAACCGTGCTTTTAGCATGCAATAAATATCTATCTGGAATGGCATAAGCTTTTTAAACTGAGTCCTTGTGTCTTTTAATGGATGGGATTCTGTTATTAGAGGTCTTCCTTGAAGGAGGGTACGCCTGCTTATTTTAATATCTCTAAGGCTAGATGTCTCCAGAGCTGTTTTTGACACTAATTTATTGTTACCATCCAAAATTCTCTTATTTTTAATGATCTGATTCAGTAAATGCAGGAAGTAAAAACATAATTTGGTAAAAGAACTCAAAGATCATTTATTATCATGTCCAAAAAAATCAACACATGATACAAACATGCTTTAAATTTCATTTTGGCACAATTGAAACACAAAAAAAGAGGAAAAAAAAAAACTTGAAAAATAAAAACCCAGCATTTTATGGGCAGCTACACACTGAGTGTTTCTTTAACAGTGTTAAGTCAGCAGTCAGTGCATAAGTCAACATGTATTCAGTTTACTAGTCCTTAACAGGTGTGCATATTTCATGCAAAGCAATTTGTCTTCTGTGTTTAACCTTGAATCAACTGCTTGCACAACATTAAAATCAAAATACCACAAAGATTTAACAACAAGGCCCAACTTCAGAACAGACTGTGGAGTGTACCACGACAAAAGGCAAACACTGAGTCAAAATATGTAAGAAATTGTAACAGCAGGCGACAGCTACATATAAACCCATTGTAGCTAAACTCACTTTTGACTCATATTTAATAATGTATCATTTTAAAGCATACAGCTCGGTCAAAATTAAAAGTTTATGGTTTTACAAGCAGATAGTTTTCCACACTGTACAAATTTCCCTCCTAAAAATAAACCTTTTTTTTACTGGACCCCAGCACATGTTTGGCACAGCAAATCTTTAAAATCTCCCTAAAATAACACTTCTTCATTAGTATTTTGCCTCTGTTCACTGCATTTAAGAAATAATTTAACAATAGTATAACTGCCAACAAATTTAACAACTTAAAAAATCTGGGGTAACATTAGTTCCCTGTCCAAAATTGCACCAATACTGCATACTGCCGTCCTTCTAGTCGTCCCTGGATGAAATGTAGCTACTCCGCACAGGGAGTAAAATTAAGTCAAAATTGAATAGCAGACTTTTAGTCAGTTTTCCCTTTCAGAACAGTCAGTTTCAGCTCAGTAGATCATTGCAGATGAGAAAGGAGGCTGTAGTCCAACCTTTAGAGGGGCTTGACCTTTCGCCTCTGAGTGAACCACAGCAGGAAAGAGAGCACGACTGTGGAAGCTCCAAGAGGCCCGAACACCTGCAGAGCTGGGAACTCCCCCTGTTGATAAGATAAAAAATTAGAAAACAAAACCAACATTAAGCTGAGTGAGAGAGTACATCATAAAGTAGAAGCGTAGTTGAAAGCTGACCTCTCTGAGACATTTGTATCCGTGATAGTTTTCAGCACAGCTGCACTCGAAGAAGCCAGGACCATAGGGACCACAGAGGGAGTTCTCTGGGCATTCAATGGCTGTGGATCGTCAACAATTATGAGACAAACAGATGTCACATGAACAAGAAAGCCACTAAATTTAAGACTGATGTCCCCATGGAAAATTGAGGGATGGAAACTTACACAGCTGTCCAGTCTGATTGCACACATCTTTCTGGCCTTGGCAGATACGGTTTCCCTCGTTGACCTCAACCTTTTCCCAGGAAGTGTTGCCTCCGGGACAAAATATTTCTTGTGGTAAAATCCTACAGTGACACAAAAATTCAATCTCAAAGTAATTCCATGAGCAGTTCTCTCAGTTTAATTGGTGTTTTTTTTACTTTACTTACATGTGATTTAACTCAATAAATCCTTGAAAAACTGCATCGCTGATGTTGACGAGGGGATTGAGGGAGAGGTCTCTGCAAACACAGTTTAGTAAGTACAAAGACAAACTGTACCATTCAGCCATTAAAAAGACTCTCTCTTACATACTGAAAGTGTTCTTACTGTGTTTTCAACATTCCAGCTTTACATCTCTCTTTTCATTGTGACTGGGCCATGTCTACCAAATTGGTGTGGACAATACAGTCCAAAGCTTTGAATAATGATATCTGTGTGTTTTCAAAAGCACTTATATTTTAGCAGTTTTTGTTGTGTGGCAATTGAGCACACCTAACCTGTTATTTTTGCATGATCAAATATAAAATGTTTTATCATCTACAGAGACGGTCTTTCCGAAAGTAAAGTGAATATTATTGCACGTACATCATGAGTGCCTTTGAGGCTTCCTGCAGATCCTCCACATGAGTCAGTGAGCAATTTGACAAATCCAAACTGAAACACACACACACAAATATATATATATATCACAAAAATATATTAGACCTAAGCTTTCTACATAACTTGGCACAGTGTATATCTATCTATCTATCTATCTATCTATCTATCTATCTATCTATCTATCTATCTACATACTGGTGTTTACGCACATTCCTCAAAGTTAAAGTTAAATACGTTAAGTAGCGTTTTACCTGTGTACAACATAAACCAATCATAAACACGTTTATTACTGGTTTGCATAAAGCAAGTTATCAGGTATCCAGTCCCAGGATTTTACTTCTCTAGAATTACGATACGCCATGAAGGCATCATTGAACTCCTACCCGATGATGCGTTCAGGGCCATAAGTGTTGTTATTTTGGAAGCAGCAGCGCCCGTTGATCCGACCAGCGGATGAGGCGCAAAACTTTCCCACTTCAGAGCCATTTAGGACAGAGCCACCACAGAGCTCACATACCTGTGAGCCCAAAACAATACAGGTTGTGTAAGAAGGTAGACAAGACTGTAAACAACAGTACTAAACAACAGTACTTACAGCAATGGCTGCGCATACATCAAAACAAGCTTTTCTGAGTCGAGTTTGATTTAACCAACTGAAGTAAAGACCGCAGCTCACAACGTTGGCAGACTAAAGACTTACCTGCGGCCCTGTCAGCTGAAAACTCCCGTAAAAACACAGGTTAAAGATCAAAATAAGCACCACAGGTTGAAGCTGGCTGCACCCAGCTTTCATTTTTATCGACTGAAGTCATATGATCGAACTAAAGCGGACACGTGACAGGAAGTCGCTCCAGCACTTTATTTTCTATCTCTAACTCAACTATGCGCTGAAATTACGCATAAATGCAATTTCGAGCATTTAATGTCGTATTATCCACCTTTTAAATGAAGACAATTCTTAACGACAGTTGTGTTTGATAAGTAGTTAGATTTTTTGTGCAGTCGTTGTTATTATCCAGTTAATTCACTTGGTATTGATACGTTTACATGTTTTATTGTTCAACTGAATGACCTTTAAAGCATCGGGACATATTTTTCTGTCAATAACATTTTATAAATTAAATGCACTGAATTTTAATCCAATTATTCGTATTTCTTTTTTTTCTCTATTGTTGAAATCTAGACGCACTTTTTTGTTGCTAATGAATTCGACTACGCTTTCACTGACATATTGGGTTGCACCAAAAAAGTGGAAAATCTCCCTCAAACTACTTTGTAATATTCAAGCTATAGATGTTTACATTTTTGGGATACATCTAACAAATTTAATAGATACACAAAGTCAATGTACGGAGAGTTTACGTCATAAATTAGCCTGATGTGGGAAAATTTCCAATAATTCATAGGCAAACAACCCCGCCTGTGAGCAAGATGGTATGATCCAAAGGATTGTTGCAATGCTTCTTGATAGGCCACCAGATACACTGACTGAACACAGAAAGGTCTGACGGTGCTGGTACATCTCTGTCTCTGTGTCATTTCTATCACATTATATCTAGGAGTTTCATCCCCTGCATTATTTTTATTTCTCTGGAAAACTTAGGAGAGAGTGCAAACCAAGCAAAACCGATACAAGCGCGTCTCTCTCCTCTTTTATTTGGAAAGGTTTGCCACCGCTTCTGCGACGCTGTGTTGTTTGCAAGAACCAACTGCAGCTTTTATCTGGGAGACTTCATCTGTTTACGCTCATGAACGGACTTAACTGTGTACGCTGAGACTCCCGTGCTTCAGTAGGTGGATTTAAGTTGTCACATTTTACTCCAAAGTGGGTATAAAGACATTTTAACGCCTGTAGTGAAGGTGTAATTAATTGACACTTGCAACATGGCTGCTTCGGGGACGGCAGTGAGAAAAGTTTGACACTGACGTGGGAGAAGTTTTATTTGAATGCGAGTTGGTTCATGAGTTTTCTGGCACACCATAAAGTCGTCAGCAGTCGCCCTCAGCCTGGCACCGCTTTCCCCGGACTGACAACCAAGTGGATGAACCGTGTGAGAGCCCCCTCCTCCCCCGACAGTCACTGCAGTGGTGGACTTTTTGGACAAACTGTGGTGGTGTCTTCTTCTTCTTCTCTTCCCTCCTAAGCTGTGGCGGCGGCGGCGGCGTTCAAGGACCTCTCGTCGAGCAACGGACTGCAGCGTCTCCAGCTAAAATGCATTTTTCCATCCCCGAAACGGAGGTCCGCTCGGGAGAAAATGGATCAACTTATGTGGTGAGCATTATATTTTGTGTTTAGGTTTCACCTGCTTTCACTTGTGCCCTGGCAAACGTCAATGCAGCACGCTTTTCTGTGTTTACCTTCATAAACATGAAACAGCAGGGTGCATGACTATAACGTAGTATTAAACAGCTTCACTTTATTTAGACCACATATGCTGATATTACACGCAAATGTGCTATATATTTTATAATGGTGGCAACTAAAGGTCACGTTGTCACTTCGTGGGCTATTGAACGCGTCGGCAGTGAGAAACATGTACAGCATGATCTTAATCTGGTAGATGTTATTTTGCTCCCACTGTTGTTGTGTCTCACCAAATCTTATTCACAGCAAAAGCCAACCAACACAGTCCCTTTTGTTTCAAAGGTTTGAGTCAGCGCTTTAATTCTCCCTCAGATTTGCCACCATAATATTACAATCCTCCTTTCTATTTAGAGAAAATAACAGCCAGTGCAGATTTAACTCATTGTTTAGCTCTCTGAGCAACAGTTAAATACATCAGTCTCAAAATACTGCAGCCGATTTATGGCTTCATCATCTTACTTGCTAACGTAACTTCATAACTGATTTCATGTTTTTTTTTTTTTTTTTCACGCCCGTCCAAAAAAGTTTGAATTGCCATTGTGTTTTGGAAAAGCTTCTCCTTTCATGGCCTTGACAAAACAGCAGACAGGCTTATTCATCCAGGCTTTTATGAACTGAAGCATCACAAACTAGTTTAAGCTGCCTTCGCTGGTTTCCTAGAAGTACCAATGACACACACTCAGGACACTTGCAGAGACAGCACTCTTTAAAAACAGCACCACCAAATGTTGTCCTCTTTTCTCCTTTTTTTGAAGACAACAGCTAAAGTACGAGGATGTGTCCGTTGACATGTCCCATCTATGCTCCTGAGTCTTTACGTTGCTAGGTAACAGCTTGGTTAAATTTTTTTTCCCCATTAGTTATGAATACCATGAACAAACACCAGAACAAATAGTAATCTTTGAGGCCATTAGATGTTTTGATGAAGAGCACAGTCCCTCGCATATTCGCCAGATGCTTTGAAGGAACATCTGCAGCATCTGATTTCCATGTAGACGCACAATGGCTGTTCTACACCTGTGAATAACTGCTCTATCTTGACTCCACATGCTCCAGAGAGAGAGAGAGAAATACCGTGGAATTAGACCATAAACATGTGAACATGCCAGCTTGTTCCCTGCTGCACTCAAAGTACTGCACTAGCTTGGGATATGAGCCTAACAATATCCCTTTTTTTGGTTAAATATATGCTATGATTTATTTTTGATCTAATGCGAATTGACTCTGCAAACCTGTGTTGCAGTTTAAAGCTAAAACTGTCTCCAAACGGAGCACATTTCAGGTGCCATCTCTGGCTTGTTTCCACCTGGCTGAGCAGACTTTCCGCAGTGCAAACTTTAAAGCGCCGGGTTTTCACCTCTCTGCCTGGCAGTCGTGTGACTGTCATCGTGACCTTCCTGTCCCCGGCCAACAGGAAGGGACTTTGCTTGATTGTAATGCTGAGAGATGGGCTGTGTACCTTGGAACCAACAGGCTGCCGAATCTGCAGAGTTTGCACAGGGCTTTTAAGAATAACAAGGTCTGCATTTTTTTTCTTTTTTTTTTAATATGCCAGTGTTCCTGTGCAAGCAGGGACAAATCAAGTGCCCAGTCACACTTCCTTTTGTCTGGTAGACATGCAGCTTCCTCTACCTCACATGGTATTTACTTTACTGTTACCGACTAGATGTGGGTGTGTTAAAGTTAGAGTTTGGTGCCACTATGATTTACCGTGACTCATTTATTTACTGGATGAGGAACATGTTGAGACATAAGAAGAAGCAAATTCATCTGTTCCTATAAAGATTTGCAAACATGTATGGTGAAAATACGCAGCATGTCCTAATGTTATCTTTGATTCTCTGAAAATTAAGAAAATAACAAGCTGATCATATAATAAATATAACAGAAAATTGGATTAACAGATTACTAAGTGCTTTATTCATGTCAACAGCCACATGTGAGGTAGTTTAGGTGAGTGGAACTGACAGAAAATTTGGTTTATGGCGCCTTATGTTTACACTAGAACTTTGTTGCTTGGCTGTGATTTAATAGTATTAGTAAAAGCCATAATACACCCCTGATTGTACATTTTGTACCTTTCCTAATCCCTATGTAAATAAATCATTGATTGAAAACTACCTCAGAGTTTCCTAGGCTTTATTTTAACATGTAATGTTGTGTGAAAGGACGGAGAATGAGTGCACGCCACATGTGGGTGCAGGGCTACTGAGCGCACGCAGTGTTGTGAAGAGAAAGCGCCTCCACATCAGTTCAAAGTACAAATGTTCTTAAATACACACAGCTTTTAATTCCATGTAGACATTCATCAGAGAGCAATTCAAGATCGTTTTCATTGTAGGTTGTAATTATTTCAGGATTAATCACTCAGCTTGTACAATTATTAAAGCAGATCCATAATAGTATGTCTTCATATTGCTTCTATAGAAAGGATTCTGAGTGACTAGACACTTTTTAAACTGAAGCATTTCACCTGCTCTAAGTCATCGGGGTCTTAGTTATGTGACTGTGTTATCAAGGTTGACAAATACAACACTAATACAGAATTTCAAAAAATAGAAGTTCCATTGAGCATTTTTGTCCTTTTGTATCTTTGCAGACTGTAGTTCAGACTGTTGCACAATCCTGTCACCCCCCCAAGATTCAGTTTGACTCATAAAGAAGTTTGGCACAATAGGCCATTTAATCAGGATTACCGATTTTTTGCACAATATGCCATTTTTTTCTGTGAATTCCACATTGAAGAGTTAAATCTTGAGACTGTTGTTGTAAGCCCAGAAGCTGAATTCAAACATAGTTTCCTACATACTAAGAATATAATTCTTCAATCTTTTTTATCCTGAGAAATTAACTTCCCTTTTCTATAGCTATACTTGTATGGATGCTTGTATTTGTTACGTGCGTCTGTTCTGATCCCGGTGCATTGTATTGGTTGGTTCATTTATATAGCTTGTTTTTGGTGGAAATCATTTGGCATATACTAAAGTAAGTGAGGTAAGATTGTACAAAACTGGCACATTTATTCATTTAAAAATACAGCTTGATCTTTACAAACTTATACTTCCTACAGAAATAAAGAAAAACAATTGCAGATATGTCATCCACACACACTGAATTGCATACTTGATTGTGATTGGTCAGTACGCTATGGCAATGGTCTGTTATTTCTCCACAGTACACTGGAGGAATGTTGCTATGCCTCTGGCAGACAAACTGTAATCATATCAATCTGCTGGAAGAAGTGCGACACATTTGCTGTGGTGGTGGTGGTGGTGGTGGTGGTGGTGGTGTGTGTGTGTGTGTAGTGGTGGTGGTGGGGGGGGGGGGGCAAAAGAAGGGACAGACAGCAGAGAAAAAGCTGAAGAGATAAGATAAATCTGAAGGCTCTTAAAAAATCTCCAAAGCCAAAGATGGTGAATCAGCTAAAACTTGACAAAAGAGGGTACAAGGGTGTTTATTAACTGAAAGACAAAAAGAAATTATCACAGACTGTGGCAGAGATGGGATAAATAAAATTCCACGTGTTGCACTGATGTAAATTGTCCAATTCAATTTATTAAACTTGACAGTAAGTGCAAATATTCAGTTTCATATGAGCATTAGTGGTTAAGTTTGCTAATCTCAAGAAAGCTGCAGTTGTTCCTTTTGCTATGGTCACAGCTCAAACTGTGACCATTGTGAATATGGTGTAAAAGTACAGTCAAGTGTCTCAGTTATGATGAATATATTATGTGGAAATAGCATACTCAAGACATCAGTATGAATTTCAGTCTATTTCATACATGTCGAAAACTCCTCACAGGAGCTTTAAATTCAAAGTGAGGGTACAGAAAATGAATTGGGTCTTTGAGATCACCCTGTTGACCTGTGCCTTAGTTAAACTGCTTGTATCTTAAAAAATAAAGTGAGAGTAGTATTTTTTTTGAGTCATTCTGCACACTCACTCTTCCTTCCTGCCTTATCCTGCCCACACATGCACCTTTGAGTTCACTCGCCGGCCTTCCTTCGAGGTCTCTATCTCTACTGTTTTCCTTGACAACTTTGCTTGACCTTGTTTTCCAGTTATTTGAACATGTGAACCCTCTGTGGCATGTGCATCTAGATCGACAGTGTGGCCGTGAGTCTAAGGAACTTTTGCTCTGACAGATGATCAACTATGTAAAGACTGTAAATGTCATTGAAAGAGATTAAAGCAGGGACAGATTTTGCTTCAACACCCAAAAAGGAAATTTCCTGCACAAGCAAAGAGAGATTCTTCCTCTCATCCTGGCCTAAACTGAACAGAGCTGGGTGACTGTTTTATTCTTAGAAAATGAACAAGCAAGTATAGCCATGATCATTTCCATGAGTCTGTTTCTATATATGGAGAAAGTGATCTGGAAAATAATTTATTCCGTCAAAGCAAGCAGAACTGGTTGTTTTTTAGTCATGGCTGTAGTCCTGATTTAAACATAAAAATAATTTATGTCAAGATATTTTTTTTCCGTCTAATCAGTTTTGGATATTTCTTTCAAATTGGAGACGGATTTGTTGTTTCTGTTGGGTTAGAGAGCTGGCTTTGAGAAATGAGAAACTGAAATTTTCCTGCACTAGAAGTGCTTTTTTCTTTCTGTCAGTTTGCAGACTTAAAAAGTTTTATTTTTCCTGAGATCATAACTTTCTTTCTAGTTATTTATGTGGTTCGGCATCATTTCCAACATGTAATGAATTTTGGGGGAAAAGAAATCCAAACACAGCTCAAAAAATGACGGAAAGTAGATTGTTTGATTGCTGATTCAAAGTGTTGGAGTTTGCAGGGGAATATCCAATGATTTATCTCTCTCTATCCATCAAAACAAAACAAACAGGGGATGTCTGTGAGGCAGAAATAAGATTCCTCATGTGATTCTTGCTTTCTTCATTTGTTTGCTTGTGCATAATTGAAGGAGACGCTATTGTGATTGAAAAATATCCAGTGGGCTCTGTTTTCCCTCTATGGAAATCAGCAGGATTTGATCGAATTCCACTCACACTTCATTTGTTTGGACCTGCTTTATGAATTGAAGGAGCGGGGCAGCTCTCAGTGACTAAATAAGATAAGATGGTTTGAGACTGAGGCAGTTTGGAGGGGAAGCAGAAGTGAAACTGAAGTTTGTGGTGCAGTGTGTTCACTCTTAGTGCAGTGCCTTTCAACAGCTGTTGTCTCATGTCTGCATTGAGTTGATCACTCAAGGAAAGTCATCTGAAGAATTAAAAGGATATTACGGCGTAATTTTTAGGTTTTGGTCAAACACACTGTAACACCGAGTTAGACACCCTCTCCAGAGATGAATGTTGCCAACTGCTTGCATCGGTGCAGACTCGCTATTGAAGGGCTGAACAGTCCACTTGCCCTCGGCACTCTGTGGTTTGGGATGGCCTTCAATATGGCAGAGCCTCCGCAGGGACGTGCAAACGGAGGGTGTATAGGGCAGGTGTGTAGGGGGCGGTTTGGGATTGGGCCCAAATTTCCCTTAGCCGCTTGTTTGAGGGGGGAGCCCTGACGAGTCGATCACCGAGTGCAGCTGAGTTTTGCAGCTAAAGGAAGAGCATTTATGATCATTACCTTACGGAAATGCAGTCAAAGTTTTTGTGTATCTTGTATGTGCACTGCAGACGCGGTAGTTCTTCTGCCTTAGCGTCTCGGTATGATTGCATTTCCATTAAGTAATTAAGATACATTTTCTGCTGCACTCTGTGATCGACTCATCAGGGCTCCCCCACAAACAAGCGGGCTGCTGGAGGAGAGTGGGTGAGTTGTGTTTGGTCTCTTTGCTGAAGAAATCAGGCAAAGCTAAAAAGATGTTTAATGGCTAGCACTATGACTAGGACCCTACTGTATATGTACTGTTGATGAAGTTAGGTGCTGTTCTGAGCATTAATTGTGGCTATAGAGTGCCTTTTGGTTGAGGTTTGCACATGGAGATGTAGACTGCTGTGTATTGCTATTGTGCGGTCGTTGCTGAAGGAGGTATAACTAGAGAAGCAAGCGGTTGCCAACATTCATCTCTTGAGGATGTGTCTAACTCTGTGTTATGGTGTGTTTGACCATAACTTAAATTTACGCTGATATCTCCCTTTTAATACTCAGTTTTGGACTTAAGTATGTAATTGCACAGACCTTGTGTCCCACAAAAGGACATAATCATTATATCTATTTGTTCATTTATTTATGTATAACTAAATTTAATTTTATCTGAATATTTTGATTCTCTAACTTGCGTGACCCTTGACTCAAAATGTTTTCTTTTTGCCTAACAGGCCTACAACATCCATGTAAATGGCGTGCTGCACTGCCGGGTACGCTACAGTCAGCTCCTTGGCCTCCATGAGCAGGTAAGCCTTCAGCCTTCATCATGAACTCATTGCTGTCTGTGTGATTTGGATCAGAAGGGACCGCCTTGTGCATTCGCTGCTCTGAAAGCTGTTTAAATGCCACCCCATCCACACAGCGTGACCTTTCGCTCGTCTCTGTGTCGCACGGTCGATTCGCCGCCCTCCCATCTCTTTGAATCACCACTGTGGTGTCTCAAAGTCTTGCGCTGTAACTCCTCACAGAGTTCAGACTATTGCATGAAAATAGGAGGTATTGTTTGGAGGAGGAGGTTGGCGACATCCAAGGAATGTTCTTGGCCTTTCCTTCACTTCACCTGCTGGGAATAAGGAACTTAATCTCAGAGAGAAATGTTGTTTGAAAGTGCAGGGTTGCCTGGTCTCTGGCCTCGGTGCAGATTTACACAGAGCCACAGATATTCGCTGGCACTGTTATTAAGCAATTAGAGCATTAAAATTTGACTTGTTTTGTTTAGTACTGTGGCTAAACATGAGCTTGTTTTTGAAATTCTTTAACATTCACTTTTTGGAAGCATGTTTTGTTGTAGAAAAAGATGCACTGTTGGTAAAAAGAGAGGTTGAGCTCTTTCTGCTGCACTCTGCAGTATACATACCACAGTCTTATAGATGTGCCCAGTCTCCTTCTTCACACATTAATAAATAAGCAAGCAAGGGGCCAAACTTTGCTATCTCCCTCCTCTTCAGGTCTGTGTTATCCACTCTGACAGTTGCTGTCGTTGCTTGGCAACAGGGTGTGGGGAAGACACACTTGAATCTTTAAGGACCAACCCCATAGGGCTTGCAGCGGTGAATGTATGACCTCCAAACATTAATGAATGCTGGGTACACACAGCTATAGCAGAGAAAGTGTGAATGTTAATCCGGCCTCTTGTTTTCTTTTCAGTTACTTCTGTATTAAGGTCAGACTTCTGCTGGATCAGAGGGGTTTTTCTACCAAATAGTGAAAACAGAATTTTTAGATTGAAGTCCGGTTTTGTGGACACGCATGTGTAACCTGGGCTCCAGTGTCTGTGGCTGTGAAAGCTTATTGGTATGTGTGACCAGTGCAGGCTCTGACGTACGGAAAATACCAAAGGGCAGTCTGCTGAGGTGAAAATCACCTCTTTTTCCCTCTCTCACTGTGGCTGGCCTGCTTCACACCACATGTGCAGAACCTGAGGGGTTCAAAAGTGTCAGTGAATTCTCGGCTGTGATGAGTGAGGTGCACAGATTAGATTTTTTTCTCCCGTTAAATTAAAGCACATTTGATGTGACTTCCACAGTTCAAAGCAGTGAGAGCTGAGATGATAGAAAATGGGAAGAAATGAGTCAAGAAGCTGGAAGACAAAGTAAACTTGGACTGACTAGACATCCAGGCTTCCAGATGTGTCTCTGTGTGTGTGTGTGTTTCTGTGTGTGTGTGTGTTTCTGTGTGTGTGCTTGTGTTAGGCCTGGAAACTTCACTAGCAAGTCGATGAAACCAACCTTAAAATAAACCTGTGATTCATCTTGAGCAGCATGAATGTAGTACCCCTCAGAAACATGAATCCACAAGTCTCTGATTTAAAAAGCTGCACTTCTGGACTGAAGTTTACAGCTTTGGGCACGTGACTGTTTTGCAGATGTTCTGAAATCGATTTGAAGAAGAATGAGTCATTTGACACCCCTCAAACTGACTTCATATGCAAAAGTGGAGAAAAAGAAGTTGTATGGTTCATTCTCCTGTGCACTCACCTTCTTTGCCTTTTTGTTTTCTGTGCACAGATAAAGAAAGAATATGGCAGCAACGTGGTGCCTGCATTCCCCCCTAAGAAGATCTTCACGTTGACTCCTGCAGAGGTAGAACAGAGGCGAGAGCAGCTGGAGAAATACATGCAGGCTGGTAAGTTATTCATGCCGAATGGACTTTCCTGCAGCTGGCTCGGCCGCATTTCATTTTATTTCTGTCTGAAATGAAATTCAATGTGGTTGTTTTTGTCGGGGCTTTAAACTGGATACCATTCCTCTCTGAATTGCTGCACACAAACCCCCCCGAGAGCAAAGAGCGGTATTGTTCTTTAAGTGGAGGAGGAAAAGAAAAGATCAGAGTGAGACTTTAGTGTTAACTTTTCCTCAAAATGTTTGCTTCTCCACAACAATCGTAGGAATGAGTTGGCTTAGTGTCTGCGGGGAGTCCAGCCACACATAGGCCGGTCTCTTGATGCCACATGAAAACATAAAAGTGTCTCGGCGAAGAACTGATGATGTGAGCACAGAGCGAGCTGGGACGCCGAGCTGAAGCCTCGCCGGGCTGAGTTCTGCTGACACACCTGATGTGGGAAAATAAACTTTCAGTCAGACGATTTCGGGAGTTTTACGGGTTTGGGCGCTGAGAGAAAAACACTTGCTTTGTTTAGTGTTAAGTGGGGAAGCACAACTTTTACTTTTGTTGCAAAAAAAAAGGAGCCTAGTAGATGATCTAGCTTGACAAAAAATGTTTTGTTTATAAAGACTGGAATGTGCTGGAAAAGGTACAGTAGTTTAGGTAAAATAATCATTTTTAACAGGTTAGTATAGTGAGCAACTGATAAAGGGAGGGAGGCCCATCGAGATAGGTCAAGTGTACATGTGTCCTGTAACGGCTGAAAACTTTTGCTAAAAAGAGTTTGTTACAAATATCCGCAAGTGCCTGAATCCTTCAGAGGAAACCTTAAAGGGAAAAGCATTTAGAGAGAGAGTTTTTGCCAGAGGACTTACTAAATACAATTCACTCTTTTGGAGATTTATTTTATAAGTGGGTAATTGGCTGAAATCGTCAAGTGTATCAAATACTGTGGGGAGCGAGGAAAGCAGGTTAGAGATCATCAGCGTAGAGTGAGAGTTTAGGAACTCTGCCATGCCGAACTCTGCCTTCAAATTTGACATTTCTGCGGAGCGAGATGGTCAGAGGCTTGATGGCTAGATTAAATAATAAGGGAGAGAGGAGGCAGCTTTGACGTACACTGAAGAGGAATCCCACCGAACAATAGACTGCTATTAGACCTCTATTTTTTTTTAGACCTAATTTCAACCGACTAGATTCTGGAATTTAGACGTTGCACTTAAACCCATTATTCGATAACTATTTATTTCAAAAAGCAACTGTGAGTGGGATAACTGATCTCCAAGTGCTTAACCACAATAATTATGATAGCGGTTGAGCAGTAGAATAGATAAAGCCCAGATTTAGATTTGATCTAAACTTGCTCTAAATTTAGACATCTACAAAACTTTATTTTTTGGACCTGTGGTAGCTTGATTTTAGACAAGTTGTCTTGGGAACATTTAGACGTCTATTAGACCTCTTTTAGACCAAAAAGTGCTCAGTGGGGTGGGCTAGGAAAAGTTACCATTAGTACGTATCATTGCAGTTGGGTATGCATCTAAAAGTTGTATCCAGGATATGAACTTTGGATGAAAGCCAAATTTTTCTAAAATAAAAAACAGGTAGTCCCATTCTACCCTGTCAAAATCCTTCTCTGAGTCAATAGATACCACAACTTCTGGGGTGTTAGATGGGGACGAGTATATGATGTTGAGTAATCTCCTAGTGTTAAAGAATTAGTGACAACTTTTACTTTGACGGAAATATCTCTCAGGTTCCATATTCAAGTTTGAGGTTTTTAGGATATTCCCCAAACGTCACAATTTCACAAACACACATGAACAAGTGGAGCAGGCGGCGATGCAGAGGGTTTGTTTTAATCCTCTTAAGCACTGGCAGTTACTGCAGAACAAGGAAGCGTTGTTCTCGCGTGTATTTGCTCATAGTCTGGGAGCAAACGCACACACAGGGTGTTCTTGGCTACAAGTGTTCCAGGGTTACATCATGGCTTTTTTACATAGTTATGGAAAATGACCGACCACAGACACGATCCAGTCTGACGCAGATGGCTCCGGAGTTTGACATTTTGTCAGAGGGTTAGACTCATTTGGATCAGGACAATGGTGCACAGTACACACACACACACACACACACACACACACACACACACACACACACACACACACACACACACACACACACACACACACACACACACACACACCGTTAGTCATGTTGTAGTCTAGCGGGATTCTCATGTAGCCTTAAAACTGCAAACAGCCTTATTAGAAAAACAAAGGACATGAGGAAGAAAAGGACGTCTTGTCTGTTATTTACCAAAGCTTGAGACTACACCATGATGAAACCGCTCTGTAATAATTTACAGTTAATTGAACCTCTGCCAGATAATGACTAACGTATTGTTTCTACTGGTTTCACTCCATTAAGTGCAGTTTGCTTCATGTTGCGCTAAATTGCTGGGACAAAAGCCTTAAAAGGTCAAACTCATTTTAAAGCAGCAGCAAAACAAACTAAAGAGATGTTAAAAATCTCACAGCCTGAGGAAGTTTATGTTTACACAAAATCCTGCGAAAGACCGTGAACCAATTACTGAGCGAACAAATCAAACCCAAACATATCTCTGCATGACTTCCTCTGCTCCTCTCATTTCACTGATCAGTGAGATTTGACTAATTCTGCACTCATGTTCCCGCTCTGGTCTCTCTAATTTCCTCCTGTTTATGTTTTTTTTTTTTTTTCAGTGCGTCAGGATCCTCTGCTTGGAGCTAGTGAGATGTTCAACAGCTTCTTAAGGAAAGCACAGCAGGTTGGTACTGATTCTGTGTCTCCTCGCCCTGCATCCGGCTGGTGACTGTGCTCAGCTCTGTAGTCAGCAGGCCTGCTGTGACCTAGCAGGGCGTGCTCCTTGAACCAAAAGGCTGATGTGGTAATTTCTGCTCAGCCAGTAATCATCCGTGCCAGTGCGGTCCAAAGAGGTAGCTGTCTTCTTTATGTTTGTCTCAGTTTATCCCGGGTCATGTCATCCCTGCCGGTAAAGAAGACGATTTAACCGCGTCTGATTAGGTTTGGCTGAGCATGCAGAAACGTGTAAGTGATTACATCATGTAGCAAAGCCTGAAAGTGAGGTAAAAGCAGCAGTATTTGGCTGCGATAAAGCAGCATCATGTGTGGGAGCTGCTTCATCTTGAACTATTGTAGTATTAAAAAGTGGAAAACATGATTCATTCCTCCGTGTTTGCCAAAAAGCTTTCTGCAGGACTAAAATTGTAAACAGATATTAGCTGGAGAAGGCAGTGCTGTGAGAAGAGAGGAGAAAAGACAGTTTCAAACGGGGGAAGTGTTGATGACTTAATCAGACCAGGTACCATGGTCGATTTGTCATCATTCATCCTGTGACCTGCGCTGCCAGAAGAGCCGTAAATCCAATAACCTTCATGGACAGATTCATCTGTCTGCAGCTACATCACACCAATTCTTGCCCTCCGCCTCCTGCTCCTGTCTTCTCCTGTCATCGGAGTCTGTGTTCAGCCCCCCCTCCCTCACAGCTCTGCATGCAGAATAGGAGATGAGTTACCACCCTGCGCTGTCATGTCACCTGCACCTTTGGTGTTGTCAGGGACTTCCTGCTGAGGGAGCAGGGATGATCAGGGATGATTGAGCAGACGTGGTGAGGGTCAGGGTTTGAGTTTCACCCTCTTCAATATCACCTTCAATTTAGAGGTTTTCAATATTACCAACTCCTGGCAGATGGTTTATTTTCCTTATTGGTTATTCATGGATTTTTAGGGGTATTTGCTCTACTGCCTGCCGTGTTCAGTTATGGATACACAGAAGAGCAAACATCATTACTAATAAATACAGCACTCTATTTGTGTTAGAGATGTGCCTGTAAAACACATGAATGAAAGACTACAGATGTCATACTTTGATATGCTGATGATAGGAAAATTAATTTAACACAATTTGACTGACTTATTTATTATTTTTGCCTCCTTTTTTGTTTAAAAAGAAACACATTTTGGATCATAGCTTCTCCGTTTCAATGTGTTTTGTATCCTAATGGAAATTTTAAATCAAGTTAAAGCAGCTATGACCAGGTGAGTCTTAAACCTGGATTTGAATTCACTGAGGGTCTCTGAACATCAGACACTTTCCAAACTGAACGGTGCTTCTCCATGTTTGGTTCTGACTCTGAGGACAGAACCTAGACCTGCACCAGATGACTCGAGCACCCTGGATGGTTCAAAAATCACTGATGTATTTTGGACCTGGACCATTCAGTGTTTGTTCTTAGACCAGCAGCAGGATTTTAAACTCTATTCTTCGACAAGCAGGATGCCAGTGTGAAGACCTCAGAACTAGACTGAGGCAGTCCACTTTCTTGGTCTTGGTGAGGACTCTTGCAGCTGGCTTATTGAGTATTCAGGGAAACCTGCAGAGTCACTGTTACAGCAATCAAGCCGACTGAAAATAAATGCATGGAGCAGTTTTTCCAGGTCCTGCTGGGACAGAAGTCCTTGAATCCTGAAGTACTCTTCAGGTGGTGGGAGGCTGACTTTGTCGTCATCTCTGTGGTCTGATGCTGTTTTGTACGTGGCATTAAAATCATCCCAATAAAATAGAAATTGAAGTAATAACTAACCCCCCACCCACCCAGGTCCACACTTTTCCCACATCTTTGAATAAGCTTGATACTGCTGACTCCAGTCTTGACCTCAGACTATACACAGCTGCACTGGGAATGTTTTTATCAACAGGAGTACATTTGATTATTTCTGCCCCTGCATGGCAGGTCCATAAAGACTTACCTCCTCCATGACCAGCCTACTTTTTCCCCTGCCCGTGTGACCCAGTCAAGTTTTTGTTGTTGTTGATCAAGAATGAAAACAAGTACTGTAGCTTACCCGTGAAGCTGATGGAAAGCCCGCTCTATTTTGTGTCGTTCTGCAGGAGACGCAGCAGATTCCCACAGAAGAAGTCGCTCTAGACATCTGCCTCTCCAACGGTCAGAAGGTCACAGTCAACATCCTGACTTCAGATCAGACGGAGGACGTCCTCGATGTAAGTGCCGAAGAGTAGTCTGCTGAAAAGTACACAAACAAGCTGTATCAGCCGGTAGGCCAACTAGTGTATCATTTATACAGGTTTGTTACTCACTTTGATAATAAAAACACACAGACTCAACAGGAGCTCATAGTGACCCACTTATTATGAGAGATGTTGAGAGCAGGTTATAAAGTCATCTTTATGGAGCTAATAAAACTGTGTTTATCACTGGAAATGACATACTAAGCACTTATTGACTCTGACGGTGGCCAGAAGTCGAGATAAGTTCACTGTCTGAGTTCATTTACCCTTAACAGTATTTGTGTCAGTGTAACAGGACATATTTGATCTCCATTTCTCATAACCGACTTCCTCTATCCCCCACAGGCCTGTCATACTGTTACAGGCTCCTTTCATACTGAGATACATAATCAGATGCAATCATATTTATTTGAATGTACCATCTTCATAAAGGAAATAGAGGTTTATAGGTATGTGGGAGGGTTTATTTACCTGAACAAAAAAAAAAAAAAATCAAATAAACTTGTGAACACCTGCAATGCTAGAACCAAACGAGGATTAAATGTAAGGTTACTGAACAAAAACACAATAAACCTTGACTGACCTTTTTGTGAGTTTTCTGAAGGTCAGGTAGCAGCTATGATGTAACCTTTTATTACGTTTTCTTCACCCCTTCTATAATTGACTGTAACCTCACACAGTGTAAAGAAAGCAGAGCTGTAAACATGCTCATGTTCCTTCATGGTATCCTCTAATGGCTCTTGGCTATAAGTCAAACTTCTTCAAACTTTCTAATGAAAGTTTAACTACAGTGAGTTCACTTCAGTTCACCTGAGCAGGTGTCAAAGTCTGACTAGAGAGGAAAAACAGTGCTGCTTGAGGACTGGGCGGTGTTTCAGAAAACAGATGTTGCTCTGAAAATAAAAGATCAAAGATGAGAACTTGTAGTAAAGCATTTGTTTTTTCTTCCAAGCACAGAAGAAGACTGTTTTTTTTTTTTTATTAACATGACAGTTATGCCTTGAGTGATTTGGTGAGAGGTGGTATTTATTTTTGTGCCTCAAATGAAATGTCTCAATTACATTTCTTTAGCTGTCTTTCTAAAAGATAAAAAAGTTGATTTTGTTTAATGTTAGTCAGAAATTTTTTGGCATTATTTTATTCGTGTTACAGTGTAAAGAATAAAATCATAGAAATAAAAGTCACACAGCAAAAAAAGTTTATTTATTTATTTTTTTTCAACAATCTGTTTATTGATTTTTCAACCATAACAAAAATAGCAGGAACATTACGTAAGCATGAATGTCTGTGAGAGTCCGTTTAAAAAAAAAAATATTCATATATAAAAACAAAGTATTTGCAAATGTTTAAGGATGATGGCTCGAACATACTGTACATAATAAATATTCAAGATAAATTAAGATAAATGCTTTTAAACATAACCATATAAGTAAATAAATAAATAAAAATAATAAAACATATCCTGCATGATTAAACAATGTCAACAGAGAAGATAAAAAAAAATAATAATAATAAAATAGTAAAATATATCCGTCAAGATTAAACAATATCAACAGCAAAGATAGAAAATAAATAAATTAATAAATAAAAAATAGTAAAACATATCCTGCATGATTAAACAATATCAACAGCAAAGGTTAAAAAAATAAATGAACAATTTCACCATGGAGGCAACTCCTAAAAACCTACATTGTTGCCATAAGATACTTTTGAAAATATCAGTAAAAAATTAGTTCAATTTTTTCAGTGGAGGTAATGACTAAACTCCCCTGGCTATGTCCAATATGCTGGAGAAGTCCGTGTCTAATTGTCAGTTCACCCTTTAAATCATTTTTCCATGCTCTAAAATTAAGTCAACAACAAATTGTACACTTCTGAAACAATTCCCCTACCAAAAGGGTTCTTACTTACTAACTTTCTCTAATAAAGATAAAGAAGGAATGTTGATGACTTGCTTTTGAAAAGAACCAACAAAGCATTTCAGCAAACAAGTTTATTCCAAAGTTGAAGTGTTCAATTTTTTTTTCTAAAGCTTCCTCCAGCTCAACTGATCACTTTTCATCCTGTTTTCAAACTCTTTAAATCCATGTCAAGGTTTTCCCTGAATAAGAAATTAAATAAAAGGATAATTTCACTAAACTTGATTGTAAACTGTCTTTCCTATCACTCTCCAGGCTGTCGCAACAAAGCTCGACCTTCCTGATGACCTGGTTGGTTACTTCAGTCTGTTCCTCGTCAGAGAAGGTGTGGACGGAGGTTTAACATGTAAGTCACAGCACCAGAGGATAGCAAAGATCCGAGCCAAAAAATGTTGGATTCACTATTTTATACAGTTAATTATTTATGAAAAATGAAGAGGGAAAGAGAGCACAGTGATTTACCAGAGGAGAAAACCCATAATTAAATGCTGCTGGTTATTTCGAGTCAGGCTGGTGTTTATGTTACTGACATTTCAGTTGTTTTTCTTAAACTGCTACAGCAGGAAACCATCAGATAAATAGTCTGCGTTGTAGCAGAAACTAAATGTGCAGTTGATAAGACGGTATGATTCAAACTGCTTTATCAGGCCAGCCAATGACCAGCCTGCAAATTAAACACGCACAAATAACACAGAACTCAGAGGACAGATATTTCCTACAATCAGGGACACAATTATGTACAGTCATTTCATGCTCATAGTTCTATCTTTCGCTCTAAATTTCCCTAAATGAAGCGTGAAAGGTTTGCTTTGGCATCAGTCCAGCAACTCAGTTAATCTGCCTCACTGTTTGGTGATTCATTCTCCTTTAATTAAGAGAGAAAAACTGCACAACCTGTTGCGGCTTATATTTGAGTTCTGACTGTATCTTTGTCAAGCAGCCCGAGTGTGTACATATGTTTATGAATGTGTACATGTCAGCGTCCGGACAAAGCAGTTGTGTTGTCATTGTTTATAGTGGTGTGATCTGGACACCACGCTGTAGGGCTGCACGATTATGGCCAAAAATAGAATAGTAAATTTTTTTCTCTCAAGACTCGATTTTTATTTCAATTATGCATTCAGTGGCAACTACACCAAACTCCATTAAAAAAAGGTTTTTTTTTAACATCTCTTGAAACCAAAACCACTGAAAACAATGTAGTGCACATGCCACACCAGTAAGTGGCGCTGTTACGTTGCTTAGGAATACACAAAAGACAGAAGAAGAGTACGGAGCATGCATTTAAAGGTTGTTGTAGCAGAACACACCCGAAATGCCATTTCCGTGTGAATGAAACGCCATTACGAGAAAAAACTTTTGCATTTACTCCTGAATTCGTTTCCGTGTGGACAGGTTGATATCACCTTCAGACAGACTTAGCAGCAGGGAGTGGTTCGCTCTTCGTCTGAAACTGTCGTACCAGTTCCAGACTACTGACTTGTTCTTGCCCTATTTAGCCACGAAATTATCGCCTTCTTTTGCAAACACCATGTTTGTTTACACTGGTGTGTGTGGGAATTGGGAAGCGCCCCCATAAGAAGGGGGAGCCTACAGTGGCCTGGAGGTGCAAGACATGATAGAGGGGAAAATCGATTTGACGATTTTAATTTTTTTAAGGTCATAATCAAATAATCTGATTACGGATTAAAAATAGATTAATTGTGCAGCCCTGCATGCGGCTGTGTTCTGAGTGTTTTTGTTGTGGTTGGAGCGTTATCAGTCTGGGAACTGTGTCAACTACAAAATCATGACGACGTAATTTCTGCAACTAATTCATCCGACTGTTTCGAGTGTTTCATCCTTAATATGTAAGTGTAGACTAAAGATGCTGGTATTGATTGGAGAATGTGTTACTGCTTGAGATAAGCACGCACCAGTACATTTTCAAAGGGATTTCATTAAGTCTTCATAAACAACTCTGGAATAAAACAGTGATTACTTTAAATTAACTTTGTTTGTCTGTGTGCATGAAAGCGGTTCTTTTCCAGTGTCTGTTGAATTTCTGCACACGCACACTCACCTGAGCGTTTGCAACAAGAGTATCATTATGTCACCCTACAGCAATGTGAAAGACGAGTGACGAGCATGAGTCTCTGAGCATCTGTTTTAATTACAGATGCATGAATGTAATTAAAACAGTCTATTTCATCTGGAAAATAATGACTGAATTCTCGCTGAGTTAAAACACAAGTATTCTCTTTGAAAAATCCTGTATCTTTTTGTTATCCTAAGCAGCCATCATTTTTTGCAAACAAGAAAAAAGTGATTTGACTTTGAAGTTGGGAATTTTTGAGAGATGCTGCACTCACGAAAACCAAACAGAAATGTTAATTTCACTCAGACACACAACCCTTTTAGAAGTAGAGCCAGAGGAAAACATATTTCTGCAGTGGTCTGTTATTGAGCGTGATTGCACGTAAACATTTTTCTATTTCTAGCAGGGCTGTACAAACCTAAAGCCTCCCATATGACTCATGAAAATTCCTCCTACTGGAGAGCTGCAACATCATATATAAAAAGGAAATAGAGAAATAGTCTTCATTTTCTGGAAACAGAAACCACAGTGTCAGATTGGCACACAAGAACCATAGGAATATCTTTATATCATGATGCAAATGTATGTAAAGTTGGTTGTTTCATCCTGGTTTCTAATCGAGACTTATGTGGTCACTCACTGCAGTCTTTTGCAGTCTCTGTATAAGCTTAATTTTTAACACCGTAGATTGCTGCTTGCTGAAAACTGACATTCACAGCAACTAATCAAAATCTACATCTACTAAGTCCTCATTGAAATGCCTCACGTTTGTGTTTGTAGTTTTGTAAAATTTCAGATTTTTTCTCATTATTCTGAAGGATTGAAACCCTTAACTTCTCAAAGTAGCGCTCATTTGTTCACATACTCTGGTTTACCTCTAATTAATCTCTGAAAACTGAAATCATATCACAGTGTTTTTTAACAGTTCTAGTTGCATGAATAAAACGTCTTCAGATGACTTTCCACGTTCCTTTTTTTTTTTTTCCATTTCATCACAGCCCTCCCGGGTCACCAAAGTTCTCTTATTCCTCTACTCCACCTGCCAAACACTCCCCCACTACTCACGCCAAATCCCAGGCAGGCTTAAAAACTCTGCCAGGTGAACCTGAAGGAATCCGTAAATATTGTAGGCATGTTGTATATTCTTGGTACGGCTTGAATCTGAAACTCTGCGCTGTTTGAAAGAGAACAGCCATGTGTTGAATATGACTCGACTGCTAGAGTAAATCCGGCGCAGCAGGCCGCGGATCAAACAAAACTGGTGGGAGTATTGACACGACGGGATAGCTATGGGAATTCAATCCTTCCCTGACAGGCAGCAACTTTTCCACAAGTCTGGGTGTAAATCAATACGCGATGTAAAATATGCAAAGACACGTGAAGAAGAAGCGGTTTGAAATAGCTCCCCGGCTCCTCTTCTACACATTTTATGTCTTCTTTGATGGATTCCTGCTGATTTAGATTGCTTTAAAAACGTTTAAGGCGTCCATTTAGTGTCTACTTTTCATCCCTGCAGAGATTTTTCAGACATCAAAGTAGCCAGCGTGTTCTTCCTAAGCAGCATCTGGGCTCATAAAGGAGTAAAAATCCTATTTTGAACCTGATTACAAACTGAAGTGCTGCTCAGCCATCAGATTTGTAGTGTTGTGCTCATTTGTTGATGCCTAGAAGCCTGGCAGCCGCTTCGCTAAGCACCTGGGATCTCCTTCACTCACCTTCGGGAACAGGACGCAGTGAAACAGCTGCGGATTAGGGACGAAGACACACATGCACACACACATGCACGCAAGCATGGTGCCCATTATGTTTTTTTTACATTTAAATGCTCACACACACACACACACACACACACACTCAAACACACTCACACAAGTCTCAGCCCCCTGGGACCTGTCCAGATGGAGCTTGCCTTCCTTCATTGTTTGCTGTTGCCATCATTATCCAAATGTCCTTGGGACTTCACTGCAACTGTTTCTTACCCCTCCTTTCTTTCTTTCTCTATCTTTTTCTCTCAGTTGTACGGAAGCTGCAGGAGTTTGAGCTGCCTTATGTATCCATCACCAGCTTGCGGAGCTCCGAATTTCACATAATCCTGCGGAAAAGGTACCCACCACCTGCTCGCATCATGACTTAGGCCTCGCAGCACATTGTTCCTAAAGCGCTCTCCTCCACATGTAATTATAGCGGTGATTCATCGCCTTGAGTATTCATGTGTTATTTATCTAATGCTGTGAAAAAGCGCGCCAAGTGTTTATGTTTCTGTCAGCAGTAACACAAACTGCGTCTGCTGTGTCTGGCATAAATTGATTCGCAGAGGCCAGTTTCAATTTGCCATTCTAGTTGTTGCTCAGTTTATGTAATATCCGCTGAGGCACTCAGTCGTTATGTCTCAGGGCTGTCGGCACGTTTATCTGACTTTACCATCATCTACAAAGTGCCCGTTAATTTAAAATAGAGACTGAAGTCATTCAATGAACATGTTCATTTCTGGAAAGAGGATTGTTATCTGTCAGGAAAAATCAGGGATCACAATGGGTCAGGAATCTGAAATCTGATCATATTAATCTGATTTGTATCACGTCGGTTAAAGTAGTTTTGAACCCTTTATCTCATTGAAAGTTGTAAATGTTTAGGCCCCCTGCATGGCTCCACATGAAAAACAGACATGACTCTACTGTGGCTGTTGCTACCTGATCCATCCCGGAAACCCAATTTGTACTGCACATGTGCGAAACGTATGTCACTTCCTCTACTCACCATCTTTGTGACAGCTCAGCAATTCTTTGCCCCGAGCGGTTTGCGACTTCTTCAACACTTGTTGCTGCTTCAGTTTATCACCAGCTACACGCTTTTCTCCTGAACGGAGCGCTTTCCCTAACTGAGGTGCCGGAAAGTCAAGAGAATGGCGCCCAATTTCACGGTTAAAGGTTTCTACTCCTAGTTTAACAGTAAAATTGCAGCGTAGCCATAAAAGGCTTGAGTGAATGTGAATATCTCAGTGTTGAAATTGAAACGCTGTATACAAACGTGAAAATTCATTGTCCATAATGTGTAGGCTTCTTGTTAATTAATTTAATTTATAAGGTAAATGAAATAAATACTTTAAAAAAAAAAAAGGGGTTAAATAAAGATACTCGTTATGTGTTTCATACATACAAGTCAGAGAACCATGCTAGGCAGGAGCTCCACCGAATGCCTTGGCATTAGCCCTTTAGCCTCCTGCTAACTAGCCTGTCACATCGCCAGCTGGTTTTTGATATTGATCGGTAGTTTAAATTAAGTTTTTAAGGTGACATGAGTTTGCATTTGCGCAGTATGGATCCAGTAGGTAGCAATAGTTGCCATAAAATGTGTTGAAATACGAGGAGAGGAAGTGACGTTTAGCACATGCGCAGTACAAATCGGGTTTCCGGGATGGATCTTGTAGCAATAGTGGCAATCACCCCATGCACTCATCATCACTTTTCAAAAAAACATTGTTTGTAAGCACAGTTCACTATTGCATCCACAAATACAGGTTAAAACTATACTGTGCAAAGAAAAAACCATGTGTAGGTGTGATCCAGTAATGCCAAAGACTTCCTGAGTCTGTTAAAGATGGACTGATGGGAAGTGGAAAAAGAGCTTCATATGAGCCCATGGCCTTGGTAGCTCGTGTATCTGCTGGGAAGGCATCATTAATGCTGAACAATGTTTAGAGGCAGAGCAACATCTGCTGCCATCCAGACGTTTTCTGTGGAGACCTTGTATATTTCTGCAGAGCAAATCCAAATCACACGCTGCATGTATTACAACAGCGCAGCTCACTAATGAAAGAGTCCTGGGGCTAAACTCACCCGCCTGGAGTCCTGATACGTCCCCCGTTCAAAACCTTTGACATATTATTAAGCAGCTGAAATCCTGAGATGGAGCAACAATGCCCCTGTCCAAACTTTTTCAATCCTGTTTTGACATTTCATATATTCAGATCTCATCATTTGCAAACCACCAAATTCTGTTATTATTCACAATTTAACCCAAGTGTCCTGACTTTTTAAAATTGGGGTGTGATTATCTTGCAAGTTTAACTATCTCTTTGTGAAAGCTGCAAAAACCAACCAACTTTGAAATGACTCACAGATCCTTGGTTTAATTTGATTTGAGTACATTTTGCAGATCACAAAAGAGTGAAATTCTTCATTCCAGCTTTTGTGTCTGAATATTTTCTGGTTGATTTATCCTGTAAAGACAAGAAACTTTTTCATTTGGGGTACCATCAAAACAAGACATGGGGAAAAAATCCAACTTAGTTTTTATTGTTATTCATTTCTAAACAAATAAAGGTGTTGATAACCACTAAGTGCTTAAAAATGTAAAGCAAAAACAAGGAAAATTCCAGCTTGTTTTGAACAATACATCCCTGTTATCTTCTCCTAACTTGTTTTTTTGCCTTTTGAAGGTGAATAGAAAAATGCAGTTTGTCACAGGCTGGTACTGGAGGGTGGAGGGTGGGTGGCTCAGCAAAACAGGAACACTGCTCAGAACCAAAAACCTTGTTTTTCACCACAAGCACACACTCGTCTACAAAGCGTAAAATATCCCAAAACTTTCCAGCCCCTTGTGAACAGCAGAGCTCATGTGGTGCAAATGAACAATATTTTCTTTGGCCTGTCAGGAAGTCCTCTGGTTCTCTTCTATTTGTAGTTTAGTTTTTGTTTATTGAAAACAGTTTAAAATGAAATGGGGGGACACGAGGTCAGGGGCACTTCAGCGAGGAAATGAGAACCTGTCAGAGAAGGCTGCAAGTCTCCTAATGTATGAAAATCTTTCTGAGCGAGCCTCCCAAACCAAATCTGGTAAACACTGATCTCACCCCCCCACCGAGCAGAGCCTGGGGGTAGCTCCCCTCTTCAGAGCTCTATTTCTCTTCTTCCTCACATGTCGTCACCCAGCCTCCTGCTGACTGAGGTACACAGGATGTTTACTTTCTTTCTCCCTGAAGGAAAGTCTTAGTCCTCCTGACCTAGTTTCTCTGAGGAGTGTGGAGCAGCGAGGGAAGAATAAATGTAGAACTAACAAGTGAAGGTGGAGGAAAAACAGACCCCCAGTGTACCAGATCCAGGAGGGGGATCGGGGTCAGAGTGAATGGGAAAGCTGTTTTTCTGGCTAACAGTGCACGCCAAAAATGGAGGAAATCTTATCTTTGTCCCAGGAGACCTTGAAGTAGAACTATTTCCCCTTTATTGTTTGACCAAATTCCTGAAATCAAACTGAATAAAGAGTCAATCTGAGAGGAATTCTGGGGCAACAGCAACATGCATGCATATCTGAAATCAATATTTTTTCTCTCTTATGGAGCAATACACAATGTTGGATCTTCAAATTTATATGTTCAAACTCATTTTGGTTGATATTGATACCGGTACATATATATTATACAAGAACGCCAAGAACCAGACAAACAGGATTTGATTCAAACATGGATGATAAACGTCCAGTTTTTAAATATAGACAAACAGTAATACATCTACTGTCTTATTGTTAACACTTTAAAACATGCCAGCATAAGTATGTTGTCATCACCTGCACATAATTAATACAACATCCCCATGGCCGATAATAATGCTACGTTCCAGTTGTACTCAGAAGTCGGAATTTCCAAGCTCCAAGTCGGAAATACATCTGGAACACACCCCTGAAGTTGGATTTCAGACTCGGAAAGTTGAATGATCCTCACCGACCCCGACTTGACGTCAACGTCATAATCCAAGATGGCAGCACAGTGCAATGCTAATAATGTATTATTTATTAGCACTTCTGTTTTGTTTTTGTGAAATTAAATAAGTGGTATATGTTGTGCTGCCCAACATCTAACTGTGAACACAGTGCTATTGTGTTTGTAAGAGTAAAATACTGCATTATATGTTGTTTACAACTGGTATAGCTAACAACAACTAACAACAGCTGACAATCCATCTTGGTTTTCCGACTTGGTAACTGAAACGCTGGTATCTCGGGTGTGACGTCATTCCCAGCTCCGATATCCGACTTCCAGTTTCTCATCCACTCGAGTAACTTGGACTAAAGATTATGACAATAACTACAACAAACACCCTTGTTTCCATGATGACAGCAAAACGATGACAAGGTCAAATAGGTTAAGAAATGCTGAGGAATAAAGGTTTTGTTTTCATCAATAAGAGGATAACGCAATGAAAATATTTGAGGGGGACCATCAGGCTTTAAAATCTATCGTATTTTCTCCTCTGCGATTCTCATCCCTCACCTAAAATCTCAGCTTTTCATTCCTTTCTTTTGGAGGTTAATTTTATCACCTTTCTGGAACAAGTGCACCATCGATACAGATCCCCTCTGCCTTTACACAGCTTCCTTATTTTGATTCCTAAACTTCTCCTGATGCACGGTGATAACAAAGAGACAACCAGCTACCAGGGTGACTGAGGTTTTTTTGCTGCAAGTGCAGCTCCAAAACTAACACTGGCACCGAGGCCCTTTGTGTGAGGTGGCTTCCATGTTTTCATTTGCACTGAAACTGAATTCAGGCTATTTCTGAGTAACAGTATGAAACCAGCGTCTGTAAAATAAAGGGATTGTACTCTCCAAGGCCAGTACTCTGCCCCCCAGCTGCAGTCTCCTCCATCCTCCCTTTGTTCTCCTACCACACATTTAAACCATGTTTCGATGTAATCCCACATCTGATCCTCTCTCTGTAAACTGAATTCATGCATTTTTCCAGCGTCACGCTCCACTCTTCAGGCTGCCCTCTAGCACCCACACATCTCTGCGCACAGGCGTACCAGCAGTAGCCTCTAATAGAACCACAGTGCTGCCCCAGAAACCACTCTCACTAACATCCCCGTCAGCAGGACAACTGTCAGGGAGATAAATGGCTGAAATTAGGGCTGGGCGATATGGGAAAAAATCACAATAAATTTTTTTCATGTCAGTCAATATCGATATATATCACAATATAAAAAAATCACTTGTCAATCTTAAATGTTCCCTGTTACTCTTAAATGAAATTTAACAGTGCTAATTGGTAGCACGTCTTTTGCAACACAATAAGCTACTGCATCTGTGAGGTCTTTGTGTCTGTTTGACGTCGTAAGCCGTTGCGCTAGAGAAAGCGAAACGGTCGGCTGTTTCAGCTGCACAGGTGCCATGGGCTCCTTGCTCCTACTGGGGTTTGTAACTTATGCATTGCGTGTACTCTGCCACATGGCACTGCTTCAGGCGGTGAAAAAGATTTGAGGTATCCCCTGACTTGACAAGAACATGTACTCGACACAATTTGCAGTGCACATTACTCTGCTTCATGTCCAACCTCAAAAAAAACAAAATCCCTCCACACCACTGACGTTTTCGTGCCAGTGTTGTCGACGATGTCATCAGTGTCATCAACCATAGCTTGCATGTAGCTGCTGCCTGCTACTACACAGTTGTTTGCTGGTTGGTTTTAATGTAACACATGATTGGTTCGGCGCGAAGCTGACCCAGAGCAACTCCCGTTTTCATTGGCTATTCATAAAGTTTACTAAAACATGGCTGAATGCCGTCTATTGAAAAGCATATTGACCTTGTTTTACATTGATATTGAGGGAAATTAATTTTCAATATATATCGTTATCATTTTATCGTCCAGCCCTAGCTGAAATGTATGCCTGCCCACCACCTCATTGACAAACAGTTAGCAAAATTTGCCTCTAAGTCCCTTGGATCTGAAAAGCTCAGGTGATGATGTGTGTGGTTGTAACAGAGTGGTATTAAATACTTAAATGGATTAGCCAGATTTAGGCAGTTTATTAAGTGACGGGAACCTTTTGTCAGTGTTGTAAAAGCATTTTTTAAGAGACTGAAGAGCTTAATGTTGGATTCAACTATTTAAAAAGACGAGTAAAGATGGTCGTTTCTTTCTGCAGCTACTGGGACATGGCGTATGACAGCGATGCCATGGACAACCGAGTGGGCCTGAATCTGCTCTACGCACAGGTAAGAGGCTACATTACTTGTATGTGCTTTTCCGGCAGCCAAAGTGGTCTTAAAAACACCACAGTCCCTCTTGGGATGCCAAAGCAAACAGCAGAACTGGATTTAAACACCATGGTGTTTGTTTACATCCAGCTCCTGTGTGTGTGTTGTATCAAGTTTGCCCGACACCAGCAACAAGAAAAGCTAAATCAAGCGCCGCTCCGAGCCTCCAAATGCTTCTGTTCATCCCGCGGGTCCCTCTGTTCTCTGATTGCGGTGTCAGCTTGTTCTGACTTTGCAACACCTTGACTCTCTTTGTGTTCCCTCGTGATCCTGTTAGCAGCACTTCGCTTTTTTGCTGCGACATCCGTGATCTGTTGTGTTAAGCAGTTTCCTTTTTTTTCGCTTTCCGGGGCTGCAAGTTTGATTAAAATCTATAAATGCTGAGTGCAGCCTGTGCGTCACATAACGGAGGGTTTTAAAAATGGAAATCAAAGGAGGATAAACAGCAAGCATGTGCATGTTTCTGTGTAATTATTTGCTGATCCGAGCTGTTTAAATCAAAGGCTTGGGGTGGGATTTTTTTCCCCCCTTGTCTCCGAACACAGCACAGAAACCTGCTCCTGCTTTGTTTTGTTAACCTGAGCTGGAAGATGAATCCGCTTTTTTTTCTGTTTTGCTTCTTTAGACAGTGTCTGACATCGAGAGAGGCTGGATACTTGTCAACAAAGACCAGCACCGGCAGCTCAAATCACTGCAGGAGAAAGGCTCCAAGAAAGAAGTAAGCAGTCACTCTGCCTCGACAGTGAACACAGCTCCTGCACACGAGGGTCTTTGTCCAAGGATGAATATGTAGAGAGTGGGGCCTGGAGTGCAGTCTTTGATGCAATTAGCCCAGTTTTCCCCCCTGATATGAATTTTTAATAATCCAACAGAGAATTCAAACTTCTTCTCCACGGGAATTAAGTTTTTTAAAAACAGCATTCCTGTGCATTTCCCTCCAGTTCATCCACCTAGGTCAGACTCTGAAATATTACGGCTATATCAAGTTCGACCCTTGCATCACCGACTTCCCAGAGAAAGGCTGCCAAGTCATCGTCAGCGCCGGCAACAACGAGCTCAACTTCCACGTCAAGCTGCCCAACGAACAGATGAAGGAGGGGAGCTTCAAGGTGACGCGCATGAGGTGCTGGCGAGTCACGTCTTCAGTAAGTGGAACTGTGTGTCTGTCTGAGAGAGAGAGCGAGAGCTGATTCACCTTCAAGCATGCCTGTAATTTCAGATAATCAAATTGGAATCTCTCCATATCGTTATTAAACTGAGCTTGGCAGAAAAGAGACGGCGGAGCTTCAGGCTGGAGTTGTTTGTTTACATTCCTCCTCTCACCACTGCGGCAGAGACAAATGTCTTCAGTCGTGCCAAGCTTTAGTTTTTACACCTACTGCTCAGTAAATGTGCTGACCTCCACACCATCCATCCTCATCAGTCCAATAACCCAAACATACAGCCCACACAGGATAGGGCCGTATTGATCCCCCTGCTTTACACTCACACACACACAATGAGGTGAAAGCTTCTTCTCTTTGAATTGATTATTGTCTGCTGGCTTGGAGAAAATCTCACAGGAGGCAGCAGCCACACGGCCTTCGATTTATACTCCGCTAAAAGCTAAATACCATAAAAAACTAACCGAGTTTGTAGAATCACAGAGAGACAAAAAGACGGCTGTTCGATTATTTCATGACGCCAGTTTGGACTGTCCTCTTGTCACTGAAACGATGACTAAACATTGGCTGTCAGGAGCTAAGCTAAGACTCAGTTTAAAGTCCCACTCCAATCGGTTTTAATTATTTATTTATTTTACTACTAAAAGTGTTCTCAGTGGTCTTTGAATTACAACTGTGAAGTTTTTAGACAAAATCGCTTTACCTGTGTAATTTTTAAGGGTTTTTCTTCTGCAGAGCTCAAGTAGCTCATGAGCAATTCGCCTCTGAGTTGTGGGCAGAGACAGTGCTGCTTGGCACAGTCTTCTTCACGCTAGCTTGTAGCCTAACAATGTCGGTGTAGTAGAAGTGGCAGGTAAGAAAGAAGATATTCAGCTCTCAGACACTAATGTCTTTAGGGACATGATGAAAGTTAATATCGTAATTAGCTTTCTTACAAACATTGCAAACTGCTAACACACGCGATCATCCTCTGTACTTCTCCGAGTCTGGCCTGCATAATGAGGCTCCGGGGGCAGAGCTTGGATTTGTGACCAATTCAATCCAGTCCAATCCATTGTATTTATATAGCACAATTTAAACAAACGCAAGGTTCCCAAAGTTCTGCACAGCAAGATAAAAATACGATAAATAACACAACGGAAACACAACGAAAGCACAATAGATAAAATAAAAATAAAATGACATGAAACACAGTAAAATCAAATAAAAACACGTAACAAAAGACGTGCGAAATCTCACTGTGTCTGAATCTGCTGTTTGAGATTTACAGCAATTTGAATGCAGAAATACTCAGAAATGCAGTTTCACGCTTATTTTTCTTATATGTCCTGTTGCATCAGAAAAATGCCATGAACTTGTAAACAACATAAAAACATTAACATTAACAGATTAATTTGATAACACTGATTGATCGATTGTGTTCACTCACCTGCTGCGATTAAAAGTAAATAATCCAATCCCGTGCTCCGCTTAAAAATCGGAGCATCATACTGCTAACACATTTATTATAAACATTGAGATGTTCTGTTTACGAACATTATCATATACAGGGTTTCTGCTGGGTCTTAAAAAGTCTTAAAATGTCTAAAATCCAATCATTTGAATTTGAGGCAATAAAATGTCAAAAATTATCTTAAAATTTCATAAAATGTCTTAAATACATATTTGAAAGGTTTTTAAAATGTATTGGTTACTTACAAATAAACCTTGATTTGAAGTTAGTTTTAAAGTGTTCCAATTTCCCTTCATGTCTTTGTACTTTTTTTTGCCAGTATGGGTGTAAAATGGATCTTAAATAGTTTTCATCATGATCTTAAAAAAGTCCTAAAAAGTCCTAAATTTGACTTATTGAAACCTGCAGAAACCCTGCATATACTAACAGCATTAAAACAGTCACATAGAATAAATTAGAAAAATAAATGAACTCAAAGGCATTTCCTTCAATTCCATCTGGTACAAGTTCTGCCATATTTTCTATGTCCGAATGCTAAATTTGAATTCATTTAAAACTACAGCTGGCAAAAACACACACATTTCTGGTTTCCACAAAAAGAATTCTTCATAATTACTTCCCAGAATCTGCATAAAACTCAGCCCATCATGCACCTCACAGTCTGTCTGTGTGAATCCGTGGTTCTTCTAAATAGTCATTTATTCAAAACGACACAGCAGGACAAGCTATTTTCCCCGTCTCTGTGCAGCTGAGGGAGGCATTACATGCAGCTCCAGCAGCATCATTTCAGCGCGTGTCTTAAAAAGATGAACATTCGCAGTCACAAGGCCTCATTTAAATGGAGATGGAAAAACAGCTCTGACACTTCTGCATTGCATTAGTGTTGGAGCGGCGCAGTCATTATGTGAATCACACAAGCTTTTAGGATTCTCCACGAGTTAATTTGCGCAGAGTCGTCGCAGCAGCATATCTAAAATGAAAATACAGCTCGGCTTGCCTGATTATGAACCGAGCCCCCTCGTCGTCCAGCGGGGTGTTTAATCCCTGTGTGTATTCTAAGAGGTCAGAGTTATTTTAATGAGGCCTTTCCTCTCCAACTAACTATTCAGAACATCACTTTTGGTGCAGTGCTGCGGCCCCCCTCGAGGGCCCATCTGAAATTGCATCCGGAAGAGCGTGTATAAACATGGAGCATGTGCATGTGTGTGAGTCAGACCTTTGATTTGGTCCTGATATCCTGTTTTGATATTCCTTTATAGTGATGTTTTCTTGTTTTTGACGTGTTGCCCTTTTAAGATCCTCGGATGTAAAGGCCTCTACAAATAAAATGTATGATTAATATTATTATTTGTTATTCTCTGTATGTTATCTTCATGTTTGTGGTTAACATGGGAAGTGCAGCAGGGCTCAGGCCCAGAGAGGGGCTCAGACACCGTTAATGAAGAATGAGGGCTGGTCTCCAGAGAGCAGCTCCTCATATTCATAAAGGCATTTAAAATTCTGCTCTTGCACATATTTCTGTCTTTCTGTTCACCCACGTTAATCTTTTAGCGCGTCTCCTTTAGGTTCGGCTGCCTGTCACAGACGTTAGAGCAGAATAGCAGCTTAGACACAGAGACGCAGGATGAATTAGCTGCTTACACAACCTTGTGGTTGGGAAACTGATGAGCAAGTTGGAGATTTTTTTTCCTTGCATTCAAATAAAACAACAACAAAAAAAAACTGGAATGATGAAGAATAGGAAGTTTAGATACAAACAACACATTTGGACATATGGTATCACTGATGATCCCAACTCTCCACCTTTGTGATCCACTCTGCAGCAAGTCCCCATCGCCAACGGCACCACAAATCCCTGCAGCTCGTCCAAGTGTGAGGTCAAACTGGAGCTGGCCTTCGAGTATCTGATGAGCAAGGACCGGCTGCAGTGGGTCACCATCACCAGTCAGCAGGTACAGAGTCAGACAGGGTCACTTCAAAACTACTTCAGTTTAAATTTCAAAAAAATGATATTAAATCAAACTCCTCAGTGTGTCAGAGGTTAAGTGTTTTTCTCGTGGGGTTTCAGGCAATCATGATGAGTATCTGCCTTCAGTCCATGGTGGATGAGTTAATGGTGAAGAAGTCGGGCGGCAGCATAAAAAAGGTTTGGATTCAGACAAAATAAAGCCAAACTCCATAGTAAATCTCAGCATTTCACTGATTTTTTTTTTCACTCTTTGCTTCAAGATGCTGAGGAAACGACACAACGGCTCCATCCACCGGCCAGACAGTCAGCAAGCTGTGAAATCCCCCCCTCTACTGGTGAGACTATAGAACAGCATGCTTTAAGTTAGACTGGCTGGATTGATTTCACGTGAAGTGTAATCTAACTTGTTTTGTTGTTTTTGCTGCAGGAATCACCTGATCAGAACCGTGAACAGATTGTCAAACTCTCGGTGAGTATACAGTTGTATGCAAAAGTTTGTATGCCCCCTTTAAAAACGGCATATTTTATATAATATAGAATTATTATTTACAGTCGCTAGTATAATTTTAAAAGACAACATTATCACTCAGTCTTGTGTTAAACCCACCATTGATTATTCTGTTTAGACCAAGCTGAGCTCGGTGTCCCTCCGAGGAATCAGCGCCTCCAACTCCAACAACGACATCAGCGACAACGATTTCCACGGCAACTACGCTTTCGAGGGAATCGGGGACGATGACCTGTAACCCCAGCCCTGTTTCCTGCACCTGTTTCTCCATCCCACTCTCAGCGGCTGGGACGACAAAGATTACAAGCTGAGCTGAGCCGAGCCGAGCGGACCACACAGGCGTACGCGTCTGCGAGATTGTAGCTTCTTCCTGGAGAAATTGCTGCCTTAAGCTCTCAAATAATCTTTGACAGATTTGACTCGTGTTTTTTTGTTTTTACTTTAAAAGCCTGGTGATTTGAACTTAGCGTAAATCATTTCAATTTGAAGCCTGTCCCTGTGTCGTTAGACTCGTGGCATCTTACAGTAAATAGCATGTGAAGCTACAGGTACTCCAATAGGGACGCTTTTAGTTTGTTAGGGTCTGAAAAAAATTTCCATTCTCATTGATTACTGTGTCGGCGACAGTAACAGTGAAGCTCTTTAAGCGCAGTGAAATCCTAAAGGTACAAACTGAACTTGACATGTTCTGAACTACATGAAGAAACCCTCCCTCTGTGGCTGCATGTTCCCTCCCCGAGCAGAGAGCCAAATGTTAAGATCGACCTGGCACTAGTGATAAAGCAGCAGAGCTGGATTTCGGTCCTCCAGATGTTTCAGAGTTCAGTGAATGTGCTGAAATCGATCTCAAAAGCGTACACTTTCCACATCAGCTGCTTACTTCTACGTAGGATCAGCGTTTGGCTCTGCTATGAACCAAAATGTCACGTTTTTATACTGCGAGCGATCTCGGGTGTCATGCTACTCATGTGCCAAGTCAGTTAGTATCTCAGCATAGCAACAGATGTTTTTTTTCTGTTTTGTTTTGGTTTTTCTTTCTAAGCACAGTCGCTCGTACTGCCTCCAGAAATAGTCTGATGCCTTAATTTTAACTTTTTCATGGGCTGCCACATCATTTATCCATAAACAAACAAGCGTGAGCGACTGCCCGCGTTTATATCCTGGTAGGTGATCGATTTGGCTGAGCTGCTTGCACTTGCTGAAGCCATCATTTTGCACAGTATTACACTAGGAGATGAATGTTTGAGTGGAAGCTCGGGCATGACTTTGAACATTGTGTGGGGCTCTGTAAATCCATTTATGATTTTTTTTAAAAGACCAATTTTTTTAAAGGTTTCTCATAAATGCCAAATTATAGTTTACTAAAGCATTTTGCACAAAATAAACAAAAATTATGACAATGTCACTTTTTATATCATGTACATGCTCTTTAAGTATTCTGAACATTTACTAATATCTTTATCATCATTAGCTTATGTAATCTAATAGATCAAATGTGTAATCTAAGATGTATAGAACACAAAGATTAAATGGACTAACATTTATCATTGTTTACATAACGTGTAGAGGACTTTTTTTAGTTCAAATGTAAAGTGTTTACAAATTTTCCATCTGATTCTCTTTGTCTTGTTCTGTTGTATTTGGCCGAGTTATGGCGTTTGTAGGAGGCTTCAGTTCATTGTAATTTGTATGTACATTGTGCCAATCATCTCAGAGGATTAAGAAGGTGCTTTGATGAAGAGGCTCATGTGATCACAAGTGCTGGAAAGAACAAAACTCTAAAAGTGAGCGAGCAACAAAACGATCATAACCCAGCTTTTTTAGACACGTCATTCCACTTTTTTTATAGCTGTCTGCATCTGCCAGTGTGTTTTTAAGCCGCTAAATGTAAACAGATGCCAACCTATCAACTGCTTTACTCGCACTCGTAGCCACAACTGTAAACAAAATGTTCTCTCTGTAAAGTGTCTCATTCTGACTCCAACCTTGGTTTCTTTTCACTCTAAGTCTCTTCCTGGTAAATGTCTGTAGAAGCAGCAAAGGTCCTGAAAGTTCAGAAATGTGTAGGTGCCAAATTTGAAGTGCATTTCTCATCAGCATAACTTTAATAACAGCAAATGTTAAATTTCATAAAGGTTGTATTGACTTTGTTCATTCCACTTTGTTTTATTCTGAGTGGTGAAATCAGTGACAGCTGCTGTCATGATGCTACAATAAACTCTGGAGTTAGCTGATCCTGCTGTGGTTGTTGGTTTGTTATTGAATTTTATGTCATACACTCAAACATTCTTCTATATTCTGTAATATCTCATTCATAGAAGTTGTAGTGGTCTGCAGCTGTTGGGCTAAGCTGAATATTAACCTGCTCTAATAGTGCATAATGGTGTTTGATTAAAACTCCTATAGGGGTTTTCAGCCCACTATGAAACAGACTGAATCACCAGCTTCAAGAGTCATAACTCCTATGTTATTATTGATGATGGCTGTACTTGCTAACACCAGATAGGCGTCTGACAAAGTGATTTGTAGTCTTTCAGACTACATTTACACGTGCCCGGCTATTTTCATAAACGTATATTTCACCCTCTCCGTTTCCAAAAAAAAAACTGCTAGCACACCACTACATTTTCAGAAAAGTTTAAGTTTACACTAACCTGTGTATATATGCCGTCAAGAGTATGCCAAACCTGAAGGTGCAGCAACTCGAAGAATGACAGCAGTGATGCCGCTCTTCCGGCAGAAGCACTTTATTTTCTAAGTTCTCCCACCAGACAGCAGTGCGCCCAGGTCGGACCCTAAACCAGTGAGGCCGGCGGCAACATGGGCGCGCTCTTCATGTCGTAGGGAGGAGTTGCTGCAAAATTGCTGACCTTTGGGCACTCAGTCGTCTCTGCTTCCCAATATAGTACAGCACTTCCAAATGCAAACAAATATAAAGTGATTGCACCAGCATAAATGTGACTGCTATTCTGCATGCATCCATGATCACCATAGATTGTAAACAACGTTGCATTTAACTCAGTTTCCACCACACAATCTCCCATCAGCTACCCAAATCATTTTTTCTCTGTTTACATGCAAACGTGAAAAGTAGGTTTTCCAAAATCTGCACTCAGGTCAGAGTTTTTAAAAAGCATTGTTTTCAGAGGCATATTATCCGTTAGCGTCTAAACGAAGGGTGCAAAAGATGGTTAATATCTCCTTTTTAAAAATTAGCCGGGTGCGTATAAACGAGACCTAAAGCTCCTATAAGGCTTTCTAGCCCATATGAAACTGACTGAATACTGAAGCTTCTACATGATCTACAAAAGCAACAAAAGGTCATCAGCTTCAAGACTCATAACTCTTATGTTATTATTGATGATGGCTGTACGTGCTGACACCAGGTAGGCGTCTGACAAGGTGATTTGTGGTCTTTTATATGCACATGCACAGAAAGTACAAACCCATATTTCCAAAAAAAGTTTGGACGGGGTCAACAAAAGGCTGGGAAAAGAGAGGAACGCTCCAGAAACACCTGCTTCCACTCACCTGCAGGTTAATAGGAAACAGGTGAGTGTCATGGTTGAGTATAAAAAGAGCATTACTGAAAGGCTCAGATGTTCACCTCTTTGTGGGCAACTCTGTCCCAGCTTTTTTTTGTAATGTTTTCCAGGTATCAAATTCAAAAAGAGTGAATATTTGTAAAACAAACAAACAAAAAGTTTTCTGCTAACTCTGTCGTGAATGTTCACTGTTAACCTGAGGAAAAAACAGAGTCCCAGTCTGTGGTCTGACATTCAATGACATGATTTCCACGTGTTTATTTCAAAATCCTCACTTAAGGCATTTATAAGACACTGCATAAAGACATGAAATGGACACTTAGGGGATGTCAGTATTAAACAAAAGGTTCTCCATCTTGTCATGGAAAGTTGGCAACCTGAAAAATCTCACTTGCATATAGTAGTAATAATCCAAGACAGTAAACTTAAATCACAGTCCCTATATTCCCATGGCATCTAAATGACACAAACACACATTCAAAACGAAAGAAAAATCAATTCTATATATTTAAGTATGCACTTCTAGCAGTGTGTCACAGTCACATAAAAAAAAATCAAACTAGTACACACACATGCTGACTAATAGTGTCATCATATTTTCAAGTAAAAAACACAGGAAAGGGCTAATTTCACAGTAAACAGGAATCAAAACAAACAAGGTCTGACTTCTTTCCAAAGACTCAAAACCAACAAATTCATGTTTGAGAGATTTTAAGTGTTATGAAGAGTGAAAGTTACAAGTTTGTCGTGAGAAATAAATTCTTTTAGTGTCATGCCGACTCCCATAAACGTGATATCGACACGTTTTTTTAATTCCCTTTACATTTTTCCAACACTGACCTAATGCACCTGCAGCTTTACGGTTAATTGTGCTTTTTCTCCAAACATGAAACAAAGACTGGAGAGAATCTTTCAAGATGCTTTCACATGCAATCTTAGAGTTCAAATAACCCGAAATCTGTATTTCGTTTACAATATGTAAGAGCCCCCAATCACGTTTCCCTAATCCTGAGGGGTTTGGCAAAATAACAAGAGAGCAGAGATTATTTAGTCGGTCAACACAAGCTAATGAAACTAAGACAAGTGAGGGACAGTTCCAGTACGAACACATCGCAGTTTGCTCGTAGTTCATCTGAGGGCATGCTAGTATTTGGAGCACATGCTCAGATGCAAACAGGGCGCAAGATTGGGCCTCACAAGGACCTCTCTCTGCTTCAAGCTGCACTGTGTAGTCCAAGTCAAATAACCACAAAGTTGAATCACAGTACTTAAAAAAACCTCATTAGACAGATGTGGAGGTGAGAATAATGAGAGGTGAGGAAAAAGGAGTATGATAATGTTCAAGTAATGAGGGTTTTTGGCACAAAGGAGGATAGATGTGGGTGCTAACAGCTAAGATTAAAAAGAGTAGACTAAGTGGACCACACAGTGCAGCTCAACAGCTCAGGCAAAATGTGCACAAGCCCCACGTGTTGAGGTGTATCTGTGATAATGTAAGAGGGGCATGGATTAAATAAGCTAGTGTGATTTAACAGACACAATGAGACAGTCTAGAGACTTGCACAGTAGATAGAATCCCTTTCTCTTTACACAAACACAGGCTCATCCGTCTTTCTAATTAAAAAAAAAAAAAAGAGGATAAAAATACTCAACAATAGTTTTTATATTGTGCGAGGTTCTACGAAGAAACGATTAGCAGCCTCTGAAGACATCTGACGAACACTTAAAAGACCGATACACACTTCAAACGACGTATAAAGGCTCTGTGAGAAAAAAATTAAACAAGTTGCTGGTAGCTTAGTTTTGCTGAGTTTTAATCTTATACAATCTCAAGTTTGTAGCACGAGTGGATCGTCTGTCCCCCCTCCCTGGACATGTACTGCATATCGACCCCTGTTTCTTTCCTCTGAGTCTGGCCCCCTCCTCCTATCCCTTTCCTCCCTTCCTGTTCTCCATCGTTGCCTGTGGCCGGGACTTTGACCCAGCCGTCCGTCGCCAGGCCGTGTTTCTTCTGGTGTCTTTTGTAGTTGTCCCAATGGCCTGTTGTGTAGCCGCACTCCTGGCATTTGTACGGTTTCTCCCCCGTGTGCCGCAGCATGTGCCGCTTCAGGTTCATGCTCTGGTTGCAGCTGTAACTGCACACGGCGCACTGGAACGGCTTCAGGCCTGAATGCACACGCTGGTGGCGCTTCAAGTTGGCCAGGTTCCCGCAGGCATAGTCGCACAAATGGCACTTGTAGGGTTTCTCGCCTGTGTGCACTCTGTGGTGCCGCTTGAGGTTGTCAAAGTGCGCTGAGGCGTAGTCGCACTGTGGGCACTTGTACGGTTTCTCACCGCTGTGAGTCTTCATGTGGCGTGCCAGATGGTTGGGGTAGTGTGTGAGGAAGGGGCAGGCGGCGCAGGTGTAGACCTTGTCGCTGCGCTCGCCGGGACTGTTAGGAGAGGAGGATGAGTCTTTAGTCAGCATTTCAAGGGTGCATTTGGCACAAATCTGCGCCGAGGAGCCGTCTTCATCCTCTAGGACAACACCACACAACCGGCAGGTGAAAGGGAAGAGTGAGGGGGGGAGGGGAGCACTGTCTGTGACACCCCCTCTGCTGCTTTCACTGCCTGCATTCTCCAGTAGAGGTGGAGGCTGGTGTCCAGGAGCTGGATTAGAGGCCGGTAAGGGTGGAGGGGACGCCCCCTTTAAGCCGTCAAAGGCTGGTAGGTAGTTGTTGTTCTGGGTGCCCACATTTAGGTTTGAAGTCGGCCTGACAACTTCTGAAACTTGAAAAAAAGAGAGAAAAGATTGATTTATTACGTATAAAACAAAAGCTGACAGTATTTAGAAGAATACTGGAATAACTGTTTGAGGAAATGTTCGATACCCTTGGCTGAGGCTGAAGATACCTCCTCACTGGCTCTCTGCCCGGTCACATGCCTCTTCAGGATGTTTTGTCCACTGGCAGGTCGTTGTTGTTGTTGTTGTGGTGCATCATGTCCAGCCACCAAAGAGGGCACATGCATGCGCTGGTGCCTCTTGAGGTTGCCAAGGGAACTGCAGGCAAAAGTGCAGATGTCACATTTGTAAGGTTTCTCTCCAGTGTGAATGCGCAGGTGTCTCTGCAGGTTCACCAGCTGGGCTGAGGCATAAGTGCACAGCGGGCAGTTAAAGGGCTTCTCCCCGTTGTGCGTCTTCATGTGACGTTTCACGTGGTTTGCGTAGCGTGAGGAGAAGCCACAGAGGTGACACGAGTGCAGTTTGGGGAATTTGTCCTCAGCTGTCAGGTCTTTGTCAATCATCCCGTTCCCCAAGCCCTCACCGTCCAGCTGCAGACCTGAGCGAATCCCGCCCATGCTCCCAAAAGGAGAGCAGAAGTCTGTGCTTTTGGCCTCCCTGGAGGCTTTGCAGCATCTGAGGCAGAACGGACCCACCAGGTCTATGCCCGGGCCTAAGGGTTCATCTCGGAGCTGACCGCAGCCCCTGCAGGACAGGTAAGGCGGAAAACCAGGCTCTGACTGTGACGCTCTGCCTTCGTCTTCCCTCCCGTTGTCAGTGGCGCCGTGTGAGTTTTCTGTTTCACTCTCCATGCTGAGCTGGCTGTAATCAGGGCTGTCCTCATCAGCCAGAGGATACACGGAGAATCCGATCTCAGCTGCTACTTCTGTACAACAGACAAACAGAGGGAAAAAGAGGGTCTTAACACTGCAGACTGTAGCACTGAGTCTTCATAAAACAAACTCCAGGCTTGTGTCACTTTTTGCTACAACTAGTGAGTGAGCAATGAGTTCAGTGTAAAAGACTGTGTGATTTAAAGAAGAAATAAATTAAAAAAAAACACTTTTGGTGAGTACTTGACTCAGTTTCTCCATGCACTAAGATCTTCCAAACACTGCTAGTGTATGGTGGCTGTAAACTCCTGATAATGATGCATTCAACATCATGGATCACACCATCAACAGGGAGCAATTTAAAGTCATGATAAAACACCTACTGCATTTATTTATAAAACTGTCTATAGAAAAAGCTCTTGTTTTAAAAAAAAGTCACATTTTTTAACACTACTCTTGTTTTGGTGAGAACATGTGTGCGTGTATCACAAAAGATTTAACATTAAAGCTCCAGTGAGGAACTTTCAGTCTGTCTCAAATTTGGCGCCCCCTTGAGGACAGATCAGTGGCTAATCGTATCTTCTACATACTTAAATACTGTCTTCTCCTGCTGATTTTTCTCAGTCAAATCTTCAGTTTTTTAGTTATTGTGGATATTTTGTATGGACTAGTTCTTCAGCTGCTTGGCTGACACCTGCCCTCTCACACTCGTCTCAGACCTCAAAAAGTTATGATATAAAATCTGTCAATCTTGTCTCTCATGGTCTTGTTTGCTTGTGCGTATTTTAAGATGGCATCAATATGACTTTCAGTCCATTTCATGGTCATCAAAAAAACCCTCACAGGAGCTTTAATCTTACACCACAATAGGAAACGGCGAATTGACTCCCTCATATATTGACATTTTTAGCAATTCCATCCACTCAAACTGTCTTTATACCATTTGTCACATTCACCCATTCATGCCACATTAATACACTGATAGCAAAGGATGCCGCAGCAGGGGGCCATCATGAACCATGAACTTCTCATTTCTGGGCTATAAAAATGAAAGGCTGAGTTACACCCCCATGTAAAGGTGACATGAAATAAAAGGCGTGGCTTAATAATATCAATCAATCAGTTTTGTTCAATTCACTACAGGACAGAGTACACACACAGCAGGTTTAGATCATGCTCTTTGTGGTGGTGTTAACGCAGAAAGTCTTAGAAAAAACATCTTGACATGATTAAAGCCGATGAAATAAAGAAAATTGACTCCACAGAGAAACCCCTAACTTCAGTCTAACTGTGTTACAATCGAACGCTTTTCAAATTAAGACACCTGAAGGCACAAATCCAACCCAGACAGCGTCTCTTTCTGATTCTCCCTGAATTAATCAAAGCACCTCACTGAAATAACCATCCAGGTGAAGGTAACTCGAGCACAGACAGCATGCCTTCAAAGCAGGAAAGAAAGTGAGCATTTACAGAGAAACATTTGATACTCACCACCAGCAAGGGCACCTGTGCTTTATCTACTGTTTTGCCATCTGAGGTTTCCAAGACAAAAGAAAAAAGAAAAAAAAAAAAGACTCTTTCCCCTGAGGGAGAAGAAGAAAAGCTTCAAGACTTCAAAAGCGGCGTTGTTTCGCTTCAGCCTGAACTACAGAGCGAGGGAGAAGAGAGAAAAGCACCTTCCTCCACAGACGCTGAGGCAGGATGTGAGGAAGGCGAGGGTTCACACTGCCCTTTTATCTGCCCCCTGGAAACCCCTCGTGGATGATCACCAGCCTAATGATAATGATGATGACTATAATGGTGAGGCTGCAGCTGATGATGATGATAATGATGATGAGGGAAGATGATGATGATGATGATGATGATGATGATGATGATGATGATGATGATGATGATGATGATGATGAGGGGGAAACGGTAATGGTGGTGGTGGGAGCAGAGTCTGATGATGATGATGATGATGATGATGATGATGATGATGAATACGTGCCGTCTTGTAATGGTGTCCTTGATGGTAATAGTCCTATTTTTATGACCATTATATAATAATGGCATCTCAGCTCCTTTCTCTACTTTTCCATTTTTCAGATCACTCTCCCTGACAAAGAGGCATGCTGGGAAATATGAGCTGCTAGTTCCATTTCTCATACTGTGGTTCAAAGGGAGGGGGGGGTCGCTCTACGAGTCCTCTTTGTGGTACAAATAAAACCACCACTGGTACATTTCCCTCCTTGGTGAAGCCATCTAAATTATCTACATCACATGCTCAGGCCGTGTTTTCTTTGCAGGAGGTGAAAAATGATTCTGAAAACTATCGCCCCTCCACTGCATGAATGGAGTTCAAACGGTGGAGTGGATTCAAACCTGCGATAAAGACCACACTGTGTTCATCCTGTTCTCTTCATTTTAAAAGCCAGAGACACATCTGCAGCACATGGGGTACAGAGAACACAGACACACAGCAGCTGAAACCACAGAGACACAGAAGACTGAAACATACCACAAGAAATGACAACAATAAAGGTTTTGGTCTTCGACTGCAACAGCGTAGTCAACACAGCACAGCCCACACAAACGGACATCTCACAGTCTCTCACGGTCACACAGTAGCTGCTAGCTACTTTCCCAGGTACACCTGTTACAACTAGTATTAGTATTAGCTTCAATAGATGTCCTACTGTGATGAAACATGGAAATGCAAAGACAATTACTAGCAGTCTTTAACATCTTAGCCCTTACGATTTATTTAAGTACTTCAGTGAGGATACTTGGACAGCCATCCTGGCCAACCTCTGGATCCACCTCTGCTGCTCAGGTGAAATCACATTAACCCATCAGCCCTGACAAGTCGATCACCGAGTGCAGCGGAGTTTCACAGCTCAAAGAAGAACATTTATGATTATCATTTCATTGAAATGCAATCAGACCGAGATGCTAAGGCAGAAGAACCACCGCGTCTGCAGTGCAAATTGATTATTATGATGATCACTTTATGGAAATGATCTGCTGCACTCGGCAATTGACTCATCAGGGCTCCCCCCACAAACAACCAGCTGCTGGAGGAGAGTGGGTGAGTTGTCAAAGCTAAAAAGATGTTTGATGGCTAGTACTTTGGCTGTGACACTATATGCGGTGATAAATGTGGTTTGGTGATAAAGATGATTTTGGTTTCGGTGTAAACAACCCTTGGTTGAAGTTTGCTTGTGGATCCATAGACCGCTGTGTATTGCTAACATGCGGTCGTTACTAAAGTTGGTATAACTAGAGAAGCAAGCAGTCGGCAACATTCATCTCTCGAGGGGGTGTCTAACTTGGTGACACGGCGTGTTTGACCATAACTTAAATAAACTTTAATAAACTCAATTAAGGTCACAAAATATGAATAGCATGCATTTATGTGTTACAGATCTAAGTCTTAGAAACAACACTTGCATATTGAACAATAATGTTTTGAAAGAACAGGGGGATGGGCAGGACTGTGTCTTTTCTATTATAAAACATGGAGTTAGAACTCAAACAGACTGAAACTGACAGAAAATGGAGTTTGTAATAGATGGACCAGCCAGAGTGAGCTACTGCATGAGGAGCTGTAGGTATCAGGCTGCATCCCTTCAAGCACTTGTGCTATAAAATGCATCAAGATACAAGACCAGTCACCATAAAATCTGACTGGTTTCATTGCTAGAGGAACATGAATAATTGAAGCTGTCTTCAAAATGGAAATAACAGTTGTCTGCTGTTGTATTTCTGACGACGCTGCTGTTAACTTACTTTTAATGGTTATTTCCTCTATAAATAATAATGGATGTTGCCAAATCAACCTGAAACGTTGAGAAATGTAGCTTTTATAATGTCAGTATAATTTCGAAAGATGAAAAACAAACCTGAGAACTTTTCCAGACCTAGAATCTTGTTTTCATGATCAGGATCATCAAACTCAAGGTCGTGTCCGAGAAAGAAGTCTGTGTCTAATGTGAGGTTTCCTGGAGCTTCAAAGACTACACCATCTTCAGAATCCACTGTGGAGAGAAGAAAAATCAACCACATTAAAACAGCCATCAAACTATGAATGTTTCAGCTTTAAACTGTCTGTATGAGTAGAGGTCCTGTTGAAAAACCTCAGAGATACTGACAGCAGAAAGTCAAGTTTCAGAGAGACTCCACAGCCCTGAAGCTACCTCAGTGTCACAGCTCACAGCTGCTACCTGACAGCAAATCTGGTAATTCCGTCTCAAGGTTCCGTCTTGGGTCCTGTGTTATTTTTGCTGTACCTGATCCCCTTGGAAAAGATCATCCAAAGGTTTAGTGATGTTTCATTCCACCTTTTTGCTGATCATATCCAGCCTTACTGCTCCTTTAACCCTTCCGGAACCTTCGGGCTTTTAACAGCCAATTTATGATAGAGCTAGAGACTAATTTGGATATAACTTTTTTTTTACTGCAGCAAATGTGATGAATTTTTTTTTCTAAGCTTAATTTGAAATTTTATTTGAAAACATGAATTCAAAATTTTCACCAAGTCAATAATAAAGCCAGGACAGAAAAACGTCCTCTAAAGTCCCTCGTGGCTGTTGAAAGCCACTTGTTTTGTCGGCTGTAAAATCATATTGGATTAATATTTTTTTCAGATTTTTTTTCACAAATTTCTTATTTTACTTCTGCCCTGTTCGAAACTAGCAAATGTTTCATTAAAAACAGTTTTTTTAACCCTTTAAGTGCCAATTTAAGACAAAAAGTCACAAATTTAGCAAAAATTGAGGGAAAATGACCCATTTTTTTAATAAAACATGATCAGAAACTGGTAATCTCTTGCAGGGTATTAAAGTCTTGAATATGTCAGAGATTAGTAATATAATTTACTTATATGCATTTTCAGTTTTTCTGTAGCATCAGATTTAATGAAAAACTGCGTTTGGCGCCTCCCAGTGGCCAAAACCACTATTTCTGCTGTAAAATCATATTGGATTGATATTTTTTTCTGATTTTTTTTCATTCATTTCTTATTTTACTTCTGCCCTGTTCAAAACTAGCAAATGTTTCATTGAAAATAAAAATTTTAACCCTTTAAGAGCCAATTTAAGACATAAAGTCACTTAAAAAGCAAAAAAAAATGGAAGGAAAAATTTAAGGAAAATGACCCATTTTTTAAATAAAACATGATCAGAAACTGGTAATCTCTTGCAGGGTATTAAAGTCTTGAATATGTCAGCGATTAGTGATATAATTGAATTCAATGCATTTTAAGTTTTTCTGTAGCATCAGATTTGATGAAAGACTGCCTTTGGCGCCTCCCAGTGGCCAAAACTGCCTTTTCTGCTGTAAAATCATATTGGATTAATATTTTTTTCAGATTTTTTTTCATACATTTCTTATTTTAATTCTGCCCTGTTCAAAACTAGCAAATGTTTCATTGAAAATAAAAATTTTAACCCTTTAAGGACCAATTTTAGTGGTTTTGGCCACTGGGAGGCGCCAAAGGCAGTTTCCATTAAATCTGATGCTACAGAAAAACTGAAAATGCATATAAGTAAATTATATTACTAATCTCTGACATATTCAAGACTTTAATACCCTGCAAGAGATTACCAGTTTCTGATCATGTCTTATAAAAAAAATGGGTCATTTTCCTTCAATTTTTGCTAAATTTGTGACTTTTTGTCTTAAATTGGCACTTAAAGGGTTAAAAAAAATTGTTTTCAATGAAACATTTGCTAGTTTCGAACAGGGCAGAAGTAAAATAAGAAATTTGTGAAAAAAAATCTGAAAAAAATATTAATCCAATATGATTTTACAGCCGACAGAAAAAGTGGCTTTTAACAGCCACGAGGGACTTTAGAGGGAGGAAAATCTAAAGGTCCCGGAAGGGTTAAACCTACGGAGATCCAGAAGCTTAACTCCATAGTCCAGTGCTTAGTGGAAAGGAAACAATAGCTAAGTGGAAACTCTCTGTAGCTCAGTGCAGACAAAACTGAAACACTGGTTATTGCTCCTAATGACTCAACACCAGGGATTTAACAGTACTTGAGTGACTTAGGCCAGTCAACTAAACCAAGCCTGTCCTTAGAACAACACTGTAAACAGTCAATGAGAAACTGCTTCTTTCAAGAGAGGAAAATCTGAAAGCTTAGGAAAATGGTGTCACAAAATGACTTGGAGCTCATCATCCATGCCTTTGTGTCTTCACGTTTAGACTATTGGAATAGTTTGTTTTCGTGTCTGAACAAAAAGGAGCTGTCTCATCTGCAATTAGTGCAAAACAGTAGGACTCACACATCACTGTATTCTTAAAGCTCTACATTGGCTGCCTGTGTCCTCTAGGATCAATTCTGGTCCTAATTTTTAGAGCCTTGCATGGTCAAGCTCCATCTTACATATGTGATCTGATCCAGCCTTACTAGCCCGCTTGGGCTCTGAGGTCTGTGGATCAGAATCTACTGGTTCTGTGCACTCCTTTTCGGACAAGAGGGGACTGATCTTTCCAGGCTGTTGCTCCCAGGCTTTGGAATGATCTTCCTCTCACTCTGCGCTTCATTGACTCTGTTGTAGGGCTGGGCGATAAACGGGAAATTTACCGATACCGAAATTTACAACAATAACCGACGTCATTTGGCCAATAATGGTGTATTCTGTGTCAAAAAATAAATTGATAAATAAAAGTTGGTGTTGGATGTGTGTAGGTAGGCTATGGTCTAATGTCCCTCTAAGATGCTGTCCTACAACAGAGACCCGACTCCACCCCATCCAGTCTGTAACAAAGAGGGAAAGCAGGGCTCGACAGTGCGACCATTTCACCCGCATTTGTGACTGAGAGTGGATGTGTGCAAATTGTAAAATGTATTTAGGAGCACACGTGCGGATAAAAAAAAAATCAGCCGAGGCAACAAATGTTTTTTCATGTAAATACTGCGTTGAAGTTAGTCTTAGGTTGGATATTAAACGGATGTCACTGCGGATCTACCGATGTTTTCTCACTTTCCATAACCAGGAATAGCAAAACCAATCTACTCTGCACCCTCGCTGTCAACGTCGGGTGTTGAATAAGGGACCATCAATAAATTACTGGTTGATGTTCTCAGAAAGGGCTGTTTTTCTTCAATAGCTTCCATGTCATGATACCAGTTGACCTTAAATTGAGTTCAAATAATAGTATGATAGATGAAGTTAATGTGGGAGGGGGTGAGCGGCTTGTGGAGTAGTTATCGTCCATTTATCATTATCGAGGTGAACTGCTAAATATATCGTGACATTGATTTGAGGCCATATCGCCTAGCTCTACTCTGTTGGCTCCTTTAAAAGCCAACTCAAGACACATTTATTTGCTCAGGCTTTTGTTTAGTTGTTTTGGGGCTGCTATGATTGTTAATTTTGTTGTCTTGGCCTTTTAAATTTGTATGTTCATTTTTAATTTTTGTTTATGTGAAGCACTGTGTGACTTTTTGTCTGTGAAAGCTGCTATATAAATAAAGTTTACTCACTTACTTTTTACTTCCCTTTTTATTTTACAATGAGAAATCTACATAATCAGAAATAACATATGAGGTAAACACGAGACAGAGCGGGGTATAAAGAGAGATGAATGGAAAAATACAAATGAGCAAAGGTTATCTATGATCCATGTCTGTTTTTATATGGATGGATACTGGCAGTCTTTCAGCTTAAATGTAGCAGTAAAAGGTGAAAAGGCCAACATCATCTAGAGGGAAAGTTACTCCACCAAAGTCAAGAAGCAGCATCTCATAAACAAAAGTGAACTGCTAACAGTTGACAGATGGAGCTCCTTTACTGCAGTTATAGCTAATGACGCCTGAAATTCTTGGTCCTGGTCTTTCAAGCTTGATGGCATCCAAACAACTATCACACAGCTGTCAGTGCTCAGAAAACTACTACAGGGACAATTCAAGGCCATCAAGCTCAGTAGTTTTATCAATGCTGCCATCTGGTGGTCATTTCAGCGTTTGACAAAGTCATGAGTTTTTAGGAGAGACTGTAGCACGTTTCACTTTTTCAAAAGAAGTGAAGAGATTGCTTCGAGGACATACTGCTGAGTTAAACTGGGTGTGAACAGGGCACACGGTGCAACCAACTGATGTCTTATTCTAGTAGACAACAAAAAGATTCTGAATTAACTGTGTTTACATAAATATATAATGTGTTTGTATGATAATAATTCCTGTTAATGTGTATAAGCAGTCTTATTTGGTGTAAATAAATGGAAAAGATGTAAACCTTACTGTATATTTGCGCAGTAACTTGCAGTCAGCACATTCACAGTCTTTCTACTGAATGCAGAATGTGACAAAGGTTTCACAGCATTACTCATCCCAGAAATGAGGGTCACTGTGATTGATTATCACAAGTCAAACACTCAATCAGCAGCGCCTGGTGTCCAGATGTGAGCAAAGAAACAGGACACATGCTTTAAATCTAGTGCAATGACACTCTTAGAAAAATAAGACTTACTATCCAAGTCAAGTAACTGCTCTTTGTTCAATCAAAGTGTAAGATATGAAATCTGGCACAAAGGTAGGGCAGGAAAAAAAAACGTGAAGCACTTACACTTGACTGGCTGTGGATTCTGCTGTTTTTTTCTTGGCATCTTCCAGTCAGCCTCTCTTTTTTTTGGAACGTCTTCTTGCAGACTTCCGCAACCATCAGCTCATTCTTGTCTGATCGGCAGATAATCTTCAGTGTTTCTACAAATGGAAGACAAATAACAATCAATTATTGTGCGATAAGGGTTGGTCTATTCAAGATGTCCTTGTCCATCACAACTGGCTGACATCCATCAGAAGGAGTGCCACTATTGTAACCATATTGTGAAGTAATGGCTGTTGCCATCCACCCTCATCAATGAGCATTTTTTATAGTCAGCATAGCTTCAAAGTTTTTTTACTCTTAGATCAGCTTGAGAATATTTTACCTGCAAATCCTGATTTGATTTGTTTCATGAACTTTTCCCCCCCTTTTTAATTCTTTTACATTAAATAGTTTTACCTTTCCAGTAAAAGTGAAGAGAAAACCGCTCAACCTGGCATAAACTTGGTAAGGTCCAGATTATCAAAAAGTTTAAGAGTTGAAAAGATAACAAATACAAGCTTATTTTGACCTACCTGATCAATAATGCCTCTTGAAGTTCAATGAGCATCTTAGGACATCAAAAGACACCCACCTATCTTTATTTTGAAAGACAGACTTTCAAACCCCTACACAGAATTTCTGCAATTCCAATTCCAGTGATTCTGAAGAAGTTTGCAACTGTTTTTGATGTCAAAATTTTGGATCTATTGATTTTATTGTGAGAAGGTGGAGAAGGAAACCCACAAAAAAATAAATAAATAAATAAATATATATAAAAAAAATTATATATATATATATTAAAGTTCAGTAAACATCGACATTTCAGAAATTTGTAAACTTCATTTTCTTTTTCGTTATTCACTGAGGACAGATATGCATGATTAATGTATAATACTAGAACACTTTAGTCTGGTACACTGTAGCTACTGCCAAGGACAAGAGCAGGTTGTATTATCTGCTCTGCAGAGTGGGTGATCTGCTGATCTGTCTCTTGTGCTCTCACTAAACATCGCAGTTATAAATCAGACTACAGTCATTTAATAAAAGTGATAGGTGTACTGCACAGTGATTTTTATATCCTCACACTAGTTTAATTTGCACTCACACCATCCTGCACCTTTCTGTGCAAATGCACAGCTCTTCATGGCAAATTTTAGATACTTTGATCAGATTCGGTTTAATAGTTTCACATTGTGGTAATTTCCATTAAGTTTTCTTGATAGTCTTTGATGTTTAAACTTTTCCATTTACATATATATAGACATGTTTTCTCTCTGTTTAACTTTTACAGCTTTCTAATGTTTTTGTTGATAATCTATGTTCATTACTTAAGCACCAAAAACACCATGTAGGGGAGAGTGGGGTAAGTTGAGCCACCCCCTGTTGCTTGGAAATGGTAAAAGAAATTGATCATGTGACCAAATATTTAGGAGATGGGTGTCAATTCGTGGAGTCTGTGAAGGTTAGAAGCACATAGGTGACGGGGTTAGACATTTATTTCCCAAAAAACATTTTTCACTCTTGAAAGTTAATTGAGTCTGTCATAAGTTTTATTCGAATTGTGTTCAGACCAAAAAAGATCATTTTAAATGTGTTTACACATCAATTGTGGTATCTATGAGCTACAACATGAGGTCAAAAACCAAACATAAAAGTCCACCATCTTAGCTTAGAGGTCTAATAAAGTCATCATAGTAGTTCAGGGATAAGTTGAGTCAGTGGCTCAAGTGAGAAAGTAAAGAAGTCTGAAGAGAGGATCAGAGTTTCAGTTCAGATTGTTGAAATGTGTCAAAAATACAGCTGTGAATGTTCTGAATCACTCTCTCGTGTTAAAATGTTTTTTTTTTTACAAAACAGCTTTTTAGCAGTTAAATGCAATAATAATAAAAAATAATTATTGTACCAGTTGAATAGCCTATAATGGATAAAACACACATGAATGTGTAGATGTGACTGTTATTTGGGGAGAGAGAAGGCGAGGGAGGGCTGAGGTGGAGAGTGGGGAGGTAGTAGGGATACGGCTCAACTTACCCCGCTCCTATGGTCAACTTACCCCGTGTATGGGTGGACCTTGAGAGACCACTTTTTTTGCATGCTATGTTATTAAGACAGTTACGTTTACTCTCATTCTGTTGGTTTGCAGGGATAAACAAAATTTTGAAATATAAACAGATACACTAGTTTGAGATAAAACTATGACTGCCTTGATGTAGTGATCCGAAATATGAAAAATGGCTCATCTTACCCCACTCTCCCCTACATGTGTAAACCTACTTGACAATAAACCTGAATCGAATAACAGCTAACTTTATTCATATTGTAGGTTTTGTGACTATTTCACGCGCCATGATCTGAATAAAGCGACTCCTGTAGGCCAAATACCCGGAAAACTACTCTTTAATTCAGTATTAAGCATTTTACCGCAACGTCCTGATGTATTAAAGTAGGGTTGGAGACAGTACCTTGAGCAGAATAAATCCAAACTCAGCAGTTTATTTCATAAGTTACCTGAACACTGCGTTTGTAAAATGTTTATTTGAGAGTAACTCGTGTATCTACGATGAAAACAAACACTCACAGCTGAGTATTTGGCTGTCAGGCTTCTATAGCTTTACGGCTAACCCATTAGCTTCAATGCTGCATCTGGACAGAGCGGGTCAGCTAACACTGAAACATGTCCTCACACAGCGTACAGCTAACTGGTGTTGACACTGAAACTTACGGTAAGAAATGTCAGGAATGAGTGAAAATGCCCACCGTACTAACCAAAGAGTGCCTACATGAAACGGCACGTCCTAGCTAATGACTGTCAAGCGTAATCTCCCGTAAATCTGATCATGTTCGAACCATGTTCACTCACAGCCTTCAGCCAAATTAGCCGAGCAGCTACCGAGCTAACTTACCTGAAAAACGTAAATATTCCTGTCGATTAAGGTGGTTTCTGTTGTGTCTGTACACGCCATTAGACGCAGCAGATGTGCAAAGTCTGGAGATCCGCCATTTCTTCATGAGCTGCGGTGACAAAGAAAGGCAATTAATGGTATTTTTCATAACTTAATTGATTTTCTGATTCGTCTGAGATCCCACAGCAGCAACAACAAACTCACTTCCGGTTCGAAACCTTCGAATTAAAAGACACTACCGTTGTTCTCTATAACAGGAAACTGAAACGTATATTAGCTAAATTACACTAGAACTTCGGTTGAAGAAAATATCTATTAATAATTGCATGCAATATGTGTTGTTTATTGTGTTGTTTGTTTTTGACAAACTGTATGCAAAACAGTCACAATTAGAAATGTGGCTACTTTTGAACATGCCTCGTTGGTCGATCGAACCCCGAAAGGTAAAGAAATATAGCAAAAATATACAACCAAGTGGTCTTATATACCATTATCTAGTATCCTTGGATTGAAATTTTACCTTTATCTGTTAACACGTGGGACAGGATAGTAACAAAATTGCAATAAAACAGCTACAATGATAAACAGATTCCTTCAGGGGGATTTCCTCATTTTCAGATTTTGATACAGTCTCCTCCTATTTGGCCCGTAGGTGGTAAAAAAAGAAATGTCTTTTCCAAAAAGAAATAATAATAATAACTTCTCTTTATTTACATTGCGGGAGATTATTGTAATTAAAATGAAAATAAATACAAGCAAAAAAAAAACGTGTTCCTCACCTCAATAGTAAAAAAATAATTATTAATATATGATTATTTTATAATTATTTTATATGATTTTTCAACCGTTCTGAGTCACCTTATTTTTCTATCAAACAATACATTTTTCTGCTCTTATTCTGAAGGCCCCGGGCGCACATCGGATGTTTTATTGTTTCAGTGAGGATGCATCTTGATTCCATACATGTTGTATACATTTCCGTTTAGTTCGTATTTCCGGATCCGAAACTAATTAACTTTGCGATTTCTTTTTCGACCTTAATCCCTGTGTCCTCCACAACTTCCATTTCCCCGTAGTTAATGTAACCAGCATAGAAACAAGCGAATACAAAGACACTTCACCATTTAGTTAGTCTAAATAGACTCACTAAAATAAACTATCCATGGCTGTACCAGGACTTTTCTTAGGAGAACCAGAATATTTCATTAAAACAGTTAACAAAATGTGTCCCTTGTAAATTTAGTCAGTTGCTTATGGTTATAAAAATTCTATAGTCAGCCTAAGGAGATAATTTATGTTATAGCACAGATATGCAGACAAACAAAAACACATCAGTTAAATATTTAATTTTCAAAATAGTTCAAATAAGATGCTGCTGATGTTAATATTTATACCATCAACAACAATTTAAATAGATAACTAATCATTAATAAATGTGTCTGCCTTTGCTGTGAAACTAATGCTCTGAACATTGTAAAAAATGGGATGAGAGGCCTTTTCATTCAGGCATTAAACTAACACTCACAAATTGAACTAATTAATAATTATTATTTTTTTTTACCAGAGTGGTACTTGTTCTTAAATAAAGAGTGGCTGAACATCAACGATCCTCTACCAGCCTTAATATTTTAGATATAGACCAATTAACACAGAGAAGTTTCGCAGTCCTCTATGATGTACTTATACAAGTGACAGAAACTGAACTCTGTACCGGTCCAAACAAGCAGCATTTTGCATGGTTGCTGTGTGCTGACATTGCAAAATAAAAAAAAAGTAATTGATTTTTATCACTTCAGTCCCAAAGCTTGTAAACTCTCAAAAAAGACAGAATATTGTGTACCACACTTATGCATGCCCATTGACCTCTGAATGTGGTTATGTAAATGGGTGCATCTACAAAGTGGCCATGGAGGTATTCCCTTCTCTTGACTCTAAATATCAATTTGAGGATATAATTTGATTATTTTTAAGTCTTTATTTATATAGATTGTAAAAATTGTTCCAAATATTTCAGCCTAGCTAGCACTACCATTGCAAAGGTCTCCTTAAAGGCCTGCCTACAGGATGAATTAATGGTAAAAAAAAAAAAAAAAGAAAAACAACAACAACAACATTTGATGTTTATGCTGCATTAGAAGAGGTAAATTGTAGACATAATGGAACAAGTCATGACTCCTCTCTGTGAATTAACTTTGTATGAAGATAATATATACCTTTCTTAGTCCCACAGGGGAAACTCCAGATGTGTGATCTGTTTTTCCCTCTTGCTACACAAAGTTAATTACAGTTATTATGGGGTTTGACCAATCAGAAGAAAGTATTTAATACAATCAGGTGATTGGTAGTAAAACTTGGTCATAAGATTGTCTAATTAAAACGGCAAATGATATGTATTTCTAGACACTCCATAAGTTAGTGCATGAGTTGGGCCACCCAGGTCAAAAAAGTCTGGACCTTCCTATGTTAAGAGATTCCCAGCAGGTATATTAACCTTTGTCATTGGAATTCACATGGATAAAAGCACCTTATCTTTAACTTATGTGTCCATAGTTTGCAGGATGAATACTGTTATCAAATCCTGTGTTTTCTGAATTGGAAAATTTCTTTCATAGACAATCCCTGCAAGTGTACACTTGGCACTGAAAACATGTGAGACCCCATGTTTTCTTTTCCTTTTTTTTTCTTCTTGGACTGGGCATTTATGAATAGGAGATCCTGGGACTCTGCGTCATCTCATTGGTTCATGTCACTGCAGTGTGCCTCCCCTCAGGCCGCCGCACAGCTCAACCATTAGTCTGCAGCTGTGAACCGGGGGATTAGGCTCTCCTCTCCACCGCGCCTCTCCTCTGCCTCTACCCGGTCAAAACCTGCTCTGAACCGGACCTGCATGACCACTGTGCCCATCCTGCGTGGAGCCTTGACGGTGACATACAGCGTGTTTTCTGTGCGGCAGTGAGAAGGAGGAGATTTCTGTGCCACTGTTTGGTCCTGGAGGGGAGGAGCCAGTTGTTGATTTCTACGCTGCAAAGAGAAGGCGCCGCTCATAGAGGTAAGATACCGTTTACGTAATAAAATGTACTCTGTGTTTAACAGCGGACTTTTAAATGCCCATTTTCACCGCGTTTTTTTCGCTGTTTCCTGCGTCTCTGATGGGTATCACAAGGTGGAGGTGAATGCGAATACGTAACCTATTAAACATGCCACTCCCTGCAACAGCGTACTGATGTCCTGGACAGACCTCTACCTCATTTATGTAAATGGGGGTATGATCCTATGCTAAATACATAAAAATGTCCATTTACTCCCAGGCTACATTTGATTAGCGCGCTTTTTTGCACCTTGCACGCACAAGTGCATCCTCCATATTCAACCTGCAGGCCTGCCCTTATGCTCCACGATCAGATCTGGTGAATTAACACGCATGTTATTGAGTATTTACATCAGAACATGCAGAAGACATGCCAAACTGTTAAGACATCTCAGACCAATGCGAGCTGCTATGATCTTATTTGATGTAAAACCTAATCTAATCCCTCATTGTGGTTATTCAATAACACAAAGCAGAGGTCAGAGTCAGTGTTGATGCCACATGGTACAAAGCAGAAATTTTTTGTGAGGGATAATGTGGAATGTGTGTGTGTGTGTGTGTGTGTGAGAGAGAGAGCGTGTGCGTGCGTGTATATATGTGTGTGTGTGTGTGTGTGTGTGTGTGTGGGCAGGCTGAGGTCACTCTCTCATGCCTCTGAAACCCGCATTGCTGATGTGGGCTTGTGTCCAATGAACAGATATTTAATAGGGTGTATCATCAGGTTTTCCTCCGCTAAAGGCACAACTCAGCCCATCAGACGAGAAAACTGACCTTCTTCTTCTCCGTTCACTGAGTGCATAGCAACAGCTTTGCAAACAAGTGTCCCCCCCTAACCATAAAAAGTGAAGCGATGATAATGACAGCATAGTTCATGCTTAGGACAAATTTCAGGGAACACTGTTGTCCCATTTCTTCTCTATTTAGTATTCTGAAAGAGGGGGAATGCTGCAGGGCAGATGCTGCTGGTTGTGTAATAACCCATCTGTCATTGTCATTCTATCTGACAGATCTGCTGCCACACTTTTTCTCAACCTATCGACAGTCATTTCTGACATCTCACAGGAGACATTAGTACAAGATTAATGCCACATGTGCTGGATTAGTTTCTGAACATTCTGTTCAGATTTAAGGAATGTGGGAAAGGAGGGAGTTAAAAACAAGATAATTCTGAGATTCCTTCTGTTTCAGATGACATAATGTTACAACTAGATCAAATGTGAGTTCATATTGACAAAAAGCCAACCATCTGTACAGGTCAATACTAGCAACAGGTCTTCACTTGTCCCCTGCAAGCCACATTTTAAGAGAGACAGAAAGTAACAATCATGTAATAATAATAATAACTTTATTTATATAGCACAAAAACTAAAAAAAAAAAAAAATTAAAAAGTGCTTCAGCAGACAAAGCAGATAAGTGATGACAGCAGAGATAAATAAATCATAAATTATAGAAAATAAAAGGCAAAAAAAAAAAAATATATATATATATATATGCAAGAATAGTGACATTTAAAGGACAATAAACAGTCCACGAAGAGGACAAAGAAGGAAAAGAAAAATGAGACAACATGATGAAAACCTGAAAAAATAAAGATGCAGTGAGGTACAAGTTAACAAATCAATCAATAAATAAAAACATTCGTAAATGAAAGTGATCAAGGACAAAGAAGCAGGGGATCAGACGAGAACCTACAAACAAATGGTTTGAACAAAAGTATTGTATGTGAGATTTTATAAATAAAACAAATGAAGTTGAAATTAAAAAGTGTTTGAAAAAGTAAAATCACATAAAAGCAAGTTTGTAAAAGTGAGTTTTTAGGAGTAAGAATAAAAAAGACGGTCAAAACTTGTGTCATATGTGTGGGTCCAGCTGGAAAAACCGCAAATGTAATCTTTGAAACCAATAGTCTTATTTCATTTTACCTCTCTACTCTAAAATACCCTGGTCTGTCCACACTTTTACTTTCACTTGGTTGCACACATTTATCGCACATTTCTGAGACTTTCTGTTAAATGCCTCCGAGCTTAAACAGCAGGGAGGGATTACTGAGCAGACCTACTTGGCACGAGCCCAGAGAACACATGGGTCAGGGGTCCTCTGGATGTAAGCTTTAGGTTAAAATGTCTGTTTACACACACTGTTTGCGTCTCTTGTTTTAAACTCAGGGACAGTATACATTTGAAATAAACACAAGAGGGAAAAAAACACAGAGAGACTAGACAGCTCCAGTGTTATAGTTTGAAGAGCTGCAGTGTATTTGGAGTGGTTGTGTATGGCTAGTGAGCCTCTGTTTCAGACTTATAAACTCTGGTAGTTCTTGTGTACATCCAAGAATTTCTCATAAACAGCCAGTCTCACTCTGATAAAGTAGGAGTGAGGGTCTTGTACACGTCTGTGTTTAGAATCATTCACTCATAATCCACCCATGTCAACAGAGATAACTTTGCTAACATAACTGGACTTATTTAATGTTTAAATCAGGGAAATATTCCTCGAAAACCCAGATTGTTTTCCAGTGTTATTTGGAGAACTGCGTCCGAATATGTGCGTTTTTGTTGTCAGTTGGAAATGAATGTGAATCAGCCTGCTGAATCATGTTAGTAGGTAAGAAAACAAGACTCCAGCCAAAGGCTTAGTGCATTATGTAATGATGTCCAGTGATGCTGTTGGCTCAGAGATCAGTTTCCTTCTGCCTGCTGAAAATGAATTAAAAATGAGGGTTTGCTGCGGTGTGAATTAACTCTGAGGTGTGGGTCTGAAACTAAGTGCTGATGTAGCTACATGGTGTCATTTAGTCATAAGGTCACAGGGTCAAACAGCCATCTTGTTGAAGTACTCAGAGAAAAAAGCAAACAGAAACATCCTGCAGACTTATTAGGAGTCTGTCGCTGAAAGTACACTGGAAATGACGGTCTTGATAGAAATAAGTACTTGGAAATATCTATAACTGATTTTAACATCTTGAAATAAGGGTGGGTTGAAATATATACTGACTTGTGCATCGCTATTATCATACTCATGATGCTTTCTAAGTTTACTAAATGCAGCACGATAAACAGTTTCCTTTACAATTTGACTTGTGGTGTTATTGGTACAAACGACAGAAACTTGTTTCTTTTGGGGGCATTTTGAATTCTTTGTTGATTCGATGATGTGATGTAATATGAAGTTGTCTTGCAGTTGTTTAAAATCAGTATAAAGTTTTATGTCAACATATTAAAATCTTAATCTTATTGCATATAGCTTATTAACTCCATTGTACCATATTGCACTGCACCATATTATATTATACATTGCATCATTTTGTATTTTACTCTATTGCGTCTCGCTTACCCTATCGTATTGGATCATAGGATACCATATTGTACTTCGTAGTGGAGTACCCTACTGTAATGAGTCTTTACGGGTTGTGTTATTTTGAAGTGAGTCATATTAATTGTATCATATTGTATCGCATCTCAGTGTATCGTACCTTTTAGTACACTCTAGTATTATTTAGTTTTTTCTCGTATTATTTAATACATCATATCATATCATGTCACATTGTACTATATCCAACGTTTCCTAGTGTTTAACATTTTATAGGGGTGGGAATCACTAGTGGCCCAACGATACAACATCATCACGATACTTGGGCCACGATATGATATTATTGCAATTTTTAACGTTTCACATTACAGTGAGTGTTGCGGTACAATATATTACAATTTATACAATTTTTCAACCATTTCGCTAATTTTGCATTTGGCTTTCCTTTATGTTTGTCTTATTTACACTGTATTATATTTTCATGTAGCACATATTGCATATCTTATATATATATTTGTTGTACTAACTTTCTCCTGCTCTATGATGTCACCTCTGCCAACCTCTCTGGACAAACAGTTGATTTTGTTTTTCCATGATCATAGATTTGACTTCATTTTAGCAATTGATTTGAAAAAATAGATACCTGGTAAATGAGACGATACGATATATCACCAGACAAAATAGCACGATACTATGCTGTATCAATTGTTTCTCCCACCCCTACTATCTTACTGTACTGTAACTTTTTGTACTGCATCATATTGTATTGTATTGTATTATATCATATCTTGCCTTATTGAGTTGTGTCATATCATATGGTATTATATTATGTCAAATCATGCAGTATCATGTAGTATCTACTGTACTGTACAGTGAGTTACCCTGTGATTCCAACCACTAATTTAGATTAAACAGGTAAATAAAGTCACCATAGTCTGGATGAGAATGTTTTCTTACTCATTAGTCTGTTTTAATTTAAACCTCCCTAACTGGAAACACTGCAGTGAGAGTTACTCTACAGAGGATTTCTCTTTCAGACTAAAGTGGGTTATTTTTCTCCCATGGGACTCCCATCCACATTATTGATTTTTTTTACCTCTGCAGTGGTGTGGCTCCTTAACATTTATAAGCCTCAGTGTTTCCCAGCAGCAGCAGCAGCAGCAGCAGGGTTTTGTACTTACACTCATACAACACTGAAATGACGTGTAATAATTCAACTGAAAACACAATCTTGAAAAAAGAAAATTGGCTAATATTTGAGCTTTTTGCGTGGTGGCACGGAAAATAAGTTCAAGGCCAGAGTTTGTGTTTGTCCTCTAAATCTCTGTAATCCACACAGACGCCTGAAGAATTTGAATTCTTGTACAAGTCTGTGTCAGTGAACTGTTCGTTCAGTGTAAGCGAGCTGAGTATGAAAGCTGGGCTGCACTGTGCAAAGAGAAGGTCAAACCTTTAAGCGTGTCTTTGGCCTCGGGAGCATTATTCTGCATACTGTATACACAAACATGTGGGTAAACACGCACACGCTCTTACTGAAGAGTGTAGAAAACCATTAGCTGTTCACTGAAGATGTGCCCTCTCTATTTTTCCCAGCAACATCTGTGTCCGACCCTTTTGTTGTTAGTGTTGTCATCCCCTGAGCTTTTCACAATAGACATGTCTGAAAGCACATCCTGATTTATTGTCTATTAACATTGTAGATTGAAGAATAAATACATCAAGAAAACATTAATTGGGGAAATATGTCACGTAAGATGAGTGTTTGTCTTCTTTCCTCTAGACTAGTGTGTTAGTCAGAATCTACATTTCTGTTCATATGACCAGGAAATTGGTCACTTTTGTTTCTTTTAGGTATATTAACTATGTTGTCAATGGGATTAATCATTGTAATTCATGATTAATAGCTACTCCAAACCAATTTATAGAAGCTGCACCACAAAATATTGATTCTTTACATGTTGGTGCTTTCTTCATCAGTGAATGACTGCCTCTTATTCTTTTTTATTGAACATGATTTTGTGATTCCTAACATTTGGGGCAGAAGAGGTTTTAATAAAGAGTCCAAATTTCCTCCGAACTACTTAGGTTTGTTCTTCCTACTTTATTTAGTGTTTTGACAAACTTTGAGCAAGCCTGGACTTTAACCTCCATTATGTTTGAGGCGTAGTCACAGCAGATCATTATTTCTGCCATTTTTATCCCTCCATCCATTATTCAAATGTATGTTTGCATGGTAACCCCTGTGTGTGTGTGTGTGTGTGTGTGTGTGTGTGTGTGTGTGTGTGTGTGTGCGTGTGTGTGTGTGTGTGTGTGTGTGTGTGTGTGTGTGTGTGTGTGTGTGTGTGTGTGTGTGTGTGTGTGTGTGTGTGTGCGTGTGTTTTGTTTTTGCTCTGGCAGAGTTCGATGGATGGCTGATCTGATTCATGCTGATAGTCTCTAACAATGCAAAGACGCTCTAGACAGATTGTGAACTAGATGATAGTGTTCCAAGAACCTGATCGCAGATAAATGAGTGATCTAGTCAGATGTTGAGGAAAAAATACAAGAAACAAATCCTTGACCTTGATTCAGCAAACACAGACGGTGGTCTCAAATTGACACGGGCCCGTTTGAAGTGCCCTAATTTGTCTGAGAATAGAACTGTAATCTCTCTGTGTTGGCAAAGTTACTTCCTGCTTGTATCCTATGTTTTTGCTCTGCTGCAGAACCATCACCAAGATCACACTGTTTGTGCAAGTTCACATTAGTGTCAGTTCAGTTTGAAGCGAGGAGAAGAACATGCATTGAATGCAAGCTTAGCTCCTTTGAGTGTGTGTTTGATGTCATCATGTGTGGGAATAATTTCTATAAATAGTCAGCAGCACAGTGATGTGTTTATCACAGAGGTTGGTGTTTTTGGCTGAGTCGGTCCCTGTGGAATATGTGTATTGCAGATACTGAAGCAGATGCGCTGCACAGATACTGGGGAATGGATGTAGAGAGAGACCTTTGGTGGAAACATGAAGAAAAACCTGAGCAGAGAGCTTCACTGTTTAAAAATGTCAGAGTTGGAGTTTGTTTGTTAGGGATAACTTAGCCAACTCAGACTGGTTCCAGAGAAAAGTTTCCTCAAGACAGATTGAACAAATAAAATTATAATTGACAGCTAGTTTATGAAAGAAAGACAACCAAACTCTTAATAAACAATCTTTACTACCTGTTACAGAGGATTTTCTTGAGAAGAATCAAAAGTTACTTCCAGCTAAACATCACTGTTTACTCTGAAAGAGAGTGTCTGAAAGGCAGATCGTATTCATCTGGTTTTCTGAACCTGCTACACTGATAAGTTAACTAATTATTTCATCCAGTGTGTTTCAAAGTGGAGGTTGCCATGACACACCAGGAGGTGTGGAAACTGGGAGAAGAGAGAGCTAGGAATGAAAGAAAATAAGAGTCCACTGTTTGTGACAAGAACATTTGAACATACAGTGTGTCTTTTGAGATGTATTAAAGGCCCTCTAGAGAGTTTTTAACTGTTTGAAAAACAGACTGAAACTTACTCTGATCCATCCTTGTGACCTTAAAAAGCAAACAAGACCATCTGCAAAAAAACTGATAACTTCACTGAAGTAACTTTTCATGCTGTAAGGGGGTAGGTGTCAGACCAGATTATTGACACCAGTCTGGGAAAAAAAAAAAAAGTAAAAAACTTTTTACACTGCAGTTACTCGCAGTGGGTGATAAATTTCACACCCAGGAGTTCCTCACATCAGCTTTAATAACTATATAGAAATCTATCTGTGCTGGTCTTTTGATTCAGCTGAATTGAATTCAGTATATTTAGGATAGCAGCATCCCGTAGTTGAGAGGAAAAATAACAGATGACTCTGGCCAACCAGAATCAAGCAGCTTCTGTAATTAGAAAGTAGCCACAACCTTGGGGTACCACCTGAGTGTCTCATCAAGACGGGCCAGCATACATAAATTTAAAATCTGTTACAGAAAGTAAAAGTGGTCATGATGTGCTTGAATGTGTAGGAAGTATATTAACAGTTATATATTCTTTCATATGAGGCTAATGCTAAATAGGATTCTAGCAAAATGTGGGAATACCCGATTTAGTCGATCTCTGGGGTAAAAACAGTCAACTATTTTAACAATTAATAGTTATTCCTAATGCAAAGAAATTGTAATATTACTCTTGAGATTTCCGTCATTATTTCAACTTTTCGGACATGTACCCCCTGGAAGCAGTTAAAGGTACTAGAAATTAATTACTGTATAGAAACAGTAAATCTTATTGCTTAAGTGCTTATTTGCTTTTGTAGGTCATAAAGAGACCCTACCGTTCATTTCAGTCTTATTTTAGAACCATAGAGGACCTGTAAAAATCGTTTCTTTTTCTGTTTTTTTGAAGCCACAAGTGGTTCTAATCAAAAGAACCATTTGTTGCAGCTTTATTCCAAAGTTCATGTATTCATTTCCGCATTTTCCAAGATGTTTTTTCTACTGATCCCCTTCAAGAGGATGTTTAAATGGCGCCTTCATGACTCTTTTATTTGTTTGAATTGATTTTTCCTGCATAAAGTGTGTGTAGGATAAATTTATTATACATTGAACACCCCTTACATACGGCAGCTTTATGTTCTTGTGAGCTGGACTTGTTGTCGTTGTTGTTGTCTAAGCTAAACACAGGGTCACAGTATCTCCAGCAGCGCTACCGTCAAAAACACTCGCATCAAAAATATCTAATCATCAGTTTATGCTGCCAGGTTTTCAAAGGGCAAGTACGTCTTTTCTATACTCTCAAATTAGCGTATAAAATAATGTACTGCTTCAAAAACAGCATGCTATTCATGTCGACTTTTACATATCCACAGGACTGGAATATAAATACAACTGTAACTCCCTGTCTCCATGCTAGAAAGCAGGTTAGACTCTGCAGTGTTACATAAAGCCAGACTCTTTGTGCATCTGTGTTAATAGGAAGATGAAGTATAGAGTTCCTGTAGTCAAATCCCGCCTCTGGCAACAGCAGTTAATGATAAAGCTAAAACAGCTCCGCTTCCTTAAATAGACAACAATCTATCATGATGTTGTATCTCGGATGGTTTTCAGTGGTCCGATCTGACGTATTGGTGATATGGAGACAGCCTCTTTAATTGGTCTGGGCCTGCATGAATCACCTCGCTCTCTCTTTGCTCTCTGGGTTTGATTATGAAAGCTGGCTGTGGCCTAATGGAGACAAAAAGAGTTGTCTGTGCTGTCATTCACTGCCTCTCCTCCACCTCACCCTCTGCCTCCCCCAATCCATTCTGTCAGACCAGTCACAACTCACTCGTCCATCTGCTCGCCGTGCCTCACGGTTTTGACCTTACTGCTCATGTCTGAGGCCAGGTCACAGGGACTGCAACCCCTCTGATGTGTTTCACTTTGAGGTTTATTTTATAAAAATGGATCCTGGGGGATTTTAAAGAGGGATTTATGAGTAAAATGCCAAAGCTTGTATTTGAAATGTCTATTTTTGTGACATTTTTAAAAGGTCAGATTTAAAGGTCCTGCTGTTTTGTCTGCTCAGGTTTGTAAAAAAGAGCAACTGCACTCGCTGTGTCATACATAATATATTCTGTATTTATGTGCAGTTGTTTTGCAGTCATTAAAAATTAATAGGTTGCTAATGATGATGAAGATATTACAAGCACTTAAAACAGCTCTGATTGAGCCGTTGATGTTTGTGTTTTCTCCAGTTTTGTAGCTCAGCAAAAGAGAACAAATGAATATGTCACACATTTCTATTCAAGAATGTGGACTCCATTGAAAATGGCAGACAATAAGACAGCTGGTTACAAACTGAGCGGTCTACTGCTCGAGCATTTTAAATATTTAATTCATTTTTTTTATCATTACAACCAAGTACAGTCTGGAAGGAACAATCTATATACATTACTGTGACCAGACACAGATCAGGGAGAGACTACAGGCAGAGAGTAAAACAAACAAAATGATGATTAGATTTGTTCCTTTTTTTTTTTTTCATTTTAAATCGAGGCTGTTCAAAGATGAGCATTACATTGATGCAGGGCAGGTTTACACATTTTAGAAACAACACTGGATCACCTATTGCATGCACTTAAATGACTTTTTACCATTTTTATCAAGGAAAAATTGAATGATTTTTACAAATATTTATCATTTGTAAAGGCAGATATACAAATTTCTTGTTCACCTCTGCTGTTAATTATCATGTGATCCCTCAGGTTTATCCTGTGACCTGACTAGTGAGCAATTGGGTTCACAACAAGCACCAACTGACAGAATTAGAGCTTATATCAATGTCAGGAAAGACAATTTAGTCAATAGCCAATTCCTTGTTTTCATTATTATTATTATTATTATTATTATTATTATTAGCTCCTGTGAGGAGTTTTAAGGTAGTTATGAAACTGACTGAAATTAGCTCTAGTTTCTCTTCATAACCTACAAGTCACAACAAGTGCATCAGTACAGAGATGAATTACTTGTGTGGGGTTATTTTAAAGGTTTGAATCCACTGGTGGAAAGTAGGTTTCACTTGTTGTGACGAATTTCACCCTTCTAAAACTGACCTTAATTACCAGTATATAGAGCCTGGCAAACACAAGCGTGCATGAGCATTAGCAAGTTAATGACTGCCCAGCGAAGAAAGAGAAATGCTACTCAGAATCATAATAGAATACAACCCTGATATCAATCCAAATAATAATTATTAGCATTTTTGCTGTAATTGAGCAGTGCTTTCCTTGGCAAAAAGATTTTGTTAAAAACACTACTCTCTCATATGTAGGATTAAATCAGGCAAAAATAGCAATTAGTGTTTTGTCCACTGGGGGCACCAAAATCAACACATGTGAAAATTGCTTACAGAAGCTTTAAATAAATCGTCATTATATAAAATTAATGAGCATTCATTTACACACTTTCTAGCTGACTTAACCGTTTGATAATGTTACAGGGTAGCACATGAAAGGTTAATTCTTTAAGAGTTAATAAGATATATTTTTTTTCGCTGCAACAAATACTGAAAGGACTAACATTTATTATTATTTTTTTAATCAAGTTGACAAAAAACGTGCCTTGAATCATTTCCAAACCTTCAATAGATTTGGCAGCTCCACTTATTAACACCAAATGTCCGCCTGAATTCTCCTTCCTTCATTCCTAAATCACTGCTCTTTAGTCATGATTGTGTTGTTTGTTTTCAGGGTAGTGGACTGAAGAGGAGGCCTGAAAAGATGATGCACTGTGGGCCAGTTTAGGAGTAGCTCAAACTGAAAGGACTGCTGTGGAAGTGGAGGAAGAAGAAGAAGAGGAGGGACAGAAAACAGAGGAGAGAGAAAGAGAGAGAGAGACAGAGAGAGTGAGTATCACATGACCCGTCCTCGGACAGGCTCCAAATCAGCGATGCTCCCCTCAGGCAGGGATTACCTCCTCCTCCCTGCCGTCTACCTCTCCATCTCTCCCTCTCTTCCTCCCACATTCAGCAGAGCAGCCACCCAGCTTCAGGACTCCAAGCCGTGAGGGCTCACTTCACTCACCCGCCCACACATACACACACACATAGACACACACACACACTTCTGCATCCTGCTCATGGTCGTTGGCCTGCCTTCCTCTGCTGCTGCTCCCGCTCCACACCGACACCATGAAGAGGCCCAAGCAGCAGACGGGGCCACTCAGCTTTCTCAACTTCTTCAGCAGAAAGCCCAAAGCAGAGACGAGGCCCGAGAAACCTGTGGAGGCACGGCCCAGAGAGGAGGTGGCCATCACGCTGACCCCGAGCGAGCACCCAGAGCAGGTCAGACTTAGGATACTGTACTGTTTCTGTTATTGGATGAGGAGGAGGAGGAAGAAGAAGTTCCTTTTTCTGGCTTTGTTTGATCTTGGTTTAATTCAGCTGTTTGATCCTGCTCTTTCAAAGTTTTGTAGAAAACTTTGAACTCGGATAAAAACGTAATTATGTTTCAGGCAGATTTTACTCAAAATACTTCCACTTTTTTGTCTTGACTTCAAGATTTCTGCCACTTTCTTCTTTTAAGGGCTTTGTTAAATTTGAAGGAAAAACATGAATTTTTAAAGTAACTCTGACAAACCTGAATGAGAATGAGTTCTTTGTGAACTTTCATAACCAGGGAAAGTTTGTGTTATTGAACCCAAAAATCAAAAGATATTGTTTTTTTTTTCTTTTGCATAAAGGTGTAGCTGCTCATAACAATTATAAACATTGCTATAAGCTGTAACAAATTCTTATAGTCACTTAGAAAGATTGTTCTAAAGCCTTATAGATGCATTTATCAAGCTTTTAAACAGGTTTCAGATGTATTATAAGAGGTAGGTTCATATAAAGTGTACAACTATTTTTTTTTGCTTCCAGTATTTTCTATTAAATTGAGGTAATACTGAAATAATTTAGTTGTCTAGCTGTGTTGCAAAATCTAAATGTCCACAAAATGTTGTGTAAGCAAGGAGAACCCGAAGAGAAGCGGTAAATCATTAACTCTTGATGTATTAGCTTCCTCCAGCTCCCTCCATCTCCCATTCTGTTATAGCCCAAATCCATTAGAGTGTTGATTTAATTAATTGGTAATTTAAGGAAATTGTGTTGCCAAGAAACCAAGTACACCAAGCACAAGGAGTAACCTGTACCAGACTCACTTACCGCCACTGACTTTCACTGGAAATATGATGATGTTCGGTTTGTTTTCATGCATTTATTTCAATCATAAAGTGAATAGCAGCATATTTTTCTGGTGAGAAGAGGATTTTCTGATTAAAAATAGCTTTTTTTAAATCACATAACCACATCTTTGTACTCATCACAGGAGCTCGACCTCACAGCAGAAGAGGCTGGAGAATCAAGAGTTTCTGGAGGAGAAAGAGGAGAAGGAGGAGGTCAGCCAGCAGCGGCTGAGGCTGGCGAGGATGGTGCAGCCACAGCCGAGTGTGTGGGCGGGGCCAGCAGCGGCTCCACCGGGGTCCTGTCCCTCTCCTCCTCCAGCCAGGAGCAGCTGCTGGAGGAGCACTTGGAAGAGTGCCCTCTGTGCTTGCTCAGCCAACCACGCTGCCACTTCCCACGCCTTTCCTCCTGCTCCCACCGAACATGCTCTGACTGCCTCCGCCAGTACCTGCGCATCGAGATATCCGAGAGCAGGGTGTGCATCGCGTGCCCGCAGTGCCCCGAGACCCTCTCCCCGTTGGATGTCCGTGAAATCTTGGACGACCGGGCGCTGCTGGAGCGGTTTGAGGAATACCAGCTGAGACGTTTCCTGGCTTCTGATCCAGATACTCGCTGGTGTCCTGCTCCTGACTGCAGGTGAGACTCAAAGGTCAAGAAGGTTCCCAGCACACTTTATTTCCAGAACAGCTTGATGCAGAGAGGAAAATCATTAGAGGAGAGGCAAAAAAAACCTTGCAAATACTAGATCCTTCAGATTGTCTAAAGGGAGAAGTAGTTTTTATTGACATCTCAGTCCCAAAGTAACAATTAACTGCACTGTTTGGTAATGATTCTGTAAAGAAGAGAAAGGAGCCCTGCTGTGATTCGCTGTGACAAAGTGGCAGCTCCTGTCAAATCCAGCACCAGCTCTGTGTCACATAGACAAGACAGGAGCAGTTTTTAGTGTCAGGATGATTGACTTAGCCTTCAAAGGATGAACTGACAGCATGTAAAAGCTCCTTCTGAGCTTTAATGAATCCCAAGGCTGTGATTCTAATACAATTTTTATACAACCAGTTTTTTTTTTTTTTGGTTTCCCAGAAGAAAGCTGACTACATATGAGAAAATCCTTTTTCCTTGAGTGCCAAACTTCTTCAGGAATCTTGTAATCTGGGTTTGAACTGGGCAGCCAAAGCGATCAGCAGTGTGATTCAAAGAAAGAAATCAGCCACCTGTTTATTATTTTGGATGAAAACCAGATGAAATATTGCTAGTGCTTTTCACCATGGAGTCGATATATATATATATATATATATATATTCTGAATATTATATATATTATATATATATATATATATATATATATATATAAATATAAGCAGAATTAATGATATATATACATATATATATAACATTGAGAACAAAACACTAAAACACTTACAGTTCTAGACAACAAAGACTCAGAAACATAATTACAAATTAGACATAGTGTATACACAAATAACATACATAGAATAATATAAAGGACAGCAACAACAACAATAAGGACAATGATACCACAATACAAAGCCACAAAACAAACAAACAAACAAACAAACAAAACAGGTCATATACACAGATTCCAGGATAAAAAGAGAATCATATAATAAGTCAACTAAGTTTAAAGTAACCCTTGGACTACTGCAATAGCTTTAGACTAATTTAGTATGGTTTCAGGTCTAGCATTATTAATTGTAGCTGTTGACCTCTCAAGAAGACAGACATCAAAAAAACTTAAAATCCATGATAGGTTTAAACTCATTCTTAATAACGGTTTCGTTGGCAGCTGTAGAAGCTGCTTGTATTATTATTTTCTGCTGAAATGAAACTAAAATGTTAGGATTTAATCCAAAAAGATATAGAATGGGACATAAGGGAAGAACTTTATCTATAATAGTGTTCCTGATATCATTTATATATTTTCAAAGAGGTTTGACAACTAAACAGAACCAAAACATCTGTAGAAAATCTCCCATCACAGCCTCAGTGCATTTAGTGCCACAATCACTGTCAGTTACTTTTCATTTTAAATCTGCACTCTGGAGTTAAATAAAATTTATGTGCCAATTTATAATTTAGACAGTTGCTAGGACATTTTGTTTGTTTTGAGTGGACCCGAGTCAGAATATTGTTACTGCAGTGGAACCCTAATAGGATACCATGAAATTGTCTTACCAGTTAGGAAACAGTGAATTGATAACACTTTAGGTTTCTTACATTTACTACTTGAAAAAAGTAAAACATGATACAAACAAGCCTCTTAATCTGAGTGTATATTCAGAAGGGAACAGCGGACAGCCAAATATGATGAATGTAATGCAACAAAACTACAAGACATGTACTGGGTTATCTCTTATTCTGATTCAGCTGCATGTAAATCCTCGGTTGTATCACGTTAATGTTCATGAGTGGGTAACAGGATACTACTGTGGATGGGAAACATAATGTGTGTAATGATGCTGTGTGAATATCTGTCGACTAAACTAGCACATATGAGCCAGAACTCGGCTGTAGACTGTCTGTCTCCCAGTCCTCACAGCTCAGTCGTGATGAACAAGTAAAGTGAAAATCGATACCCCAATCTGTCTGCTGCTGTGGTGAGTAAAATATAACACAGAGAAACAAGAGATCGAATGTCAGAAGTATCTTCAGCAAATCCGCAGACTCCTAAGTTTCACATTACAAGACATATTTACGAGTAAGGGTCAGTGTGTTCTTGATTATACCAGCTCCCACATGACAGAGCCTTTGGAGAGTTGACCCATTATGTAAACTGGTCATTAACAGTTATGGTTGGTGCATTCTCATGTTCCCAATCTACACACATTCCTCCAAGTCTTAGTGACAGAAGCTTAGCAGAAGATTATGCCAGCTCAGAGAAAGCGTGCTCTGTATGTGTCCACATGCTTGTATCTGTGTGTGCACATTCGGTCATGCTTTTGCTGCATCTTGAAGTAGTTTTACGAACACAAAGTCAAGTGTGCAACAGACAAATTCCATGCAGTTATGTTGCAGGTCTGAGTATGCATGTTTGTACCCATGCTTAGTGGCTTCCCATGTGTTTCGTTGTCCAAATGTCTGCAGTGCTGCTGTTTGCTTTGTGTTTGACTTTGCAAAACAGGTTTTTAAGGCGAAATATTCCAGGTATCACAGGTTTTTTAGATAAAGTATTTAACTGGAGATTCTGACGCAAATAATATCTAGACTACCACCTGAATGGGAGCCAGGCAGCAGGCTAATCATCTTCTTGTGTGTGGCCTTCGGTCTGTCTGAATCGTCGTCTTTCTGACAAATATAGAAGGTCGCAGATGCTGAAGTGAAGAGCCTGAAGGAGCTTTCATACACTTCACAGTGGAGCAGATTTGCCTTGATCCTGAATCAGTCACATTCACATGCATTTGATCATAATCACATGATCTTTTAAATATTAAAATTTATGTTAATGTCACCCCTGTGGAGTAGGATTAGGTCCTCAGGCGTCAGGCTCTTTGTTATCAGTCTAATGACTGCTCAAGATCTAAGGGTTGGATTATTTCTGGTTCAGGAGTTAAACTGTGGAAACCAGTCCCTCTGATAGATCTCTCTGTGTTTGACTGTAGTTCATTGAGCCAGTAAATGTACTGTTTGTGAACAAAGACAACAATGAGCTGTGCTTCTCCAGGCTGAAAGATCCACAACACAGAGAGTCCAAGTGCAGTTAAAGGTATTCAGGCCCCTAACAGTCAGAAAGAGCCCTTCAGGGATCAGTAAACACTTTTATTGGGGCTATTCTCTGTTCTTCATCTGCAGTCTCTCCCTCTCTCCTCAGCTATGCCGTGATTGCTTATGGCTGTGCCGAGTGTCCCAAGCTGAGCTGTGGCCGCGAGGGATGCGACACTGAGTTCTGCTACCACTGTCGGCAGCTCTGGCACCCCAACCAGACTTGTGATCAGGCTCGGCGTCAGCGAGCACGCCACACCTCCGGCGGCAACGATGCCTCCACACTGTATGTCTTCAATGAAGAACCTGGAGGAGGTGAGACCAACAGCAGCTGCTATTACCTTCTTTTTGTTTTATTCCAAACCTTTAGTGCCAGATACCAGGGTGTTTTTCTCAGCTTTTTTTTAACATGTTTAAGAAAGTGCAAAATAAATATTGCAGAACACGCTGCCACTGCTGACATATTTGCTCTGTTGCTGAAGATGCAGAGGAGATCAAAGCGTGTCCTCGCTGTGGTGCCTACATCATGAAGACCAATGATGGCAGCTGTAACCGTATGAACTGCACTGTATGTGCCTGTCAGTTCTGCTGGCTGTGTATGCAGGAGATCACCGACGTGCACTACCTCAGGTACTGAGTTCACCCTCCTCTCACCTGACAAAACAGCTCAGCATGTCGAGTTTGGTTTGTTTACCCTCAGAGCTCTGCCACAGAGATCAGCTGCTAGTGCCTGCAATGGTATTTGCTATCTGTACAACCTGACATTAGATTCTCTTATTTTGTTGTTTGAGTGTTTTTGATCAGCTATTTTTGTCAAGGCAAAGATTTTTTGATTGTTCTGCTATTTTATTTATTTAACCTTTATTTAATCAGGAATGTCCCATTAAGATTAAAAACCTCTTTTTCAAGGGAGTCCTGACCAAGAGGCAGCAAAAAGTTACAGATCAACAATGACATACAAGTTAGATAAAACAGTTGCAGCTTAAGGAGGCTGTCCCAAGTGCTCTCAGTCTGGATTTAAAGTCTTTCAAGGAGACATTAAGTTCCGTTAGTTTCCAGTCCTTTTGCAACAGGTTCCGTGTAGAAGGGGAAGAGAAGACAAAAGCCCTTTTCCCAGCTTAGTGCGGGCAAATGGAGCAGTGAGCAACAGATTATTGTTTGAATGCAAACCATAAGAATCAATGTGAGAGGGCAGTAGTCCAAGCATGGCCCTGTAAATAAAAGTGTACCAATGAGTCAACCTCCTGGTGGACAAAGAAGGCCATCCCACTCGAGAATACAGTTCACATTGATGGGTCAAGGCTCTACAGTTAGTAATAAACCTCAGAGAAGCATGATACACAGAGTCAATCTTTCTCAAACATTGAGCTGAAGCGTGCAACTGGTCTTCAAACTCTAAAATGAATAAAAAAAGTTGCAATGACAAGGTGTTTTTTAACCTCAAAAGAAAAACAAAACTTGTTTAGGAAGAAAAAAAACAGTCTCAGTTTGAGTTTCTTTATAAGATTCTCAATATGGGGTCTGAAAGTGAGAGCGTCATCAAGCAAGATACCAAGATATTTGTATGAATGAACCACCTTAATTTCATTCCCCTGAAGTGTGGACACTGTGGGGATAATTTGCGGACCCTTCCTAGAGCTTGAAAGTGCAATATAACATATATAATGATAACAGTATACATTTTTTCAATCTTGTTGCTTATGGTCTTTGCTTTTGTTTGTCATAAAATGTGTTAATATGAATTAATGTCTATTTCACAAATGCCAAAAAGACTGTCATAGGAGCTTTAACTAACTGCAGAACACACATTGATCTATCTCAGTGTCAGGACCTGGTAAGAGTGCTGCTTCAAAACACTAAGAGCAGCAGAATTTGATCCCAGTGTGACAAATGCTTGGCAACACAACTTCAATTTTAGCAAACGTTAGTCACTGAATGTTTTCCTCATTTTTCCAAAAAGGACAAAATCCAAGGCTACAGCTCCATCAAAATAAGTGGACTTTTACAGTTTGAAAACAATCTCCAGATTAATGAAAAACTAGGCCAGTCAGCAGGACTCTGGCTCTCTATCATTGTTCAGAGGCTACACTGGTGAAACTGTTCATCTGGGTTTCATCGATTTCTCCAGTCCTGGAAGAAAGTGATTGCTGATTCTGCAGCGATTAATCAGCTTCATCTGTCTCCAGATCTCCATGTGGAAGAATACATAACTAGAGCCATAGGACTAGTGAAAAGCTGATCTGTCAAACTTTGAATAGCACACTAGTTTTTTTTTTTTTACTAAAACACAGCTTTCACATGTACAGGACAAGAGATTAGAGGTATAACTTTGTCTGCAGGGGCAAAAGCCAAAAGTTCCTTACAGCAGCTTTAAAGTCTATTTTATAATAACGGCTAACATAAATTGTGGATATTTTTTACATATTAATCTTTTTCCACATCTCTCACTCTCCCACCCTGCATACTTCACTTTTCTTCCCCCTACCCTTGTTTGCCTTTCACACTCCAAATAACACCAAGAGTCCTATAGAAGGGCAAAGCTTTTAGCATCTCTCTGCAAATCTGCCAAGTCAGAGCAACAGAGCACAGCCTTAATATCTCACCATAATTCCCCCCTCCCCCCTACTCAGGCTTTCATAACCTCAAGGTGACATTTGCTGCTGTAAAACAAATGCACGCTTAGAGGACTTGCTTAGCCCTGAGGTGCTATTTGTGTTGCTTGTAAAGTCACTGCGCCTCCTGCAATCTAATTGCTGCTTCATTAGGACCAAGCAGCATCAGTCAGTGTTAGTTGGCAGCTAGAATTACAACACAAAGTCTAATACTGGATTAAAGAAGCAATTTAAAGCATGACATATTGTGCTTAACATCCCAGTAAGAGACAGATAATTGACTCCACACAAACAGACTATGGCGGCCCTGTATTCCTATCTATCTAACAGCAGTTTGGCAGCTAATGGTAGCTGCAAATGACAGTAATTTAGGGGGAGAGGACAAAGCTAAGATGGGAAATGCAGATGAGGTCATTTATTTCAGCTAATGATGTCATGAAAGCTATGAGACAAGACAGATAATGTTGTCATGTTCTTGTCAGTGCCTGTTTATTTCAGACGTTTCTTAATAAATAATCATTCATTATTGTTTTTTGTTTATATCAGAGTGCAATGAGGCCTGCACGACATTGGTGTTTGTGTGATCACTGCAGTTCATGTTCCCCGGTATCTTTCTTCTTCATTTTAGTGTCTTTGCAATAAAAACATTCAGGAGAGTGACTGAGAGGAGGTTCTTCTCATCAGTTCACTTTACCTGAGGTCAAAAGTTTAATGACTCCTAAACTTAAACTGTAACCAAACCCTTTCAACACACCAATTAAATTTCCTTTAAAAAATTCGTATTCTTTTTAGATGATTTTCTGGATTTATACCATATTTTTTAGACTATAGGGCGTACTTAAACTCCTTACATTTTCTCAAAAATTGACATTGCGCCTTACAATCCAGCCAGCTTTACGTATGATTACTTGTCATGATAACTGACAGATTTTATGTGGTACAATATGCTCACAAATCTGTTGAAATGTGTAAATATGGCTTTGGTTAGCAACGAAGCCGCAACAATAAACCAATCAATGCTTAATGTGCCTTACAATCCGGCGCCTTATGTGTGAACATAGACACGTTAATTCACAGTACGCCCTATAATCCACTTTACCACCCGAAAAATACGGTATAGATGGATTATTCATTTTCACATCCTCCAAGTGCACAAAAGTGAAGCTAAAAATCCCTTGAGATTGGGAGACAAAATCTTGAAGCCCTGCCCTTTTCTGCTAACCAAAACACACATTTAACTTTTAGTCAAAACAGCAAATGGCTGCTAAAAGCACATTAACTGGCCGTTCTTATGTGAGTGTCGGTTACCTTTTCTCTGCTCCTCCACTGTTGTGCTAATCTGGCTGAGAACGCCGCTAACCCACATTTGTTAACAGAGCTGTCAGTCATGGTGTTCATCCTTGAACATCAATTAATTACTTTAAACGGAACTTCCTGGAAAAGAAGATTTCTACGATGTAAAACAGCATGATAGGAACTAAACATAATGACAGTAACCATGTTCAATAAAAAAATATGTGACAGCTATTTTGATTTCAAAATTTGACTCACATACTATCTGTCACTATGGACAAGAAAGGATTTTAGAGAGCAGTAATAAATACCAATAGCGGTAGAGACCAGGGGGATTTCTGTTGGGTTTTAGATTTGTATTCATAAAACAAATATTGAACAAATCACATTTTTTTAGATTAGATTAGATTAGATTAGATTAGATTAGATTAGATTAGATTAGATTAGATCAGATTAAATTAGATAACACTTCAATGTCCAAGTCCAGAACTTACTAGACAGGTATCACTACAGCTCCATTTACAACACACAAGACAAGATGCTTGAATAAATCCTTGACAAAACAACATTTCAAACACCAGGCAGTATATCTGGAGGCTTACTTTCAGCTTACTTTTGATCAAAGCTTCAGCTCCGTTTTTAACTTTATATTGGGCTCATGTACAAAAAAGTGCTTCAGCCTGACCTTATTAAAACGTGGGACCTTGTGTTTCTGGTTTGACGGTTATAGTTTATATTCACTGTGAGGCTGAGTCTCTGAAAAGCTTAACAATAAGTGCTGAAGTTTTTCATTGTGTACGTCAATGGGAGCTTGATGAGAGGTAGTTGGTCCACCAAATATAATTCCCTTTTTTCTTTGTATTAATCACCACTTTGTTGACAGCATGCTGATGCAGCCACGTGTCATCTGAGTTATTCAGCAGTGATGTCAGGGTTGTATCACTTGAATACTTTAGCCTGATTATGGGGCTTATGTGTCCTCTTTGGATCTTGTCTATCATAATAACACCAGATCGTTTTAAAGGAATTAAACTCCATGGAAAAGATGTCAACTTCACGGTGAGGTGGAGAGGCAAGAAATTAAAACACTTGATGTTTTTTATTTTGGTTTGTAATGAAGTGGCAAGGTGTGATAAACTAACAAACTTAAAGACACAACACTTCTTAAAATGAAAACTCAAAGTTTTAATACAGAGCATTTATTATCCCAGCTGTTTGCATGATAATACATCGGACTCCCTTTGAATCCTGTTTGTTGTCTCTTTTTTCTGTCTTAGTCCCTCAGGATGTACCTTCTGGGGGAAGAAGCCATGGTCTCAAACCCGCAAGGTTCTGTGGCAGGTGGGCATGTTGCTGGGAGCGCCAGTGGTCATTTCCCTCATTGCGGGCATCGCCATCCCGGTCATCATTGTGGGCATACCAATCTACATGGGCCGCAAGGTACACACCAACCTAGAGTATAAATCTGCCTCCTGTCATGTATTTGGGTTGAATCCCATTACTTTTAGACAACTTTGTGTGGAGCTTTCTAACTCTAGGGGGGATATGGGTGTAAAGTCTCACCTGAAATCCATGCATTTCTGCTTTGTGAGCGCTTGTGTAGGTCTCACAGGTTGTTTATGTTTCTTTGAAGGCATGCGAGGACATGTTTTATTGGACATGAATAAGTGGCTGCAGACAAGGAGACACCAGTAAGAAACAAATTGCATTTCTCTAATCTGATTTATCTCTCATTTATTACCTTCCAGGTCCATGGCCGCTGCAAGAAAAACAATATCTCAGGAAGTAAGCACTACTTGACTGTGGCCAGTGGAGTGATGATGTCAGTGTTTGTGTCTCCGGTTATAGCAGCTGTCACTGTGGGTAAGGATCTAACAGTCACATCCCTACTCCATGCCCTGCACACTCAGAATTAAGATGATAGTGTGTTTTCAAGTTTTCTAATACCTGAGACGAGAGTTCATGCAGATAAAAAAGTTATTACAGATAAAGATGATCCAGCGTTATAGATAATCCTCTCTATGATTATGAAGAGGGATTAACATTAGGAAAGAGAAACACCACGTTTCCTAAAACGCTTACCCAAAATAAAAAGACCACTTCCTTATAGCTGTAGATCTTTTTGCAAAGAGTTTGGTCAAAAATAATGGACTCCGACTTCCTGTTTGGACTAATGGTTCATCGAAAGTTGGATGTCAGAGCACACACGATGTGATAGATCTTTCTTTCCCTTTCTCTGTTGAAATCAATTTAGCTCTGACATATCCCAATATCTCCATATTGCGATATGTGCATGCGAGGCATTTATGATGAGGTGGACAGAACGGTAGAGCACAGTGTCAGGTGCTATTGCTACAGGACAAGACAGATGTCTCTGGCAGAGTCCTTCGGTGCTGCAGGCAGAAACTATCCAGGTACAGAGGGAGAAAGTGTGGAACTTTAAGCGGTGGTAAGCACTGTTGCTGTTGGAGTTGTTAGAGTTCATGAATAGGATTATCAAATAGTAACAAAATAAATGCATGCTTCAACAAAGTGCTGCACGAGTTCAGCTTGGAGTAAATTTCTATTTATCACTGAGTTAATCTCCCATACACGAAAAAGCCTATATTTATTCAGGTAAGGTTTCCTAAAGAATTGATCATTTAAACTGGATTACATTGACTAGGTGTCTGAATTATACAGAGCAAATGCGATTAAACTGCCATGCTGAACTTAGAAGAAAATATGCTTAAAAAGATGGTTAAAAAATAACATTTTATCTCTAAAATGTATTTATTATTATTTACAAATGCAGCACTTGTGCATCAGCTTGATTTCTCCTGACCAGAGGCTGCCACTTGGGTGTTCCTCCTAACTTGGCAGATATCTGAATTATACCCTAAGCTTAATGATGTTTTAGACTGTGTTTAACAAAACCACCGAATGTGATTTTGGTAAAACACAAATTCTTAGTATTCAGCCATTCATGTGGGTGATAAGCCAGGTGTTCAGTGACCAAATACACAGATGTGTATGGACGCAGTTCTGGGTAACATATGGCAATATGGGGATACTGGGATATGTCATAGCTGAATTGATTTCCACAGAGAAAAGAAAGGAAAGAAAGAAAGAAAGAAAGAAAGAAAGAAAGAAAGAAAGAAAGAAAGAAACACAGAGCGAAAGACCTAATCTCAGAGCATTGAGAGCAACAGCACCAAAGGTGAGCTTCCTGTTGGCAAGATCCCGGGCCAGAACCCCTGCAAGCGGATGGCCGTGCTCACACTACAACAGGGCACTGACAGGAGGTTGTGCCAAGCGCCTATGCTTTCTCTTCGATAAGGTTTTTCTTTCTTTCTTTCTTTCTTTCTTTCTTTCTTTCTTTCTTTCTTTCTTTCTTTCTTTCTTTCCTCCCCTTTCTCTGTGGAAATCAATTCAGCTATGACATATCCCAATGTCCCCATATTGAGCAAACCTGAATTTCAAAAATATGGCAGGTAGTCCCTGAGGTGACACATAATATGACCAATTTAACATTTTTTGGAGTGATCAAACTACCATACTTCTTCATGCAGTCCTAAGTAGCTTACCATGGGCTCTATTTTCGTGTCCGCCAGTTTGGAATTTTCGTGGACTGAAGTGCACCAAGGTCCGCCAAGCTGGGTGTGGTGGCGTGGCAGAGGGAGGTGTCGACAGAATCAGCGGGCGCAGTGACATTTTCGTGCTCGCCAGTGGCGCATAAAGTGAGCTGAAAGCTCGCCGATTCAAACCTTGTCAGCTTTCAGCGCAGGCGGAGTGCAGCTGGTCTAGTGGTATTTTGGTAGACCGACGGCGTATCGGCATACGTCACAGATGCCACACCGACAGGTTTCCACAGTGTCAGGAACATTACAGTGAAATAAATAATGAACAACAACTAATAATCTGAGTCAGCACATTTATATCTATATCGATATATTCTGATCCATATCTGATCTGATGAGCGTGTTTGGCACGCGTTTGGACACACAACCTGACCGAATCAACACAGCTGAAACCGCATTAAAGTAAATTAATTCTAGTAAATAAACACATATGATGAAGTTAACAAGATATGTAATTCGTCTCCCTTCTTTTCTTCCTTCCTCTTCCTCTTATTTCTCGCGCAGCTCGACCTGGACATGTCTTCGTGTCCTCTCCCCGTCCTGCTGCAGCTGCTGCTGCGGCGGCAGAACAGATGATTTGTTTCAGTGATCAGATGAGTATTTACTTTAAGCCGACATATAGGAATATTATAATATTCAGTTTTGTGAGCCAAATTTATTTTATATGCCTACATCTATGAAAGAAAGAGCCACGCCACTGAGCGCAATGCGTCATTTATGCACAGATGGTTCCGATTTTAATGCCATTATTGGAATTTATGATGTGATCTCTGCGCACAACCCACCTTGGTCACATGAGGTTTGAATATATGCAACTTTATGTGAGTGTCTTTATTTGTGGAAATGGTGTTTGTCCTACTAGTGGGTCCAACATTACACACACCAAATCCATCTGTGCTCATATGAGAGAGTGTGGAGGACGCCCTCTGCAGCGTTTACAGCGACACCTGTTGAGGGGCTGCCTTCTGTCGCCATCGTGTGGCATTACTGTCTTCAGACATCTCTTGATCTCTTTGACTACTTCATGAAAATAGTAATACGCCTCGCTGCTGGCGGATTTAAAGGCGAGGAGAGGAGCTGATGTTATTGGTCAATACAGGTCTCGGCTGTGTTAAACCCAGTCCATGCCCTCTCTCCTCCCTCGTTACGACTTATGCAGCTGGGAGGAGCTGAGTTATACTTACGCCGGGCTGCGCCGCTTACCAAGATACCAAATTGTGGTTGGCGCCTGCGTCACGTCTCTGACGAAGCACGAAAATAGAGCCCCATGAGTGTACAGTCCAGTTGTGACATACAGTGCTGTTTCACACACACACACACACACAGTGTAAAGTAGTATTTTGATGAGTCATGCTTATAGCTACTGTAGATAACATTTATAGCTGTGACTGAATCCTTAAAGTGTAAACAGCCTCTTAACTGTAATGTTGTGGTGTTATGACCATCACATTAGCAGGCCAACCCTTGATACACACTCACACATATACACACACACACACACACACACAGTAAGACTCTTCACCATCATCTCCTGCCTCATATATATCTCTGTCCTGCTTGCATCACAATCCCTGTGTTGTTTTTTTTCCCACCATTTGCCACTTTGGCCTCACTGTCTCTTTCATATGTCCTCACTTTTGGCGCTTTCACCACACTGTAAGTGCGACTTAGTTTGTCAGTCACAGCCATTCATCTTTTTTTTTTCTGTTTCAGTTCCTTCTTTCTCTCATTTCACACAGACGCACAGAATCGCCAACACAGAGCCTCTCACAGGCTGGTAGGCTCATCCTCTTGCCCCTGTTTCACCCTGCTGTTGAGTCAATAGCGTCCCAGTTCCCGCCTTGTTAATGATGCCCCTTTGTTTGGTGGGCACTCGGCTTTGTGTTCTCAAATTCCTGTCTCAATCACAGGTTGCATAATCACGCAGCACAGAGCGGCTGTGGCTACCTACTTCAGGCTCTTTCGTTAAACACTTGAGATCAAAACAATTGCTGATAAGTTGCTAAATAAGATTAAGAATGCTCAGATTTTAAAAGCACACAATTTTAACTGGCAAAAAAATATGATTCAAGCAATTATTATATTAAAGCATGTGACATGAAAAAACAAGAAGTAAATTTAAATAAATGCATAAATTAGATGATCGTTTCTATATTAAGCCACTCTTAATTCATGAGAAAAGATGTGAAAGCTTGCAAGAAAATTGGCCTCCTAAGCTTAAGGAATACTCCCTTCATTATTTGTGACACAGTAATTGGATAAATATGGATGGTTAATGGCCCAAAAATACAAAGTTGTTCCTTGTGAAGCAGAAATAGCTCCCTCTTGTGTTTAATTTGGATATCACAGTAAGGTAAGTGTAGGCTGAAACACAACTCATCTTAAAACTTAAGCAGTCACCTGGCATACTTTTGAAAACACTGTACACAATTTTTTGGGGGGTTTGAAAAAAAGAGTAAATTGAAGCCTGGTTTCAGTTTTGAATTATGAAGTTTTAAAAAACCAATGAATCTTTCAGGCACGGAAGGATTACCTGTAACTTTTCTGTTCCCCTGCAGGTGTTGGTGTGCCGCTAATGCTGACTTATGTCTATGGCGTCGTCCCCATGTCGCTCTGTAGGAATGGCTGGTGTCGACCGCAGAGTGAGCCCCCTGAAACACATAAAATCCAACTGGAGGACTTAGCCAGCTGTGAGTTTGAAATCTACAGAAATCTACAGAATCTCCACAATCATGTATTTTCACACAAGTTGGAATCCGGTGATGGTTAGCCCAGCTTCGCAAAAAGACTGCAAGCAGCAGGAAACAGTCAGCTCGGCTGTGTCTTGAGTTAAAAATCCAGCACCTAAGCTAATCGTCCAAAAGGCTTTGGAGAGTTCCCTTTGGCTCTAAACTCCTAATATTTGTTATTTTCAACACTGATCTGATGATCTTTCCTCTTTTCTTACAGATCTACTATTCTCTCATGTAGTCAGCGACCACTGGACAGGTCAAAACAACTCAACTCTCAGCGACACCAGCGTCCAGGAAGTCAGAGTCAGTGTCCAGGAAGTGGGGGTCCTCCCCAGTACAAGCACCACGCCCCCTGATTTAGATAGCTATGAGGTGTTTGATGAAGCCACGAAACAGCATGGGTACACCCAGCCGAACAGCCAATCAGACTGCGAGGTGGTTATTGTGCCTGATGGGAAGCTTGATGACTCCCAAGTGCTTGCTTTGAGGTAAAGGTTTCCTCTGTTTTTGCTGTGTATTGATTTTAATGAAAAGATGTCAATTGAAGATAATGGCCAAAGTTAGTGGGTGTCTTTCAGTATTTTTTATCCCTCTAAACTGTGATTTGGTCTGCAAGCACCATTATAGATGGCAGTCTTAGTCCTATCGAGAGGGGTCTAGCTGCAGACCTCCACCGAGAGGACACGTTTTTTTGTATTTTGTCTTTGTTGAACACATGAGACAAAATTCTATTTACATGAGACGAAAAATATGTACAACATACCACATAAAAAAAAAACATACTCCTGAAATATTTGCTTTTATTTTGAAAGGCTTCAAACATCTTCTGGTCCTCTCAGTGGAGGTCTGCAGCTAGATTGTCTTGGTCCTACCTGCACCTTGGTCCAGTTTGATACACCTTAGGGTCTGTCTTAGTCCTTTTTAGTAAGGAAGCTTCCTCGCTTAGTGACACACCCTAAAAGTGTTTGAGTGTCGGCTATGATAAGAGCTGCTTGCATTCTCTGAATGATGAGTAAATAAAATATTTTGTTTTCTTTAGTATCCCCTTTAGTGAAGCAAACATCTTTTATGAAAGGAAACAGTATTTTAGCATCTGTCTTATGTGACTGCAGCATACATTGTCTAACTGAGGCAGTTATTGCGCAGACTTCCTCTAGTCATTATCATTATTATGACCAGATGGCTTTTTACTGATGTCATTATGTGTTTTTTATATCACTACAGGGAAGGAACCAACATTGAGGTCCGTGTTGAAATTGAAACCCATCCTAGAGGCGCCCGCCAGTCCAGCCTCAGTAGCATCCTATCCAGCCGAAGCTTGTCAGTGGAGTCCCTGGGACACTCGCAGTCCCAGTCTCAAGACTACCTGTGTGCCTCTGAACTAGAAGATAGACAAGAGAGCGGAGGAAGAGAGGAGCAGGAGGAAAGAGAGAAACCAGGAGGGGATGACGGAGGAGGAGCCCGTGAAGGGACAGTCTTTGAAGTGGACGGTGTATGAGGTCCTGTGACGCAGGCTTTGTACTTGGTTGAAGATTAGACAGGTTTCACGGATGAATACAAATCCATGAGCTGATGTTTCGGCTGAATTGACCTGCAGATCGTTGTCCAAGGCCACTTCCTGCTTCCAAGACAGGCCCTTCCACCAGATGCCTTTTAGCTCCAGCCTGTAAGGAAGATGCCAGTTTAGAGAAAGCGAATAAAAAAACAGTAGTGTGAGAGTTTGTATGAGACTGAAAGCATGAAAAAAAAAAACAGTGAGGGGACAATCAGTAATCCAGGATAGCATCTATGAATGAACCCAAACAGGAGTGGCTGAGAGCATGTTAGCTAACTAGTTCATCCTCTTTATTTTCTCTTTTCTGTTGGACTGTTTTACTCCCCCCTCTACCCTCATTCAATTACATCAAGCCCTCTTTATGTCTGGCTGTACTCTTACACTTCTTTTAGTGACCTCTTCCCCCTCCACAGATCTAACAATGCAGTGGTCAAACCTAAATTTGGGAACCCTAAACAGAAGATGCATGCTTCACTGTATTTTCACTCTTTTTATGAAAGATTTCTGGTTGCAGAGGAGATCTGAAACTGCCGAAGCCTGTAGCTGTTGTTCTTTATTGGGATAAAAGCTGCTCTGTGACATTATGGCAGTGGTGAAGACCACATAGTTTATAAAAACACCATGAATTATAACTTTTAATCGCAAATCCACAGTCTTCCATGGAAGCAGACGGACGGCATTGTCACTTATGCATTGTTTTAGTGCAGCCTGTAACCTCTTAGGAGGCCATTTCCTACTAAGCTATGGAGAAAACACTGCTATAGTTTGGTAAAATGCTCATTATAATCTAGATACTGAACTGACAATAACATGACAGCAACACTGCAGCGTTTCTCTGAAGAATCTGAAATCTCAAAGAGGCTGCATGATTCTGCTTTTTGCTGTGTGTAAGATAAACACACATGAGCAGATTCACACATGCATTTTCACACACATACACACACACACACACGCTGTAGATGCTCACGCAGCAGTATTGTGTGCAGCTAAAAGCATTGGCTATAAACCCGAGACTCTCAAATGATCACAGAGCACCAAAATTACAACAGCAGCATGCCACCCCGGGCTCAAGTCTAATAACCCTTTTTAGAAGATTTGTGAGAAATACATGACTTCACATGCACTGCTTAGCTTCCTGAGTGTGAAATATTTCTGAGATGTGAGCTCAGACATGAGATGTGGAGAGAAATAAATAAACATTTCACCCTCAAAGGACTCAATTGTGGTGTATGTTTCTAAAATTCTGTTAATTTTTTTCTTGCATAAAAGCTGAAGAGTTTTCTCCTCTTCATCATTTTGCAGGTTGGGAAACACTGATTTCAGCTACTAAGTGCAAGGTCACTCAAAAGTATATTTAACATTCCCTTTTGCTAAATTAACTTTGCTAAATGACTTGTGGTCATGGGCCACAGCAAGGAAAATTGGGACTGACAACCAAGACCGCTGTTGTGGGGGGGCCTGACTGGACTCAGGATGAAGGTGTGGTTTGTTTAAACAATTTCCTCCCTGCATTATAACTGTAAAACTCAAAGTTAAATTTCCATATGCTGATAAATTAACAAACAATAAATCTCTCCTGGTTCCCCCTTACCCCTACTAAATGTATTCAATTGTTAAGTCTACTCCACAAAAGGATCAATCTGATCATAGTCCATAGAGGTTAACAGGGATGGGCGATATAGGGTGAAAATTTTATCAAAATAAGATTTGCCATTCTGGTGATAATGAGAAAAGTCCCAATATAAAATATTATAATTCCAATCTATATTTTTGACTTATTTTGTCTTGAGAACAGCAGTTGGAATAGTCAAATAAGATACTTAACCACAAGTTTGAGTGGTAGGTCATGGAGAAAACTAATGACATCAAACAAGTCTCAAATGTGAAAACATTTTCAACATTTATTGAAAACTCTTATTGCACATTCCGCAATAAGATCCACGTCCATTGTCAGGCATACCTGATTGCACTCATCAAAGCCCCAATCTTGAAGGGAATCCCTCATGTGGAGCCTCATTCAGTAGCGAGCTGCTCAGAAACGTCTTCTTCATCACCTCCAGCCATGTTTGTTTGTTATTCTGTTCTGTTTGAGTAATGGCTGAGAGTCTGTCGCTCCCTCCTACGTCATGAACTGGCATTTATCGTATTTATCATGAAATGGCAAATATTTATAATGGAGGAATTTTCTGATGATTTATCGTGAATGATAATTTATCGCCCAACTCTAGAGGTTAACATAAAATCTTAGACATCAACAGACTCATTTCAGTCTGTATATCTTTATGATGATGTTGTGGTTGCTTTAGATTTAGCCTGCTACTGTGGATTGAACAACATTTTCTGTGTCAGGAAAGAAAAATTTCTTTATTTCTTAGACCTAGAAGTGAAGTGACCAACACTCCTAGCTCATAACAGTGTGGATCTGGGTTCAAGTCCAAGTTGCAGCTTTTCTGTCTGAAGTCCAATGTTCTGGCTTTCTAACACTTGAATTGGGACCATACTTTTGAATTACTATGAAGTAGTGGAATCTATCTAAACTGCCACCTCAAAGCAGGATGGATTTGGATTTGAAACCTAATGGGTCTAAATGTGTGAGGCCAGAGTGGTCTGGCTTCTTATCAATGGAGTACGGATCATGCTTTTGGAGAAGCAGTGTAGTGAAAACTACATTAACAACAACAGGTAATCATGAGACAGGCATGTTATCTAGTTACCTGTGAGGGGACAAACATACTTAATCAATATACTGACAAACATTCATGCTGATTAAAACCACCAAATCTTAAAAAACAGTTTCAAAAACCCGCTGAATGCTGCTGGTTCAAATTTCTGAAAGGTGCAGATATGTATACCACATAGTTTTTTCATTCTCATCTCAACAGTTTACATTTTTTACTATAATAGAACATTTTGTTTCCCTTTTTTTCTAGTATGTGCAGATACTCCTAAAGTCTCTCTAGTGATTATTGATCCCTAATCATCAGGGTGGAATGACAGTAACGCAATAGACCAATCACACAATTGTACTGTGGTTATAATACCTGTATGGGGTTGGCTCTGACTGGTAATGAGATCCAGTGCAATATTTTTCAATGGGGGCCAAATTTTCTAGTCAGGCCTCTGGCAGGCTTGTCAGCTGCAGAATAATATACGTGTTGTTAAGAAAGTGTAAAGGCACTTACTGTAATAATATACTTAAACCTATAGAGGGCGCCAATATACAAAAAACGTGAAGCACTGGTTTCAGTTCTCAGTTGATCATTTGTAGCCATTCGTAAAAGTGAAAAAGTATGTTTTTTAATCAAAATAATCTTAACGTAGGCAATATTTAAGAGCTCATTATGTAAAATGTTGACATCACTTCAATAATGTGTTGGTAAAGCTTGTGCCAGTTTTGTTTTCTTCATAATAGTACTGTATTAGGTCTGCTATAACCCTTATACATCATTATTGATTCATTTCATAATTTAAATAATTAAGTGTAATAGTGGCTGATGGTTTTAGATGAATTAGGAAGAATATTGTGCTAAATTTGCCAATTAATATAGACAGCTAAAGTTGAATTGAATGGAGTGACTGAAATAACCTGTCACTTGAAGTTAAAAGTCTGCCACCGTTATAAATTAAGTCCCCTTTCACCTCTTGTTACATTTGTGGGCCTATTTGTAAACCACTAGAAAACTGAGGAGAAAATGGCACATAGAAGTTTAATATTTTATTAGTTAATCTAAAAAACAAACGGGAACAAGTACATTTAAGGTAAAACAGCCTTTTCTTGGAGGAAAACACTGGAAAAGAAAGCACACTCATCAATAAACCACTTTAAGTACTGTGAACATTGCATTAAGCTCATTGGCCATAAAGTCATTAGTGAGTCTTTTACACTGTAGTGATTTTTCATTAGGGCTCTCAGGCTCGAGCGTTTTAAAGGGCGCGCGGTGACTGTGAGCTCATCAAGGTTGGAAGGACACGCCCTTAACTTTGGCAGCGGTGCAGTAGGTGCACGTGCCGCCCATCAGCCTGTGTGTGGAGAGCAAACAACAGCCATACAGCAGGGTGGGAACTTAAACCACAGGGGCTTCCTCTATTCTGTATTCCCCTCTTTTTGTGCATCTGCCACCAAGCCCAGCGTGCTATATCCACCCCCCTTGTGGTCCGGAGACTGGGGAATCCACCTGCCGGAGAGAAGACACACCTCGGGATGGATGCCCTGAAATCCGCCGGCAGAGCGATTATCAAGAGCCCCGGAGTCCCGCGGCACACATGGGGAACTTCAAAGCACGAAAGTGAGTGAGACGACGTGAGTGTGTTGATGTTTGGACGACAAACAATAATGTTGTTGAGAATTTGGCGATGTAGCAAAGGCAGAAAAATGTATCTGGAGAGGGAAAAGAAGGACACTGTGTGCCTCTGGCTGCTCACGGACTGTTGTGTTTTCTTCCTTGAGAGCTTTTTTTGTCTTGTTGCCAAATTTATTGAGCTTAATTTTCCATTGTGTTGAAAAAGAATGCATAATTACTAAGTGAAGAGCCGAACAGCCACAGTCTGGAGTCTCTTTTGTTGTAGGATATTGTAGTTTACGCCAATTTGTATTTTTGTACTTCCGCCTAAGCTGCACCCACTGGAAGTTATCTTTTCCCCTAAAACAACAATCATCAAGCAGCTGATTCGAACATTAGAAGTTGAATAATCGAGTAACCGACATGCAAAAGAAATAATACACCAATGGTTCAGTTGTTTAATCAGAAAAATTGGTCGGAATTGGTTAATATAGTGTCCAACTTTTAATTTACTTTATATGGTTTTCAAATGGTGATAAACTAAACAAGACAGATACCTCTTTGACCAGATTAATCGACAATTTAGAAAAAAACTTCTGTAGTTCAGTGTATTCCTTGAATTTGACCAGATTGAATGGTAAGCAAAATTATAGCAAATACATAGAAGTGAGATGGTTTTATTGACACTGTTTAGTATTTGTTACTTTAACTACAAAGGAGGATTAAAGGAACAAAAAAATCACCAAGATTTAACAATAAAGTCTAAATATTATGAAAGTAATGTCATAAGTAAATATCATAATGTCAAGTAAAGTTATAATATTATGAGACTACATTCAAAACAATATGAAAACAAAGTAGTATCACAGGATTAAAATTGTACTGTTGAGAGAATAATAAACTATTTTTATGAAAAAGGCTATACATGTATGTTTGTGCACTATTAACTAGATTGAAATGTTGCTTAATGTGGGGTTAAATGTTTGGGACCCATTTGACTTGACAGTAGTATTGATAACCTCAAACGTTGATGAATTTTTTTAAGTTTTAAAAATGCTTACCCGAATCGTTTTATGTCATGGTGGAAACACAGTCAGATAGAAAAGCTGCTGGAGCATCCACAGTCTTCAGAACATAATTCTGTTCTCCTTTGCCACAAAGAACAATGGTGTCCGTTTTTTCACTATATCTGAGGCAGCAAGCAGAGCATAAGAATGATGGAAATGTCTGAGACCATGGCTTCTGTAGTTCCCTCTTCCCTCAGCTCTGTTTCATGCAGTGGAATCAAAACTGCATTTTCCATCTGGGAAATCTATCATTTCATAGCCCCACAAGTCACAATGGTATCAATTCACTTTTGTTTTCACAACATGGTGAAACTGACAGAATCGTTACTGCTAAAGGATTATTGAAGTTCACATTGAAGTCTAACTTCACAAGACGCCCCATGTTTGTCATTTTAGATAAGGTGGCTGCAAACAGCACTTTTCATCTGTCCCTTCAAAACTCCTAAAGTCTATTCTCTAAAATTATGACTTTTTTCTCACAGATTTATGAGTTTTTAATGACTTTTGTCCAAAAAATCACAACTTAATTTCTGCGATAGTAAAACATTATTGTTGTACTACTATTGCTTACTATTGAAAAAAATTATCTTGTAATATCATGTTTTTTTCTTTTAATGACTTTTATCTCGTAGTATCACAACTTAATTCATGAAAAACTACAACTTTAATCTTGTAATACCATGACTTTCTTTTTTTCATGACATTTTTCCCAAAATATTACAACTTAATTCTCTCTTTCTTCCTTTATATGGCATAACCCCACTTCATATTTATCTGTCAAATGCACAACTGTCAGCTCAGCAGTGTTTTGCTTGGTGAAAGAGACATACAAAGCACATTATACATACTAATTAAAGTCAACTCTATCCTTCAGTGATGTTTTTTACCCTTAGAGGACAAATCAGGATGACTTTAGAGAAAATAAGGGGAAGCAGAATAGGAATTAGTTCTCAAAAAGGCTGTATTATCAGCTCTTAGTTTTTCAGATAGTTAAAAATTTACTATATAAAAGGGGGAACCTTGGCTCCAGGGTTAGTACAGGGTTGATTTCAGGAGGTTGTGAGCGCTGACTGAAGGGTCAGAGTGCTGAACATTGTCACACCATCAGTGGCAGACAGTGTGAGGGTCTGCTCTGCTGCTTGCAGCCCTGCTGTCGCACCGATGTGTGAAGTGTTGTCTTGAACGCTCCCTCCCTGCAGCTACATCACCCGCGAGTCCCTCACTGCCTTAAAACGCAAGCATGCTGCCTTTGCCTCATCCTGGAGTCTCGCTCTGTGAATAATCAGCCATCCATGCCAGCTTCCATTAAACATGACTGATTAATTTCACAGTCAGGAGAATGTCCTGGGTGTCTCCAGGAAATGTTTTACATAAATTATTGAGTAATGAGTGTTAGTCAGTGGGACTTGAGAGTTTTCTCGTTGGATTGGAGATTTAATGAGTCTCTTAAATGGCTTTGGCTGCATTTTATTCCTGGGTTTTAGCACAAGATGTCAACGCTCAGAGACAAGTTGTCTACTGTAGTTAATTCTGTTGGAGATTGATGGGTTTAAACTTCTGATCTTGGTTTTTGTTGCAGGCATCATCATATCGTCCCTGTCACAGCCATGGGAAATTCATGATAACAAAAGCCGACAAACAAACCACAGCATGTTTCTTTAAAGATATTGTCCTTGTCACATTGTTGGCTAGAGACTCTGCTTTGTGCTTCTCCTCTTGTACTGATGTTGATGTCAGAGAGAGGCTGAGAAAAGAGAGCAGGATGATCAGAGCAGAATCCAGCTGCCTGATGACAGAAGCAGTTTGTGTCTGAGAGACACCAGAGGAATCAGGCTGGAAAAACGTGAGCACAGCAGTCACAAATGGTGTACACACAGACACAGGGGCTGCTGCTGATGTCCAGAAGCTACTCAGCAGGCAGTTTGGAGAGCGGACAGTGTGTGTACGCCAGCATGTGGGGATGCGACAAAGCTGGCTGATGGAATGCAAATAAGAAAACATGGAAGCTGTGAATAAGGTGTGAGTGAAGTTTAAGAAAAGTCGTTTGTTTTTATAGTGAGGGTATGCAAAGGTATAATGTAAGAACTTGGTCTTGTAATGGAAAATCAATATCATTATAGAGACCCAATCAATACCATTAAACCACCACTTAAGCCAGTAAGTGTTAAACACACATCTCAGAAATGCTCCTTTTTATTTTTAATGCCAGCTTTACCTGCCAGTCTAATGTTTGCATCGTGACTGAATGAGGGCTAGAGCCAGTCATACGCTCATAAAAGTCTTGACAGCAGTCTCACTGGGTCACATTAAGTAAGAAACAAAGTGTCATCTGAGTGCTTACAAGCTGCAGCGACAAGGGGAAACGTTGAGATAAAAAGAGACAAATACACACACCTGCTTTGGCTTTTCAAGAGCAGCATAATAAATCCATCACTGAATTATCTTTTGATGTGCGCATCAGTAATGAGGGGTTGTCAAACAGGCAAACACTGGGGATGAAGTAACTTTAGGTTGTCAAGGAGGTTCTTCTCAAGTCAAATGAGTCTGAAAGAATAGATAAGCACTTTTTCCTCATGTACCAGAAAGGTAAAATAAGCTACAGCCTCATAAACAATCTGACTGCTCTCCAAACATGCATTTGCTAACTTCCTGCAGGTCCCTAAGAGAAGATGGGTTAAACTTCAGGGTCACTATCAAAGGCTTCATTGAGGGTACTAATGTGATACTGATGCAGCCAAAATGAAAAGTGCTCTTACAGTCTCACTCCAATTGTTTTTTTTTTAACTTTTTTTTTACTACTTAAGTGTTCTTAGTGGTCTTCAAATTGTGATTATGAAGTTTTTAGCCAAAACCACATTACCCCTGTCATTTTCAAGGGCTTTTCTTCTGCAGAGCTCCAGTAGATCATAAACAATTTGCCTTTGAGTCGTGGGCGGAGACAGTGCTGCTCTGCACACTCCTCTTAACGTTAGCTTGCAGCCTAACATTGTCGGTGTAGTAGAAGTGGCAGGTAACATAGGAGCTATTCAGCTATCGTTACACTAATGTCTTTAGGGACATGATTAAAGCTAATATCATTATTTTCCTATGAGCATTGCAATCCACTAATGCACACGCTTGTTCCATGATCATCCTCTCGACTTCTTAGAGTCTGGCCTGCACAGTGGCGCTCCGGGGGCGGAGCTTGGAGTTGTGACGTAGGAAATCCCACTGTGTCTGAACCTGCCGTTTGGGTCTGTGAGAGGTTCACAGCGATTTGAATGCAGAAATACTCAGAAATGCAATTTTGCACTTACTTTTTCCATGACATGTCCCGTAGCACCAGAAAAATGCCATATGAACATGTAGACAACAAGAAAAACATGATTTTCATCAGAGTGGGTCCTAAACATAGTGGATACTGGTGACAAACACAAGACAGAAATCCTTCAAATTCAAATTTATCAAACCAAAAGAAGTTTTTCAGCTTTTACAATGTTAAACACATAAGGATACAGCAAGTTTTTACAGCCGATAACAATGTAATGCTTAATGAGTTGTATGGGCCAGTCAAAGCAACAAATGGCGAACATTTGTTTAGGGAGTGTCCTATGTTTTTTTTTTAAGTGATCAATTTGTGTGTTATGAGCCAGTTTGCACACTTATATGAGATAGTGACAAGCCTTTTCTGTGCGAACTTATTGCACAAATATCTTTTACATGATGGATCTCCTCAGCACATTCATCCACAACTTCTCCCTTTTTCCTTCCTGTTATGCAAAACATTTGAACAGGTGCAGTTTATTTCTCTATTAGTGCAATAGAATTTTATCACTTATCACTATGCAGTACACAGCAGCCTTTGTGCAACTCATGTTAACTTAAGTGCAGTATACATGATCTACTATATGCAGTGTCCACAAAACCCTACCATGAAATATATACATCATTGAAAAAATTATATACATTATCCCCTATGCAATAGATACGATCTGACATGCAGTATAATGATTATTATCAACTATTTAGCATACAGCATTTTCATCCATGCAATTCATCATTTATAATGCACTACATACACAATCTGCCATGTAGTACACATTTTCTACCTTGCAATAAATCCTTTTACTTTTGCACTATACATTATTCACCATGCAATTTATTATTCAGTGTACATTATCTGTCATGCAGTATACATACTCTAACATCAATACATTTTCTGTCATTTAGCTTGTATTTTATCCTGTTATATTAAATAAATATGCAATTCAGTATACATTATCTATCATGCATTATACATCGCTGCTTTGTGTTTTAGCATTGCAGAGAAGTTGGTTTAAGGTTAGAAGGGTGTGATGCCTGTTGAATATCCAACTAAGGCTGCACGATATTGGAAAAAACTAACATTGCGATTTTTTTCAACACTGCGATATATATTGCGATATTAAAAAATACAGGAATTTTCACCAGATGACCTGAATAGCATTTAATGTTATGCTGCACCACTGAAATCTTGAGGACAGTTAACCTGCACTGATCTTACCTCTTTTTGTGAATGTTTGTAGAATGGCTTCTGTCTGTCTCAGAGATATTTTTAGTTTTTATTGTTCTGGGACGTTATTGTGGCAACAGATGATCACAGAACACGTGTTTTGGTCGACATCATCCATCTTGTAACCAAAATAATTCCAGAGAACTGATTTTTCTTTTCTTTTTGGTTCTTTGTGGTTTTCTCTTGTTCGTTTCTCATTTTGCAATCGTTGTTGTTGTTACCCGTGTTTTGCCGAGAAACGCACGTCCTCCGAGAATTGCATGCACCTCGCAAAACGCGCACCGCTTGTAGTAGAGTGGTCCACGGAAATATACATTTTAAAAGCCATACAATTCTTAATTGTCGGGCTTAACAGTCATGAGTAAAGTTTCAAAAGTAATTTTCAGTGGACGCGTTTCTCGGCTCAACACCAGCAGCGCCAGCGACTCACTCCTTGTGCAGAACATGTGCAGGGGTGTGGTTTCCTCCTCTCTGATTTTGATTGACAGCTGGCAGGGTAGTCTGATTGGCAACTGAGTAAAGGACGAAGGTGTTTGGTGGATCGCTGCACAGCACATGCAGAGTCACATGCAGTGTATCTCAGTCAGTTACCCAGTTGAAATTATTAACTGAGTTCATTCACCGCCGACATCGCAGGCTCTGCGATGTGACTATTGCACACACGTACATCGCGATGACGATGCTCAAACAATATATCATGCAGCCCTATATTCAACCCTACTCTGACTTTTGCAGCATCTATTTCAGCAGCTGCTTCTCAGATGTTTTTCTTTTTATTTCCAAACTGGAATGTAAACCTCTTTGTACTGACCTTCAGAGTGAAACACAACACTTTACCTTCTCTCCTTTTACTGCAATAGAGTTATTTCCCAGTGGGTGAAAAAAAATTGCATCACATGCCAGTCAAACCACTGAAGTTCATCCATATGGATCACTGTGAGCCGTTGCACCACTGTCTTTTGCCGTATCAACTGCCAAACGCTGCAGATATGTTGTTGATAAAAGCAAAGCTGAGTCTAAATCGAGACATGAGAACCATTTATGCTGTGGCCGCCCACAGTATCTCTATGGGTAAAAGCCATTTCTTTAACAGATAGATACAACCAACAAATTCATATCTATCATATCTGAAAAGGCTTTAAAAGGTAACACTTGGATTCAATGGGATATTCAGTAAAATCTCGTAGTTTTATGTAAAGCAGTCATCTCCTTATATAAAGATAGAAGTGGTCCCCACATGATTATTATTCCACTGTGGCTCTTTCCGATCCATTAGTGCTTGTGACAACTATTTATAATAACCAAACCCCTCCTCCTGAATTTGTGCAACCTCAGGAGGACACACACAGGCAGCATGCTCAGCAAGCCAAATCCAGGATGATCACTTTCTGAAAGCAAGTGAAACTCGCTGTATAAGAGTCACTCTTTTAACAAGGAAATAATATCATTTTTAGCCCAGCTCACGACCACAAAGTGACCTATTTCTTGACTGGTGCAAAGCCAGTCTCCAGCTTTCAGAGCACTGGCATGCACAGCACTCCCCTTCGCTTCTCGTGGCCGCTGGTCGTCATCTGGTGAGGTCAGAGCCCCTGGCAGGACGGCAGAGGACACAGCTTGTGCCTGGAGTACGAGCCATCCCTTTGGATCACGTCTCAGAGCCGCAGAAAAGACCTCTCTCTATCTCACAAGTCACACACACTTGCCCTTGGCACCAAGGACGTCCGCGCTGTACAGGCTGCATCAATTTGAGATGGTGCAGCTTTGGGACAGACTCAGTAGGACTGTGACTTTAGCTGGTTTTTGTGTTGATGTTAGTGTTATAAATATGAATGCCGGCTTCTGCTGCATACTAAAATATCAAAGAAATCCCCCCTGAAAATGTGTAGCTTAATTTAGTTTATTATTACACAGCTCAAGTGCTTTGAGGAGGCTTTTTCTCCTAAGCTCTGCAGTCCATAGAGGAGCTTTACTTGAAATTAGTGGACTCCACAGTCATTACGTTGGACTGGTTGGGAGCCGTGGCAGTGGGTCCAGCCTGCAGTTCTATTAAAGCTGACAGGGGGGTTGGACTGAATGGCGTGCAGGAGGCAGTGGTGTCAGTTAGCACTGACCCTCCAGGAGCAATTATCTCTCACTGGCTCATTAAGACTCAGTTACCCATGAATCAGGGGGGTAGCAGTGAACAGGGGGATGAGCAGAGGTGATGGTAGGGCATAGTGGGAGTATACAGCGTAATGATAGAGGGCATGTGAGCAATACATTGAGATCAGGAGGGATGAAGATTGGATTTAGAGTGTGGCAAATAAAGAGGGATTCCTCTGCTGTCAGTGCGATAGAAAAAGATGAGGAGTTGATGATTGGGGTCTCACAGAGCATTTGCTTTGCATTATAGAGGGTATTTAAAGCATTAAAAAAGCCGCCTGGGATTACCAAAGAGTATAATCTTGCACTGAAGATGAAGAAACCCATTCAGAGACAGATTTTACCCAAGCGACCACAACTTCCTGGGGGTGTTAGAAGAAGCAGATATTCTTGTCTTTATATGCTCATCCTTAGCTCATCTAGCACCAAGTTTTCCTCTGGTATTAACATAAAACAAGATAAATGTTAAAATTTTACCATTGACTGCATATTAAAGAGGCTGAATGTTTGTCTTTGTTTAAAAAAGGACAAGTTGCTTTAAAATATTTTATAATTTTGTCAACTCTGTCTAAGTAATCCTCATTTTCCAACTGGGAAATAAGAGTTTTTCTACTTCTGTGACCTTTACATTGCCTGAATGCTCTGCTCCTGTGGGTTAGCGACTGGATTTATTTAAGATGATATCTACTGTGAAGGTTGAATCTGCATTCGACATGACCTTTTACAGCAATGCTTTGTTTACAGTAACACACACACAATAATGCAGGGCACATACAGGGTGGAGAATAACAGAACTTAAAGCAGGATTGAAGTTACAGAAAGTGTACTAGAGAATTTTTAGCTTTACAGTAAGGTTGAAAATAGTCAAAACTGGGCACAAATCACAGTTTAGCATGGGATGGCAGAGGTCTTTACGTTGTGAAACTGGTTTGCTGAGTATATCGAGAGTTAGCAGAGCTAGCACCACCAGCCTTTGGTCCTTCCTTACAGGTTCACACTCACATGCTTGTGTTGGGTACATATTGCACTGTTTAAGTGGTTTTAAAGGGATATTTTGCTGTAACACAGAGTAAGACACCCCCTCGAAAGATGAACATTACCAACTGCTTGCTTCTCTAGTTATACCAACTATAGTGCAGCAAATCATTTCCATAAAGTAATAATCATCATAATAATTATTTTGCACTGTAGACGTGGTAGTTCTCTTGCCATGGTGTCTCAGTCTGATTGTATTTCCATGAAGTTATAATCATAAATGTTCTTCCTTGAGCTGCGAAACACCGCTGCACTCAGTGACCGACTCTTCAGGGCTCCCCCACAAACAAGCGGCTGCTGGAGGAGAGTGGGTGAGTTGTGTTTAGTCTCTTTGCTAAAGAAACCAGGCAAAGCTAAAACGATGTTTGATGGCTATCACTATGGCTGGGACTAGTGCTGCACGATATTGGAAAAAACTAACATTGCGATTTTTTTCAACCCTGCGATATATATTGTGATATTAAAAAATACAGGAATTTTCACCAGATGACCTGAATAGCACTTTATCCTGAAATCTTGTGGACAGTTAACCTGCACTGATCTTACCTCTTTTTGTGAACGTTAGTAGAATGGCTTCTGTCTGTCTCAGAGATATTTTTAGCATACTTCTATTGCGCTGAGACTTGTTATCTCTCGTTGTGGCAACTGATGAAAAGCACTGCCGACGCAGAACATGTGTTTGGTCGATATCATCCTTGTTGTAACAGAAATAATTCCATATAACTGACATTATTTTTTCTTTTTTGCAACAAGTCTTCATTTTCGGTGGTTTTCTCTTGTTTGTTGCTCCTTTTGCAATCGTTGTTGATGTTGTTGTGCCGAGAAATGCGCGTCCTCCAAGAGTTGCATGCACCTCATGGAAATGCGCACTGCTTATAGTAGAGTGGTCCACGGAAATGCTTGATTTAAAACCCATACAATTCTTATTTGTGGGGCTAAACAGTGATGAGGGATGTACTGAATGTAATTCTTGGCGGGCATGCTGTCTCAGTACAACACCAGCAGCGCCAGCGACTCACTCCATGTGCAGGGGCGTGGTTTATTCCTCTCTGATTTTGATTGACAGCTAGTAGGGGGTAGTCTGGTTGGCAACTGAGTAAAGAACTAAGGTGATTGGTGGATCGCTGCACAGCACATGCAGAGTCACATGCAGTGTATCTCAGTCAGCTACCCTTGAAATTAGATGAGTTCATTCGCCTCCGACATGGCAGGCTCTGCGATGTGACAATTGCGCACATGTACATCCCGATGACAATGCTCAAACAATATATCGTGCAGCCTTAGCTGGGACCCTATATGTACTATTGATGAAGTTAGGTGCTGCTCTGAGCATTATTTGTGGCTATAGAGTGGCTTTATGGTTGAGGTTTGCACGTGGAGACATAGACCCCTGTGTATTGCTATCGTGCGGTCGTTGCTGAAGTTGGGTTAACTAGAAAAGCAAGCAGTCGGCAACATTCATCTCTTGAGGGGGTGTCTAACTTGGTGTTATGGTGTGTTTGACCATAACTTTTACACTGGAATATCCCTTTAAGTCAGTTCAAGCAGATGCAGCTCACATACATTTCTAGATCAAAATACTGCCAAATTGCCAAACATCTGTCATCTTTGCTTATTTACATCCAGGTACTATAGAAGATTGAGGCATAATAGTAGCCATCAACAGGTGTTACAGCCCCATTCAGTGGTGGGCGGCTTAGACACAACAGATGACACGTATTGTGGGTGTGCAATAATCAGATAATTAATAATTCATTTAACTCCCTGGAAATTCTCTGCCAGCCTGCAAAGTTTCCAACATTTAAAAGCGTAGTCAACAGAATGATCCCTGCAAGTGAAAAAACGTTAATTTCTATTAATGTAAAACCATTGTGCCACCATCGAGCATAAGGGAAACATTTTCAAAGGGGACAACATTGCTTTATAAGGATTATTTTTTGTTCTTTGTGTAATTATGCTATCTATCATTCAGAGTTTCTCAAAGGAAAAACCTGCTTACTGCACTCTCACTAGTCTTCACTCTGTCATATATGAGACTATAGTTAAGCTAGTATGTGCTCCAAGCTGAGCGTCAGCATGTCAGTCCATGATTCAACTAAGCAGATCCCCCACCTGTACCCTGCATAATTCAGGCTCATACTCTTCAGTCACAGTCTGAACACAGATAAGATGATAAAGTGCTGCTAATGAGTTTTTTTTTACTGAGCGTGCTTTAAAGGAAAGTCACCTGCCGAATAGATTTCATATTTCATACAATCACAAGCTTCCCAGGTTGTTGAATCACAAAAATGGTTTGAGAAGCTCATTGTGTTTCCCTCAAGGTTTTTTCATATCACGTATTCAAAAACCTCACAGTTATAATGAGGAAACCAGAATTTCAGATGGTGTTTGTTTGGACACCACGATAACTTGGCAGCGTACTGTATTTTTAATTCACCTAAAATCGATCATTTCTATTTACTTAAAAGGAAATATTTTAGCAAAATGGCCAAGCATTACAGCTAAATGCAGTGTTATTTTCTGCTAAGTGTAACACCAGAGAGGATTTTAGTTTGAGCACCTGACCTTTTGACTCCCTTCACTTTGTCAAAAGAGAACTACATGAGCTAAATCCCCTGACACTGTGATTAGTTGGATTATTGTCAAAAGCACAGCGAGCTCGGTGACAGCTCTGCTCAGACAGGCTCTCCACTTTTTTACACTTACTTTTCCTCACTGTGGAAGTTTCTACACATTTGACAGCGTTCCTCACCATTGTTTTCTATTTTGTTTCTTCCTGAAGTTAAATTTTGAGTCTCGCCCAAATCCAAAACTCCCCAAAGTGTGACCTGTCATATTTTAGAAATGTTACATCTGCTGGTAACAATATGTCAGCTAGGAATCAACTCATGTCACCATTTAGCCAAGGCTGATGGATCATTAAATATTCATTTCAACCTCAGAGAACGGCCATATTTCCCTACAGAGTTTCTTTGGTCTTCCTCTTTGATTTGTTGATTTGAGCTAAAAGCTTGAGACTGGAACACGGAATGGATGAAAAAATGCATCTGTTTTTCTTATTGATTTATAATCGTTTTATGTCTTATAGATATTAAATAGTTTAATCTATTTTAATTTCCAATATATTTCCTTGCATCTGTAAGGCACTTTGAATTGCCTCGTGTATGAATGGTGCTATACAAATACACTTGCTTTGTCTTGCTACAAAAATGAAAGTATGTGAAGCAAATGCTGTTTTCTCCAGTTGAGATGGATGAAGGTTTTAATCACATGCAACATGTTTGGATTAGGTTAAACAAGACTCTGCAGCATTTATTATGGTTTATTTGAGCAGGTGAGCACAGCTTTACTCTACCTCACACTGAGTCGACAAGTGCTCCACTCCACTAAATGCTCCTCTTGGTGCACTTGTCTTCTTGTTTTTAAATCCGGCAGTTGCCATGGCTGTTTTCAGATGTAGTTGTAGTCTCTGTCATAGGTCCTCCACTCCTCTCATTCCTTTATTAATGCCTTAAAATCCCCAGTGTGCCAAGGAGAGTCACCTTAATTCTTTCTCATGCTTCAGGACGTCTTAGCTGGAGACACTTCAAACAGCTCTGATCACTTTCTCTTTGGAGTAGATGTGTGTTTGTGTACTGCTGCGGTTCATTTAAACTTTTAAAACCCTTTTTCTTCTTATGTCAGAGTTTCCCCTCTGGGGTAACAATTAATTTCTGTATTGATTTAGTTGTATCTTATATTGAATGACCTGAAAATGTTCATGCCGGTACTGTTCTCTTCTTTTCACATGCTGCCTTCTTCCTGTAATATTTGAAGTTGGTGTATTTCTTTGCAGTCGCTCTCCACAAATATTGATTTTTTAGCTTGGCTTCACATTATTAAAAACTGCTCCACATCATATTCTATATTGATTTCTCTTTGTGGGGTCCCCTTGAGTTGTTCGACGGGAGGTGTATAAAATGTTGACCCAGAATTGTATGTGTTGTACACTGTACGTTAGAGGTAACTCAATATAAGCTGTCAAAGCCTCTCAGGTTATCTCAGCTCAATTTAATCACTTCTGGCCCGTGTAAATTTAACCACCATGGGGGCATCCTTCACCCCCTCAGACTAACACTGACGTAAACATGCCTACCCCTCAGTTTCCCCCCCATTAACATCAACACATGGCTCAAACTGACTTATAACTCATCATCATTATCATGCTGTATGCGCTTGCCCGCTCTCTCTCTTGCTCTCTCTTTCTCTCTGGGCTGTTTTTAGCACCAACAAGGTTTCCTGCCCTGAAGTGAAGTGAATTATGCAACATGAGGAAACCGAGAGACCCTATCTGGGGAGAGTTTGACTAACACATACAGAAACACACACGCACCACTCTTCTCCGCAGTGTGAACAATGAAGTCCTGCCATCCAGGTTTTCACGTTGTTTGATGCCTGACAGCTGTCTGTCGGATAGGATGCTGTCACTCACCTCACTCAGGTGTGAGAGTCTTGGTGAGCGTGCTTTCGATTTTTATTCTCCTGATGTGTGTGTGACACAGGCATTTTTACTGCAGAGGCCTGGGAGTATAAATGCGTGTGGGTATGTGTGCTTATTTCCAACCTGTGCCTCCACTGGAGTGCTAAATCCCATCTCCCAGCTCTGTTCCTCTGCAAAATTCAAACTCCCCCTCACTCTTTCTTACACATCATGTCCCCACCTGAGCTCAAAAACAAGACCTGAGGGGCCCTGACTCCTAAAAATAAAACTGTTACCATCAGACTGAAATGGAAAACCTGTGTAGTTCACTTTTTTAACTGGATTTAATGCAGCAACATGGTGAAGCCAAGAGGAAGCAATCTTGATTTTATGGCTGTCAGATAAATTAAGATGAGTTTTTGATAAACAGAATCTAGCTGTGATAACTTGACCTGCAAAGAAACTTTCTCTCTTGATATCAATGATTAAGCCAGATTAAGATAGACTCCAACAGTTGATAGGGGCTGAAAAATATAACCATGGTGAATTTCTGCAATTATTTGGAGCGCCTTATTTCAACTTTTGAGGAAGTATCTCCCCTCCTTAGTTTTCAGAGTCAGTTTTCCAGCTCGAATCCAGGTGGAAGAGGCTTGTAGATGTTGCTTTCAGTTATTGCCAGTTATCTTAACCCTTTCTTCAGTAGGGTTAAATACTTGAATTTTATTTTTAAACATGGTGTTTCATCTCAATGGTGAGGAGTCGTCGGGGTTGACCTGGTCACACATCATATACAATCTAACGAAAAAAGTCTTAAACATTTCACCCTTGCTTATCCACACTAAGGCAAAAATGTTAGTCTATGTGAGCATGCTAAATCAGCCAGCAGTGCAGAGAATATTTTTTCATATTACCTTTGATTTTTTTAGAGTAATAAAGTACACATCACACATTACAGCCTCCATGTTTTCTTCATAGACTTATTTCTAATAATGATTTTTTTTTTACAAAACAAGAGCAAAAAATAAGTACATCTATTTTCTGAATAACATATTCATATAAAAATAACATATACACATTCAAGTTTTGGCTTGACTGTTGGAGGGATATTTCGGTGTAAATTTAATTTATGGTCAAGCACACAGTAACACTGAGTTAGACACCCCTTCGAGAGATGAATGTTGCCGACTGCTTACTTCTCTAGTTATACCAACTTCAGCAACATTCGCACGATAGCAATACAAAGCGGTCTACATCTCCATGTGCAAACCTCAACCAAAAAGCCACTCTATAGCCACAAATAATGCTCAGAACAGCACCTAACTTCATCAACAGTACATATAGGGTCCCAGCCATCGTGCTAGCCATCAAACATCTTTTTAGCTTTTCCTGGTTTCTTTAGCAAAAAGACTAAACACAACTCACCTACTCTCCTCCAGCAGGCGCTTGTTTGTGAGGGGAGCCCTGACGAGTCAATCATGCAGTCTTAATATTATGGCCTGACAGAGGAGGTTGCATAATTTTTGTCATTACCATGAAAAGTATGTTTGTTTGTGTCATTAAGTGTCTTTTGCTAGATTGATACTCATGTTTAGAAAACCTCAGACTGCATTATACCTCTCTTTTCCCAAATTAAATCAACTGTATCTCTTTCATGTGCAGCACTTGCAGCCGCCTGAGGAAAAAACTAAGAATCTAACATACTGTTTTTAAACAACAGTAAGAATATACTGATAAATTGAATATAATATAGGTTTAAATGAGGCATGCCAAACTGTAGGGATGCGTAAGAAGATAACCAATAAAAGTTGTATACTTGAAGATTAAATGGCACATTTCAAACTGTACATTAAAGCTGAACCACTCACATCGATTACCTCTCTAATCTCCCCTGATACTCCAGAGACCCGAGACCTCGGAGGTCGTGGTATCCGCCTGTGTCGGTCCAGCATCCATCACTCAGCTGGAAGGGTCTGAGGTGTTTTTCCGCATCAGAGGGGATTCCTGTGGGAAGCCCTCAGCTATTAAAGGGTTGCAGAGATACGGTGTCTCTGATTAGATCAGCAGCTCTCCAAGGTGACTCGTTTTGCTACAGTGTAATAATGGATGGGAAACAGGGATTGGGGGACCTGAGGACTCTGAGTTATTTTTGTGAGTGGCACCTCTACCCTTGACTGAAAAACAAAATATCAAGTCTAATGGTTTTATATTTATAATGATGGATTGTGGTTGAGGTAGCTGCTTAAGGATGATAAAGCTATAAAATGGAGAGCCAGCAGACACAAGGGGAAGATCAGTATCAGCAAAGAGAAATTATAACATGTTTGAAATGCTAATGGAAACAATCTCTACACGGTGCTTAACAGTTATCCTTTATGAATATATAGCTGCAAGGAAAGATATCCTCTAGTGTGGAAGTGTCTGCATTGTTAACTACTGTTCGTGGAGCTATGGGGTTTCTCCTTTACAGTTTACCCCTGTTTTTATTCTAATATAGGAACATACAGAAAAGAGAAAACATATCAGCAAGCTTTAAAATGTAAGTTATTAACTCCAGGATGAAATACGCACACAGGTAATTACTGTAGGTATAAAATTAAACCTCTGTGCTGAAGCCCAGTATGGAAATCTTTATTCAACAAACAGCATGTCAGGAGTAGACAAACAATGGCAGCTGAGTCACTCAATAAAAATGATCCAAAGCACTTTCAGTGGACGTTTACTGTGCAAGTCACCCTCATTTTTAATGCCCTTTGGTCGATGATAAACTATAACTGTCAGCACATTGTAAACAGTCAGTATAACGAACAAGCTCCCCCGTCGCTGGGTTGTGTTTGATTAATCGGTGCGTGTTAAAGTAGATAATTGAGCATTTAAATGGATTCACAAAAGCTTTTTCAAAACAAAGCCTTAAATCAACAAGGAAAAGGGCAACATGTCCGCGTAAAATATATCATTTGACCACACACTCCTAAACTACCCATAGGACTGATCCAAAGATGAGTCATATGAGGTTTTTCTGATCTAAAAACACAGAGATGTCACGAGGTTGGCAAATACTAATGTTGTCTGAAGCCTAATGGAAAGCACTGGTCTAATTTTTATCTGTTGCAGACAAAAAAAAAAAGCAAAGGAGAAACAGTTTTCAGTATTGTAATTGAAGTCTAAAATAATGGTTCTGGAAAAAAACAAAATCAACTGAAAATTTGATTTTGAGATTTTACCTGACTACATAGAAAGCTGTATTCTCAAATCCACTTTTGGTGAGTCTTGCAAAGTATCATATCCTACTGCATTATGTCTTGTCATTAGCAATGTCCCCACCCGATATTGATTTTAGATATCAGTCCGATATCAGCATAAACTGAATATCAGATTATATTGGCCTGCATCTAAAATCTCTGATATCAGCACTCCAATGCAAGCAGTCCATTCCAGACTCCAATCCAGCACCTCTATCTAGCAACCATAATCACAACAACAGTGTGTGCTAAGGTACATACAAAGTAGCAAGGAATAGGAGTGATGTCGGCCATGTGGCGGTAATTTTTGTTGAAGTCCAAAAAAGACGTTGCAGCCGAGTGCAAAACTTGTTATGCACAAGTTTGTGCTAATATCGGATCAATATCGGTATCGGCCAATACTGAAGTCTTCAATATTGGTATTGTATTGGAAGTGAAAAGTTGTATAGGGACACCCTGACTTGTCATGCCTTATTGTATTGTAAGGTGTTGTATTGCACTGTATTGTGTCCATGTATGGTATCATAACGTATTGTCCCACATCATATCATAGATTGATCTGTGTATTTTAAGTGTCCCATGTATCACACGTGTTGTGTTGTATTGTATTGCATTATATGCGAAGTCTGTTTATATCCTATTGTATCAAATTAGATCCTATCAAATCACATTGTATCCTATTGTAACTCATCATATCATATTGTATCCTATCACATCTTATCCCATAGTACCACATCGTATCTTACATTATCATGACCCATGTATCATACCGAGGGGTTTTTCCAAAAGCTGCAGCATTGTTATCCCAGTCCATGACCAGATATAGACTACAGCACCCACCAGCGCTATAAAACAAAGAACCTTTGGGGAAAAACATCATAACCGGTTAAAAATTAATATCAGTTTCAGTTAGTGTGGCAAGACTGTTCAGCATCCTGGTATAGATAACAAAAATTATTTGCTTTACTGGCTCAGTCCTCTTATATGGCATCATACAGACCAGCTGTCACCAACTGCAGAGCAAACATTAACACAATTCCCCAGTGGGATGCCGACTATAAATAGAAATCAGGAAGTTATTCAGGAATAAAATTCAGGCATCTGTGTTGACTTTTAATTTGAAGCGTGGGGTAATGGCTGCCCGCATAATAACCCTGCTGCTATCTCTGGACACCTCTGAGGACGTACATGGTGCTGGGAGTGGAGACGATAAGGCTGTTTAATGCAGCATGTGAAAATGGGTTTGATCCTGTCTAATTAATGATTCACAGAGCCTTTGGAGGATGCTACCTGATGGATTGGGGGAGTTAGAGGCCTTTGTTTTGCATAATAACTGTAGTCATGGTCAAAGGTAATTAGCAGTCATGACATTATACTGCTTTCATCAGGTTTTTACTCTTTTTAATATGCTGTTGCATACACCTAACAAGTACATGCTGTTTTTGTCCTCGACTGGGTCCTGGACAGCTTTCACTTTAAAGATCCCATATTATACTTCTTTTCAGCAGGTTCACACAGGTCTCAGAGGTCCCAGAACAGTCAGTTTGAAGTTTGTTGTCTAAAAACCCAGTTTTTTTCCTGGACTTCAGCCAGCCTGAAAACTTTCTCTAGTGAGCTCTACCAAGAACACGCTGTTTTTCTGTGCTGCACCTGTCCACGCCTCCTTCATCACAAGCCACGCCCCTCCCTGTCTCTCTGGAAGAGGGGGGCACGGCTTGTGCTATGGTACCATGGGCTGATGTTTACATAGAGTGCTAGGTATGGTTGGTAGAAGCGCTGTTATCCAGCCGTACCAGTTTGATCCAGAGTCTGACCCAGAAGGAGAGGCTCCTGAAGAAATTCCAACTCTGTGGCTGCAGCAAGACGTTTCTGAATGGTTAGTTACAAATATTATGTGTCTTCATATTTTTCTTTTTACTTTGTTCGTGTGTTGGTACACAGTGACTTACATGTAGCTAGGTAACATTAGCTCCTGCTAACGATGACATCTCTGCTGTCTTGTCGTTACTTGGAGCTCTTTTGGTGAATGTGCAATATTGTGAGTATAGTTATCTCTTGTGACGATGTTCTTGCAGTCTACGGAAACAGACTTCTGTGCTGCTTCGTGCAGCCAACAACAGAGCAACTGCCAGGCCTTGCTCGTACCTTTGCCATTTCGAACCAGTGTTAGTGAGGGAGGAAAATAGTGTCTGTGTGGAAATTTTCAGGGGGCAGAACAAACATCTTGGGCAGGGTCACCAACCTGGAGGGGAGGAGTTATCGCTGTCCATAACGTCATGGAAGGCGAGAGTTTCAACCCGCCCGTTTGAGCAAACATTTTCTGAAAGGTGGAACAAGCAAGAGAGGGAGAGGATAGAAGTTTCTCATTTTGGGGGTTTTGTAGACAGACTGGGGATGCATGTTATTGTGAGAAAACCATTCTAAAGTGAATTTTGCATAATATGGGACCTTTAACTCTCTAATTCTTGTAGCTCATCTGTGCATACTGCACTCTCAGATAACTCACATTGTTTTGATTAGCAGCAGGTATGGTGAGTAAAGAGAAAACTTTTAAGAAGGGGCTCTGCTTTAAAGAGGATTTTAGCGAAATCCACTGATTCATTCAAGGGCCCACAAGGCAAACAGTTGTTTCAAAAACCTGAATTATCTTACCCAAGAGATATTTTCTCCTGTCAGCGAGAGTGAAATGAAAGCTTAAAGGAAATTGTTTTTCTGTGTGACGAGGCTCGCCGGCTCCTCGGAGCTTCACTGTGTTTTTCTTTTTGAGCAGACACACACCAAATTAAATCTGTTTATAGTCTTCAAGGATTTCAATCATCCATTTTATTGCTTTAGCAAACATTCCGCTTTTGTCCAACTGTGTTTGGCAGCAGAAAATGAAAACATCATGTCGAGCTCATTGAAATTAGGACATTCAAAAGATTTTCAACTCAAACAAGGAAGTTGTAATTAGAAGTTAAGGCAAACAAACAGATGTGCTGAGGGGGTTAGTTATCATAATGAGGGATGCACTCAGGAATAATTTGTAGTCACCACCTCTTCCCAAAAGCTGTGTCATGTGATTTCCATAGCAAGTGTCAAACCAGAGCTGGACTGATTTGAAAAGGAGGAAATGTCCCATTTCTGTCAGTTCAAACTCTATGATGGAGTATTTGGACTTTTCAAAATAAATCTTCATATAAAGCTCATACATTTATTAGGATAAAGATGTAATCTTACTAGAATTAAGTTGTAAATATTTGAGAATAAATATAATTTTATATAGTGTTTAAGATCAGACAAACAGTCAGCCGCCTGAAATAAAGTAAGAAAATGCAGCATCAGGTGAATCCAAACTGAGATATAAATCTAGAAATCTCAATGCCTGATCTTTTAGCACATCATTGCCACATTAGGTCAGGGTCCTGAATTGGTTTTGACTCTGAGTCTGTTATGAAGAGGGGCAGACTAACTGAGAGCCTGTGCTTATTTATTTAACCACTGTTTGGCCTCAGCTGTAGGGTTTACTGTCACAAGGTGATCCATTCAGAGCATGCAGCAGCTCGCTCCTTCTGATATCACACCTGTATAGCTGAGCCTTAGCCTGTTTTTTTTTTTTTTACTTTTTTCATTATGATTATGTAAATTTATAGCTTCAATATGATGAAGATAATAGAATATATTTATTTATAAAAAAAATTAACAAAGCACTTTGACAGTCAAAGCCATCTATGGTTGTGGTTCATGACTGTTCTTGTAAATGTATGACTTTAATGTTGTAAATCCATAACTTGGTTCTTTTGAATTTTTTCATTGTACTCATGCATATTGTCACTTCTTTTCATAACTTCATTCTCATAAAATTACAACTTCAATTATAAAATAAAAGACTTTAATTTGATAACATAATTATAATAATCATAATCTACCATTTTCTAAAACTTCTTGATGTGGACCTAAAAAAACTTTTTTCTGTGATTCTGATTTTTTGTGAATTTTAAAAGTTTTGCCCAAAAGCAAATCAATGATTTTCTGGAACTGGTCAGGCTAAAAGGTGAGTTGCAGTTTAGGGGTTGACTGATACTGATAATGAGAAAGCAGGTTGGCTAATGGCCGATATATGAGCCAATATCATATTGCAATTCTTTCTTTTCCCCTGCATTTGACAAATTTGAACAGTTTGTCACAAACACTTTTGAATATCTGTCCAACTATCTGAAACTATTGAGAGAGAGAAAAAAAGGACACAGTAATTAGATAATATCAGACATACATTAGTCCAGGACATTAAAATGTAATTGACACGATGATCTTAGCTGGTAACACGATTTATAAGTGAACTAAAAAAGACAAAGACATTAGGTTATGTTGCTGATCCCTAAACATGGCTGATGTTTTTGTAAAATCAATATTTAACTGTAATACTTTACATATTATAAAACAAATGAAAATAAACGCAATCCAGTGGCTGCTTTAGACTTGATTTGCTGTCGTTTAGGATGGGAGAAAGTGTTTTTATTTAGAAAAGATGATGGTGACAACAGCCTTGTGAGGGTTGATGCGGATATGATGCCAGTTACGTCAAAATGCTAGTGACTGGCCCAAATAATAAGCCGACTGATTAATCGCTTTGTCTCGAATGCAGGTGTATTTTTCAGGCCTCTGCACACTGAAATCTGCATTTCACAAGTTTTAAAGATCTTCTCCAAAATTTCCACAGTTTCTCTCTGTCACAAAATGTACTTTCTCGTCCTTGCAACACTTTCCTTTGACAGCAGGCTCTCTTAAACTTTTCTTATAAATTAGCTTGATGTCGGTGTAAGAAAAGAAAAATAATGAGGGTCAAAGTCGTGTTGAAATCTTAAGAAATGATACATGAGTGTGTCGGCTCTCTGGATGTTTAATTTGCACTTCCAGAGGTGGGAGCTTGTGCCACTCCAGGGTGCTTCCACTGTTTCCTGAGCGCTTTATGTGGTTTGTACACGTCTTTTGATGCCCAGCCAAGGTGCTCAGTATTGTGATTATCAGGGACCACCTCCTGGCTGCTGATGGGCTGTTAGTGAATCTGTGGTTGCTAAGCAACGTAATCTTTTGGACCCAATCTTTGCTATTGTTGATGCTGTCAAGGTTTGAAGGGAAGCTTTTGCAATAGCTCTGATTGGGAGGTACTCAATATCCTCAGGCCCCTCTAATAGCTGGAGGGGGATTATTTTTTTAATTTGTGGGATCAGTCAGAGCCAGAGGAGGTGAGGTGAGAGAGGTGAAGTGAGTGAAGGGATGGAGTTATGAGAGGAAGAGCTTGAGAGGAAGGACTTAGCTCTACTGGATTCCCCCTCAAGGCAGAATCAGGAAACCAGATACACCCCCCACCCACACACGCTCACACACACACTCACTTGCACACTATGCCAGCCCACCATCTTCCCTGTATGTGCGGCCTATTTTCCCTGTCAAGGTGGTGTCCTAGATTCAAAGTTCCATCAGATGAGTAAAACAAGTAAGGCAGTGTGATTAGATCAAGAAGGATGAGGAGGATGGGGTGTCACTTGGGTCTGAAAAGCAGGCTGGGTATTTTTTCATTCTGACATATTGATGCTGTTTTTGTTTTATTGGATTTATACTAAGATAGAGCGTGAAACCTTGCAAAAATAGCCTGTTCACTGATCTCTTCGGGAGTCGGTAACAGCGACTGCTTTTGCAATTTGACCCTGGAGCTCAGGCTTATTCAAACAGTTTTTTCAACTATCTCGGGAAAAATCAAGCGTGTGCCTGCAATACATATGCCCCATCTTGCTTTTGCATATCTGTATGCTCCTGTTTGTTTTAATAATTAGCAGTCAGCGGAGGTGTTCATCTGGAGCAGAATTCACCAGGGTACGATTTTGACTTCTTAGTGCAAATTAAATTACAGAGCGAGGCGCTCAAGGAGACAGCTGGTGATCGCTGCGTGTAGCTGAGGGCATGCAGAGCGCATAGTGCATAATACACTAAAACAGCCTCATCAGCTGCTGTGAAATGCCACACTCGTCACTTGTTCATTCAACAGGGTTTCGGATATTTACACTGCTCAACATCTCAAGGCGATGGTATTATAACTTGTGTAACTAGAGGCAGCAACATGACATTAAATCGGCCTGTTTCTTTGTTGCAGTGCATTGATTTCTTTAGCCTGTCCCGCCTGTGAAGCTCTTGTGTGAACATAATGAAATCAGTGCGCTGGCTGTAACAGCCGGGGTGTGAAAATGTTGCCAGGCATCAGTTTAATAAAGATGCAAACGTCATCAGTGCACCACCATGGCCCAGCCCTTTCTAATCTTATTTTGTACTCTCTTGAATTAAATCACCTCACACACACACACTCACATACAAAACCACACACCATGAATGCTAATAATAAAAGCTCATATTGCACATTTTTAGTCTTCCTCAGTATTTCCCTCAACATGTTAAAATCCAATTAGCCTCCCTCCGCTTGTTCCTGTCACTCTTATCTGTCTCGGCCCCTCTGAAGACTCACACAGGATTTATTAAAAATTTAAGCGCCCCTCTTTTAGGGGGGATAATATATTGGAAACCCTGCAGCATCAACATGAAGCTCTTAAATAATTCATGTGTGTAGCCTGCTGAAGACAGTACATGAACTGTGGCACTTGAGCTGTGTAATGCTGTGACATTTTAAAGAGTGCACCCATGCAGTAAATCTCTTGACCATGGGCTGATGTGGAGAAGCTTGGAGTGACCAGAACAGTGCTGTTATAAACAAGAGTTGATGAAGGTTGAATAAGGTGCATGAAAGGTCTCATATTATGCCAAATTCACTTTGGATTGATTTTAACAATAATATGCATCCCCAGCCTGTCTACAAACCCCCAAATTTAAGAAAATTCTATCCTTTCCCTCTCTTGCTTGTTCCACCTTTCAGAAAATGTCTGCTCAAACGGGTGGATTGAAACTATTGCCTTCCATGACGTCATGGATGGCGATAACTCCTCACCTCCAGATTTGGTGACCCTGCTCAAGATGTTTGTTCAGCCCCGGAAAAGTTCCACTCAGACACTGATTTTCTCTCTCACAAATGCGTTTGAAAAGGCGAAGGTATGAGCAAGGCCTGGCAGTTGCTGTGTTGTTGGCTGAAGGAGGCGTGGACAGGCACAACCATAGACTGTATATACTATGGACAACTTGGTTCCGCCTACCGCCTGTATACGGATTTGAAGCCATAAAGCTCTTGGTATTTTCCTGGGATTTTTCTTCATTTCTTGAAAACAGCGCTGCGCAGTATCGATGCGCGCATTCGGCCGCACAGTCGCTGTGTTGACGCTCGGCTCAAACAGCGTTTCCCCCCTGGGAGAGCTACGCAATCCCTGAACGCCCATAGGCTGTATCAGGTGTCAATCATAGAAAACATAAACCCCTAATAACTTTTGAAAACAGAGCCGTACAGAAAAAAGAGGACTTGAGCACAAACCAGTCTTACTGTAACTACATGTCAACATCACAAGCAGGGGGGAGAAAAATTTATGTTCTGTGTAATAAATTTCTAAAGTATGTCCACAGCCCAATAAGCTTTGCTGGCGGAGGCGGGATTTATGACCTATACTGCAGCCCATCAACAGAGGGCGCTGTTCTCGGAGTGGCTTCACCCAGAGAGGAGGCAGACTCTCCATTTTACATACAGTCTATGGGTGCAACACACAGAAACAGCGTTTTCTTGGTAGAGCTCTTTTGAGAGTTTTCAGGCTGGCTGAAGTCCAGGAAAAAACTGTTTTTATTTTAGAGAACAAACTTCAAATGGACTGTTCTGGGCTTTAAATAGTTCCTGTTTAAGTCCCTGTCAGTACCCAACAATGGGTCTCTGATGTTTCTCTGAAGCGGCTCTTAGCATTACTGTGAGTGCTGGCTTCACTCTTTGCATTCAAATCTATATGCAATAGAATAACAAGATTTTATGAGCCTGACATTTGTCAGCCTAAACCCCCCTTTTATCTTTATCTTAGTCTTTTGTAAAAGCACCAATATCCTCCTGAGTAAAATGCACTTTATTTGATAATGTCTCTGTTTTTTCAGTGGGCCGTGAAACCTGTTTTGGTTGTGGAATAGCTGAACCTGACCTCCAACCTCATGTGGAAATTGGAAAGAGTGAGGATGCGTTCCTTTGTCATGGATCAATAAACCATTAGAGAACCTCTCCTAAGTGGACCTGCTGGGTCGGCACAATGAATGGCTTTCAGCATCAAAGTTGCACCTTTAAAAAATAAGACTCTCAGTCTTAATTCGAACACAGCTCTGATCCGGAACGGTTTATAAGAAAACAAACATGGCTGTTCTGAGCTGCAGCAGTCACTTTTTATAGCATCAAAAGCTCTCGCTGGGTTCAAAGCAGCCCCTGTGGTCTGATTAAAGATTGGTTAATAATTCAGAGTTTTTGGAAGCGTTGTTTGGGGATGGTATCCTCTGCTGGTCGCCTTCACAGCTGCATGAGGCCTGCCAGTGACAGATGGCTCAGCCCGTGTGGACAGTTTGGTGCCAGAATAGCAGAAAAAAGCCTTGGACAATGATTTGGTGTCTCTTTTTCTTATTCTCTTTTTATTTTCCATTTATTTTCCATTTCCCAAACCTCTCATGATAAACCACATTTGCGATTTAAGGTTAACTGCCCTGATTGCATCTCATGGGTAAAATAACCTCTTAAAGACTCAGAGGAAACTTTCATTCCTTTAGTTTTTGTAAAAAACGTACAATGTTCTTAATACGTGTGGGCATCTTAATCACAGCTCATGTTAACACATTGCACTACATTGATATTGTAGATTTAGTCTAGTTTTTGGCCCATTAAATTAATCCCAGACTTTAGGCGAGTTTTGGAAGTTATTCTGCTCCTTCTGCTCTGTTGCAGACAGACCAAGAGCACAGCTTGGTGCTCCTTTTTTTGGGGAATCACACGAACAGCAGGATATTGCAGCCATTCTGAGTTGTCCATCAGTGCTCGGCTGATAGTAGCTTTGTGACCTGAGCAGCATTTTTATTCTCTGAGATCAATGGTTTTCTTATCCAGTGGTGATAACAGGCTGCAGTTGAATGGATCTGAGATGTAGTTTAAATTCAGAAAGTGTGAGCCTAATGTGGAATGAGAGGCTCATTTATTGATGGTTTTGTATACAAAATGAATGATCGCACCATGAGTCCCTTTTCCTTTTCCCTTTCAAATGCAATAAAAACGTATCGCGGTCCTCTATCAGAGTGAATGAAAAATAACCTCATATGAAGAATTCTCTCTGATCATTATATCTCACTTTACTTGTGAGTCGGACTCCATCCTCAGCACTGTCTGCTCAGCTATGTTGCTTCTTTGCCAACTCCCATGCAGTCTGTGCTGAGTCGTGTAGTTTGTCCAAAAAACATAATGAAGACAGACTCTGACTCAAACACTAATTCTGTTCGGATGTTTAAAGCTCTGAATTCATTTTGATTATTCTCATGTCTTAATACCCTCTAAAATAAATCTCCTGTTTGTCTAGGTCTTTAAATTTGCAACACTTATATTCATTGTTTCCGAGGGCCTATCCACAAAATTTGGAAAGATGGATTTTTTTTTTTTTTTTTTCATTTTTGGGAAGTAAATGTTAACCGTTTTAGTTAACCATTACTCAGGGTCGTGTCAAGAAGGGTGGCATGGACCCCCTGGAAACCTGGTTGGGAAGCCTAAAGCTTGGACTGTGTTGCAACAAAGTGCTTGTAGCTTACTTACTTACTTTAGGGAAAGAAAATGTCTTTTTTAACTCTGATTTATGTAACCCTTCTGGTGTTTTACTTTTTGAAGTAAGTTTAGATTAAATGCAGAGATATTATATTTGTTGAATACTTTGATTTAAGCGGTTAAAGCTACAGTGAGGAGTTTTATGATGGTCATGAAACAGATTATGATCCAATAAAACAAAAAACACCTCAGGGGACAAGATTAGCCATATTTTCTGGACTATAAGTCGCTCCAGAGTATACGTTGCACCAGCCAAAAAATGCACTATGAAGAGGAAGAAACCATATGTAAGTCGCACCAAAGTATAAGTCACAAACCCAGTCAAACTATGAAAAAAAGTGTGACTTGTAGTCTGGAAAATACAGTAATCATTCTAGATTGTCATCTTTTATGTCTGTAATAGCTGCCACTCACCAGACATTTGTGGTGAATGTTGTATTAGGCAACAAGGGGATATTCATTGCAAGAAAACACTTGATCAGTAATGAGTTGCTTTGACCACAGGGGGCGCCAAAATTGCACAGTCCAAAAGTTCCTCATAGGAGCTTTAAAGTGATATTATTAGTAAAGATACCCATGCAGGAGTCAGTGCCATGGTTGGCTCATCCTGGTCATCTGAACACACCTCAGTCTCATTTAGGTACATAAGAGTTTTATGTTAATTTCCTGTGCCCTGTCATTTTTGTCTCACCAGAACTGCCTGAGAACTGGACAGACACGAAGGAGACCCTGCTGGAGGGGATGGTGTTCAACGTGAAGTACCTGGGGATGACTCTGGTGGGCCAGCCCAAAGGGGAGGACATGGCCTCAGCTGCCATTCGTAGAATTGTTGCCATGGTGAGACACTAATCCTCCTCTGACTCCTCAAACTGCTGAACAGTGTAATTTATTCTGACTTCAACACTTCACAGTCATCACAGTCTTTCAAAGTACTTCATAGTTTACATTCTGATGTGATATAACCCTGTAGCATACATTTTAGTTGGTGACGTCAGCGATTTCATTGCAACGAGAAATTTTCAAGAGATGTGTGACACTGTGATGATTTCAATCACAGCGATGCTTTTTATAGAAATTCTCAAGTGATTTGGTACAATTAACGCCTCAAACTGCAGCACACATTATCAGAAAGCCTCGAAGGGGAATACTAGTAAATTAAAAATTGATGCGTCTTGTTCAGGTGAGCCAGGACAGTGATTTATGATGGGGCTGTGTTGCTCTCTCCAGGGTGTATATTCTCATATATTTACATTAAATCATTAGGAAGGGTGAATCTTAATGTAAAATATCATTTATGGCTGTAAAGCCTCTACTGGACAATCCAGTTCAGTTTGAATGTGGATATTTAAGTTAAAACTGATGTACCAAGCAACAGTTTAGGGTCAAATATTCTTTAGAACTGTAGAAAATAGTTTTTCTCAGTGTCATTTCTGAAATCCTCTCAACATGTCGCTGTAGGGAGGTTCATGTTTCCTCAAGGTGAATTCGGCTGCATGGAAACCCAGCTGTTAAATCCAAGATAATCGATGGGAGCACATGTGCAGCGGTCCAAGCAGTGATATGAGGTTGACTTAACTTCATTGGACCAGACAGGATTTCATCGAGCAGTTTCTACATCAATTCAGAATCCTGCTGGTTTAACAAGATTGTTTTGAAAATTGTAAATCAGTCCGTCAGGTTGAAACCGAACAGAAAGACACAATAATTTTCACATTTTTGTGCATGCATACCCTCACACATGTACCTTTTCAGTGAATCCTGCCAACAATTACAAAGTCTAATCTGTTGGCTTTTTCTGCAGGGCAAGGGCCGATAATCACAAACCTCCTGCTCCTTCATTAGAGACTGAAGTGAACCTAATGGCAGGATTAAGATTCACTTGATTTACAACAGTACCAAAAAGGAAAACACACACACACACACACTGTTGTCTCTGTCTGTTCCCTTGGAAACCAATCAACCTGAATGGGATTAGTGAATACATTTGTGACTTTTTCCATTTTTCTACATGCTTCAGTCAGGATTGATAAGACAAAACCGGGGGACCTGACGCACTCAGAGAGGCTGAACTTGGCGTATCTCAAGCTGACAGATTGCTTTTTGCCTCGTGGCACGACATGAGAAACATGACTGAAGAAAATGTGATTGTTAGCACTTCCTACATGAATGAGCTGCCACTGCCAGCCCCAGCACGCTCTCCCCCTCTCCTTATGAAGCCAGTTTCCCATATAGTAAGTGTAGTGCAGTGTCTGCTGTTCTCCAGAGTGTTTAGACTGCTACAGAAAACCCCGACCCCATTTCTCTTGTCCTTCAGAAGTCCTGGTTTTGGTTAAGCGCAGATCCCGCTACTTTTTATCCTCAAAATCCCTTCACTGTTAGCCTTCACTTGACCTCCTGTCAAAATAAAAGCACTCTGATGCATGGTGGATGGCGAAGTAAATGATGAAATCTCTGCTGTTTATTTCCTAACGCCACTCTGTATCTTTAACTTGATATCATCCGGGTGTGAAACTAAGCTGCTCTCATTTGCCAGCTAATTGCACAGCAAGGAGGGCCGTTGTCATTGTCAACAGGCGCTCTCATAGACCGCAAGCTCAGCAATGTGGCCGTTATTTTCTGAAAGTCCAGATGGAGGAGAGCAGCAGGGGAAGTAAATGGCTGCCAGCCCGACCTCGAGGACACATTCTGGGCTACACATTGCAGCTCCTCTCCCCCCTCTGTTCTGTCACCTTTTTATAGATTCCCAACATTTCTGGGACGGCTCATGCAGGCTGCTTAGTTTTGCCTGGTAACTGTCACATAAGAGGGTCCAAGGAGGAAAATAAGATATATACATGTGAGGGACAGGACAAGCAACCTGTCTACACCTGTGGCAAGATTCTTCTGTCTGATTTTAGTGTTTACATGTGTTTTTCTCTATCCTCAGGCCAGAGCCAGTGCTAAGAAGTTTCGGAAAGTAACACTGACGGTCTCCCCAAAAGGCATCATAATCACAGACTCAGAGACGACAGACCTCATAGAAAACGTCTCCATATACAGGTAAATGAAAACCTGCTACTATAACAAGAGATTGAAAACACAATTCAGCTCAGTGTTGATGTTTATGGAGACTAACGTTTCAGCAGAGTCCACATTTGTGCTGCACCAGACTGTACTTAAGTGCCCATTGAACACAGGTATTTTTAGTCCTGATAGCTGCAGGGCCTCATGTTTTCAGAGTCACTCTGTTCATTTCTCCATCTGCGCTTTTGTATTTTGGTCTGCCAACATGTCGCTCTGACTAAAATATCTCAACAACAAGGGGATAAAAGTTGTATGTAGGAAACCATTTAATCCAGAGGATGAATCCTGCTGACATTTAACATCCTGTATCCTTACTGTAGTGCTGCCATGGGTTGAATTACTCATGTTTTTATTTGTGAGGTATTGTTAGATTGTACATACATGAAAAACTGAGGCAGGGAGAGCAGCAGCAGCTTGGGTAAAAGCCATAGACTGGATATAGAATGGACGCCGTCTGCCACCCAGAGAACAGCACCCTCTGGTGACGGGCCGCAGTATAAGTCATAAATCCCGCCCCCTCCAGCAATCCGTATGGAGCTGTGGACAAACTTTAGAAATTAATTACACAGAATATGAATTTTTCTCCCTCCTGGTTGCGATGTTGACATGCAGTTAGTGTAAGACTGGTTTGTGCTCAGGTCCTCTTTTTTTCTGTGAAACTCCATTTTTAAAACTTATTAGGGGGTTCATGTTTTCAGTGACTGACACTTGATACAGCCTGTGGATGTATGAAGATTGTGTAGCTCACCTGGGGTTACGCTGTTTAAGCTGAGTGTCATCACAGCGACTCTTGGCCACTGTCCTGCCGAATGCGTACAATGCTACTGCAAAAGTGGTGGTTCCAGGAAGTGGAGATATAACCTGGAAATGTCAAGAGCCATTCAGCCTTAAATTGGTGTAATGACAGAAGGCTGAACCAAGTTGTCCATAGTATATACAGTCTATGGTTGTGATCGAGATTACAGCTCTTTGTTGAGACCTCGATCATTTGACCCAGCAGCAACAACAGCCATGTCTTCAGGTACAAACAGCTCCCCATTGTATCAGGAACTGTATCGGCTGAATAACAGGATTCAAAGAAGGAAAAGGAAACCAGCTGCCAACTGGGCACAGGCTCATCTCCCACTTGTTAGATCTGGAATAGGTTGCACAGAAGTGAGTGTCAGAATCATGTCATCCATGACCCACCTATCGCTGGGAAAAAAAAAAAACAATCAGGAAGGAAAAAAAAAACTGAAAAGGCATAAACTCTTACAAAATTAAGGATGCAAATTAATTATTAAAAGTTAAAGTAGCTGACTATCTAAGCAGTGCTCTGATAGCATTGACTGCGCACTCACATGCACCCTCTAGCTTCTTTATTTTTTTGCTAAAACAGTCTCAAATGACGCCCCATCATCAGTCAGATATACCTTGATGGCTGTTGAAATTGAGCAAGTGGTGTGCAATCAGAGGGGTTTTGTAGCTTGTGGCACTGCACTGCGAAGCATGCAACTTGTGTGCAATCATTGTGTTGCTGATCCTGACAGTGAGGAAACATAAGAACGCCTGATACCATATTTCTGTGTTATGACAGAGCCGTCAGACCTACACTCAAACAACAAAATGTACAACTATTCCTTTGTAACTTCAATGAAACTCAATTTTTCAGTTTTTGATCTTCTTGGATGTCTTGAAGAAGTGGAAGAAAGTATTTTGAAAGAACGCTTTGTTAGTCTCCACATTTGGTCTTTTAAGTCTGATTTATCATGCCCTAGTTTTCAATAACTTGCAAGGATGTTGAATATTTGGGAGTGTTTCAATCCAGAATTAGTCTTTTCTCCTTCTACACACTGTGCCTTTAAGTACCAACTGTATAGGTTAGCATGCTCACAGGTTTACCATAGACTGTATATACTATGGACTACTTGGTTCCGCCTTCTGCCATTATACAGATTTGAAGCCAAAAAGCTCTCAGTATTTCCGGGTTTTTTCTCCACTTCCTGAAACCAACATTGTGCAGTAACATTGTATGCACTCCACCACTTGCGCAGTGGCGTTGTACACATTCAGCGGGAGAGTTGCAGAGAGTCGCTTTGTTGATGCTCGCCTCAAACAGCGTATACCCTAGGTGAGCTATCTTTGTACACCCATAGGCTGTATCAAGTGTAAATCATGGAAAACATAAACCCCCTAATAACTTTTAAAAATGGAGCTGCACAGAAAAAAAGAGGACTTGAGCACAAACCAGTCTTACAGTAACTACATATCAACATTGAAAGCAGATGGGAGAAAAAATAATATTCTGTGTAATTAATTTCTAAAGTTTGTCCACAGCTCCACAGGGATTGCTGGAGGAGGCGGGATTTATGACCTTTACAGCAACCTGTCACCAGAGGGAGCTGTTCTCGCCCAGCGAGGAGGCAGACAGCGTCCATTCTATATACAGTCTATGAGGTTTACCTGTTAGCCTGCTAACAAGTAGATGAAATGTGTGACTGTGCAGAAAACAGCGAACAACTCTCCCTAGCATTGCCATGAAGAGCTTTTTGCAACACGGACAGTAAACCATGTAGACTGGAGAGATGTCATTGTGTCCATTTGTACTTTTATAACTGTTAATCTTCCTCATAAATACATTCTTGTTCAGGGCGGCAAAGTGGTGTAGTGGTTAGCCAAGACCCTCTTGCCTCACAACAAGAAGGTCTTGGGTTTGAATCCGGCCCAGGGCGTTTCTGTGTGGAGTTTGCATGTTCTCCCTGTGTCTGCATGGGTTTCCTCCCACATCCCAAAAACATGCCTAAGTGGGGTTACGTTAATTGGCCACTTTAAAATTGCCCTTAGGTGTGAATGTGAGTGTGGATGGTTGTTCATCTCTATATGTCAGCCCTGCGATGAACTGGCGACTTGCGTCCAGGGTATCCCCTGCCTTCGCCCGAAGATGCTGGGATAGGCTCCAGCCCCCCTGCTACCCATAACGGGAATAAGAGGTAGAAAATGGATGAAATGGACATTCTTGTTCAATTTAAAAAGACTTTTTAGATCACTGTGTCTCATCATATCCTATTCAATAGTTTTTTTTTTCTCTAGCAGTGTGCAGTGAGACACTAACAGTCCCAGTGACCTCATTCTTATAGTACTACTGTCTTCATGCTCATAATTGAAACTTTAATGCTGAACATAATGAAATTCATTCACACTTTCCAGAGAGTCACTCTGAATGATTGTACTGTTATCTCAACAAGTGACTTCTTTACTCATGAGTATAATATATGAATCATAGTCAGCGAATACTGGGTCATTCATCGGATTCTTCTTGTACCAAGCAAACACTGTTATGTTTTATTCTTGACGATTGGTTTGTCACCTGCGTTAAAGAAAAAAAAGTGAACAACTTGGCTTTATCTGATCCATGACACTCTCTTATGTAGGTCACTCTGCTCTGTCCATGGCTGTTTGTGCTCCATTAGACCGAGCACTTTCCTGCCCAGAGCGTCCAGTGTTTGATCATTTCACAGGAACACCATTGATGTAAGGGCAGGAAAGCCTCAGTAGGGGGTGTGTGTTACTGTCTCTGAGTCAGTGAATTGAACCCCCTTTAGTTACACGCTTGGCCTCTTCACACCAAACCAGTGAAGTGTGTGTGTGTGTGGGTAGCGATACGTTTGGCTTGTCTTCCCTTCTTGTTGGAGAGCATCCTGTAATATAGACCCAGCCTCTTGTCATTGAGGATTACACTCAAAATATCATATGGCTGGACTGTGATTACCAAACAGGCTGTGATCGAGACATGAGAGTGTGTCTCCTGTGTGTGTGTGTTTGTGTATGTTGGTTCGATCCCTTTCTTATCCACCTTATCGGCGCCAACAGACCACAGGCGACGGGGAATCAGCCTCGTCTTTGATCTCCTTCTTTCCTCTCCTTATCTCCTCTTCTCTTCTTCCCCCTTTCATTATAGCCGTCTATAAACGAGTCTTTCTTTCTGCTCTTATTAACATAAACAGAGATATTAACGTAGGAATACCCATGACTAATTGGCCACTTTGAAACTCAGGCTACTTAAACTCCATAGTAATGATGGCAGAGAGATAGATGGGCCACATTCAGAGCGAGGGTTGACTGAGGATTGATTTTTTTCCCTCTGTTATGAGACCCCACCCCCACCTCTTCTTTGCCCCTCTCCCTTTGTGCACCTCCTTTCTTGTGTCTTATTTTAGTTACACATAATCCATTTATTGGCCAAGAAAGCGAGTGAAGTGTGAAAGACCGTGGAGTGCAAGAGAATGGATCAGATCAGACTGTTTATTGGGCATAACAAATAAGCAGAGAAAAAGCAGGAAACGCAAGGTTTGTGTGTTTGTATTTGTGCACACACTGGCCGTCCATGCGTGAGTGGACATAGAAGCCTATAAGTATGCGCCTCACACTCTTGGGTGTGCATGTAAATGTCTGTTTTTGTGGCGTTAATTGTGGATTCACACCTAGTGGAGGTCTAGCTTTGTCCCTCAGGGGGAGGCTTAGCGAGGAAAAAACAGTCAGGGAGATATTGTGCATCACATTTGAAATAGGATCCTCTCAACCATGACCCTCCCAGCCCCCTCCACCCACACCCACGCACTCACTTACCCACCCACATTGTGCTATCATCCTCTGTTTTTTGCATTAAAGTTTTCACACTTTTATGAACCGATATTTCAGCCACTCAGACTTCATTGCGTCTAATTTGCAGCTTCCAATATTAAAGTTGTTTTAACTTCCAGTAGGGGCAAATGTTGCTTGTGGCACCGCTGTAGGTCTTGCTGCCGGCACTACTCTGGAGGTTTGATGATAACTCGACCATAAAAATGTTGTGAAATACTTTGAAGAGTAATTTCTTATCAGTTAGGGAGTAAAAAAGGCAAAACTTCAGAGATGGTCACTGGCCAGATACATACAGACATAAAGATGTAGGGATGCATGATATATATAAAAGATCTGAACAAATATGTACCAGGAATTTGATTTGGATGTATACCCTTGTGTAGTCACGCCCACCTCCAGAAGTGCCAGGGCAACACAAAGGTGAGTGTTGACTTGGATTCCAAATCCCCAGATCTCAATCCAGCCCAGCATGTGGAATGCTACAAACATGATCCCTGGAGGCCCCACCCCACAGCTTACAGATCTTAAAAAGTCTGATGTGAACATGCTCATATGGTGCCAGATAACACAGCACACCTTCAAAGGTCTGGTGGAGTCCGTGTCTTGTTAGTTTAAGGCTGTTTTGGCAGCAGAGAGGGGTTCACAATATTAGGCAGTTGATCATAGCGTAGTGGCTGTTCCCTGTTGATCTCAAGTGCCGCCCTTCAACACATCTAGCTTTGACTCTAATAACTGAAAGCAATGAAAACCAACAGGCCTCACTTTGATCGAACAGGGCAGGTTATATCATCTGAAGTTGTGACATTTAAAAAGTAAACACGTCTTTGGAGTGAGCCAAGCTCGCTGTTTGACTCTTGAAGCCACGCTGAGTTAAAATAACTCTCTCCTGCACTCGCTGCATGCTCTGACCAAAGATCTAAGTCTTGGGGAATATTTTTTGAAAATGTTGCACATTCTTTTTCCTTCAGAAAATGTTAAATGATGAGAAAAAATCTTGACATATAACAGCTGTGACTAAAAGTTGAGAAAGAAGAATGGCAGTGTTATTTCTATTTTTAACTGATGCACAGATTTAACACATTTTCAGTCAGTAGAGGTGGGAGAAAATATTGATATAGCATAGTATTGCAAATTTTTTTCTGGTGATATATCATATCTTCTCATTTACCAAGTATTGATTTTTCAAAATAATTGTTAATATGAAGTCAAATCTTTGATAATGGAAAAACAAAATCAACTGTTTGTCCAGTGAGGTTGACAGGGGTGACATCATAGAGCAGAAGAAAACTAGTACAACAAATATATATAAGGTTTGCAAGATGTGCTACATGAAAATATAATACAGTGTAAATAAGACAAACATAAAGGAAAGACAAATGCTTAATTAGCTAAACAGTTGAAAAAATTGTATAAATTGTAATATATTGTATCAAAATACTCACCTTATCGCAAAATGTTAAAAATCACAATAATATTGTATCGTGGCCCAAGTATCATGATAATATAGTATCGCGGCCCAAGTATTATGATAATATTGTATCGCGGCCCGAGTATCATGATAATATCACATCGCCGCCCAAGCATCATGATAATATCGTATCGCAGGGCCACTGGTGATTCCCAGCCCTATACGTAAGTCAGTATTGCTCATGTGTTTACTGATTTCAGACAGGTACAGGTTGCAAACTGATTAAACTAAACTGATCCGTTGTCCTGATTCATTTCTAAACATGAGTGAAGAAAGTGATTCTTGTTACTGTACATCCCCCAGTGAGCTGCACACCATGAGGTGTTGAGCCTCTATCTGGACCGGTGTTTCAGATTCACATTCTGACAGGAGCTCTCGGACTCGACCAGCATATCAATCAGAGAATCACACGGAGCTGAGCGTTCTCTGACAGTCCACCTGCTAATGATGCTGCATGTCCTGACACATTGTTAGATCTGTGAGATTTTTATACAGTTATGAAAGCTTTCCTAAGATTGAATTAGCAGAAATTCTTAATGCTGCTTTTTATTACTGCACATAAAATATGTAAACAGAAGTAGTTCTAGTGAAAGAGCATACCTGCTTTATTCAGTGTACACATAAGCTTTGATGTGCGTGGCTCTTTTTCAAGCTTTGTACTGTGAATATTTAAATATTTCCACTGATATTCCCTCGCTGCCGCACAAACAGCGGTGCTCGACACAGCAAGGAGATCAAAGGCTGGAGTCCACGGAGCCTCTTTGGAGATATGATGCAGACTGACAGCTCAGCGTCTGTTGTTCGAGCTCAGAGAAAACACCGCCGTGCCGTCAGTTATTCATTTTTTTCCTGTTATTGTTTCAAACTCGAGGATTGTTTCATGAATGCCAGCCATTGTTTGGCTTGCTGTAATTATTTTTTTGTTTGCACTGATTGTCCTATCACAAGTTCAATCTGCAAACACAAGAGTTGACAAGAGTTTGCCCTATTCAGGCAGCTCGACAGTGGAAATCAAAGAAACAGCTTGTGTGTCTTATCCTGGAGGATGAGATCTTGATTGTGCACTCAATGAAGCAGTTTGAGTGGCATTATTATCAACAGGATGCTTTAATATAAAGAAAAACTGTCACTTGTATGATCTTTATGTCAGAAATTTTGATTTATTGATACTTGCAGATAACATGACTGTTTTATTGTTTAGTATCAGCATGTTACTTTGAGCACAGCTTAGTGTTGAAATTATTTTAGTAGGTTTCTGCTGAATTTTTATCCCTGCAGGCGCTGTATGTGCACTGACCTATTTGCCTATTTCCCTTCTGCCTACAGCTGAGTATTCTGGGATGTCTAACAACATAGTGTGGACAATGAACTGCATTTCTTGCAGAAATGTATTCATGAAACTCTGTTGCAGAACTTCACTTTATCTTGTATCTCTGTTATAGTGTAGGATTAGGAGAAGATTGCACTTATCCCCAGACTTTGAAATCTTTAGGCTGTGTTATTTGTCTGCCTCTCCATAATTGCTCGGGGCCTTTGTGAAAACCATTATTTGACTTGATGAGAAATCCTCAGTACAGGAGCTTTAAATTTGAACTATGAGAAGTTTGAAGTCAAATCAATGTGATTTTTCCTCATGAGGATTTGTATTATCTTTGTATTCATAAAAACTATACAGAAAAACTGCACGATATATAAGGAAAACTCGTCATCTCATCTACCATCTCTTTCATCTCAGTTCTGGAAATCAGGTTGTATATAAAGATTTATTCAAGTAAAAATAATTAAACAAATCATAGCTGTTATGAAGTTCGTAAAAATAGATAAATATCTGTTTAAATTGTATAAATCAGCTCAAGTGTGTGTGCAGATGTTACGTCAAGAGCTCTTACAATTTTTACTGCAGTATCTGGATAAAAATGCTGCATTAATACCACTGTCACTGAGACTTTATGCACCATTGTGAAGTCTGTAATGTATTACTGCATTATAATGATTAAAGCTTCTACTTACACTGATGAAAACCAAATTCAGGGTGCAGGTCATTGAGAGCATTTAAGATAAATTGCATGTCCCTACTTCCTCCTGTTGTATAATAGTGGAGCCAAAATACCCCCAAAATGACAATTGTTGACATTTTTTATGGTCCCTTATCCTTTAAAGCCCATCTCAAAAATGCTGTTGATATTTGGAAATTATCTGAATCATGAAAACTAATTGCAATGACAGAATGTGTTTTGAGATGATGATGAAATACTGTTTTTTGTGTATTTTGATTTTCAAGTTTGTCCTGTTTAGCGATGAGAATTAAAAATATATTTTTTTAAATACTGGTTTTATTAAGGATTCTGCCTGTCAGTCCAATTCTTCATCAATTCTATATTTTAAGTTTCTTCATGGCATAAACAGGTTTTACAGTGTCATATCAAGTTTTATAGCCATCACTACTCTGCTTGAAAGGGGGACGTCTGGCTTTTGATTGGTCTGTTACAGGTCAGCTGATTGCAGACACAGGTCAGCACACCACGACACAGCAAGGAGCATCTAACTCACATAGCCAGAACAAGAAAAATGTATTTTTGCTCTTCATGGATTATATATAACTGCAGTGGCTTGGATCAGGACAGACTCTTAGAAACAAACTGGTTTCTCTGTGGGACAAAAGGACCCTAGGTGTAGGGAGGCACCAATCAGATATTTGGATCAGTTATCAGCTCCGATATTGACAAATTAACTGGATTGGATATCTGATGGATGACGTCGATCCAGCGTTCCTATCCAGTCTTTTTTTTTTTTTTTTTCAATTAATTTTTTTTAAATACATGGGAGTCTTACTTCTTTTTGCTGTGTGCTAATGTGCAATTTGTTATTTCTTAATAGATAATATTAAGTAAATCTATATCTGTGTTAATTTGTTCGCTTTTTTTTTATCAAGGCTAATGTCAAGCCCGATGCCTTCACTCACAGGGCAAGGTATACAGTTCATTCATTCACCAGTAGTATTGGATCATTATCGGATATCAGCTGATATGCTCAGCCCAGGTATCAGTTTCGGATTGGATCGGAAAAAAAGGATCAGTGCATCTCTACCCAGGTGTCCAAAAAAGCAGAGTTTAAGGCAGAAAAACTGATGGTCTCATGGAGAAAGTGGATTTTACTATACGACGTAGGAAGCACATCAGTATTATATTGTATACAAGCCTAATTTGTACTGCTCCTGTTTCGATTGACTGATTTGACTTCCTGGTTGTTTTTTACCCAGGTTGGAACTGGTCCTCACAGCGCATTCCCAGTCCCGTTTGCTACTATGAAGGTGACAAACCTAATCACGTGTATAGCTGCAAGTCAGTAGAGAGAGCCCTTAATGTTTTGGCTTCACTTTGGGGGAGCTGTTATGTTATCCATTGTTTTTATAGAGTAGCTGGTGTACACACACAGCAGCAAATTGCAAATCTTTAGAGGCACAATTAGTATGCACAGAATTGAGTTGAAATCAGGTTGCAGAGAATATAATGGGGAGAACGTAGAAAACATCCCAATCAGATGATAATTAAGTTGAGGGTGAGCACTTTGTTACATCACAGTGTTTTCCAAACTCAAATAGGCCAACTTTTTTAACGTTTTCTCTGCTCATTTTCTGCAATTAAGGTCCAAATATAAGTTATAACACAGGGGGAAAATGGAGGGGGCAGGGGGGATACCGAGCTGGGTGTCAGGGGCATTACAATGTGGGTCATGCATCAGTGGTGCAAGCCAGCAAACAAGGCTGCTGATTTCATGCTCGTTGTTTGATGGAGTAAAGTGCTGCATTTTTAGCGCCCCTCTTTGAAGTGGGGTTGCAGATGAGTGGCTGCCTGCTGTGGATCCTTTTTATATGCAGCATGGAAGTGTGCTGCAATGATGACAGATTATTTAGACATCAATACAGCCGAGACAGCAGCCCTATGGTGTCTTCAATCACTGAGGATGACATGCTCTGAGTGTCAAAGCTGAATAGTTAATCGGAAGTTGGATGTCTTCTTTCTAGAGGTAAACAACTTCTGTAGTTTTATTTGAGGCTAAATAAGTGCAAAATGCATCCGCTTTTGTCCTTGTGCTGCTCATTTTAAAGGTTATGTGTTTAATTAGAGTGACAAAGGTCATGTGCGTGACTCCCTGTGGCTCATTTACACATCTATTTAAAGCCACAAACATGACACGCTCAGCTGGATCAGGTAACCGCCTCAGACGGACACACAGCCTGACTCTGGATCAATACTGATTCTAACAGTCCGAATAAAATCCAGCCAAACAAATCCATCAGATCTGTGTCTGTCGCTTTAGGAAACCCATATGGGCTTTTTGTGGGTGGCGTACTTGGCTAGATTGGTTTTAGATAACCATTCAGAATACTGTGGCATGGACTGCAGATATTTGGATGTCTTGTGACTGGAAATAAGATCCAGGTTTGATTCAGTGTGACTGCTGGGAATGGCTTCTGAGGCACTTTTGAAGTTGCAGTGGAGATCAATTCGTAACTCTGGATTTTCCATTTCCCGCTGACATCAGAAACTTGGATATTTGAACAGGAATAACTTTAAATCGCGAGGCTGTCGGGGAGTTTGAAGACAGACCTTTGATTTTCAGGTATTTTTCATGGGCTTTTGTGTAATAGCAGATTTTTCATGGGCTTTTCTGTAATAGCAGATGTCAACATCTCTAGTTTTTGCACTGTTCTCCAATAAATCATGTTTTCAGGCTCGATTACATTTCCAAGCAGAAACATCAATCCACAAAGCAACAGCGTCTCAGCTAATTTTTGCATAAACTACACTCTTAACCCTAAAATATGAAACGCTGAAGAGCCCACTCCCAGCATCAAGCATCTCTCATGGGTGTCACTGACGCTCTCGTGTCTCCTGCTTCACCAGCCCCAGCTGTGGGACCTCATCAGCATAATATTCATAACCACTGCTTTCATCCCGCCATGATTGGTTTGCTTATGCATATGCGAGAGGGTTGAGGGTTGAAAAGTTATAGGCCTTTATTGACACAAATGCAGTGCAGCTTACTTTGAAATATGAGGTATGACTGAGAGTGCAGGGAGGTAGGTAATGAACAGAACATGACTCTCTTTGTTCTGCATGCATGTACTGTGATTAAATAAGGTGTTTGCCTGAAGACATTCAGGGCATAAATTGGTTCCTGCCTGCTGCAGTTGCTCATTTATCACCATAAATGAAATAATGTCAGTTGGATTTATAGTATTGGTAAGTGTGAGCATGCTTCTTTGTTTTTCTGTTTTCTTCTGCAGAATCTCGTACTGCACAGCGGATAAAACTCAGGATAAGGTCTTTGCATACGTCTCCCAGAGTCAGTTCAATGAAACGCTGGAGTGCCACGCATTTCTATGCCAGAAGAAGAAAATCGTACGTAACTAGCGCCTGTAATCATTGAATTTTCATCTGTGTTCATACTTCTATTTGTCATGATGACAGTATACAACCTTTTAAACTTGAGTAGGTCAGAAGGAGTGTGTGTGTGTCTGTTATGATGAATGACATCTGAGGCTGAGTGGATTTAATGTAAGCGGTGTGTGGCTCCATCTTGTGGCAGCTTCAGCTCACAAGTCTGCCTAATAAACTAAAAATTTTATGAAAAAGTTTAGAAAGTATTTGATTTTTTTTAAAAGGATCTGATAATTACTGTAGATTATCAAATACCTTTTTAAATATATTCCTACAGACATTTTCTGAACCATAGTGCATCACATTAACTTTTGATAGTGTTTTATATATCACTCTTGATTTTTTGTTTTTTGTTTTTATTTGTTTTGTCTTTTTTTCTCTCCAGGCTCAGGCTGTGACATTAACCGTAGCTCAGGCCTTTAAAATAGCCCTCGATCTTTGGGAGATCGCTCAGGAAGGTGAGTCACCAAATTGAAGGAAGGTCAAAATCAAAGGTACTCCTGATGTATCCACAGGAAGTTTAAGCCCTAATTTAAAGTGTTATCCAAAGGGGCAATTGGACCTGGTTGAAGTTCTTGATAGGCCTCTTCATTTTTGAAAGTTGACAAGGGTCACAGCTTGAGATATCTAACCTTTGTGACCATGGGTCTGGCAAATGGACCCTGCGGTCACCTGGAAGTCATTGGCAGAGTCGTTCACCTTGTTTCCTCCAGGGGTGGTCACATGATCTTCAGTCAAACAATTATCGGTCACATGAGTCGTCCTTGTCTTGTAGAACTTCATCGTCTGTTTGATCACAGATGACAACTCGCTACTACTAGTTGGTGGGTACTTAACACTTAATGCGCGCTAGTGACAGAGTTCAGTTGACAGATGGCGGGGTGGAGGGGTAAAATATGGTAGTTTCCCAGCCAAAACGAGATACATGACAGCTATGCCTTGGATCAAGCCTTGGAATATCATGGTCCATCCTAATTCCTAAGGAACTTCCCTTTCACATATGCTTCTCACAGCCTGGGTAAAATGCTGTTTCTATTATTGCACCTATGACAAACAACCAACTACTGTGACAATTTTACACACAATAAAATGTTTTATGGACAGTTCAATCATAAAAAAAACACTTTCATTGGTGACTTATTGGGGATTATTCTTGTCTGCCAAGTATCAAGGCCCGAGGGAATCATCACTCTTTAACCTGCTAAAAGGCACACACATTTCAGGGGAAAGGCAAAAGTTTACAGTAAAGAGGGTGCCACCCCACAACAGAGTCTTTAAAGGCAGTTTAGCTTGGTGGCACCAGACCAAATGGTAGCTGGATTAAAGTAAAAACTGAATGGACAGTTGGACACAAAGAGAGGATGCTTTGCTGCATTTTAAAGCAGTCAGACTCAAGAAAATTCACTGTGCTGTTATTGCTGCTGGAATTTTTAAGGTGGAGTGTTGTCTCTCATGTTTTTCAGTGCATGAGGTGACACTATGAATCAAACAAACAACCTTAAATGTCAAATTGATCACTGACTGTTGTTTGTTTTTATCTCTCTCCTATCTCTATCACATAAACTTCAGTCGTAACAGCATCTTGCTCAATAAAGTGTGGACTTTAATCATGTGAAGCAAGCTGCTAAAAAAATGTTATTTCCTCACTTTGAGAAAAACTATTCTGTCTGCTTTAAGGAGGTTTGGGCAGCATATTCTGCAAAAGTGACTGTACCTGTGCCCACATCACTCCAACATGTATAACCACACAAACAAAACAATTACACACAATATTTTGTTATACATAGCAAAGAGTAAAATGCACAGAAACTCCACTCACGATCCTGATTTTTTTCCTGCAGTATTCACACATTAGCTCACCGTGACTTCTTAAGTTGGTAGGAAAACATTTAGATAAGTGCATGGAGGACATGTCTGAAAACTTTCAACAGTGCAGTGCATGATGTAAGGACACTCCAGGAGCTAAGATTTGAGGTTTTTTGTGTTTTGATCTTGTCTGCAGACAAAAGCAAGAAGGCCAGGACCTGCTGTTCATGTGCGACAAACAACGGCCAAACAGAGACAACAGACACTCAGTGTGTTCCTGCAGGTTTGTGTCTGAGTTTTTCCTCCATCAGTTTGTGTTTCTGCATGTTTGATGAAAGTTAAACAGCAAAAAACAGAGGCAGTTTAATCACAGAAGAGGGTCAGAAATGACAGCATATGATTAACTGGACATAAGCTGAAGTGGAGGAAACCAGAAACAACAAAAAAACAGGTAAAAACATGCTATAGATGATTTTAGGCAAAGGTCTGATATTTCTCAGCTGTCCCCTCTAACTCTGACTCAATGGATGGGTTACTAGACACAATTTATCAATGTTACACCCAGCAGTGGAGTGGACAGCTCATTAACAACAGTTAATAAATGGATGATCAGGATTGGGAAATAAGGGATTTTTCTGGAATCAATCACAGCTTGTTTGTTTGAATCCTTTTATTTGAACTGACGAGTCCAGCCTGCTAAATTTGGCCACCTGAGGTTCGGTGAGGAGCTACTGACACACACTCCTCATAAAGCACACAGGGAGATATCGCCTATAGTGATTTAAATATTGATTTTAGACGTTTTGTTTAAAAAAAATAAAACTCTTGGATAAGGAATTTCAAGTTAAAAGTTCAAAATGTGGTCAAAAACCTGTTCCTCTCCAGCTTTAGACCCTCCAAACTTACCAATTAAAAGACTACCTTTCGACACACACCTGGTCACAGACTCTAAGGTGAGCCACACAAATTAGAATCTCGTCTAAATACAGCTTAAATAATCAAATTTATATCACTGTATGTTAGGAATAATACTCAGTAATGTGGAACATGGTGGTTAAGTTTAGGTGTTATCCTGACGTTTTCCTCTCTATCAGGCAAAACTTAAAATCTGGTTTCAACAGACGTGAATTTATATACGGCAGTTATCTTTCCTTTTTAAAAGCTTTTTTCTCTTTGTTTACACATCTCAAACTCTTGATTAAAAAAACAACATATAAAAATAGGAGTAATTAATAACAGCGACAACTGAATACATTAACTAATTCCTACAGACAGAGAGGGATGATGTGATTGAAACCATCAATAGTCCAGGCAGAGCCTGAAGTTAATAAGGCAGTAATAAGCTACTGGAGTTACAGTTTGCATTTATCTTATCAGACTAAATTCTTCCAGGCTTTAAATTCCTGACAGACTCAATAGTTCATAACAGATCTGACAAATTGAAGCCCCTGCATTCATCTGCATAATGATTTTTAAATGACCTTTTAAGGCTCTAGCATGCAAACAGCAACCAGACTAGTCGTTTAGTGTCATAGGAGCATGACATTAACCCCCCCTCACACAAATTAAACCTCCGTCAATCACATTGAGGAAAAATCAGCCAATTATACAGCACTCATTATTTATTCAGGGGAGCAGAAGGTTTTTAAACACCTTCCAATAGCCGTGACATTTGTAGGTCAGGGATATTTTTCTGCTCCTCTGGGGTCAAAGAGTCCACAAAATGAGACTTAATCACCTGTTCAGGTTGTTGTTAGCTAATGGCTGGCTTTTTCCAGCTCATCCTGGATTTAATTGTGCTCAGTGTGTTACTGTGGAGGCCTGAGAACAGAAAAAATGATGTGAAAGCTGAAAGATAACTGCACAGAGAGATGGCTGAAAGTTGGACAGAAATTATTAGAATTATGCAAGAAAAGCTGCAAGCAGTTCTTTTTTAAAATCTTAATGTCAATTTCTCTTTTCTGTCTCCTCTTCTGTTTACTCCTCTTTTCTCTTATTTCCCCCTCCTTGTTTACAAACCCTCATCAACACTCACCTCCTTCCACAGACCCAGAAACACACAAACCTGTCGGGATGGAGGAGAAGCTGCGGAGGCCCTTCTTCTCTGCCTCGCTCAGCTCGCCCTCTCCTCGCAGTAACCCGACCAGAAGGCGACCAATCAAACATGACTCATGGGTAGGTCGCATTGCTTGATGTTTTTGGCCTTTGCGTACACTGTGTGTCATTATTTTTCTGAGACTCAAAATCTAAAAATCTGTCAGAAAATGTATCTAAATTATCTTTTTTGTATTCCTAGAAACAGTCTCAGCACCTGTTTAACATCACATTCACTGTCCTCTGTGTTCATTAACAGATATCTGACACTAGGTGTCACCGTTTTCATTTGAATATCTTCCCTGCAGACAGACTGACACAAATTCATCTGCATTCTTCATTTCTCCTCTGAATTGACTCCTACCATGGAGAAAAAATGATTCACTCAGATTTCATCAGCTTGTCAAACTTGATCTGTTAAACTTCCCTCGACTACAGATCTGCTAAACATCAGGTGAAATTTGTCATAAACTGGAGTGAGGAAGAGAGGAGCTATAAAGTCTGTCAAAAAGCGTTTATATAGAGCTTTGGCCCCAACACATTAATATGAGCATCATAAATACTGCACAACACATTGGCTCGTATGCACTTGAATAAAATAGGAAATGAAAAACAGCTGACTCTGCAAATTGTCATGAAAGCAGCTGATTATAATTCAAAAAAATCGATGCATGTATTGATTCATATTTGTATGTCTCAACAGGATGTGGATGATGGACTGGATGATGCATTCTCAAGGTAACCTCTAAATGTAACAACAAGTCTGCTGAACATTGAATTCTCATATTTTCTGTTGAATATGATCCTGGAAAAAAAGGAGAAACACAAATAATGAGTCCCATCAGGCTGTTTGTGACAGCTATAGTGAGGCTGATGGTCAGCTATCGAAGACCTTTAAGACTATTTTAAATAACAAAAAGCTTCAGTTTGACACATTGACTGGCACCTTATTTTTATTCAAATTGACTCACATAAACACACTCCGACAGGGACATGAGGTGGTGCTTTTTTTAGGTAGCTCCAGGCAGAGAGACGACACTGCAACCAAGGCAACAACGTGATGTAGGAGGGTTGAATGAAAACAAATGTCTGCAGGTCGACTTAGTGGATTGTGTAACTTAATTTGGTGGTTGTACATCTGTGTATATAACTCGTCAATGACTTGCGGGCGATTAGATATGGAGCTTTAAGAGACATGATAAACAGATGTGTATTTCTGTCGACAATACCTCAGAAGTCATGTGATTTTAGTGATCTATGTGAACTCCTCTGAGGTCGCCCTGCCTCTCTGAGCCAGTGCAGCAAACAGCCACAACTCTCACTTCCTTTCCCAGCCGACACAATGATGGCCACCTCTCCTGACAGCTGTCTGGAGCAGGCAGCCACATCCTGTAAGTGTGCTCAGTTAAACTGCATCAACACTTCATCACTGGGCTGAGATCACAATGCAACACTTTTCATTTTCTTTTGAAAGAGTGACAGTGTGTGAAATCATCATTTCATGGCAGTGAGATGCCCGCTGAGCAGCTACAGTGCGAGGCTCCGCTCATGAGGGTGTGATGAAAATATCTCTCTCTGTATTATCACTGTACACACACGGACAAAACTGCACTCTGGGTTACAGTTTGTGTGATGGAATATTATTGAGGCATTAGAGAGATGACTCTTTCAAGGTCCATCATAACCCACTCAAACTCTCTGATAATGTCCGTTCACGCGCAGTGACAATTATGAATATAGTCCTGAGGATGTTTGAGCCCTCTCCGTTGCTTTTAAGCTCAGCTGATGTGTGTGTAAGTGTCCTGCAGAGCTGCTTCATCCCTCTTCATAGAGTAAAGAGCAGAGGAGGGATGGTGCCCCTCACATAAAGGAGAAAACCTCCTCATTAGTTTGTATCGCCTGAGGCTCACAGCTCTGTGCGTTGGCCTGGAGCTTGGAAACACTTTAGTCAAAGCAAATGAGCAAATGAGGGGCAGAGATTAAAAATACAGAGTGTGGAAGTTACTGGGAGTGGAGGAGATCAAAAGAGGAAGACAGATCATCACCCGCGATGATCTCAGCAGGGGTGAGGAAAGACCGGCCTCCCGTCAGGAGTGCGGATAGGAAGGTGCAACGGTTAGAAAATGCTAAGAGATTCTTAAACGAAAGAGCAGAGGTAAGCGTTAACATCAAGCTCTGCTCTGACTGCGCTCCAGTGTTGGAGAGGATCTGTCCTGAAACATCAGAGACTCTGGATCACACAGAGATGTGGTGGCTGGCTCTGACACCCCTCTGCTGTTGCATAATACATTTGGGAGTGCTTTAAACAGAAGAGGAGGCCTGTAGTCTTTGCCTCTGGGAACCTTTCCCAAAGCTTGGAGGGACAGGCAAAGACAGGCCAGTGAAGAAAATATTTTTGACAATTTGATAATGTGAACTTTACAAACTGCACTGCAAAGTCAGGAATACTCATCTGAGTTTAGAAAGTCAGACTTCAGTTGACAAATGAGACAGAATTAGATTTTGATCAGAAATCAATACTTAAGCTTACAGGATAAAATAAGCAAAGCCTGCTTTGTCCACTAGGGGTGGGAATCACTAGTGGCCCCACGATATAATATTATCATGACACTTAGGCCACGATACGATACTATTGCGATTTTTAACATTTTGCAATACAGTGAGTATTGTGATACATTATATTGCGGTTTATACTATTTTTTCAACTGTTTAGCTAATTTAGCATTTGGCTTTTCTTTATGTTTGTCTTATTTAAGCTTCGTTTTATGCTGACATGGTTAGAGTCTCCTGATATTATTATTAGTGCTTTAGAATGATGAGTCTGTCTCCTAGCAACAGTATGATGGAGAACATCTCAGCTGTTGCCTTGGGTGGGATGTAAATAAGTATAGTTATGACATGACTGAACTTCCTTGGAAGATAATATGGCCGAAGAGCAACTGCCAACAGTTTAGTATCTGGACAACAGATATTCTCCTTTACAGTTATGTGTGAAGAGTTGAAACATCTTTGTTTAACAGATGAGGCCAGTTTGACAGCACACTCAAGAATTTCCCTGTGAATGATGCATTTGACTGTTAAAAGCAATCAGGATGAGATTTTTAGATATATATAATGCAGCAAATTTGCCAAAAGCTGAAAGTACTGATTTGGGGGGGCCAAAATCAGCACAAGGCAAGTCAAGTCAAGACAATAGCACCATTCATCCACAAGGCCATTCAAAGTGCTTTACAAATGCAAGGAAATACATAAGGAATTAAAAAGAGAAATTAAAACAATTTAAAATCAAAAATACTCAAATGTAGTAGTAGTAGAAATTTCCCGGCAGCAGCTTTAATGTTCAGTTGTTGCTCTTTTCTTCTTGCTAGTTTTAGGTTTCTGCTAGTGTTAATTCAGAGAAAGTTTTAGTCTACAGTTGGTTGCTCTGTATGTTGGTAGTTAATTGTAAAACTGATGCAAAAGAAGCTGGACAGCCTCTAGGGGGCGCTAGCAGTGCTTTCTAGTTGTATAACTCTCACCTCAACCAAAGCACTCATACCTTCCTCTGTAGAATCGTTTTTAATTAAGTGTCTGAGCACAGGTCGGGGATTAGGCCTCGGTGAAAAGTCCAACAGTGAGAAATGAAGAAAATGACTCAAACAGCGGCTCTCTGCTCACGACTATTGACACTGACTTAATTAAGTGGTTAGATTTGTATTAAAGGTTTCTAAATGGACAGAGACCTTTGAGTAAAGAGGACTGTTATGTAAGTGGCAGCCTGCTACTGAGGTGCTTTTAATAATTTAACCCCATCTAAATGTTATGAGTTCTTTTTTCATCATTTCAGCCTCCTTTAAGTGCATCTCAATGGCAGAGACAGAGACTGCACACATAATAACAGTCTCTCTTTTAATAATTTCTCAATAAAAGAGTCTAATTGTCTTAAATTAATCACAACTCTACAAATAAACCATGTTCTCTAGTCATTATTTCCTTATTTTTCCACCTGAATGCAGCAACATGGAGGTAGAGGAGATGGACACTGGTAAGCTGCACGTTCGAAGTGTTATTTTCTTGCTTGGTTCTGCATGTTGCATGAGGCCCAGCATTTAGAAAAGCCCTTACTCTTGGGCAGACCCTTCTCTATTTACTGTAACAGTGAGGCTGACAGTATAGAGGAAAACAGATCATCCAAATGAGTGTCCCTCATTCTTTTTACGAGTTGGCATGTCCCAGGAAACCCTCCAAACTACATCCATCTGTTGATTTTTGACTCCATCTGTGCTGGAAAGTACATGTACAAATTGTGATGTAGTGCTCTTTGTGCTTCTCCCCCCATCCACAGTTATCTGTTTCATTCATTTCTTCTCCCTCATTGCTCAAACCATTTATTTAGTTACTTATCAAAGTTCTTAACATAGATTAAAATTAAGGCAGACGTCCTGTTTTCGCCTTCTTTCATTATGCAGAAGTGAAGCCAAATTAACCAAAACAAAACACAACTTTGGTGCTGATACAGAACTCTGGTGCTAGGTGGGGGTGTTTTTAATTAATTATGGACTTATAAGCTTTTTTTTAGAGAAACTGAAAAGGAGGTAACTGGGAAGAAAGAGTGGAAGACATGGAACAAAGGGCTGCAGGTTTGGTTTGAACCAGGGCTGCCTGACTGGGGAGCATGAGCTACTCCATCCCCAAAACGAGTGGAAGTTTTTTTTAGCTGTATAATTTGTAAAAATGAGAATATCTAGTGATGTCATTGAGGTGATGGTGGCCTTTAGAGACAGGGAGATCCTGTGTTACATGATCAATCTGATCTTCTATCTGTCCTTTCATTACCATCAGAAAATTCCATCAAGAGCCGCTCTCCTTTTATCCAACACCATCTTCCAACTGGCGCAGGTCGGGGTTATTATCCTGAATTAAAACTAATGAAATCACGCAAACTAGAATTGAAAAAACATTTTCGTTAACTGAACTAAATAAAAACTACAATTAAAAGGAAAAAAGATAACTAAAAAAAAAGAAAAATTAACTTAACTAACTTAAACTGTATTGTGTGTTTACAAAACTAACTGAAGCGTATTAAAATTAAAGATAAAAATCCCTTTGTTTGTATTTTTGTCAATTTCGGATTGATATGTAATTGTTTTATTTTGCCTGAGCAATTTTATGTGAGCTAGCTGCACCCTACAGCACCTTGGTGAATAGGTCTATTTGATAACTCTGCCCAGAAACACTGCCATAGAGCGGGAGCGCCGTTTTAACATTACGCACACGCGCCACTGCGGAGTGCTGCGTTTGACTCTTAAAAGGCAGGTGTCTCTGTCTTGGCCCAGCAGCGGGGACGTTGTTGTACACTCCTGAAAGGGTGTGGGACATCATTTGGGCCAGTACAGTTTTGCACAAAGTTGCACTGGAGAATGGAGTGCCATTGGCTGTGCCGGTGAAACGTGAGGACTCGATGCCCGTAGAACAATAACAAGGAGAGGCTCCACAAAAGGTTCTGTGCAGAGGAGACAGGACCTTATCGGTGGATTCTGACATGTAAAGTATAAGTTTAGAAAGTGCTCTTGCTATTAAATTAGTGATAAAAATTCAATGGAATTCCATAAAAATGTGCCTCAGGGGCAGCAACACACTGTTTGGTGAGGTTAATAATTATTTTTGTTCAGCCTCTGTCAGATTCTATTTTTAATAATAGGAGCAACGTACCCTATGTCATGGCAATAAAAAAATATGAGGCATGTATGAGATATCGATTCATTATCATGGGCAAATTTTTGACTAATGATTTATTCAAACTTCAGCCACTGTCCACTTTTCCATGGCAGCGCTGTTCACCGCCACCATAATCCTGCTGCAGACAGGAGTTTTCTGGACTGCTTTTATTCCAGTTTTGATGCTTCCAAAGAGAACATCTTTGTTAGTTTCCACCACAGATGTGAGGAGATCCACTGTCAGCTCGGAAAAGTTTCACATCTTTCTAATATTTCTCCTCTGTCATGTTTGACCTCAGTGGGCGAGGCTTCTGAACCATGAATATTTAAAGGCATTACATGTTAATGACGATCGATTTCAGCCGCCGCATTTATCAAGACCCGATCATACGTACGCTAGGATTGGTCAGATACGAACCCTTTCATCAATCTCACGTGTGTCCTATCATAGGATGAATCCTGCGCTCAGATCTGCGCAAGCTTGATAAATGAGGGCCTTTGTGTTTAGAGTCAGCTTCTTGTTACCATTCTACCTGGCAAAATGGCGACAAAACTCAGGAGAAAGCGCCAGAGTTCTATATGAAATTTCTTTAAATACGGCAGTGAAAAAGACAAAAGCAAGTACCTTGTAGAGAAAACTGGTGAGAAAATATGTGGAATACTTCTCAAGAGGAAAAAACTCACAAATCTGAAATTCCATTTGAGAAGCTGACACAAGAACGCTAATCGGGAGTACCTTGACAAAGAGGCCTTTCTGAGTAGCTCCCCTGAAAAAGAAGCAACATTTCGGCGAGGAGATAGCACCGGGAAGCAGGGGACAACCATAATAGACCGTTTCCACTGACGACCAAAGAGCTGCTGGTTAGTAAACATTCAGGAACACCTCAAATGTGAAGATGTACTCGTAAATATGTTTACTGAGACTGGTATGTCTACAAGACTGTGTGAGTCGATTTTAGTTTAGCTTTTCACTCACTAACCTTATTGCAAAATATGAAAAACTAAAACCAATAAAAACTAAACTAAAATTAATCTTTTGGGGGTAAAAAAAAAACAAAAACAAAATAAGAACAAACCCGCTCTAAAATCTAATTAAAACTGAATTAGAGAAAAAAAAATCCAAAAGAAACTAAACTATAATAAAAAATCCCAAACTATTATAACCTTGTTACAGGTGAAGCTGAAATATCATCTGTCTGGAGTCCGGAGTCTGCCAGTTGTAGTAGGGATTGACCAGTAGAGTTGAGGTCTTAGCTTTTTTTTTTTAAAATGCACTTAACTTGCAAACACCCCTGACATCACTAAACAGCTTTTCCTGTCTGTTTTGAGTGACTTGTGTCAGTACTGGTTCTGTTTTCAGCCATTGTTCCTCCTCTGCTCTGCCAACCCAGTGCATGCGGCACTGCAGGAACTGAACAGAGCTACCAGTCCTGATGCTGTACTCTAAATGTAACCAAGCATTTGGATTATATTTTGATTTTATGGTTTAATTCATGTTTCATTTGTGACATAAAGAAGGCAGAGTTAATAATAAGTCATTCTCCAGACAGTCAATAGGGGGAGCTCAAAACGTTTCAGCTTCACTTCTAGGGAGCTGCCATGTCATCCATCTGTAAATAGTTGTTTTTGACCCTTTGTAATAAATCAGTGTTTGCTGCCTGTCACCTCTGCAGCAAGATCATGTGTCTCTCTTTCTCTTTTTTTGTCTCAGATTGGCCGAGTCCCGCTCCGAACCCGTCTCTGACAATGCAGCTCTGAGCCCCAAGAGCTTCAGTCACAATCTTTTGTCTTTCTGCAGAAAAGAGTTGGAATAACACAAGCCAGCAGCACAGAAGTTAGTCAGAAATCTAGCACAGGTCCCAGGATCAACAACAACAAAAAAAGGACTCACAAAAACAGCATTGAATACCGGAGCAGAGAGGAATACACATCACGCTCCCCAGTGCACAAACCTGAACCTGAGAGGCTGTTTGATATTCTGCGGCTGCTGCAGAGGAGCCTGAATGGATACCCTGATATTATAAACTGCTTTTGCTGCGAACACCTGCCAGTCAACACACACACTCTCACACACGCGCATGCACAGACACAAACACACTCCACTCAGTGTAAACAGCCATCTCCTGCCATTTTCACAATCCCACAAACTGCTAGATGAGAAAGGATGCCTTCTGTGTGTGACAGCCCCACTGCAAGGCAAGAAAAATGACACGTTTCTGCTCCAAAAGGTGAAGATCAGGATGAATGACAAGTGCGGGTCCTCAACGTTTGTCAAAACACTAATGACACTTGTGAAACAGGGTGAAGAGGGTTGTAAATAAGGCTGCAATCTACTGGAAGATTAAGTGTCTCGGCTTGTTGGTCTGATGAGAAAACTGCAGCCAGTCAACAGAAGAAATCATAATTTTTGAAATTTGCTTTAAAGTGTCTGCCTTTGGATCAGAATTCACAAAGTAGAATTAAACTTTTTCTTTAAATTCACCTGTTCACAGATGACCAAACTTTAAAAAAAAAAAAAATCACTGCATTGACAAGTGAGACACTGTCAGCTAATGAGGTGCTGAAGACTCCGAACCTCAAGAAGAGTCACAGCATCAATACACCGGGTCACATTATTCAGCTGGGTCCCAATATTCTGCACTGCAAAGTCTGTTCGAAGCTCATTTTTCACTGAAAGATAACAAAATAATTAGTCTGCAGGTGAAACCAAATCAATAATTAAATATGACCTCTGCACTCTGGTTAGGTCTGTGTATTTTTCATGAACCAACTGCCCGCCTGTACCCTGAAAATCGTGTATTATTAATGAAGCACAGTAACTGTGATGCATGTAGTTGCAAATTAGAACTAAAGAAGAGGCAATGAGAGATTATCAACTGGTCTCACTTATTTATTCGCTGTGCTCTTTGCACTACCCAACTTATAAACCAGGTTTGACATATACTTATCAGAAATCCTGATTCTACCCACATGTTGACATTTTATTGAGTCTTTTGCAGATCTTTGTTGAGTCCAGCTGCCTTCAAATTAAACACATGTTCTTGTTTGGCAGTGATATTACAGGATGAATAGATGCTTGATCTGACTGAGGGGAAGTGTCCTCTACTGGAAAGACATCAGTGCATACTCTTCATTGTTATGACTCATCAACATTATTTAAAGGGATATTCCGGCGTAAATTTAGGTTATGGTCAAACACATAACACAGAGTTAGACACCCCTGAGAGAGATAAATGTTGCTGACTGCTTACTTCTCTAGTTATACCAACTTTAGTAATGACCACAGGAAACATCTTTTTAGCTTTGCCTGGTTTCTTTGGCAAAAAGACCAAACACAACTCACCCACTCTCCTCCAGCAGCTGCTTGTTTGTGGGGGAGCCCTGATGAGTAGATCACCGAATGCTGCGAAGTTTCGCAGCTCAAGGAAGAACATTTTTGATCATTACTTCAGGGAAATGCAATCAGACTGAGACACTAAGGAAGAAGAACTAACTCCTCTTCAGTACAAAATGATTATTATGATGATTACTACTTCATAGAAATGATCCGCTGCACTCAGTGATCGACTCGTCACGGCTCCCCATCAAACAAGCGACTGCTGGAGGAGAGTGGGTGAGTTGTGTTTAGTCTCTTTGCTAAAGAAACCAGGCAAAGCTAAAAAGATTTTTGGTTTGTAGTACAATCGCTGGGACTCTATATGTACTGTTGATGAAGTTAGGTGCTGTTCTGAGCATTATTTGTGGCTATAAAGTGGCCTTTTGGTTGAGGTTTGTGCGTGGAGACATCGACTGCTGTGTATTGCTGTCATGGGGTCGTTACTAAAGTTGGTATAACTAGAGAACCAAGCAGTCGGCAACATCTATCTCTCAAGGGGGTGTCTAACTCGGTGTTACGGTGTGTTTGACCATAACTTAAATTTACGCCGGAATATCCCTTTAAATGAACCTGTTGTCTGAACTTGACCCAGAAGTGCTTTCGAATTAAAAAATTACATACATTTAGGTGGATTTGAAAGGACTCTGTGATGATATTTACATAGTTATTACAGGACCAAATGGCTAACTTTTAATACATTTTGCATCATGGAAGAAAACTCCTCCACTAAAGTTGATTGACCATAAACAAACGCATTAATAAACCTAGAAGGAAAAAGAGACAAAGACACAAAAGAAAAAGAAAACTTGACCTTCATCCTGCATCACATCAAACTTTTCTCTCTTGACACTCCTCTAATGATCAATTCTATCACTGTCTGTCTTGAACGCAGCTTATGTAACCAAACCGTTAATGACTGCTCTCCGCTCTGTCGCCTCCTCACACAGCCAGCTGTCACTGTACATAAAGATGATGTTACTGTTTGAGAATAAAAACAATGTAAGGTCACCAAGACGACTGTAGAGCAAGGCCACACTATTATTAGAGTAAAGAAAGCTATTTCCATACGCTGTATTTTTTCAATGTGTCTCATCTGCTGTACTTGTGCATAGTGTATCATTATAAGAGAATAAGGATGGATAGAGTCAGGGCTGCAGACAGGTTGATCAAGATAATTATGACTAATTGAGATGTGGATGTGTAGATGCTTGTTTGGTTTGTGTTAGGGTTAGTTTGTACAAATGTAACTGTTTTAGTTTTACAAAGATGCACAAAAATCGGTGTAAAATCTCAAATGTTCAACACAGATCACAATTCCTCCTTTTCCTCTGCAGTGTGTGCAGCAAAACGTGGAAAATCTTCTCACAGACGAAATGCTCTTTAGACTCAACACATTATTTTTATCCACTGCTCTGATGATGTTCACCGTCAAGAGGATATTACACTGTGCCCCCGTCTGTCTGGAGGGTCCCTCTCTTTGCATTTGTGGCATCATGACTGAGAATAATTGCGGCAGCCGGTAGAGGGGAAAAGGGGGGCTCTGTGTTGTCATGACACCGAACTCGAATAACTGGACTGCTTATTGTGTTACACCATGACGCTTGATTGCATTGTTCGCTCTCTTTCCAGCATATTTACAAAAAGCCTCCAGCGTGTCCTTTAGCAGTTTTTGTTTCTCGGTATCGACTGTGAAGTTTAAGGTCCAAAGGCGGTGTCAAGTTTTTGGTCCGACCTTTCTCCCTCAACATCAAGATTTTTGCAGTAATTTTTTCACTTTCTGGCTTCTTTATTGACTGGGAGAATGATGCATGGGTGGATACTGGAGCATCTGCTGATTCAGAGATATTGAGTGATATTGAGACAGGCAGCTGTCCAGAGCTCTCAGACAGGGGTGTGCCTAGAGGGGGGCATGGGGCCCCCTTTGATGCCACCTTAAATCCATATTTTGCCAAACTTGTGCTCAATAAAAATTCAGCATTATGTTTCACTTAGAAAAAGTATTTGAAAAATTGGGAAAACTGGGAAGCTAATGACAAAGCACTAAGATTTTTCATAATAGCATGCAGCTTCACTTCCAACTTAAAGCCCAGCATGCCACAGAGCCTGGGAGGTGACATTATCATTATTATTATTTTTTAATTTGCACATACTATTGTGTATCGCACACGTGTTTTATCATAATGCAGGTGCGATTTAACTGTTCGTGAGAAACAAAATCATTTTCTGCAAGTCTGAATATCGCAGACAGAAAACTTGCTACGCTTTAAAGTATCCTGATGAAGTGTCTTCTACTCCAAACAATACCAACTGTGGATAATCTATAAAGTATCTCTTTGTGAGTCATACCTAAATGAAAGTAAATGTTGATAATGTGCTCTCTGTCCATGACACTTTCTTTCTTCTCTCACAAATGAGGCGCGTGGAGGATCATTTACAAATAAGCATGCACAAGATACAAATAAAACACACGTTTGAGATACTAAACGATTAAAGTTCATGTTACCTCCTGGGATTCATAGCATGCAAACCATTGAAAAATATTGATTAATGAAGGCAGAAGTTCTTCATAGTATTGATTCAAACTGCACTTTCATCATTTGAAAGGATGTAATATATGTAAAACTTTGATTTGGTCCTGATCCAGTTTTTCCCTCCCTTATTGAATTTCAAGCCAAAAAAATCATCATGGTATAATTTAAAAGCCCCTCTAAGTCTTTATTCAGAATTGATCAATTTTCTTTTTAATAATATTAGTGCACAAATCAATCAGACGGGCTGCACGAGCTCCTAATAGTCGGGTTTCATGTACCGGGACTATACTGTATACAGCTCATTTAGATGCACTGCGGATCTCTACAAATAGATGTGGTTCTTTGGTGCAGCCAAGAGTTTTCCTTTTGGGAGGGGGTGTCAGACCTGCACTCAGAGGTGCAACATGCCAATTGGAGTTTGGAGTGCACAGAATACAAATCAGCCTGTGAGGGTTTGAGGCCAGGAAACAAAAGAGGCTTCTAAAAAAAAGGAGAAAAAGGGGAGAAATGTCAGACGAGCTTTCGTGACTTTAAACTGAACTCTGAGGTTTACACTGTCCGTTTACTTTCCTCTATGAAGGTGCTTATTTTCTATCTATGCAATCAGTGGGTCTCCAGCTGTGTTGTGATAGTATGATGATGGCAAGTTGTGCAGAAACCACATGCAGTCGTCCTAAACTGTGTAAAAAGTGTACAGAATTTGGAAACTGTTCTGGTTTGTTACATATTTATGCATAATAAAAGACTTTGTACAAATCTGTTATTTGCTCTCACCTGGAGTAGAGTGAATCTGTTTACCGCCGACCACAAAATAAATCTCTTGTCACAGGGTTTGATCATAAAAGCTGTTTGGCTTCAAACAATATGAATGTGATGTGTCTTTTTGTTGAAAATCCATTTTAATCCCAAATTGCTGCACAGTTTGATCAATAAGAGTTTGAGCGAATCCTCCTCATAGATAAACAACCACAGCTCTCTGTGCAGACAAGAGGACCCAAATCAACATGTTATTGTGCCAGCTTTTTATCTGCACAACATTCTAGTTAAATCTAATCTCAGTCTCTCTCAAACGTTTCACAGCTCTGTGTGGTCGATCCAAAGCAAGGCCACTCTGTTGTTTAGCTCTCTGACTGACTGACGCAATCACATCGATGTCTATTCATTCAGCTGGCTGCAAATGATTCAAACTCCAACTCAGTAGGCAGTGACACTGTGTCTGTTTTTCTCAGAAATTAAAAGAAGTCCTTGAGCACTTTTCTATCAGAGTTTACAGATTTAAACCCTGCCATGAAGTGAACAAAAACCTTCTCAATCAAGCCAGAGTGATTTCATTTGCACCATGAAGGCAACTCAGCTGTAGAGTACCTTCAGTTTCAGGTACAATGAATGTTTGTAGCTGCACCTGCTACTTGTTTGAAATATTAATCACTCTGTCTGACTGATTAATCTTTAATATGCAGAGTAACAAAGATGATGGTAAAAAGAAAGGATCAGTCTGAGTCAGAAGAAGGATTTTAACAGGATGAGAGGCAAACAGGTGTAGCTAAAAAATCTGAGTGTCCTGAAAATGTTTTTTTTTTAATTTATTTTTTTTTTTTATAATTTCATTCAAAAAGTGAAATATCATCACATGCATCACATTTCAAGACTTCTTTTTTTGAATCTTGATGATTGTGGATTACAGCTCACAAACTCACAGTAACATCCCACTGAGAAATAGACGGCTATTAGACGTCTAGTTATTTTTTAGAACTAATTTCAACCGTCTAGATTCTGTATATCTGTTGACGGAATTTAGACGTTGCACTTTAACCTGCTATTCGATAAGTATTTATTTCAAAAAGCAACTGTGAGTTGCATAACTGACCTCAAAGTACTAAAGCAAAATAATTATGATATCCATTGTGCAATATACTGGTCGACCTCTGTTAGCTGGCTAGTCTAAACTCAGTCTAAATTTAGACGTCTGAAAACTCTCATTTTTAGACCTGTGGTAGCCTTTTAGACCAGTCATCTAGGCTACATTTAGACGTCTATTAGACCTCTTTTAGACCAAAAAATGCTCAGTGGGCTCTTTTAAATCATATCATAAACCTCACTTCTTTAGACTTGCTTTTATATAATGCATGATTTTTTTATTCATGTATTTTATTGCCAAAGTATCTCTTGTTTAACCTTGTCAGTGATTTATAATATTATTATTATTTGTGGTCCTGTTTCTAACATTTTCTCATGTTTTAATAACTTGCTCCCTATTCATTATTAGTCTTATTTTACCTTATCTTAAATTATTATCTATGTAGGGGAGAGTGGGGGAAGTTGAGCCACCCCGTGTTGCTTGGAAATGGTAAAAGAAATTGATCATGTGACCAAATATTTAGGAGATGGGCATCAATTCATGGAGTCTGAAGGTTAGAAGCACATGGGTGAAGGGGTTAGACATTTATTTCCAAAAAAAACATTTTTCACTCTTGAAAGTGAATTTAGTCTGTCTGAAGTTTTATTAGAATTGTGTTCAGACCAAAAAAGATCATTTTAAATTAGTTTTATACATCAATTGTGGTATCAATGAGCTACAACATCAGGTCAAAAACCTAACATAGAAGTCCACCATTTTATCTTAGAGGACTAATAAAGTCATAATAGTAGTTCTGGGGTAAGTTGAGCCAGTGGCTCAAGTGAGAAAGTAAAGAAGTCTGATGAGAGGATCAGAGTTTCAGTTCAGATTGTTGAAATGTGTTACTTTTTCTTTGCATAAATACAGCTGTGAATGTTCTGAATCACTGAAAGACATTCTCATGTTAAAATGACTTTTTACAAAACAGCTTTTTAGCAGTTACATGCAATAATGATAACAAGAATTATTGTACCAGTTGAATAGCGTATAATAGATAAAAATACACATGGATGTGAAGAAGTGACTGTTATTTAGGGAGAGAGAAGGTGGGAGAGGGAGGGCTGTGGTGGAGAGTGGGGGGATAGTAGGGATACGGCTCAACTTACCCCATACACAGGATAAGTTGACCATAGGAGACCATTTTTTTTACATGCTTTATTATCAAGACAGTTATGTTTACACTCATTCTGTTGGTTTGTGGGGATGTACAACATCCTGAAATATATGCAGATACACTAGTTTGAGATAAAACTATGATTGCCTTGATGTAGTGATCCGAAATATGAAAAATGGCTCATCTTACCCCACTCTCCCTTATATCTCTCTATCTCTTTTATCAGTCCTCTATCCACCTTTTTCCTTTCCACCTTTTTGATGTGATGCCGTCAACCACCAACCGGCAATCATTAACTGTCCATTTTTTAACTGTCCATTTTCCTTTGTTTCTGCCTTAGTTTGCTTCTTCTGTTACAGCACTTTGTAATCCTGTGTTTTTAAAGGTGCTATATGAATGAATATAAATAAAAATAAATTAACAAAAACAAAGAATCCAAGACATTCAAAGTGTTTGAAGCTAACCAAACACTAATCCAACGAAAGGATTTATAGGACAGAAATGTAGGACTGGAAAATGATCTCGGTTTCTGCTCTGAGCTCTTTGGTCGGGGCTGCCTTCACATGAATTACTGCAGAGAAAATGAACTTTTCCAGGACACTAATTCTCTGTATTATTTATAAAAAGGCACTTTCAGGAATGATCATGGTTATTGCAGGTGCTCCTGGATCGCTTCATAATCTTGATTTTCTGCTCACATAATGATCTTCCCTCCACATTTTTCCAGTTTCATCTTATTAAATTTGTTTGTGCAAGTTCAGCACCCTGTGTGTGGGTGTTTGCTCAGCCTGATGAGTGTGTGTGTGCAGAGATATGCAAATACCGCTTTAATTTCTAAAGACGTGGGTGCTGCATCACTGCAGGGTGCCTCCAAACTCTTTATCAGATGCTGCTGCAGCAACAGAGGAGGAAAACAAAACCCTGGGTGTCAGATGGTATCGCTAAGATCACAGCGATCACAGAGCTCCTGTGACGGTGTGACTAACTAATCAAGTGAAGAGTTTTGTTGCACAGTATGAAATCTACTTCTATGGACACATGCTCTTTTAGGGTCCTGAGGGAAGAAGATGATGAGTTGAGAGTCTCAGTAGCTTTCTGCCCTCAGAAGTTTTGCTATCTAATCCTAGAGGACCGGACAGAAGACTGGATGTGACTGTCCTGTCTGGAATCAAAGAGTGTGTGGAGCAGAGAGCTCTGTGCTCAGGAAGGAGATCAGTCTGGAGGGAGCATCAAAGAAAAGCTACAAAAAAGTTGAACTTTGATATTCTCTGAGAACTAGCTGGAGATTCAGAGGCTACTCTGAACTTGACCATTTTTTATTCACAGTTACCCTGTTGTTGCTGCTTTGATACTGCCTCTGCTGCATTTGCATTGGGGTGATAACTGAAATGTACTTTTTAGGACCTAGATATTGTAAATCCTGGAACGTATTTAGTCGTCGTTAGTTCAGTAACCTTCAGAGGATCACCTTCTTCCTGAGAATTGTACTTTAGTTTTGGGACATTGTGAGGCTGTTTTAAAAACAAGCAGTCAAACCCTGAAACACAAAAATCATTAAGTACAAGAACAACAACAACACACTTTCCTGCAATTAAGAGCAGCTCTATCATCGTTAAGCACCCACAACAGAAACAGAAACCCCCTGCTTGACACATCATATCAAGTTTTGATGGAATAAACAAAAATAAATCCACCAATTAGTCTCAATATTATACTTGGGGAACGTCTCAGCAGTAGTGTGTTCATTACTACGTCTATTATCTCGGCACTGTCCTGGGATATGCTAATGAAGCACTCTGAGAATTCATAACTGTGTCATTAATTGCTAACTGGCTATTTGAAGTAATTTAAGAGCGGCTAATTAGCTGCTGATAAGGTGCTCCAAGCTGCTCTGATGGCTTCATTTTGTCTTAATGATGCTTGTAGAGTTTGCTATTGAGAAGCTATTGGAACTGGCGTGTGAAGGTCGAATATGTGCAACTGAGAAAAACATGCATACATTTCACATCATGTTAAAATGAGAGGTTGCTGTGTGGCTTATTTTAATTTACACTAACCAAACCATTATGAGTTTTTCACTATTCATATGATGTTTTCCATTTCTAGTTTATAAATGTTGTTATGCTATATGCACAAGATAATAATTGGTCCACAAACGTTATTGACGTGTGTGCATTACCTTTTCAGCACACATCAAGTTTTCCTCTTGTGTGCACGAGAGAGCCAACTCGACCTCCTAGTTATAGCTCCTGTGGGGAACTTTCATCTTCTGGTTTTGTGCAGACATGACAACAAAATCAGTTACTTAAACCTTTATTTGTTTTTATTTATTTATATATTTTTATTGATTTTTTTATGATCATTTATTTATTCATTATTTTATTTATCGGTTTTTGTTTTTATTTTATTGAATTTCCCTTCAGGGATAAATAAAGATTTTCTTATCCTTTCTCATCCATCTCTGAATAATGAAAACACTAGCAACCTCTTTAAGTGTAACTGACAAAAGACTGTTTGTAAAGCTCCTGTAAGGAACTTTCTATCTTTGTTGACTCTGGCGCCACCTGTGGACAGAGTTGAAATGTGTATATCATAGCTGATTTTGTCTTATCCTTGTGAAAGCGGTGTTCAATGACATGGAAAGTCTCCTCCTGTTTGTGAATGTTCACTGCAGGAAATGTGATTAATGCTTTTTCTTTAGGGCACCTACCCCCTCACAGCGATTAAGTGTTCATTTCAGTCTGTTTCATCACCAATCAAAAAATCCTCACTGGAGCTTTAGATTAATTTTAGAAGTTGTTATCTAGTTTATTGTCAAACTTTCTTTCCACCTCCTTTCCCTGAATAGAAATGCATAAAAACAGATGGGAAATAGAGCCGTTAATATATTCCTTCATGTGGAAACAAGGGACCAAACACTACAATAATGAAAGCCAGCTGCCCATGCCAAACCTATATATAAAACTCTATTTATTTATTTATAGATGCAATATACACTTGGATCTCTGAATCACATCACAGATCTAACCAAAGCTTATCTCAGCTGTAACAACAGCTCATAAATCAGCTGAGCAACTAATGAAAAAAGCCTGCAGTACTGCACCGAAGACGAGTGGGAAGGATGACATTAATTATTAAGAAGTAGGACGCTGTAATCACTTTCTATTCTGAGGTGAGCTTTATTCTGAGTTACTCCCTTTGATTACAGCTGAAATTCGGAACATTTAGAGGCTGAGGTGGTTTGTTCTGGAAAGTTCTGCAGCAGACGTTACAGGAGATCACTGCTGCCTAAAAAATTGTCAGTAAATCTTTGAGGTATCCGGTAAAGAGTTTCTGTATATTGAGTGAAGTGTGTCTACTGCAGGATAAACTGTGCGGTCACATCAGTCTAGCAGATATTAAAGCTGGACTGATGTGACCGCACAGTTTATCCTACGGTAGACACACTTAATTCAATATAAAGAAACACATCAGTCCAGCTTGGATAAGTATCTGCTGAGATTTTTCTTGGTTGGAAAAAAAGATAGCTTCACATAAAGACAGCTTTTGTCCAAAGGAGCTGTGACAGACCAGGGATTTATCTCCTCAAGACCTCAGCTTCATTATCTGGTTCCTATCACTGTATTGCAAAGGATTTTCTCTGGTTTTCAGGTCTTTAAGTGACTAAAATAACAGTTTTCTTAAATTTAAGACTTTACATTTGAACTCAGTAGGCTGTAAAGATTAAATATAATCCCATCACTTTCACTTTTTTTAAAGGCAAAGTCACTTTTAGTTTGAATCAGTCCACATTCAAGCAAAAGCAAACCTGTGAAGAAAACTAATTAAATGCACTACTTTTGCAAGATATGCATGTTGTTATGCAAAATTAGAGCAGTGATTTAACAATACTTTGACCTCAATTTCACTTCCTAATTAATCAGCTGCACTTAGTGTGTTACCTGCATTAAAACCCTTTTTGTAATCCAACTTGGCAAACACTTTTTGCATGAGGTGCATTTTTTCTGTAGTGCTGTATGTCAGAGTCAGTGTTAAATGCACACATGCACCTTTCTGATTCAATGAGAGAAATCCATTAAATTAGCTGTGAGCGTGTCATGGGACATTCAAAACAAGGTTTATTTTAAATGGCTGGAAATACAATCATCAGGAATATACACAATGTTCTTTAAGAAAATGTGTCCTGATCTAAAAGCAGAAAAAACATTTTCACAGTACTTCAATCATGTTTATTTCTCAAGTTTTGGCATCTAACTTAGACGGCACATCGAATGCTATTCTACAGGCAAATGACCTGCATGCATCTTTATTTAGTACATGAATCAAATATGTACAGAAATGTTCATTAAGCATGGATGTGGAAAAATACAATAAAATGACATATAAGAATCAACACTTGAAAAAAAACAAATACATTTTGTGTTTTTTTTTCTTACAAATGAAGTTTTCCTACATGATTTCACTCCTCTACTTATAAACAACCTGCAGCAGCTGTCGCTTAATAATACCTAAATGTGAGACTGTATATTACACTATTTGCAGTGGAGATGTAGATTTGTTTAAAGCTGAGTTGTCTACAACAGGTGACTGTAGTGTCTAACTGCACATGCCAATATCAAAAATACACTGCCTAATAAAAGCCATGAAGACAGGCCTCCCAGAGATGATAGGTTGTATTGTGTAGGTTGTATTGTGTGTTCTGTATTGCAATAACATACCAAGCACCTGGCGAAGACTTCAATGTTAACTGCACCACATGTTAACATTTATTCTATGTTCTGTCCACCTGCGGGGGGACGTTACTGTGAACTACTGTACGGAGAGTGTCTGTGGGGATCAGGGTGTTTTGGTGTGTGGGGTCATATGTCTGAATCATTATCTCTATCTCTAAAATGTGGACAACATGACAGCTCCCCAAAAGTGAAGCCAAATGGGATTTATAGTATGAAGTGGGCTGTATTGTATACATTTTTTATGGTTAAATTTTCTTGACATGCTGAATGATGTCTGAGTGCTCCTTTATTACATCTTCATTTTTGATTAGTCTAATATTAAAAAAGGAGGTTTAACATCTTGATTGACGGCTCTGTTGACAAATACAACATTTACAACTAAGTAAGGATTTTTGACATTTTATCAGTAGGTTTTATATTTTTTCCTGGTTGGCAGAAATAGTGTGACACCATTACCATCACCGGTCAGATCGCTTCTACTTCACCAGTACGATATGGTTTTTTTTACAATTGAATGGGAGATAGAGGCATGTTGTCCACATTTTTATACAACCAATACTTTAGTCTGAGATGCACCAGCTGGTCTTTACTAAGCACAGTCTTAACAGGGCAGCTTTCCTCCGTGGGACCAGTCTTCATTTTAAAACTTAACTGTATTAAACCAACTGAGCTCAAGCCTAGCTTTCTGTCTACTCCACCTTAGCGATTCATGTCCATGTGAAAGTCTTTAGCTGCACTAGGATCCATTGTTTAAATCTTTAGCTGTCAGTCTAACTAGTAGCTTATTTCTAGTTTGTCGCGACAGTCTCAGGTAAGTAAAATAACGAAGAAGTAACGACAGATTAAAGAAGCCATGAATGACTGTTTTGGCCTGGGTAGCCTCTTTGTTCGATGATATGGACAAAAAATAAATCTTTGAGTGGTACTTGGGCTTTATTATTGGCATTACCGATTGGCTACTGTCTATCAATGTAGCCTCCAGGAGGAAGAGGAAGAAAGTTCCTAAATTGGAATAATAAATTAGTCAGACTAAGATATTGGCCCAACAAGACTTCCTTTCCCAAGCACTAACTCGCATTACAGTCCAACTAAAAGCTTGAGAGGCTGGGATTGAAGTAGAGTTAAGACAGAATACAAAACTTTGTAGTATTATTATTATCTGCACTTATATGATGTCTGTTTTTGAAGGTTCAATAAAAGGAAAAAATACCTTTACATGGGCTGAAAGTTCACGTTAAGACAGACTCAGCATAAATCCAGGTCTATGCTATCGTAGTTCCTTTAGACCCTGTAGTTCAGTGTTTCCCCACTAATACTGTGTGCATGCATGTGTCCTTGATAAGACGTTATTGATCGACCTTATTCTCTGATGGATACCCACAGAAACTTTACATCCAATCATCATGTTTCCTCATCAGTGAGAAAGGTTGAGGTGCATCAATGGTAGAGAGAGAGAGAGAGCGAGAGAGAGAGAGAGAGAGAGAGAGCGAGATTAACGTCAGTGTCCATCTCGTCAAACTTCAATGATGTTGATAGACGGCACAGAAGGGTGGAACTGCAACAAGAGAGAAGAGAACAGGATTGAGTACATACTTTGATCAACGAACACTAATGCTCTTAAACGAACTCTGCAACAACCATCCTATAGCTAGCTTTAACATTTTTTTACCACCTTGCAGTTTTAACAGAAGTTTCAGGGAGGAAAGTTTCAGTGCAAATAGTGGTATCTTCTTCATGACCTTGAATGTATCGATGTTACAGCCAATAATATGACATATCTTAAAACCTGTGAGACAAAAGAAAGATGACTTTAACTTTTGATAGCAGTGATAACAGAAGGATTGTGTTTGCTTCTGTGAAGGGCAGTAATGCACAGATGAGAAGGTCCTTGTAATTTAACCTGAAGCAAATCTCAGAGCCTGTTAGCAATCATCATCCATCACTGTCCAATGTCAGAGTTATACGCTATATTCCCCTGTGAATGGGTGCCAACTTCTCAGGAATTATACTGTCGTCAGCATTAAACAAATTCCACTTTTAACTTTCTTTTCCTTTGTCACTTCTTGGTATAATACACTGAATGTGAGCAAGATAAAGAAACCATACTTTCTTGATATTTCTATACTTCATATAAGTCTCACACATTTGCAGAATGCATAAAAATGCAGCCATGTCTTCACTGTTTTCAGTCTTAATTCATGTTGATGCCCATCTTTGCTGAAATCATACTTTTTATAACACAAACAGATCCTACAGTATTTTTTTTATGGTTGTAATTACCTAGAAATTTCTGATTTCATTCATGGAAGCCTCACCAGGTGCAGGGGTTGCAAATCAGCATCTACTTTGTTTACAATATAAAACAATAACTCATGCATTTGTCCTTGTCCAACAAATAAAAGTCAAATAAAAGTAAAAAATCTAACTTTGTCTGGCCTGTCAACAAGAGGAGCTATGAGCAGATTTGTCACGAGTAAGTGTAAAAAAGATTCCCTACCTTCTTTATAAAATATGTACATAGAAAAAATAACATTAAGGCAATCCTCACGAGTCTATATTTATCTATTAACCAAGCATTGTCTCAGATTGAATAAATTATGGCCTCTTTGTCCTCATGTGCAGCTGAGACGGATACATCTGTCATGACAAAAACACAGTCATCATGCTATTGTTGCATCATCAAGTTTGCAGCTGTGAAGTGAATAATCTGTCACAGTGATACCATATCAACGCTAATAGTTAAATGCTAATCAAAAAACACACTGTACACACAGGATATGTGTGATATGCAGTTTAACATGTCTAAGTGGAGGTTGCTGAGTTATACATGATGAAATGAATGATCATTTTGTTATATTCTCAGTTTGAGGTTTGACAGGTTGTATACACTGCCTCTTTGTCACTCTCCTGGGTTGACCTTATTGTTAAAGGTCCCGTATCATACTCCTTGTCAGCAGGTTCACATAGGTCTCAGAGGTCCTAGAACAGTCGATTTGAAGTTTGTTGTCTAAAATCCCAGTTTTTCCCTGGACTTCAGCCAGCCTGAAAACTCTCTAGTGAGCTCTTCCAAGAACACGCTGTTTCTGTGTGCTGCACCTGTCCACGCCTCCTTCATCACAAGCCAAGCCCCTCTCTGTCTCTCTAGACTTGGGGCATGGCTTGTGCTATGGTACCATGCACTAATGTTTACACAGCAGGGCTCGACAGTGCGACCGTTTCACTCGCATTTGTGAATAAAAACAGATGTGTGCGAATTATAGATTGTATTAAGGGGCACACGTGCCCATTAAAAAAAACCTCGTAGAAGTACTGTGGGCCAGCTGTACCCAGATCCAGAGTCTGACCCAGAAGGAGGGGCTCCTGAAGAAATTCCAACTCTGTGGCTGCAGCAGGAGGTTTCTGAATGGTTAGTTACAAATATTATGTGTCTTCATATTTTTCTTTTTACTTTGTTTATGTGGTGGTACACAGTGACTTACATGTAGCTAGGTAACACTAGCTCCTGCTAACAGTTACATCTCTGCTGTCTTCCCATTACTTGTGCAATATTTATAGTTATCGCTCCGATACTCTCTCTGATGATGTTCTCGTGGTCTACAGAAACAGACTTCTGTGCTGCTTCGTGCAGCCAACAACAGAGCAACTGCCACGCCTTGCTTGTACCGTCGCCTTTTCAAATCAGCGAAACCATGTGAATTTTACATAATATGGGAGCTTTAATGTTATTATTACCACCTGTGTTTCTCCTGCTGTGTGAAAGTGTCTGCTGTGAAAAAGACCTGTGCTGTCAGAGCAAAGCCATTGATATGGATGGTGACACATCTGTCTGTGTTTGTGTGCACAAACAGCTGCTGAAAGAAGCCCTGGAGGGGGACGCACAGGAGCGCAGGAGCCAATCTTGTGTCACACATACAGGGAGGAAGCTGTATGCTCGGTAAGCAGGAGGTTCATTCATTCGTTCATTGAAAGCGATGGAGATGTCAGCCTGTGTGCCTTCAGAGGAAGTCGTGCTCACCTTGCTCCTCAGCAGCCCTCCGCTGTGGTGCTCCGGCGTGCTCCTCTCTGACGACGGTTTGGCCTTCTCCTTGTTGTTGCTCGAGTCGTTGTCCTTGATAATGTCATACTGCCGGCAAAAGAGGGCAATAACAGCTGGCAGGAGGTGAGACACACACACATAGAGAGAGAAAAGAGAGGAAAGGAATTCAGTCAGTGTCACTCCCACAGACATGTCACTGCTTCTTCTGGCGCTCACGTTGAAAGGCCATGTGGATAATGGAATTCCGCTCCCATGAGAGCGCGATGGCTGAGCCTTCATCTGGAAGCTTGACGACAGTCATTCTCCGTGGGCTTTGCTTTCTTACCATTTATAATCTGCCAGATGCACTTCTGCTTCCAGTCTGAATGAATGCTCCGTGCTTACAATTAACTTCCCTGCTTCACTGAGGTTATGAATTTCCATGAGAAGGCTTTCATTAAATATTCAGAAACTGATACGCAGGTCTGGTAATGACAGTCACAGAGCTGGGAGAAACACTCAGAAGCGTAGCATAATTCTTTAATTAACAAAATTATTATTCCTGAATGTACGCGCTCTGCAAGGGAGCACAGGCACTCATGGGAGGAATTTGCACATTTCTATCTTTTTATTTTGCAGATGATCTCAGAACAATGTGTGTTCAATCAGAACGGCTGAGGCTATACTGGTGATGTAAACAGAAGTCTTTTATGGAGCTTTTTCAACTCTCTTACACATTCACCCATTCACCATTCACACACTGATGGCAGATGCTGCAAAGTAAAGTAACCATCAGCGCTTACAAACCCCTTTCACCGTTTCATCCAAACACAGCTGGCTATACCCAAAGACTCCTCGGCTTGTGACTGAGGGAGCAGAGAAGGAACCGACAACTTCTCAACTGAAACATGAGTCACAGCTAAAGAGCTTAAGAGAGTAATGCTGTTTTTCTGAACTACCAAGACAGTCTCAGAATTTTGAGGAAAATATTATTAAAATAAATAATGTGGTTTTTTTTTCCCTGGATAAATGAGATAACAGTGTCTCAATGTTTCAACTAACGCTGTTTTTTCAAGATTGAAGAGAACAACATTTAGTCAGAGTGTCTTTTCCTTAAAGCTTCCCTGATGGACTGTGGGTTGGTGTTGATTTTGGCGCCCCCTGTGGACAAGATGTCTTCTCCATCCTTGTCCTCTACATTTTTTGATTGATTTGATAATTTTATGTCATACACCAAAATTGGTGCCCAGCCCCATGGGCTTATTAGACACTGTTCAACAAACTCAAAACACAATGTATCCAAGACAGCCACGCAACATAATATACAACAACAATAACATCAAAAATCCATTAAGAATTGTAACACAAACAATGAGGATAATGAAAGAGAAACAAAAAAGTTCATCCTACAGGGTACAAAATACTTTGCCGCATATGCCAAGCCTTTTCAACAAATTTTGCCAAAACAAAAACATCCTTTTCAAACAACCAACCCAAAATCTCACCTTCACTCTTCCAAAATAAATCAGGATTTTTACACTGAATTGATTCAAAAATGACATTCCTTAAGTCAACATATAAGGGACAATTGAAAACAAAATGAAATTCATCCTCAACCAAGCCCAAGTACTGTCTTTAGACTCCTCACAGTTTTATTTATCATTAATTGTTCACATTTTTTGTCTGTAATCTGAAAATAAGGCTGTTTTTCTGGCATCACCAGCCTTTGGTCTTCCTTGCAGGTTAATATTCACACGTTAATGTGCTAGTTAGGCATCAGTCTGGTTGGTTATATGCTTGCTTAACAAGCCACAACCTGAAAACAACTTTATTATTATTTAGCTCATAATCCTGTCAAACTGCGCTGTGCTAAGAGAAGCCATTTGTCTGGTTTTATATGCGAGCATTAGAGCATTATGGCTGAAGCTATTACCAAGCTACAGTTATTGGTAGTGGTGGCTAGCAGAGCTGCAGCTTTGGCGTTATATATGACTGGCTTTCAGACAAGCAGCTATGAGAGTATTAAGAATTTGTTCACCTGACTAATAATTGATAAAAACATATTTAAAGTTAATCAATAAGGATAAAAATTGTTAACCAAAAAACACCAAAAAAAAAGCCATCTATGTGGTGTAGATTATTGAATCGTGGAGGTATTTGATGCTCAGAATTAGATGGCCTCATATGAGCAGTCCATTATGAATACACCAGTTGAGTTGTTTGTAGTCTTTCACTCCCACTCTGTGCAGCCTCCGTGTTACTTTGGTTTCTCTCATTAGTATTATTTAACATCTCACTCTGGTGCTCGTGGGAGGAAAGCCCTGCTCCTGGCAGCCCGTCAGATGTGCCACCTCTCATTGTGCCGCAACACTTCATTTATCAGCGCATTTCCTCAGAGGGGCTGGGGCTCAGATGAGGGGCCTCCATGCAGAGAGAGCTTGAAGAAGCGTGATGTTTTGAGAAAGCCTTAAAGGGACGTGTGTCAGGGGTTGATAGATTTATTTCAGAGCGCGTTACTTTGTTTTATGGACTCTGAACATCCTCTAAATAGGGATCCTACCCTTGCAGGTCTTGTGCTGGATGACAGTTAAATTGGTTACGGCGTATTGATCGGTGTGCCGATGTATTGATGCAGCTACAAGATTATATACAGTGTGGAAAACCTCTCTGGGATGTGCACCAGTCGTCTGCATCAATGAGGCTGACAGTAAATCTTAATATTAAGCAGAACCATTGGAGGAACACAATCATCTTTTAGCTTGTTAAGCAGGATTTTAATAGAATTTCACTCATGGTAACAACTGCTCAATAACAGATGACATCTGGTCTTTCTCTTTATAGATAATAGACTTTAATGGATCTATAATCAGCCTATTAGAAACCCTCAAGAGTTTAAGTTGTCATCCTGATGGACCACTATGATGTGGTTACAGACAGTATCGCTGCTCTTACAGGTAAAATCCATTGAGTATCATATTTGGTCCAAATATTGATCTTAGTCACAGTATGTTGGCTCGTCCCCAGTGAGATTTTGTAACAATCCTGCACATTTATTTTCTTTATGTTGCCTAAAGCCCTGAAAAGTCTCGTCTGAAATTTGTGCTCCAAAGCACGTTGGGTAGTTGTTAAATTGCGCCCCTTCGGTGCAGAAGCTTGAGCCATTTGCTTCGTATCACTCCCCAGCTCCTCATCCCTGTTTCCTACTTATTCCACTGTGCTGTCCTCTTAATAAAACCATTAAAAATCCAAATAATAATAATCATAAAAAATAAAAGAAGTATAACCCATAAAGATTAAATATGCATGAATAAATATTCAACAACGGGAGTTCAAGATTGGTGGAGGAACATCCCAAACTCTGATTTATTAAAAGGCTCCTCAGAGGGGATTTAAATATATTCCGACAATCATCTTCTAGGACTTTTGGGAGTGGTTTAGTCAGTTTCCATCAACAGTGCGTGTTATGAAACTTTAATTCATTGTTGCTAAATTGGTGTCAGTGCAGGGAAAGTGTGGGAAGTAAGTGAAACAGGGACAAGAGTGAAAAAAAAATACTCCCAGACAAAGCAACCCAAACTGTCCTAGTTTAAGCGGAGAATACTGTGTTCAACTCCTCACACCACTCTGGAGAAGAAGCTTATAAAGTGCTCAGGCTTTCTAAAGGGTTCTTCCTCCTCTTTGGTTTCTCATTTTCCTCACACAAACTTTTCACTTACCTGCCCACATGACCAACACCACCACGATTATAATCATCTCTCCTGTTTGTAGATGCCGGGATTTATCCAGGCCCTGGACAGTCGGGTCATCTAAGAAGAGGGACAGAAAAGACACCTTAAAAAAGTACTCGTAAAGATGATCTACAATGAAAAAAATTATAATGTTTTTGTTTGCATACAGAAAATGTAGAAAAAGTAGGTAAAATGCAACATCAAACCAGAGCCCTCTATCATTAAATTAGAGCTGAAACACCCTCCATACATCTCAGTAAGGCCTGATCTCTAAAACCTTTACTGAGGAAATAGCAAGCATTGATTTTCTTTATAGCGTACATGTTCAAAATTTATCTCTCTCCAGACTTTTATGCCATTAAACAAAACTGTAGTAGCAAGAAAATGTGGTGGGCATTCCCACATGACCCTGCAGCATTAATCCTCCTTTAAGTGGATTGACTGTTGGGCTGATTTCCACTCTTCAAACTCTCTCTTTCCCCACATAGATGGAACTTGTCCAGAGCACCACTCAACCCAATTGCCTCTTTTAGTGAATCAAACTGTCAAGAAACCGGATCCAAAACGCTCGACTGTCAGCTCTCTTTCCATGAGGATGTGAGGTCAGATATAACGCCGTGATTTTTAGCCTTGGTAGTAGTGTGAGGGGCATGTAAGTGGAAAGATGGAGGGGAGAGGTAGGGATCATTGAAATGAGAAAGTATGTTAAAGTGTCCTGTTGACAGTAATGACAGTAATTCTATGTGAGGAATATTAAGAATTTTCCTTTTAAATGTTGATGATACTATGTTTAAATTTCAAATATATGTCTTTAAGGCAATTTTTTGTTTGTTTTAATTCAATGTTAAAGCTACTGGGCTGATTCTGATCAAATACGGTTAAAAAAATGAAGTGTTGTCAATAATAAATACCAAGTATGAAGACGAAAACATTGAAGATCTACCTCAGAAATCAGCTGTAGTGTTGGTCAACTTTTTAAAATTAGTGTCTTAACTATAGCGCTCCGAATTGCTGGTGTTGTTTTTAAACATTGCCGAGTCTGCGCAATTAAAGCTTCTATAAGGAACATTCAGTTTGTGTCAAATTTGGCGCCCCCTGTGGACCAAGAAGGCTTTGCTTATTGCGTCCTACACATCCTCTGACAAAAAAAATCTCATCCTGCTGACCTTTGACTGTCAAATTCATCCTATGCAACAAATATTTAATGTGGTAAATGTAGAATTGGGTTTCTTCAGCTGTTTGGCTGCACCTACTCTCATAAAAAATCATGATTTGAATGTCATCAGTCTTATTGTTCATAGTCTTACTTGCTTTGATGAAGCACAAAACAGCATCAATATGAATATCCATCTGTTAAATAAATGCCAAGAAACTCCTTAAAGGAGCTTTAATATGAGTTTACAGTATGTACAAGATAATTAGGTGCAAGTAGGCTGATACTTGCAGGAACACAAAATGTATACTAATAATAACTTTAATCATGAGATCATAATTATATAACACAATTCCTCACTGATTATACCACCCCTGCTTTATGAACATTTCAAAGACCTCAGAATTCCTTTGACTCAAACACCCTTTTTATTTCTCTCTTTGCGAATTTTATTGATAGGACAGGTTGGAAGTTTGGGTAGATAGAGAGAGGGGGGAGGACATGCAGCACATGGTCGGGGCTGGACTCGAACCCGCAGCTGCTGCGGGGACCGTAGTCCCCATGGTGGTGCACGCTAACTTGCTCCATAGTCCCCATGGTGGTGCACGCTAACCTGCTCGGCTATCTGCACGCCCCCATTTCTCTATATTTTAGGATACGGACCTAAGAGGTTTATCCACAGTAAGCTCATCATTACTTGTTATTCTCTCTCTTTACTCACATTGTCCCTCTGCTTTACTAACACACACTCCTGCTCCTCTCCTGCAGGGCTGCACAGCTCTCTTTTCTCCACATGTGGTTGCTCAGTGGTTTGCACCGCTTGAAGATACAACATTTCCCACTTAACACAATTTTGCAGCATCCAGAGCTTCTTCACACTCTCAGACCTTGTTGCCCACAGCTGAGCTCTTTATGATGACATTCTTCTTCAGTAAGACACTAATGCCTCTAAGAGGAGGAGAGGACAGAGGAGAGGGGGTGGACTGGCCAGTTCCATGTCAATACTGAACAACATTGTATACAACATTGTTGTATTTTTTTCAAGCATGAATATTTATTATAGCCTCACATCAGTCCAGTGGGACACTCAGTACCCCAGATCACCAGTCCAGTCTAGTCCCTCTCCTCTTCACAATCAATACAAGCTGAGGGTAGACCTGTCTGGGGACTTGATCAGCCACATAGGATAAAAACAGTGCTACATAGCAGGCTCACCAGTAAGCGTTAAAGTTTGACACTAAAAATTTACAGCATGATGTTATTTCAGCAATTTAGGCCCTTTTTATCCAAGTATGTCACAAAAGCATCAGTTTCCAAACAGTCCACCAAGAAGCCTCCAAGCGTGAAGACCAGAAATGATTTCAACTCCAACTTCACAAAGATAAAGTTTTAAAAACTCATCTTTCAGAAACATAAAATTCAGCACTATCATCTCCAGCATCTCCCCATTGCTCAGCGGGCTGCAGATTTCATATTAGGCTGCATATTACGCTTAAATGTCAGGTCAGGACTGAGGTCAGAGCGGCTGAGTTCTTCTCCACTTTATTAATCCCACATCTGCTTTATCTGTCTGAACCCAACCCACTCAACAATAAACTTCCTTCCGCTGCACATATGAAGAACTGACTCAAAGATATTTAGTCTCTCGAAAAAGCTAAACCAAACTTTGACTTTTCCTGCCAGGGGAACTGTTTTACATCCCGGCATTGTTTCTAGATTTGAGAAAAATTTGGATTTTATGCTGCGTCACAGTTGTACTTGGAAGTTGAGATTCCCGACTGCGAGTCGGACATTCATCTGGAACGCCCCACTGAAGTCAGATCTCTGACTCGGAAAGTCGGGCGATCCTCACCAACCCGACTTGACGACAACGTCATAATCCAAGATGACAGTGCAGTGCATCAACAGTAAAGAGTAACAGTGAAGCTCTCGTAATGTGTTATTTATGAACACTTCTGTTTTGTTTTTGTGAAATTAAATTAGTGGTATATGTTTTACCACCCAACGTCTAACTGTGAACATGGCGCTATGGTGTGTGTAGGGTAAAATTATGTTTATGCATCGTTTACAACTGGTATAGCTAACAACAACTCACAACAGCTGATGACTAACAACAGCTGACAACGACTAACAACAGCTGACAATGGCTAACAGTAGGCGTCCATCTTTGTTTTCCGACTTGTTTACTGGAACGCCGTCAACTCGGGTGTAACATCATTCCCAGCTCCAACATCCGACTTCTGAGCTAACTGGAACGCAGCATAAGTGTTGGGATGATAACACCTTATGAAAGAATCTGTCAGTAAAGGATGTAATCTTTGAGGCCTTTATATCTTGTCTCTGACTTCTAAAAACAACTTTTTGTTCATCGTTTTCAAGTTTTGATGTGATTTATCTACTTAACTCTGGAAGTATTTTTGTTTGTGTCGACTGGGCGGGACACTGATAAAAGGGGCTGTATGTGTATGTTTATATTTGATGCAGCAAGCGAACAAACAAGATGACCTGAATAGCTGTCCTGCTCTGCCGTTTCATAAATATTTCATCTTGTGAGCACACTCCAATATGTTGTGCGACTCTCTGCTGGAGGAGAATGAGCAGATTGAGATGCCTCGGCTGCTCTGAACAGTTTGTGTTGAGATAATTAGTCGACCGTCCTTCCACTCCCCACAAATCCCATGCTGTTGTTTGCGGCTGTGAACCGTGTCAGAAAACTGTGTAACAACTCACCAGGGGGGCTGTTCTGGTGCCACAAAAATGCATCATGCAATTTATTCCTGCGTTGTGTCTCCTTGAGTCCAAGGCATTGTATTATTTTCAATTTGATTACACTGTTTTTTAAGATGAATAATCTCAATTTCTCTGCTCTCTCAATCTTATATCTGCCTCTAGGAGTGTTACGATTAAAACTGTAAGAAAATAAATCATTTGGATAAATATTAAATCATCAGAAGAGTTTGAGAAAATTTCTGTGAATATACCAATAACAATCTTAGAGAAACATTTATTCTTACTATCGGACAAACACGCTACTTAACTTGTGTGTATTTGAAACTTAGACTAAAGCTGAAAATTTGTTCAATTGTGTCTAAGTGAAAGGATTCCTTTACAGGGATCAATCAGCGTTGTATTTCTTTGTCTTAGTCTGATAATGAGAGAGTCTAGGTGTGTGTTCTGACTCAGCAAAGACAGCTTGACATCTCTTTGAAGTATCAGGCGGTAATTGCGTCTAAGGGGACCTCCTACCTCGTTAGATTTCACTGCTGAAGGCATCCATCCTTTCAAATCATCCTTTTGTTTCTCCTGCGTGTGAAACTCTTTGACAGCTCTGTGGCTCAGGTATCACTGTGAGTGGGTTAATTTGTAAGGGAATCACTTGGATGACATAGTTAGAGGTTTTTGTGTTGACATGTGCATCTCTGTTTATGCTAACAAACACATTAATTTGACCAATGTTTTGACTGAAGAACAAATATTACACATAAACTTCAACTCAAAACCCACTGATCCAAAGTGGAGATGTTTCCTACTTCATCATAAAACAGAAATGTTATGTTTTTCTTCCATTTAGCTCTTTCCACAACAACGAGCCTCACTTTTGATTGACAGGCAGAGCACGTAAACATATGCTCTGATTAAAAGCTTTCCATGAAACTAATGGGATTGAAATAGACTCGGAGAAAGCATATTGATCCTGGGAACAAAAAAAAAAACAGTTGAGCTTAATTTAAATTCAAATTCTCCTGCATTACATGGAGCGTATCCCGCCAGGAAATGCTTTATATGAAATAGATAGATTCTGAATCTGGACAGACTAGGTGTACATTCAGTGGCACATGCACTGATATGTAATCACATTATAAAAGGAGATTGCATTGAGGAAAAAAATAAAAGCATTATTGATTCATGGGTATCATAGTCAGGGCTTTCAGAAAAAGCCTGCTATAGACCACAAATGGATTTAGTCTCAATAGGAGGCACTTGGCTGTGACGAAGGATCTTTGAAATGGCTCTGTGACGTGGGACACGATAAGATTAAAGAGGCTTTTAGGGAACAATGGTCAGCCGTGAGATCCTAAACAAAAAAAGCCACATTAGATTAAGGTGCATTAAGGTTTATCTGGGATGTATGTGTTTATATTTTATGGCAGACTTTTGATAGGTGTCCTTTCGGAGCAGGAAAAATTTAGTTAACGGACAACTTTAAAAAAAAAGCTAAATTCAAGTTCCTGGGGACAAAGTGAATGTGGCTTCAATATAAGTGACTTTAGGGAGGACCCACAGACTGTATAAAAGGTAGACATATGTGACGTCACATAGATTTCTGAAGAGAGGCTCTGAGTTTCTATGTTGGAAATACAAACTAAACCTTCTGTTTAATCCAGAAACAGGCAAAGAGGACTTAGCTGAATGTGCTCCCCTATCAGTTGACTCGTCAACACCCCCTGTTCGGCAAATTTATACAAAATTATTGAACTTTATACTCTTTTTAACAGTTGCATTATAAAAAATGCGAACCCCTTTTACAGTGTTTGTGTTTGTGTGTAAAGAAAGGAGCTGCATTGATCACCATGTTTTTAGTAACTGGGTGCAGTCTTGTTCAGCCAGCCTCTAGTGGACACTGAAGGAACTGCAGTGTTTTTGTGCTTCCACAAACTCTCACACTGGAGGTTTCCAATTGGTAAAGCCAAGAAGTAAAGCTCCTCAGTTTTTTATGCTTATGATTAACATAAAAATTAATTTCATAAGTAATAACCTTTCTTGCTTATGCTTTTTAGGTTGAATGCAATACAACCTACAGTAAAAACAGATGTTACGATTTAAAGAAAGCTTCTTTTCTTTTCAATTTTGTTCTGTTTTATTGCATACAGAAGACAAAAGATATTCAAAAACTGCCACTTCTCCTAAAATAGATCCAACTAACCTTCATGTAACAACAGTTACACATACAGACTTTTGCTTGCTTCAACAATTCAAATGATGCTGGTGATATTTACCTCCGCCAAGGGGCATGTTTTTGGTAGCGTTTGTTTGTTTGTTTGTTTGTTTGTTTGTTTGTTTGTTTGTTTGTTTGTCTGTTAGCAACTTTACAGAGAAAGTTACAGACGGATTGACCTGAAATTTTCACCAGAGGTGCGTCTCAGCCCCAGGAGGATCCCATTACATTTTGGTGGTGATCCGGATCGCCTTCTGGATCCAGGAATTTTTTTAAGGATTCTTTATCATTGTGAGATAGGGCAAATTTGGGAATTTTTGCATTTAACTTTATAAAAATGTCCAGAGTCTTTAGTAAAAAATTACACAAAAGGATCTCAATGAGTTTTATGAGGAGTCAAAGGTTGATCCTGATCCAGACAAAATTCCAGAAACTGTGAGCTGCTTGGCGGAGGTCTGCGCTCTCTGAGTGCTTTTCTAGTAGAAGTATGTTTCTATCCTGCTGCTAACTTTTTTGTTCATTGTGGAGAAATAGGTATTTGCTTAATCAATAAATGATAGTAATAAATGATAGTATTAGCTTAACTTCAGAGGATGTAGTATGAAATTTTGTTTGTATAGCCTCAGGTTATATGCTGATGCTGTTTTACTCGTTTAGTAAGTTTAATTCAACATTTTAAGGAGTTTCTCATTTTTGCTGTAACACCTGCAGTTCATTCTCTAGTCAGACTTCTTGATAAAATTCTTGCTTGGTGACTTTTTTCTTCTTGGTTCACGTCCTTAAAACCAATTTTGTTTTCTATGCCTCTACAAAGATGTTTCCACTGAGGATACAGAGCTGAGCTCTGTACAGCAGAAGTTTGCACTGAGGGTTTATTGTCATGTTGTAATGTGTTACTCTCTTCTACTGGAAGACCAAGTTTTATAGTGAAAACAGGAAAACAAAGAGAGAGGTGGAAATAAGGGTCTCGTGTCTTTGTGTTGGATCACTGAAAACAGGTTTGTGAAAAGACTGTCTGAGGTGGAGAGTTTTTAAAATGTTGCTAAGTCTTCATATGGATGGCTTCAACAAAACTCTTGGAAAACACTGACTGATGAAAAACTATTGAGACCTTATCAGTTTTGTCACTGCTAGTCTTGCTTATTTTTGTTGGTCATATGAAGATAACAGTATTAATTTAACTCTGTTTATTAACCATCTTAAAACTCCTCACAGAAGCTTTTAGTTGTCTTACTGGTTGTGTCGGTGGTGCGATTTTCTATCACACCAGCAGAGCTAATGAGGTTTATGTTTGTCCTTTTCAGCTAACTAATCAGCCAAATTGCAAAGAAAGGATTATTCCCTTTCTGTGTGTCTTATGTGAACAAAATCCATCATATTTAAGTAAAAATATACAAAGCCAGAGGGCTGAACATTAAGAGATTAGCTGAGCAGCAAAAATTACCAGAGTTATATGAAGTAAAGTGAAGTGATTGGACTGTGAAACTGGGGCAGGAGAAGTCAGCATTGGACAGCAGTAGATTTACAGCGAGCTGACACTGATTGGCTCCACACTTAGGAAAAACAAACTCTCACAAATGAAGCTCATCCACTGAATAGGCTGTTTCTCTGACCCACTTGGACATCTGAAACGGGGATTAATGTTGCATCATGAATCTTTTCCAAGAGTCTTGGAAAAGTAGAGAAGCTCTGGCTTTAAATCTTGTCATGCTCAGCACTTTGCTTGGACATTGTTGGTGGGCTCGCTCTCTTAAATCTGTTGCTTTAAACTTCCAAAATAAGCACATTAAATGATTTCTTGAGGGTTTAATGTTAAGGATCAGTAAAAGAGTCCCCGTATTAACTAAATGGATGTCGCACAGGCGCCTGTGCTGTTTTTGAGCCTTATTATTTCTTCTTCCACTGATCTTGCCACCTTGAATAATGGTACCAAACCTGAGTCAGCTAAAGAGAAACGTTTATGATACACTTGCATCAGCAGTTCTCCCACTAACAACCTCAACCAGACCACAGGAGAAGAGGAGGAAATTAATTTGAGGTATGAGGGATGTGTTTTAGACCAATGTCGAGGCAAGGTGACTTTCTTTTAAGAGTTAACGTGTTTGACTCATCCCATAAGCATGGCCGAGCTAATGCTGAGCAGATTAGTTACTTCTGAAACGCAGACTCTTCCGAAAAACTGCTCGTTATATAAACCAGATAGGTTTTCTTCATCTGTGCTGTAGGAAATTGAGAGCTAGTGAACCTATTCTCTGTTGGTCACGCTCTTCATAATTCCTCCAGCCCATGAGCTCAGCCCTGACACTGAATCCAAAGTGTTTTAGAGTGCGTGTCAGAATCCTGATTAGGCACCCGCAGTGATATAGAGTTGCATAAATTCAGGGAAGCTTGCCTGCAGCCATGCTCCGAGAGTCTGTCAATAATGAATTGGTTTTCTTAGAGAAAATAAACCTGCAGAAAGAGTGAACACTGAGGCCCCCCAGAGAGACGCTCTAAGAGGAGGCTTCAGGTTACTCGCTCTTATGTCAGCTCTGGCCTTTGCTGCGCCTCATTTTCAAAGTCAGGGTGCTTAAAAGCATTCAGCAGCCAGAAGAGGCTTAAGTGCAACAACAGGGAAGGCATCTGTAATGGGTTTGCTCCTGTCTGTGCCTCGGGAAAAAGGCCTGTGGCAACCCATACGGTGTGGAATTAAAAGAAAAGCTCTTTCTTATGTAATAGGGTGAGATGAAAAAGTGAGAATCTCCTGCAGTAACCTGTGGTGACCTCCTCAGTTAAACAAAATGTTTGGCACCTTGAAGAATCGCGGAAACTTTGCAAAACCTCACAGTTAAGTGATTATTTTCTGATGATTAATTCCCTTAAAAAACACCAAAAACAAACACCGCAATGACCCAAAAACAAACATTTCTGACTATCATGAATAACACATGAATTTAGATTTCACTGTGTTATAGAATGTTGTAATTCAAAAACTATTCAGAGCACAAAACCACAATGAAGTACGTTTTTCTTCATTACGAAGAGCCCTCATTTTTAGACAACTCTGCGAATGAATCTTAATTATTCTAATGACAAATCCATACTGGGCGGACGTTCATTAGCGTGATAAATTCATCACTGACTCTGCTTTGCAAATGTTACGACTGTCTCTTGGTTGATTTACCATTTTGGTCTACATTAAAACCTCTCAGCAACAATTGGATGGGTTGTTATGAAATGGGATACTAACACTGACAGTGACTGGAGACAAAAACTGATGACTGTGATGATATCCTGACTAGTGATGGGCCAGTTGAAAATAAGCCGGTTCAAAGAGCAGTAATCTTTGGAATGATGGGAGCCATCTGCCGTCTGTGAGCTATTTTTTTCTTTTTAAATTTTTTTTTAATTTTACTTGTAAATACTTCAGTACAAAGAATGTATTGAATTATTTAGGAGGTATATGTACACATACACACAGTCAAACAACGCTAAATTTGGCTGAATTCGAAAATGTGTAAGTAGTAAAATGAAGAGCCGTTTGGGAGCCGAAAGAGCTGGCTCTTCTTGGTGAGCTGAGCCAAATGATCTGGCTCACTAAAAAGAACCGTAAGTCCCATCACTCCCCCTGACTGTAAATGCTGTGTATCATTGAACCTGGTATTTGCCAGAGCTAAAAGTTCTCAATGAGTACCTATTAAGGCTGGGCTACATGAGAAATTACAGATACTGCAGAATTTTTTAAGCTGCATCATGACACACAATTTATATCTCAATATTTAGAAATCTCTCTTTGTGTGAATGTTAGATTAACCTTCATTTAACCAGGGAGTCCCAATAAGATTAAAAATATCTTTGACACGAGAGACCTGGCCAAGGTAGCAGCCATGCAGAGTCACAAACACATCAAAGCTGTCGCATTTACCCAGAACAGATAAAAAACAAATGTTTAAAAACACCTCTGGCTTTTCAGATTAACAGGTACCTGCTTCTGTGAGCACATTCTTCATAATCCTCTTAAATTTGTTCAGAGATATGAGTGTGTCCAATTTGAGCTCTCTTTTAAGATTATTCTATTACCAAGGTGCATTGGAGGGAAAATCAGTTTTCTCCAGGTCTGTAAGAACTTACATATGTATATACTATGCATATAAACATATACTAATGTCTGTATACACTCTGTACCAGCTCTGATCCAGAGTCAGCTGAACTGTGATGCTCTGTTGTTTGTGCTACAGACAGTGCTGACAATATTGGGAATCATGAACTGAAATTGCAGTCTCCTAGACAGACTGCTAATAATAACTGTTTCTATATATCACCCCAAGCAATATACCTGCACCATAAGCAATGTTTCCTGCATTATGCTTTGTATAATGGTTTTTATTAGGACAAAGTCAAGAAACAGTCTGCTGAGACTGTGATGGTCCAGAAAGTGTAGTTTTTGTGTAGCTATGTTAGTATTTCCAGAGAGACATTTGTCATGGTTATACAGACGGATCTACTACCTGCAAACAGGTGGCTTTGAGTCATGCTACTTAACTCTGTCTTGCAGCAAGGGGTCTGTATAAGTTTGTGTCAATCAATTTAAATCAGATCCATAAGGTTTTTTTCCCCTATTATACCAACAAATCTTTCAATGCATGTTTGCTAATTCCTCTTTAACACTTCCATTCTATCTTAACAGTCTGACTTGTGTTTTTTTCATCAGCCAAAGCCACAGTTACAGTTCCCAACAGGAAATCTCAGAGCAGATTACCTTGGTTGGAGCTGTTGGAGGGGAAGCGGTCTGTCTTCTTGAGAGTGCGAAAATGGACCTTCTTGCTGGCTTGGCTTTCCCCGTAGAGGCCGATCGACTGGACCTGGATGATGTAGTCTGTCTCCTCCTCCAGGTCCCAGAGGACACATGAGCGGCTGGTGGTGTTTACTTCTCGAATGAATCGCTGCATGTGTCCGTCCTGCCTCTGGGGATTAGAAGAGGGACAGAAAACAACAGAATGGATCTTTTAATTAGATAAACAAGTCGATGAATAACGTTATAATCAATACAGTGGGTAAAAGGGGTGATAATGGTGGCTACACAGCAATACCAGGCTTGTAAATGTGCCCTTAAGAAGGACACTCTCCTCTTTTTAAAGCCTTATTTCTTGACTCAAGGAATTTCATCTTCCCGGTTTGATATGTCTTTAAGGTTTCCGCCTCAAACATCATAAAAAAACAGAAAAACAATCAGACAGAGGTGACCAACCAAAACATATTCAAGGTGCTTGGAAGCGGCGTGCTGAGGACTTGATTATGTTAACAGTTGGCACTTCATTTTCACCATATGGAGTCCAGACTTGAAATTGAAAAGTTGTGGAGTCAATTTTTCTTGATTAATTTAAGACTGCGAGCGCAGAGACAGAAGCTTTCATAGTCTCATTCTTTGGTTTTGACTTTCACAGTGTTATTGAAGCAAAGAAGAGTGGAAATTATTCTTTTTTTTCTTCTTGCATGCAGAGCCGGTCTCTCAGAGCGCTCCACAGACTGTCTACATTTGATATGGCTCTGGGCCAGATGTCGTCCTCCTATGTGCTTTTACGGCCCTGCCTGACTGATGGCGTGCTTAAAAAAAAGACAAGCTTATAACTCTTTGTAAACAATGAACAACGTAATGATTGAACAGCTGTATCCACTCAGGGTAATCACCATTTATGTTCAAATTTAGTTGCGTAACATGATGAAGAGCCCTGAGGAGAGACCTTTGGGTGTTTTACAGCCATCCTGCCACTTTGAGTGAAAAGCAGAGTTAAATGGCTGCACTATGTTTGGAGATGCAGAAAGCATAAACATGATTACAGCAGCATATGGCACCTTGTCAGTTAGGTTTAGCTTTCAATGGCTCCCCTATTTTAAGCCTTTGAAATCTTTTCATCCAAAGAATGATTTTGGCAGCTCGGCATGCTTATGTGGAGCCAATTCCTGCAGTATCCTAGTTTTTTCACGACAAATTGTCCATGCCAGCTTTAATTCTGACTTCAGGCTTGACGACAAGATTTAGTCAATGTCTCTGCATATTAAGCAAAGATTAAAGGGAATATACATCTTTTTTTTCCTGCCAGGGTTTGTTGTGCATGTGCTACTACTTCCCAAGGCTTCAATCCCAGTTTTATGTTGCGACAGACGCAAACAAAACACAAACGTCTGGATTTATTGTGCTGGATAAGAAAAGTATCAGATGGTTTCTTTTCACTTTGAATGCTTTTGCTCAAGCTAGCTTTTAGCAACACTTTTTCTAATATCATCCAGACCCACTGCTCACTCAGTACTCTGGACAAACCCGATGTTTATGGTATCTGTGGTGCTGTATCTGCTGAGCTACCACAAAGTGAACTCCAAGAACTACTGTCATGAAATATTCTCATTACAGTGTCAGAAAAATTGATGTTTTATCCCATTATGTTCAAAGGTGACGCTCAGTTAAGTGGTAGGGAATTAATTTTGGGCGCACTTCTTCATCCTGATGACCGGCTGGACGGAGAGCCAACAGAAACTGAACAGGTCATCCTGGAGGCCCAATGCCAAACCACAAATGGCTTTGGCCAAAAATAACACTGATGTGATTTTCTATTTTTGTCCAGCTGACCGTTTGTCCCCATCAGCCTCGAAAAAGTTTGTGGGGTATTTGATTGAGGAGGTGTTCGACATCTTCAACAGTGAAAACAAATCTTCCTTTTAGTATACATGATTATCAAAGTGCCAGTTTGCTTGTTTGCTTTGTTTCCTGGTCGTTGTTTTCTCTCAGCACTTGACTACCTTTTGCTCAGCCAGGTGTTGGCAATGAGGGTCCGTGTACTTGGCAACTAATGGATTTTCGTTTTCAAATGAAAAAAAAAAACAAAAATGGGGAGATGAGCTGTCTCCCGACGACCAATAAGGAATCAGGTGGTGAAAAATGGCAAAGAAAACGTTTTTCGTTTTGATCATAAAATCGGAAAATGAAAAAAAAACCCACCCAGTATTTGTCTTTCTGTGATGTGGCTTTAAATGGAAATCGGAGATCAAAATACATGCAGAAATTTTGTGTTTCAAGTTTCATTCACTTTTTTTATTGTGTCCCGGAAGTTGTGACTTGTAGTGAGACTTTGGAGCGAGAACATTGCCCCGCCAAGATGGCTGCCACATAAGCACATCGCTAAGCTTGCTGCTACAGCGCAGTTGTGTATCTAGTCTTCTATATAAATCTGTGCTTACGAGAGCCAAAGTCTCGCTCCAAGTCACAACTTCCGGGTCACAACAAAAAAGTGAATGAAACTTGAAACACAAGATTTTCATGCACGTATTTTGATCCTAGATTTCCATTTAACGACACATCACAGAAATTCAAATACCAAGTTGTTTTTTTTTATTCTCTGATTTTTTTTTTATCAAAAGGAAAGATGGAAAATTGTTTGTTTTCCGTTTTTCGTCTCCCGATTACTTACTGATCTTCAGGAGACAACTTTCTCCTCATTTTTGTTTTTTCATCTGGAAACAAAAATCAGTTGGCCACCAAATACACAGACCCATGAGGATTTTACAGGGTGGGACTTTGGTATTCTCATGTTAACTGAAAACTTGTCATGAATTACTCCCTAGAGCTTAGAAAATGTTGCTAAGACTGTGTTTTAAACTTTTGTTTGATCTTAATGTCATTTCACTCACCTGACTTTGGACCCTCTCCTCATGAAAGTTTTCTTCTTATTTTGCATTATTACTTTTTTTCCGAATACAAAAAAAGTGTTTTTTAATGGTATCAAACAGTAAAGCTATGCTCATCATTTTACTGGGTTGTTGTAGTTATTTTTGTTCTAGCAATGGGCAGATCAAGCCTGTTGAAGGATTATGGCTTTATTTAAATTTGGGAATGACATCTGGTGGCTTGTAAATTAAAGGCATGCTCTTAAGCACCACTACACCTGTCTGATAGTCAGAGTTTTTGTCATATATAAAAGCAAATGTGCCAAGAGTGGGTTACAACTTTCCCCACAGGCGACTATTTTTCAGATGTGCTCCATTAGATATTTATGCTTTTGTGCAAATATGTTGCAAATGAATCCATCCGGGCTGTCATCACATCACAAATTTGATATTCTCTCAGCACCATAGTTAGCTACTGATTTACAGCATCTGATTAAACTGAGAAGAGTGTAATGCTCCATCTTTTTCATCTCTTCCTGATTTTTTAAATTTTCAAAAGCCTTTTGGCTGTGTGCAAACTTCTTACAGCATATAAAACTGTACAATCTATTTTTGAGAATGCAAAAGAGGGAAATTTCACATTTTATTATTATTTTTTTAATTATTTAATTAACCCTTATTTAACCAAATAAGAACCCATTGGAATTTAGATCTGTTTCATTTACATCATAAATTTAATATTCTCTCAGCACCATAGTTAGCTACTGATTTAGAGCATCTGATTAAACTGAGAAGAGTGTAATTCTCCATCTTTTTCATCTCTTACTGTTCTGGATGTGTTTTTAATTTTTCAAAAGCCTTTTGGCTGTGCGCAAACTTCTTACAGCATTATAAAACTGTACAATCTATTTTTGAGAATGCAAAAGAGGGACATTTCACATTTTATTATTTGATTAATTAAATTAACCCTTATTTAACCAGATAAGAACCCACTGAAATTTAGATCTGTTTCATTTACCTCTAAACCACTTTGGACAAAGTGGACCTCATGCAAAACCTTAATACTAAGACTCAACTAGAGTCTGCGTATTGTTTCGAACAGTTTCAGATTTGTCATTTTATTTTTGGGGGGGAAATAAAGTAAGGGAAATTTTGCTGTCAAATCAAATTGGACCAAGTCCTTATTCAGAACCTCTACAGAACCAGTCAAAGTGGGGCTACGCATAATCAAGGGTAACCAAAAATGACTTTTGGACAACAGTATCCTATAGTTTTTGGCATGTACTATCTATCACATTACAGATATGTTTAGTGATTGTATGAGTTGCTACTTTCTTAAGTTTGTCTTTTAGCCTCATAGTTTGGTATTTGTATAACTTTTTTTTCGTCACAATACGAGGCAGTAAAGTTTAGGTTTAAGTCACACAGTGAGATACAGGTGCAAATGTATTGAGCTACAAGCTGGAGTTACTTTCCCACAAACCCTTTCTTCTCTGTCGTGGTGAAAAACAAACATAAGCCATTGAACCTTCAGGCTGAACAGACGAAGCATGCAAAAACTATTTTTTTCATCTGTTCAGCCCCACTTTATTCAATAATATTCATCATTTGTCTGTTCGCCTTTTATTCTCTGTGTGAGAACTTTCTTTGCTGCACCCAAAGGCTCCAGAAGAAACAGCATGGTTCACTCAAGTACCACAAATTCAAGCTTCTGAGCTCTGGTTGTTCTCCAAACCTCTTAGGACTGCTGGTTAAAAGGGTTTTTAAAACTGTAACCTAAAAACTTTCCACAGTCCCTGTGATTTGCAGTGGGAGTTAAGGATTTACCTGTTGTGAGATCGAGAAGCCGATGATTATATCTCCCTCTGGAACCTCCCAGGATACTGTCGCAGAGTCGGCACGAAGGTGCATGACGGAGACATTGACAGGTGCTGGTGGGCGATCTGAAAGGGAGGGAACAAACAGAGAGGGGTTTGTCAGTTTGCCTGTTTCTCTGGATTTTAGATTAACCACAACCATCTGTCTCCACCTCGACAGGCTTAAGCATACTGTTGACACTCTGAACACATCACAGCTGTAAAGTTTGGATTAAAAGTGAAGAAAACAGTCAGGTTGGATTTTGGATGGGGAAGTTTTGGCACAGTGAAGATTTGAGTACAGCTAGTGTGGAACAGCTTGTTCACATTCCTGCAGTTTTATAGCAGACTGTTGTGGTTGTTTCTTTTATTTTGTGCTTGTACATGCCTAATCTTCTCTTTATCAGTTTTCTGATCCACCGTCTCCAGTGAAATAAGGCACTAGCTTGTAATCTCAACAGCCAAATCACACGACCTCAGGAGCGTGGCTTTAATTACTTTCCATCACCCATTGCTAATGGATTCATTAAACTAAGGGATGGTAATATTTAAACACATTTTTGTGCAAACAGGGTTGTGGGTTTGGAGTTCAGAGGGAGGAAAACATATTTGGACAGTTTAGAAGGAGGTTAATTATTAGAGTTATTAAGTAATGTTTGCTTGTCTCGTGGATGTGCAAAGATTCTCCGACTATGTCAACAAAAGCTAGTGATGGAATTAGTTGCCATCAACTAAAACTGTTGATAATTAATTGGCATTTTTGTCAAGATTTGAGCAGATGTAACACTGTTTTCGAGAGCTGAGCTGCTGCAGAGTGAGAAACTGTGCACCCTTTCTACCTCTGCTGAAAGCTGCACATGCAAAACAAAGATCAGTCAGGCACTGGTAAACAAAACCTGAGAAAATGACTGGAGCTGATGCATCCTCATACTTCTTAAATTCCCCCACTAACTGTGAACTGCAAGAGTAAAGAGGTTTTTGTCTTTTTAAGTTTATTTTTAGGGGGGTTATGCATTTTTTCCCAGCGTAGGGCTGTGGGAAATGCCATGCAGTAGGGCTGCACGATTTTAAATCGTGATCAGATTTATTTATTACGATGTCAAAAAATTAAATCGTCAAATCGATTTTCCTCTCTATCAAGTCTCGCATCCCCAGGCCATCGTAGGCCCCCCCCTTCCTGCGGGAGTGCTCCCCAGTTCCCACACACCAGAGTAAACAAACATGGCATTTGCAGAAGAAGGCGAAAATTTTGTGGATAAATAGGGCAAGAGCAAGTCAGTGGTGTGGAATTGGTAGTTTTGCAGTTTCGGATGAAGAGCAAACCATTCCCCGCTGCAAAGTCTATCTGAAGGTGATATCAACTTGTCCACACGGAAACGAATTCAGGAATAAGCGCAAAAGTTTTTAGTCGTAGCGGTGTTTCAACCACATGGAAACGGCGTTTCGGGTGACTGTAAACAGTACTTTTTGAAAACAGGTATGAGAGTGCATAAATCCTTAAATCACTACCATTTCATCTCTGTGTGGATTTCTGTCTGCATCTCTCATCTCAACTCTTTTATGGCGCATAGGTGTGTCCGGCCAAAATAACATTTATACGCATGCTCTGTACTCTTCTTCTGTCTTTTGTGCATTACCTCAGCAACGTTACAGCACAACACACTGGCTTGGCATGTGCACTGCATTGTGTTTTAGTGGTTTTGTTTTGGGAGATGATAGAAGAACTTTTTGTTTGTTTGGTGAAGTCGTCACTGAATAAAAAAAATCGATATCAAACATCAAGTTTTCAGAGAAAAAAATCGTGTTTTTATTTTTGGCTAAAATCGTGCAGCCCTACCATGCAGGCATCCTGCTTCAAGGACTTCAGCCTCTGAATATGGGGTGAAAGTTTTAAACGGTAAGCTGAACAGGATGTGAATTGAGACATTCACTTAAACAGTTTATTTGCAGTTTGTTTTGCAGACAGACCCTGAATAACTATCCAAATGGTTGTTAGTTGCAGCCTTGCTTCTTGCATTTTAATTCTAAATCACAAATAAATTTGTTTCAGATTTCCTCTCCTTCGTGAACAGTCTCATCTCCAACCTGACAGTCTGCTCCTTCAAAAGCCACCACACTGTCTATTTCTTGTCCTCCTCACTCTGACAGGCTTACATCTCTTCGCTCTGTCACTCTGCAGTCATCTATCATGATTCGGTTACTGGTGGACATGTTGATTGCAAAGTGGAGACAAAAGCTTGGGAAGCAAAAGCTGAGAGAGAAAAAAGAGGGTGACAGATCTAATAGGGGGTCCTGGGCGGCTCTGCTGTCTCTCTGAAGCAATCGCTCTGTCCAGATGAAAAGGTGAGATGGGATTGTCCTGGCAGATGGGACCTGGAGGCCATCCTCAGGGCTTTTGTCGTTATCGCTGGTCTAATGGACTTTGTATGCTGTCACTGAAAGTCACAGAAGCAATGTAAGGCGGGTCAAGAGGGTGGCGATAAAAAGTATAGTTTCTTCAATAAGTAGAAGGACAAACATGCTCTTTCCCTGAATGCTACCTAACGATTTCTAGTTACTGCTTCCTGTTTAAGTTCACTGCAAGAACTAATTGACAACATTATAGTCAATTTGTACCTCAAACACTTTTATTAACTCACAAGGCACGGATGAACTAAGCCGTAACACAGTCGTCTTCAGATGACAGCCAAAGGCCTGTGCTGCACAAGGATAATATTTCATCCAAAAATTGCTCTTGTGAGAGAGAGATGAAAGACAAAATGATGAATTTGGGAGCTATTTCAAAGGATTTGCCATTTTCTGTATCACCCCCTCCTCCTCCTTGTCTCTACCCTTTTATCTCTCTGTCTCTCCTTTTTACTCTCTCTTCACTCCTTGTAGCTACTTCTGCCTCTTTAATCTCAGAAACAATCAGTGTTGGCCTTCACGTCAAGAGCAAAATGTGGCATTGAGGCAGATCTTAAGACCCCTTGGTCACTCAAGGTTATTTCTCTCTTTCCTTTCGCTGTGGTGGTACTATAATCTTCCAAAGGGTCGAGGTCAAGCACAGGCATGGTGCTCTGTCTCACTAACAGATTGGTTTGTGGAGGAGAGTGAATGAGATGAACCAGAGTGCATGCTAACACCAAGCCAGGAATTGATGTTGAGCGTAGAGAAAGGTGGGCTTGGTTGTTGGACATGCTGGTATAAAGAGGTGAAAAGGCTCGGCTGTCTCATTTTACCCATCTAATAAGGAGCCTTTTATAGGCGCGGGTGCTCTAACATGTAAAGATAGATGTACAGCAGGTTAAGAGCGGGGCCAGGTCACATATCGTAGATTTCGTCCTTGATCTTTGGAGAGCTGCTGGGAAATAAATCAAACCTATACTTACAATAATGGTTTCTGTGTCCTTCTGCCTGGGCCATGTCGAAGAGACTGCTAATATTGAGTCAGGAACCTTTGATATTTATGCTAATGGACTTTAATTGAATGTCTTATCAGTATCACAACATGCTGGGCCACTAATTGGCTGATATTTAACAAAGCTTCATCCCCTAAACGAGTCCTCGGATGAAGAATACAGAAGGATTACATTTTTTTATCTGAATATCTCATTATAAATCTCCCCAAATTGAATTTCCAAGAGCCACAGAAGAAGATTTGATTCCTGCAGCTGCATCATCTCTAAATAAATAAACGCTTAGCCAAAAATAACTCACATATTCATTTGTTTTGTAAGGATGAATCTGACTCGTCATCAGGCAAACACTATCAAGTCCAGATTGCTGTCAGCCCCTGTTGTTTGGTTCGCACACACGCTGCTGAATCAGGTGCAACATTTATCTAAGACAGGACACCTTCATTTCTCTTGCAGCTCATTGTCCTTTAGGTAATGGGGGTTACAGGCAGACACGCATGGGCAGAGAATCAGCCAGTAACCATGATGCATCGTCTGCAGGTCATTTAGTGGCGATGGAGGAAGTGACACTTCAGCTGGAGCAGGTCATGAATCATCAGTAATGTATAAGTACCTGCTTTCTGTGTATTGTTTCTATTCAAGGGGTCTAACAGGACAAGTTCATTTCCACTTTGAAGGAGAATGAGTTTGTACAGATGTATTCTGCTGCCTCTAAGAGAAAGAAGGGATCATACTGTATCAAGAGCATTTTACAGGGAACTTCACATAAGATAGGTTTTTCATTTGAAAAATGATTTTTTAAGGTATTTTCTATTTTTTTCAACAGCTTTTCTCTCAATGTGAAGAATTTTTTGTGTTATTTTCTAGATTATTTCCCCCCTTTCAGCTTTTTTTGAATGATTTCAGGATATTTCTACCAGGTTGAATATGCTCAGAGAAGAAATTTAAACTATTATAACATTTTTTTGTTTTTTCAAAAATGAGATATTTCCATATACATTCAAATATAGCGTTTTGTAATTTTTCATGGATTTGGGGTTATATTTATGTCATTTAAGGATTTTTTCTCTTACTTTTATGAGATTCTTTATCTCTTAAAGGTACAGTGTGTAGGATTTCGCTGCATTGAGCAGAACAGACTGGAAATGAAATAAGGTAAGGTCAGGTAAGAAGAACTTCATTGATCCCCAGAGGGAAATTCAATACATAAATATACGTATGAATTAATATGGGTGACATATGATGCTAATGAGAGTGTTCAAATCAGGGGGTAATCGCCTGGTTATAAAAACTCTTCTGCTGGAACGCCAAATGTGCCCCATTTACAGAGGCCGTTGTCCTTGTCATGGCAGATACTGGTTTGATGTCCAACCACAACCCTCTTTTCCCCACCCCCTGCTTCCCATATTTCCTCTGTCTTCAGAGATCCTCTCAGACAAAAGCAAAAATGCCCAAATATTACAAATTAATAAAACATTTTTGTTTTTGTCAACTTATATTAAACCTTTTTCATCTGCATAAGAGACAGTAACCTTCTGTAGAGGCCCCCTTCTTGCATGGCCTCGTTTTTTACTGCAGCATAAAACAGACAAAACAGTGGTAAATGTGTTTTTTAAATTTATTTAGTGAGAGGCTGCTCCAAATGCACTGACTGTAAGAAGAAGAGATTAGCTGTTGTACGGTGACAAAAAATAAACTTAGGGAGACATTTTTGACTGTAAAAACCTGAATGATGCACATGATGCATAACAGTAGGATTTTGTCCTCTGAGGCCACCATTGCTTTACTTCACTTCATAGTTTTAATTTTTAGTCTAATCGCAAACAGATATAGTTAAATATTCCCATTTCTACACACTGTGCCTTTAGGAATCTTTATTTATTCACAGTGATTTACAGATACTTCAGTTAGTTTAAGATAGTTGTTTATTGTATATTTTCTTGATTACTTGGTCTTTATAATTATTAACTTTTTTCAATATTTTTATATTTGAAAAGATTTTTAGATATTGGATGATAATCTTAAAATCTCAGTCATTTTTGTTATTTGTGATATTTTCTCATTATTCATTATTTATTATCAAGATACTTGATACTTAATTTCATTTCAATATCTTCACCTTAATTCAAGATATTTTCAGTGTCATCTCTTTTGCAGCTATTTTAGCTATATGTTGTGATATTCTTACAGATTATGGGCCACAGATCTGTCTTTTTTTCCCCAGTGATGTCTTATAAAAAGACAACAGCTTATATGATTTCCCCAATGAAAATATTTTGATTATGGCACTGACCCAATCCTGAACTCTAAAATGTTTGCTTCCAGTTTGTTTGACTTTCCTCTCTACAGCAGACGGTGTCATTGTGGATGCTTCAATATTTGTTGTTGGCCACATGTCCTGAGTGAGCCTTACTACACCGAACGGGTTGCGTAAGATGTCAAACCAAACAGCAATAGGTCACGGTGTCCGAGGCGTGTGTCAGTGCAAACAAATGGTAAGACCCTCCTGGGATGTGGGCGCGCTGCCAGGATGAATCATAGCGTAAAGCCAAAGCCCCGTGCATTAGCTACTCCCCATCAAACCTGAGTGCACACAGAGATAGTGAAAGTGCGGGAGGGTGTCTGAATGGCTGACGAGCCACGTGGAAATGAGCCCAGTTTGAATTTGCCAGAGTGACGGACGGACACAGCATCTTAACTTTCGTCCTCTATATTTGCTTGCGAGGCACATTTGTATGACTTGTCCTGATTTACGCCTGGTTTGTCTTTATGGTTGCTTATACTGTACAGCATCAGGGCAGAGATTTATTGGTGGAGATTTTATGGTCATACAATAAAATCTGTGCTTCATCACTGAAGACCACCTTAGATAACCGTGACACATTGATTAAACTGAAATAGAAATCTGAGACGTGTAAAGAAAATTGGAAATTACATCCCCAGTCAGATTTACTAAGGGCATAATTTGACAGGTGACATAGCTTTTCCATTTTAGTATTTCTGGAGGCAAATACTGTGTTTAGTTTGATTGCCTGAAAAAAAAAGCAATGAGCAGATTTGAATGTAATGCAAAGTTAATGCAGCCGTCATTTTGTGTTCATTTTTTATGCCTCAGTGTGGGTTATACAATGACAGAATCCACCAGCAAATTCAACACACTCAATCCTAAAATCTTAGCATGACCATCGTTGGAGAGACGATGAAAACTGACGCAAAAAATGAACATATCTCAGCACCTGTTTGAAGGCATGGATTAAATGTCTATGTCAAGACTTAACTTTACCAGGACGACAAGATTCATAAGATTCATTGCACATTCACATTCATATAAGGAAATTTGTATTTCATTTAAGTCATGTGTTTTGTGGATAAAACAGACATATTAGGCTACAGTGCATCACAGCCACCGATGAAAAACTTCAGCTGGGGGCCAGGTGTTGATCCCAGAATCTTCCACATGACAGCACGACTCTTTTCTCAAGCAACTAGTAAATTTCTGCCATTAAAACAACTGCAACAAGACAGTGTTTTCTGACACTTGATTTTGTCACTGTATTTTAGCCAGCTTGAAAAATGTAGGTCTCAGGTGTCCTGACCTGATCTCTCCCTGGTTTTAGCCACATTTTAACATCAATCCCAGTTGGTGATTAGTGGGAAATCACTAAGAGCTTGTTTTAACTTAAAGGCTCATAAAACACATCAATATTTGTGAAAATCTTGAGTTTTGGTGGCCAAGAACGCATTATACTTCTCTATTTTTTTAAAATGGAAAACTGACAAAACAACAATTTGGGTTTTTTTCAAAATTAATCATTTCTCACTCATTTAAAAGAGAGTTTAAAGGTCCTTAATATACAACGCAAAATTACGAAATATTCTGAGGTGAATCTTGAAGTGCCTGACTATACACATCAAGCCCGATGCGATTTTGCGACTTTCTGAGGGGAAAAAAGATGCGTCCCAGGTGGAAGCAAGAAGACTGACAACACCAGACTGACAGTTTTTTTAGTTCTGATTAGACACTAGTCTTGAGATGGCTGTCTGTCATGATAGCATGTACTGAGTCGGGACCAGTACCAGATAAGCACATTAAACCATAATCCATCAACATAAGGTAATAACCGAGACCTTATGGTGCTGTGACAACAACGCGGTAAAATTTGAGACAGTGAAAATACATATGGTATGTTGTATCTGAACAGGTTAGCTTACGAGCTAAAGTTACGTTAGCACAGATGAAAGTTAAAACAAAGACGTTTAGCAAACTGTTAAAGCACACAAACTATCGTCATATGAGAAATCAGACACTATTATTCCACAAGTTGTCCTTCAGCTTGTTATCTTTGTAATATTTGTGTTTTTTTTATCAAAAAGCACTCTGTTCTCTGACACGTAAACAATCAGCCGGTCGGCCATGTTGAATATACCAGTGAATCAGATGTTGCAACAACACGCAATTTGATTGGTCAGAAGTGGACACACAGAATACGAAACTTTAGAAAAATTGACCATGATATGAAAAAATAAATGCCGCAATATCACAGGACAGGAAAACGTTGCTTATGTGAATGCTTGTATTGACAGGATACAGGTTCGAAAAAAAATATTGATGTCCGAAATAATCGCACGATAAAAACGGTCCCAGTGTGAAAGGACCTTTAGTCTGCAGGTGAGAAAACACCAAGAAAAAAAGTCAAAATTGATCATTATGTATCTGACATAGCTGATCACAAAATCACAGATTCTGTAGCAAAGATATAAGAAGTTGGTTTGCAGAGTGGTTAACATCAGCAGAGCTAGCACCACTTGCCTTTAGACCTCCTTGCAAGTAAACATCTACTGATGAGTGTTCGGGTGATTACATGTTGATTTTACCAGACACAGCATGCATTTAGCTCAGTCTTCATTTTCTAGATTGGAAAAGTGCCAAACTACACTACGCCACAAGATGTCATCTGTGCTTGTTCACATCGGAGTTGTTGAACATTTTAGCATTATGGCAGGAGCTAATTAGTACTGGCAGGTGGGTGTACTTCAGCTGAGACACAAAATTTGACCACCGTTTTAGACCTAATAATAACAAAAACATTAACAGACCAGGAACTCTGGTGCCAACTAACCATTATGATAATGTTCAATCATGCAGTCAGCTAAATGTGCACATTTTTACCACAGCTGTACCAACAGTTCACAAACTTACTTCTTCCTTCATATTCTTTGAGCTTCTTTGAGCTCCAATCTCACTCTGAAATGATTTTCCATGACAGCAATGATAAATGCGGTTTTGAAGCTCATGCACTGTGACAAAGTGAACTTGGTCAAAATGAAGGTAAAGATTATTACAATTTAATTTGACCAACATCAAGTTGGGCATGAATAAGTGCTGCCTGACAAGTTTATTGACAACATAATAAAAGTCCTTGGTTGCATAATTCATCTGGCTTGGATCGCATTGAAAAAACAGAACAGTAAGGGTTTATGAAGGTTGTTGACCCATCCTGTTATTGATCATATTTTTTCCTTTAATTCAGTGACGGTTTGAAGTGCTGCTTATACTATAATCCTGTTGAGATTCTAATAAAGCCTTGCTTTCTGGTGAGATAATATATTCACCATCATCTCATAAATAAAGGAAATCGAATTTAACAGGTGCCTTGAATTTTGATTCATTGCTCAGTTGGTCTTTAACCAGCTTTATCTGGGTGTAAATGTTCTCCTCTGCACACACAGCAGTGTGACTGTTTGTCACACGGCTCCTCACAGGCCCCCGTGTTGCAAATCACCAGCTAGTTGAGCTCTTAAGCACTGCCCCGCTGGTTAAACTCAGCCTGCCTCTGTATTACCTTTGAAGACCATCTTCTTGTTCAATCATCAAACACTACCCCTCCTGACATCTGGCCTCTCTTTCAAATTTGATGCCATGTGGGAGGAGAGGCTGTTTGTCAACCCCATGAAGTGGCTTTAGATGGAAACAGATGAACAAGCTTGTCCAGTCAGGCGTGTGTTTGAGGCCTCAGCATTTTCCTGTACATTTACAGTAAGGACACTTACTGTCTCCTCTTTTAGGTACACTCCATCTTCTCTCTCGCTGGCTCAGAGGCTGTGAGGTGACAGTCCAACCATATGGGAGCAGGTGCCAGTCTAAAGTTAATGCAGTCACAGGCTAAACTCTGAAGCTTTCAGCTGCAAGGTAACTCTACTTCATCTTCAAGCCTTAAAAAATGTTTGCATACAGCATGAGCAGATATATGGTTCAAATCAGAATTTATGGCCTTAATAAGTCTGCAGGCTTTGGTTATTTTGGGCTTGACGCTTAACAAGCACCAGGGCTCTCAAAACACTCATAAACAGTACAATCTGGGATTAAACAAAATCTTTTATCTCTCCTGAACTGTTTGTTAAATGTCTGCAATCCGACAGCAGATGGGATTAGGACAACCTGAGCAAATATCGTCCATCACTGTGATGGATTCGGCTCTAACAGGGAGCATTTATTTGTCAAGAATGTGTCAGCAGGTTTATGAACAGCAGATTGCCAATTTAAAGAATGATATGAGGCTGACGCTCCAAATAAATCCAATTCATTTTAATTCATGTTTGCTCAGTGCTTAAAGCTCTGGCTGGGGCCTTATGTGGGATTAGTTTTCTGGCTTGCTTGTTTTCCAGACTGTGTAAATATGGAAACCAACACTCGAGTGTCAGCCTAGATAGAGGAATATCCTCTCTGTGAGTGTCTGCTGTGTGACTTTGGAGGATGGCATCATCCTGTGACAGATTTAGGCAAATTTTATTCCTTTCCCAAATTTGTTGAATGAAATTTTCATGGACAGACTCTATGGGGAGCAAAGAGGCTCACAATTAATTTAAGCCGTCCTCTGAATGACGTGTCACAGCAAATCCCACAGTCTCCTAACATGCAAAGGGCAGGCAGTAATGAAGTCGACTTTATTTTTACTTTGAAGCGCACTTGCAAAAATCCACTTAATGTTTCTGATCCTCAATTTAATAGGAGCTTTTTCCAGCTCCTGACAGCCTGTGTTTCAGAACTCCACAGAGAAACGAGATGCACAGTGAAAGCCCTGGATATTTGTATCAGGCAGACACACACACTGAGAGAAACACAGAGGTGCCAATCTGATTGTCTCAAGGCGCTATCGCATGTAGGAGTCAGTCCCCTTGAGAGGCGAAGGAGGAAGTGATGGGGGGAGACAGGTAGATGAAGACAGGGAGATACTGTAGAGGCACACAAAGAGAGGCAAATGCAGGAGAAACAGAAGATGTAAAAGGCGGACACTGGGTTTGAATAAAGCAAACAAAAATACCAGTAATAGGTGTTTTTGTAATTTGACAATTCACCCACATTGAAAGCATTGTGGCTTTGCAACCTTCTCAGAGAGGTGACTTCCCCAGTAATGGCATGATTTAAAAATGAATCAGCCTTTTCTCAAGTCATGAAAGATTTAGAGAAAGTGTCATCCAAGTGAGCAGGTACAATAAGGAAAGGCTGAAAGTAGCCACAGATTCACATCCCCTCTCTCTGAAGATAAACACTTTTATATCCAATGTCATATGTCATTTAGGAAATGCAAAGCTGATAAATATGGATTGCAAAACAAAAGCGACCTTAAAGGGAGACTTCATGTTTTATAAATCATTTCAGAGGGACAGGTATAGGCTTCAAGAACCCGTTCCCCTGAGCACGTCTGTAAAATGTTCAGTTTCTGGTTAAACGGGTGGTATAGGGTGAAGACAGCTGTGTGAGAAAGGCTGAATTAGTGCATCATCGGCTGCAGAATAAAATAAAAGAAGGTCGTTAAACTTGACGTTTGGTAATACTTTGTAAGGTGCATGTAATGGCGCATTTTACAAGGCTACAAAGTGCACCGTAATTGATATGACTCCTCTGCTGTAGAGACTGAATACTTACTTGCTCCTACCAAGAACATGTCGCTGCCCAAAAGCAACAGGACGGCGGAGTTGACCAACACAAGCAGACGAGCCATGTCTCGGTGGGTATGTTTGCTTATCTCGGCTTTGAACGCAGGTCTCCTATGCTTGAAGGGCAGCTAATTCACAGCGGTTCATTTTTCACAACATGTTGAAATTCCTCTCATGAATGGATGAAAGGATGGTTGCGTCTTAAATCTGGCTCGAGCTGGTCAATGAATCGATAACCAGTGAAAGTAGATATCAAATGTTGTCTTCATAAACATTTTGTCGCGCTGTTTTCTTCATTGAGGCGTTAAATCCACAAGTCCTTCATCCCTGTCCTCGCGCTGACGTCCGAGCAAATCTTCCATTATTCCCGGGCTCGCACGAGAGCTCAGGTATGAACAGGTCGCGGTACAAATGGGAAAAGATGACGCTCACAGCAGGCTCGTGGATGCCCTCGCGCTTTGAGGAGACGCCATGGACAGCGCCTTTAAGTTTTCAGACTGTCCTTGCGCTCCTCGGTCAGCGGCTCACTGCTTCACGGCTCAGACCCGAGCGACGGTTTGTCACTCAAGCACAGGGGCTGGTCTCACCCCTGCAGTCCTCTCTGGGTTGCTGACCCAAAAGCAAAGCCCCGGGTCCAGCACTTTGCGCCTCAGCTCGAGAGCACGCGCAGCAACATAATTTATCATCCACGTGTCATGAGAGAGGAGCGCAGCAGGTTGAAATACGCCCACCTTTGATGCACTCACGCGGAGCCTCTATTCTTCTCTTGCTGTTTAATATTGCGTTTCATAAGATAATATTTACAGAAAAATGCTAATATTCATGATTTTAATTCGCCTTCATGTTCCGTTTGAATAGGGGAGACAGGGGTTGGTTGTGACCCTTTTTAATCACGATAAAAAAAAACTATATAAATTAAAATAACATTTTTTTAAAAAGTAGACATTTTGTGTTTCCCTTTTATTCTTTTAGCTAATAAAATGTAATTATTACCCATTAAAGACACCTTGACACAACTTAACAACAGTCCCATCACCAGGTTAGTTTTAAAATCATTACCACCCCACTACGCTCATCACTGCCCTTTGTTTATCATTTGTTCAAATCAGCCTCTGTCAGCTTGAAAAATGACTGTATTTACTGCTTTAAAACAGTTAACATTATAAAATTAAGAATATTTATATGGGCTATTCAGTACAAGATTTATGGGAATGTGTGTAAGAGGGATAGATAATGTGCATTTGTGTTTTATCAGAAACCTTTGAGATAATGTTAATAAATAATAATAATAATAATAATAATAAATTTATTAATAACACACTTACAGATGCTCAAAGATGCTTTACAAAAATACACATTTTAAAATACAGAAAATGTTGAGTAATAAGACCAACAGTGTAGACGGTTACTAAAGATACAATATGAAAAGACAGTAAAAGAACAGTTCATAGGTTAAAAGCCAATTTAAAAAGGTGTGTTTTTAGGAGTGATTTAAAAGTATGGGGGTCTGTACGGTCTCGGGTGGGTTTTGGGAGTGAATTCCAGAGGGTGGGGGTGGCAGCGCAGAAGGCTCTGTCCCCCCAAGTTTGGTGCTTGGTGCTTGGTTCGGTGCTTGATTATTCTAACAGATGTTTGGTTTACTCTGTAGAAAAATGTGGATAGTAAAGATTTTTAGTTTTCTTCACATCCCTGAATTCATAGGCCTCAAAACTACTTTTTCACTCACAAAATTTCAAGAAAAATTCACTTCCCAAAGCGTTAAGTGTTCAACTCCCTCAACCCCAGCAGGGGGCTGACATGCTCCTCACCCATCATACACTGCGCCTCCTCCACAGACACACAGCATGTTATCATCGAGATGTATCACGTTGATAAGCTGAGTGCACCGCCTCATGGGACAAACGTTTCACATCAGATTGCTCTTCCTCTGTGAAGAATTTGCTGCTGCCAGCACAGGTAGACCAGCCTTTATCTTGACAGACAAGAAGAAGACATCAAACATATGTGGGAAAGACTGCTTATTACTCAGCGAGTAGGTGGTAATCAGATCATACAAATCTAATTTTCCAGCAACGCTAAAACAAGAAAATTAACCCCTCAGACAGGGGTGTGTTTGCTCCTTTTTTCAAGCTTGTTTGTCCGTCGGCTAAACCAACCTTTTGAAACGTTATAGTCCTCAAAAAAATGGTCCCCCCTCAGGTGTTGCCATGGTTTCAATGAGCTCACAAGTCCTTTTAGAGTAAGAGAGCGAGAGATGGGCTTTTGTATTATAGATAAGTTCTTTAGGCACAATATGAGGTACTGGAGTTACCATGACAGCTGTCTGTTTCTAGCTGACATTTCTGTGGCATTTAAGAGCTTTTCACTAAAACGTCTGGTTAGAGGACACTCAGTGTATCGACTTCAGTTGTTTTTCTTTATGTAGAGTTGGTTAATAAGAGCATGCTTCTCTCTTTTCAACCTGTTGACAGTTTTCTATAGAGCTCAACAAAATCATAGTTTCTAAATGTTAATGTAACAGCAGTGGCGCAGTTTTACAAGCTTTAATACAGCAAAGTAACCAGTTATTTTGGTATAAAGCAAATCATGATATCTCCTGAGTAAAATAATCAATAGTGATGTGTGATTTGTGGACAAGGTGCCTAGCTTTTACCACATCTTTTGAAGAAGAGAGTATTGTCGCATATAGTATAGTGACACCAATAACTCAAGAGAGCTTGAGATTTATATCCTTGGCTCTTAAAAATCCTCTTGCAGTCTCTTTAGCCAACCCAGCGGGTAAAAGAAACAGCAGAAGGATGTGGCACTGGAGCTGGAATTTATGCTTGGTCTTGGCAGCATCACTTCTTCCCATTTTATCATAAATTTCATGAATTACTGATTCACACATAAGCAGGGGCATGTAAGAACTTTCTGACTGGGGTGGCCTTACCCCTTTTTTCCACATAATAAAAGCTCCATGAGGAGTTCATTGACATTTGTGAAATAGATTTAAATTTATATTGATGTCTGTTTATAATGTACAGAAGCAAACAAGAACATCAGCGAGAAGATTAACACATTTTTCCTTTAAAATGCTCATAGCCTAAAACTGGTGCATAGGGAATAAATGTCAGTCAAACAGCTGAAGAAATATTTTTTTCACATTTTACGCATCAAATACTCAGAATAAATTGTACATCTGACCTTAAAAAACATAATAGAGAAAATTTTTAAACAATGTAGAAGACAAGATAAGTTTTGTCCATAGTGGGTGCACCAAAACTGACACAAAGCAAAAGTTCCTCACAGAAGCTTTAAAATTTTATTATTATGCTGCAAATTTATATGTATATTTATATTTATATGTCCTTTGAGACAAGATAATATGCTGCAACTTTTCTCAGCAAAGTATTTTTCCACAGAAGAAACTACTGGTGGCCTGTTGACCAAATAGTTAATTTCAACACAAGTCCTGTCTAACAAAGCAAATAGTCCAGTTTTTTGGTGGCTAACCACTTTTGAGGGGGGCTCATGCCACCCCGCCATACTGTCTAGACACACACCTGCAGATCCATCCAGATTATATGACAGTAAGTTTTAAACTTTGTACAGTATAATGTGTCAGAAGATTGATTAAATGCTTTTTATATTTAAATCAAATCTCTGCAGATAAAGTCAAAAGTATCACCATTTGATAAAATATAAGCATAGACCATCTGTAATTTACAGACTTAACCAAAAAGCAAAGAAGCACTTAATATGCTCCACTCCTCAACTTCCATCCTGTCTAATTGAGGACTCAGCCATTTGTTTTAACATGATTGCCTAATTGCAACAAGAGCCCCTGTTGTTCAGCTGTTAATGCACGAGTCGGAGAAGTTATTTGTTTTTCGTGTAATCAGGGTCTTAATTAATTCAAGCTCTTTGCAAAAATGCTCAGTTCTCTTGAATGGATTAAATTACAGCTCTCAGTGGGGGAGCCACATTTATAATTATGACAGAAATATTGTGGGATGCTGTGACAGTGGGGTATCACATACACCTGCACATGTTTGAAACAAAAACACACAATTTTTTTATTTATTTTTGTCTTTTCTTTTTTTGTGCTGAAAAAGAGAACAGGAGCTGACTTGCAGCAAAGTAGTCAAACTCATAGACACAGGGATGATGACTACAGCATTTTACACAATCAAAAAACATAATAGTGAAACTTTATACAAATGAAAATCAAGAAATTAAAGCTCCTGGTAGGATCTTGTGATTTGTGTTGAATTTGGGGCTACCTTGAGGACAAAGGTTTTATTTTTGTGATTTCATATCTATCTTATTAGAGTCAAATGTATAAGTTGGAAATCTGTATCGATGTTTGGGCTGAAAAGACCGTTTCTGCCTGGATTTGTTTGTCTGATACCCTGCTCCAGATGTCTAAGGCATTAAAAAATAACTTTATAGGGACAGACAATCATTTTCTGAAGGTCTTGCTTGCATTAGTTGTTCACAAAGAGGCATCAACATTAATTTGTCTTTCAGTTTAAAACTCCTTACTGTAGCTTTAACAACACTGTGTCCACTAGAGACAGGCTTTCACAGCTGCAGAGCTGACATGCTGTATCAGCGCCTTAAATTTCTCTTGTTAATTTTTTCTTGCACATATTTTCCCATTCAGTGCAAAGTGCTGACATCCTGTTAACAGTTCATTTTGTATCTCACAGATTGCTTTGAGCAATTTCCTACATCTTTATTTTTGCTGCTGTAAAGTGCTTTAAAGTCATTGTGGTTCACATCATGTTGGCTTTCTTCCTTCATCATCATCATCGTCATCATCATGAAGAGATGAGGCCTGCAGGATATAAGAAAAGAGGACATTTAGTGAAACTATAAACATAATGATCACATCAGGATGTGAGATGAACAAAAAAAAGTTACAATTTAATATCCACATCTTATTTTCTGGGATTTTTTTCATGTTTATGTGATATTTGCCAGCAGACCTCTAGCCAACAGCTTTAAGTATGCTCATACTGAGATTTATTTATTACAAGAAATACAGTTATTTCAATGCCCACACTGTGCTATGACAAACATTTATTGTTAAAGACATGGTTGAATGGTTGTGGGGAGGGGGATACGGGTTTGAGGAGAGTTATCATGGAGCACAGAGGGGAAAAGTTTGTGTGTGGGAGTTGAAAGCTTTTTTTTTAATCTGCCTCAATGACTCAGTTTTTGTAAACTGCTTCTCAAATCGTCAACCATGCCTTGAAGTTTTAAAAGGCACTGTAACAAGTTTTAACTGTTTGAAAAATAGACTGAACCTGATGGTGATGCCCCTTTATGTCCATCAAAATTAAACAATACCACCAACAACACGACTGATAAATTCCCTGTTGTCGTTTTTAATTTTCAAAACTGCTTTGAGGAAGTAGGTGTCCAGATGATTAAAAACAGGCTTAAAGAACATCCTTTTTTGCTTTCTCTATAAAAAATTTCTGTGTAGCCAATTTTCACAGTAAGTGAAATATTCTACAAAAAAAAAGAGGTTTTTCTCTGAAAACACTACTGTTAAATCAGGCAAGAGATAGATAGATAGATAGATAGATAGATAGATAGATAGATAGATAGATAGATAGATAGATAGATAGATAGATAGATAGATAGATAGATAGATAGATAGATAGATAGATAGATAGATAGATAGATAGATACTTTATTAATCCCAGAGGGAAATTCAAAAGTCCACAGGGGGCGCCAATATGAAACAAACTGAAACTTACTCACTGCAGCTTTAATATGTAGACCAAGAGTTTTTTTTGTCAAATATTTTTAAGATAATTTCTTAGTTGTTTGAAACTAAAGGTTTTGTCATCCAGTAATGGTGTGTGTATGCTTGTCCCTGCACTGAGAAATGTGTCACCTTCACTGCTGCATTAATCTTAACTACTTTTATATGGGGTTATTGTGTGCAGGTGGTGTCGTAAAGAACTTGTTTTTAATGAATAAATTAAGAAAGTTAAAGTCCAAAAGAGCTCCTAACAGGCTGAGGGTCACCTTCAAACTCTCTCCTGGTTTTGAACCCCATTTTCCCCAATTTCCTTCCTGAACTTCTCATTCTTCTCTGTACTGCCTCGTCATCATTTCATTTGAAAACTTTCTCACAGAATCTCAGGAGGACAGGGTTAAGAATATCTAAAATAACTTCCCCTGGCAGAAGGGAAGACTCCAAATGTTAATTGCTTGGTGTTCGGTGCCCAGTGGAGGAACTTTATAAGTAATGGGAAGGCAGGAAGATGGCAGGGTTTTAATAAGTGACTGCAGACACAGACTGTTTTATGGTTCATTTTGGTCCATCCTCCTGATGACTCTCAGGTACTTAAAGGTGTGAGACTGGAAACAATATGCTGGAGGAGTATTCTGGCTCAGAGAAAAAGCAGTTAAATGTCAGTCATTGCTCAATAAAATGGTGCGACAAAGTTATGTGCATTATGTTTATATAAATACCTTTGACATACTTCAATAACATTGAAGAAATTTATACATGCAAATGAAAATGAATGCACAAAGTTTGTTATATTATTTGCTCTGGATGACATGCTGATAATAAAACATTTATATAGATCCCTGAGCAACTGAGAAGCTAAAAAGTAAACAGATTAATATTGACATAAAAGATGGGCTGGGTCTATAAGGATCGAATTCAGTCCTATAAACCTCATTGAAATGTGAAATCACACTGCTAAAAAGGTATCTATGGCCATTGTTGAGGAGTGTTTGAGATAACCAACAATAAGGTTTTTCAGCATTTGTTTGTGGACATGGATTACAGGTACAGTAAGCTAAATTTAGCCCCATTTAATAAAACCAACATGTTATAAATGTGGAAAAATTCCCCAAGTCACTCTACTCCTGTCACACATTTCATGACCTGTTTACACCCATTAAAAAGGCTGCAATTTAAACGCTGCTGAAAAACCACTGAAGAGATTTGGTCATTATAATAATTTCTGTCCTCTTTTCACCCTTAAGTTAACAAATCGATCACTTTTGTAAGTCAAAAAGTGCTCTCTGACACTCATAATTAAAGCTTCTGTGAGAATCTTTCTGTTTGTGTTGATTCTGGTGCGCCCTGTGGATAAAGCAGAGGTCTGCATCTCTTTGCAGTGTCCCATACAAAGTGAGACACGCTTTAAATCTTATCAAGGGTTGCTTTTACACTATCTTATAAGAAGTGTCAGCCATAAGAAATGCCCAAAAAAGGAGGCCTTTTTGTTAGCATACAATAAATCAGGTTGACCCACACCCACCACCTACTAGCAAATGTGAACTTTAAAAACCAGTAAATAAAAACAAACAGTTATGTGGCTGACAGTCCCATTTGGTGTTATAGGTCATAAAAAGGTATTAATATCAACCTTAGTTTGTTTCATGAGTAGATAAGAGTTACTCATAGGAGCTTTAAAGCACCTGAAAAAAGTTTACTAAGTGTTTAAATGGGCATGCAAAAGTATACATAAGACCAGAGCATAAGAACCCAAACACAAAAGAGCCCGAACTACACAACCAACGTTATCATCTATAGAACCCAGGCAACACAAAGACTGAAAGCATATGGACCAGAGATTTAAGGTGAAGCAAACAATTAAGCGAGGAGGAGGCAATAAAAATGAGGTAAAAGCAATAAAAAGAATAAAGCATTAAAAGAGGGGTGAACAGAACCAAGTGAAATAAAAGCAAGACAGAGAGAGAGGCGGTAAAAGTACCTAAAAACAATAAAGCAGTAAAATAGATAAATGCTATGAAAGCAATCACAGGAAATAAAAGCAATAAAAAGTTTTTAAGACAGATAAAAGCAGATAAAAAAGATCAAATGTTGATTTTCCAAAAGTACTCCAGGCAGCTGAAAAATGGTGGAATTACTTCATTCTGTTTTATCCAAACTTAATGTTAAAATCTCAGTTCTCACTGGGAAGGATATCAAATAGTTATTAAGAATGATTTTGAATGACTTAAGTTCAATGGTTTGTTAATCAAGCAGGTAAAATTTAACAACATTTGAACACTGGCAGAGAAAATCACTTTGATAGGACATTTTCAAAAGATGCTAAAATACTTCACAGAAAAATATACATCTCTCCTTCTATACTTTATTAGTGTCAAGCAAAGAGATAAAAGAAAAACAAAGCCAATTGTAATAAGTTTCATGGGAAGGTGATTCCTTTCACGTTTTAATAATAGCCTCCATTTTAAACTTCACATAAAAGGTGAGCAGACATATTTGCATGACATTAATATCTCTGTCTTTTCACTATGTCTGCCTGAGCTTGCACCTTCTCTACATCCTAAACCTGTTATTAGTTCTTTGGCTTAAGATACACTCAAAAGAGCATGGTCTTTCAAGGTCAGGACCACAAACATGAATATTTACATTGACATTTGGTGCACAAACCACGAGGTGAAGGGAGATGGTGACAGCAGGGATCGTAAAGCAAGCGGATGTGGGGCTGCATACTGATCAGGAATGATGAGCTGTCTTGTTTGTGAGCTAACAAAAGACTTCATGACACCAGATACTATGTTACATAAGTCTGCAGATGCATCCCTGTGTTTTACTGCCCACGAGAAGGTTTACGTGGTTGTAGGGGTCCTTTTCGCTGAAAGACAGATGGAAGCACTCGTGCTAGGATTCATTAATTAGTCTGATTCTTCTTCATTCTTTTGCTCTGATCACATAACACTTAACAATGGAGACAGAAGGTCTGCAGAACATCCAATGGTCACGTTTGAGCCCACATTGCGTAGGCCAGCAGTACTTTTTACTGCACCAGCGCACATGTAATTAAATCTCCTCATAGTTACTGGTGCCCTTGACTCATCACTGAGTATGACCGAGGTGGCAATCACCAGATACATTCATAGGGGGTTGGGGACTCTTCCTGCCTCATGGTTTCAAGATCCTTTGCGTTAAATGAATTGATATAGACTCGTATATCAAGAGGAAATATCAATCTAGCAGATGGTTTCTTAAACCCTCCCCAATCCACTCAAACATAGGATGCAGGCCTCTGTAAATTCTCCCTCAGCATGCAGATTTCTTTTGTGTTGGCGTCATCAAAGAAAACTTCATTAGGAGGAAAGGCTTCTGCATAAGACTTCATTTCAGTCAGTAAGAACAAAGCTTCATATAGATCTATACTACCAAAGCTAAGAATAAAGTGCTATATCTCCTTTTTCTGTCTTCTTCATCTTCTGTACGTTTTGATTAGTGCACACAAGCAAGTAAGAGATTGATTCAGCTCCAAAATGAGGAGGGAACACAGCTGAGCCTCAAGGACACTGACGTCAACACTGACATCTGTATACACTGTACACGACAACTTTTGTTACTGATGCAGAGCCATTTCAAAACCTGTACTCTTGCAGTTCATATCATAAAAAAACAGTCTTTATAAAGGATTCAAATCCAGTTAGTAAACCGCAGTGAGCATTTTTCTATTGAAAAACTGTTCAAAAGATGGCCATGGTTGAAAAATTGTTATCAGAGTTTGTGGACATGGATTAAAAGGTGATATTTGTAGATTTGAGCAGCATTTAACAGAAAAGATTTGGTAGAAATGCAGTGTGATATTTCTAAGTGTGTGAAAATAAGCGCATAATTACCTGTTTTTAAAAAATCTTTTGTTTTTGTTAAAGCTCCTGTGAGGAACTTTTGGTTTGTGTCAGTTTTAGCGCCCCTTGTGGTCAAATCACTATCTTTTTACCTTGTCCGCTCTAATCTATGCAGTCACTTTTGACAAAACATCTAATCCTGCTAACTTTTGGGTGTCATTTTATCATTTACTGTGAATATTTCACAGGAGCGTTAACATGAATTTAGACACATCTAAACTTTTCTATCATCAAATTTGCATTTTTGAGCAGCAGTATAAATTTGTGGGCTGTTTCGAGGCAGTGAAAAAAGCTCTTTATACATCACAACTATTTTAAAGTATAGACTGTTTTTGGCTAAATGTTCCCATTAGCAGGCACGTCTTTCACACTGAACTGAAAAAGCAGCTACAGTGATTTGATCTTTTTCTTCAATGACTCATCCTCTTTTTTTTCTTATCTATTTTACAAATGCTCATTCTGTAAAGTGTGATGTAGACCTCTTCTGTCATCGTTTCAAGAGCGCTCAGAACTGCTAAACCAAACACTCTTGATTGATAGACTCCATTAATTTAATGACATCAAAGCCCAGGAGAAAGAGCATGTTTATGAGGAGTATAATCCAAACTGAACGCCACTGAAAACATCAACATTATTGTCAGATGAAAGCGCATCTCTTTTCATCTGCAGTGATGCGCTCTTTGTTTTATCATCCCACAGGACAGTGCAGGGTATCCTCACAAGATGCTAATGGTGTGTTGCCTTCTGCAGAGATCAGTCATCAATCTGTGCACGAGCTGCTGTTTCCTGTCATTATTCCTGAAAGGCAGCAGTGATGAACGGGAGGAGGGGAGAGGGTGATTAGGCCCCCAAACCTTTACCCCACATGTCTTGTCATCTTGTGTTAACATCATGGCTCATTTCAAGGTGAGGCTGCTTATCAATCATACTCCGTTCCGAGCAGTATTAATGGAAGTTCTCTTGCTTCATCAGTTGGAGGATTGATGGTTGTAGGATCTGTGCCTTTGGGGCAGATTTTTTAAAAAAGCACCATGTTTGTACCGAAGCCAAAACACTACAATGATCCATGTTTGGAGAACTAAGAAAATCTTAACTACAAAACTATAATGTTTTTGATTTAATATGAGTTACAAGTTCTCATGCAATTTAAACAGCCTTGCCCAAAATTTAATGTCAGCTAACATTACAGCGACATAGCAAACTTTATTTTTGGCTCACATCAACGTTACCCTGCTAACATGATTTTTGGCTAATGACATTGTTACGTTGTTAACACCACTTGTGGTTAGCCTCAATATTACCTAGCTGACTTTATTTTTGGCTATTATCTATGTTACTTAGCTTACTTAATTTTAGGCTAACATCAATCTTGCATGGTTAAGACTATGTATAGCTAATATCAACTTTAACTAGCTCAGATGATTTTATCAAAAGCCAATATTACCCTGGCAGCATAAGTTTTTGTTACCTGGCTAACTTTATTTTTTGGCTAATATCCATGTCACCCAGCTTACTTAATTTTAGGCCAATATCAATCTCACACGGTTAATACTATTACCTTGGCAGCATTAGTTTTTGTTACCAGGCTAATTTTATATTTTGGATTACATGTATGTTACCTGGCCATTCTGGTTTTTGGCGAACATCAACTTTCGCTAGCTAACATTCAATTTTCGCTAACATCAATGTTACCTGGTTAACATTTTTTATCCAGCTTGTATTGCTAACTTTTTAACTTTTTTGGCATTTACATTACTGAGCTAACTTTATTTTTTGGCAAATATCAACATTGCTTTGCTAACATTTCTTTTGGGGGGGTGACATTTCTGTTCCTTAGATTAACAATTGTGTAGACGAGCTTATACTACTGTCAGCTTTTCCAGTTCGCATTACTATTTGGTAACATTATTTATTCCCTGCTAACATGTCGGTTGAATATCTCATCACTAATGTTATGGCTAGTTAGAAATGTATGCCTTTACACCATGACCTGCAGAACACTACAATGATGCTGGTAGCTTTATGTGTTTGATGATAACTTAAGTGTTTGTTTAAATTGCAGCTTGTGGGCTGACAAAAATGTTGTTTTAACATCGTATATTGCCTTGTATCCCTCCTTATCCTATTGTCTTTGTAGATGCAGGAAAGCAGTAAAGTAATAACCATTTATTGAACCCTCTTTGTTTACCCCATTAATATCTGCAACACCAACATCTGAAGACTATTTGAGCTTCTTGGTCTTAAAGCAAAAATAGCTTTTATGCGGGCATTGTGAACACAGCTATCATAAAAAAACACAACCTTGGTACTTTTAAAAGAGGTAAAAGGCCATGATTGACTATGCCGTTAACAAATGTGGCTTTTGCACTTAGTGCACCAGCTAAGCAAAGTGCAGAAGGAGCTGTAAGAGAAAACAAGAGTCACCGAACTTTCTATAACCAACCCCCAAATCTGTTCACTTGTTGTTAGTACCGACCTGAGAGATGTTTGCTGCTTTATCAGTCAATATGGTAATACCAAGGTTCAGAGAGTCAAGCTCCTCAGCCCAAACTCTCCAAATTTGCAAAATGTCAGTGCATGTGGTAGGAGGTTTGCATAAATCTTGCACAGTGGGAGGAGGTGGAGATGTGCAACCAATAACATCTGGTTGCTCTGCAGGATGTTGCTCTGAATATAAATACTTGTGTCATTATACTGACAAAATATTTGACATATTTCCTGTTAGGTTTTATCTGTCTATATGACTTCTTTCCTGTTTTCATGTCTGTTTTAAAGTTTTGCATCATGTGTCTGATTTCCCAATAGCCCGTCGCTAATAATGGCTAATTAACCGATAAATTAATGAATAAATGGTATCAAGCCAAGTCAAAGCTACTAAGTGGTGTAATATGGTGGTTTTACTGTCAGATTAAAGCTTCAAAAATGGTTCCTTTGAGTCTTTTTGGTCAACTGAATTTTAAAACCTAGCACCTTGTGCAAATCTTTCACATGTACTGGCAAAAAAGGAAAAATGGCTGTATAATTAGACAGATAATGACCAAACAATGTTGTGATAAGATCACTGCATGGCAGGAGAGCCTGGTGGTCAAAGCGGTAATGACCCAGAACAGGATATTTGAGGTCACATGAAGTGGTAAGCCCTCACAGGAAGAGAGCTGCAGTTTGTGGGTATATAAAATTAGATTTATGAGAAATTTATGACCAGGGCTTTTACCAAGAAACATGTCCACAATACTCTATTCATAGGATATGCAGTGTGTTTGCATGTCTCTGCTGTCAAGGTGAGCATTGAATCCAAGCTAAACACTCAATACAACAGGGAACTTTTAAAGATTGGATTTTAATCTTCATCTTTCACAGTTGTAGAATTAGACAAGTTTCTTAATTCCTTTCTGTGATGTAACTCTAAATATTCTTGTCTGATGTGATTTGATGTAAAGCCGCAGTATTACGCTGTCATTTCTCATGGCTCAACATATTAGACACTGTGTGACACTGACCTCTGCAGGACAATGACGGTACAGTAAATGCGGCAAGACAGACACTTTTTCAGTTTTCTTAGTTTGCCTGTTCGTTTGAACTATTTTGCATTTGATTTGCACCATTTTAGAACAACACAGTTTTACAGTTAATATCTGACAGCCTTTGCCTGTATTCCTAAAAAAGATGTATGTTGTTAATAGAATTTAAGATGCTGCTGGTTTTGGCTGCTACTGTTAAGCTGTACCGATTAAAAACTCCTCTAAACTAATTCAAGCCCATGTGTTTGGAAAAAGTATACTGAGCTCACTGATAACACAATCAATCACTGTTACAGGCTGCTCTGATGATACAAGTATAATTTATCGTAAACATTAGTTTTGCAAGACATGTTGGATAACAATCAGTATAATGATAAACTTAACCTTCTTTCAGAGTATTTCCTAACAGCAAGTGGCCTCGTAGGTTATTTTAAGTGACACAGAAATTTTCAAATAAATTCCTGCTCCACTGTATCATATGAGGTTGCTCTAGCTTGTGTGGCATTTTAAGAATGCTTACTCACACTTCCTGTTTCCTGTCCATCCAGGAAGTGGCAGGGTTTAACCCCTGTCCGCCTCTGCCATTCCACTCTCTTATCTTTCCAAGCCCCCCCATGGACCAGTTAGGGAGAGGATCAAAACCAGTGTAATTAAGTTCAGTTGATGCTTTTAAGGTTTCCTGTAGCATACTGCTGTCCCACATAATCACAACTTTCACCACACTGAGTTTGTATTGCAGTTAACTGTTGGCTTGGTGAATTTATCTCACAAATTCAAATTTTAAGCCACCCATAAGTTCTTATATATGTATCTGCTTTCTTGCTAATGAAACTGCTCTTAAGGGCCTGTGTCCACTAACAGTTATGCACCCACACACTAGATTTTGGATCCCTTCTCACCAATACTTAATATTACTAAGTTCCAAACGTATTTACAAGTATTTACAGTATTTACAAACCCCTTCGTAGGAACCATTTATTCAGTTTTAAATATCTCTATATGCCTCTACAAAAAATATTAAAGCACTTGATAGAAACATCATAGCATAGCATTAGCAGCAGCTCTAGAAACGGAAATTGTACCATGAGAAAGAATTTTTTTTTCTTATGTAACAGACTTCCACAATAGTTGGAAACGAGTTAATAGCAGAGGTGCCGCTTATTGATTGATTTCGATTGGGCGCTAATGCACATGTGACACCAACAGCATTTTAAAAGTCTTCAATAGTAAGCAGAGCGACAAAAGTCAGCTAATGTGAGGGCCTTTTTTTGCACTTGAGATGTTGGGTGCTGAAAACCTGGTTTAGAAATTTGGGCTGTGAGCATGACATCAGCTGTTAGCAGACACAGGCCCTTATCCTTTCTTCTTATATAACATGTTCTACTCTCTAACATTACTCTGATACACATATTAGAAATGTCATTGAGCAAACAAAGTGTTAATGATAATTTATGCAGAGTGTATAAAAAAATGACCAACTGAAAGAATAAAAATACATGAAAAACTGGTTGTGGTAGCTGAACCTTGCTATAAAATGCATGTGAAAATATTTATGGCACTGCAATCAAAACCAGCTGGACTGAGCTTTATACAAAAAGCCAAGATGTTAGTAACAATTATTTTTATGTATTTGTATGTATTTTTTTCTATTCAAAAAGCCTCTGTATTCATTTGCTGAATGTATAAAAGTGCAAAATATTGTGCATGTGATCTCAGGCTGCTCGTTTCAATACCTAGCAAAAAACAAAAAAAAAAAAAACTCTGTAAACTTCCCCCTGTCCAAAGTCTTTACATTTCAGCATGTACTATAATAACATTTCTGAGTTCCTCATATGCATTTTATACTGCATAGTCTTTATGATGTACCCTAATATTCCATGGTTGCTGCTGCTGCAGATGTGAAATTAACCTTTTTGGTTAAAGATTTCCTGCTGCATCTTATTTATTTAAAGATGAACTCCATTAAAGTCATAAATATCCTTTGCATTCCTTCAGAGAAGGTGTAAAAAGTGTCCATTTCAAATATACTAAGTGCATTATAGAGGAACTGAATCGGTTACAAAGAAGGGTATTTGATTTGTCCTCCTCTTTCATTTGAGTCTCACATTTCTCAATATCATCAGGGAACTTTTGCTTTAATCACGGCTGCATCTCATATTGTCCCTCTGTGGCGATGTAGAAGTCATTGAGAGTGTTCTGCAGGAACTCAAAGGTGGGACGGTCCTCAGGTTTCTGCTTCCAGCACATCATCATAATGTCAAAGAGTTCCTCGGGGCAGTTGTCAGGACACGGCATCCTATACAACCTGTCCAGACACCTGATCACCTCTGGGTTTGTCATACCTGATCAGGGGAAAATGCAGTCAACATAAGATTGAGCACATTTATTGTCTCATATATAAGTGATGTCTTTTTCTCTTAGTCCGTGTACCTGGGTAGGGAACTCTTCCATAAGTGACTATCTCTGTCAGCAGGATCCCAAAAGACCACACGTCTGATTTGATGCTAAAGGTGCCAAAGTTGATGGCCTCTGGAGCGGTCCATTTGATGGGAAATTTGGCCCCTAGTTGTCACAAAAAGGGTGAGAAAAGCGGTGGAAAATAGATAACAGTGAGTTGTGTTTTCTACTGGGTGGTAACAACTGAAAATCTGTAGGCGTGTTCTTGAGAATTTGTTAATTCCTCTTTTCGTTGTGTGATATGACAGCGTACATCCTGAGATGAGACAGAGTTGATTAGCTGATTAGAATAAACGACAGCTCTGCACTCTCTTCAGCAGCCCTTGTTGTTTTGTCTCTTTTGATGCAAATATTGAATTTTCAAGCTTGTTATTTACCTAATTTAGCCGAAAAATCAGATCTCTCTGACTCATTTCTATCAAAGTTTAAAAAAGTGTTTGGAGATGATGCACCTCTGGTTTTAGAATAGAAACGCTGCATTGAGAGTACAGTTCTCAGCACATTTGAATATTTTTCCTATAAAAACAGCTGCAGATAATGAATGGAGGTTGTTTTATAGGCTGATTGAAGTGCTTTTGGACATCTTCAGGAAAAAGGATGCATGTTTGAGCTTTAGCCTTAGATGCTGTTCCATTTCTTAGAGATAGGACCTCCAAAGTTGTTTGATTGTTTCCAGCAGTTGCACTTCCGACATGAATCTCCCTTTGCCAAGAGAGTGCTGACATTACAGAATGGTGATGTACTCTGGAGTCAATGTTGGCTCAGAAATTATCTTAATACCTCACTTTCCTTCTGTGTGAACCAAAACAACAAGGAGCCACCATGGAGTTTGGGCTAATTTGGCAATTCAAGCACATGTTCTCATGCCACCAGCTAAAAAATTAGGAATTTAACATTAAGTACAGCAGTTTACCATTCACAGTGTTCAATGTAGCAATGCCAAATTGAACTGAATTTAAACTGGATTGAATTGTCCTTGACATGAAGCATCTCTTTATCTAGGAAGTTCAAAAACACGTACAAATATTTGATAGAAGTATGCAGGGCGAGCTTGTGGTTTGAGTTTGTGATTTGTCGTCATCGGAACCCAGCCTACGCATGATCGCTGCATCGCTTTGATTAAAAGGTTATTTTGTTCTTAATTTAGCAGCGCCACACTGCTATTTATATTTGTCATTCTTGTGATATGTGATTTTTAATAGTGCGTATGAAACAGTGGAAAGCTTGAGCTACACTGTTTCTATTACGACATCTCTATAAATCTCTAAGACATAACTACTTCACAAGTCGGTTACTATTTTTTTTAACTGGGCAACTTTTAACGCTAAACGTGAAATTAATTTTTCCGATTGGATATCATGAAGATGGGCTTCATGACCTATAGTGGTTATTTACTGGGAAGGTGAAAACATTTAGAGCTCTACCAACTGGCTGACTAACAGATAAGCCATCTGTGTACTGTCAGTTGTCTGAATTCACTTCTTATAGGTAACTTTTGACTGAGTAACTCATAAATATGCAGCAGTTTTGACCTAAAGGTTGCTAGTGAAGGGCAACAACTTCCCCCTTTAAAGATGAAGACACAATTTGCTTTCTTTCAGCAAATGTAGGTTTGGTGAAGGGTTGCAGCCATGCATGTAGTTATTGCTCATACTGCACCTTCATGAGCTGTGTATTCTGACTCGATGATCCTGGCCAGGCCGAAGTCTGCTACCTTACAGTGCAGGGTTTCATTGACCAGAATGTTGGCTGCACGCAGGTCTCTGTGGATGTAGTTGTTCTTCTCAATGTACGCCATGCCCTCAGCTATCTGTGAGAGTGGAAGGAAGGAAAGAGATTATACGTAAGAAAATTAGGCGATTAACTTTTAAGTTCTTTGATATACTTGGAAGTTTGTTACATAAAGCCGAATGAAACCACAGAATGATTTGGAAATGAGCAGACACGCTGAATATGTTTGTTTCCTCTGTTTGTGTGTACAGAACTCTCTGTAGAGCATATGCAAATGTGCAGCTGCAGTCTGGGTGTAAACTCCTCTTTTTATGTATGATAATAGCAGCACATCGGCTTTAACCCGGTTGTGCCAACCCTCAGGAAGTGAAAAAGCTTTTTTTGGAGAGGAAAGAGTGGTAGGGGGAGCTTGCTGTGGATGGAAAATTGCACGACTTCCTGTCCGGATGTTAATAATTGACGTAGGGCGAGGTTTTCAAACCAGACAAGCACAAACTCCACCACAAGAACCACACAGCTACTGCGAACAGTTTTCACATGATGCCTGGTGTCAAAGCACATACAATAACACACATTCTCAGTGCTTGCCAGTGTAGAGCAGATAGCTGGGGTGTAAAAATAGACTATAAACAGACTCTGAGGTTAGTTCGAAGGCAGGGGCTTGTGTTTGTGGCAGAGGATGCAGAAATCTGTGAATTAATGTGCTGCATTATTAACGCTTCTTCTATCAGCAATAAAGTGTTCTTTTCTGTGAATTCATAGAGATGATGTTGTAGAAGTCCGTTAGATTTAATTCCATCATTCCCTACCTGTGCTGACATGTCGATCAGTTTCTTCAGCTTCAGTTTCCTCCCCTCATCTGACTTTAGAAAGTCCAGCAGACTCCCTGTAAAAGAGAAGTACAACTGTGTCATCATGAGAAATGAAACACGGTTTTCTCTGGAATTTAAGTGCCCGAGAAACTTCTTAGAGTTCTTGCAGCAAGTGGACATAAAACAGCAGCTTTGTCTGGCACCTGCAAACTGGGTGTGATGCTCTTGCAATATTGATGTTGCAGCTACAAGCCTTAAACTCACACCTTCAAAAAAAAAAATTGAACACAAGCCTTCATGTACAGAGGAGTCTTAAAAAAACTCATAAAGTGTCTAAGTGGGCAGTATTTGTGATCACAGACAATCAGAGTTTGATCAGTGGGTGCATTAATACAATCTATGCATGCAACTTAAGTGCAATATTATTACATGAAATCTTCTGTGTGCAATAGTCTAGTACAAATCTGTCAGTTAATGCAAATTTTGTGCAAAAGTGAGCATTCACACCTGCTCTGTAGTATTTTAACACTCTGGCTTTTTACCTTTTGCCTTTGCACCTTAAACACCTAATCCACTTCAGCTCTGACCCCAACTTTATCTCTGGTCTGTCCTGAGTGTAGTTTTGCAGCCACAATCTGGCACAATTTCGTACCCATATTCAACAACAACAACAAAATCATTTATCAGAAGTAGGGCCTTATATTTTGTCATTTTTCAGGCAAAAATTATTTTTAATTCAGAGATATACTTGCTGTTGACCACAAATACTGTATGTGACTGTGTGGCAGCGGCTACATTTTACTTTGATGCCTTTGCTGCGCACTACAGTAACCACTGCTTCAGACATTAATGTGATGCAAACACATGATGTATTATGTATATGAGCAGCAGAGCTCATGTAGAGGCAGAACACATGCGACAGAGGAACAAGATTACGAATTAACTTCACAATTGCTGTACAAACTCGCCACTTTGCCATCAGGCTTGATTTAGACTTAGCAGCCTTACATGCCCTCAGTGTCTCTGCAGCTGCTTTTCCTGCCTTGCTCTCACCATTAACACGAACATAACTGTAAGTTTTGCACCACACACTCGGTAGATAAGACCCACTCTGATGAAAAACATGTTTTTCTTGTTGTTTACATGTTCATATGGACTTTTTCTGATGCTACAGGACATATCATGAGAAAAATAAGTGCAAAGTTGCATTTCTGAGTATTTCTTCATTCAAATCGCTGTGAACCTCTGGCAGACCCAAACGGTAGGTTCAGACACAGTGAGATTTCCTATGTAACAAATCCAAGCTCCATCCCAGGAGTCCCACTATGCAGGCCAGACTCGGAAAAGTAGAGAGGGCGACCGCAGAACAAGCACGTGCGTTAGTGGGTTGCAATGCCCGTAAAAAAGCTAATTATGATATTAACTTTCATCATGTCCTCAAAGACAATAATGCCTGATTAGTGTCTCCTATGTTACCTGCCACTTCTACTCCACCGGCAATGTTAGGCTGCAAGCTAGCGTGAAGAGCAGTGTGCAGAACAGCGCTGTCTCCACCCACGACTCAGAGGCAAATTGCTCATGAGCTCCCACTGAGCAATGGACAGCTTTTCAGTATAGTTTTTTTATTTGACCTAATTTCAACCATCTAGATTCTGTATATTTTTAGATGGAGTTTAGACGTTGCACTTTAACCCATTATTCATTAACTATTTATTTAAAAAAGCAACTATGAGTTGCATAACTGACCTCCAAGTACTTAACCAAAATAGTTATGATAGCCAATGAGCAATATACAGTGTAGTATAGATATAGCCCAGAATTAGATCTAGTCTAAACTTAGTCTAAATTTAGACGTCTTAAAAAACTTTCATTTTTAGACCTGTGGTAGCTTGATTTTAGACCAGTCGTCTAGGCTGCATTTAGACGTCTATTAGACCTCTTTTAGACCAAAAAAAAAATGCTCAGTGGGCTACTGGAGCTCTGCAGAAGAAAAGCCCTTCAAGATGACACAGGTAATGTGATTTGGGCAATTTAAGACCACTGAGAACACTTTTAAGTAGTAAAAAAAACAACAAAAAAAAAAACCCATCCGAGTGGAACTTTAAACAAAGCCAGAGCTTTATATGGTGTGCTCTCTTGAGGTATCCTTCAACAACACACTAAGCGCACAGTCAAATATATTCACAACTACACCTGTGATGATCTGGACGCAGGATGTGCAAACTAAAGGATACACAGGCAGCATAACTCCTTCTCCTTCATACATGTAACTCTTCTCACCGTTGACCATGAACTCAGTGACGATGAGGATGGGCTGTTTTGTGACCACAGCATGGAGGCGCACCAGGCGGTCGTGCTGCAGCTTCTTCATCAGGTTGGCCTCCTGGAGAAAGGCCTCAGGTTCCATCGTTCCCTCCTTCAAGGTCTTGATTGCGACTTTCTGGTTGTTTTTGTAGTAACCTGCAGCAGGGATTCAAAGAAGGGGTTTGACTCTCTCTGTTATCAGTTACTGTGGCTTAAAAAATGACATTTAAAGCAAGGAAAATGGTGAGTTTTCTCGTACCCATCCACACTTCTCCAAACTGTCCAGCCCCTAGCTTCTTCACCATTTTCAGGGTCTCTCTGGGAATCTCCCATTCATCTTGTGCCCACGGCTGCTGGGGGGCTGTGAGCTTACAGGGGGCATACAGACGCTGACATAAACCATCTGCTGTCCCTGCGCACAAACATCACACATGCACACTTAATCCACAGTATTTCTCAGCTGTTTTCAAGTTCAGCAGCCGATGAATGTGTCCACTTAAATCTGCGTATGCTCGCTCTCTTTGTATCTTCTGAGTTGCTGTGCACTTTAGCAGCCATTTTAAGAGATCTGACCTTATCTTGTGGTGGAGTTACTGGAGGGGAAAGACTATCTCTCATCACACACAGGAAATGCACAGTGCACCACAGAGGGCTGACTTTTTACTTTTTATTTAGTGCTCGTGTAGACGTCTTTTAATACATAGCAGGTAACAAATCTGATTAAAATTTTCTTTAATTAGAAAACATTTGAAAATGCGGTCCAGATTTTATTTCAATTATGTAATTTCATAAGAAAAGTCACAGGGTTTTGTGAATAATTAAAATGGTCATAAGCACTATGAAAACTCAAATTTAACAAAGTGTGTTTCCCTAGTTTCAGGTCAAAGAACCAAAATACTCTTGATCAATCATGTGCTTAATTTTTTACTTATATTATAATGAAATAAGATTTCATACCTGAACTTGTCATTCAGTGTGGTTTTGCATAAAGTGCAATACGTTATTTTTAAGTACAATTTCGACAAATATACACTGTCAGATTTGTGTTTCCGTAGTGTGGCTTGTATGTGTCACTCACGGCTGTAGTATTTGACCAAGTCCTGTAGGGATGAGAATGTGTTGGAGGGCGAGATGTAATATCCACCTTTGTCCAGACAGCGGATCTTGTAGTGTTTAACTACATCACCTTGTTCTGGTGTATTATCTCTGATCGACAGAGAGAAAGACCCTGAGAGGGAAACAGAGAGATGCATTAAGGCTCAGAAAATAGTTGAAAAGTTTCGCTTATTTGTTCTTGTGAGATGCACTTCAGCTAGAATATCAAAACACGTTGTTAAATCACATACGATAGACTGATAGTGTGTGCTCACCCTTAGACGTTTCACTTTCCCGGACAAGAAAGGCACCTGGTTTGTTCCCTGGTGCTAAAAGCAACCGTTCAGTCTCTCTTCTGCTCAAGTCTTTAAAAAACCACCTGCAGAGGAAAGACCCCAGAAACACTGAATGGTAGTGCTATGTTACTGATGATTGTAATAGTACTTTTATTTAAAAAATATAAATATACAAAAATAGAGGGCCTATTTAAGCTTTAATTTTGATCAAATTCAAGTGTCATTGCAAAATACAGTTTAAACCTTAATCTGCTGTCACCAGTAGTCTGATAATCCAACAAGATATAACATATATTATAATAAATATTTGCATTATAACAGCTTTAAACTGTGCAATAAGTTTTCAGAAGCCTTACAAAGGAAAAAAAAAGGGTAAATAACTGCAAATGCTGCAGCCTATAGGGGTCAACTGTAAATTCAGAAAAATACAGCATTTTACAATCACATATTATTATCATTATTATTGTTATTATTATGATTCTAAAATATTACATAGTTTAGGATAAATAACAATAGGTGGGCTGCAAATTTGAACATAAATTACTGCAAACAGTACTGCCAGGACAGGATGTTACTGTTCATTTAGATTTTAGTTGTTTTCAGTAAAATATATTTTTATATGGACGTAAAGCTTCTATAAGGAGTTTTTATTTATCTATTTTTTTATTTTATTTTTTAATGATATGGAGGAGCAAAGAAGACTATCAGCAACTAGACTAACAATTTTTATATTGTAAAAATAAGATCCTGAAATTAGTGTGAGGTGGTAGGTACCAGCTGGGCAGTAGCAGAAACAGTAATGTTTTACAGTAATTTACAATAAATGACAGGCGTGATTATCAAAAGTCAGTAGGATAAGACTTCTTCATAAGACGGCTCTATTTAAGCATGTAACAAAGGCAAAGACTGTTTTGTCCGCAGGAGAGGCCAAAACTGACAAAGACATACAGCTCCTCACAGGCGCTTTAATAGTCCATAAAATGTTACCACTCTTGTCTGACAGTGTGTGTGAAATTGTCTCTTACTTCTCCACCTCCAGTGTGTCTGCTCGAGCGACATAATTGGAGGGTATGAAGCCCTCCTGTCCAGTCAACAACGATTGAGCCACCCACCATTCTCCGTTTCTACATGCAGACAAACATGGCAGAAGATTTATTTGGGTATTCAGTAGCTGGATTCATGTCGTGTTCAGCTGAGGCTACTCACTCTTGTAAAACCCTGAGTTTGTCTCCCTTTTTGAAAGGCAGATCACTGTCGTTTGTCGCTTTGAAGTCATGCAGCGCCACAAACAAAACTTCATCTAGAAGCAAGCAGAGCACACAGTTAGCCTTAAAAAGCCTGTGCTGGGAACAATTTAGTTAAATTGACTGTAAATAGACCTCATCTTAGATTTCATCCACTTTTAATCTTGTATTTAGCTGCTATTCCGGACATTCAAGCTAATATATATAAAACAAAGGGTCACTCAAAGTACAGCCTCCCAATTTCCCCCTTTTCATTTATTTTAAAGTTTCTATTCTGATTAAGTGACATGACAACTTTCTTTTCGTGTATAATCTCACTGTCTACCCAGAAAAAAAAAAAAAAGAACAGAGGAATTACAACTTAGATTTGAATCGCTAAGTGAAGCCTCATCTCACTGCTGCTGATGTCTCTCTACCACAGCCGCTGACCACATATGAACACCCTTTTGTACCCAACAGAAAGTTTGCAGCATCCATTGAGTTCAGTAATTACCGTTTTCCAAATATGCGTTTCCACTTCGCCCCTGAAGAGGAGAAAATGAAGTTTTAATTAGTCGTTTTTTTACTCAAGCAAACCATTTATGAGCTTTTTGTTTTAAAGCTCATGTAAGGAGTTTTTTACTAGTAGTTCAGCAGATTGCATTAACACTGATGCCTCATTCTGACCTCAAAAAAACAAACAAACACCATCAGTGTTTGCATCAGCAGTGAAATGATAGTAAACTACTTGAATTTCCAGTGACATTCAATGCAGCTCTTTTCTTACTGATGTCTACTTACGATGTGGTTGGACAGCTGGAGGGCCTGAGAGTTGTGTTTTCCTTTGTGGAGCTTTTCATTCTCTTGTTTCTGGCCACTGCAAGCACAGCCCATCCTGTGAATGTACGGTGAAACATCTTATAGTTCAAGTCCATGCTATTGACAACATTTTTATGTCAAACGTTACTTTATATTTAATTTTATATCAAATATCACAGCTCATACTTCCTTTTAAAAGCCTCATGCAACCACAGAGTGTTATTAAATTGTTCTTACCTGATGAGCTTTATTCAAACCCCTCAGTCTCCGCTCCTCCCGCTGCACAGTCTGCTCTTTGAATTCATGCCAGAGGCTAAAAATAAAATAAATTAAAAGAGTAAAAAAATCACTTACGATGTGCCACACTGCCTCCTGAGAGTCTCTTTCTAGTTTTACTTCATGGTTGCGATTGTCACAAACCCATCCACATAAGAGGAAGTGGAAAATGTGCTTTCATGTTTTATTTGCACATTTAGTTAAGATATAACCAAAGTGCGAAAAAAAGGAAAGGGCTAAAAACAACTATTAATATGCAGCAGCAGCAGAAATCTCTCAGCGTGAACACATATTTTTATTCACGATGCACTGATTATGTTTGAGTGTTTCTAAGTATAATCTGTGAAACTGTTTTATTATTAACGGTGTGTGTTAAATCTCTTTAAAAAAAGATGAAATAAATGAGTAAGTCAAAACTTTTAGAGCAAGTTTATGCAACATTCTAGTGAATTTGCATTAAATATTTAGCATATAAGTTTAAGTTTGTAGTTGAATGAAATTGAGCAATTAAAATTATCATTACCCTTACAGTTAAGATGTCCTACATCCAAAAATTTCACCTTTGAGAGACTAAGACTCAAAAGTTTTTGTCTTGAGTTTGTTCATTTTTAGCGCATTTGATAAATTTTGATACCAACAAGTTTTCAGCCAGCAGTGTAACAAATGTCAGCTCTGGCAAAATAACAAATACTGATAATATTGATATAATATCAACGATTTTACAACTTTAATTTCCAATGAAAGAAGTTCATCAGCGTCTAAGTACAACCATAGTATACGTATGACAAGATGCACCCAAAAAGCTAAAAAGCAGAGACAAACTTTTGAGGAATCTTTCTTTTTTAAATATATATATATTTTTTTGTTTTACGGGTCGAAATTAAGCTAAATTGGAAATCGGTTAATTTTGACTGATGTTCACGATCTCTACATCACCACTTTGAATGTATTTTTCCTGTCAGTGCTTCAAATGTTATTTTTATATTGTCTCAAAAATATTCTAATATTAAATTTTGTAGTTTGGCTCAAACATCTGTATGAACGTCTTGTTAAAGCATGGTCAGTGTCACCATACCATTGATGCAAATACATATGAGTAACTATACAGCTTCAATAGAGGCCCTATATTACTCTAGTACCTTTAAAATGATTACAGTCCGCCTTTTAAATGGTGTTAAACATGATTCTATTAGTAGTGTTTAGTATGAAATTTAACAGCATTTTACCTTCACTCGTCCCCCAGGCTTGTGTCTTAAGAGGTCCCCCAGATGCCAAATGTTTCTATTTCCTGATTGTAAAGCAACAGCTTGTCAGTGGGTCACTCTCACTCACTCTCTCTCTCTTTATTTCTCACACACTCATTTTGTTTCTGAAAGTCTCTCTCACTCTGTTTTCTTTTCCCTCTCTCTCTCTCTCTCTCTCTCTCTCTCTCTCACACACACACACACACACTTTCTTGGTGAAGACCACAGCTTCCCCTGAGGGGCTTGCTGCAGTTTACTGTAAAAGATAACAGTTTGTCTGTTTATTTCTGGTCCTCTGTTGCCTCTGTGGTAATTGTTCTAGACCAGCGGTAACAAGATCATTTCCACTGCTGGTTAGCATGATTGTTTTTACCTTTAACTGTTTAAAGAATTAAGTTGGTTTGTGCGAAATATCTTAAGTCTTTAGAAAACATATGAATCACAAACAAAGTCAAAAGCACAACTCTGAATAAAAAGTGATGTGGCATTATTAAACACAACTGATGTGAATATTAAATGTGATCTACAGTGCACTGAAGTGTAATCACTGTACAGTTTGTTTGTAAGTTACAGTCACTGAGTTTCAGTGTGGCTGAGTGAGGGGTTCTCAAAAGTGATCAGAGGTTTCCATGACATACTTCTCAGTTCCTCCGGTGGTCTGAGCCACCCTGTTGATGTTGCTGCTGATGACATGCATGGACAACTTGCAGTTCACATTCTTGCCACAGTGTGGTACCACTAGTCAGTCCACCTTGTGAAACTTCAGAACCTAAGCAAAGTATTTGCAGACAAGCTCAAAGGATGTCTGGAAATATTCCTTAAAAATGTCAAATTATACTCTAACATGTTTAAATTCATGTTTTTCCATGACATTGTCTTGAATTTCCACCTTTTTTTCTCACCATCAATCCTTTAAACTGGCCTTTACTTATTTTACATTTTATTATCAGGTAACCAGCTTGATGAACACGGTATAAGAGATACAGATATGACATTCAGTCAAAGTATACATAGTTAAGTACCGAATTATACCTGAAATTGATGTGAAAAAATCAATGCTGATATCATGACAGTGGCAGTCAACTGAACCAAATTTAAGCCTGGAAACTATCTACAAGGTGGAGCTGAGACACTATTATTGAAAATGATACTATGTAAGTAGTTTGGTTGTGTAAAAAGAATGCTTTGGCTCTTTCACTTTGCATAGTGGTAATGCATCATAACAAACACTAATCAAGATTGATATATTGTTGTCTATACTAATGATGATTTTTATACAAAGTGGCTATTCCTCTTTTTTTTAACCATCCTGCACAATTTTTTCCCCAATTTGAGCTGTAGTTTTACCAAAAAAACAGTTTGAGATAAATATGTTGATTTGACCAAATTTAATAGTAGAATTAGAGTTAAGTGTGTTCACAGTCTTTGCAGTGATTCAGGATTCATATTTTTTTTATTGAGTCCATTTTCACCTTTTCTATGATATGTTGGTTTGGTAATCTCAGCATGTCAAATAAGAATAAGCTGAGGAACACTGTGAAACTTTGCCAAAAAAACTACTGGTATGAGTCTTAATGATCTTGACTCTGTTTTTAAATCCAGAGTCACTCTGAGGGCAAAGACCATTGTGGCAAATCCTCTCCATCTTCTCCATACAAAATTTCAGCTTCTCCTGTCTAAGAGAAGGTTCACTTTCACTTGAAAGGCCAAATCAAACAGGTACCTTAAATCCTTTGTCCCAACAGCCATTGTTTTTTTGAATAAGCTGTAGGTGAGCTTGATGGGAACAATGCACCCGTGCGGAGCCAGTCCAAGCCTCAATGGGGCCCTAAGCATATTTGATTTTGGGGCCCTCTATTTCTGCCAATAATATTGATTGTTGATCATTCACACGCCTACTACAGTATAAATTTAATGCACCTGACATGTCTTTACACATTTAAAGGGATGGCTTAGGTAATAACATAAACAATGCCAATGCAACCATACAAATAATATCAATGAATGACTGATGACTGATATTCAGGGTGCCACATATGGTTTTTAATTTCTAAATGTAACACATTCAGCAACAAGATTTTATCATGCAGAAAGCATTACTCACACATGCTTATATGTGTGAGTATATATATATATATATAGTACAGGCCAAAAGTTTGGACACACCTTCTCATTCAATGCATTTTACTTTATTTTCATTTTTACAATTATATATATTTGATTCATGCAGAAAGCATGAATGAACACATGTGGAATCATGTGCAAAAGAAAGTGTGAAATAACTGAAAACATATTTTATATATTTAGATTTCTCAAATATGCCGCCCTTTGCTTTTTTGATAGCGCTGCAAACTTTAGCTGTTCTCTCAATGAGCTACATGAGGTAGTCACCTGAAATGGTTTTTACTTCACAGGAGTGCATGAAGTAACCCTGACAAGGTACTTCTGTCATCAAGAGCAAAGAGTGGCTATTTTAAAGAAACTAGAATATAAAACATGTTTTCGGTTATTTCACACTTTTTTTATAAGCACAAAATTCTACATGTGTTCATTCATAGTTTTAATGCCTTAAGTGATAATCTACAATGTAAATAGTCATATAAAAAAATAAAGAAAAGACATTGAATATGTGTCCATATATATATATATATATATATATATATATATATATATATATACTGGCCACGGGGCCCTAAGCAGGCATTTAGTTCGCTTATGCCTTGGGCTCTGCACCCGTGAAATTGTGCTGACAGTGTATTTACATGTATTTATTTGTATTGTTTCTGCTGTATGCTTTCTTTCTGTGATGTCAGAATTGTAAAAGTGTGTGCTTTTAACTTATGTTGCAAACCAAATTGCCATTAGGGGACATTAAAGATTTTCGAATCAAATCACATCCCTATATACTGTATGTTCACTGTCAGTGGCTGAGATTACTGTCCTCTGCTGTGTACTGTCTTACTGCTGTTCTGTGATATTCACACTAGAGGGCACAGTAGGACATGTTTTCAACCTTTTTCTCTGTCCCTATGTTCATCCACTGACATACAGTACAAACAATCTTACTTGAGAAATCATCAGGGGAGAACCCTCACTTACGGAGATACCTGGTCAATAAATGCACTCAAAGCATAATAAGAAGTGGATGATTGTCTAGTAAAAAGCTATTAAAAAGACTGAACAGGGATATTCTCCAACCTAAAGGTTAAGACATTAAAAAGGTAAAACAAAACTAGATGAAGTGCTTAAATATAATGGTAAGATGATAATTAAATACAGGTGACAAAGGCTATTCCATATGTTTGATTGAAGGGTAATAATTTTCTAAAATTCACAGACTTCATGCTGATTCAGTTTTCTGGAGTCAGGTGCAGCATGCCACAGTAACAAGATGATCTGAAAACACACCACTTCTATAAATAGACAGCCCTTACAGTGACCTTGAAAATAAAGAAACCATTCAGTTGAACTTTGGGGGATTTCTCTGACGTAATGCTTGTATATCTGGTGCAGAGGGGCAGCAAGCGGATGTGAATACAGATGCAAAGACAGTCACACTGACATAGAAAAAAACATGCAAGCTGATGCGCGGTCAATCTATCAAAGAGTAACAATGCTCAGATTTTTCACACCATACAGCACAGCTAACCAGCTCTTTCCTATTCTCACAGCACAATCGGCTGAGAAGGGAATTCACCTCTCTTCTTCAATGATGGGAACAATAAACACAAAAACAATGTGTCCTTGAGTTATCTCGCAGTTCTTATGACCCTTTTGTTCCTGGTTTGCCTGCTAAATCATGATTAAATGATATAAAAATGAATCAAAGTTGCTGGTGAGGAAGGTGTCATTCAGAGTGTGTAGTAAGCTGTAAGTGTGGGGAACAATAAATCTTACAGCACCGGAAGTGTTTGTTTCCTATGGGGGGCTTTATACAACACGCAACGTGGGGATATTACTCTCCGGGCAACACTTCACAGGTTTTTGTTTGGACCACCTGTGCTGTGTGTGGGGACTGTGCTGTGCTGTAGTTCTCTGAAGGAACAAGCACACTTCACACACACACAAACACAAACACACACAGAGGCTGCAGGTGCATGGTGAGTGTTATTGAGTGCGTCCTGGTTACTAACTGCTGTTTCTCTTTATCCTCTCTTCTCCTGGTTTTCCATCAGCCTCTTGTTTTCTTTCCAGGGCTCGGCGGATGCTTGTGTACAGCTCTGTTGGGGTCCCCAGACATTGCATCCTGCCTGCATGAGGGTCATAAGTGGCCCCACAGGATAACCTGAACAACGGTGGGAAAGACGGGGAGCGTGGGTCTCCTTTAGCAGCGCAGTCCTGACCACCTCTGTGACATGCTGCCAATGAGCTCTTTGAACTTCCTTTATCAACCTGAGAGTGCACGATATCCAGCCTTCTGAGTCTAACCGGACATTCGCTTTTTAAAATACAGATTATATGTGTGATATAAGCATGAAACTATCCTTCTTGTGCTTTAAATTCATCATATCTCTGATGTACCCAATCACACTCACACATGTTCCTCAATTTTTCGCCCCCCTCTCCATCATAAGAGGCCCCCTGTTTGACTTCCCGTCTGTGTGGGAACCATATCTGTCCCCCGTCACACATGGTGTAAAAGACGGTCTCGTTCCTGCATTCGCTTTAAAAGACAGAGTGATTGTCAATAAACAAGGAACAATTGAAGCCCCCATTCATTCATTCAGCCGGCACTTGTGCTGCTCCCCTGGGATGCTCTGGAGTTTTGCGAGAGCTTCCTTTTCATTCCAGCCATAAGACATCAGACAAACTGTAAACTGAATTATCACATCTTTTTAATTCTAAATATATTGTAGTGTCACGTCAGCAAGGTTTTGGTACCTTTAGTGCCAAAATCTACACTTTTACCACTTTTTAATGTATCAGGGAGTTTGTCTGTGCAGCTGCTCTAAAGGCAAGTTGCTCTGAGGTAAACATGGCTGCGGGAAAGCCCCTTATTATTGTGCTCCGGATGAGGTTCCTCACTCCTCCAGTGTTTACCGTGGAAATAACTCTGTGCCACCGAGCAGGTGCTTCCTCAAACACTCTTTACTTTTCCAGAAGATTCGGGGATCAGGATCTCTCTCACCAAATCAAACTCCATTACTGCATTATTGTGGACAACAGGAAGTGATTATTAGTACCTAATTTTTTTGGGGGAAAGTCCCTTGGTATTGTTTGTTAATACATTTCCAAGACTTTCCCAAATTTTTATGACTATCCTGTCTCTGAAAATGTCAGCGTATACATGGAAAATAAGGATAAAATCATATTAAATTATACCTTGTTTACTCAAGTTTAGCCTGTGACAATCTTTTTGCGTAAACACACAAAAAAAAAAATAAAAATTAACAAGTAATGAATCTCAAGAAATAGAGTCCCAGGAACATTTGCTCAAGGTATTTGGGGGTAATTGATTTTTTATTATTTTTATTTCACTTTTGACAATTGATTTTCTGTCGTTTTAGTTTTTCCTTTTTTCAAAACAGTTTGTTGAAATTGATCTTTGTTAGTTATAGTGTTTTTTTTTTACTTTCATCATTATGACACCAGACAAGGATGGCTACAAAACAGATAGTCAACATGACATGCTGCCTTCTTCTACAGATAAACAGAACCAACACAAACTTGAGACATTTTATGTGTTTGTTTATTCACTTAGTTTCAGAGAGTACCACTAAGTAGTAGAACCACATCATGCAAGAAAATCTCTTGAAAATTACGTCGAATGAGGACTTTAGTACGAGTTTTTCCTCATACTAGGACTGAAATCTTCTAAAAATACAACTTTTATCTCAAAAATCTACAATTTTCTTTTTTAACTTCATTCCCTTCTTTTAAGTTCCTTGAGAGAACCTTACATGGATAGATAAAGCTGTATCTAATCTAATAATAATCTAATAATATTTGTGACTTTCACCTCAAATCTCTTTTTTTCCTTCTTTAATGTGGACCTAATAATACTTTATCGTAGGACACACAGTACTGATGATTTAGGTCTTACCGTTAAGCTGCATTTCTTTTCCTGACAGAAAATTTTTCAGTTTCAATATGAGCATTGTTGTTGCTGTGAACGTCTTTAATACATGAAAACACTTCCTGAATAAGTCACCTGAGGTTATTTTGTATTTCTCAGATTTATGTATTTTATCAGGAAAAGGGAACTGACATGAAAATCTGCCAAATTGGTAGATCCAGCTGACGGGTTGATGTGATATGAAATAATGTGGCCATATTGTCATCTATCTTGAGTGGTAGTTCTAAAACAGGTTGAGTATACATGTAAGTCCATTTCCACTCAGTATCCACCAAAAAAATAATAGCTCCAAGAACTGACCTCCCAATGTAACTTGTTGGTAAAATTGTGGTAGCCATTTGCTACTAACACCAACTATTTGCTCTTATTTTAAAAGGATTGCTTGTAAGATTTAGGTATATTACGAGAGGTGAGTGTAGCATTTGGCAGCTCTTCTTTTTCATGTGTTGCCATGAGTCAGTGGAAAGTCCTTCCCACAGAATTTATCTCATGTAGTACAAATCTCCACATTTTCTCATGCTTGTCAAAGCACTGGTTACTGAGTAGGCAAATTTGCACATGTGAGTGTGTGTATGTATAGGTGTCTAGTTAATAATTTGTGTATGAGTGTGGTTTTTTAGAGGAGGATGGAGATAGTTGGACTGTTATCTGTGTATGTGCTTATGTTTGAATGTGTAATGAGAGTAAGAGAGTATTTGCTGTTGACCCCTATTGTGCACTTCATGATTTGGCGGTCTTGTTCCCTGCTTTTACAAGTGTATTCTGTCTATTTTTAAAATATTGTGGGCATCATGTCATTTTTATCTCATATCTCAATGATTTTGTATTGTATTGATTTATATTGATATTGTATCTGCTTTCACTTTACCTGCCCTGGGACTACAGGCGTAAATTAGCAATTGTTGCTATAACCTGGCTCAAAGCAGCTTTTCTTGTCTTACACGATTGTTTTTTTTGTGCAGTGTCCCTGTTTTAAATAAATTCAATTCAAGATATATAAATATATCTCATTGTTAGCTTGCAAATCTTAACTGTAAGTCTGACATATTGGTGTTAATTGGTGTCTTGCTTTATTGCTGATAGGATGATATGTGAGAGACTTAAGTGCACCTTTTAGCTTGACTTTGACAATGGCTTTTTAGCGATGTTTTCCTCTTTGTTTCCATTATTGCAGCAGCTAAGTATATAAGGTTGTAAGATGTGTCCTCGGCTCACCCAAAAAGTCCATTGAGTATATTTGACCGCTCCTCACACTGGTGTAATGCAGTCAATCAGAGTGACACCAATTATGTACAGTATGCCAGATGACCACAAGAGACTACAAATGGAAAGTCTGAGAGAGGGACATCCATCAGCTCTGTGTAATAGGGTTCATACATGAGAGCGGATGAGTGAAATCTCAACAGACTGACATAGTCATTTGATGTAATTCTACATTAAAGTTGAGACCTGCAATAAAGTCAGGGAATTATTGATTATGTGACACATATTCAAACTTGTGCATAGAGCTGTCTCTCCAAATGCCACTGAAGGACACCAATGAACTGTGGAGAAGGCATCATGATTTAATGTACCAGTTTTTAATTTAAATTGTAGATCCAACAAAAGAATGGGTTACATTTAATATCAGAGAAAATAAGTACAGTACATTCAGCAAAGGTTTTACCTCTGTAACACAGAGAAAAATGTATTTGTTAGTGATAAACAATGTTCATTGGTCTAAAATACAGAACAATAGGAGAGTCTGTCATGATACATAAAAGCCTGCCAGGACTTTCTCTACTTTCATAGATGTTTGTAACCTGCTACAGAGATCATTACAGCTATTGTATAGTAACTTTTAACCAGTTTGAAAATGCTTACAATGATGATATCCATCATCCAATTTCCTTATTCAGATCCAGAGCAAAAATACAGCTACAAGCAGCATAGTTCTGCACAGTGAAATCAGCGTTTTCTGGCTTCCCTGAAAAAAGTACAATATTAACTAGAAAAATAAATATCTTTGCATGTTTTTAACTTAACCTTTGCAATCAAAAGAATTCAGAGAACACTTTTGATCGGATAAAATACATTCATAGACTGTCTTGGTCCTGCAAACGATGTTTAGCAGCTCAAAAAGTGTAAATACACTTTAATTATTTGAAGAAAAGCTAAAGTAAAATAGAGTTAGCTCATTTAGTCATTAGGTACTCTATGTCTCAAAGTGCATAAAAATAAGTCTCATTCAGTTAGTTATAAACAGTTTAAACCTACATCAAATATATACATTCAAGTATTTAAATTCCTTTTTCATACATCTGTATGATCAGTACTTTTTGTGCTTGTGTACAATATCAGCATTCCAAATGCTAAATAAAAAGTGCGTGTGTTTCTGCAGCTCTAGATAAACCCAACCTTAAATCAAACAACATGAGGGAAATCTACCAAGACCCTTTTTTCTGTCTTTACAGTTCTTGTTGTGTCTCTTCTAGAAAACTCGAACTTATGGCTTCAAATGACAAAAACAACATGAGTGCCTCAGTCTTTATGACATCAAAAAGTTCCCAAAGCCTAAGCAGTTAGTTTTTTGCTGAAAACTTTTGCAGACTTCTTGATTTCAGGCTCGAAGTTTCTTCTTGGCTGTTAAACTCAGTCTCAGAGTCCTCAACATCACCAAAAGCACCTTCCTCTGATTCCTCAGTCACTTTTTTGATCAAATCAAGTGGGATCAGTGTCTTCTTTTTAGCTGCCTTTTGAGTCAACGTCTTCCTTGAGACAAGTTTTTTCTCCCCGTCATCTGTTTCGTCTTCGTGCTCCTCTGAATCCTCCTCTGCCTCATCTTCTCCATCAGCCGAGTCTCCGTTGATTCCGTGCCAGCCTTCAGTGGAAGTCTTGGTGTCCTCCTCTGTTTTGGAGGCTTCGGTATCTTCATCATTGCAGGGGTTTCCATTTAGGATGGTGATGGGTGGTTTTAGATTGATTTCTCTTACTTCCTCTTTCTCCTCCTCGTCTGGTTTCAGCTCCACCACATCATCAGGTCCCTCTGTTTCATCGTTTGACTCCTTTTGAAGTTCTTCAACCATGTCACTTTCTCCACAGGTTTGATCAGATTTGGCAGGATTAGTCTCAGACTCACTGGCATCGTCCTCCTCAGCTTCTTTACTCTCTTCGTCAGTGAGTTGCTGTCTACTTTCTTCAGCACATTCATCGTCTGGGTTTTCAGTAGACTCTTCCTTTTCATTTCCGGTCACCTCAGGCTCTCCTGAGTCTTCTTGGGCTGGTTCTCCCTCTTCAGTCTCATCTCCTGTTACTGCAGACTCTGTGTTATCTTCACCCAACTCCCCATCACTTTCGTCATTATCAGACTCCTCCTCATCCTCAGCTCCCTCTCCTCCATCCTCATTTGTAACTTTTGAAGAGTCTTCTTCTTCTCCTGTGGTCTCGTTTGCTTCTGTTGTTGCCTCATGGTCAGATTCGCTTTCATCTGCGGCTGATGCATCACTCTCATCCTCTGATTCATTTTCAGGACCTTTATCTTCATCCTCACCCTTTTCTTCTGGTTCCTCTCCATCTGTGGTTAACTCCTTTTCAGCTGCTTCGTCTTCAGCTTTACCAACATCCTCTTCAGCTGAAATCGCTGTGACTGGAGTCACCTCAGGAGCGTTCTCATCAGAGATTGCACCTTCTGTTTCATGAGAAGCCTCATCTTTAGTTGTGGCCACTGCACATGGTTCTTCTGAGGGATTGTCAGCTTCGGTTGTGTTGTCAGTCTCCTCTTTGGTTTCATCATTTTCTGTGGTGGCATCCACACCTTCTGCATCATCATCATCATCATGATCATCATCACTACCATCAGCAGTTTCTTCTGCATCTTCAGCTGTGGCTGCCTCAGACACTTTCTCTTCTTCAGATTCATGTTCGGTTGCTTCACCTACATCTTCAGCTGTTGTCACCTCACCAGCTCCCTCCTTCATTTCATCTTCGCTTGTAGCAGGAATCTCCTTATCTTCCGGGGCCTCATCTTCAGCGGCCTCTGTCTCCTGGGCTTCCTCTACGGCAGATTCCTGCCCTTTTGTTTCTGCCACATCCTCTTCTTTACTTTCCACCCCAGCTGTTGAGGCTTCAACACCTCCATTTTTGGCTTCATCTCCACTTGTGGCTGCAGTCACTTTATCTTCAGCTGTCTCATCTTCAGTTGCCTCTACTTCTTCATCTTCATCCTTCTCAGAATCATCAGCACCGGTGTCCTCCACAGCTTCCTCACCATCAGATTCATGCTCAGTTGTAGCTCCAGCTTCACCTTCACTGTTGGCAGCGATCTCCTTAACTTCCGTCGTCTCATCTTCAGTTGTTGCTTGCTCATTTGTTTCTGCACCATCTGTCTCAGACTCGTCTTCACCGCTGTCTTCCACAGCCTCCTCATCCTCAGATTCATGCTCAGTTGTAGCTCCAACATCAGCCTCCTCTGCTGCACCGTTAACCACACAGTCATCTTCTTTAATGGCTGCAACCTCCTCATTTTCAGCTGCTTCATCTTCAGTTGTTGCTTTCTCAGTTGTCTCTGCAGCATCTGTCTCAGACTCATCAACGTCAGAGTCTTCTTCAGCTTCTTCTTCCTCACCAGATTCATGTTCAGTTGTTGCTCCTACTGCACTGTTATCTTCACCTTCATCCTCACTAATAGCGGAAATCTCCTTATCTTCAGCTGCTTCATCTTCACTTGTTGCTTTTTCAGTTGTCTCTGCAGCATCCATCTCAGACTCATCAGCATCAGAGTCTTCCTCGTCTTCTTCAGCTTCCTCTTTACCAGATTCATGCTCAGTTGTTGCTACATCATCGGCTCCCCCTGCTGCGCTGTGTTCTTCGTCTTCACTGGCGGCAGCAATCTCCTTCTCTTCATTTGCTTCTTCTTCTACCGTTGTTGCTTTCTCAGCTGTTTCAACACCATTTTCTCCACCTTCATCTTCACTAATAGCGGAAATCTCCTTATCTTCAGCTGCTTCATCTTCACTTGTTGCTTTTTCAGTTGTCTCTGCAGCATCCATCTCAGACTCATCAGCATCAGAGTCTGATTCATGCTCAGTTGTTGCTACATCATCGGCTCCCTCTGCTGCACTGTGTTCTTCATCTTCGTTGGCGGCAGCAATCTCCTTCTCTTCATTTGCTTCTTCTTCTACCGTTGTTGCTTTCTCAACTGTATCGACACCGTTTGCCATGGACTCATCAGCAGCAGTGTCTTTAGTAACTTCTTCATTATCAGGATCATGCTCAGTTGTTGCTCCTACTGCACTGTTATCTCCAGCTTCACCTTCACTGGTGGCGGCAATCTCCTTCTCTTCAGCCACTTTATCTTCAGTTGTTGCTTTCTCGGTTGTTTCTATGCCATCTGTCTCAGATTCATCAGCACCAGTGTCTTCTTCAGCTTCTTCTTCTTCTCCAGCATCACCATCCTCTGCTGAACTTTGACCTCCAGCTCCATCTGTACTGGTGGCAGCAGTCTCTTTTTCTACAGCACTTTCATCCTCTGCTGTTGTTGCAATCTCACTGGCTGCAGTTTCAGTTTCATCATCTGTGGCAGCACCGTGCTCTGCAGCCTCTTCAGCACCAGATTCATTCTGAGTTGTTGCCGCCCCATCAGCCTCCTCCTTTTCATCTCCAACCTCAGCTGCTTCTGTCAGCTCTTCCTTTGATTCAATTCCACTCATAGCATCCATCTCTTTTTCTGTTGCAGTCTCACCTTCTGTTGTTGTTGCTGCTAGGGTTGAATCATCATCACTGGTAAGAGGAGTCTCATCGTCATTGTGAACCATCCCTGATTTCACAGCTTCCTCTTCATCAGATTCATTTTCAGTCGTGGCTGCTACGGCACTCTCAACCTTTGATTCCTCTTCATCTGCCACGTCTTTTGAAGAGTCTTCAGCTGTGGCTGTGTTACTCTCATCTTCAGACTCCAGCACACTGCTAGAGGCAAGCTTGTCTTCATCCATGCTTGTCTCTCCCTCAGCAGCTTCTTCTATGTTGGAATCACATTCACTTGTACCTGCTAGGGTGGACTCTTTTGCATTGTCTTCTTCAGCTGTGGTGGCTTCAACTGGCTCAGTTTCCTTTTTAAGGTCATCTTCATGCTCAGACTCATGTGCAGATCCATGAACAGATTCTTGTTTGGATTCATGTGCAGATTCATGCTCAGATTCTTTCACAGATTCATAAACAGATTCATGCTCAGACTCATGTGCAGATTCATGTTTGGATTCATGCTCAGATTCATGTGCAGATTCATGTGCAGATTCATGAACAGATTCTTTCTCAGATTCACATGCAGATTCATGCTCAGATTCATGTTCAGATTCATTTCCGGATTCATGTGCAGATTCATGAACAGATTCATGTGCAGATTCATGTTCAGATTCTTTTGCAGATTCGTGAACAGATTCATGTTCGTATTCCTGTTCGGATTCATGTGCAGATTCATGAACAGATTCTTTCTCAGATTCATGTGCAGATTCATGCACAGATTCATGTTCGGATTCATGTGCAGATTCATGCCCAGATTCATGAACAGATTCTTTCACAGATTCATGTGCAGATTCATGCTCAGATTCATGTTCAGATTCATGTTCGGATTCATGTGCAGATTCATGAACAGATTCTTTCGCAGATTCATGAACAGATTCATGTTCAGATTCATGTTCAGATTCATGTGCAGATTCATGAACAGATTCTTTCGCAGATTCATGAACAGATTCATGTTCAGATTCATGTTCAGATTCATGAACAGATTCATGTGCAGATTCATGAACGGATTCTTTCACAGATTCATGTTCAGATTCATGTTCAGATTCATGTTCAGATTCATGTTCAGATTCATGTTCAGATTCATGTGCAGATTCATGAACAGATTCTTTCTCAGATTCATGTGCAGATTCATGTGCAGATTCATGTTTGGATTCATGTTCGGATTCATGTGCAGATTCATGAACAGATTCTTTCGCAGATTCATGCTCAGATTCATGTTCAGATTCATGTTCGGGTTCATGTGCAGATTCATGTGCAGATTCATGAACAGATTCTTTCTCAGATTCATGTGCAGATTCATGTGCAGATTCATGCTCAGATTCATGTTCGGATTCATGTGCAGATTTATGCTCAGATTCATGTGCAGATTCATGTGTGGATTCATGAACAGATTCATGTGCAGATTCATGAACCGATTCATGTGCAGATTCATGTGCAGATTCATGAACAGATTCTTTCTCAGATTCATGAACAGATTCATGTGCAGATTCATGCTCAGATTCATGAACAGTTTCTTTCTCAGATTCAAGTGCAGATTCATGTGTGCATTCATGCTCAGATTCATGTTCAGATTCTTTCGCAGATTCATGAACAGATTCATGTGCAGATTCATGTGCAGATTCATGAACAGATTCATGTGCAGATTCATGTGCAGATTCTTTCGCAGATTCATGTTCAGATTCATGTGCAGATTCATGAACAGATACATGTTCAGATTCATGAACAGATTCATGTTCAGATTCATGAATCGATTCATGTGCAGATTCTTTCGCAGATTCATGTTCAGATTCATGTTTGGATTCATGTGCAGATTCATGCCCAGATTCATGAACAGATTCTTTCGCAGATTCATGTTCAGATTCATGAACAGATTCATGTTCAGATTCATGAACGGATTCATGTTCAGATTCATGAATCGATTCATGTGCAGATGCTTGTTCAGTTGTGTCTGCCACAACTTCATCCTCAGCTCTAACCTCTTTAGACTCCTCCTCACATACAGTGTCAGCCTTCTCATCCTCAGATGTTTGTCTTTCAGTTTGCTCTTCCTCAGCTGTTGTTGTGTCACTGTTATCAATGGCAGATTCATCTTCACCAGAAAGGGCCAGTCCTTCCTTATCATCAGCTGGTCCTTCCATTTCAGACTCATGTTTACTAGCAAGATCATCTTTGTCTGTGGTGGCTTCAGCAGCCTCTTCCTCTATTTTTTCTTCACCGGTTTCAACCATCTCCTTCTCATGATCAACTGCCTCTGCTTCTACAGCCTCATCTTTTTCTGATTCATGTTCCGACATTGGTGCCAAAGCAGTCTCTGCTGATACAAGTTCATCCTTAGTTATGTCTCTGCCTGCGTCATCTTCATCGGTGACATCTATCTCTTTCTCTTCAGTCATCCTATTTTCAATCAGTGTTTCATCAGCTGGAGCTGAGTCATCATTGTCTGCAATGGCGGCAGCAATCTCTACCTCTTCCTCCTCCTTCTCAGATTCTGCCATATCTTGTACAGCTTCATCTTTGTCTGACTTATGTTCAGCTAAGGTTCCCACGGCAGTATCTTCTGCTATAGTTTCCTCTTCTTGTGTTTCTTTTTCATCTGCGGCAGCAATCTTTTCTTCCTCATCAACTGTCCCGGTTTCCACAGCCTCGTCTCTGTCAGACTTGTCTTCAGCTGTGGCCGTTATGGCTTCACCAGCCTCTTCGTTTAACTCATCAACCTCTGCTGAAACTTCCTCCTCACTCCCCTTGCTTTTATCACATGAGATGGTGGCATCATTCTTCTCTGTAGCTTCAGCCTCTTTATCATCTACATGCAGTTCTGTTCCTGTTTGTTCAGCCGCTGTTTCTTCAGAGAGTTCTTTGATTGGTTCTTCTTCTTCAGCTATAATGTCTTCTTCTTTGTCCTGACACTCATCATGTGCTTCTTTTTCATCTTCTTCTAGATCACACTTTGTCTCAGACTGCTGCTCATCCTCTTCCACCTGTCTTACAGCATTACTAAGCACTTTTTGCACAAGAGCTTCCACTAGGTTTGTGCCTTTGCCATTTCCAGAGTGAGATGTACAGTCGATTGCCTCTGTAGTGTCAGGAACTTCATTCTTTAACAGCAGAACCCTCTTCAGGTCAAAGTCCATCATAACAGGTGCAGTACTCTTAATTTCAGGATCCAGTCTGGATGCCATTTTTTTCTTGACACATGTTTCACATGGGCAGTAATCCTCATTCTCACTGCGTTGATCACTAAAGGACGTGCCTGTTGCTGAGTCAGAACTTTTGTCTTGAGGATCAATTGATTGTTTAAGCATAACCTTCAGCCTCCGCCGTCTCTCCTCAGTTTGTGTTGTTGAAGCACGGGTCATGGCTTCTTTAGGAGGTCTTGGTAGACCCGCTCGGCCTTGAATTTTCCTCAGCTCTCTGTTTATACTCGTTTGGATTCTTCTTTGGACCTCGGTCTTAAGTTCAGTTATCATCATGTCAAGTTGCTCGTTATCGTCCAAGTTCCAGCGGACTTTGAACTCGTTCATTGCGTTGATATAATGAGTCATGAACTGCTTTTCTATTTTTGTGAGCAAGTGTAAGACCCAAACTGGATCAGGATCTTGAGAAATCCTTTTGGTTAACTCTGGTCTTTCAATGGGGGGAGGTGAGTCAGCCTTTGTGTTCTCTTGGATTTCAGCCTCCTCCTGTAGCTTTGGGCTTTTGCTATCATGTCCTGAACTCTTGTTTGAAGAGGCCGGGGTTTCAGGCAGTTCTCTTGGGCTATCATTGCTTCTGATGGTCTCATCTGTACCTGGACCATCATCATTTTGCTGTTCTTCACAGATAAGTTCACTTTCTTTCTCACATGTACATTGGGCATCCTCATCCGCTTCTTCTTCTTCAAGGACTTCTTGTACTTTGTTTAACACGTCTGTGTTGGGATGTGGTTTCGATGCATCCCCATTCACACCATCGCTGCTCTTTCCGGAGCCTGTGGAGCCGCTGTTGACGTCAACACCAGATGATGAAGTATGGTTGAAATCTCCATCCACAGACTGATGATCGCTCTTCCTTATCACATGTTTCTGTTCTGCAGGATCACAAAGCCAAAGAGACTTGAGGATATTCATGAGCTCCTGATACCTTTCATTATTTTCATTTGCATTTTCAGGATTGTGGTCTATTAACTGCAGCTTCACAAGGCAGTCCAGAAGACCTCTGGCTGAAGTGCTTAGTTTACGCCCATACACTTGAGAGATCTCTGGTAAACTGTTACATCTGTCAAGCTTTGGACTTAAAAGTACTTTCATTACCTGAACGGAGGAGCTGAAAATCTTTGAGGCATCATCTCTCCGGGGACAGTCGTTCTCCATACTCGGTGCCACTTTGCTTTGTTGGCAGTCGTCACCGATAACACAGTCTGTCAAATCTACTTCAGTTGCGTCTTTTACATTCTCAACTACACTTTTTTCACTGTTTTCATTATCCTCCGCTCTATTCGTGTCCTCTGTTGTGTTGCAGTTTTTTTGCCCGTCACAGTTCTCAGGAAACTCCTCCACATCGTACATATTACTGTCTGCTGGTATTGTCTTGAGCCATTCATTCACGACCTCTGTCGGTGATGCGTTGGGTAGGCTGGAAGGTACCAGTTCTAAGTCTTCAGCATTTGTGCCCTTGTGTTTGCATTTGCTGCTTTTGTCACTTTTGTTTTCAGTGACACTCCCGCCAGTTTCTGGAGCATTGAGTGGACCATTTACCATTGCCTTGGACACGTTGTTGTCTCCGGTGGCTTGAATCTCACCGACCTCTTTGAGAACATCTGAACTGGACAGAGTTTGGGACATATCGCTTTCATGTGACTCTGTGTGACCAATCCCAGGATGTTTAGTCTCTTTTGGATGATCTGCACTCTTAGAGGTTTCTGAAACAGCAGAATTTGACTTTGGTTTGGCTGCATTTTGTGTGTCTTGCCTGCTTGACTTTTCTGTCTTAGAACTATGACTCCTCCCAGGTGTATCAATCTGTTCCTCCTCATTTGAAAGCAAACTTGCTGTGGGTTTGCTCTGGTTGTCATGGTTCACAGATTCCTCACAAATACTGGCCCTGTCCTCGGCCGAGACATCAGAGGCTTTGTGCTCATTTACGTTTGTTGAAACATCAGTCCCTTTTGATTTTCGAGATTTCGTAGACAGATTGGACTTGACAGACAAAGAAGTATGTGACCGTGCATCAATGTTTTTTTCTGGAGCCACTGAAGTTGTTGACCTCTTTGAATGTGCTGAAACCTTAGACTTTGAGGACATTGCAGTTGGTGATCGGTCAACAATCTCCTCAACTGTCACTGCAGGGACTTCAGACCTGCTTGACATTTCAGAGTGACTGGACTTCACCGACACTGGACTTGGTGTTCTCTCCTCCTTTTCCTGTGTCATTTCATCAGTCGGGAGATCAGATACCTTTGACCTCCCTGATTTCTTAGACACCTTTGATTTTGCTGATTGAGTTGACCTCATACTTGGTGCTTTCTCATCACCTTCATTTCCACTATTATCTTCCTTTTCTACATGATGAGAACTTTGAGATGCTTTAGATTTCTTGGATACTGATGTCATGTTTGACTTCTCTGATTTTACAGACACTGCTGTAGTCTCAGCATCTTCTTCTCCGTTCTCATCAGTTGCGTTAGCATCCTCATTGGCGGGTACCTCAGAAGTCTTTGATTTCTTTGATACTGCTGAATTGTTTGACCTTGCTGATTTAACTGAAGTAGCGCTTGGTGCCCGCTCTGTCAGCTTCTCTGGATTTTCTTCAGGGGTAGCAGAGGCTTTTGAATGTCCAGACTTCACTGATGAGTTTGACTTCATTGACTTGGCTGATTTTGCTGACAGGGTGCTTGGTGGTCTCTGCTCAGTTTCCTCTTCATCATTTGCAGACCTCTCCTCTGAGGGAGCTTTGCTTACTGTTTTTTTCCTTGATGAAGCCGAGGTATTTGACTTTGCTGATTTGGCAGACATGTTACTCGGCGATCTCTCCTCAGGATCTTCCTCACCATGATTCCCGTCAGCAGCCTCTAAAACTTCAGCTGAATTTCCTGAAGCATTTGATTTCTGAGACATTGCACTTGACACTCGCTCTGTGGTGTCCTCTGCACTTTCCTGTTTGAAAGTCACAGATTTTGATGTTATATTTGATTTGACTGATTTTAAGGACATACAACTTGGCGTTCTCTTTACTTCTTGAGCATCTCCGTCTGACACATTGGAGGCACCTGACATTGCACTGTCAGTTCTCTCTGCCGCTTCATCTTGTTCTGCGTCACATTCCTGAGTCTCGTCATCTGTAACTTTGGATTTCTTTGATTTTGCTGATGTGGCTGACTGTGTAGATTTGGCTGACACTGCACTTTGTGCTCTCTCTTGAGTTTCTTCTTCATTGTTTCTCTCAGAGTGATTGGATTTTCTGGACTGTGCTGAGGCATGTGATTTTTCTGATACAGCTGACAAGGCACTAGAGGCTCTTTCTGAAGGTTCTTCCTGTTCAGCCACGTCATCAGCGATAGCATCAGAGGTTTGTGACTTTATAGATTTTTCAGAAATGTGAGACTGTGTTGATTTGACTGATTTGGGGCTGGATGCTCTTTCTTCAGCTTGCTCTTCATCATTTTCTCCATTCGGGCATTCCTCAGCTGCAGTATCAGAGCATTTTGACTTTTTAGATTTAACAGAAGTAGCTGACCGCAGAGATGATGCACTTTCTGCCCTATTTTGAGTGTCCTCATCTTCATTCTCACCATCAGCAGGGCTTGAATTAGGCGGCTCTTTAGAAGCATTTGACTGTCTTGATCTTGCAGAAACATTTGACTTAACTGAATGAGCTGACTTTGAACTAGCTGGTCTGCTTTGGTTTTGCTCCTCTTTATTTGCTTCCTCAGCAGGAATGTCTTGTGAACCGGTGTCAGAGGTTACTGATTTCTCAGATTCTGCTGATTGGACAGACACATCACTGGGAGCTTTTTCTGCATCTGCCTCATGATCAGCTGCGTTTTCTTCAGCTGAACAATCAGGCTCTTTGGACTTTGTGGATTTAGCAGATTTTGATGACTGTGCAGTTTTGGATGACATGGCGCTAGTTGTTCTCTCTTGTGCCTCCTCTTCATCCTCGCCTTCATCAGGGATGTCAGCCGCTTTGTTAGAGCGAGCTTCAGAAGTTCCTGATTTGGCTGACTTTGCAGAAGCATGTGATCTTGCTGATTTAGAAGAGGCAGCACTCTGTGCCCTTTCTTGTGACTTTGTAGACACTCCAGAAACATGAGACTTGGCAGATTTGGCTGAAGTGCAGCTCGGTGGTCTTTCTTCAGTTTGCTCATTCTCACCGCCCTCATCGGGTTTCTCAGAGCTTTCCTCATCTTTTCCAGATCTTTTTGATGATGCAGAAACATTTGACTTCTTGGATTTGGCTGACATTGGGCTCTCTGCTCTCTCTTCAGCTTCACCCTCATCTTTGTTCTCTTCAGTATTGTCAGCACAGTTTTCCGAGGGAATTTCAGAAATATTCGACCGTCTTGATGTCTTAGAGACATTGGATTTCACTGATTTGCCTGATCTGACTGACAAATTACTTGGAGCCCTCTCTGCATCAGCTTCCTGATCAGCTGTATCTCCTTCCTCTGGACTGTCAGGCCCTTTGGACTTAGTGGATTTAGCAGAACTGGCTGACCTTCCAGTTTTTGATGACATGACACTTGCAGCTCTCTCCTCTGTTTCCTGTACGTCATCTTCTTCATGAGTTGAAGATGCAGCTTTATCAGAGGCATTTGACTTGACAGATTTTGAAGATGCATGCGATTTTGCTGATTTGACTGACAAAGCACTTTGTGTTCTTTCTTCAGTTGCCTCCTCAGCATCTTCACCATCGGGAATATCTGAAGTTTCATCAGGACAAACTTCAGAAGCTCCTGACTTAACTGATTTAGCAGAAATGTGTGATTTAGCAGATTTAGCAGAAACATATGACTTGGTAGATTTAGTAGATGCAGCACTTAGTGCTCTCTCCTGTGACTTAATAGAGATTCCAGAAACATTGGACTTGGCTGATTTGGCTGATGTGCAGCTTGGTGGTCTTTCCTCTGTTTGCTCGATGTTATCCTCCTCATCAGGTGCCCTAGACCTTTCTTCAGCAGGTTCGTCATCAGCAGCAGAACATTGAGACTTCCTTGATGATGCAGAAACATTAGACTTCTTTGATTTAGCTGACATTGAGCTCACTGCTCTCTCTTCAGCTTCACCCTCATTTTGGTTTTCCTCAGTATTGTCAGCACCATCTTCTACGGGGACCTCAGACACCCTGGATCTTTTAGACCTTGTTGAAACATTAGATTTCATAGATTTCACAGATTTGATTGATGCAGTACTAGGAGCCCTCTCCCCCTGATCAGCTGTATCTTCCTCCTCTGGATTGTCAGGCTCTTTTGACTTGGAAGATTTTGCAGAGCCTGTTGACCGTTCAGATTTTCCTGAAGTTGCACTCGGTGCTCTCTCCTCAGTTTGTTCCTGATCATCTCCCACATCAGGAGTAGGACTCACTCTATCAGAGCAGACTTCAGAGGCCTTTGATTTGACAGATTTTGCAGATTTGTGTGACTTTGCTGATTTAACTGATAAAGGGCTGGATGTTCTTGCTTCGGTCCCCTCCCCAGGATCTTCCTCATCAGGAATGTCTGCAGTATTGCTAGAATGAACTTCGGAGGCCTCTGATTTGTTAGATTTAGCAGTCACATGTGACTTTGCTGATTTAGCAGACGCAGCACTGGGAGCTCTCTCTTGTGACTTAATCGAGATTCCAGATACGTGGGACTTCATTGACTTAGCTGATGTGCAGCTAGGTGCCCTCTCCTCAGTTTGCTCTTCATCATCTCCTACATCAGGACTCTCAAAGTTCTCCTCTGCTGGAGCATCAGCTGAACACTGAGACTTATTTGATGATGCAGAAACATTGGACTGAACTGAGTGCTCTGACTTTGGGGTTGCAGGTCTTTCATCACCCTCATCCTTAGCAGTATTTTCTTCAGGACACTCAGCAGAATCTTCCAAGTGGACTTCAGAAACTTTGGACTTTTTAGAGGTCTTCGAGAGATTGGATGTGGCGGATACTCCTGATTTGACTGATGCACTGCTGGGAGCCCTCTCTGCATCTTCCTCGTGATCAGCTGCATTTTCTTCAGCTGAACAATCAGGCTCTTTGGACTTTGTGGATTTTGCAGATTTTGATGACTGTGCAGTTTTGGATGACATGGCACTAGTTGTTCTCTCTTGTGTCTCCTCTTCATCCTCGCCTTCATCAGGGATGTCAGCCGCTTTGCTGGAGTGAGCGTCAGAAGTTCCTGATTTGGCTGACTTTGCAGAAGCATGTGATCTCGCTGATTTAGCAGAGGCAGCACTAGGTGCTCGCTCTTCAGTTTGCTCTCTGTCATTCACATCAGTGGGGCTGTCATTGCTGTCCTCGAGGACTCGGGCTGAACATTTGGACCTGTTTGATTTTAAGGAAATACCTGACTGAACTGAGCGTATTGACATAGAGCTCATAGATCTCGCTTCAGTCTCCTCTTCAACGAGGACTTCTTCAGAAGCATCCCCACTGTTTTCAGAGGGACCATCAGACCCTCTTGAATTTCCAGATCTTGCAGAGGTTTTTGAGTTTGCAGATTTAGCAGATGTGTTTGACATTTTACTGGGAGCTCTCTCTTCATTTTCTGTGTGCTCTGCAGTATTTTCATCAGCTAACACACAGCTGCGGTTTGATGTTTTCGATTTGGCAGAAACATTTGAATGTGCTGATTTTGCTGACCCAGCTGACTTGGCTGATTTTGCTGACATTGCACTAGATACCCTCTCTGCCTCATTTTCAGATTCATCTTCTTTGGCCAAACCATCACTACATTTTGACTTGTTAGATTTCGCTGAAGAGTTTGATTTGCAGGAATTCTCTGACATGCAGCTTGGTGATCTTTCACTGGTATCTTCTTTAGCGCTGATGTCATTATCCTGTTCAGGAGGAGCTTCAGAAACTTTTGATTTTGTAGATACCATGGAGGCGTTTGAGTTGGACATCTGACTCTCTAGTCTCTCTGTAGTGTCCTCTTCATCATTCATTTCCTCAGATTTGACTTTGGACTCTTTTGACTTATGAGACACTGCAGATGATTTGGACTTACATGACTTTTCTGACATTGCGCTCGGTGCTCTTGCTTCAGTTTCATCAGGGTTTTCCTCAGCTGAAATATCACAGGAGCCTGGCGTTTCCTCAACATCATCTTTGGAACCTGCAGTGTTGTCCTCAGTTTGCTCTTCATCATTTCCATCCCCGTGGCTGTCCTGACTTTCACGAGGGATTTCTGATGATTTAGATTTGCCGGATTTTGCAGAAATGTTTGACTTCTCTGATTTGATGGACTGTTTGCTTTGCGGTCTCCCATCACTTTCTGCATCATCTCCATCACGGACGTCAGACCTTGTTGATTTTCTGGATCTTGCAGATGCCTTACTACTTGCTCTCCCAACTTGTTCTTCTCCATCTTCCGCATTTTCTTTCATTTGTTCAGTGCAGTTTGACTTTTGCGATGTTGCAGAGACATCTGACTTGGTTGACTTGGCTGACATGGCACTGGATGCTCTTTCACTTTCCTCGTTTTCAACTTCCTCTTCATCCTTAGCTGAATGATGAGACACGACTGATTGTTTAGATGCATTAGATTTTTCTGATTTTCTGGACCTTGCAGATGTATTGGACTTGATGGATTTCACTGACTTAGTACTCGGGGGTCTTTCCACAGTTTCCCTTGCCTCATCTCCGCTCTCAGCTTTATTTGACGTCGCTTCCTGTGACAAAGCACTTGGTGCTCTTGCATCTACTTCTTGCGCCTCATCATCGAGTTGTTGGATTTCTATTTCAGAGGTTTTTGACTTGGCTGATTTTGCTGACATGGCACTAGATGCTCTCTGTTCAGCATCTTCCTCATTGTTTTCTTCATCTTCAGGCTTGGCTGAGGTTGAATGTTTAGATCTTCCAGAGACATTGGATTTTGAAGACATAACACTTGGCACTCTTTCTCCAGATTCTTCAGGTTCTTCATTCTCCATATTTTCGGCAGCACTTTGAGACTCTGATACTTGACTTTTTTCCTCGCAGTTTTCTTGAGGTGGAGATTCAGAAGCAGCGGACTTGTTGGATTTTACAGAAGCTTTAGACTTTACTGAGAATGAGCTTTGTGCTCTCTCTTCTGCTTCTTTCTCACTCTCGTCAGCCGGATCCTGCGTGCTCTCCTGTGCAGGTGTTGATGTAGCTGAAATTGGGCTGGATGTCCTTTCCTCAGTTTCCTCCTCTTCTTGCTCTTTATCTGGGGGAGAGGACACACCTGATCCCTTCGATCTAACTGAGGTTTTGGATCTTGACGACAAAGAGCTTATGACTCTTTCTTCAACGACACTCTCCTCTGGTTCTTGTTGTTCAGCTGCCGCCTCTGACTTAACAGATTTCTCAGATTTCGTTGATTTGACAGTCATGCTACTTGATGGCCTTTCTTGTGTCTCTTTGTCGTCATGTGCTTGTGACTCTTCAGCTGTAGCATCAGATTGAGATTTCATGGAGGCATTTGAATGAACAGACATGGCACTTTGGGATCTTTTCTCCTCTATATCTTCAGAGTTTGTTATCTCTATGTCCTTAGACTTGTTTGATCTGCTGGATGCATTCGACTTTACAGACATGGCACTTGATTGATCTCTTTGTATCTCATGTTCCTGTTCAACCTCAGCGTCAGTGTCCCCTTTCTTATTCCCCTCAGGATCACTGGGCACTCCACAACGACAGCTGTGGGATTTTTTTGATCTTCTTGACTTGCTTGAGCCCCCTGAGGCGTTTGATGCCTTATCAGTTGGACTCAGGGGTGATTGGCGCAGTGGCGACCCTGTTTCCAACTCCGCACTTTCCCCCGTCTCTTCTTTTTCAGGTTCATTGTTCTGAGAAGATGCCCTGGAAACAACTTCATTTTGATCCTCCTCAGGCTCAGCTAAAACTTGAGAAGAAGGAGAAAGAGCAGACTCTTTTTGTTCTACTTGCTCCAGTGTTGGAGCAGTTTGGTCAATGGCCTGATCATTTTGAGAATCATCAACACACACTTCAGAGTTGTCCAGTGCGGGGGATGGTGCCTTGCATTTTGGTGAGCAGGTCTCACTCCTGATAGTGCAGTACTCTATAGTTTCAGCTGCCTCAACAGTTTGCTTCTCACAAGTCTCTTCTCCAGCGTTGTCTTCACTAGACCTGGATGTAGTTTCCCGTTGCACCACTGTCTTCCGAGAGATCACTGTATGTGAGGATGCGCTCGAGCTCGAAGTTCTAATGCGCCGACTTGATCCCTGTGCACCTTTGATGTTTTTCCAGATCTCATAATCCTGACAGTGACTGCAGCACTGAGGACAATGAGCCTCCTCCACATGCTTTTGGAAGTGTCTGTGGATGTAAGCCTCGTCTTGTTCATCGGCTGAGACATTTTCAGATTCTGTGCAGCTCCTATCACTAACTTGTGCAAAACAAGGAGTGATGTGTCCTTGGTGGTTATCGCATCTGTTTGTGGTCTTCCGAACCTGTGTGGACCAATGTAATGTGTCGTCGTTTTGTAAGCGGAAGCGTACTTTCATTTCCATAGACAAACTGCCATCTTCATTAACTCGGACCCGCTTCTCGATATCATCCCCCGTTATTCCATCACCAGTGAACTGGCCAGAGTCCACATTATCTGGTGAGTTGGTGCCCTCCAGTAAAGACTTTTCAGATGCTACTGAATGCCTGGTAGATCCACAGAGGGATTCCTCTTTGGGACTGACGACACTTTTACTTGTTGGTGGTTCTTGGTTTGCCATCAAGATCAGAGTAAGAGAGAAAAAGGTGAAATTAGTATCGTTGCTTAATCTGTAGGACAATTAAATTGTCTATGACTGATCCATTTAGAAGTAAAGTGCTTTTGGTTTCAAATGCAGATCATCATACCCTGGTGGCCATCGTTGCTGCTTGTGATTCGTGCCCTCAGCTTTGGGAGTTTGTCTTCAGATGTTTTCCGAAAACTGTCAACAATAGAGGAATGGGAGGGCTCACGTCCCACACAGACAATGAAACTGGGGCACTGAATTAGACTCTGAAAGTTGTCAATCTGAAACAGAAGAACAGAAAGTATAACAAAGACAAGGTAAGGATAAATTCAAGTTAATGGTATATTCCGGCTTAAATTTAAGTTATGGTCAAACACAGAATGTTGCTGACTGCTTCCTTAGTTGTATTAACTTCAGCAACGACCGCTCTATAGTAATACTGTGGTCTATGTCTCTACATGCAAACCTCAACCAAAAAGCCACTCTGTAGCCACAAATAATGCTCGCACAAGTCGATCACCGAGTGCAGGAGGGTGCATTTTTCATTATTACTTCATGGAAATGCAATCAGACCAAGATGCTGAGGAAGAAGAACTACCACGTCTGCAGTGCAAAATGATTATTATGATGGTTATTACTTCATGGAAATGATCCACTGCACTCAGTGATCAACTCGTCAGGGCTCCCCCTCAAACAAGCGGCTGCTGGAGGAGCGTGGGTGAGTTCTCTTTGGTCTCTTTGCTTAAGAAACCAGGCAAGATGTTTGATGGCTAGTACTATGGCTGGGACCCTATATGTACTATTGATGAAGTTAGGTGCTGTTCTGAGCATTATTTGTGGCTATTGGCTTGAGGTTTGCGTGTGGAGATGTAGATCACAGTATCACTAACTTGCAGGCGTTATTTAAGCTGGCATGACCAGAGAAGGAAGCAGTCAGCAACATTCATCTCTTGAAGTGGTGTCTCACTTGGTGTTACGATGTGTTTGACCATAACTTAAATTTACGCTGGACTATCCCTTTAATAGGCAGAGTGATGGTAGGCATAAAACAGGATGGTTGACATGCCGTGAACATGTGAAGTTTCCAAAAGTGGGATAGAGCTGGTTCTTTATCTGTCTGGAATCTGTTTGAAAGGCATGTTAATTTTGAATTAAGATATTAACATTTGTAACAACTGAAACTTGAAAGGATAATTTATATCAGGATTCAGGAGCGAGATACATTGTCCAATCTCTAATCTAAACTCCAGCAAGAATCTTTTCTATAAATGTAAATGTATATCAGTTCAAGCTTATTTTTTAACCCAACAGCTCAGTTAACATTGATAAAAATGGGTGACAGGTCATAAATACTCCAGTAAGGAACTCAAATGCTCCAGTGAGTAGTTGTACGAGCTGAAATTGTTGGTCTGATGTAGTCAAGTTTGTCAGGTCTCTATTTTACATCGATGACAATGGAAAGTATAAAGATAGAGTAAACATTTAAGGAAGAAAGTATTTCAGAAATGCTTTGAGTCTAGGCCTAGTTCCCTCTTTCGTGCAGCTCCGTGCTCTAAATCCTGCAACAGAAGGCTGTGAGTTCAGCAGGGAGTCACAACAAGATAAATATACTAATCCAGGATGATCTCAGGGGAGTTGACAGATGACAGTGCACTCTTAAAATATTGAGCTGCCACTGTCACTGCCATTGATCAGCAGTTTTTCAGGCGTGTCACTCTCAGAGATTAAATGTTAAGAAGAGCAGCGTAAAAACAGAAAAGGTTTTCTTTTTTTTTTCTTTAACTGAGGGTTTCTCTTACAGTTTAGATTCTCAATAGACATGCTGATCCCCTCTTTATATCTTTTAGGTAAATAAGACTAAAATCAGGCAAATTATTAGGGGTGGGAGAAAAAAAGTATCACGATATTCTGTCTGGTGATATATCGTATGGTCTCACTAAGTATTGTTTTCTTTTAAATGAATTGCTAATAAAGTCAAATCTATGATAATAGAAAAATAAAATCAACTGTTTGTCCAGTGAGGTCGGCAGAGGTGACATCATAGAGCAGGAGAAAGTTAGTGCAACAAATATAGCAGCACCTAAGGAAAGACATTAGGAATGCAAGCAGGGCACAAATGAGACAGACCTGATACGTAAGGTTTGCAAGATGTGCTACATGAAAATAAATACAGCGTAAATAAGACAATGATAAAGGAAAGACAAATGCTAAATTAGCTAAACTTTTTTAAAAATTGTATAGATCGCAATATATTGTATCACAATACTCACTGTATTGCAAAATGTTAGTAAATGGCAATAATTTCGTATCGTGGCCCAAGTATCGTGATAATATCATATCGTGGCGTCACTGGTGATTCCCACCCCTACAAATTATCATCTTTTTCTAAATCACTTATTCTAAAAGAGATAAGCCTGCTGAACGCCTTCCCGGGGGCATCAAGTTTGTACAGACCTGTTACACCTCAAATCCCATAAGAGGACCTAATAAAGGTATTAACTCTTTTTAAAGGTATTCCACATTTACATACATCTAAAAAAAGATATAGCTGAAAGTTTTTTACTGTTAGCTTTAAAGGATTTTTCTGTTGAGTTTTAGTAACATAAGGTTTTAGTTCTCAGATTGCTCATTTTACTCATTGAGGCTTGTCTGGTGATTTTATTTGCGTATGGAAGTCACTTTGATGAGAGCACAGTTTTCAGTTTCAGATAAAAGCAGATGAATGGCTTCATCTCTGGTCACACAGCGAACCCGTGAAGGTTATTAATTGCCTCTGTGGAAGACACATTTCTAAGACACCTCTTGTATCAAAGAGTAGAGAGTGGAGTTTCAACATTGACCTGTTTTTCCTCTCTCAGAAATAGCTCTGATTTGACCAAGATTAATGGAGGTTTGGAGAGATACCACGAGCTAAATATGTGTGTAAAGGAATATCCCTGTTTTATTCCCTCATGCACAGACTCAAAATATTTGTCCCACTAGACCTGAAATAAAACAAACTACAGAGAGCTCGAAGACTGAAAAGTACATTATATGAGCATATATACTGTTTAGGTATTTTAAAAATGTATAAAGCATGTTAATAATGCTGGTAAATGAATCTTTGCAAACACAAATACATCTTAGCTTACAGATGCTATAGGATTTGAGTAAATGTATCTGTATGCTTACTGCAAAAATAAATAAAGGTAAGCCCTTCCCATATCCCTTCACTCCCAAAGTCCTGATTTATTCCAGCAAACAGTTTGTTTTACTTATATATGTTTAGGTCCACTAAACATTGAGTGATTTTTAATGGAGCAAAGATGTGTTTTTCACGATACAGCAAATAGTTCAACCCCCACTTTTAGCTACATGTTAGTTTTAGTATAAAGATGAAGATGGTACCTATGTGATAGATTGATATTCTAGTGTGAGGTTGAGCTCAACATGGCATGTCTAATTTTTTTGCACATCAAAAGATCAAAATCTGCTCATTTTAATTGCGTGTCTGTAGTCAGGCTGACAGTTGCCAAAGCTTTGAGGATTTAGATCAAAACCATTCCTGTCACTAGAGGCCTCTCTTTCTCTCTCTCTCTTTTTTTTTAAATCTGAAGCACAACAACATGTTTCAACACTCAAATGCCATATTCCTCAGCAGTTTTTTTAAAACAACTCTTAAACTGTGGTACTGATCTCAATTTCAAATTCATCCATCCTTTTAGGTTTTAAAGGTATTTAAGAGGACACTGCAGTATTACTGATAAATAAAGTTCTTGTTTTATTCCTAACTCCCTGCTGTTAAAAGAGGTTTCCTGAACAGATTGAAAAACCTCTCTGAAGGATGCGTGAGTAAATATCTTGAAAGCATTTACATCAAACTGGACATATCTCCTCCCGTCTTTGATTTCAGGTGTTAGAGACCTCACCTTGCGGCCCTCCAGAGTGTACAGCTTCCTGACGTGGTATTGCATAAGCTCAGAAACCTCCTCCAAGAAAAGCCCAAAACTGCGTAGGCTCCTGTGGTGCAGGACGATAGTCCTCTTGAACGCTGGGTCGCTGTTCTTCACCAGAACCACCCTCTTGTGCCTGCTGTGATGAATGTGATGCTCATGGCCTGAATGCTCCTCTGGCCTGGTGGGTCTCCTGAGGACATACTCCTGTGGGAGATGGTGGTGGTATGGACTGTGAGTGTGACAAAAAGGGGTGACCTGGGTCTCTAAAGCCTCCAGGGCCTTGGCATGTCTATACTGAGTACAAAGGTAGCATTCCTCCAGAGGGTTCTGGTGGGCCACCATGCCATGATGGGAAATCCTGGGCAGGCGGGTGGTGTGTTTGAAGTGAAGAGGAGACTTATGGGAGCCTTCATTCCCTAAAGCATTGAAGCACTGGAAGTTACGCTTGTGGGAGGACATGTTTTACAGGTGGTTGTCCCTCTGCTCTGGATGAAAGCTGGTCTCACATGAGCAGACGAAGATGGCAGGTGAGCTCAGGCAAACAGCAGCATTGGGGAATCATGCTTCTTCTGCTCGCACTGCACATCTGCATGGCTCCTATCCATCCTAGGCTGCAGGAGATATGAAAATACAAGGTAATAAAAATGAACACAGTTTAACCTGCTGAGTAAAATGCAAACTGCAAAAACATGACAGAAAGCCCCTTTTATAACCCGCAACTTCTTATATCAGCTAATCTGGGTGCAAACGCGGTTTTCTCCAGCACTTTTGTCTGTACTTGATCTTTTCTTAGTAAACCAGCACCGCCCTTTCTAAAGTCTTTAAGTCTAAGGCAATGTGTAAACATGTTTGATCGGGGTTTACATCAGGCTCATCTGAACCGAAAATCCCTGCAAAGAATCGCTTTTGGCCGTGGTTGTAAGCAGCCTAGCACTGTCTTCTGGGAATCTTTTGAGACATTAACCCTTGGGATCATTTATTTGGTGATATTTGGTCAGATGCTAACCAATGCAAAACACCTCTCAGATTGAATCTTTACTCTTTTTCTTCATTTGTTATATGCAGTTTGTTCCCTTTTTAACATGCAGATAAATAAATGCAGACTTCATGTAAATGCATTCACAGTGAATACTGCTATCAGTCAGTGTTGCTGATGTCTTACTGAACAGTTTTAAGGGGGACACATGACAGTGATGTTGAAAACTGTATGTACAGACAGCTCCAGAGATCAAAGAGTAAATGAAGACAGGGATAAAGAGGATAAAACCACAAATAAATCCCCAAGTGACTTTAAATAACAAGCTTAAGTCTGTATGAGGTGTGAAAGTGGACATCACCCCAGTGATTGTTGCTGAAGAACATATTCAACCACAATACAACCTCAGCCAGTTTTCCCTGCTCTCAATAATGCAAGGATTACCTATAAAAAGCAATATCTGCAATAAGCACAATGTATTCTTGCTGTGACAACACAGCAGCAAGCAAAGATAAGTCATTGTTGTGTGATGATGGAAAAGGACGCAAGCCCAGTTTGAAACACAACGAAAAAGATTTTTTAAAAATTCATAAGAATGAGTCAAATTCGATGACTCAAAATCGGGCTAAGCTTGACTGACACATACAAAGAACAGGTTTGGCCGTTGTCCTTGTGCTTGTATTAGCTGCGCCGCACACGTCGACTAAAGCGGCAAGTGTTTCTGCTAGCTGCAGATTTTGGCAGGAAATTGTGATAGATTCTTGTAAATAATGGTGTGCATGGAGTGCCAACCTCAAGCTATCAAGTCTTTAGGTTGAATCGACAGTATTTCTATTTTTAGCCCAAACACTGTTTTGATTCTCTAAGAATATACAACCTGAAGAGAAATGTGTTTACGCCCTCCATAATCCAGGATTATGCAGGCCAACCCTATGAACCCAGAGATTCTGATGTATATTAGTTGTATTATTATTTTGAGACATGATTTGTGTTCTCCTGCAGGAACAAACCCAAACATAACATCAAATTTAACACAAATGTATGGTTTCCCAAACTCATATATTAGTAGATTTGAAGTTAGCAGAGTATTTAGTGGTGTTGCAGATAACGCAGTATAGATTATGATTAAAATACTAAATAATAAGGTGCATGGATGTGAATATTGCATGCAAGACTAAGAAAACATGCAGAGGTCATTTCCACCCTAGTTCTCATGTGGCTCATTTGCTGATATTCAGAAGCATAGCAGAAGAGAGCATTATTTTATTCTGCACAGTTGCTTTTGGATCTTTGATGGAGCAAAAAAGTATTTTCTTTATTCACCTCGACCAGGAAACATATGTGGCCTTGGTCTCTTAGAATAATGCTCTTTATCCCTAAGGTGTCATATTCAGCAACTGAGGATCTCAGAAAAGTTCAAACAAGGAAAATAAAAATCACATCCTGCATACAGGCCAGCCTGAGTTCATCCAGTTAAACAAGGATTATTGCTTCCTTTCTTTGTGCAAATTCTAAAATCTTCATTTTTGAAGTACAGCCTCTGGGATAACAAATGCAAGTTAAAGCAGTTCAGCCAAAGTTTGAGAATATACATCAAGAGCATATACTCACATGATCCATCATCATAAAAGGACCAAATCTGACAGAAAGTAGCTCCAAAGCCCCAGTGTTACGATGTAAACTCCACAAGAAACACAGAAGCTCCTGCACGCAGAGAGAACAAGAAACCAGTTCAAAAGCCTCCCTCCAGAAGCGGGCCTACCTGCTAATCACATCCATGGGAAGCTAAGGATAGAATGAAAAGCCTTGCTAATCACTCTGAGATTGGACTGAAATCTGCTGAGGCTTTGGACACATGACTTGGACCTCAGCATTGCATAAAGGGAGTTAAACACGTTTCAAGAAGGCAGCTGAAGGCTCGATGACAATGACGAGGCATAATGGTCCTGTCTTTATCTGCCCCCTTTGTCCTCTGTCACCCTCACAAGGATGCAGCTTTTGATTTTGTCTATAAAACTACATACAAGAAGGGTTACTAGTTTATTTATTATACCTGCATGAGAACTGACAACAAGTGCAAAGTAATGATGTTTATTGTCAATCAAGTTGACTTATTGTTAGAATAGATTGGTCAAAAATGAGATGCTCAAATATGACTTATTTTATTTCTAAACGATTATTAATAGGGACGGTGCTTGGGATAGATTTTAAACTATGTAAAGCCATAGATTTCTTTTTTTAATGAAGTTGTTTGATTTGCAGGAATTATTCTTTACTGAAATGTCTTTTTTGTTTGTTTTCAGTATTTTTGGCTATGGATTATGCATTTCTAATTTTAGATGTCCCCTTGTTTCTCAGACTGTCTGTTTTTGATTTTCAGGGACACAAAAATCAAAAACTTTGCGTTCAAAAATTGACCAAAGCTGTGCTTCAGTATACAGTCAATCTCTGTAACATGCTGTTGCCTATAAAAAGAACTCAAAAACTCCAGTGTTTACAGGTCTTACTTAATCCCTTCAAGCCACCTTAAGTCACCTGCTGGAAAACACGAACAAAATTAAGAAGAATATGATTTGTGATATCAGCTTTTCTGCAATCATGATCTGTTAAATCTTCAAAGATAATTGTAATAATAATAATAAAAGTTTTATTTGTGTAGCACTTTTAAAAAGAGAAGTTTACAAAGTGCTTTGACATATAGCCATAAAGCACATGGAAAAAGACAGATAAAAACAAAACGCTTAGTTAAAACAGAACTGAAGGCCATTTCAATGTCATAAGGAACCCAGACAATACAAGAACCATGCAACATAAAATGAGACTATGAGGACCAAAATAAAAACATAAAATAATTAAGAAAAAAGAAAATGCGATTAAAAGGGGGTTCAAAAGTGGAAACAGGATAGTAAAAATAAAAAACGATATCAACAATGATAATAAAATAACAACAGATGATAATAACAGATGCATGGCATCAGTTAAACCAGCTACGATCTGTCCATGGCACTGTAATCCTAACAAAAGTCTAACTGGGTGACTCAAATCCTGCTGCCTGCTGGTAAAGTCTCCTGACAGATTGTTGTCACAGTACATGTGAAATGATCACAGGGCCTAAAACATCCCATCAGATATGCTTCACATGAGGCACTTATTACGTGTGAAAGGTCGAAGTGTGAGGATCTATTTTGAGACGGCTCTCTCCTTGTTTGGAGATCAGCGGGGGTCAGCTTGCTCTTTTCAAGGACAAAGGAACTGCCAGAGTACGTGAGGGGTAACCCTTATCAGAGGCTTACAGACGGCCGGCCGATCCCTCCCTGTGATGCAGAGAGTTTCAAGAAGTGCTTCATCACAGGAGCACCCACTCCCACAAAGTCTTTGGACATAAACACACACACAAACACACGCACATCACACACTGCAGGGCAAGTCCTCATGCTGCCATCTGTCTGTGGTCTTAAGGAGCTTGATAGGTCGTGGTGGGGCAGATTTATTGCATCCTGACTCATGGGAGAAAACAGGAGAAAGACCCTCCTGCTGAGTCATGACGGTGAGTGAGTGACTCCACAGAACTGCTGAGAAAGGGGTTTAGTCATCTTGACCGAGGCCTTTCCTGTGCAGGGAAGGAACCTCCCATCACTTCTTCTCAAATCAGAGAGAGATTGCACCACTTAGACCTGAGAAGAATCGTTGCAGATGTGATTTATCTTTTCATGAAATGCCTAAATCTTTTTTCCCAGAGTGCTCCTGGACTTTTAAGGTGAGTGGAGCAACCTGTACCTCTCACCGCCAGCCTCTCAGTTTAAACACCACAAAGAAATCATTACCAAGAAAAACTATAGTCCGCATTAATTTGGGTTAAATATGATTAGCAGGCCTTCAGCTGTTTAGCATCCGACATGCGGATGCAGTTTGGATCCGGTCAGAGTAGGACACCATGACAAGGCCAACATCCGTCAAGCTTGCACGTGTGTTCTGATGCCCAGGCTTAGCCCTCCCCCTCTCCTGGCAGCAGCTAAAATACCAGGTTCAATTAGCTTGCAACCTGCTGTGCAGCAGGAGTCCTGGTATGTATAGTCACAGTCCTATGAAAGCCAAACACGAAGAGAGCTGAGGCCTTGATAAATTACTGTAGTTTTTCAAAGGGTAAAGCATCAAGGTTTTAACTTGAGAGAAAGCTTGAGTCAATACCCTCGCTGAAAAAGTGCAATGACAGTCTATACAGCCGTTGTGACGTGACTGCATACCAGTTATGCTGAAAGATCTGAGGTCAAAACAAATAATTTTCAGTGGCAAGATAGGAAGACTAAAATCCATGGTAGGCATACTATCTGACTTAGTTTGAACATTTTAAACACATTCTCTTAAAAACAGACTCATACATCTCTTATTGAAGTCAAATGGTACTGATTTCCAGGAACTTCAAAAACCACTTACTAGAATATAAAAGCTTTCAATTTCACTTATTCATCAGCATCTCTTCTGTCCTTCATGCTTGAGGCGAACAGTAACGTGCTTGAATAGGTCACCTGACAAACCCTGTCAATATGAAGAGGTGATACATTAAGTTAACTGAGAGAAGGTATAAGGACATCAGCCTTTGTCAGTAGAGTTCAATCTATATACGATTAACAACCTGTGCCAATCTCATGATAATGAGTGTCGAGACGGCCCTGGCCTCAGTTCACTCTCCAACCTTTACAGGTCGTGATGAGGTCACAGTGAGGATCACAGGGACGGAGTATAAATATAGCCAAGAGAAGCAGCCTTGCTCACATATTTAGACTCAAAGCACATTTACAGAATCCTACAGTAGCAGACCCACTCTGGACAAATCCTGTTGCGGTACTTACACAAAACCTCTGGAGAATGCTAATTTAGACTTCCTGCTGTGGTAATCCCTGCGCAGTTTTCTCTCTCTGAAGATGTTAAGGCTTTTATTTTAAGTGTTAAGTGCAGATTTCTCTCTTCTTGAGGTGTTGTTTTTGTACCCTACCACCAATAATCAATGCTTCACAGTGCAATAGATCATATCCAGCACTGTAACTATTTAAAAGCACACATAGGTTTGCAACAAATAACAGATTTATGTTTTGAGTGTAAAATTAATATTTATAACAATAATTAAAAGAATTTACTGCATTTTTTTCATTAGCAATACACTATAACACTTACAGCTTTCTATCGATTTAACTTTTTTTTTTAATATATAATAATAGTTTAAAATGAAAAAATGTGCTAATGAATTAGCTACATGTGCCTTCACTCCGTAAACTCTACTGAAAATGGAAATTCTTTTACTCATTGAACGCAGCACTGCCGCATAAAAATGTCTGCTAATGCAAAATTGTATTCCAAAATTAATTTTACGTTTCAGTTGTTAATTAAAAGTTGTTGCGTTTCATTCACGGTGTTCAGGTCTCGCTCGCTAGTAGCCGCCAGCTCCAACACCCTATAAAGACGGCTGTGGCTGACTCTGTCGTCATTGCGCAAGTGCCGAAAAACCGAGATGTTTGTAACATTAAGATTCGCAAAGATGTGGGGAAAAAGAAAGTGTCTGTCAGAAGTGGGATTCGAACCCACGCCTCCAGGGGAGACTGCGACCTGAACGCAGCGCCTTAGACCGCTCGGCCATCCTGACGACTTATACAAACTTGTTGAGACATTTCCGTGATAAAAAATCAATATAATTTAAGTTCTATAATCAAAATTTATCATTAGCTTTCCCAGCTAACCGATTAAACATCACAGAATTGCCTAGAGACGACAAACACCTGTGAAATGCTAGAAACCTACATTCAGCAAACATAACACAAGGCAGCGTTCGTTCCGTAGGCATGATGCCTGGCTCCTCTTTTGCTCAATGGGACTTTTTTTAACGATCCGCTTTTGACAATTCGCCTGTATTTTATGGCAAAAAAAGGTTAAAACTAAGTAAAAAAATAAATAAAGAAACAAAGAACGAAAGAGAGGTCATGGCTGACATGCTGCAAAGGTAACATCTCGGAGGCGAATACGTGCCACTTCTGCAAGGACTTCTTAATGGTACACAGCCATCATTAAGATCCTCCCTGTGTCAAGACTTGGAGCTTGTGTTGTTATGAGTAGCTTAATTAATAAAACGTATTAACTTTACAATTAAAATGACCATTTATTCCTCCATGGTGATTTTAGTGTTTCCTACAAATTCCCATTGTGATTTTTTCTACTCTTGCAAATTGAGTTTTATTCTTATTAAGCAGAACATCACGAGTAGTATTTAAAGTCACAGGCAGCTGTTATTGATACGTTTGTATAGATCCATAAGCAAACACTGCAGGATCGTGTCTGAGCGCTGAGCAGAGTTAAGATGATGAAAAATGTCCTGATATGACTTGACACCCCATATCAAAATGCGTATTTGCTTTGTGTATAATCATTTGTGTAGTAAACCTAAATGTCCAAATTTTGTGACCCATTCAGTGTCACTCTACTGTTAGAGCTTTGTTGTATATAGTTTTACAATAGAGAAGTTAATAATCCTCACTCTGTATTTTTGTGGATATTTGTTTTAAGCAAGGTGCAGGCATTATAAGTGTGCTTATCCTGCACGTTTCCAGTCATTGTATTAAAAAAAAAAATGAAATGAAAATTTTGAGTGTGGCCTACAAACAGTGTACAGTCAGTTGTTGTAATCACTTTTAGGTCACAGTGCATACGTGACTGCAGCTGAAGGAGTGACCTATCAGAGCTCTCAATTATAGCTTCTCCTCAGCATACCGCCATCTGTAATAAACATAGACCTATCTAGCTCATATCCTGTTTTGAAGCTGTCAACATGGTACTTAAGTTGACATGTCCAAACTCTGGGGACACTTGTGTGAGTCATTTCCATGTGTCTCATTTTTGATGTTGAGTCTTTAAGGAAATAAGGCCAAGCATCAAGCAGGAAGGGATTCCTCCAACTTCACTCATCAACAACATCCCGACCATTACACCCATAAAGTAAGACTGAAGAAATGGGGAAATGATGCAGGAGTGACCCACTGTCAAGGTCAGTAAGGAGTGCTCTTACCCAGAATTTCTGAGTGTAAATGGTCGACATCAAAGTGAAGGAAATGCCATGTGTCATGACTGACGTACTTCAACTCTAAATAAGCAGCGATAACTATGTTTTGTTTTTCCTGTATGTAGGCCCCTGGGTGATAGAGCCTTAAATATTATTACAATTACATGGGCAGGTTGTCTTTATCTTGAATAATCTGAATCTTGAATATAAATGAAATTGACAGTGACCCATTTTGGTTGCAGCTGGTGATTATTTTTCTATTAAGTAATTGGCAGGTTATTTTGGGGTTAATCATGAATAATTTTGTCTGTAAACAAAGTGTAAGTGGTCAAAACAGATCATTTTGACCTATGTGTTTTTTCTCCATCTTGGGCATGCTTTTGGGTGATTAAACTGATGTACTATGTGCACACAGACACCCGCTGAGCGGAGAGAGGTGTAGACAGACAGATGAAGTAAGAGAAAATATTTCCAGTAACCTTTTGTTACTAAAGAATCAAGACAGCTTTTCTGTTGACAACACGAATTAGAACAGCTTATTGTAGAAACAAAAAGATATCAGCAGAGACTCAAATAAAAACCTGTGAGTGACTTGATTTCCAAATACCATCCCTGGATATTATTGGCCTTATTTACCCAGGACTTTGGCACCACAGAAACCATTAAGTTCCTGAAAGAGAAGTCCCTGTAACTAGAGGTTCCAGGTGCTTTTGGTTAAATAGCACATTATCTTCGAAATGTGTTGAACTAACGAAGCTTGCTGGTTGGTTGGGATGCCTCCTGCTGGTAGGTGACTGTCATCAATTAAGTGATCTAATAATGCAATTCTATGACGGGCAGACTGTTTCAATTCAAAGTGACCTGACCAGCCTATGAAGACCACAACAGTCCTTCTGAGGCTGGGTCTCCGAAGGCTGCAGGCCCTGTATTGGAACACAGCTTCTATGTAGAGAGTGGGAAATAGGGAATGACTTTGGTCTCCAATTCTCTACTTCCTACACAGTGATTTGGTTATAGTGGACTGTATAGCAGGCTCAATAGTGACACTACTTGCCATTTTTGTTGGACACTGAATGATGATTTCTCTGTCAGGAGGAGCGTAGTGATAAACAATAGCATTTAATTAGTTTTTACAAATGCAGATACTTAATAATCACGTCTTTAATACACCAATGGAATCTTTCATTTCATTAAGCACAATAAATTGATTGGTCAGTCTCTCTGCTGTTATTATGGGGAAAAACTGAAGATGTTACCATTGCAAACATGTGCGTTTTAATGGAAAACATTTTAATTTTAATGCAGGATGCAGAGTGATACGACAACTGTATAAATTTGTAGCTTTGTGAAACTGTACGCTAACGTATCAGTAACAAACCTTTGTGGATTTTGATTTATTGCTGGCCATCAATTTACATAAAAAGATCAGACATGGCAGTTTGAAGATAGTGTCACAGCCCTAGTGTGAAAGTTTGAACTCTGCAAGCTATAAACGGCTACTGATTTCTGTCTTACTTCTCAGTGCCAAAACTTGATCATTTCCCAACATTTCACATTTTTATAGAGGCAAATTGATATTTAGGCTTTAGATTAATCATGCTATTAAAAGCAATGGGAATCACTAGTATTTTTTCTTGATTTAGTGTACAAAAATTAACCTTTTCAATATACCAATATTCACTGCAAGCTTTCAATAGATAAAAGTTCCGGTGAAGAGTTTTTTGACATTTATGAAATAGTCTTACATTTATATTGATGCTTTTTTTATGGTGTACAAAAGCAAACAAGACCATCAACAACAGTAGTAATGCATTTTATATTGCAATATTCAATGCCTGAAACCAGTGCTAGTCAGACAGCACCAGGCAAGCAGCTGAAGAAACAGTACTGTTTATTTTAATTTTATTTTTCACATTAAATACTCAAAATAAATTACAAATTTACTATGACTGTTAAAAATTCAGAATAATAATAATAATAATATATATATATATATATATATATATATATATATATATATATATATATATATATATATATATATATATATATATATATTTTATTTTATTTTATTTTATTTTTTTTTGGTGAAACTATACCTAAACATCTGAGACAAGCTGAGCGAAGACTGCCTTGTCCACAGGAAGTGGCAACTGAAAGGTCAATATGGTAGCTGTAAAAAAAAAAAAGCTCTCAATATCTGATTTTATTAATTTACAACTCTCTTTAAGACACATGCAAGATGTTTAGTGATGCATAACAAAAGACAGGGAGATGATGTCAGATTAAACTAAATCCAAGATCAGAAAATGATGGGAAACAACATTATGAATAATTAACTCTGTATGTTAACATTTCAAACAAAAACTCTCTAATTGTGCCTCCTGAGCTGTCATCAGACAGCCTAATGATTGCTTTGTCTATCCTCCCATAGGAGCTGTTAAAAAGGGGGTTCCCTAACACCACTGAACTTATAACATCACTCATCTGAATCATTAGTGCGTCTGCTTTTCAGGATATACACTGAGTAAACTCGGCTGGAGCTGGGTGACGGGGCAAGAGTCAAGATGGCAGAGTGCAGGCCCTGTAAAGTAAAAGAGAGGGAATGACTGAAACCAGATGTGCTCTCTAAATTAAGCAGGAATTAGGAATTAGCCACATAGTTCAGTTGTGCCACTGTCTTGATTTAACATAGCTGTCAGGAAAAAAAGGCACTAAACCATGTTGTTACCTCAATTAAAACATCAATCAATCAATCCATAGAGCTTCTTCTGTTCTGTTATTTCCACAATAGGGTATCACACACAGACCAGATAAGGATGTTGTATCTCTTAAATGGAACAACCACATTGCAATTAGGAAGCACAATAGGAACATCCCCCTCCACATTGGGGTGAAGAGTTACACCACCCCTGGGAGAATCTGCTGCGTCAAAAACAAGCCGGATAGAGCTGCAGCATGCATAGACCAGCCAGAGCCATACTATTGGAAATTAAGAGAGAGACCGATGCTGGCCAGTTTGGAGAAAGAGGACCCACTGCAATTTTGCATTATTTGCCTGAACTGATGTCACAAGTTTGGTTATTTAACCTTTGTATTCAACATTTTTACATATAACCTTCAAGGTTAAAGGAAGCAAATTGATGCTACTGAGCATGTCAGTACAAACAGGAGCAAACAGGGACCAAACAAGGAAGCAATAATGAAATAATGATAAATAATAAACTTTATTTGTATAGCACCTTTCCAGAACACTTTTCACAAAGTGCTTCACAGTTATCAAATTGAAAAGGGTTAGACAACAAGACATAAACATCAACAAAAAGTACACGAGTAGCCAAAGTCCAGGTTATACAAAGGCAAATGTAAAGAAATATTTATCAAAAAGACAATACACTACAATATAATACGACAATACACTATGTAAAAAAATGATTTATTATTTTGAGAAATTAAACTACACATCTGACCACAAAACCAACCTTTTACGTTTGTGTGAAAAGTGTTATAAAATGTATAAAAAATAGAGTTGAGAGCTAATATGTGGACCCTGCTGTATACTGTTGATGCTTGGAGTAAGTGAAAAATGCAGCAGCACTTATTTGAAAGCTCCTGTTAAAATTTGGACTTAACTGAAATGCACATACTTTTGGAAGAGAGAAATGTGCACATTTCTCAATCCCCTGTTTTGCACATTCTGCAGCAGAGCCTGTGCCTATTTGCTAATCAGGCCACGCTTATGGGTAAATGGAAATCTAGCCTTCTCCTTCCCTGGGTTGGCAGCCATGTGCTGGCCTCCCTCTGTGCCTGTATCTGCTTAGAACAGGTGCCGGATCCCGTTCGACTGCAGCATTCACAGCACAGGTACGGGTGGGAGGCCCTTGGCTGCTCGTACAGTCCCCCAAGTTTTCCAGGGGTCCCCATCTGTGTCCCCGCGCATCCTCTGCCACATGGCACCTGTCCCTCGACGAGTCTGGTCCATTCTTCGTCCGGTGACGAACACGCCTGCCTGCCACCCCACACTCTGCCTGTTGTTGAGCCACAATGAGATGAAGAATAGCTGCACCCATAATCCCTTGCTGTGAGATGTGTGTGTCTGTTTTTTTTCTTCTTCTTTCCCTCCTCTGGCCAGATTTAGGGCCAAGTACAAATTGTAAACAGGTTATTATGCTGCTGTAACACACTCCAATTGGAAATGCACTCCAACAACATTTAGTGTTTGCGGATGTAAGTGTGTCTTTATCCTTCACACGGAGTCGTTCAATTTGGTGTAAAGTTCACTGCATTTACTGTGATGAGGATGTTGTAATGGGTTTGTTGTTTTGTGTTTGCAAAGCTCCGCAGGAAAACTGTCATTATTCCTTCAGAGCTGCTTGCAGAATAACTTTGCTTCATCCGATTGCAAATAATTAACAATATTTACAAAACAGCAAATTTCCCCTGACGGTGCTCTGGATGAGAAGCTAAAAAAAAATTATTTAAAAAAAAGGAAAGGATATGACAATTTATCATAATTTCATTGTTTCCTTGTTGATCTGGCCAAGGGAAGACATTAGATATTAAAAATCTGGAGGGTATACAGAGCAACATATATGATAATTCGCTGGCGAACACGAAACAAGAGCTAAAAACAGCTCTCTGCTTCTGGTTAACATAAGCCTCGAATAACATGATTAAGGTCAACATCCTCAGTTTCAGAACAACTAGTGCTGCTACATGACAAAAGTCAGCAGCACATTCGCCTTCATTGGAAGTGACTACTTCATAGCTCATATGCGTCAGTTTCCTTTCTTCTATGGAATTTAAAGACACTGTCAGGAAATTTTAACTGGTTTAGAAACAAATGGAAACTGAAACTAATGATCTTTAGGAGCAAACACCACCAGCAACCAGGATTAACATTTTTCAGCTGTCATTTTTTATGCCTGAAACTGCTGTGAGGGGTGACTGACAGCAGGCTGAGGAAACTGTTTTTGTTTTTCACCGCAAATATTTTCAACGAGTGACATATTTTACTGTTAAGAGGTAACAGGATACGCTTTTTGTCTGAAAACACTACTTTCACATGTACAGACAAGATATATGCAGTATAACTTCATCCACAGGGGGCACCTAAACCAAAACAAACCAAAAGTTCCTCAACATCCCTGGTTCCCAGGGATAGTCCCCATTTTGGATGACCTGTCCCTGGTTAAAGCTGTCCCCAGAAATGTCTCAGATTTAACAATTTATCAATGAGAACAAAAATGTTGTGTGTAGACTAGAACAACGGTTATTACGGTAGCCAAGTAGGTAGGAAGCACAAGTAAGAATGGAAGGTTATTACAGGGGGCATGCATTGCTACTAAGTAGTACCAAGCTGTTGTCTGTGGTCACACAGCCAATGCTGTTGTCGTGAAAAAACTGATATGAACTACTGACCTTTTTTTAACTAAAAGCAAAAACAGGTAAGGGCATGTTTGCATTGAATACTGAAAATTCTGAATTTAATTGGAAAGAGACTAAAATAAAGGCTTTAATTGCAACAAATGGCATTTATTGGCACAGGTCCAAAACTGAGCCAGAATGAATGCTAGTGCTGACATTTTGTGCAATGGAATCTATTGTGTTATGCTGAAATGCTGCCTGGTTTAGTTGACTTTTCACCAGCTGATCAACTAGAAAGGAGCAGTTTGATCAAGTCACAATTTATTAACCTGTACACAGATGTTAGCCAACCTTTGCAAAATACTCAAACTCTCATCCCTGAGATGAGAAAAAATGGCCAGTGGAAGTATGTTAAGTTCAGAACATATATCTGCGGTGATCAAACTTGACAAACATCTTACTCTTGGGCATGCATATGCTCCAGTCACGTAGTTCAAATCAGCCTCTTCCTCTTGACCTACAGTTAATACACAGAAAACGTCATATAGCACAAAAACATGACTGGACGCTCCCTCTCTGGCCACACAATAGACCCTGGACCAACCAGACAGTGAGCCTCCTGCGAGCCTCCGGAGGACACGATACTCAAGGTGATCACTGCTCACCTCAGCCTCAGCAGATGGATAATACTTTACACAGCTGTGCAAGCCCCACACACCATGGTTACCTTGACAGTCGGTGTTGGGATAGAGCGCTGAGTTGTTTGTTTGCCCAGGGAAGTGACATGACGGCAGAGGAGGAAATAGGAAACATAACAGACTACCTGACAGACTCATTCCACGGGTTTGACCTGAGACTGGAACAGAGCCAGTCAGCAATCAGAAAGAAATAACAAGAAGAGGCTCTTGTTTGTTCAGCCTTCATACTCATACTCAAATATACTCAATACTGTGAAAAGTTTAATTAGCCAAATTTAAGACATTGAGAGGAAACTTTAGATGATTCCTGTGAGTGCCTGAGCTGATAGAGTGTGAGGTTGATGGTGCTCACAACAATTTCATGCCAGTGTTTGTTGACACTTATATTCTTTTTCCCCTCTTGTTGATTTATTGCAGCTGAAACAGCAGCGACGGCTGTCTCGGGTAATGAGCAGAAGGCTCTGACTAAAGGTTATGACGGCGATGAGTCAGGTTTGAGGGGAGAAAGGATATACGAGTCGAGGGTTTTGCCCTGACTTCCTGAAAACTTGAAAGTGACAGGACCTGGAATTATTTTAAAGTTTCACAAGCCTTGAATACTTTTGTTTTGTCGAAAAGAAAAAAAAAGTATTGTGGACTCATCTGTGTTATTGAATTTACTGTATTCTTCATGGCTTAGGACCGACACTCATCTATCATTGTTGAGGCTGAATAAGAGACGGCTGGGAAAAACAAATTGGAGAAAATTGCTCAATCAAATAAGCCATTTAAAATAAACTGCAGCAAATAAAGAAATTAAGAAAACACTGACACTTTGGGACATACAAATATTTATGTATACTAACTGCATTTTATCTTGCTCATATTTTTAGTTCTTGCCTAATTTCCAAAGCAGAGGTAAGGTGTCAGGACCTGGGTGTGCAAAACTATAAATCAAAGCCTATTAGACTCAATGCATTTTGAAAAGCTGCATTTTTCTTCTCTTCTTGTGAGTGCTAGCTGTTGTCTAATGTGATGATATTTTGTTGACGTGTCAGTCTTTGTCCTTGCGTGTGTCACAATGTCCTACCCTGCGGTGTAAGTGCGATCGCTCAGACATTGCCGGGCGTCTTTACCAAAGGGAGTCTGCAGCAGCACCCTAAGGTGACCCTCACGCTTTACCAAGGACTACTTTCTCACCCTGCATGCCTCGGGCACCACCCCTCCAAAATATGGTCACACTCAAATGAACCCTCTGCAGAGTGTCAAAGCTTCCTGCGGGAACAGAGGGTAATGATCTAACCCCGAAGAAATGCGCACAACATCGGCTAGCTGGGCAGCAATCGCTGTTTTTGATAAATGTCGACAATTTGGTCGATTTAATCACATTCACAGTAAAGTGTGTCAAAAGCATGGGTAAAGACAAAGGTCATGTATTCGGGGGGGTCTGTGTTCTCGTCTCATCCCCTTTCGTATCTTTGTGGTGTTTCTGTCGCTAAGGTACAACAAGCCAGGTTGATGAAGCCTCTCCTGGAAAAATGTGAGTAAGTAAAGACGGGTAAGTAAGATGCTAATCAGTGCGGCTGTGTTTCCTCCCGCCTGCTGAACAGCGGGTTCCCTTCCCTCTCTCTGGCTCTTTAATGCAGGGCCCAGCCAGGCCCAAACATCCTGACGGAGAGAAGCTTTTCCCTTATCAGTCAGGAAACACCGCTCCTCAGCCACATCCTCTTTACAAGAAGCACGACTCAACCGTTCCCAAAAAATGCAGGAAGACCAGCCAGACTCCAGGATTTGTCAAAAGCCCCCTGAATTCCTTTTTATCGAAAAAGAAAAATTCAAGAGAAGAGAGAGGGTGAGAGGAGAACAGGAGAGGAAAACGGGAGAGGAGGAGGAGAAAATGAGGAGGGTGTAAAACAGTCAACGAGGCCCTGGGTTTTATTTTTTTATTTATTTTGCACAGATTACGAAAAGGTCTGCATCAGCAAGATAGAATAGGTGGTGAGGGGGTGGGGGTGGAAAGGGGGGGTCCAGAGCGCCTAAGAATGGCACCCAGAATAAGACTCAAGGAAACAAAGGATGGTTGAGATGGAGGCGGGCAGCGACGGCTGTGCCTGTTTTACACTAATCCTTTGAACCGGGATGAAATGAAAGTAAGAGGAGACGGTTGGAGAAGGATGATGTGACAGAGGGGTGGAAAAAGCGAGCAGGAGAGTGGGTGTCAGAGTGGGACACCGAGCAAAAAAGGGAAAAAAAGAAAAACAGCATAAAAGTGGAGTTCCCCATGTGACTGCCACATTTTAACGTGAGAATATTTGTGTAAAAAAACACTTTTTACTGTTGGTTAGAACTGTGAAATAATGGAGTTAAAGTATGTTGTCCACAGGCGACTTTATTCATACAAAAATTGAACTTTATTTTAAATTATTGTCTTTCACAAACCTAAATCAGCATACAGTTATAGTTACCATTATTATTTTCATCTCAGAGGTTACAGTTATATATTATTATGTACTTGAGAGGAAGTATAAACGTCATTTTTTTTCTCTATTATACACCGTTTTTGTTAAATTGCATAAGAAATGTCTGACTAAAACCTCATTCAATTACAACTACTGAGGTAAGACTCCCAAACTAATGAGAGCGAGGACATAGAGAACAAACATTCGGATGGAGAGCGTGGAGAATAGCATTAGCACAGTTAGCATTTTGGCGAAACATCAAAGGACTTAAATTAGCTTCTAGAGAGCGTCTGTACATTTACAACAGCAACATTTACAAGTCTTTTTACGATTGTTCTCCTGGTTTAGAAAACTTTTGACAACTAGAGGCGACTTCTTTTTCATCTGCATCCCTGAGTTGTCCGTCTCCCTTTTTTTAAGATTCCTCCCGTATTTTTCTTCGTTCATTCCTCAGCGCCACATATTGCTTATTAATCAGTCCAGGGATGAGGTCGCTCAGTCGCTAACTTGAGCCAGAAAATTACAAATGAGGGATAAAAATCTCTTCCTACTTGCACCCATATGCAAGAAGATCCAACATTTTCTCACCCTGCAATATCTTTAGGCTCCAAGTGTAATGGGTGCTCTGTCTTAGCTTACAAAATGCCGGTTGTTGTGTAAGATGGGGGCCATGTTGTGTTTTTCTCAACTCCCAAATGCGCCCAAATTCAGCATAATCTGAAATCACCCATTTCGAACCCTGTCTTGTCTAAGATGAGTCCCGAGCCTAGTGGGCGCAGTGGCCTAGCTTACGAGATGCCGTAGTTATTGTAGTAGGCTGCCGTAGCGTCCGCCAGCACCGAAATGAGGCTGGTTTCTGAGGTGCTGCTGCTACTAGGACAGGCGGTATTAGAAGTGTTAGCGGCAGACGCTACCTGGATGTGTCCCGTTACAGTCATGCCGCCACCCTGCTCAGGGTGGAACCCACTTCCAGTCGAGTTCAGGTACTGGTCAAACTCATTGCGGTCCACCTCACCAAGGAGCTCAGCCTGACTCAGCTGGTCTAGAGTCTCCAGGTGACCCTGCGTCTCTGGTGGGGGGGAAAGCTGACCCAGGTGGCCCTGGTGCAGCCCGTGGTGGATCTGGGGAAAAGAGGAGGTGCTGTAGTAGGACAGAGGAGGAGGAGGACCAGGGATGAGTCCAGCACCAGAGGGGTTTTGAGACATATGGGGTATGTGAGCTATGTGTGAGCCTCCACAGTGGATCTGGGTCTGGGTGTAGTCAGTGTGGTACGGGGGAGGGCTGCCCATGTGGGTCTGATTTTGATGGTGTTCATCTGGACAGGCCGAGGAAGAGCAGGAGACGGAGGAGCTACTAGAGTAATAAGAGGGGGGGACGTGCTCGTGGTCCATGGCATCTAAAGGGGACATCTCAGGGGGTGTGGGGAGGCCGTAGGGGTACGTGTCAAAGCTGCTGTTGGATCCAGATGGGTCTCTGAAGCTCCTCACGCTGGGCAGAGCTGGGCTGGGGCTGGAAAACCTGCCACTGACACCGTTGGGGCCGCTTTCGTCTTTGTCAAGGGGGTGGCAGAGGGCTCTCTGCTCGGGCAGGGCGTTCTGATCAGGGGCCAGGCCGCTCAGCAGGAAACCGGGGTCCACTCGCTTGCAGATGCGTTTCAGCTGCTTCTTCCGGCGTGGACGATACTTGTAGTTGGGGTAGTCCTGCATGTGCTGGACCCGGAGCCGCTCCGCTTCCTCTACATAGGGCCGCTTCTGAGGGGGGGTTAGGGCCTTCCATGACTTTCCTGCAAGAGAAGCAGAAAAGTTTTAAAGAAATCCTTAAGAAATGTCCACTGTTTTCTTTTACAACATTTTCTATTTGATGTGATTACTACAAAAAAATAACTTTTTTTTTCACACACTTTTTAAATTTCTTCAACTTGTAAAATACTCATGGAAATACTCTGAATTTCATCATTACTTTCAAGGCCTTCAATCTCTGTTTCCAAATGACACGGTTTTAAATTTATACCATTAGTGTAATTTTAAAATTGCCAAAAACTCAACAAAAGTAAAAATAAAAAGTTGTGAATAAGAGCCCAAAAAATAAAAAAATAAAGAAGGTTTTTCTTTGCTTTTAATGGTTTATAATTTACTTGGTAATTTACCTCTTTGGTTTTTAACAAAAGAAAAAAACAGATGACCAAACTTTCACCTTGTGTTTAACATTCAGCCTCCACTTTGGTTTACTTTTTTACCATGTCATGCTTTTATTTTGTGAAGTCTCTTTTTTAAGACTCACAATTTTCAATTTTACTTTGTAAAGAACACGTTTTCATTGGGAAACTGCTCTTCTTGAATTGGCATTAAAACGGAACGGCAACAGTGCCAGATTTGGGGGTTTAACAATAGACACTAATCCAAGAAGCCCAAATCAAACGAAAACAAAACATTTTTTCTTCTTTTCGGTTTCCATAAATGAAACGAATTTCGTATTTGAACTCATTTTTACTGCAAAATTCAGCCGAGTATGTCGGCGCAATTTGATTGTTTTTGAAGTTACCGAATTAATTAATTAATTAGCTTTGAAACAGCGGCGGTAAAAACGTTTCATTCCTTTCATTTTCTCATGGTTTTAATTATTATATTTTTCGTTTGCAGGATTTCATTTAATATACTCTTTTTTTTCTTTATTATAGAGACAAAGTGTAAATACCGAGGCCTGATGGGAGTTTTAAATGCGCACATGCATGGTAAAAGTTTATAGCTATTTAGGATAAATTAAGCGAGAGGTAGAATTAATGGTAATAATATAGTGTATGGTAACAAATACAACTTATAACTTTGAGAAACTTTTTTTCATCTCACCCAACATCTTGCTGAGCTCGGCGTTGTGTAGGTCCGGGTTTTGCACCGCCAGCCGTTTGCGCTCATCTTTGGCCCACACCATGAACGCGTTCATGGGCCGTCTGATCCGCGGCTCCGGAGCCTTGTCCGCGGCGCTCCTGTGCGGCCCATGTCCATCAGACACGTCCCCATCTCCTGGAGGACACTCGAAGGACTCGGGCCAGGACGAGTACGCGCTGATGAGGGCTGCCATGTGCGCGCGCTCTCCTCTCCAAACTTTAATGCGCCACACGCTCAGTCTCTATGAAGCTGTCTGATGATTAAAAGCTGGAAAAAACAGCAAATAAACTGTTTTTGAATGAAAATCCCGCGGTGTTTCACACTCTGATGGCTCAGGTGTCAGCTCGGGTTTAGGACACAGCACAGATGTGAGCGCACAGCGGCTCCTGCCTGAGTGTTATGATTCAGTGTTTCCTGCTGGATGGGGGGAGCGCTTTATATTTGAGGAGCAGGTTCCAGAAGAAGCCCCGGAGGACTCTCGGCTCCTCCTTGATTGCAAGTTGAGCCCCGTGAAAAAGAGAGAGAGAGCAGCATTTCAACACTGCTAACTACTTAAACCGGCCTCACAACAAAACAACACTTTCCACTGACACACTGTGCATGCTTTCTGCGAATAAAGGTAAAACGGTGCAAATTAGACACTGTGCAGCTTATGGTAGCCTCTTCAGGTTTAAAAGGCTTCAACTCTCATGACGCCAAGGTGCAGCCCCTGTTTTTTTCCCTTTCTTTTGTTTTTAATAGTTTCACCTTGTCTTCATGTTGGTGTGATGACACTGAAGGATTTAGCAACTTCATATTTCCCCGTCAACAAGGAAACCATCACTAGGCAAACTTATCCAACCTGTTCTGCTGTAAAGTCAGGCACAGAAAACAATCAACTGCTCTGCTTGAGAAGTGTTTTCGGACTTCTACTGAACTCCTAAACCTGCAGAATGAGGTGTCAAAATCTCAGTTTTTCTTAAACCATTTCCTCCCCAATAATAAGCACATGAAATCAACCTTTAATACATTTTTATTACACTCTCTGTAACATATCCAAACAGGACTTTTAGAATAAAATAGTAGGGAAAAGTTCCTCTTTTTGGTTGTGGGTACATTTTTGGAGCCTCTGAACACATCTGTGGGTGAGAGCAGAGATAAAACCAGCGAACACACACACTGCAAACAAATCAGTTTCCTTCTGTGGTCAGGAGCGGGTGCATATCAAATCCAGGAGTTCCTGTTGACAGGATACTCTTGGGCTGCAGCCATGAAGTAGCTCACACTCTCACACATAAGGAAAGACACACACACACACACACACACACACACACACTGCACAAATGTGGCTACAGATCACAGGTCAGGTTGCATCTTTGTTTAAAAAATGTTTTAATTGAACAGATCCGTCTATCTTCTTGCACAGCAGACAGGCTTCCCGATCTTTAAACTGGTGTCAGCTTGAGCTTCATGGGTACCTTACCTCCCCCATCTCCCCCCCAACAGGAAGAGGATACAGCACCTGAAGCCACAGATTGTGCACAGGGGCAGACACATCAGTGATATATAGGGTCGCACTCACTCTGCTGTTGTGACATGAACCATGCTGATGTGAAGTCGGTGAAAGTCTCTCACACACACTAACACACACATGCAAACAGAGGAGAGAGTTCATGCGGTCCAGTTGTGTGTGAGACTGGAGTTCAGCGTGAGGAAAGACGAAAGCTCAGAGTTGGGGGGTTTCTGAAATGAGTAATAGCTGTGTGTGTTTTAAGCTCTGTGTGGGTGGAAGCGGTATCAGCCTGCTGTTGTGAACCCTCTCAGAGTGAAAGACATGTGGCTGCTGAAGACTTGGTGATGAGGTGTATGCCATGCAGGGGGTATTTCACAATAAAAACAACTTTTTATGACGTATGCAACAAAATCAGTAAGACTTTATCGGTTTTACTTTAAAGAAGTAGTCTGTTTTTTTTAGCTGCATAATTATGTACAAACAGGAACCACAACTCTGTATATTCAGTGACTTTCTAATGAGTTGTTTTTCAGCCTGTATAAATTCATATTTCCACCGAACCTTTAGGTAAGTCCTGCTGTAAAGCAATTTCTATTTATTTATCCGCCCTTTAATGGAGTTAAGATCTTGTGTTTGAATTCTTGTGGCATTGACCTGATGATGTGTAAAGGCGGAGAGAAAACACCTGTCCGTCATAGATGCTTGCAATTTTAGTCAGTCTGTTTTGATGAAGTGATAAAGACCTGAACCAAGTTTAGCTTTTACACCTTATTGACCCGCAGTAGTGACGAGACAGGCTGCAATGTTTTGACGTGAGAGACTGGACAGCTGGAGTTTCCTTTTTCCTCCTTTGACTCATTCCTCCCACTGTCATCTCTGAACTAGATCGGCTTGTTAGGAGTTCAACCGTCATGTCAGAGAAAAGATTTCGTAATGTCACGAAAAACATTTGGAAGTGGAAAGAGTGACTTCTGCATTTTTAGCTGATAAGATCACAGAGGGAACTCCCACAGTCTTTTATTTAATAATACTAAAGAAAGAAAACAACTGAGAAGAAAATTAAGGTGTATTTTGATTTATTTCAGGGTTTAATCTTCTAGAATAGTCGAAGATTCATTTCATTACAGCTCATGAATGTGTCAGACAAATTCGAGGAAAACATCCTCAAATTTTTGGACACTCAGATATGTCGAACCGTGCTTTTTCTCCACGTCTCAAGCTGGTTATTTGACATGTAGCCTGGATATGGGAAACTGTCAGCTGGGCTCCACACTACTGAGCAAGTAGCTCTGCTTCTCAAAGTTACTTTCTGACAGCAAAATGCAGGAAATTAAAAAAAAAAAATCACACAAAATTATCAACATCAATAAATGTAAGAGGTTAGACTTAAATAAACTTATTGGTGGTATAATTATGTTATGGAGTTAATTGCAAGACTTGGTAGCCGAGCTTTAGTGATTGTTTGCCAGTTTCTTAGCAAAGAGGATGAGCTGAGCGGCCTTTTTCTGTGCCACTCCAAGTATTTCATTCAAACACAGTTACAAAACTCAAGCTATCTCTCTAGTTAAGTGGGCGGCACATCATTTCCTATAGGATTGATTTGATCAAAACTAAACTTTTGCAGAGTTATGCACCTGATCTTTACTCAATAGTTACGATTAGGGCTGGGCAAAAAATTTGGGACTGTCTTTATCACCTAACTCAGCATGAAGTTCATATACATTTCTTAACATATGGATCTCTGTCAGATAAGAAATTTTGCAATCCTCTGCAACAGTGGTGTATCAGTGTCTTTTACATAGACTGGATAAAACACTGACAGCACAACAGCCCCTCCAAAGTGACACCAAAACCTTAAGGTCTCTCCCTGGGTAAATGATGGATAATAACCCTCAAATTTCTCCCCATCACAAGCAGTCAGCACACGTTCTGAAGGTATTTAGGTTTCACTTTTTTACACAAGTGGGACTTGGAGATGCACTGTCCGTATTCAATTACAGTCAATGGTCTTTCCTGAATGCAAGGTTTTTCTTCTCCTGCAGTAGCAAAATGAACCCCTACTTCCAATTACCCTGACCGTGATACTTCTGTTCTGACCATGTCGCAAAATCAAACCAACTCTGAAAGTTTGTGTTGATCACCACAGCAGGAGAATGTTGTCATTATATAATTAAGGCAATATCTCCATGCAGCACTTTTCCACTTATATTGTTACTAATATTGAGACAACCTGAGAGGTTTATCAGAGGTCTAGTTTTCACCCTCTCCCAGCTGTTTCTTTTTCTTTTTCTTGTCCTTTTTGGATTTCTTCTCCACCACCTCCACCTGGTCTTCTTGTGCTGCACTGTCCACCTCCTCTCTGTGTTTCTTTCTCTTTTTCTGAACAATCTCAGACTCTTCAGTTTGGTCATTAGTTGATGCATGTCCATTTGTTAACTCTGTTTCCTCAATGTGGTTTTTATGCTTTTTTTTCTTCTTCTTCTTGGACGGAGGAAGCTCTCCACGGTTTTGCTCGATGGCAGAGGGAGAGATGCAGGATGCTTCTGTGGCTTCTTCACAGTCGACTGCTTTCCTCTTCTTCTTCTTCTTCTTTCTTGGGCGCTCTTGCTCTTGTTCATTGTTGTCTTCGATCTCAACTGGATTGAACTCTTCTTCTGCTTCCTGCTCATCAGCTGTCTTTTTGCTCTTCTTTTTCTTTTTCTTTCTGGGCTCTTCTGAGTCATTATTACCACCCAAGTTGGGATCCACTTCATCAGATGGAGTTGAAGTTTCATCAGCTGCAGATGGTTCGGTATTCTGGACCTGTCCTTGTGCCTTTTTCAGCTGAGCCATTCTCTGGGCGAAGTACTCCTGCATGGTGAGAGTGCTGGTCACAGTCTTAGTGATGGATTCGGGGTCCGCTATAAGGGACGCGGGACTGATGGTCTCCTTCGCCTCGCCCTGAGAATCGCTGCTGCTGTTGTCCTGAAACCAAGAACACAAAAATAGGAAGACGGGGTTAATTTCTATTTTGGAGAAACTACACAATGGTGGACAGGGCAGCTTAAGTGTTCATCCGTCATCACACAGATTAACCAGTCAGATTTTGGTGAGTGAAAAGAGCCCAGAATAGGCTGTCGATGTAACAATAGGTGTCAAATGATTACCTTAAAATAAAACACACCCTGGATCTTCATTTAACAACAATATGAAGCTTCAAACATCCAGCTGTGTGTCCTTGTGCTCTCGGCCTTTTAACAGCTCCTTACCAAAGCTTCTTCGTAGTGTGAAACAATAATAATTGGTGAAAAAAAAAAATGTTGGATTAAACATAGGTAAAAAATTAAATACAGTGTTACAAAGAGTGCTGTTAATTACAAAATAAAAGTTTTAGTGGTGTACAAAATAAAAGTCTAATTTGGGGGGCTTCCAGGGGTAAAGCTTGGAGCTGCTGACCTGCAATGACTTCCATGAAGTTAAGCGATGTGTTAATTTTATGTCCCTGATAGGGCTGCACGATTAATCAATTTTAAATAGTAATCAGATTATTTGATTATGACTATGTTAAAAAAACTAAAACCATAAAAAACATTCTCCTCTCTATCATGTCTCACGTCTCCAGGCCACCATAGACGCTTCCTTTCTGCGGGAGCACTTCCCAGTTCCCACAGTTGTTTACCACAGTAAACGAACATGGCATTTGCAAAAGAAGGTGATAATTTCATGGTTAAATAGGGCAAGAGCAAGTCAGTCGTGAGGAATTGGTTCGATTTTGCAGTTTTGGACGAAGCGCAAACCACTCCCTGCTGCAAAATCTGTCTGAAGGTGGTATTAACCTGTCCACACGGAAACAAATTCAGGAGTAAACGCAGAAGTTTTTGTCGTATTGGCGTTTCATTCACATGGAAATGTTCATTTTGAGAGATGATAGAAAAACTCATTATTAAAGTGAAGCTTGTTGAAGTTAGCACTGAATAAAACATCAAAATCTAAAATTGAGTTTTCAGAGAAAACAAAAAACAAAAAACAGAATTTTATTTTTGGCCAAAACTGTGCAGCCCTATTCTCTGTGTAGCTTGTAGTTTTTGACCTCCCTATTATCTAACAGAGGCACCAGTGAGGTATGGACCCATCAAACCAGCCCTACACAAGGTTTATTCACTCACATAAAATCACATTTTATCCACATAAAACAAAGAGTGGCTTTTCTAAAGGAAACATGTCAGAGCCAAGGTCAACCTCCTTCCCTGTGGTGTCGATTTTTTGACTGGTTGACATTCACTCACAGTATGGACAAATGGTTTGAGTAGCCGACAAGTGGCGTCCCATACAGCAGCTAGGAGTATGTGCTTAAAAACCTCCAAAGGTTGGGAGCACTCAAGCCTAGATAAGGTGAGAAAATAATAACTTGCAAGGTTTGCAAAGCAGACCTTGCTAATCATGGCAGCACGTCAGTGATGCACGAACATTTGAGAAGGCATTTCAATAGTCTGTGACTAATCGACTATTAAAATAGTCGTTAGTTGCAGCCCTAGTTTAAGCCCTATCATATACCCCAAATTATATGTAATTATAAAAAATATGGTTTAAAATACTGCAACACACTGATCATTTTGAAATGAAATAAAGAGGCTGTGTGATAACAGGACAGTTAGTTTTGGTGATGTAACCTGTCTGGGCCTAAACCCCAGCTGATGGCGGTCGGCTGTTCTATGGCTAAGTCACATTCGTCACGAGTCCGTCACAGACTAATCTTCTCAATCTCTAGTCTGCGTTATTAAACGGGGCAAACTTTACAGCAGAGGATTACAACACCGTCTACATTTTACCTCTACAGCATGAACAATTTGTCACCTCACCCCTGCGACCCATTTGTCTTCATTTTCCTAATGGCCTACTCAATGCATAATGATTTGTCCAGAAGAATACAGAAGCTCCTCTCGAGGATCGCACTAAACAATACTGTCGCTCGGCAGATTACCTCAGAGATGGTGATGGTGAAGTGGACAACATTTTTCAAACCCCACAGATTAGGGATGTGTTACGATACAGATGAGGTTGTGTCAGGTCCTCTTATAGTTTGGCCTTTAAGCCTTTAAACTCAGATTACACCACTTTGACCTGAAACGCTGATCGAGGTAGAAAAGCTAGCTGATGGACTGGGATATGGAGCCAGGTTGGAGGTTTTAAATACTCTTTCTATACATTCATCCATATATAGTATAAATGTCATTCCTGTGAAAAACACAGCTTCAATTTAAAGCCTACATGTTATCAGTCTAAACCCACTAAAAGCTCTTCATAGTCGATACATATTTCCATGAGGGAGTCATCCATTGTTTTTGTGGACTGATATATTGATTCGTATTGTTTGAAATTATTGCTCAGCAAATATACCGAAGTTTCAATTTCTGTGTTTTCAGGCAATAAATTACGTTTGTTACTCTATGATTTTACCAAGTATCCGGGGTGAAAACAGCACATTTGCCTTTAATAGGAGGGATTAATTGACTCTTCTTCATGCTCTTCATTAGCTGTTTAAACTGATCAGTCTTTTGACCTGAATTGATGTCTTTGTTTTTGCTTTATTTTCCAGTTCGTAGTCAATTTTTGTGCAGCATTTGGTCCAACGTTTAGCTAAATACCAAATGAAAAGAAATATTTCTTTAATGATTTAAGATGTACCATGTGCGATTTCTTAAAACGATATCTTTTTTTTTTTTTTCTCAACACAATTTATTCAATATGGCAGATCATGACATCTTAAAGTCTGCAGGCCGACAATGTCAAATATCTGCAGTGTGGTGGAGGTTAGCAGAGCCAGACCCTCAAGCCTTCAGCCCTACTTACAGGTTAACATCCATATGCCTGTTCAAGTTCTACACTTCTGTGGTCTATTGGTCATGAACATAGACTGTATATAGGATGGACGCCGTCTTCTTCCTCGTTGGGTGAAGCCACCCCAAAGACAGCACCCTCTGGTGACGGGCTGCAGTATAGGTCATAAATCCCGCCTTCTCCAGCAATCCTTATGGAGCTGTGGAAATTTATTACACAGAATATAAATTTTTCTCACCCCCTGCTTGCGATGTTGACATGTAGTTATTCTAAGACTGGTTTGTGCTCAGGTCCTCTTTTTTTCTGTGCAGCTCCATTTTTAAAAGTTATTAGGGGGTTTATGTTTATATGATTGACACTTGATACAGCCTATGCGCGTACAAAGATTGCGTAGCTCACCTGGGGGATAAGCTATTTGAGCCGAGCATCATCACAGCGACTCTCTGTGACTCTCCTGCTGAATGCGTATAACCCCACTGTGCGAGTGGTGGTTCCAGGAAGTGGGGAAAAAACCCGGACATACTGAGAGCTTTTTGGCTTTAAATCTGTTTACTGGTGGAAGGCAGAACCAAGTTGTCCATAGTATATACAGTCTATGGTTATAAACCCGTTAATCCAGCCACAGCCTGCAAACAACTTCACCTCCACTGTCTAGATCAAATACTGCCAAACCATGTATCAATACGAGACATCATCTGTCAGCTTCTGTCATCTCATCATGTGCTTGTTTACATCCAGGTAGTTGAGTAGTATAGTGTTCAGACATAAACTAAGGGGACAGGCAAATCTTTTTAAGGCCTGTCTATTAGATGTATTACCGTAATTACAGTAATATTGTTAAGGCTTTTTCTTTTGACAGCATTTCGCCTGAAAATACTGCATTCAGGTGTTTAATACAGTCAAAGAGCACATGATTGAGGCTAAATGAGACAGCAGAAAGTTTAAAGCTTCCTCAGACCTCTACTGTAAAGAAGCCTAACCTCTAACAAGAGGGTATGAGGCCCTTCAAGTGAGGTACCATTAAACAAAACTTTCCAACTTCCCAAAGAAAATCTATACTCCCTGTTACTGCACAATTGCATCCTCTCTGCTTCTTGGGAGAGAGGAGATGGGGCTTAGAGCTGACAGTGCCAAACAACGTGTAACTGGGATTTGGGAAGATGGCTGGGGGCCACTTTAGAGCTGCCTGTGAAATTACTCTCAGGAGAGAGAGAGGGGGGTGGGTGAGCGAGTGGGGGGAGAAGGAGAGGGAGAGTGACTGAGAAAGAAACATCTCCTTCATCAGGGGAAAGTGGCTGGAAGTTGGAGAGTGACTCGTCCTCACTGCCTGGGGATCTCTATTAGACCGACAGGAGGGAAAGTGCTACGCTGAGCATAGACTGGACACACACAAACACCACACACACACACACAGATAGAAACCTGAAGGTCCAGTCCGTGTTACTGGCAGCCTTGGAGATTTTTGTTGGCGAGTGTTGGGGGGCAACATGTCGCTTAGAAACATCTCAGTAATGTTTAAGATCTTGTTTCCAAGTCTCCAGGTGTGTGTTTTTTTATCTGGTCTGTAACTTGCAGTTAACATTTTTGTTTGAGTGCCACAACACCCAGAGAGAGATATCTTTGTACAGACGAAAAATTCAAATCAAAAAACTGTAACAAGATAATAGTTGTCAGTAAAATACCGAAGAGTAAAAACCAGTCGCTTAATCTCCCCTTTAATCTGCCCTTTGTATTTTAATGTACCATACAGACCCAATGCAGATATTCATTACAACAGACACCCCACTTACATACTAAGCAGATGTACACCTCATAAGGGAGGCTAGCTGTTATTCACAACTACACACAACCAAGGGGATCAAATATAAAGAGAGACAGTGATCAGAGTTGAGTAAAATCAGGGCAAGTTAAAAAACAGAGGCTGAGTTATCATCCTGAGAAAACAACCATCAGTGAAGCAGACTTTAGAGCTCCTGTGAGGAACTTTACAGTTGTGTCAGCTTTGGCGCCCCCTGTGGACAGTACAGTCTTTGCTGATCTAGTAGATGCTAGTGGGTAGTTTTATTCTTATGGTACTAAAACACTGATAATCTAACTGCTTTATCTCTAGTTTCAAGGTTGCTTTGGTTGCAAAACAAACCATCAATAAAGGCAAGGTAAATTAATTAGACAAAAATTCACACGTGATGATATTTTATTCTATGTCAAATGTTTAATTTCAGAAGGCATTCTTCTTTCATTGTTATTGCAGAATTAAACTTTTTTCCTCATAGAATGAATTTAGTCACCCTAAAGCTCCTTTCTCAGAATTAGTCTTAAAAAGAGGGTCATCTTTAAGTCAATGAGAATATGTGACTGTTTAACTGACTCTACTTTTCTTGGAGATCATAAAATCTGTAATAACTTTAATACATTTATCAAATCACAAAGAAATAAGTTTCTGCAGAACTGACTTAACCTTTATGTTAATATCAAATCAGAACACTTCACTGCTGGTAAAAAAAAAAAAACCTATGATGAAGAGAAATCACAAAAACTTGAGATGACTATCTGTTTTTTTATGTCTTTACAAAGGCAGCAGTTGCATTTCTACATTCTCTATATTTGTCAAAACAGCAAATGGTTTTAAGAAGTGAATCATTGTGGTTATGAACTTCCGCATAACTACTTGAAAATTAAGAAGCAGTACAGTCTAGTTTCCCTTTTTCCAGTTCTACACCTCAAGCCAAAATAAAATGTATTTGAAATGAGTCAAACCAGTTAATTGCTGGAACACAAAAAACAATAAAAAAGGTAATCCCATGATAAAACAAAGCAGGGTTAAAGAGTGGAGGGTTGGAGAGCACACCTATATCTGGCCTTGTCTACTCCTCCTCCACCTCCTCCTCCTCCTCCTCCCGGACCCAGAACCCCAGGAAAAGGATGCGCTCAGTACGCTGCGTGCAGTTTTGAGATAAGGCTCCTTCGGCAGAGGAGCGGTCTGGCTGGCTATCGGGCCCTTCCTGCTCCACTCTCTCCCCTGGCGGGGGCCGGGGCTGGGCAGGGAACACAGGGAGGGCCCGCAGAGGGTCCCAGAGAAAAGGAGAGGATGGGAAGACATTCAACAGGCCGCCTCCTTCAAGACACTCCAGTTCTATCAGTCCCTGCTAATGTAGCCAATGGAAAGCCAACAGGAAGACGTGTGCCAAGGTGCCAATATACTGAGGCCAACACATTCAGGGGGAGAGTCGATCGAGCCAGTAGAGGGATGATGGGAAAGGTTCGCCGGAGTGCATGTGAAACTTTTTTGACCACAAGATCAGCGGAAACATGTTTTTCTCTCCAATAACTCTGAGAAAGCACCAACATGTCCTTTATTCCCGATAGATACAGGACCCCATCTCCCCATCCAAGTTTTTCCATCCAATTCATCAACTTCATATTTTCTTTTTTTGTTTAATTTGTGGAAATGACTGTCGTGTGAAGTTTATACCACTTGTTGATGCACAAAGTCAATGCTGACTTCTTTTTCACACATTGCAGGATACTTAATTGTTTAAAACTCAACTAAAACACTAAGCAGCAGTAAAATGTTTAAAGTTGGTTTATCCACAATGGGCTGCAGCTTAAGTCATGAGAAAACTATACAGCCTTTTGAGCCGTATTCACACAACACCTGAGGCTCGACACTTGAGGACATGACTCCACATCACATCTTTACATACGCACACACACTTTGACACGTAACTAGAGATATGACATTATATAAACAGTGCAGGTTGTAAAAAGAGCTTTTAATCTGAACTGGCCTTTCTCCTGGTTTGCCCACTCATTAAAGATATTCATTGTTGTGTTTTACATACACACAAGTGAGCCCATCTGGATCTACATCAAAGAATTTTGTTGTTTACTGCTCCTATGTAGGGATATATTTTATGCCCTGATTCACTACAATCCCCATCATTCATTGTTAGGCTGTGTTTGAGGATATAGAGAAAAGAGATCCAAATGCACATTAGTCATGATTTCTTACTTTCATAACCAACAATAGACCAATGCACTGAGTCTCTGGAAACAAGAGATAAATTAAAACATTAAAACATAACGAATGCATTTTACATTTGTGACCTGAATTCTTGGAATTATCAATCCAGCAGTTCCAAGTGTTATTATAAACACAGCGGCAACAACTGGCATTTTACTAATGCAGTTTCCCTGATGCACTGATAATACAATGTGGGTGCTTGCACAAGTTGCTAACAAGAAAAATCCCATCTTAGTAGTACCAAAATACAACCATGGGGATTACATTTTAAATATAAAAGTAAGGTAAATGTGCAAGAAAAGAAAGAACGAATTTATTTGTATTTCATGTTAAAATGTGGCTTTGATCTGACCATACTTAAAGACCCACTCTGACGAAAATCCAGTTTTTCTTGTTGTCTACATGTTCATATAGCATTTTCTTGATGCGAAAGAACATATCATGAGAAAACTTCGAACGAAATTGCATTTCTGAGTTTTTTTCCATTAAATTGCTATGAACCTCTGACAGACCCAAACGACAGGCTCAGGCCCAGTGAGATTTCCTATGTAGCAAATCCAAGCTCTGCCCTCGCAGCCCCACTATGCAAGCCGCACTTGGAAAAGTAGAGAGGACGATCGCAGAACAAGCTTGTGCGTTAGCAAATTGCAATGCTCGTAAGAAGGCTAATTATGACATTAACTTTCATCATGTCCCCAAAGAGATTTGTGTCAGAGAGCTGAATAGCTCCTATGTTACCTGCCACTTTGACTACACCGGCAATGTTAGGCTACAAGCTAGCATGAAGAGCAGTGTGCAGAGCGGTGCTGTCTCCTCCCATAACGTGATTTTGCCTAAAACCTTTAAAATCACAGTTTAAAGACCACTGAGAACATTATGAATAATCAAAAAGAAACCATTGGAGTGTGTCTTTAAGGGTTGTTTCATGTCTTTTCACCCATCGCTGTACTGACCAGAGTATAAGACATTTTTGGTCTGGAAACACATCTGAAAAAGTGAGGTTGGTCTTGTATTCAGGGTCTAGACTGAATGACAATATTTGCTCAAAACAAAGAATGGCACCACCTAATTGAGTGAGTGTACCTCCCATGACTGAGACCAACTGTAACTTACAACTACAGCACTGAGGGGATGAAAGACAGAGAGCCACAGTGATAGATCAGGACAAGTGAAGTTTTCAAGCTGATTGAAGTAAAAAAGCCAAAGACTGTATCACGACTATGAAGTCCATGATAGCAAGTCTGAAAAGACAGTCTTACTAAATTGGTTATCTTTGAGCTGTCACCTCAATGAGAGTAACAGGAGTGTGTCTGAGTATGACACTGAAATAAGGGAATAAAGTATGACTGGTACAGATCACCATTGAGGCCATGTAAGGATGTTTTTGAAGCCTAACCCCTGATGAAAAACTGCGTATTTCTTGTGGTGGATATGTGTTTCTTGTAATGTTATTTTCAGTGACATTGTTTTCATTATAAAAATAAGATTTGGTCTGAGCCATATTTTTCCACAGAGATAATCTTAAAAGGGAGGGACAGGAAGGTTTTATAATCTTAGTCGTCTTACATTTGAACCAGTGAGGCGCCTTTAAAGCAAACACTGACAAAGCAACACTGAAGTGAGCCTTTCAGAGCGCTACAGTCCTTTCAGGGCTGAATGTTAGGCAGGTCATGAAAAATTGTCTTGTAGTGATGTTTAAAACTGGATCAAACAGGTAAGATTGGGACATTCACTTGTTAAAAGTTAGTAAAGCTGTTAAAAAGGAGAAGTTGTCTTACTGATCAGTATGGAGTCACCTCCTTTTGGCTCACATGTTAATTAGCATTTGACTAAGCTGCAGTTGCCCATTAATTTTCTTAAAAACTGCCTGTTTGCATTACTTGCTGTTTTTTTTCCTCTCTCAATAATTTCCAGCCAATATTGGTTGGGTCTGTAATTGCATGAGTGTGCCCTCATTGTCCTGCCACAATAATAAATTTGGCGATAGTCGAGGTCTATGGATCAGGCCCTGATTAGCCAGCTGTCTCTCCCTGATGAGCACACGAGTCCAGCAGCCCATCCTTCACAGGGCTGATGTGGGCGGACAGAAAAACAGGTGGATACCTTATCCCCTGGTAAATAAGCAAACCCTCCAGTTAAACATCAATATTTTTCAGTAATGTCACCGCCTCTAAAGTGAAATATATATTCATCTCTGTCGTCTGCTGGAGGATTTACAATTCAGAGTAGAAGAGTTAAAAGTGTAAATGATGTACCATGAGTGCACAGAAAATCACATGTGGATGTTTCTAGGAAAACAATATCTTTGCAAAAGGCATACTTTTGGTGTGTGGTTAAGACAAAACAAAACAAAAAGGCTTTTGAAAAATTGCACGTTGTTCCCAATGCAAGAACGTTTATCATAAGTAACAAATGAAGACAAGATTATGCATGCGGTGTGACTGCCCTATGCTTGTTCAACATAGCAAACGCTTGCCGACAATGCCCCCCTCAAGAGCAGAGGGGTCCTCCCACCCAACCCCACAGAGGGGAGATACAGTGATTATTTTCCCCAGCTGTGATTTATTAGAATAAAGAATCAGTGATTAAATGGGGGGCTGTGGCTGTAAACAGCCGAGAGGGCTGGAAATCTTTGGGCGGTTAGCTTCAGCGGGCGGTAATTACCCCGGCCCTGTGTATTCTACTTTAGGCCGGTAACTAAGAGACAGACGCCCTCTTTTCTTTTTTGTCCTGCGCTAATCTGTAAGTGTCGGCGGGCTGGCATAGCGGGGAGGGAGCAGTCCACAGAGCTGCCAGGGAGGTAGGCGGTAGACGTGTGGCGCATGTGTCTCAGCAGGACTGGGGTAAGTTGGCGGGTCTTGATCATTTCAGCGGCAGGAGTAAGAGGGCCTGTCAACAAGCACGCTTAAGAAAATGAGAGCTTTTACTTCAGGCAATTAGATGTTATATGAGAATGAATTACAGCTCCTCAGCCACACAATAAGCCCGGCAGCAGTCTATACACTGCAGCGACGCACGTTTACAACAGCACATCCTCTCAACAGATTGACTCTAGAAGATGATAAGGAGCCAAAAAGTCATTGTGCAGTTCTCCTTGGTGCTGTATTAATCTAATCTAATTATGTTGTTAGTTATACAATGCAATGGGTCTCTGCTGGGAGCGGAGAACAATCCTGTTAGCATTCTGATAGGGATGCTAACAGGATTGACCCTTTCCACATGGGAGACAATTATCAGTCCACTGCCTGATGATGATGAGCAACCAATGGTATTCTAACTAAGAAGAAATATAAATGTTACTGGAGTTGACTCATAGTTGTTCAAAGCCATTTGCTCTGCTCCAACAAAGGGCTTGCTCATCGTTGCATGCACTCTTGACCTCAGTACAACAGCAAAGTAGGGATTTAAATATATCTGAACATTAGCATTAATAGCATCTGTGAATATACTTAAGTTGCAGACAATTTCCTTCTAGAAACATTTTCTCTCTGCGCTGTCAGCAAAGTTTTAAACCCCGACTCCGCCCATAGGCTCATTGGCGCCTTGCCGACACATCTGCAGAGTGCTCAAGCCCCCCCAGCCCATTCTGCCCCCGTCCCATATTCCTTGCGATGAGGGTACCAGGGGAGCCCCCCTGCTGAAGTGCGATCCTTCATGTGGACGAGGCGTGGGCAGGAAACACTCGCAACAGGTGCCACCCGATGAGGCCCGATCCTTGATTCTTTGTGCCTGAGCAGGAGTGGGAGTGGGAGAGGCCGCAGGGGTCATGCTGACCTGGGAGAAGGGTGCTCCATACCAACCGTCTGACTGGAGGGTTCAGCCGTCAAAACAACCCGCATTTCAATTTATAGTCCACCATTTCTTTTCTCTGACAACTTTAAGGAGTACAGAACTAATGAACGGGCTGATGGTTTCTGAAAATTAATATCTGAAACCGTCAAATTGTCATCCCAATTAATCAGCTCCAAAACTTAGAGATACCAAGATATTAAAGTTTTTTTCTCCTTGGCTGAATAAACTGACAACCAGGAGTTCCTGTTTTAAACTGAGGATAAAAAAAAAGGTCTTTACCAATAAAAGGAAATCAAATTTTATTTTTATATTTCACCCTCTAAATGATTCATGATAGAATTTTTAAAAAATGACGCTTTCAAACGGGCTTTTTAAAAAATCCTCAAAAGAAACTCAAACTTTTCTGTCTATTTCAAAAGAATAAAGCACCCTGAGGAGGAATAGAATAGAAGGAAATATCGCTGGAGAAATACAACTACAGTTTGTTTCCACCTTTCATCGGAGCCGGCGGCTTTAAAAAATGACTAACTTTTGTTGATGTATGAATCGGCGGGGAGTCTATTTATCAGCAGGCCCTCTGCGGTTGCCCGCTTGGGTCCCTCAAGTCACAAGCCGCGTCGCTCCCCTTTGACTGATTAATTAGCCAATCAGAGGACATTTTTCACTGGGCGGCAGAATGGTTTATTTCAGCTAATGCCGGGCTTTCGAGCCGCGGCCCGTTGGAGCCTCGTCGGCTCTTTCGGCCTGCCTGAGTGGCCGGGCAGAGGGGCAAGGGAGATAAATCAAGCCGGGCTGGCCCTCCATGTGGCTCCCCTAACTAAACCCCCTGAGGAGGGCACGGTGGTGGAGAGGAAGGGGAGGAAAGGGGGGGACTCAGGACGGCCAGGGGCACTGCTCGCCCGCCGATAAGCACGGGGAGCACAGGGCTGCCAAAGTACCTTCATTTAGAAGTGGCCGGGGCTTTTTGATATCTCGGCAGAGAGGGCCTGTCGTTTGTCATGCTGTGAGTAATTGTGTTGAGGGGCACAGGAGGAGGCAGGAGACGGAGGGGGGCTGTGAGCGTGGGATGGGTGATGGATAACAGAGAGCTGTGTAGATGGACAGGTGCTCCACTACAACCTGATAACCACCACTGGTCAGGGAGAGTAAGTCATGCTTTAAAGCATACATTTTTATGTGTGAAGGGGTTGGAGGGTGAACTAGTGCTCATTCATTCATCTTTTGGGTAATGTTTGTATTTAACAATGAATAGTGCACAACTGTAAAATTACTAAGGGCCAGATCTTTGAGTATTGAACATTTCCTCTCTTTGATTTTGTGTTTTTTCACACGCACATTTGTCATAAATTTGAATAACATACTAGCGAGCTTTAACCAAGACAAGCAGGTGCTCAGTATTTATTATATTAGTAACATGCACTGTAATACACTACAGGCAATCTAACAGAAATGGACAAAAACATAAGTGCTGACATGCATGGGTAAAAAGTACATTTTCACATTTCTTCCTTGGAGGCAGCTTTGGCCTGATCTTTTCTGATGCACTCGAGTTTATCATGCAGTAAAAAACCCTGGCAGTGAGGCGGATCATGAATTTGAGCAGTTTTTTCTGAGTCTTATCAAAATAAAAGTTGTCGAATGCTTTTTTGGTTTTACATACGTATTTATAAATTCTCTATTTTTATCGCTCCTGCAGGACAGACAGGATTATAAGATTGCATGTTGTGGTGTTTGTTGTACTGGACTGAATTATACTGAGAAGTCATGTCTAAGCAGCTCCCCCTCTGTCTGGATTCATCGACCCTCTACCACAAACAGAGACACCTAAGGTGCAGCTGAAGGGGACCGTACAACCCCGCTCAGGAAAACCACATTTTGTCAGGGTGTTTTTACTTGTAAAGACTCGGACTGCATCCACTAGTCCTCATTGTCACTTCCTGTTATTCAATAATATTTGATTTATGTTGGTGTGTAACTTTTATGTGTTGTTTTGTAAAATAATAATAATAATAATAAATAATAAATGGTAAGATTTTATTCTTATTAGGGGTGGGAATCACCAGTGGCCCCACAATATGATATTATCACGATACTTGGGCGACGATAAGTTGTTATTGCGATATTCAACATTCTGCAATACAGCGAGTATTGCGATACAATATACAGTGATTTATGTGATTTTTTTCAAATGTTTAGCTAATTTAGCATTTGTGTTTCCTTTATGTTTTTCTTACTTACACAGTATTTTATTTTTATGTAGCACATCTTACAAACCTTTTATATATTTGTTGCACTGACTTCCTCCTGCCACCTCTGCCAACCTCACTGGACAAACAGTTGATTTTATTTTTTCTATTATCATAGATTTGACTTCATATTAGCAATTCATTTGAAATACTTGGTAAATGAGACAATACAATATATCACCAGACAAAATATCGCAATTCTATGCTGTATCATTTTTTTTATTCCACACCTAATTATTATCAGAGTAAAATTGTGCTTACTGCTTTAAGAAGCGTTAGCAAGGATTAAGTATGGCCCTGAGCTTCCAAATCGCAGCGCACAGATGAATTGAAGGTTTTTTTAAAGCCCTCAGAGTTGAAAGACTTTCACCGGGAGCATATTCTGATAAAAAAAAGATGCACAGTCTTAGTGACAGAGGAAGAGGGCTGTTCTTTCTTATGACTTTTGTTTTCATTAAAGAGCAGCCCTGAAAATGAAAGACGTGGAAGTTAAGGTGCCCCAGAAATATGTTTTCTTTATAGTCTATTTAACTAAGCTACAAATATGATATGAAAAAGACTCCAGTGCTGCTCCAGTGCCCATTCTGTGGACTAATAGAGGGTGGACCAGCTATTGTTTAACTAAAGTGGATCCCACTTAGTTAAAGTTGGGTATGTCTCTCTTGAGTTCCTGAGCTACAGATACAAGAGGTCTACATCTGAACACAGTCTGAAGACAGAAGTTCAGGGAGAAGAAAGTATATGAATTTCAAGCACTACTTTCTGACAACTATTTCATGACAAGATTCATGATCGGCCTCATGTGTTCATTTCTTCTCATCCAGTGCTGCTTTGATGCACAAAGGCATGCAGGCAAGCAGGACAGCCGGGTGTGCATACGTGTGTTTGCATGTGTGTGTGTTTTCTGCCTGTCTGGGTTTCAGGGAGCGTTGTGCGCAGCGATAAGAGGCCAGCAGGAAGCACATCACTACAGAGGAAGGAAAACCCCAGCAGAGGGGGAACCAGTGGAAAGGAGGCTGGAGAGACAGCGGTGGGCGGTGGAAGATTCATGAGCGGGAAGGAGGGCGGTTCTGGAGGAGCCGCTCCAGATTTGGTCAAGTCTCCTGGCCTGGCCTCATCAGGATGCAGATATGTGATAGCGTGGCTTGTAGCTACAAGTCCCCAGTGTGGATGCGGTCACTCCTGAGTCACAGCTCTCCAGGGCGGCGCTGAGATTATTGCATTTGTGTGTGTGTTTGAGCTGTACCTGTACTTAAAGCACAGATCAGGGGGCACTGAGGGTCACTGGCAGTGTCACCCACGCACACTCACCCGAGATCTCACACAATACGTAAAGCTTGATTGGTCCATCACACTCTTTACCTCTTCCCAGCAACCTCAGATGTTGCTGGGCTTCAGCACAAGGCCTCATGGGAAGCCATTGTGATTGTGCTCAGTGTTTTCGATATGGTCAATGGTGTCCCTCCTGGCTGAAAAATAACAACCCATAACCAAACGATTAGGGGGGGAAATGACGGCGTGTATTGCTTGCGTTTCCAATGTTAATCAGCCGGGGAGCGGCGGCCATTGTGATGCTATGGCTCAGCACCTGCGAGGGGGATTGAGAAGGTTTTTCTCCTGCAATTTATGGATTTTAAGATGCCAATTCTTTCAAGCTAAATGCTAGAGATAAACAGAAAGAGCCAGTAAGAGCGTTTTTTTCTGTCCCTGAGACCAAAAGCTACATTTGTCAATGTCCTCTAGGATCTGAGTGGAGTCAACGTGACTTGAGACACCGAAAAGAAACAGAAAGATTTCCGAGTACTCTGGTGTTCCCTAAATCAACAATCACAAACCAACCCACTCCTTTCTGAAGAAAAAAAAACTATAAAAATAATACAGGTGAATGTGAGTTTGTTTGTTTGTTTTGGAAAAGTAAGCCAAAGAACTAGATTAACCTGAAATGCAACTCGTACTTGTCCAGGCCTGTGAGCTACAAAATCATGCGAGGCAGCAAAACGCCAAATGGCAAAGTGACGTTTGAAGTGACCGACCCCCAGTGCCGAAAGCGGCAGAAGCAGAACTTTTCTGCGAGCGTCATCACTGCAGATTTCTGCACATCTCATCCCAATTTGGATTTGCCTTTAATGAAACCCGCTGGCGTTACAACTACCTGATGTGAGCGCTGCAAGACACAAGTAGAGAAGAGAGGGAGAGCAAAGAGAGGAGGAGAGGGTAGAAGTGCAAATCCCTTAACTGGATTTAGGTGCTCTTGCCACCAACAGTGGCCTGTTGGCGTTGTTAAAGCTCCACGCTGTGACATGGCTAATCTAAGGCCACGGGCTGTTCAGGACCGCAGACCTGTAGGAGCAGCTGGGGTCACATGATGCTGCAGCCGCTGATGGAGGCGTCAGCACCAGTGGTCATCCTTGATTACCCACACAGAGGCGATAATCTTGAGCCACCTGGCCAGAGGAGTGTCACCTCCTCCGCGTGCACACTTGACTTTGACTGAGTTGGTAAAGATCACGAGCCTTGATCTTGGTCTTTGAAAGACTTTCACTGCTAAAAGAGACATTTACCCCTTTGATAGTGTCAGTTTCTTTCTTTAAGGTTCTCCAAAAGTGCAGGGGAGCACACACTAACACCACAACAGACCCACTCTCTTTATTAATGCAAATAATTTAGTGTTTCAAGGCCCAAACTTCCTCAATGTAGGGCTCCTACAAAAGGCACTACAATATGACGACGGCAAAAGGACTGGATCTAAAATCCTACAATTATCTTCACATCTCACCACACTGAAAGGTTCTGGAGACAGGTGTGTCAGAAATACTCAGTCTCTTACCTGTTCTTGGTCTTTAGTCGGTCTTCCCAGACCTCTCTTCCCAAAGATACAGTTGAGGTCTGTTTCGGTGCGTGAGGACAGATCCTTACCTAAAGAGGCAAAAAAAAAAAATCCTCTCTTTAACACACACTATAAAATCTGATACATTAGATTTTGGTTTTATTGCTCTGGGAGGGGAGGAAAAGAAAATTAAATCAGCGGAAGTCTCATCAAAGAATTAGTAAATACACCGATGAGTGTTTTTTGCATATGTACTAAAGGAAACTAAAAAGTCAGATTTTTACACATCCACAAAATAAAATAACTCTGAAACTGAAATCTAAAGGTATTAAGTTTTAATGTGGGAACAGCCAAAAGCATGACTGTGTGTGTGTCTGTCAGAGTAAAAGACAAGGGGGGAGGGGGGTTAAAGTGTTTTTTTTTTTTTTTTGCATCTTGCTCCAGGGATAAAACGGCAAAGACAAATAAACCGATGAAAAGGTCTGCCACGCCCCGCCTCCGGATTCCCATTTTCAAGCCGGGCCTCAAAGACTCCTGAAGCACACAGCCGCCTGTCTCGAGCCCGGGTCCTGTTCGTACAGCTGCATCCTCTTCCTTCAGTGTGGCTCTGATAACATTTGGTTATTTATTGCTTTTAAACCTCTATCTCCTTATCTGCTTCTGGCTTTGAAAGTCGCTGCACAGGCAGGTCTAAGAAATAAACCAAGAAAGTATGTCCAAAACCTAAACAAATGAGGAGCCGGGGGGGTCTGGGGTGTTTGTCGTGAAGTGAACTTTAGGTCAGATGTAAAATTATGTCCAAACTGACCTTTCTGCTGTTTGGGAGAGGAAGTGGCTGTCAAAACTGGCAGGCCTTTCTATGTGAAAGTGCAGAAAACTGTGTTCTGATTTAAAAAAAAAAAAAAAAAAGGAGCTCAACATTTCTTTTCCCAAGAACATTTCAAGGTATCTGGGTTAGGGGGACTCAATTTTTTGAAGGGGTGGGAGAAAAGAAAATCGATACAGCATGGTATCGCGATATTTTGTCTGGTGATATATCGTATCATCTCATTTACCAAGTATCGATTTTTCTAATTAATTGCTGATATCAAGTCAAACTTATGACAATGGAAGAACAAAATCAACTGTTTGTCCAGTGAGGTTGGCAGAGGTGACATCATAGAGCAGGAGAAAGTTAGTACAACAAATATATATGCTGCATGAAAAAATAGATAAGACAAACATTAAGGAAAGACAAATGCTAAATTAGCTAAACAGTTGAAAAAAATTGTATAAATCGCATTATATTGTATCGCAATACTCATTGTACTGCAAAATGTTAAAAATCCCAATAATATCGTATCGTGGCCCAAGTATCGTGATAATATCGTATCGTGACCCAGGTATCATGATAATATCATATCCTGGCCAAAGTACCGTGATAATATCATATCGTGGCCCAAGTATCGAGATAATATCGTATTGTGGCTAAAGTATCGTGATAATATTGTATTCTGGGGCCACTGGTGATTCCCACCACTTAAATTCATCGTTTAAACATAAGATTAAAGCAAAAAAAAAAAAAAGAAAATTCAGCAGAAACTCAATGAAAATGAAACTGCCCTGGCCAATTTCAACCAACTTCAAGAAAGTAAGTGTCGGGAAGTCTTTTGCTCCTTCTCTACCTGCTTAAATGAAAACATTTCACCAGCATCGATAGGCGCCTGCATGCAAATTTCTTCAGAGCAGCTGTGCCACCGACAACAGTGCCAATTTACAGCAGGACAAGTTTGGGAGCAGACATCTTAAATACACACAACTAGATCAATATCAGCTAGAGATGAAATGAATTCTACAAATCAAAAACAGAGATTTAGTGACTTCAAAACTACTAAACAGACCTGAGTTTTTTCTGACAGCTAATGCAGCTCTGCTAATGCACGCTTTGATTCCAAGCTGGTTTTCCCAGAGCATGTGTGAAATGAGAACTGTGTACGGGTAAAAACAAGTAAAACCAGAACAACAGATATCCGAGACTCTATGGAGAAAAGCACAAATTTAAATAAATAAACGTCTAGCCTTTAGCGCTTTACTTTGATAAGATACAACAGTCTTTTCTTTAATTTTGTGCTTGAATGCTGAGATTTACTTTACCAAAGACAAACCAACCGCACAGAGCAGCTTACAGAGCTGCACTTAAATTCTGCATCAGCCACCCTCGCTGCTGTGACAGGTGATAGATGGAGGCAGCAATTAAAACTGGGTTACTGGTTTATGCTGTGGGCTCTGGACCTGAGCAGCGGAGATTTTGGTGCCTTTCCCCACAAACAAAGGCCATCAATCCTCAGCGCTGGCAGTGAGGGAGCCGGCGTGAACAGGATAGTGATTAAAAAAAAAAAAAAGAGGGGGAGTAAAGATGAGGAACTGAGATGGAGGGGGGCTGGGTGTTTAGATGGTGGCCACAAAAATAATTCTTGTTTAAATGATTAAACTCATCTTATATTCACGGGAATAAACCAATCAATGCTTAAGTTTGGGAACAGGGTATAACCTTTATATTAAGTCTCTCACACATGAACCGAAGTCTCTGGGGTTGAACTTTCTCTGCACTCTGCACTTCTAGAGTTATGAAAGTTGGACCTGACTTGTTCAACCTCTCCTGTAACCAGATTAGCAACACTAAATCTATTACCGGGCCTTAACTTGGCAACAGCTTCTCAGGGAGGAGAGCCTGCTCCCGAGCAGCCTGTGGCAGGCTGCAAACAGGCGTGGCAGGGTTACATGTTTCCAGCTAGCTCCTTGGTTGCTTATGTCAATCCAGACCACAAGCTGGGCGCACTGGAGCAAAGTCATCAGAAGGAGAAAATGAGAAATAATTGATCAAGTGTAGCTGACGCCACTTGGTGATCTTAAAGCTGATCATGTACTGATAAGAAACAGACAGCAGGCGGATCAGTCACTCACAAGTTTCTTGCCAAGTTTTGAGACCAACATGATGTGACAGCGTTGTTTCTGTCGCACGACAACGGCCCCTTTTAAGAGACAGGTTTCATGTTGCCAAAGACGTTTAAACCGACACATCAACCACCTTCACAGACAGCTGAACACTGCTCCAAGATTAAATTCCACTTCAAGGATCCCCACCGGCAAATCCCCTAAACTGCTCCTTTATCATCTCTGTCACTACCTGAAAAACTAAAAAGGTGCTCAGAGTCAGAAAGTGTCTGTCTCACGGTATATTAAAAGAATTATCAGCAGGTGCTGTCACCTTTCGGAGTGTCCCCTGACCTTTGAGCAGCTGGTGGTGATAATGAAAGAGATCTCTTCAAATGGATTAGAAACCTAAAAGTCCGGCCGGATCAGACCTGATTAGTTAGCGAGACACAAAGAAGGAAGGAGACTTTTGAGTTCACTGTCGGCGTACAGCATGTGTCTCAGGTTGGCGTGCATGGCTTCACATTTCAAACACAGACTTCAAAAACTGTCTTGAAATGCAAATACCATTAAAATTAACTTCAGTTGAGTGTCCGTGTCACTCTCTCGCCTCGGCGCTTGTTGGCTGCTTGAGTTCGGTATGTGTGTCACTAGGACTATAGGCAATTATATGACTGTGATAAATTTCAGTTCGATCACGGTGATCAGCTGTAAGCATATTTACTCGATCAAACATGGCAGAAATGTGCGCGACAACAGCCAATCAGAGTCGAGCTTTTCCTGCTCACTTCTGTAAGTTGCCGGAGAAATAAACAGAAGTAAACAGAATGACCAAACATGAAGCTAAACATGGAGCTGAGGTCAGCAAAATAGATGTCAGCCATGACTTTGAGACATCCTCCGAAGATGCCGTTGTTGAGAAGAAAAGTTACTCAAGGTCGGTTATGTGGCGGTGGTTCGGGTATCTCCAAACTGACGCCAAGCAATTAAGCCGATGTGTAAGGTATCTCAGCGATCAGTGCCCTCAAAAACAGGCATCACAATAGATCTATTCAATCGTTTAAAGAAGTTCTTCCCGAGTGATTATGCAGAAAGCATGAAAATGTGAGTGGAGTCTTCGCAGCCTGTCACTGCTGACGGCACAATTAGCATTAGCAGTTTAGCTACAACTAGTGGTGCAGCCACGAGACTAAAGCAGCAATCAATTATATCATCTACGTTTACATCATCTAATAATTACATTTTAAGTCGTCTTCATTATCCCTGAGGGGGACATTTGTTTATTTTGGGTCCTGCATACCTGCAGAAACACTCAGGACTGTTAAATAGTTCACTGTATTATTGAGTATATAAATATATATACATATGTTGTACTGTTGCGTTAAAATGGTTTTAATATTTTTCTACAAGTTTATCTGATTTAATTTGCTTTGTTATTTACTTTGTATATTAACAAAATGTTGAACTAATCTCTAGTTTCTTTAGTTTTTAGTACAGATGCTTTAAAACTGGCAATTTAAAAAAAATATTTAAAAAATTGTGATATTAATCAAGATCAGACGATATGACAAAATATATTGTGATCATTTTTTTTTTTTTTTTTTGCCAAATTGCCCAGTCCTATGTGTCACTACATGCCCTTATTGTCTGTGCACACAGGAAACCATAGTGACCAAATCCATAAATGTTCATACAGCAGTTATTGCAAAGAATAAATAAGAGGAGGAGGTTTCGGAGAAGATCAAATGTACAGCAGTGTGGGCAGAGGACGAGGGGCAGCCATACCGGAAATGTTGTAAATGCAGGAAAACCCTGAGCTTCCCAACGGACCAATCACAGGGCTACAGTCGGCATTGTTTTGATGCATAGTTACATTTTTTAGAGGGCACACCTCAGGCTGCATACGTAGGCTTCTGCACAAGTTCAAGGCCATGGGGACCTACAGCCTCTACGCTATGGGGTAGATTTGACAGAAAAGTAAAACCATGCTTCAAATGGAGTATGATATAAATCAGAAAAACTATGCAGACTTATAACCAAGACGCAACTGGGCCCAAAAGTTCTGCTGTTGGTTCAGGAAAGTATATAGACGTACAGAGGGCAGGAAGGAGGGCAGCTGTAGGAAAATGACACAGCCACAAGTCATCATCACTCCCCTACAGGCTATAGTTTGAGTGTTAAGTGTTTATTGTATGGTGCATCTCATCTATCAGTGCCTGTGTCTTTTTCTGGCTCCTGTCAATTTAAGATCACAAAAACAGGCTAAGAGGAGCTGGAAGAGAGACCCAGGCCACAGTTTATCAGGCGGGGTCATCTAATGGGTCGCACAGGCCCTGGGAGGTGTTGTTTTCTGGGGAGGGGGGTGAGCTGTAAATGGACATGCCAGATGCCCCAAACAGGAAAAAGGAAGTTGCTATTGAATGACGTAAAATGCAGAAGGCTCGTTCCAGGTGAGGTAAAAGTAAAGATATTTTGTTTTTTCCATGTTTGCGGACTTGATGAGGGGCACTTGAACCCAGAAACAAAAACAATCAGGGATTAATGACTTAAACATGTGAATAATTCATGAGCTTGCAATACCTTCTTCAAAAATGCAGAAGCCAAATAGCTGCAAAAATGCAAAACAAAGTAACGATCAGCTAGATGTAGCAACCCTGAAGCATGCAAATTCACATCCTGAACAACCTTGATTATTTATGATTACCTCTACAATCTTATCTACGGTTTGGGCCTTTAATCACTCAACTATGCTCCATCTAACTAAAGCATCAAAACATGGGCAAGTTGATTATTAATTTAAGTCTCCAGTGGGGCTGAACTCTAAAGTCCTCCTCTTGTCTATCAGTCCTCTGGCCTTGACTAGCAAATCTTGGTTTCCTGACGTGTAAAGGAGTAATGAAAAGTAGAGGCAAAAGTTATTAATAACTTTCCCGAGCACTGACCGGGCCAAGTGACCCAGCCATGTGACCCGGCACAGGGCCCAGAGACAGGCAGACAGACAGACCTCAGATCAGCATCTGTCTGCAAAATGAACACGGCTTAAAAGAGGCCGTTAGTCGGTCTGTTTGGATGAAATGAAAGGCTGGAAAATTCAAAGATAAGGGTGGCAGACTTGAGTTATTCTCACAATAAGTATTAAGATACATTTACACACATCTACTCTGGAACAGCGTCATAGAAAAAGGATGGTTGCATAGTCAGAGGTGGATCATACAGTCCACACTGCAGGAGGAGCTTTAGGGGTCAAATCAAGCAGCAATGATCAGAGGATATGTCTAGGATTAGAGCTGTATGAAACTGACTTTAAAGGTTTATTTATTACACAGAACTGCTTAGAAGAATGTATGTAATTGTATTTGACACATATTAATGTTGACGTAATTTGAAAATTTTCAAGTCATACTGTTACTTCTTGTCCTTTCCAACGTCAAACCATTCAGCAACTACAAGTCACATGTTCTCCCTTCATGTCTTTAGTGACATGTCCGCTAAATGTGGTGTTTTTTTTTCATTTCTGTGTGAAAAACTGGAAAATAAATGTTTTTGAAGTTTGCACATTTGTAACCGCGATGGTCCCAGTTAAGTTATCCGATCTTTGTTCTGCTGTAAAAACAAAACTGTTTACTGCAGAAAAATGAACCCACCTTTGGTAAACTTCATGTAGTGGACCCTCTTTTTGGATGTTTTGGATTTTGCTTCCAGGCTGAATCCTTGCTGCTCTCCTGCTGGAGGTTCTATGATGATGATACAGAAACCATAACAACTTGAAAACACCTTCTCAAAAATCACATTTACACAATGAAACACTATCAATGCCCCTTTTTACATACTCTTATACAAACCAATGATAATGACAGAGTCCATTGGAGTACGGTGATTGTATCTAAATGTTGCAGTGCAGCGCCCTCTACTGACCAACAGATGGGCCAACTAACCAGGAAGGGCTACCAAAGCGCAGAGTGTGGCAGTAAAATACCAAGACCTTTTTTGTTTGTTTTAGCTTCATATATATAAAAAAAAGAATAATGTCTATGTCATATATAGGGAACAACTACTCTGTTGTAATGCTGTATAGAACACAGTACCGCTGAATAAACCTTCCCCCTGTTTGAGAAAAATGCAACAGACACACTCAACAAACAAAAATACTGGTGCTCATACCTGTGCTGTTGTTTTGACCGTGGCAGTTGTTCAGCTGAGCGAGAAGTTCATTGAAATCATCTTGATGGGCGATCCAGTTATCCTGTCAACACAACAGAACCAAATTAAAAGGACACCACAGTCAACAATGACGTCTTTTTCAGTAGTGGTGGAGAGTGATCCACCTAAAATTGCAAGACTGTCCAACTGGTTAATCAGACGATAGTGACAAGACTAGTCTAGAGCTGCTTTTGTATTTTCAGACTGAACCCTGCAACTGAGTAATATTGGTGTCCTGGTGTGTGATTTCACATTGTAAGATCACACAGTCACACACACAAAGACAGACCATGCCGTTCCGCCCTAATTGCATCTCAGTCTTCCTACAACAGCACACACCATGTCTCCATAAGGTGTAACAAAGGCATAAACGTACAGCTTTGAACTTGAACACTAAGGAACTTTTAGTCAACAAAGGCCTCACTGGTCAGTTAGTTCCAGTTAAATGACAGTAGTCAGCAGGTTTAGGTTCAAATACATTTATCCATTGCTTACAGGTTTGGGTCCAGAGGGCAGCAGATGTTACTGGACCCTGGCCAGCTGAGGTATAAAATCCTTCCAGGAAGCTTTGGGTCTACATGGAAGCCTTGCACCTGAGGCACCTCTAAAGGGTAGCATCCTTGTCACATAACTAAACTAACTCCACTCCTATTAATGGCAAAGGAGCAGCTCCTAAACATAATGCCAACAACATAACAAAACCCCCTCCAAAACAGACTGCCTCCCATGAATCCGTGCAATTTATAAATTGGATTTCATGGTAAATACACAAACGTCCCTGTGTGTCCAAAATAACTAATTCTCCATTTACATTTTCCCCCACATCTTCTATTATATGTTCAAGGTTTCACAAGTCCTTACCTCATAGCTGGCAGTGGTTCCCAGGCCATAGTTGTTGTTTTTGACCTTGACTTTGATGTGGTCAGTGGAGCCCTGCTCACTTCTGCCGAGGCCCTTCACATAAAAACAGCAAAAAATATGACACATCAACTCATTTAACCAGGGATTCAGGACCGCTGACCGAATCTGGGACAGCAGAAATGCATCACAACACTAACCTTCCCCTTGGACCAGCCCATTCGCTCCAGCATCTTCTGGCCGAACTTGGAGTCATCGTTACTCCAGGCACTGTTTCTGGGGTCGACCGACCACTTCTGCTTCCTCCGAGCTGTATGGAGAGCAGAATTAAAGTGACTTTTTCTGAACCATTGTGTGAGGACTGGAAACCAAAAATAAAGAAAATTAACCTCTTACATGCCCAGGAGTTCATTTTTTAATTGCAACAGTATCTACAAAAACAGCAACTACCCTTTTTTCTGAACTGGTATTGTATTAAAGGGATATTCTGGCGTAAAATGAAATTAGGGTCAAACACACTGAAGCACCGAGTTAGACACCCCGCTGAGTGATGATTGTTGCCGGCCGCTTGCTTCTCTAGTTATACTAACTTTAGTAATGACCGCACATAGCAATACAGAGAGCCACGCGCTCAACCAAAAAGCCACTCTATAGCCACAAATAATGCTCAGAACAGCACCTAACTTCATCAACAGGACATACAGGGTCCCAGCCATAGTACTAGCCACCAAACATCTTTTTAGCTTTGCCTGATTTCTTTAGCAAAGAGACCAAACATAACTTACTTACTCTCTTCCAGCAGCCGCTTGTTTGTAGCGAGACCTTGGGCCAGTCCATTACGGACTGCAGCTCAAGGAAGAACATTTATTATCATTTCTTCATGGAAATGCAATCAGACCGAGACGCTAAGGCAGAAGAACTACCGCGTCTGCAGTGCAAAATGATTAATATGGTGATTATTACTTCATGGAAATGATTAAGTAATAATCATACATGTTCTTCATTGAGCTGCATCACCCCGCTGTAGTCCGTAATGGACTGGCCCGACTGGACTGGTCTCACTACAACCAAGTGGCTGCTTGAAGAGAATAGGTCAGTTATGTTTGGTGACGGTCTCTTTGCTAAAGAAATTAGGCAAGACTAAAAAGATGTTTGATGGCTAGTACTATGGCTGGGACCCTATATGTACTGCTGATGAAGTTAGGTGCTGTTCTGAGCATTATTTGTGGCTATAGAGTGGCTTTTTGGTTGAGGTTTGTTTATGGCTCCTCAAATCCCTGAGTATTGCTGTCATGCGGTCGTCAAAGTTGGTAACTAGAACAGCAAGTGGTAAGAAACATTCATCTCTCGACGGGTTGTCTAACTCTGTGCTACAGTGTGGTTGACCCTAACTTAATTTTACGCTGGAATATCCCTTTAAGTGAGGGCTGGAAACCAGAAATAATTTTTAAAAAAGCCCTTTTGGGTGCCCTGGAGTTTATTTTTAATTGCAATGGTATCTACAAAAACAGCAACTACCCTTTTTTTCTGAACTGGTATTGTATCAACATGAAAAAATTGTATCGTAAAAGCTCTTATGGGAAGTCTCAGTATTTGTATCTGTCTTTTAACACACACACACACATATATATATATATATATATATATATATATATATATATATATATATATATAACAAATGAATTGTTTTACCAGCCCCGATGTTCTGATGCCACCCTCAGGTACACAATAATAACTGCAGATGGGCTGGCAGATTAATAAGCCCCGAATCAACGATTTACACTTTTGTAAAGGATAACAAAACTTCACTCCACTTGAAAAACAAATCGACTATGAAATCAAGTACTGATCATCAAACTAGAGTAATTCAATGAGACTAAACAAACAATGTCATGATTGAGGTAATAACATTACAGGTCAGTGCTTGATCACTGTGACCTGCTCAACTTTTTTTATAAATGTAAACGTGAACAGAAGTCAAATAAACTGGTAAAGCAGAAATTGTTATTTTTTTACGGTTAATGATAAAAATGTCACTGCTGTCAACATTAGCAGAGACTAAGTTTGACACCACACCCAGGCCCCATTGCCTCCAATCTTACAAAAACGTTGTATTAAACAGACTGCACACTGATAGAAATACTTATTTTGTCTGAGACTTAAGAGAAAGCGGCTAAGGAGAATTAAAAGACAGGGACACGTGTTTACAAGCTGCCGGGGCTAATGACAGCACTGTGGCTAGCTGAGCAAAACCTTCAAAATACATGAAAGACGGAATACTTTCCAGAAAAGGTCTCATACAGATGATCAAAGCGTTTCTTTATGAACGCAAAATATTAAAAACATGTTTCAGCACTGACCCAGAGCATGAAATAAAGCTAAATTATTCGAAATATATTCACTTACGCTCAGCAAGCATGGACATCCTGGGGTCCTTGTGAAGCTTGACGAAGGCTGAGTGGGTTGACCAAAATAATGCCTGATAGCAATATGTTCCCGCATTGTTTTTTCATCGTAAATAAACTAAGCAGCACAAAAAAAATTAATGTGTGCAGTAGATTATTATTATTATTTTTTGTTTTAACAATGGTTCTTGGCAATAAATAGTATACTGTTGGAAAAGTCGATTTATTTCCCCTTCAAATGGCATTTGTGGGATGAGCAGAGTATGTGGGTTGCGCCCATAGACTGTATATACAATATACTTCTACAGTAATTAAAATATTGTAAAATATAAACAATATTTTATTTTCTTTTATAACGTGAATTATGTCGAAAGATACGTTAACTTTAATTAATATTTTTATCATTTAGTATTACTTTCATTATCATTGCGTGAAGATCAAATTGCACATGTTGCAATATAGCCACGTGATATGCAGTAACAGTCTAATTTTACTATTAGATTAGAACCTTTACTAACTTTATTTTGAGTTTGATGATGGCTGAAAGTGATAATAATTGCCAGTAGGGGGTGCCCTGGTCACAAAGGCAAAGCTTAAAACATGGCCTGTGTCCTGGGGTCACTAAAGTTCGGTGAACCTAGGACTGCAGCCTGACTGCTCTGGCTTTGATATGATCTGATCCCGATATAGCAATGATAGAGCTATGGAAAGTAAATAAAAATATATCTAAAAAAAATGTTAAAAAAGTTTTTTCTCTTAATTGATTTTACTGGATTCGAATTCATCCTTCTTGTGTGGAAATAAACATCCAGTGGCCACTAAAAGTTAGTAAGTTTGAAACACACTTTTGAAGAAACATCATGTACCTAAAACAAAATGGTAAATAGACTGTATACATAGTGTTTCCCTCTAGCCATTCAAAGTGTATTTATATTACATATTGCATTCACCTATTCATGTATCGCTTACATGCTGATACAGAGGGTGCAATATAAAGCACTCATGAGTATCAACATATCCCATTCCCATTCACACACAGCTGGAAGCCATTCAATCTTAAACTATCTTTACTTCTATAGCACTAATTCCCAGCACTGGTTTAGAGACCATACTCTACCACTGGGGGCAGTTTGGGGTCAAGTGTCTTGTCCAAGAACAATTCAGCATGTGGACAGCAGGACCTGGGATTGAACCCCCAACCTCCCACCTGAGATATGTCAACTCTACCAGTGAGCCACAGCTGCCCAAATAACCCAAAGAAGAGGGCAGTGACAGGTGGCGTTGTAGTGAAGTGATTAGCACTGTAGCCTCCCAGCAGGCTGGATTTGCCTTTAAATCCAAGCTACAGGGTTCCTGTGTAAAGCAAATTTGTTCTGTCTCCATGCCATAAGAGTGTGGACAACACTTTTCATGATAACAAATAAAGTGGAAACCTAACAAACCCAAACAAGCAGGCACCGAAAGGCAGCATGCAGGCCCCCTCCACCTTTCCTTTTTCTATTACCACTAGATCTGAGGAACTCTCCTGATTCATGACTTTTCAAGGACAGATCTGGGTTTGAATCCCAGTCGGTGCTTTCTGGAGAGAAGCCAGATGTTCTGGCTACCTACCACTGAACTGTAGACAACACTTTTGATTTACCATGAGGCAAAGACAGCTAAATACGCCTGAATAATCAACCGCTGACTGTACATTCGGGCAGTGCACCACTGCCTCACAGCGAGATGGATCAGGATTTGAGGACCAACTGAGATCTTCTTTTGTGACTGAAAGGTGTTTCATTCATTAACAACTGAGTGGACCATGCTTTTGAGATCACTGCATTGTGAGGAAAACTGCATAACCTTGTACAAGTAAACGGCAGTAAGCCACAGGTTAGTGGCACCTTATTCCATTGGTTTGCACTGTTGCCGCTCAAAGCTGTATCAGGCTTTGAATCCTTGCCAGTGCTTTTCTGAATGTTCTGGCTCCCATACTGCTGGAGTGTGGATCGTGCTTTTGAACTACAACAATGTTGTGGAAACCACAGAAACCCAGAAAAGGAAGCACTGAAAAGTAGTGCTGTGGTGTAGTGGGTAGGACTTAAATAATGGTGCTCTGGCATCAATCACTTTGCTCCAAAGCCTGTGGTCCTTTTCTGGAGCAGACCAAACCATTTATGCCTGTGACAACAGAGGCGCCTCAGGGAGAGAATCCACAGTAAAGAGTTCACAGATCTGGAATCTTTTATCCATGCAATGTAAAGTATGACAGTTATAACTCAATGGAAAAAAAGGCCTTCCAAAAGAAAAGCGCTGTCATAAGTGATCATAAACATCCCTATGAAATGCAGAGAATCATGTCATTGTCTTCCATAAACTAAAACCTCTAATCCAAAGCTTAAAAGCAGCAGCTTTAGCCACAAAAAGCAAACAACTGCAGCTGAAATTGGACAAAGTGGATCCAGGTGGATGTTGGAGATCTGTCATGTAACGTAATACAACAAGAAAACACACTAACCTAAAAACGCCCAATAACCAAACAGGAACAGAAAGCTGAGGGGTTTGATCTCTGTCAGCTGGCTGTATCTAAATGATTGAAAAGTATAAAACGGTTTTAATGCCACACCCCTGGATGTGTATTATTAGAGTTTGTTTTGCAATTGGAAGACTTTATGTCCTTGGGTTGCATATGTGTTATAAAAGATTTCCAGGAACATTAGCCAGCACTATCAAAAGGAAAAAAAAACACAGACTTGATACAACTGTGAAATCACAATTTCTTCTGTTACCAAGGCCAGAGAATGCTGAAAATGACACTGAGTGATCCAGAAACATGTTTGGAGAAAAAACAAAATGTCAGATCAGGCTCTGGATTTAAAAAAGCAAAAACTTTTATACTCTTAAGATAAATTAGGATAGAATTAATGTCAAGTGGCCTAAATGAAAAATAAAAAACATTAGGAGGGATAAAGTACTGGACTTATTGTGTATACTTTTCTCATCTTAGTCTGTGTCTACACAACCAAATCAGCACTGGTTAAATTTAAGCCTTTTATTCCATCTGTCTATCCTTTTCTTTAAATCCATTAGAAATTTTTGTCCAGGCCTTACATAAACCACATTATTTTTCTGTTTTGCTTTACAGAGCTCTCATAATTGACACCCCTCTTTCCCCACCAGCACAGACTGAATATAGAAACCACTGCCAGATTAACTCCTTGAACTCTCACTGTTAGCTGGGTGTTAACATGCACTGTATTAGCAAAGACCCTGAAGCCCTTTTACTGAGCCCCACTGTCTGAAATGCACATCTATGCAGCAGCAGGATTGAAGAGAACTGCTGCTCAACATTCTGATAACACTAAATTTCTTCTGATGTCGAAACTGAGTTGTGCAAAATCCTAATCTGGCCCCAAATCTGTCGTTAAAGACATCACCTCAAAGCAGGGGATTAGGTGGACATTGCATAACAGTGTCAGGAGCTTGGGAGGGATCAGTGTCAGAGCGTATTGTCAGACACAACGTCCCAGAAAAGACGCTGACAAAAGAGGTCATGATATTCTGTGGGATCAGCTCATTGAATGTCTCACTAATAAGCGCTTTTTTTATTTTAGAGTCATTACAGCCTGATTTAAAATGCTGCAGTATGTTCAGGTCAGAGGTTCAAACGTCAGGAAAAATCAATGACTTCACAGTAATTGAATCCTAAAGCTCGTAAATTTGACCCAGATTGATTTTCTTGTTTCTTCAACTAGAAAAGATAAAACTCTCCCTGTTGGGATCTGAGGATTAATGAAAGGTCATGTTAGGACTTTTCAGCTGGTTATGAAACAGGCTGAAATAAAACCTGATGCAACTATAACACCTTACAAAGAAAAGTAGACCCGAATCGACAAGACAGATTTTTTTCTACATCATTATTTTAATTACTCAAGTGAAAAAAATTAATAATTTATTGCGCCAGTCTGACTGGAACTGGACTTTTAAAAAACACATGAACACGACTGAAATCACACTTCACTGAACTTCTCATAGTCGGTCTAACGTATCCGGACAATGTGATTGGGTATCATTTTTCTCTGTTATGTATACGGCTCAATCCAACTCAAACCAGCCTAAGCATTCTGCACCTGCTCCAGTGTTCATATGGCGGCCTCTGAGCTAAGGGTTGAATAGCATGGATGTGTTGCTAGGAAGCTGGATAGTAAACATTGGTGATATACCAGCTTTTTTTGTACAGAATAACTGCTGGGTAAAAATGTGAATTAAGTTGTTGATAACATGATAACACGATGCCTTTTTATTAGTTCAAAATGTCAACTACTAAACGATAACAACACTCGGAGACAGACCAAAGGGGAAGTTACCTTTTTCAGTGATTGTGAGAACTCTTTTCACGATAAGAAAACAATATACAGTAAATCTGCATATTTCCCTTAAGGCTGCAAGGTGGGAGGAGGGTGGTAGTGTTGGGGTCAGGGGCCTTATTTCCATGGCAACAGGACTCCCTGTGGAACAACAGCTGCAAGACAGAGTGTTATGGCGTTTTTGGAGCGCTGCCCAGCCCCCCTAACCTTGTGCCGCCCACTCCCCCGGCCCTCTTTATGTCTTGTCCCTTACTTTCTGCCCTGGTACAACGTAAGCTGCCCGCTGCACACCATGTGAATCTTGTTGCAGGATGACGAACAAAACACTGAGGCCCAGGCCGTCAAAGGGTGCACCCTGATTGGCTGGTGGGAGGCGGGACCGCGAGAGTGGGAGCACACCCAGGGGGACTTCTTACATAAGCCGAAAGGTCTCCCTTACTAGAAAGAGAAAATGAGGTGGGGGTGAAATGAAGTGGGCTCTATTTCACAGGCCTTTTTGTTTCATCTCTCTTCTTGGAAAGCTTTGACTGTCTGGAACATTCATGGATAGAAATGCAAACACAACCTGTATGTGGGAATATTTTGGCTCTGAAACCCATCAACTTAAAAGTTTTGAATATGCTTGCACGTATGCTGTAAACCCTAAAGGCCACGTGTTGACATTAGTGTACAGAAGGGTGCTCTGTTCTGTAGGACCATCTCAGATTACAGCCAAATCTCAGCAGAAAGACTCTGTTTGTGAAAAAACAGAAATTGGGCTTCGGGTCACAAATATATACAGGAATGCAATGTATTTACAGAAGCACTTTTTCCTAGCCTACAGGAGACTCAAAGAGCTTTTTTGTATTACATGTCACATCCACCAGTATTAGTAAGAAAGAAAACACAAAGATGGAAAGTGTTAAGAGTATCACCATATAAAATCCAATCAGAGGTCATTTTTCAAAGCAACACTAAGACAAATATAAACCCTGTAGTGTTTCACTGTTCAGCTCTGAACTCTATCAAGAGAGACAGCTGCATAAAGGGTCATTTTTTTAACCCCATTTTTATCCAGGTTTTTATCCCACAAGCCCCCAGGCAAGATAGTGGAGTGATTAGGCTTGTATCATGTGACTGAGGGTCACGAGTCATATATTGTTGATTGTTTTGATATGCAATAAATAAGCAGGAGAGGATGCTACAGTAACGAGCTGAATGGAGGCATGTTGCCACTCACTGGACAGTAGTCCAGTTAAACTGCCTAGCCGAGCTTGACTTGATTGTGAATTTAAAACACACTGACTGACAACACAAGTGTTGTTTTGACATCATTTACATCCTGTTAAGACCCCCTTCACCACCAGGAGCTTGAAAGAAACAGAAAGCTGTGTTTTATCCTAGTTAGCCTACATAAAAAGTCCAACAGGGTCAATTTAGGTGACGAGATAACATTGTTTTGCCGTCTTCTCTTAAACAAGCTCCAAAGTATGAAAACAAAGATAACTTCTATTTGTAGAAGTTCTGCTCAGTGCAATAACAGGGTGAAAGTATTCCCTAGCTGTGTGGTGAAAGCAGTGCGTGAGAAGTGGATTTCAGTCTCTGGAGCTTTGTTTGGATTTGGTTAAAGAGAAAATGATTATTTTTCTTTCCAGCTTGACTGAAGACCTGCACTGACACACATTCACAGATGATATTTCAAGATAAAAGCCTACATAAGTCTGATCTGCTTGTGCATGGGAGTGAACTGAACATGCACCTCATGTTGCATAACGGAGGCTGAATGAAAGGAGTCTGTGGGTGCAGTCAGGCAGTGTGTCTGCCCTCTGTGCTCTACTCCTCTGTGCAGCACAGCCACTGCAAAACAAAACCAAACAAGGTTACCCGGAACAGCTGAAATCACTGACACAGAGAAATTGAAGAAAGGCCATCGAGGCATGCGGTGAAGGACACTGCTGTCGTCAGGGTTACACTTTATGACCTCATCAGCTGCAGTTTGGTGCATTTATCGATGTGCTGAGGAGGATTTTTTACACAATAGCTTCAATTTAGTTGATTTGACAGGAAATGGGAAAAAAAATGAACCTAGGGTTTCAAAAGGCAGTCTTGCTATGGCCTGTGTTTATGAATGTTTTTTTTTTAGCTTAGGAAGTGCCTATACAGCGGCTGGGAGGGAGGACTATGTTATAAGGTGTGGGGTCCATTCCCAGCTCAATTGCAAGATATGTAAGGATTTCACCATCTACCTTCATTTAATTAGATGCAAGTACATGATTGGTATAGTATGTAGACTTCATTGGGTGTTTGGTTTGGTTTGGTTTTGTGGATTTATGTTTTGTGTTGTAGGTCTGGCTTTTTTGTACATTGTTGCTGGACTGCATTTATTTTTTGTTGTCATTGTTGCCGTTTGTAAAAGGGAAAAAAAGAGACTGGGCATAAATTGATAAATGCACATATATTGTTTCTCCCTTAAAAAAAAGCTTAGGAAGTGCCAGTTTTCTATCAAAAATAAAGGTAATCCAGTAATTTTAGCATTAAAAGACAAAAAAAATACATAAAAAAAAAGAAAAAAAGAAAGCATCCTCAGCTGAATGAAAAAAGGACAAATTTATGTCACTTTCACCTCACTGACCGATTGAATTCAAGTAGGGCAGGGACTTTTGATATCAGCTTTGTTGACAACGATAACAGAGGTCTGTCCAGAGAAGAAATTACCTACACTTGCTTCTCAGTGTTTCTGGGTCTAGAGCTGCTGTCAAGTCTGGGACAGAGTTCCTATGATTCTTTTTTTTTTTGTAAAATTCTACTAAGTTTAGGCAAATATGAAGCATTCAAAGCAGGCAAATCCATCATACGTTAGCAGTGTGGCTAATAAGAAGGGGTCTTGGGCTGCTGGAAGTCTCTCCATTTTGGCAGGCTGTTTTAAACAAAATGGTTGGTGTTTTTTTTTTTTTCTTCTCATTAAAGACTAAGACTTTAAAGACTATAAGACTGAACAACTGCATTAATTGATGTGAAAGATAAATCATTCTTCTGCATGCTGTTGTCTGTTACAATTTCTGATAATACGCTACTATTAATCTGATTGGTTGTAGGTAGTGTAATGGCTTTCCATGCGGCTGTTGCTAATGCCTCCTGGAAAATGAAGTGGATAAAATGGTCCCAGGATTTGAATAACCCACATTTTCCCTCACATCCCACAGACATATCAAATCTCTATTTACAGACTTTATATAAAGGCAGAGCTTCAAGTAACAGTTATTTCATTCACTAGCTCTCCAGCAGGCCCTGGCAGGACACATGTAAACAGTCAATGAGAGCAAAAGAGGAAGAACACAGTCTGATGCAAATCACTGGAACCCACATGCACTCATATAATGGCCAGTGAGCTTTAACTAAAGGGCAAAACACATAGCCTGTATGCAAATGTAGCCAAAACTCCTCCCTGAAGTGTCTTTAAAGACTCTGACTACATCTTTGCTTCCTCTATTCCTAGTGGCGCTGTAACCAATGGAAACACAAGGGAGAGCAAGTTATGTCTGAGTGCTTTATCATTGACCACAGGTCACCCCAGAAGCCCTGAGAAGTTGGCTGTCAATCCCCGAGCTATCCATGGTCATCTGACCTTTACGTTATATAATGTAACCTATACACATACAAAAAAACACAGTCTGCACATTCTGGGAGGGGATTTCAACTTCAGGAGCTTTTCATTTCACCATCTTTAGTGGTAGCAAAAAGCAAAAGAATACATTTAACTTCTGAGAACAGTAAGGGTACAAAACACTGTTGACATACCGATGAAGATGAGTAAAGCTGGGCTGGTAAATAAGTTTGACAGATGGTTCTTTAATCTAAACATAACCCCCCCCACACACACACACACACACACACTTGGTTACAGTTACATATGCTATGTGTTGTATTTGGTTCGACTCCATTCAAGTTATTAGTAGATGTAACAACATGTTTATCCCGCTGATAGCAAAAACTCAAGCCTTCACATGTTGAGCTACGATTGAACTTTTCTTTATACTTGGTATTTTCATCTAAGATAAGACTAGTTTCAGCATGTTGGGAATGTCGTGTCAACTTCTTTTCACTCTTGGCCTCTTTTTTTTCTAGTACACCCCAAATATTGACATCATCAGTACTCCTCAATGTATAATGACTCATCATATTTGCATTGTGATTATGCTGTGGATAAAAGTATAACACAAAACTGTTTGGCATCTGCTTCCAGTCACTTCATATGATATGATTCCCTTTAAAAACCTGATACTGTTGTAGTTCAAACAGGGATCCATGCGCTAAGGGGGTGAGGAACTCACAGTTGGGGTGTAAGGACATTTTGTACCCATATGTTTACCGTGGCATTTCTCCACCACCCTGTTAGGGAGAACAGAGTTAACATTGTGCTAAGTTTGCTTTATGAGACAGTGAAGAGATTGGTGTGCCTCTTAATGTGAAAGTGTTGAATGAGAGAAAAAAAAAAAAAACATGCAGCGGTATTTGGAAAACTGCTTTTATTGTCAAAGCTCATTGTGTGATTGAAGGAACAGACAGATCCTGCCAAGACATTCACATAGAAACTTCTTCCAGCTTTTCTTTTACAAAACGCTGAAATACAGAAAGAAACCACCACGTGGCCGAATGGAAGTGTGGCATACAGTGTCACATTTTCCTTTGTGTCAAAAACTCCCCATAACTGATGAAAAACAAATAAAATATCATCAAAGTGGACAGGAACACTTAGAAAACAAAGAGTGTTAAGAAATGCCTTCACTTGCTGAAGCACCCACATGTTTAACACCGACAGACAGAATAAATAACGAAACGTGGAATAAACAGAAGAACAATTCTCATGAATTATCGCTCTGTGCTGCTCGAACAATACAGATATACTGTATCAGAAACCGCCCCTGCAGATGATTCGGCCCATTTATTTTCATTTCATGATAAAATGTGTCTAAAGTGCATCAAAGGACACATAATGTGTAATTGAACACTCCTCTAGCCAAAGAAACTTGATTTTTGCCTAGATTTTTTTAAGGCCCTGAAAACCTGAATCATGAAAATCCTCCAAAATTCTGATAAAAAAACAAAACCTTGCCAGATCTTCAAAGAGAAAAAAAGGTAGATACACTCAGTGACATAATGCAACATTCTTAGTTGGCCAATTTATGCCAAAAAAAAAAAAAAAAACATTGCAAAATTTTGCGTAGTTCATCATGCAAGTCATCCATATCCATATAAACAAGTTCTCACAGGCCATGTTGTAATACCTGATTCTGCTGACAACCTTTCATAAGTCTTACCAAACTAAAAGGAAAAGCAGGGGGGGGAAGGACAGGAGCGGGAGGATTGTCTAGCCCGCACTGACCTTGTACATTCTGGAGACAGGGAAGCCTTGTGCCAGGCAAGCACAGCCCTTCTGAATCGACAGAGAAGTGAGAGAACGACTATGTACAGACCAGGTTTCTCTATTCTCTTTGGTCAGTCTTTACATTATGTACAAAGAATACTAAGCAAACAACACTGTGGATGCTGTGCAGCCTCAGTTAGCGCGAGCCATTAGTGACTCTGAACACAAGAAGTTGAGCATTGTCTGGATGAGCTCTGGCAGGTCGTAGTCGTGCTTCCAGCCCCAGTCGTTCCGGGCGTTGGAGTCGTCGAAGTTCATTGGCCAACTGTCAGCTGGAAACAGATAAGAGGGACCAGGGTTAGGGTTGAAATAAAGTCATGCTGGTTTTGATTCAGACCCTCTTGATAATTGTGCTCCCCGTAGGAGGCTAACAAGGCTGGTTTTACAAGCTAAATCAGACTCTCTACATTAAAGCCTGACCTTAAAAGTTTTCAGAGAAGGGGGTAAAGGTAAACCTACTTCCGCAATATTTAACACACTTTGACACACTATAACTTTATTTGGTCTTAAAGTTCATGAAGGCCATTCTTGACCAAATAAAACTAGATACTTTTATTTTGAATGAGTAGCTAAATAGTTTTGCTTATGGTCTAGTTTGCTTTTACAGTACACAAAGATGCATCATCATTAATTTTGGCTCATTTCTTGAACTCCTTAAAGCCCTCACAAGAGCTTTAAATTCGGACTTACCGATAGCCTGTCGTACGTGGTCAATGTCATATGTGACCTCCAGCTCAGGCATCTGTTTCTGCAGTTCTTGTGCCAGCTCCTCAGGGGTGAAGCTCATGGCATTGATGTTGTAGGTCCTCATGCTCAGTGAGTCAGCAGGAGCCTCCATCACTTCCAGTGTAGCGCGCAGACAGTCGTCGATGTACATCATGGGCAGCCGCGTGTCGGGTCTCAAGTTGCATTCAAACTTGCCTGTTTTGAGTGCATCATGGAAAATCTGGACGGCATAGTCTGGTTGGAAACAAACAAAAAAAAAACATAATGAAGAAATGATCCTAAAGAAACTGCTGATTCATTATGAAGAATCTAGTTCAGGTGCATAAATGCAGAAGTTATGGCTTCTGAAATAATATTCAAACTATTACAAAACACTGATAACAGTTTCAGGTGTTGGAACTGTTCAGACATGTGAAAATATAGAGATGGCACACCAAGCTATCAGTCAGCCTAAAAATAAAGCCAAGTCATATCACCTCTGTTAGATAAGTCAGTTATGCAAGTAGTTGTGACATTACTGCTTCAGTGCAGGAATAGACCATTTAAACTGAGACCATGTATACAGTTTCAATTTCATCCCTCTCACCTGTCGTGCCACCTCCGGGCATGGAGTCAGCAGAGATGATTCCTGGGTAGCGGAGACAGCGGAAGTCCAGGCCGTAACGATGGTGGTAGTACTGAGTAGGAACAAAAACAAAGTTTAGTTTCAAGTCATGCTTTGAGAAGATACAAGGATCAGAGTAAAAAGAGTGCATGGTTCAGGCAAAATAGAGTTTACCTCTCCCATGAGTTCAGCGTGCACTTTGGAGACGCCATAGATGGTGCGAGGTCTCTGTACGCACAGATCTGGTGTTGGGTTGCGGGGAGAAGTCGGCCCAAAGGCGCCGATGGTGCTGGGGACAAACAGACGCAGGCCGTGCTCAGCTGCGATGTCCAAGATGTTGTGAAGGCCTAAAAAAACAAAAAACAAACCCACAATGTTGAGACGCCACATTCTTGTCACTGTCCTGATTGGACACTGAAGATTGAGATCGAGTTACTTACCGGTGATGTTAACAGAACGAGCCAGGGCTACGTTAGCCTCTCCAACAGCGCTGAGGAGGGCGCTGTAGTGAACCAGCCAAGTGATGCGGTTGTTCACAACGATTTCCCGCAGGTTCTTGTAGTCCAGGATGTCTGAGTAGATGAAAGGGCCTGGAAGAAAAAAAAATGGATTGAAGACTTTGTGGAGGAGCTTTTTATCACTTTGGTAAGTGCTTGTCTATCCTGCTCTGTCTCTTTGCTCTCTCTCCAGCTCCTGATTTGTGTTTTTCCTGTTCATCCTTAGCATGTCCTTGGTTTAAAGGGTCAGTTTATTACTGTTGACAGGTCAGAGACAGTAAGAGCTGCATTCATCACAGCTCTGGACAAAGTCCCCATGTGTCAAATATTGATTGTGGGTCATTGACAAACATCCCTTTTGCGTAAAAGTGTGACTTTCTATTGATCGTGAGGAACAAAAAATCAATTTCACAAACAGACTTGTTGGACAGGCCGTTTTTGGCAGTCAAGTAACAAGCCACCTGTTGTTGCAGGTTACTTGTTAGTCATTGCTACGATCACCAGATGAATCAACATTTTTGATGTTATGAAACTCAGTCTGGACAAATATGACGACAATTATACGTCAATACATGGCTCCCTATTTGAACTCATCCTTTTACTGGTTTTGACCATGTTATGATTACTGGATTAAATAAGACAAATTAAATGTGAGCCACAAAGCAATCATCACTCGCTTAATAAGTCTTGAGCTGGTCTGGATCAATGATTGTGTAAATCAAAGCTGAAGTCTAAATAATGTCACCCATTGGTTTCTAGAGAAGGCGTAACAAAGTCAAAAGATAACAGCAACTTAGCCAGAGGCAAAAAGGTGGAGCAAAGGGAGGCTTTAAGCCTCCTGGCAAACACACCCACATTACTGTCAACTCACCACACCCCCAATTTGGCAAACTTTTCACTGTCATGTAATCAAAACCAAAGAGGATGAGCTATATGGACCAAACTTTTTTTCCCAAACACATTAATTATTGCTGTTAGGTTAAAAAAGGCCTAATGCAGATTTCTTAACAGCTTTATCCTCACACTTCAGGGACTGCAGTTTTATCCACTTCTACATCTTCCCACACTAGAGACTGCCACGTTGTCTCAATCTGAGCTCCCTTCTAACATGTCAGAGCATCTGAGTTGACTCACCACTGTGGAAAACGTTGCTTGGAGGTTTTCTGATGTCGGACAGGATGACGTTATTCTTTCCAAACCTCTTCCTGTAAAGCAGGAAGTCAATGTTTCACAACTCTGAATGAGAGTGCAACTTTCAACACAGAAACCATGCAGAGGAAATGAGGTGAAAATTTTGAAATCTTACCTCAACAATTTTGCAAGTCCAACTCCAAGCTGACCCAGGCCACCTACATCATACAGGAGACAAAATGAGAGGATGTCAGAGGATGCTGCATGCATTAAATCAGCAGGGCATACTAATCATCCGTGCTGGTTTCCATGGAGACTAAGATAGCTAAGAAGAAGAGTGGGCCATAAGAAAAAAGGTCAGAACATTGACCACCTACGCTCTGTTGTTCACCATCATCTTTGCTTAACTTGTTGAAAGTGCTGCAACTCAACCCATTTCCCCAGTAAGATGAAAATAAAGTTAACGCTGCTGTTCAAATGAACGAATAAAAAGCTGCATACCTGTAATGAGCACCTTGGGGTGGTCTGTTTCAGAGAAGGACACAGAGTGGAAGCTGGCATCAGACGTCACCTGGCGAGGGGAGAAGCTGATGTTGCGCACAGCCACTGTAAGGGGCTGGCACCCGCACCCCGGGCTGCTGAGCAGGGCCTGCTGGGCCACCTTGCTGAGGCTTCTGATGACAGGCATGCTGGTACCTGTGAAGAGGAAGAGGAATGTGTCGAGACTTTTGCATAAATATTCACCTTACAGTTGCAAAATTTTGCTTGAGGGAGAATAAAGGAGCAGAAAAATTCTCCTCATTTTTGAAGCCTCGGTAGTGTAATTAACTTTGAGAGAGATAATGAGCCAAAAGAATTTTGGTGTCTCAGACGGCCATCAACTGGTGGCCTCTTTCGGCTCTTTTTTTTTTTTTTTTTTTTGGCTAGCTCATGAAATTCTGTGTCAAGAGGTTTGGGCTCCTCTCCAGACTGCAGGCGCCCAGGGACAGACAGATTCAGAGGTCTAGCCAAAACTTGTACTGAGGGAGATGTTCGTTTAAGAGCCCAGTCAAAAATATTTGCAAGAAACACGGTGAAAACTTGCTGCAAAGGCACTTCTCCCAAAAAAGAAACAAGAAAAACTGAGATGGGGGAGACTTATGCCAGCAGGGTGGAGATATCAGCTACACTCAAATGCAAATGATAGGCTATTGTTTCCAAAAAGGCGCAACAGAGCAGCCAAGCGCATAGCAACGCCAGCAGTCCAACGAGTTCACTGAGTTAGGTAACTTTAACTAACTAAGCGCGACATTATTTCAAGTGTGTCCTTTAAATCTGAACGTGCATTTCATTGATGAGACGTAAATAAACACGACAGATGCCAAAGTCAACACGGTCAAAGCAGCTCTCACGCGTAAAATCACCTTAAGTGCCTAACAGCTCAGCGAGTTGAGTTGAATGGAAACGGCCTGCGTGCGTAGAAAGTCTCGGTTCATGGCTGAGCCCTCTCCACATTTTGCACAAGGCATCACTTTCAAAAGTATTTGCACTTACCAACAGCGAAGCGATCTTCCCAAAAAAGGAAGGAGGAGAGTAACTTGAAGGTATTTATACTGCCCTGCCTTCACCAAGAGCCAATCAGGAAGAGAGGGCGTACAGTAGGAGGAAAAAACAGTGCCAAGACCGGGGCCACAATCATCCTGATCGGTTTAAGAGTATTTTTGGAACTTCTTTGTAAAAAAAATACTCTAACCTTAGTCTTGAACACATTCAAATAAATTGTTACCAGCAAAGACAATTGACATTAAAACACTTAAAAAATTAATTTAATGTCGTTGAACGCCTGATTAATAACCAAAAGTTCAGGTCGTGCACTATTTTGCGCGTGGAGGTCAGCAAGCTCTTGCACTCGCTTCATGACCTTCTGCTCCCCCCTTCAACATGTGCAGTCCTCTACTGTTGTTGTGCCAACACGTTTCATGTGCACAAAGTGTAAGCAAGTTGTGTAACAGGGAAAGTTCCCCCTCCCCTCCCCTTCACCCCCCATATCCTTTTTGGACCCAGCGCTGCGCGTCATGGTGCATCTTTAAGACCTGTCGTTAGCTCAAGTGCCGCTGGTCTCCATTTAGCGCGGCAGCGTCTCCACGCACAACCGCTAGCCAATGAGCAGCTGAGGAGCTTGACACATTTTCAGAATGACTCATTATAGCCAACATCCTGCTGAGACTAAATATGATTTTTTTTAATTGAGGGGTCTTTGAGATTCAGTCAGCCAGGCAGACAAATGAAACTTGGCCAGTGAGATTGAGTGAAGTTACCCTGGCAAAGAGCCCGAAACTGAAGCGTAACAGCCGCTCTGGCAGACTAATTTCACCGATAAAAGAGGAAGGAAGAAAGACGGAAGCGGTCCTAACTTCACAGATAGACTACATGCGGTTTAACATGAGCTCAAGCGCTGGTAAATTGTAGGCTACTACAGAGAGCACATGGTAATTCAATGACACAAATACATTTGAATTAAAGCACTTGTTCGCATTACAATCATTTAACCTCATCTATGTTGATGTATTGGATTACAGATTAATTAAAAACCCATTTATTCTTTTAATCCGAATGAATTAAACCAGGAAATCAGACGGAAGCAGTTTACTCACCGGCGTTTTTCTTTAGGAATAAGAGCAGCAGACAGTCCTGTGTTAATCTCTCGTTGAGGACTAAGATGTGTCTTCCTCTTCTGAGCTGATCCTCTTGTCTTCAGCTTTGGCTTGATGCTTGTGTTATCTCGGACCAGTGTTGCATCAGCTGCCTCCTCAAGCTATATAGCCACGGCCATCTGGTTTCAGGGGGGAAGCCGGCTTCCTCTCGGATTGGCGGAGCCTCGGAGGTGCGGTCCTCCCTCGCAGACCACGCCTATTCGACCGAGTCATCTCCAGCCAGGAGCGAGACCGGTTTCCTTTTACACCCACTGCTGATCAAGTCTCATTTCAACGTGTCGTCCCCGTAACTGAGTGCAGACATGATTATCTTTGAAGCCCACAGTCATCCAAAGTGGGTGTAGCCCAACCACTGATGTAGTTTTCTGGTGATGTGGACAAAACTTAAGGGGAGGAGGACAAGCTGAACTGGCAGCAAAAACACAGTATGGCACAAGTATAAAGGATTCATTTCTGGAACACTTTTCTGTCTTTGAGTTGCTATATTTCCCCCCAGAAACCTGACAAAGTTATTTGGAGTTTTGTTTAAAGCTCCTGTAAGGAGTTTTTCCAGACATTTCTCACTGCTACCTCTTAGTGAGCTACAAAATTAAATGAGTTCAGTTTTGACAAGATATATGATATGTATACATATTATTTGTTTTCTTGATTGCACCTTCTGCTTCAGCGTAGGTGTCAGATGAACTGATTAAATGGGCTCTATGCTGATAAAACAGTCTTCGTTTACTGGAACTTTCCATTAGTGGTACGTTGGATCCTAAAATAGGATGAAAACTCTTGGAAAACATGTACAGGACAAATGTGAGATAAGATGTACAAGTTTGACCACAAGGGACACCGAAACTAACATAAAGCTAATTTTGGGGTTAATTTAAGAAATTATTCAGACAACATTTAAACCATTGTCATTTACCAATCAATTAATTGAGAGGTAGTTTTAGTATAACTTTTGAAGACTTTATACCATACTTTGAGTCTGTGGGATTGAACATTCAGCTTGTGATATTTGCAGGCCCGAGGCGGACTTCTTGTTTCAGGTTCATTTTGTCCTGAATGTGCTCAAGGCTTTTTTTTTCCTTTCCTTTTTTTTTAAACAAGAATGAGGACTACAATAATTAAATAGAAATACATAAATGGTGTGGTTGGGTCGAGAGTGGGGAATCAGAATCATGATACTTAATTATCACCGGGGGAAATATTTGGTAAAAGGGAGCCCCTTCAAAACAGCGCTATGTGGTTAATTGTTGACTAAGTTAATGTCTTAGAATATGATTTTTTTTAATGATGAAATGACTAAGAGCCCCAATACTTGGTTGTAGCTTTGAGTCTGTTTTCTTCATTTTGATAGATGTCTCCTTCACTAAGTACCTTGTTTGTTTCACAGTTATTGTTTTTCTCTTGTTGTCAGTAGCACTGCTTTTCCTGACTATTGCCAAGGTGTTTTGACCAATCAGAGTAAAGTATTCAACACAGCCAAAAAGTGGGGTAACAAAAGTTGAATGGTTTCTATGCGTCGACCACCTTTACTTAGTCAAATACTTGCGTTAAAATTTTCCCCTCTACGTCTTTATTCTTCTTTAATACTGTTTGATATTCACTGTCCAGTGAGAGGGAAACGCCTAAACTTCTTAAGATTAAAATGTACTTTCAAAGAAGCTTAACACATTTGCTTTCACTGGAAAGTTTCTTCATTAGAATTCAAGAGAAAAATAGGAGGGCTCCAGTTGAAAGCAGCTGACTCACTGACCCTATCATCCCACGTGTATAACTTTTGAAGACTTTATACCATACTTTGAGTCTGTGGGATTGAACATTGAGCTTGTGATATTTGCAGGCCCGAGGCGGACTTCTTGTTTCAGGTTCATTTTGTCCTGAATGTGCTCAAGGAGTGTTTTTTTTTTTCTTTCTTTTTTTTAAACAAGAATGAGGACTACAATAATTAAATAGAAATACATATCATAGTTTTCTTACTTTCACAGTTCTTTTATTTGTTTGACACCTACCCTGCTGCAGCAGTTACAGGCATTAGTTATACTGTTAAAAACTAGTGAATCTTGTTGCTGATGTTTTCTTTTGTATCTCACAAAAGGCATCACTATTAAAGTTACTCTGTTTTATTGCAAGCAAATAAAAGTTACAGGAACTTGAAGTGTTAAATCTTACCCTCCCAAACAGTTAGGCCCTTTTACACTTTTATATTGCTATGTAAACAGACTCATCCATCTACCTACCTGTCTTTCTATCTAAACTGATATGCAGATGACACCCTACTTTGCAACTGTAATTTAGACTATTTTTTCATGTGATGGTTTGTCTGTCTGGTATAAGATTCGGAATATTGCATCCTTTGTCTAAATAAATCAAATCTGATGTGTTTTGATAACCTCCAAAAAAACTGGATTTTTTTTTTTAACTTAAAAATTACTCAAACTGTGGATTTGATATTTGACTCTTGATATAACACTGGCAAGCATTTCACTAAGATAGTATTTTAAATTTTCTGGCACAAACCAAAGTAAATCTCCTTACTTCAGTTTGTTTAAAACACAACTGAATGACATCTTTATGGTTCTGAACATCAACATAGCTCCATCATAGCTACATAACACTGGATCTGAGTTGAGTACAGAATGATTTAGGGCAGATACCCGTCATTACTTTCAAAGTGATACAAGGCCGTGTTCTGACCTACATCATGAAACATATTGTGAGCAGGTGTTTACACCAGGTTTGAATCTTTCCTGAGTGAGATGACTGCTAAACTTCAAGGAAAGGTCCTGCCTACCCTGCTGGGATTCAAACCTGCTATCACAATTTAGCCACCAACCACAGAAAAAAAGTTTACATAAAATACTGATTGAGTGATAACTTACTTAAAAAAAATTTCTCTCTGTCTCGCTCTCTCTCTCTCTCTCTCTCTCTCTCTCTATATATATATATATATATATATATATATATAATATATATATATGTGTAGATAATGTTGTTCCCCAGATCCCATGGCTGACAGCTGCTCCAGTGATGATTCAGGCTATTAGTACATTCAGTACTGTCAATAAAGTCTACTTTACCTTACATCAGTGTTTATTCACTTGAATTCTGACAGGTGCAGAAAAAAACAGCTGCACCTGTGTAGGCTGCTTTTCCATGTAACTTACAGTTGGGCATTTTCTTCTCTCTCAACCAGTCTTCCAACAGCCCCAAAGCACAAACCATTTAACAGTTTGTTGTTGCTTTGTAGGATGATGAGTATTACAGACAGATTGAAGATTATAGGATTAATTTAATTCTAAGTAATTTTGTCATGTAAATATTTCTATGGTGAAGTAATTTTCTCACAAGAATGTGAGTCATTAAAAAATGGTGTGGTTGGGTTGAGAGTGGGGGAATCAGAATCATGATACTTAGTTATCACTGTGGGAAATATTTGGTAAAAGGGAGCGCCTTCAAAACAGCGCTATGTGGTTAATTGTTGACTAAGTTAATGTCTTAGAATATGATTTCATGATGATTTTTTTTAATGATGAAATGACTAAGAGCCCCAATACTTGGTCATAGCTTTGAGTCTGTTTTCTTCATTTTGATAGATGTCCCCTTCACTCAGTACCTTGTTTGTTTCACATTTATTGTTTTTCTCTTGTTGCCAGTAGCACTGCTTTTCCTGACTATTGCCAAGGTGTTTTGACCAATCAGAGTAAAGTATTCAACACAGCCAAAAAGTGGGGTAACAAAAGTTGAATGGTTTCTATGCGTTGACCACCTTTACTTAGTCAAATACTTGCATTAAAATTTTCCCCTCCACGTCTTTATTCTTCTTTAATACTGTTTGATATTCACTGTCCAGTGAGAGGGAAACGCCTAAACTTCTTCGAATTTTAATGTACTTTCAAAGAAGCTTAACACATTTGCTTTCACTGGAAAGTTTCTTCATCAGAATGCAAGAGAAAAATAGGAGGGCTCCAGTTAAAAGCAGCTGACTCACTGACCCTATCATCTCACGTGTCTACAGTTGATATACAAGGTCTACAAACACTATCCAATGCAGGAGTAATGCAAACGTATCATGATTACACATGAAGGTAAACTTGTAAGACAGTCCTGTAATCAAACACTTTCAAAGTTCAGATAATTATAATGTTTAAGAAGGCATATCAAACCAAATCAAGTATTTGTGACATGTCAGCAAGAGAGAGTGTTGAAACTCCTCCATCTGTAAAATAACCCCCTCGTGTTTATCCAAGGAGAGGTATGATGTGAGTGTGTGCAAGCAGCCTCTGTTTGACTTTGACGTTTGTTTGTAGTAGATAGAGGAGGGCCAAAGAGATTGGAAACGTCTGCACATAGGGTGTGTAAAAGATCTGTGCTGAAATCTGAGTGGTGGATTGAAGCACACCCCCAATGCCTGTCAACACTGGTGAGGAAATGACTTGGTCAAAAACAAGTTAATGTATAAACTGACACAGTTCTGCCAAAAACTAAACCAGGATATGATAAAGAAAACCCAGATTGCACACTTTCCCGGATTTCATTGACTGAGGATTACCGGTAAATTGAGGATAAACTGAGGAAAAATCAAATCGCTCCTGCTAGACGCCTGACTGGAAAGACTTGCAGTCCTACATTGTTCTAAGAGGGGTGTGTTTGGTAAAGCTCCAAGGCATGTAATCAGGATGCTGACAGATCCAAGGTCACATTAATATGAAGACAAGACCGATGGCTGGATAGTCACTCTGAAAACACAGGCTGCCAACACATACCCCCATGAGACAGCTGACCCCTGGCTATTTATGCTCCAGTCACCCCATCAGATGATCCTGCCGTCACAGTGACAGCAGCATGTTTTGTGAGGTGGCTGTTTACCAATCCTCGACGAGCCATACTGGGACAGTGTATGAGCCTGAAACTCAAAGTCACCTGCTACTGTAATGTAAACATGGAGCTTTGTCACAGGCAGGCACAGAGACTCAGGCATTTAAATGTGACTTTACGAAGTCACTCGTCTGCCCTTCAAACAGGCGCAGCTGAAAAAAGTCTTGACCTAATTCTTGGACCGAGAGGGGCTGGCTATTAAAGAAGCATTTCAACATTTTTAAAAAAATTGTCCATGAGAACATTTTGGTAAACTTGGCCCATGAGATGCAAGGCACCCATACTTTTTCCCAAACATGCACCAAACTAAAAGTCAGGAAAATCTACCACATGAAAATGTGCAAATAAAAACTTTGAAACATATATGAAGGGCCAGCAATGCAAATTTTTCTAGTAATGTGCTGTGCTGAGCAAATTGTGGTGGTAAATTTGAAATACCAGAAAAAAACGGCTAAAAAACGAAACAATACTAGATCTGGAGAGGACTGAAAGGTTAAATTATCATTCTCAGGGAGTGATTTGAGTTTTGTGACAAAGTTATCTGACTGATTTAAAATCAAAGTATCAAATTAACATCAAATTTGGAGTATCAGGCGCATATTAATGCTACTAAATAAAATAAATAAACCTTGTCCTGTGCTGGTTTGATTAAAAAGACTCTTCAAAGATGAGATAAGACCTGGGGAGGTAGGTGTTTTGACTCAAAGTGAACTGGGTTGCAGACAGTGGGTGCATTCCTCACAACTATCAAAAATCACTGCAGACTGGTTCCAACTATATATCAGTTATAAAAAAAACAACACAACTGCACACCAGCTGCACATTATGGATTAAACTGAATATGGAGAAGTGCCTGGGTTATGAATCTGAAGTTCATGTTTGACCCGTTTTCTGATTTTTGTTGTTATTGTGTTGCTGTGATATTTAGGAAATGCTGCATTGAGAAAAATAAAGTGGAAATTCAAAGTATCACCAAACTGTGAGAAGAAAACTTGATGAATAATCACAAAATAGAAAATCTTTTGTGCAATAATCTTTAATGGCTTGAATCATAAAAAAAAAATCTTGTTTTTTCCCCAACAATAATATAATATTACAGATATCTTAACAGCAGTGACATAGAACTGTTGACTTCTTTTGCAGTAAGGCATTGCACAAAGCTGATAATTTTTTTTTAACTTGGACAAAGCAACAATCATTTAAGAACAATTTAATGCAAACATAAGAAATGTGTACAGCTGGTACTCACACCATCACCTTGATTGAACTTATAACTCCACTCATGCACAAATAAAGGTAGACGGCTTGTCCATTTGGCAAAATACAGAAGACATGTACAGTATAGTGCAGCGAGAAGCAGTTATCCCTTACTAACGCAGTTAAATGTAGTGGCTGGAATCAGTTTAGTTTAGTGTGATTACTCTCCAAGCAAAAGCCTATAAAATGTATGACACAAAAATAATGCAGTTTTGTCGGGCAAACACTCTCAAGCTATCTTACGCTTCACCTATGGTGGGTCATGATCTATTTAAAGTGCTGTATAAAGCTTTTGAGCAGTGTAACGTTCCCATAGTTACCAGGGGATGTCAAATGTTTGGACTTAAACCCTGGGGTTGATGAGAAACATTGGCGACGCACTGATATCATTTGGACTTTTTTGTCCCAACGGTAGCACCTGGTGACTATCAACGATGACACTGACGCGCCAAAAAAGAGTTACAGCTGCATGCCTGAGTATGTTTATGTCATAGTTTACTCCTTTACAACAAGGTGCATTTGATTTGGGTGCTTCAAGGAATATTCCGGCATAAATTTGAGTTATGGTCAAACGCACCGTAACACTGAGGTTAGACACCCCCTCGAGAGTTGAATGTTGCCGACTGCTTGTTTCTGTAGTTATACCAACTTCAGCAACGACCACACGATAGCAATACACAGCGGTCTACGTCTCCATGTGCAAACCTAAGCCAAAAAGCCACTCTAACAGACAGAGTGCAGCAGATCATTTCCATGAAGTACTAACCATCATAATAATCATTTTGCACTGCAGACGCGGTAGTTCTTCTGCCTTAGTGTCTCGGTCTGATTGCATTTCCATAAAGTAATAATCATAAATGTTCTTCCTTGAGCTGCGAAACTCCACTGCACTTGGTGATCGACTCGTGAGGGCTCCTTCACAATCAAGCGGCTGCTGGAGGAGAGTGGGTGAGTTGTGTTTAGTCTCTTCACTAAAGAAACCAGGCAAAGCTAAAAAGATGTTTGGTGTCTAGTACTCTTGCTGGGACCCTATATGTACTGTTGATGAAGTTAGGTGCTGTTCTGAGCATTATTTGTGGCTATAGAGTGGCTTTTTGGTTGAGGTTTGCGTGTAGAGACATAGACTGCTGTGTATTGCTATAGTGCGGTTGTTGCTGAAGTTGGTAAAACTAGAGAAGCAAGCAGTCGGCAACATTCATCTCTTGAGGCGGTGTCTAACTCGGTGTTATATTGTGTTTGACCCTAACTTAATTTTAAGCTTGAATATCCCTTAAAGTACATTAACAGCAGATATGCATTTAGTTTGATTATGATCTTAAGGAAAACAATTAAACAACTTTAAAAAAAGGTCACATTGAAATGGCCTCTAAAGCAACATACTTGACATAGAACATGTTTAAGCTAACTTTTTCTGTGATCAGCTCCGCTAAACTTGATAAGATCACATGACCAACACCTCAGCTACACTCAGTAACTTCATTTTCTGCATCAAACACTCAGACACCTCTACGTTTTGCATAAAGAGACTGACCAGGACTAAAAGGCAGGCTCTCACTAAGATTATGTTTGTATAGGGTTATGTTGCATCAGTCTCTCTTAATGCCTCTGGAATGTAAAGTAGTAATCTGGTAAACATATAAGAATCAGGATATTTTGGTCAGAAAATCCGCCCCTCTTTCAGTACAGTACAGCAGGTGCTGACCCTACCTACGCTTATTATGTCATCTCAACGTGCAGGAGAGTCACATGCTGCCTTATAGCACCCTATATGTTGCCATAGTTACTCTGCAGTGCTTCAGCGGCATAAATTAGATCTAAATATTCAGCAGGATGTATGAGGAAGCTGTGTGGTACCCTGTGGTAGATGACGATCTAAAGTAGCAGCATTCTCACTGGAAAGATTAACGGATAGAGGACGTTTTTAAAGTTGGTTTGGAGAAACTGGCTCAATCGCAACTTCTCAGTTCTCCATCATGCAAACAAGAGCCAGAGTCCCAAATTTTTGGTAAACACAGGCCAGCTTGCCATACAAATATTGGAGCAGGGTGCAACTAACAACTGTTTTTGTTACTGTGTATCATCTGTGTGTAGATTCTCTGTCTCAGTGAAAGCTGTGAAAGTGATTTTCAGTTAAACTGGGCCTAGAGTCATACCATTCCTTCTTCTGTCAGTGCAGGAAACTCAAATTCAAAAAAATGATCGACATTAATGAAAATCAACTCTTTGGACCGTCAGTCTTAACAAATTTAAACCCAATCAGAATCTGTTGTCCTAATCTCACATTTTCGACCTCTTTCTTCCTGCTCTTTTCCTCTCACAGCTTCCTCCTTCTCTCTCTCTCTCTCACACACACACACACACACTCCTTATCTCTATGGTGTCTGTAGCAGAGGATCTTCAGTTTCCAGTTCGGCCAGCTGCCTGCGCAGGCTGTTCACTTTGCTCTGCAGCTCCTTGTTGTACTCAATTATGTGAACCATTTCCTCATAAGCCTCATCCAGACACTTGGAGGAGCGGTTCCAGCGAAGAAACACTCCTGTAATAAAGAGAAAGAGTTCTCTGAGTTAGATATTAACATAAAAGATTGTGCAACTCTCATTTGCCCTCCTAGATGGGGTTTGCCTATATTTTGTTATGATGATAGGGGTAATACAGTTATTTTGTTCATTCATGTATTTTTTATGCCTACTGGCAGAGAGAAGACAGTAGATAGAGAAGGAAACATCAGAGAGAGCAGGGAAGGACATGAAGGAAAGAGGGCCACCTGCTTTTGTGGAGCGCATAGACCACTAGCATATCTGCGCCCTGAGAGTAATACAGTTTACTGTTGCTTCTGACATAAATCAGTCTTTTTATGACACTCTCTGTGAATGGACACAAATACACAGTAAGGAAATAGACATGTTGGCATGCTAACTGTAATATGGAACTGCAAAACTGAAGCCAAGTCTGAAGGGTATGTCAATAATTTGGGGGTAATTCGATGTAAACAAATGTGGCAGGTTTAATAGAATTAAAAGGTCTCAGTCTGTGAAGAATTTTTTACGTCTGTCAAATATTTCAGGCAAACAGCTTTTATATACACAGATACCGCACTCATTACACCATGAAAACAAATTGAGTTTATCGTACCGCAGACCTCTCCTTCCCAGTTAAAACACTCTCCTCTGAATCAACAGGTACACTTACTTAACAGCATAAAACTGATGCAACACCTCTGGTGGATGGTACATTGTGCATTGTGTACATACAGGCTGATGTCTGTTCACAGACAGAAACATACGTGCATCTCTACACTCGAGCAAATACGATGTCAACCTCAGGGCGGCTATTTTTAAATGGAAACTTATCAAAGTCATTCAGGAACCATGATGGTCACCTACATTGAAGTGGCTTCAGGCTAACATTTTAACAGTATATATGTAGTGTTTAGGGACCTGCATGGAAAAATGAACATTTTATAAAGGGCTTCAACAACAATTGTCTAATAAATCACAATTTTCTTAAAAAAATTAAGAAATGTTCAAACCTGATATATATTTTTTTGGATGAGCACTAAAAATATCCAGTCCATGTAATGTGATGCAATGTAATGCTGATAGACATCAAACAGTTTTTGTGTGCACTGAAAGTGAAAACTATCTTACCTGCTCTACTGAAGGTGACTAGACTTTCAATTAAGGGGACCTTGTGAGACTGACACACTGGAAATACAACTGTGACCACAGAGATGTGCTGCATGACTGGAATGACAAACATCTCAATGACACCAGGAGGAGCTCACTGTTTGGATTAGAACAGGTATCAGGATCAGGGAGTGCTTTGTTATTGTAAAGGGATTATACAATGTTATTGCGGATCATAATTATGCTGTCCTTTTCTTAGCTTTATCGTGCTTATATTGTTTTTCTCTCTGGTTAGACAATTAGACAGATTGCAGCACTAAAAGCATCTTGGTCTTTAGATTAGAAGTTTATAGAAAACAGATTATGCATGATTTTTTAAAACTCTGGGACAGTCAAGTGTTTCCCCATCATATTGACTTTACTGGGAGGTTTTTGTTTGAATTACACAATAAATAAACTCCCGGAAAGATTCCCAAAAACAACAGCATCAAAGCCTCGAGATACCGCCCTGAAAACTCATCCGACTTCATTCCACATGACTCAGCAAGTTTTGCCACACTCAGAGCTGAGACTTGAGGAGTGTGTGGTTGCTGTTCTACAAAAGACTGCATTCACATGGTCAGTCCTTGTTACTGTCAACACTCAAATCTTTAGATCTGGACCTCCATGGGGTCTGAAAAGTGGGCTGTGGTGTGTGTGTCACTGTGTGAAAGGGTTGCATAAGCGGCATGTCTGCAGCTTTCACGTGCTCCAGTTGTTCACATAGCTTCAAGTTCCTATAGGGAGAGGGTGGGGCTAGGGGGCTTTAGGCAGGAGGGGGGCCCCTCATAGAGGACTGGTTGAACCTAATGACCCTTCATTTGTCTAGACCCCATCCCCCCACCTATTTTTGATGTAGCATCTGCATGTTTTGAGCTGACTTGACCCGGCAAGTTCAAGCATAAGACCCCAACTGAATCAAGAAAGCTCTTCTTCTTCTTTCCTCTTTTTCTTCTTCTTCTTTTTCTTCTATTTCATTGCCTTCTTCTTCTTTTTTCTTCTTTTTCTTTCTTCTATTTCTTCATCTTTTTTCCTTTCTAGGAGTCACTCCCCCCAAAACTACTTCAGAGAACCACACTTTCCTTGATTAGGTGATGCTGAGACACAATTTCTCCATTAAAAAACTCAAAGCTAACAAAACTGATTTAGAGTTTTTGACTCTGTGAAGATTTTTAAGGTGCTACTATGAGCTCTTCCTCCTTTTTGTAGTCAGGCATTTCAACCAAAGCCACTCCCAGTAGTTATTTAAAGGTAATGAGAGGAGTTTGAAAGTTATTTTCATATAGCCTCAAGCTTATTCCAATGTCCTTTTATGACCTACAAAGTCAAAGGATTTTTGGTGAATGCCTGAGTGTGAATACTTCACTGCTCCTCGAGGACTATTAGGTTTAACTGTGTGCACATTCACTTCATCCCTTTGCGTGAAAAATTGTCTTCAAGACCCACTCCAATGAAAATCATGTTTTTTATGTTGTCTTCATGTTCATATGGCATTTTTCTGATGCTACAGGACATATCATAAGAAAACTATGTGCGAAATCGCATTTCTGCATTCAAACCGCTGTTAATCTCTTGCAGACCCAAATGGCAGGCTCAGGTGAAGTGAGATTTCCTACGTTACGACTGCAAGCTCCGACCCCGGAGCCCCACTATGCAGGCCAGACTCGGAGAAGTAGAGAGGACAATCGCAAAACAAGCATGTGCGTTAGCGGATTTCAATGCTTGTAAGAAAGCTAATTATGATATCAACTTTCATCATGCCCCTAAAGACATTAGTGTCCGAAGCTAGTGTGAAGAGGAGAGTGTGCAGAGCAGCGCTGTCTCTACCCATGACTCAGAGGCGAACTGCTAATGAGCTACTGCAGCTCTGCAGAAGAAAAGCCCTTGAAAATGATTTTGTCTAAAAAAACTTCATAATCACAATTTAATGACAACTGAGAACACTTTGAGTTGTTAAAAAAAAAAAAAAAACGTTGGAGTGGGACTTTAAACTACGAAAAGTTGTCATAAAATGAAGATCTGTGGCTCATACATTTTCATCCACAGCTAATGCACACCTTTATGATGGTGCCGCATGGAAAAATTAGTCTTTATTCTAGAAAAAGGCAGATTTCATGTTTATGGATCACCAGAAACTCCTCCATTTTAATTATGAACATAAGGTTCAATGAAATTCAAATAGTATTTAGTAATTTAACTGTTCAGTTGTCTGTTGATTCATGTGCAGCCTATGTCTGTCTGTCTGTCTGTGCTCTTCTCTGCTTATTCTTTGCAGTGGGATTAATGAAGGTTTATCCTATCCGACTTTTATCCACAGAAACTGCTTCACAACTGCGTATCTTGGCTGCAGCCTGATTAAATCCCATACTCACACAGTTGCTGAGGGATGCAGCAGCGAGCAGAGAGCAGTATACATTCACTTCGCCTACACAGATTTTGCAAAAGGAGGTTCCTGCATGATTAGCACGGCTGCACTAGCTCTAATTGCCCACCTATCCTCGTCTATCTTCATGCCTGGGCTAAGAGGGACAGTAGGGACCTTGTGATTGGCCAGAGAACTTCTAAGAAGAACAAATGTGTAATGGAGTGACTTTCTTCACTGAATGCTCATCTTTATCATCCAAGATCAAGTATCTTGTGTTGATCCAAACAGATCAAACAGACTCCACAACAGAAACCTCAGTGTGCAATAAATCATATTATATTTATATTCTGGACAGATGTAAATAAGACTCATGTACATATCTTCTTTTAATTCTAAGTTTCTTTACCCTTTAATGATTTTGTATCTGTACTCATGCTGCTATAATTTTTGTATTCAAGTTTTTCCCCCGTTGGACTATTAAAGGAATATCTTATCAGTAACAGAGGACCATTTTTGTGTTATCTCTGCTTCTTTCTTGCCTGTAAATAGAGGTAGAGATGACTAAGTGAAGGTGATGGGGTTTTACTTATTTGTCACAGTTAGTAGTTAGTTATCAAGTAATTCAGTCCCTCTAACTGATTTTCATCAGTAAAGTATACAAGCACCTTGCTCAAGACAAGAATTATGTGCAACCCAAAGCTAAAATTAGCTTGCATGGGCACTGTATATCAGCTGATAACTTGTAGTAAACCATCACAGACTCATGAGGCTCATGTTTCAGACAGCACGCAGAACTTTCTGTGCAAGCTATTATAGGGAATAGTCGTCAGCCAAACACATCCCGAAGAAGCTCCAGAAGGAATGCGAAAAATGTGAAAGTGCTGCAGCAGGTACATGAGCTGAATGGCTACAAACAGAGTCCAGGTCCTGCGGTCCTGGTCCAAAGGTGGTTCTTTTGAGAGGTAGGAACACCGTACATTTATTCACACTAAACATTTCTGATAAGGATTTTTTAATCTTTTTTTTGTTTGTTTGTTTGTTTTTTGTGAAGGGGGCTTGTCTTGTGGTTGTCGTATTCGGTCATGTTTCTGCAAAAAGGGATTCATGATATACTGATGACTGTGTCCTAAATGGCATCAGTCAATACGGCTGATTTCCCTCTAAATCAAATGTGTAAGCAGAGTGTAGTATTATCTATAGGCTCAGAGGGTCGCTCAGTTCAAAACAGTAGCTAGTGGTGCAATCAAAGGCGCCCTCTTCTGGTGAGAATACAAAGTGCCACTCTAAATCAAAATATGAGCCCTGATCACGTAACAGATGCATACTTGTGTCTGTCACAACCTTTTTCCCAGACAATGGCTCATAACTGTCACCCTAGTAACTCAAACTGGTTCAGGACTTGCCTCAGGTCGAAGCATAATCTCCAGATCTAGCTCAGGCAGCCTTACATGTCATGTACGAGAACATCCAGACTGATCCTAAAGCTTCTTAAACACAGCTTTACATTTTTAAAACAAATTACATTTTCTGTGTTTGCTCAGAGAAATAGTGATTGACTCATTCCTTTGAATTAGGACAATCTTGCATGCAAAGTTGACAAAAGCAACAGTGAGTCCCTAAAAGTGATAATCAGTCCATGCAAATTTGCTCTGATGTAACACTGAGCAACAGTTTATGAAAATTATAACCTTCTTGCCATTTTTATCTACAGCTCCACTTAATTGATCACAGACAGGATTTTAGTTTTTTTCTGCAGGGAGCTAAAAAACTAAGTTCATAGTTGCAATGTGGTCGTCAAGTGCAGAGTAGTTTCCTTAAAGGGACAAAGCTTTTCCTTGAGAGAAACATCCCTGTTTTCAATTGAAGCAGGATACATACAGAGAAAGTTTGATGCTGAATTCTAACAGAGAGTTGAGTTATTTCAGGAAGGTAACAGTGTACTTAAGCGTCTTTATGTATTGTTGTCAGATAATCAGATTTAGGGTGTTTTCACACCTGAAAGGCTGAACCAAGGTCCATGTTTTTGTCACATTGGAAACATTTGGTTTGGTGTGTTTAGGTTTCACACTGTCATTATTGCAAACTGACTAACAGACTTTACATGACGGACCGACGTGATATCTTCATCAACTACGTGCTTGGCCTGTCTCTGTAGTTTGCTTTAATTGGTCATTTGGCCAGTGGGCATCTGACATCAACACGTTGAAAAGCGCAGGTCTTGAATGTTGTAAACATAAATGAAATCATCATTCCCACCATCGTACTATTTTTGATTTTCTACCTCCAACAGCGTCAACTTGAAGAGCTGTAAATGGGGCTGGTCTGAGGAAGTCTCATGAATTTGATCATTAGGCAACAATGTTATCGACATTGACAGGAAAGGAGAAGAAAGTATCCAACTCTGCAAGTCATTGCAACACTTGCCTTTGAGAGAAGTTTGTGTAATAAAATTCTTGAAAAGACAAGCTGTCAATTAGGGAGGTGTAACTTTATCTACACTATGATAAAATTTCCTGTTCTTGGACAATCTCCATTCAACATAATAACAGATACTTCTACTCCTTGCGTCAGTTCCTGTCTTTGATACGAAGGTCCAAACCTTTCAAAATAATGCTTTCACACTGGGCATGAACCAGACTGTAGTTCAGTTTGGTCCGGACTGAGACCACCTTTTGGTCGAACCAAGGTCTGGCTGTTTGGTCTGGACCAAGGTCCTGGGGAGGTTTCACGCCTATCACTTTGGTTCGGACTTGGTCCGAAAGTCCGGACCAAATGACATAGGTGTGAAAGCCCTCTAACACTCTGAGCCTGTTTATGGCTAAAAAAGGCACTGTTAGTAGAAGCACTTTAACATATAACAAAGAATCACGTCGCAACCATCGCAACCTGCTCTGAAGCTGCTGGCTGCGAGGACTGAAAAAATTCAACATCAGTTTATTACCATTACTAATTTAGACTCTTAAATATGTTTAACAGTTTGAGGCTGAAATCACTGATTTTAACTTAGGAGTTTTAGGTATGTGCTGCTATCCAGTGAACAGATTCCCCTACAGCACCCAACGAATACAAATTCAGACACTGCAGGCTTGTTTGAGATCAGGCGTTTGGCTTTAAATTTCATAGTATATAAATGTCATTCGACAGCTTGAGAGATGATAGGAGTGTGTGAAGAGAGAGGGAAGATATTCATCAAATCATGTCAGGACCAGTTATTGATCCTTTGAGTACAGAGTGGACTAGACCCTCTGTTCATGAGACTTCTGCTCAACCAACTGAGTCATCCATCAGTGCACTGCTTTCTTGTTTGTTTCTTACCTTCCCACAGCAGCAGACTCTGGGGGGCCACAGACGGCCAGATCACCAGACTGTTGGCCTCGTACAGTGGGTTAGTCAGACGCTCTAGTTCTTGGGGCCGATTCACCCAAGACCAGAGGGACACGGTCTTCTCTGGCAGAGACAGTTTGGTTCTGTGGAAAAGGTCAGAGGGTGATTGGTTAACTGGTAAAAACAGTGGTATAATCTGTGTAATAACAGCTGAAAATGACTGTTTATTTGGTGAAAAGGAGACAAAACTTCAGGGCTGACTTTGGGAAAGTCACCTAATCCACCACTGTTTTAGTAAAGCTGCTTAGTGGGCAGTGATTAAGAATGTGAAGGACGAGACTCCATATGTAGCTGACACAAAATGGGCCGGAAATACACTCTAATTCAGCTTTAGAAAAGTTGTACAGCTGTTAGAATAAATCTGAGAGCAGATTTACCGTGTTTTATAGATAAATGAAATCTAAAAGAATCAATCAGAACAGACTGGTGGATTGACTTCAGCAGAATTACCTCTCTGCTGTGCTGTTGGCCAAGAACGTGCCGAACTGAGAGGCATAAGCGTGTTCGAACAGAAGCACTAGGAAGCTCTCGCTGAATTCAAAGGAGCAGGGGAACTGGCGGAGAATCTGCCACACGCAGTCCAAGAAGAGCAGGAAGACCGGAGCCTCCTGTCGAGGCTTGTTGTTGGAGTAGGCAGATGTAGCACAACGCTGCTGGAAAGGGTGACCTGCCTAGAGAAATCCATTAAAAACACATCAACTGTGACTTCAATCAATCACGGCTTTTAAAGACTATCATAATATATATGAACAGAGAACTGTGACATTTCAAGCCTTCAAAAAAATGAAATCCATGACAGCGTGGTTTCTAAACATTTGGGCTGTGAGGCTAACCTGGAGCCACTCTCGCTCCACCAGGCCTTGGAAGCCTCTGATGGTCCTGCAGGCTGGATCCAGGATAATCTGAGCCAGGGAGGTCACCTGCAGGGTGGCGTCTGTGCCCTCTGTGCCATGAACCAGCACCGACGCTCCCTCTCTGGGGTAAACACACAAAACACATCATACATGACGTCAAAGAAACAGCCCAGTGGGGACAAACCTGACCCAGATATTTGTGACCCACTCTGATGAAAATCATGTTTTTCTTGTTTTTTTTTTACATGTTCATATGGCATTTCTCTAATGCTAGAGGAAATATCATGAGAAAAATAAGTGCGTAAGTGAGTATTTATGAATTCAAATCGCTGAATCTCTGGCAGACCCAAACGGCAGGTTCAGATAAAGTGGGATTTTCTACGTGACAAATCCAAGCCCTGCCCCCGGAGCCCCGCTATGCAGGCCAGACTCTGAGAAATAGAGAGGACGATCGCAGAACAAGTGTGTGCGTTATTGGATTGTAATGCTTGTAAGAAAGCTAATTATTATATGAACTTATATTAACACCCATGACTCAGAGGCGAATTGCTAATGAGCCACTGGAGCTTTGCAGAAGAAAAGCCCTTGAAAATGACACAGGTAATGTGATTTTGTCTGAAAACTTCATAATCACAATTTAAAGACTGCTGAAAACACTTTAAGTGGTAAAAAAAATATATATATATATGAGTGGGACTTTAAATACAACAAAACACATTCTCCATGTGTGATCACCAGGGGGAGTACTTTTTCTACATCTGAGGAGCTCAACAAGTCAATCACAGTTGTTTCCCTGACCTGTCGATACACTGAGCAGCCAGACAGGCGGTGGTGAGAATCTCTTTGACGTGAGTCTGCCAGTTTGAAGCCTCCAGCTTACTCAACCAGCGGTCCATACTGTGCGACTGGTCGTTACACGCCTCCACAAGCTTGATGAGGCTTTCCTGGAGGATGTTATACCTTGAAAAAACAACATCGCTTGTTAGCCACTAACAGATTGGGTTTAAAAAAACTATTTACAGCAAAGGAGCCTTGAAGAAACCTATAGGGCACCCTCAGTGACCTCACCTTTCAATTGCTTTGTGGATCCTCCTCCACTGTGGGTAGTTTCCCTCCGTCTCAAACCCTCCACCTCGAGCTTTGGCCTGCTGAGCTACATTGATGGTGCGAGTGTCGATGATGTAGCCGCGCTTGCCTGGCCTCAGGGTGGCATTGATCAGCTTCTCGTCTTCCTTACAGCGTCGCCCATTGGTGCCTGTTAAGGGCTGACCTGCTCGCATCATCACCTTGAAGTGAAAGTTTGTAAACCCTTAGAAAATTCAACTGAAGCACATCTGCAGACAGAAGTCAGTTAGGACCATTGGTTAAATTGGCTTCTGTGAGGAGGGGGAGCCCTATTTGCTGTGTTTCCCAAAGGTTTTCAGGGCTGGGGCACTGACTTAGCATTAGCTCATCATCTATGGTTAGCTAATTAGAGGGGTGGTTAATCAGATGAGAGCTACTCTTCCTCCTTACCTTTTCACATTTTTCTAAAGTAGCATTAGCTCTGTAGAGACTTTATCACAGAAACATAAAGGTGAAAAATACACACATTTAGTTTCAGTAAGTTCACAAAGTTAACATTTTGCTGTGATAGTTACATCACCCACCTCCTGTGCGTCAGCAACACTGTGTGTGTGTGTGTGTGTGTGTGTGTGTGTCCGCGCGCAGGCGTGCACTTGCGTGGTATGCAAGAAGATGCCGGTAGCAGTGAAAACATGGGCTGGAGTTTTATTGGTTTGGGTTTTATCTCAATAAACGAGCGGAACAGATTCAGTAATGACGCTCTGAAACAGCGCTCTGAAACAGCGCTGAGTAAACAGGCTGATGTATTAATGGGGATCCAAACTAATGACTTTTGGTGGCTACACCCATGATTACTTTGAAACACTGAAGCAGAGGGAGCTCAGCTCCTGCTGGCTGTACTGACAAGGTGAGGAGGCGGAGCTGAGCTCTGGAGGGCTCCAGCCCAATTTAATCTGTGGTTAGGACTGCAGACTGTATATACTATGGACAACTTGGTTCCGCCTTCCGCCAGTATAGTCGCTGTGATGACACTCAGCTCAAACAGCGTATACCCCAAGTGAGCTACACAATCTTTGTACGCCCATAGGCTGTTTCAAGTGTCAATCATAGAAAACATGAACCCCCTGATAACTTTTAAAGAAGGAGCTGTACAGAAAAAAAGGGGACCTGAGCACAAAACAGTCTTACAGTAACTTCATGTCAACATCACAACCAGGGGGGAGAAAAATGTATATTCTGTGTAATTAATTTCTAAAGTTTGTCCACATCTCCATAGGGATTGCTGGAGGAGGCAGGATTTATGGCCTGTACTGCAGCCCATCACCAGAGGGTGCTGTTCTCACAGTGGCTTCACCCAGCGAGGAGGCAGACGGCGTCCATTCTATATATAGTCTATGGTTAGGACACATTTTGACTCTATGTAAGGAATTCTAGGTAATCGCCATCTTCCAGGGGCTCACCATGCCATTCTTCTTGTGGTAGTAGCTCAGCACAGGAAAACGCCCACCATGTCGAAAGGTGGCCACTTTCTTCAGTGTCTCATCGTCAACATTTTTGGGCACAGCCACTAAAGGGGGGTATGACTGACACACACTGAAGTCCTTGTTGACCTCGCTGAGTCTCCATTCATCCGTCTGAAATAAGAGGGGAAAAAAAGAATATTCTGGGTGCAAAGCTGAGAGCTCAGACAAGTTTACATTCTTGTCATTAACTGTGTACCATAGACTCCAAATCTTTAAAGACATCCTCTGGAAGAAATGAGTTCCACCCGTCCTCGATGACTTCAAACATGGGCCGGTAGAAGAAAGGATACATGAGGGAGACTGAATCGAGCGTGGATAAGGCCTTGAGAGGAATAAAGACAGAATAATGCAGACAGAAAACAAATGCAGGGTTTATTTTTAAATGGAAAATAGGACATTTCAACCTCTTTTTTTTTTTTTTTTTTACCTCAATAGAGCTGGCAATGTTGAGGCATTCCTCCATGCCAGGGATGTCGAGCTGAATCACCCTCAGGTCTTTGCATTTGACTATGATGGTCCCGAGAGAGCCGACAAACCTGACGGAGACGTTAAAAGATGATGTCAAAGAAAACAGCGGCAGGCACAGTGAGAGTCATGACACTAAGCTCAGCGCTTGCAAGCCTGAAAGTCTGAGATTTTCACAGTGAATAATATGTAAATTTAAATTTGACTTCACAGCTTCATCAACAGGTGGATGTGCTCCTATGCAAACGTGGCATTATCCCATGTGAAACAATTGCTTCCTCTGAGTTGTTTACAGCTCCACATCCTTCTCAGCCACAAAAATTTCACTTCACAACCTGCGGGAAATGCTGCTGTGCCAGCACACAGCCGGATTCCAACTTCCTCCCAAAGAGTTTCACATCCTCCTCTCTGGTGTAAAAGTGTGAGAGAAATCGAAGAGGACAGCAGTGAAGTGATTGTAGTGTCACAGAAGACACATTAAACTGAGAACTGTAAACCAACATAACTCTGCTATCACTCTGCATTTCATCTGATATATTTACATTGATACATTTCTGTCTTAACTCTTTAGAAAACAAGTTCTAGAACAGGGGTCGGCAACCTTAAACACTCAAAGAGCCATTTGGAGCCGTTTCCACTGAGAAGAAAACACAGGGAGCCACAAAACCCCTTTGACATCTAAAATAAAGATAACACTGCATATATCGTGCTGCAGAGAAAACAAAATTTTATTTCTGCAGGCAAACAAAGATACTTTGAACAGCTTGAACTAACCTTAAAGACCCACTCTGATGAAAATCATGTTTTTCTTGTTGTCTACATGTTCATATGGCATTTTTTTGATGCTACAGGACATATTATGAGAAAAATAAGTACGAAATTGCATTTCTGAGTATTTCTGCATTCAAATCGCTATGAATGTCTGGAAGACCCAAATGGCAGGCTCAGACCCAGTGAGATTTCCTATGTCACAACTGCAAGCTCCGCCCCCGGAGCCCCGCTCTGCAGGCCAGACTCTGAGAAATAGAGAGGACGATTGTGGAACAAACGTGTGCGTAAGTGGATTGCAATGTTCGTACGAAAGCTGGTTATGATATTAACTTTCATCATGCCCCTAAAGACATTAGTGTCTAAGAACTGAATAGCCCCTATGTTACCTGCTACTTCTACTCCACCAGCATTGTTAGCCTGCAAGATAGCGCAAAGAGGAGTGTGCAGAGCAGCACTGTCTCTGCCCATGACTCAGAGGCGAATTATCAATGAACTACTGGAGCTCTACAAAAGAAAAGCGATTTTGTGATTTTGGCTAAAACTTCATAACTTGATACCACTTACAGAAGAAAAAAAAAGAAGAAAAAAATCAAAGTGGGGCTTTAACAAAAAAAGACGTTGGGTTGAAGGTTGCTTTCAAATAAAATATTCAGTTTCTAATTGAGTCCTCTTTGCATACCTGACGTCAAAATATGAACTTGTCACCTGCAGCAAACCAAAAATGCTGTCTGCTTCTGTGTGCCATCATCATTTAATCACATACTGGAGTGTGCAGTCAGCTGTCAACCTGAATAAAAACACTACTTCACTGAACGATGTAAGATAGCCTATATATTTGCAGAATAAAAGCTGATTAAAATATTAAATTTACTTGCTTCATGTGACTTTAGCTCCTGAACTTTAGCACACAGCATCTTCAGATCAGGGCTGTGCAATGTCACCTTCATCTTCACACAGGTTTTTTGTTTTTTGCAAGTTGACAGTTATGAGGCATGTTTTGAGCGTCAAAAAAATTAAACACTGTTTATTTAATATTACAAGGGCAGCATAATCTTAGAAATTAGAATTACATAAAACTAACTAAAATACAATAAATTTTAAATCAAAAATTTATCATTTATTTTCCAAATCCACAGGGAGCCTCAGCAGAGGGATAAAAGAGCCACATGTGGCTCAGGAGCCGCGGGTTGCTGACCCCTGCTCTAGAGTAAGGATGGGCAGCATCTACCAAACAGCATTGGACATAAATAATTAACATTGCCCTTTAGTTTCTCAGCCAATTAATTTGAACCGTAATTACCAAAGCATGACAGCAGAAGAGCAGACTACATTAATAAGACACTGAACTCCTTCACAGTCTGTTTGGATCTCATTATAATGATGGTGTGCAAATAAGCTCACCTAGAGTTTATCAATATCAGTGCATTAATGATTGTAGTTCACTAAATAGTGCACCGGTATGACGGTCTCCACTATCATTATAATGCTGTGCAAATAATCTATCCATCCATCCATTTTCCACGACTTATTCCTGTTAGGGGTCGCGGGGGGCTGGAGCCTATCCCAGCACCTTCGGGCGAAGGCAGGGGACACCCTGGACAAGTCGCCAGTTCATCGCAGGGCTCTGTGCAAATAATAATAATAATAATAATAATAATAATAATAATAATAAAAATAATAATGATTTAAAAAAACCTATGACATTAATATCTACACAGTTATACCTAAACAAGTGGGGGTGGATCATAACTGTGGAGAAAGTGATCGCTAACAGAACAGATTCATCTTATAAATGAGCTCATGATGCCACCATCAGGAGTGCTACAATAACAGCAGGTGAGCTTAGCTGGCACAACCCAGATGACAAACACAGAAACAGCTTATTTCATTGAGAAATTCACAACGCCTTGTGTGTGTGTGTGAACATGGAGTCATGTCATTGACATAACCTGCAAGTTCTTCACTGGCATTTTCTTGAGGCTAATAGATTAGCTGGATGCAAAAGGGGTGAGCCGCTCCAGCTCAAACAGGCATCTCAACCTGGCTCTGCCTTCCTTTTCAAGCCAAGAGTTTTTTGTAAGAACCAGCTGTCAGCCAAACAGCCGTGTAGTTTCCGAATGGCAGCGTGCTACTAAAGCTGAACTCAGTAAAACAATTAGAACAAAGTGTGACCACTGCTCCTTTTCAATGTAGAAGCGCTCACCTCTGCCTCAGGAAGATGCCCGCCCATCTGTGTCCCGACCCTGTGCACTCTGTATGTGTCAGTGTGGGGAGGCAGGGGGTGTTCAACAAAAACTAAACTTTGACTGTGTTTAATAGGTATCAGCAAAATTATAGACAAGAACAAGGCTTGTACTTCACCGCTGAGAGGGATCACTGTCTTTACAGGCTGCTTCAGAAACACTGGAAAACACTGGTGTTAGCAGCAGTGCTATGAAGTGCAGTGAAACAATAGATTACCTTCATGAATCAAAAATATCTGCCAAATAATGAAGAGCTGATTATGACAGACTTGTTGTCCTCTTCATTCAGTTTTTAACAGACTGCTCTCATAAGATTAGTCTCCATAGCAACATTCAACTTACTGTCCAACACAAATTCTGTTGTAGTCATCCTTTTCTCCTAATGATAATATGGCAGATCAATGACCCCCTCAACCACCGGGCTGAGAACATTCCCACGAAGAAAAAAGGTAAGGAAAAAGAACAGAAGCAAATTAAAAATGCCCTGACAACCTGTGGATACCCTAAGTGGGCCTTTGTGAAGAACAAAAAGTGAAATAACCTGTGAAAACACGAAAGGGAGAAGAGACGCAAGAGCACTGTAATCCCTTACACTGCAGGCCTGTCGCAAAAACTCAAGAGGATCTTTGGCAAACACCATATTCCTGTTCATTTCAAGCCTGGTAACACACTAAGGCAGAAGCTAGTCCATCCCAAGGACAAAACACCGAGACATAAACAGAGTAATGTGGTGTATGCTGTCCAGTGCAGCGAGGAATGCTCAGACCTGTACATTGGGGAAACTAAACAACCGCTTCACAAGCGCATGGCTCAACACAGGAGAGCCACTTCCTCAGGTCAGGACTCAGCTGTCCACCTTCACTTTAAGGACACGGGTCACTCTTTCGAGGACAGCAATGTACAGGTGTTGGCTCGAGAAGATAAATGGTTTGAGAGAGGAGTTGAAGAAGCCATCTTTACCAGACTGAAGAAACCTTCTCTGAACAGAGGGGGTGGACTCAGGCACAATCTCTCCAGCACTTACAATGCAGTTCTCAACTCTCTCCCCAGGAAGCTCCATAAACATTCACACCTGGGACCACATGACCCAGATGGCATGAATCATGTGGACACATGACAGGGGGGGGACACCCGGAGATGGGTTTCTACGACCCATTCTTTCCAACTCCTTCCAGTCGTTGTTCGTCCCCTTCTCCAGTAAGATAAATATCTGCTCCACACACTAGCAATAATTAGAACTGAAGAAGCTTCTTGGATAAGAGGCGAAACGTCTTCTCAACTCTACACAGTCCAGTTGCCTGTTTTTAAAATCTTCATGAAAACTGCGTAGTAGCAGGCAGCAGCTACACACAACCATAGCAATTTAACACGTGAAGCTGACAGCACTGTCAGTAAAAAAAGAAAATGAGTGCAAACCCCGGCAGAAATGCAGATGAAGACATTGTCGACAACAGTGGCACGAAAACGTTGGTGGTGTGGAGGTATTTTGGTTTTTTGAGGTCGGACATGAAGCAGAGTAATGTGCACTGCAAACTAGATGTTGAATACATGTTCTAGCAAAGTCGGGAAACACCTCAAATCTCTTTCATCACCTGAAACAGTGCCACGTGGCGGAGCACGCATAATGCAAAGGTTACAAACCCCAAGTGGAGCAAGGAGCCCATGGTGCCTGTGCAGCAAAAACAGCTGACCATTCAGTCCGCTTTCTCTAGCGCAACGCCTTATGACAAAATGTCAGAGACACACAGACCTCACAGAAGCAGTAGCTTATTGTATTGCAAACGACATGCTGCCAAAAAGCACTATTAAATTATATCATTTATATCATGATATATATATATATATATATATATCGATATCGACTGATATGAAAAAAAATATATGAAAAAACAAAACAAAAGAAAAACATGATATACTTTTTCCCATATCGCCTAGCCCTATTTGTGGAACGCCATGCAGACCAAGTGTACCTCATGAACCTGAACATGATGTAAAGGGTTGTAAATTTTGTTAAAACACCCAGTCAGACTTGTGTTACCTCTTCTCTATAGAGTCAATGTTGGAGTGAAGCAGCCACAGCTCCTCTGTGTTGTCCTGTCTGGATGACAGGATCAAGTGATGGCCAGTCAGACACAGAGTCCCTTCCACAGTGGGCAGAAAAGGCCGGTGTAAGACTACCCCGTCCACCCTGGGAGTCTTGATCAACTCTGCAAACTCCATGACCTGAGCCGAGACACGGACAGCTGACAGCCCACAGACAGGGAGGAGAAGGTTTGAATGTTTTTCATAAATTTCGACTATTCAACTGGAAAGCTAAAGATGCCACTGCAACGAAACACTCATTGAAAGTCTGTTGTATTGATTAAAAAGACAAAATGAAGCAAAAGTCGTTGTTATTCATCATTAAAACCGAATATTTCTGCATCAATCTGTGGGCTAGCTTCAGTTAGCTTCATTTAGGAAACACGGTGGCTAACCTCAACTAGCTAGCTGCTCCTGAAGACGTTTAAATCATGTCAGGCATTTTCACGTTGATGTCAAGACTTTTAAAACAATTATACCTTAAACAAACGAATGACACATATTTCTAGACGCTTTGTTGCTCTAATACCTGATTTTCCTTCCCGTTTAAGCTGTTGTCGCCCGACACTGGTGCGTTCACAAAAACAAGTCGGCTGCAAACAACGCGGCAGAGACTTGGTTCCGAGACTCGAGCTTTCCAAAACAAAAATGTTGATAATTTATGATGGTTAGGCTACTGATAAATAACAGATTTTGGGGAAACTTTTCAAAGGAGTGAAAAAATTCATATATCCTAGCCATACCAACAAAAGGCTTTAAAAATCGGCGTGTTACTCATACTTCATAACACTAAGGACGTGTTTTCTTGTTGTTGCCCAGTAGTAATCAAAGACTGAATTTAATTAAAAAATAAATAAATAAATGAAATATATATATATATATATATATATATAAATGAAACAACAGAAGTGGACCGAGAACTTCAATATCCTGCTTGAGTTAAAGTAATTTTCATGACAATTTCACTCAAATAGTAGTAAAACTACTAGTCCATAAGTGTTACTAAAAGTGTTTTATGTCAGATTTACTTAAAGAGTGTTCAACCCAAGGCAGCTGGGGTGAAAACAGTAAAATATTCCCCCCGTAAAGTCTTGAAAAAATATATTTGGATCTACCAGGTTAAAGTAGCTTACAAATACTGTGATGAGATATTGTGACTTTAGTTCAAACAAACTCAGCTGGGATTCAAGTTCATTTTTCATGCAGTTAATGAAAAGCTTTTATTGTAATAAGCATCTCTTTAAAAGCTCAATAGCACGTATTCATCTCCTTCTGTATTAGATATCGACATCTTTTTTTTTTTTTAAAGGACACTAGGTGGTGACATTCAACGATTTTTGAGAGAGTTATGGTGCCTAAAACCAAATTGTCAGTCAAGTACTACATAATTCCAGGTATCTGGAGGAAGAATTCTGCACAGTTCTGAGAAATAACTGGTTTTGATTGCAAGGAAAAGGAATATATGTGTGTGTAAGTTATTCTTATGACAAGTCAGTCTGTTAGACTGCACATGCTGGCCTGTGAATCACTAGATACAGACAAAACAAGCTGGTTGAAATTAAACTAACATTTCACACATGCAAATCTGGTATCTGGAAAGGTAGGGAACTGAAAGGAAGCAGCTTGGAACTCCCCACAAAAGGAGGAGTAAATTGGCATCTATAGCGTCTATACAGTATGACTAACAAGCAATTAGAGACCAACGAAGGGGAGGGAAAGGAGAGGAAGTCTCAAGGGGGAGATTTCAAAGAGGAACCCAGCCCTCATCGAATGGCTGGGGATTGAAGAGGAGCCATATGGAAAAATAGCAATTACAGTAAAGTGACAAAAAGTTTCCACACTCTGGGGAACGGCTCAAGTAAGGAGTTTAATAAAACAAGCCCAGTGTTTTTAGACACTGCAATACCAGGTCCGTGCATCAGGGTTAATGAGAGGTTAGTGAAAGGAGGATGTGATGTGTAATGCTGTTTTAACTGTGATAAAGCAAAGGGGAAGCCTTTAAATCAGAAGCAAAAGTCTTACAACCAGAGACAAAAAAAATATAACACAAAAAGCTGTTAGAAATACAATCTGAGTTGATTCACACGTCTTAGGGAAAAAAAGGGTTCCCAGCATCTGTGAGTTTATGCCACAGAAAGAGGATGAAAAAAGCTGTAGCCTGAGGATTTCTTTGAACTTCTTATGCTACCGACGAGGTCTGCCTGCTGAGATATTAAAGCACATGAAGGAACACACATTCTGACACTGAGTGGGAAACACCCCGAAGAGGTGAGCGCTTACAGTAAGTAGAGGCAGAGGAGGGAGAAGAAAAGCAGGCCTGTTTGCTCTTGACACATCATTGTCAGAGTACTGACTGCATGTGTGTGATGTATTGCAAATCAGCAGAGTATTTGCTTCACTTGCAGCTTGTCTCTGGGCTTCAGAATGGATGGTTTTCTCCGCCCAGCACTGCACAGCAGACAAAGAAGAGTACCATTGCCAAGGCTCCATTGAATGTGAAACCTAGTGTTACTTTACAGACTAAATATCTGCTCTTCCTCCAAGGAAAAGGTGCTTTGCTGTGGCTTTTTAAAAAACCATGATAAGCTCATAAAGATTGCTGTCAAAGCAAAAATTCCTGTCACAGCCTCACTTTGGGTATAATAGAGTAACCTGAGCTCCATGTTTTATTTAACGGGGTGCTCAGAGAAATGTGTGGGTGCAGAGAAGATGATTTACTTTAGCACCTGTCATAAATGTTGATTTTTATTGCAGCAGGTGAACATTTGAAAAGATAACACCTGATAAGACACACTTTTATTCTCACTGTAACTTGGATAAATCTGTAAAATTATGAATAAACTTGTCAAAAACACATTTTTGATTAATGCCAGATTCACAGACCTGAATGACTAATGATAACCAGCAACTGTCAATCTGTGATGAAGTTGTAGCCATTAAGAGCCTGCCTGAGTCAGATTTTAACACTTATTGACAAGTTCAGAGCATTTTTGGAAGATTCTCAGGCTAATTTAAGGGTTTGACAGTTTGTACTCACACCCACTCCATTACTTATCCTTCAGTCAGTGACTGATAAAAACAATGTCTTACCCGTCCCTCTGTTCTGTGGGTTTTTTTGGCGTTTGTTCTGCAATGTGATTCTGTTTGGTTATTTTGGGCATGTCCAGTGAATCAGAGCAGTCTGTCACAGCAGATAATGATGACTTGAACGTGGGTGCAGAGTCTAATAACAACTGTTATTTTGGAAGCTCTGTGATAAACTTCTCCGACCAAACACCATCAATCACTCTGCTGTGTCTGAAAGTTTTGTCACCACATTGACTGTGGGAAAGTCTGTTTCTCATTTTGGTGAATGAAAGTTATTGCTTGACCAGTCCAATATGGTCAAAAGGTGGAAAAATGTGACATAAGCTGACACACATTCAGCTGAAGGATTCATCCCTCTTAACATTTTATTGCATACTGAGTATCTGAACCAAATGTCACATGTGCTGCTGTGTGAACTGTCTAAGCCTGAGCAATAATGAATGTTTCCTTGTTTGCTTCCATCAAATTTTCATAGATTATGAGAGCTGCTGGCTTTTCATCTTCTAGTCCTCCTTTCTTGATTGCTGGCATTTCGTATGTAGACAAGACAGACTCAAAGCTGAGATCATTTTTTGAAAGGCGTCACACAAATTAAAGAAGGATTTAGAGATAAGACCCTCAGTATCCCACAGCAGGGCAAACTGCCCTGAGGTGAATGAGCAGGCCAGGAACAATAATGAAATTGTGCACTGATTTTTTGACGATCTGCTACGATACAATACGATATGATACAGTACGATATGAAACCAAACAACACAACAGCATATTTAATGCTGATGATGATGCCATTGGGATACGATATAATATGATAACATGGTTAGCACAATATGATATTATGATACAGTATAATAAGATACAGTGCAATACAATTTGATACAATATGATTTAAAACAATAACAGGATACAATGCATTATGATGCAATGGGTTACAACACTATACAATATGACATGATATGATGCAATACCATATTATATGATAAGATGTGATATGATTGGATATGATATAATGCAACATGACATGATACAATATAATATCATACAATACAATAAATTAGACATGATTAGACCATAGACTGTATATACCATGGACAACTTGGTTCCGCCTCCCACTAGTATATGAATTTGAAGCCGACTTGCTCTTGGTATTTCCAGGATTTTCTCCACTTCCTGAAACCAACACTTGCACAGTAGCATTGTACGCACTCCACCACTTGCGCAGTAGCATTGCACGCATTCGTCGGGAGGGTTGCCGAGAGTCACTGTGATGACACTCGGCTCAAACAGCAGGTGAGCTACGCAATCTTTGTACTCCCATAGGCTGTATCAAGTGTCAATCATAGAAAACATGAACCCCCAAATAACTTTTAGAAATAGAGCTGCACAGAAAAAAGAGGACTTGAGCACAAACCAGTCTCACAGTAATTACATGTCAACATCGCAAGCAGGGGGGAGAAAAATTTATATCCTGTGTATAAATTTCTAAAGTTTGTCCACAGCCCCATAGGGATTGCTGGAGGCTGCGGGATTTATGACCTTTACTGCAGCCTGTCACCAGAGGGTGCTGTTCTCGTGGTGGCTTCACCCAGCGAGGAGGCAGATGGTGTCCTCTCTATATACAGTCTATAGATTATACATATTTTGATATGATATGGACCAAGGTATGATTCGTTATTTTTATCAGACTATCAGATACAAGATGGTGAGGTATATTTAGATACAACAAGATATGATACAATAGGACAGGAAACAATATGATATGACACTGTGCAGGCATGGACCAGTTAACACCACAAACAACATAGATTGCATTTTAACCAACCTACCCACAGTATAATTTGTGTTACTTTATTCTTGCAAGTACTTGTCAGCTATTAAACGTCTAGTTGGTTGCCTGTCCCTGATAATTAGATTTAAAACATTTAGTGTTGACATACTTTTGACATTTTAAGGTCTCTTTGGTCTCAGTGATTGATACAAAACCATGAACTTTTTCAGCGTGATGAAATTTGACCCAAGCAGTTAACCTGACGAATGTTATTTAGTACCATTTCCACCTCTCTTCGAAATGCCTACACAGCCTTAATGAAATCTTTGACTTTTCAAACCCAAAGTGATTTCATCCTTTCTCTGTGGCCAGGATCTCCTCTGCTTTGTTGTAAAATCTTCCTTAACCTGAAAAAGACACCATACAAAGTGGGACCTTCTATGTTGTGATAATGTGTAGGATAAGCACCTTAGTTAGCTTATGAAGCAAAAAAAAACTGACACAAGCTGACTTATCATTGGCATGTACTTGCACTGATTCACAGCCCTGAAGGACAGAGACATTTTAAGAATAAATAACATTTAATAAACATCATTTTCTATTATGCATCATTGATTTGCCCCATCTGCAAGCTGCTTAAAGGATGCACGATATACAGTGTATTTGAAGGACAGCTGGCCACAAAGCATCATTCCTCCTTCCTCATGCAGGTTGGGTAGAAATCAAACACACAATCTGTCTGATTTATTTAGCCCACACCTACCTAACCTGCCTCTATTCTCAAGAGACCTCCTGCTGCCTTGTTTTCTTTTTTGAGTCTTATACACACTCAGGTATGGCCTCAGATTTTTTTTAAATGCCTATTTTTTGCCTTGTTAAGTGGTTTTTGACACATATAAGAAAGAATTGATTAAAATTTTGAAAGGATGTCTTGCAGTGTGGTTGTTTGAGTGCTATACTAAATGGACTCCCATCTCCTGTGAACATCACAGCTCAGTGTGACTTCATAGTGTGCAGCTCTGGGGGAATTGTGGAGGCCTGACAGCCCAGAGGAAGAGGAGAACATGAAGGCTATTCAGATGAAACAGGTTTCATGATGTGCACACCATCGCTGTCTCTTGTGTGAGATCGTTCTTAGGTAAAAAAAAAAACAGTTTTTCTCAGTAATCTCGGCCCTTGGGAGCAGACTATTTTCTGGTGCTTTTCATGCAGCATCACTCTGACTTCTGCATTTCTTAAAAACAAAGGACTTTCCTCTTCTGCTGCACCAACCTGGGTGAATAAAAATGGACCAGTCTGCCGTGAGAGGCATTGGTATTAATGGAAAACTAAAAACAATCCAATTCTGGATGATGTGTGTTCAGCATACTGGAACATATGGTTGTTTTTGTGGTAGCCTCCAATCAAATTAAAACCATCCTGGTGAAATCTTTGCTTGACCTAGTTTTAAAGTAACTCTGTTCATGAAAATTGCACTCTGGTAGTGTTTTCTGTATTGTAACGAAGTCTAGGCGAAATGCAGGCACGTAAAACTGGATTAATGTAGTTTCGGGCTTCATCTCTCTTTGTCTCTTGATATCACTGAGTCTGGTTTTACAAAGAAAGAAAGTCATGTTTTCCCTCTTTGTAATGCCTACTGTCACTGGACCCTTAAAGACAAAGATGACTAAAAAATATCATGCTTTATACTGATATTTGTGGTAGCCTACGCCGTGTAGGAGTTGCCGAGGACTGCTTTCAAATTAGTTATGTATGATTTTGTGATGATGAAGTTCTACCTGTTTGACTCATTTTACAAATATGAGAACCTGAAATCACAAATGCAAACACTGGTACTGGGGCTCTCAGAGAAGTCAAAGACATGGAGAAGGCAAATTAAAGCTCCTGTGAGGATCCTTTGGTATGTGTCAACTTTGGCACCCAATGTTGACAAAGCAGACTTTGCTTATCTTATCCTTTTTGTGCCTAAGTTATGTGGTCTGACAAAAATCTTGTTACAGTCAAATGTATCATGTTTTGTCAATATTGAACATGAAGATGTAAAAGCCTTGCTGTCCTTTCAGTTGCACTGCCGACACCTGACCCCTCACACTGGTTCCAGACCATAGACTGTATATACTATAGACAACTTGGTTCCGCCTTCCGCCAGTATATGGATTTGAAGCCAAAAAGCTCTCAGTAATTTCATGTTTTTTATCTCCATTTCCTGAAACCAAGGTGCAATAGCGTTGTACGCATTCAGCGGGAGAGTCCCTGTGATGACGCTCAGCTCAATCAGCGAATCCCCTTCATATGCCCATAGGCTGTATCATGTGTCAATCATAGAAAACTTTAACAACCTAATAACTTTTAAAAACTGAACTGCACAGAAAAAAAGAGGACTTGAGCACAAACCAGTCTTAGAAATACTACATGTCAACATCGCAAGCAGGGGGGAAAAACATGTTCTGTGTAATTAATTTCTAAAGTTTGTTCACAGCACCATAAGCTTTGCTAGCTTGGCGGGATTTATGACCTATACTGCAGCCTGTCACCAGAAGGTGCTGTTCTCACAGTGGCTTCACCCAGGGAGGAGGAAGACAGTGCCTATACAGTTAATGTTCCAGACATTAAAAATTACAGCAAAACACTATAAATTTTGTTGCTTATGGTCATGTTTGCTCAATATTAATGGTATAGTAAAGAAACATCACCAGAAATTTCAGTCCATTCAAAAACTCCTTACAGGAGCTTTAACAGTGAAACAAAAAACACTCACACTCCTAAATGAAGAGTCTTTAAAACAAACGATGGTTTGTTAACTAAATACTGTTTTGTGACTACATATTGCTTTATGTGTGAACAAGTTGTCCTTGTATCAGTTCCTTAAAAAAGAATAATGGTGTGTTATAGGGTTCAAGAAATGAAGTACAGGAGGGGGAAAGGACGACTTGTGGCTGTCTGAGCGCCATTTCAGCACCGGACAGCTCCCATCAAATCCTGGGGTAGCGCGCGCAGCAGGCAGGGGGGCAGAGGCGGCCATGATCCAATCAGCGTCACACTAGAAGTGACCCCGCGAGGCAGCTCAGCGGGTTCATTCTAATCACTGGGTTGCGGAGCTTACAGCGGAATCACCAGCTCTTTGCTCGAACATGCTACCAGAGGGGGAAAACGTCACTTTTCAGGAAAATGTTTAACTCATTGACTGCTGGGGGAAAAGAATGGTGCAGAAAGGCGGGAAACCCATACATGTCTCTATAGCAACCGTTGTACAGATGTATAGATCCACCTATAGATAGTTTATGTCTCCTCCTGGGAGACATGGTTGCTCTTGCGCCAAATATTTGCTGATAGGAAATAGGCCCGAAAGTTTCATTGCAGTTTGTCCTAACCTACAATAATTAAACGAGAAACACTTAACAGGAGATAAAGAGCAGTTCAGCCTCTTTTAGGCTTCTCCTTAAAAACAACAACAGTCATTGCAGGATGCTTTTTTTCCGTCAGTATGACAGCCTTCTTCACAAAACGTGAACGCTTAACAGCCGAAATCGTTCAAACAATTGCTTTGGTGGTGGCGAGGCATGTTGCATTACATCATGCAGTCCTCTCCTGCATATTTGGGGGCTTCAAACGAGACACTAGATGGCAACCACGTTGAGAGGGAGAGGCGGTGAGTGCGTGCGTGCGTGTGTGTGTGTTTGTGTGTGTGTGTCAGAGAGAGAGAGAAGGGGAGAGAGAGAGAGAAGGAGGAGGAGGAGGAGGGGGTGAATTACGTCGGCGTGGGACAGTGGAGGGACGGTCTGCTCCTGGCTTGCAGCTGGAGGAGGGCTGCAGAGAGGGGAAACAACAGAGCAGCAGGGGATGAGATTAGCGCACAGGTAGAAATTGGTCGAGCACAGTTGGATGGGCGAGTTGTGAGTGAAATTGTGTGAACTTGTAGATTAGATAATTGAAACCAGGTGGGATTAGCTCTGCAGTGGAGGGAAAAGCAGGAAAGATGTGCTGCGTCCGTGGCGCCTCTCGTGCGCTTTCTGGGGACACAGTGAGCCACGCGCAGACACCCCGCTTTTAGATGGCTCCAATATTTGGGGTGCAAAACAGGTGTCAGGGAAGTGTCGTCACGAACCCCGGAAGCCGGAGGAGGTGGGAACATCAGAGGGAAAGATGGCAGCGAAATCCGATGGTCGCGGGGTCGTCACCGGTTTCGCCCAGCTGCACAACCTGGACGAGGTGGTGGGGACGGGAGAGGACGACACGCGGGATGGCAGCTCATTCCACATCTGCCATTGCTGCAACACCTCGTCGTGCTACTGGGGCTGCCGGAGCGCGTGCCTGCATTACCTCCGGGGGAAGGGGAAGGGGAAGGGGAGAGATGCGGCGCGGCCACCGCAGGAGCAGCGCCTCTGGCTGGACTGCCTGTGGATCATCCTGGCGCTGCTGGTGTTTTTCTGGGACGTGGGGACAGATCTGTGGCTGGCCGTCGACTATTACCACAAGCAGGACTTCCTGTGGTCAGGCCTGACCCTGTTCTTCGTGCTGGTGCCCTCGGTGCTAGTCCAGATCCTGAGCTTCAGGTGGTTTGTGCAGGATTACACAGGGGGTGGACTGGGCTCCGTGGAGGGGCTGAGTAGTCGAAGAGCTACGGCCAGTCTGCAGAGGGATAGGTGCTGCCGCCTGTCTGTCTGGGTCTGGCAGACCGTCATACACATCTTTCAGATGGGACAAGTGTGGCGGTAAGACAAACTCAAAGTTTTCCCTTGAAAAGAATCAGTTTATTCCCTAAAGCGCGGCGCTCCCAGCGCCTCTCTCTCCCTCTCCCCCTCTCCATTCACTCCTTCTCACCTCTCTCTGACTGTCACCTGGTATAACCCGGTGTGTACATGACCGGGGTGAGAATCAGCACCATGGTGATGCCATTACGCACTCACGCTCTCTTCTCTAAATCTTTTCAATGAACCTCCATACATTCAAATCTTCTGCAACGAATTTCTCAATCTGAACCAAACATGTCCACAAAAACTCATCCAGCGGCTGCACACACATCGCACTGTTGTGGTTATTTCCTTACAGTGCGCCATTGCGCTTGTGTGCGGTGGGAAGAGGACTATTCGTTCAGAGACGGACAGGTAGTAGCCGAAAGCTTGTGTGTATGTGTGTGCGAGTGTCTGAGTGTGTGTCAGACGCGCCGTTCACACCACCGTGCATCACACACAGTCGCCTCAATTCACCCCCTCTCTCTCTCCCTCCTTTTCTCACTCTCTCACCCTCCCCGCATTAAAATCTCCAACTCTGCAACCAGAGGCCAGACGAGCATCTGTTTTCACGGCTCACAAAACTACATCTTCCCCCCACAGACATGATGTCATCGATTCCTCTGCGACGCTCCACATCTTTGGTCCCCAAATCCGCTTTTTGGCCACACAAATTGCTGCGTCTGGGGGAACGCGGGGCAGCTCAAGGTGTACATCCCTCTGTGCGTAATCTGTGAGATGTAGCTGCCTCAGTTGTAGTGAATGTGACACCGGTGCGCGCACATTTGGTCCATCGAGGCTGTTCGGGGTGAGCTTGAGAGCAGCGAGTTGTTTTGGTGCAGACAGACGCAGTGGCTGGCATTTAATGGGAAAAAAAAGTAACGCATGACGGCTGCTGCGAGAGGACTGCCAGCGGCTGGAAAAATGTAAAGCAGTACACTGAGAGCTCAGTGCGAAGGGTCAAAGAATTTCATCCGGACGTTTAGCTTTTTGTAGTGTTTTTGTGCATCAGATGCAGAACTTGAAACCTGATTATGTCACACTGTTTGTGTTTGACAGCTGCCTCCTCTCTTCATCAGACGATTTAATTGTCTGAGCCATGGCTGTGTTGTAATCTCATGCACGAGAACATTTGTGCCACAGGCTGAATTACTCACATGCAGACTGGCAGTACAATCTGAGTGGAATCTCACTGACCTTTTCAGAATTAGATATCGCCAAAAGCCTTATATTTAGCCAGTTTGGGCTGAAAACAAGCAGTGTTTCTCTTCTGTTAGGCTAAAAGAACATATTCACTTATGTTCAAGTCTAATTTATTGTGTTGCACATCTCCCTGTCAGGATGGGTTTCCCAGAGAGAGACGGTCCACTCTGTATTCCTCATCAGACTCATTTTGAGCTGCACCTGAAGCCTCTTGTATTGATTAGCTGCAGATGTGTTGGCTTGATTTTATTTACTCCACCGGTACGCTTCAATTGATTATGTTCTCATACCTGTAGCAGAATAGAAGAAACAGAGATTCTTGGAACAAAGTCAGACAAATTATGATCAAGAGTTAAGTGACTGAGACCTGTCAGTGGAAAGCGTTAACTGGACTTAGACTTGCGTTCTAGTCACATGACATGAAGGCTAACTGGCATATTGGACATATGGTCACAGCTCATGCTATCCTTGCACACTTTACTCAAAGTCTATCTTTGTTTAAAAAATGTGAAGATTAATGTAGTATGGAGCTCATACTACATTAGCTTAGCATCTGTAAAATTTGTAGCTAACAGGTCTAAACACTGAGCAACCATGATATGTCCCAAGACTACTGAAGGCTAACTGGCATATTGGACATATGGTCACAGCTCATGCTATCCTCACACACCAATAGTACCTTAAACATCCTTAACCCATCGCAAGTCAAGAACATGCGCCATTTAATCTCACTAGCTGCTGCTCAGCTATCCCTGTTCATCAAATTAAAGACCTGCGATGTAACTTCAGGTAGGCCAAAAGAAAGTTAGCATTTTCCAAAGAGTTCAAAAAAAGAATTTAGAAAAGTCCTCTGCAATATGTAATACCATAGATTTTACACGCAATACAAGTGTCTATTTACAGCCAGCTCCCGTGATAACTAGATTACATAACCTCAAAACGCCAAACTGCAGTTTTAGGTGCTGGTTCTTATCAAAATGACAAACTATAACACAATGATTTATGAGCTCTGGAAACCAGTAAATGGATTTTGTTAACTCTGGAAATAGACAAACCAGCAATCTCCACCTGTGCTAAGCTAACTAGCTGCTATAGAAAATTAAATGTATTTGGGAAACAAATGGGGAGTTATTTTTAAGACTTTTGGACACATTTCTTTTCATATGGTAAAATTGCTATTGCAAGGTTAGCCATGTGAATCTCAAACACTTGTAACGGGGGTAAACAGCCAGCTAAGCTGTGTCTCATAGCATCATTTGGAGCTCTGATTTAGGTGTTTTGTAGCGACCTCAGACGACTTCAAAGACCAAATATAACAAAATGCTGAGGTCCAGTTCCACGGCAAAAGTATTTGGGAGACAGAATGGTGGATTTCTGAGAAAACTAACAGCTGAGTTAGTGTGTGACTTTCAAAGGTCCACTTCACATGTTTTGTTTAGTTCATTCTTTACACTTAAATACGCTCACACTTTAACAAAAGGTAGAGTGTGTGTGAAGCTATGTTAGTTAATTTGCTTGCTTCGTTCTAAAGCTAGCTTTAACCCATGTAACCCTAAAATGGCACATTGTTGTTTGGATGTTTTTTGTTCTTATTGAGCAAACAAACAATGGTGTGTAAACTATTTCTTTTATCAATAATTTTGAGTTATATAGTTTTTATAGATGGTGTCAGTTCACTTGTATCAGTTTCTATGGTCAGATGAGCTTCCATGAGCACTGAAGAGGGTCCTAAATTGCTTGTAATGGTTTAAAAAGACAACAATCTAATCAGAAACTGTACGTTGATCATTAAATATTCACCTCTCACTTAAATGTTTTGGTAAAGGAAAAGAAAATAACCAAAAGAACACTTATCCAGACTAAAAAAGTAAAAAACAAAACAAAAAGAAAATTCAGTGAACACAATGTGTTGGTGTCTGTGTTGTGACACCACAAAGCCTGAGGTAAAGGATCTTTGTCAGGACACTGTTTCCTTTCAGACATGTTCTGCCTGCCTGGCTGCTGGTTTTGGAGGGTCAGGGGTCAAAAGCTGCTCTTGTCAGCTTAGTGGGAGTTCACAACCCCAGACCCATGGGACTAACACTTGGTATGGAGATGATTTCCCAGCCTGAGAGGCTCAACTGTTAATGGATACCATATGCTGTAATTTTCAACCCTGTACTTAGCTTATTTTGGGTTTGAGTTCTTAAGGATGATGTAATTTGAAGATTATATCTTAGCTAATAATATTCTAATGTTTTGACACAACAGTTGGAGTAAATGGTAATTTTCAGTGACTGGTTTTCAAAGCAGCTATCAAGACCAGCCTAAATGAGATGCTAAAGTATCAGTTTGTGAAATATTTTGCCTTCATTAATGTGAGAAAATGAGATGAAATGCTGACAGGAGTCAAAAACACCGCCTCATCATGTCTCATTACTCAATCTCATTTTCAGCTCTGCTTTCAATTAGCTGCTTTCCCTGCGAGCACCTGAGGACCGAGCTGATGAGAGGATCTGCGAGCCTGTTTTTTTTTTTTGTTATCCCCTTGTTAATCGTTGACTGAACAGTGAGGATTCCTCTCCCACTGGCTCTTTCGTATCATCCTCCCGTGAATCACCAACAGCAACGCCGCTGCCGGTTGGTCCCCTTAAGCTTCAGAGATTCTGTTCACATACGTTACGGCACACTGAGGATCTCACTCTCTCAGTGGTCTTCTGGCTGTGCGATGGACAGCTTAATCAGTGTAAGCCCAAATTAGCGTCCGACTGAGAAAGAACTGCATCCATCTTTGGCCTCCCAGAGGAAATCCATGCAGGAAGTTTTGGGAGCTCTTTGTAGTTAGAAAATCCCAGCAGAGTTGGGTGTAGTGTAGTCCTTATTTCCCCTTGAAATACTCATGTGATGAAAATATCAGGCAATGCACAATTGCTGGTTGTTTCTCAGAAGCAGAGAATTTTGTAAAGGGTGGGATTGTGTCAGCCTGTATGCAAGGATTGGGGACCATCTTTACATGAAGATGTATCTGAGAGCCCCTCTAGACCCATGTGAATCGTCAGTGTATGCATATAAAAGTGTTATCATACAGAGCTTGTTGATTTACAGCTATTCTCACTGAAAAGACTGCCAGTCTCATGGGTTTTTACAGGAGCTGTCCAGTGCTGAACTCAAGCTCAGGTTTAAACTTGGCTTCATTTTGCTACTTACACCAAGATAAACTCATGAGTGTTGCAGTGTGTATGAGCATACTATATTATATTGACTTATACAGACTTGATTGCTGTCATACAGTCTTGTTTAACACTGCGTTGCACAGCACCCAAATCTGTGCAGGGAGATGTTTCATGAGATATCCTGAGTGATGTTGGATGTTGTGTGATGTTTGCTGCACATTTGGAGTCTTGTGAAGTCTAGGTGGTGACTATAGACTGTATATAGAAAGGCCGCCGTCTGCCTCCTCACTGGGTGAAGCCACTGTGAGAACAGCACCCTCTGGTGATGGGCTGCAGTATAGGTCATAAATCCCACCTCCTCTAGCAATCTTTATGGAGCTGTGAACAAACTTTAGAAATGAATCACCCAGAATATAATTTTTTCTCCCCCCTGGTTGCAATGTTGACATGTAGTTATTGTAAGACTGGTTTGTGCTCAAATCCTCTTTTTTTCTGTGCAGCTCCATTTTCAAAAGTTATTAGGGGGTTCATGTTTTCTATGATTCGATACAACCTATGGGCGTACAAAGATTGTGTAGCTCCCCCGAGGATATGCTGTTTAAGTAGAGCATCATCACAGTGACTCTTGGCGACTCTCTTGCCGAATGGGTATAATGCTATTGGGCAAGTGATGGAGTGCGTAAAACGCTACGGTGCAATGTTGGTTTCAGAAAGTGGAGAAAAAATGCGGAAATACCTAGAGCAATTAGGCTTCAACTTCATACAATGGCGAAAGGCGGAACCAAGTCGTCCATAGTTTATACAGTCTATGGTGGTGACCAATGGCAGGTGTGGAAATGAAATTAATGCAGAAGTGCAAAAAACTGCAGTTCTTTGAGTGTCCACTAGAGGCTGGCTTTAACAACACAGGAAACGATATCAGGTCTTGTGTTAAAATGTAGAACTTCACAGCAAAAACAAAGCCTGGTACATATATATATATATATATATATATATATATATATATATATATTGGTCAGTGCAGCTCAATTATGCTCTTACACACCGCACAGGGGGTAAAAGACTGTTTTACCTCTGCCTTTGACTGCTTTCATCAAAAGTTAGGCTGAGTCAGCATTTTTCATATGGGTGCCACCATTGTTGGGCGTCACAGCATATCCATCCATACTAAAGTCTATGTTTGTAAAGAGCAAACGAAAGCAGGCTTCAGACTCTCATTCCAGCCATCAGCTGTATTAAACTTGTTGTGCTGGTCTGAGTTTGTGTCTTCAAAGTAAGTATGTCCTCTAAAATGAATGGAGTAGATGGTTGGGTTTAAGTAGGGTTACAGAGGGAGATGCATGTTAATGACTTTGTTTTTCATTATGTTGGACTGAGTGTGTGGGTTGTATCATCATCTGTTTTACAGTGTTTAAACACATAATATATTCCAGATCACTGCCAAAAGCCAGCTCACTTGAGACTCCTAATTCCACTTTGGTAGGACTAAAACAAGAGTACACTGAGTATGATAAATATGCTGATAGAGAACCAAAATTGTATATTCAACTCCACTGTCAAGGAATTCTCCACTCCAGCAGCAGCCCAAAAATTGGGGACTCCCCCTTCTTCCTTTTGCAACTGTACAAAATGTTTTAACACTGCAAATCTGATGCTTGGATTACTCTTTAATCCCAAACAAGAGTGCGCTCACCAGTGAGCAACACGAAGAAATCGCCTCATGGTTGACATCTGCCTCTGTTCCCCAGCCTGGTAAATATTAATACAGACTGGGAAAGGAGTCGACAAAAGCCTCTCTTGGCTGGCTGAGCTGCTTGTAGTTGCCAAAAAAGGTTTGTACACGCAGCGAAGCGAGACATTGAGATGATACAATGCAGCCAGCTGCCCTGTCAAGAGAAAAAAACAGCTGAAAGGGTGAAAGAGAGGAAAAAGATGAAGACTCAGATAAATTGGTTACCATCCATGTAATTATGTATTGAGAGTTTAAAATGGCGAAAGATGAGTACATCTTGTTCCAGCTACAGAGGAGGCACTGGAGTATTTTAGGAGTGAAGGAAAAGACTGACAGATGACTGGCTTTAATGGGCTGTCTTTCAACTTCTTTATCAATAAGTCTGGCAATTTCATGTGAAAAATCAAAGTGTTTCCATTTTTATGGAAATATGAGGAGAAATATTTGTCTCTTTGTCCTTTTATTTACAGAAAACGCAAGAAAACCAAAACATTTTGAAGAATAACAAAGAGCTCAGATAAGAGGAGGGAAAGAAGAGCTATCTTTATTAAAGCACATATCTGACTGTGCTGTGTGTGTTATTTACAGACAGAACATTAAACTTCCATTGCTGCGCTGGAACATCTCTGTGTTACACTACTCATTTTCTCATTAGCACTGATAACAGGGGACAGACCCTTTAAAGCAAGAGCTCCAAGGAAACCCACCAATTATGTGACAGAGGCTCCCGTCAAAACGCAGGAAAAAGCCCGCTCTCACAGCTGGAGGTAAAAGAGACAGAAAGCGTAAACAAGGCGGAAATACGTGCTCCAGTATTTGGAGAAGAAGAGGAAAAGAGAGGAATCTAAAAAAAGGGGGTGAATTGCTGTTTTGGTTCAATGTCATTGAGATTTGATTTCAAGCTGGGTTATTGAATTACAGCATATTGCTGGAAAATGTTTGATTTAGACTCTGATTCAGCTGTGTTCTTTAAACCCCAAAATGTTAAACCTCTTAATAAATACATGAATGTACTTTTAAAAAATCTCCTCCTCCAGCAGAATCCGCTCTTACCCGTGTATAAAGAGGTAAAACCCAAAACAAATCAGCCGCTAACATGTGAACTGATTGCAATCCCATTTCCAGTGCGGATGACACTGGCTGTTTCTGCAGAGAGCTCTTAAGTTCAGAGCTGAGTGAATGAATAGGGATAAAGAGCCTATGATGATGCTTGATTTAACCGCCTCAGGCTTGCCTCCTGAGCAAAACAATATTTTGTAGTAGAAGCCTGAAGGCTCTGGTGTTACATACTTGCTGCTTCTTAAAAAAACCTGGTCACCAGACACAGACAGGCTGAGGCTGATGGAGGAATAACAAGCACACAGGCAGATGGGTTACCAGACTGGGATTTGTATGCACATCACATACATGAGTGTACAAGCACACATGTAAAACCCCACCGCAGGGATTTGACAGTAGCTCTTTTTTATACACCTTCTTATATGCAGTCTCACATCATAGCTTCTCTTTTGCTCAAGGATACACAGAACACACACCTTGGCAGATTACTCATTTCTATGTCCTGTTTCTTTAGGCGCTTAGATCAGAGAGAGGTAGCACCATTTGTTGACAATGAGCTCCTCCCAAGCACTGGCTCAAAAAAGCCTCCTCCTGCCTGAGCGCACTTAAAAACACATCAGTGAGCCACACTGATACACAGGTCAGCATGTTTTTCTATTAAATTAACAGGCAGAAAGATTATTTAAATTTAATATCAAAGAAAAAGGGGTCTCAACAGAGTTCCAATTGTGTGGTCATCTAAAACTGAAAGTAGTCACCAATATGACAGTTCTATGTGACAAATTTTTCTGGCTGAAAAAAAAACTGCCAAGGAGAGAAAACTGTAGTTCCTAAAGGAGAACTTAACATATTTGCAAAAAAATCTTGGTCTTTATATTATATTTAGTACCTAAGGATTTTACCAGGAATTAGAGGAATATAATAATAATAATAATAATAATAACAATAATAATAATAATAATAATAATAATAATAATAATAATAATAATGTTTTTTATTATTATTATTAGTAGTAGTAGTAGTAGTAGTAGTAGTAGTAGTAGTAGAAGTAGTAGTATTTTGAATATTGAGAACAGAGTCACAAGTTTTAATGAAAAAGTCAACATTTGTTGAGTGGAGGGGTCACTTTTGTTGCAGATGTTTGTTGATGTTTTTCTTCTTCTACTTCCATTACTTCTTTGCTTGGAGGCATACTATCTAATTCGTGATTAATTTTTTGTAACAAGGGATAGACAATATAAGTTTGCTTCTTTCTGCCCCCTTTCATTCAAGAGTTACAGTATTGTCTTTTTTATGAGTTTTATATCTTGTTTTTATGCTTAATAAATGAATGAAAAAATCAAACTAAACTTAACTTTTCTGCATGCAACAGTTTTTCTGGTAAGATGTGAAGATTAGAGGTCCTAAGCTACAATAATTATAGTCAGCTAGACATTTGAAAATGACAATACTAATAGTCATAGTATGATATGCACAGTTGAGATAGGGAAAATAATCTCAGATAACACAGTTTATGCTCACTTTTTCTCCCTCAGCTGATATGATTCACTGTATTCTCCTCATGGGACCTTTAAGTACCAAAATGACGATCAACAACCAATCAATGATACTGCAGCCAAGTTACTATTGATGCAGAACATGATAGAAAGAAGAAAGCTTAAAACAACAGTACAGTTTTATCAGAACTAAATGTTTCAGCATCAGTATGAACCAGTAGTTAATGTGGGTGATACAGTCATTACTAAAGGGACGGTCCATCACACTGTTGGTTTTGGCCATCCAGAGCCAGCCTTATCTTTTCAATTTGACACGTGTTTTCTAGATTCAGATTATTTGCTTCTGCCTTTGCCCACATGTTTACACTCGCTGTTTCTGTCTGCTATCACTGCAGCATGCATGCTTGCAGAACTTGGCTCCCGATGATGATGATAATGTTGGATTTATTGACTATGAAGGCAGCTGTTTGTTCAATGTGGTGTGTGTGTGTGTGTGCGTGTGCCCAGTTCTGTTTGGCAATTATATCGGCTGCATGAGTTCAATTCACCCTCCTCCCTACAGCTGACTGATATTTCCACTCTCCTCTGGACTAAAAGCTAAATCTGTTCTGCTGCAACTTCCTCTCCTCTCTGCACATCAAGAAGCCCTCACTACAAACACACAGTGCATGTGGTGTGATGTATATTTTTTCATATAACTCCACTCAGAGAGGATCATTACCTGGGCCCTGAGTGAGTTAAAAAGCTCACACAGAAAGGCCATTTTTCATCTGGATTCCCCAGTCTAATAGTTAGACTCCTATGCTTATATATTTATGCTTCCCTTCCTCCTGAAATAGGTGAGGCCTTCCCTCCCTGATGTGCTCTTTGAGATCATCGTGTGTTCTCTCTGCACCGTCTCTCTATCCATTAGCGCTCCTCATATGCTCAAGCCACCACATTACCGTCTGCCCTGCTTGGGAAGTTAACATATGTTTTTTTTATTTTTATCCCTCCCTATCACTTACACCTATTAATGTTCTTAGGCTCCTCGTAAAGCCTTTTATCCCCCTCCATCCGTCCTGAAGGAGACACCACACTGTGCGTTCCTCTTATCCTCTCATTATTTGAGTTTGAAGGATTGCTCTTTCCACACTGTGAGCTAAAATCCTGTGTCCCTCACCACAAGTTAAAGTCATAATGCCGCCTCCGTCCCCTCCATCTTTTCTCTTTATGTCTGTGCCTCTCTCCCTGTGTTGCCTTCACATAAAGCTGCACTTGACCTCCATTTCTGTCAAGGAAACTGGAGCATCTGCCTCCTGCCCCATTACAACTCAACTCCTCCTCCTCCTCCCTCCTTCCTTCCCTGGCTCCTTCATCCTTGCCTTACCACCCATCTCTTTCTCCCCACAGAGCCCATTTTCAGATCTCTGCACCTTTAGTTCTTCCTTTCTGCTCCAGCTCTCCCACAAAGCATTTCATTTCTGTGAGAAAAGAGCTACACGTCAGTTTAAGAGTCCACCTGTGGCTGCATGGCTCTCTCTTCACACCACATGCCATTTCTTTGGATTTGCAGCTTGTCACAGACGCTTGTTTATGCTCTGCTGAAAAAACGACACGCAATAGAGCAAATCAATACCAACAACTGCAAAAGGGAGAGGCTCTGGATAACACTATGAAGGGTCTTTAAAGGTGCATTAAACCAGTTTCTGAGATCACCCTGAATCACTGGGATACTGTGAAAATGATGCTAGCAGTGCTGATCCCACTGAGAATCATCCCTCAGTGCAGCTTTCAGCCACTTTTTAGCTCAAGTGAAAACAATGTTCACATTCAGCCAGGAGAAGCTGCTCTCTGCCCAGGAGATCAAATCAGCTGGTTGTACACAACCTGCCAAGAGAGAAGCAGAAGAAAACAAGCAGCAGAGGAAGAAGTCTCACATTAAGAAACCTCAAACATCAAGTTTTGATGATTTGTATGACAGCCTTTTCCTAAAATTATAAAAGAAAACACACAACGAAGCAAGAGACAAAATCACAGAAACAAGCTGAGAGATCACGACTATGCAGCTTCAAAAAGGAATCCAACAAGATGGCAAACATGCTTTGTTTGTTAGTTTACAAAGTGCTAAAAATATGAGACCTTTTTCCTTTTTTTTAGTCCAGATCAAGCAGCACCTTCAAGAGCTGAAACATGAAGCCAATTGAAAAGTGCAAAGAGCTGCAGTTCTCTGAGTGTCCACTTGAGGCTTGCTTCAAAAGACAAGGAATCCCCATTAAAATGTCTAACTTTGGTCGCTTTCACGCTAGCTTCATTTGGTCCAGACTTTTCAGTGTGATCCGAACCAAATTTTCATGTGTGAACACTCCTCTGGTCCAGACTTCTGTCGGACCAAAAATAAGCAGACCATGGTCCCCCAAAAAGTCGGGACTCTGTCCGGTTTGCTTCAGGTGAGAATGTAACTGGTCTTTTAATAGGACCAAATACAGGAAGCAAACCAAAACAGCAGTGCATCATGGGTTGAAGTCGGATGTATGTTCCCATCTAAGAGAATAGGAAGCGGAGGGTCTGTGAATAGAAGCCCACGTTGTAATTTATCACACCAAAACATCGGAAACTACTGGCAAAAGGACTGGTTACGTCAGAAATCAATACTACAGTCGTTAATGATTCACATCCCATCCCTAGGTTGACTGGTTAGAATTCACGTAATGTTGAAAACATAACTCACTCATCTTCTGTGTGATAAATACACAGAAAACATATCATAGGCGCCCGCCTTCTCCTTTGGTAACGTGTCCTCAGAATCATGTCATACAGTCTACGGTCATGACTCACATGTCTCCATCTGTCCTGGTTGCAGCACCATATCAATATAATAGCTATCAAAGCCAATGCTACACGCTGCTGCTTCTCCATTGTTGATGGGGGGAAAAAAAATGACAGAAGGTGATTTGCAAATTTTCTGACCAATAGCTGAACGACTTGTAGACCACATGTGATTTGTTTACAAAAAAGTACATTTTGACAATTGACAACCGGACCAAAACTTAATTGCAATAATGTATAATTTCTTCCCTCTGATCCAGACCATGGTCCGGGCTTTCACGTGTAAAAGCGACCTTAGACTGCATGGCTGAGATGACTAAGTAAGGCTTTGTAGCTTTTCCACCTCTTCGTTTTTTTCTTGATTGGCTTGAGGTTATGTTGAGTCAGCATTTTTAATATGACTGCAGTCATCGTTGGGGATCAAAATGTTTCCTAAAAGTCCAGTGGTTGTTGTCACATTTTATTGTCTATGGTTGATTTGAAGTTCACTCATTAAAGACACTGTGTTTTCATTTTTGAGTATTTCTTTGGCAGAATTTTTGGGGAACATGTTTTCCAAGGGAGGACAAAATAACAATAGATTTATAATTTTGAAACTGTGATCAACTGTTAAATGTTTGATTAGCTTTTAAAGCTGCTATAAGGAGTTTTTGCCCCATCATAGAAAAGACTGAAATTAATACTGATGCTATTTCACGTGCCATAAAAGCAAAACAAGGGCTTTTTTGACTTTCATTGACAGATAGAGGACACCAGACAAAAGCAGGAAACAGGAGAGAGAGCGGGGAATGACACGCCGGAAAGAGGCGACTGAGTGGGATTGAACCCACGCTACCTGTGTATGTAGGTCGAGTCTAGACCGCTGGCCAATCTGCGTCATGGGGTTATCAGGCCCTAGACTCCACTCCTACAACTTTTGTTACCATGGTATCAGTATGAGAAATACTGTATTTCCAGTCTTATTTGGTGGCATTTCTTTTGTTTTTAAGGGAATTTTCTCTCTTTGGGTCAGAGTGAGTTTTTCTCACTTCCAAAAAAAAAAAAAGGTTTCAACATTAAAAAAAGCTGAACTTTTCAAGTCTGGAAAGAGATTGATTAGATCCTGATTGTTTTTTTTAAATGTTTATATTTTTACATTTGTGAGATTGTATTATTCTGTATCCTGATGAAAACCTCCCATGGTGAATGTTAAATGGCATAACACCTGGTCAGTAAGCCAGCATCAGTGTAGACTTGCTGTAGGAGGGTCTAACGACCCACTCTCACTCCACATTCAAAGGTTTTGGATGACACTCAATGTCGCAGACCCTCTGTGTGAAAGCGCAGATAGAGGGGAAGTGTGAAGGGAGTGGGTGTAGGAGTGATTTTGGAAAGTCCCAGATCAACCACGGCAAAAGACTGACTATTTTGAGGAGTTATTTTTCAAGCCTGACACCTCTGTCGCACGGTAGTGGTCAGACAAAGTTCAAAATAGCGCAAAAACTATATTATGTTTTATTAAGTCATGTTTCTACAGGGGCTGGCTCTGCACTAGTGTAAACACTCCATACATTAGTTTGAAGTGTTCACACTCCTCTGCAATGCACTGCTTAAATGGCAGTGCAAGTCATGTTGCCAATTTCTGTTACATGATCTGGTTATTAATGCACAGGAAACCATGAGTACATCATCTGACTGTATTGTGTTGGAGATGATAAATCTTGAGCAACAGTTGGATGTACTGCATTTACTGCATGAGAAGAGACAGAGGAGGAGATTGAATATATGTAAAACATAGATGTTGCTCGCGCAGGAAATATGATTCTACCCAATCGATGAGTCCACTTTGTTTTGATGCAGTTATTTAAGGAGATGCAAGTCAGGCTACATACTTAGACTTTGATGCGGTGATGTATGCTATTTCATTTAATTTTAATTCATATGATGTAATTGTCCCTGTTTCCTACAGGACGTAAAGAAATTTGTTGTGGACTCTCAGATGGTCCGCAGTTTACAAATAAAAGAACAGGAACATTGAGTGATTGCACCAGGTGACACACATCACACATGCAAGACAAGTACACAGCAGCAACAAGTATCAGTTACCCAACAAATGTCAATCGATCAATTACCTGGACTGATACAGTACACAGCAGCATAAATTATCAATCAATCAATCAATCAATCAATCAATCAATCATTCAATCAATCAATCAATTACCTATACTGATACAGTACACAGTAAACAACACATATCGATCTGTTACCCATACCGTCACAGCACACAGCAACAATAAATGGCAGTTGCCCAAACCATAACAGTACACAGTGCTTTGTCACAGTACACACTAAACTACTTATGTGCATTAACAGATGTTGGGATAAAAGAATGTTTGTAACGGTTCAACCTGCTCCAGGGAACTCTAAATCTCCTCCCAGAAGGAAGCAGCTGGTACTCTGAATGGAGAATATGAGATTGATCAGAGAGAATTATTCGTGGACGTCTCAAGGTGGATAGTATGTAAATGGTTTGAAGGAAACATGATCTTTGATGCCTGTAATTTTCATCGCATGTTGTACCAGAAGATTAATTCGCGTCTTCAGTTGTACAGATAGGTTGCCATACGAGGCTGTAATTCCATACCTTATAGTACTCTCCAGTACGGCATGATAAAACAACAACACTAACTTCTGCTCAACACCAAAATCTCTTAATCTGCACAGAAAGTTAAATCTCTGTTGCAGTTTGGAGCAGAGACTCTCACATGGGCCCCCCAGCTGAGTGTGTCATCAGTGTAAACTCCCAAGTACTTATATGAAGAGACCTGAGCGATGGGTTCAATGTGGATGACCACCGGCCTCAAGTCGTCCACAGCTTTAACATTGAACACCATCAATTCTGTTTTCTTTACAGTTAGCATCAGATAATTGGAGTCACACTACTGAAGAAAGGTACAGATCTCAGAATGGTAAGCTACTGGATTGCCCTCTTTGTGAAACAACCCCAGAATGGCAGTGTCATCTGAAAATTTGTGGAGTGATACAGTATAGATTTGACGCAGAAACATAAACCAGGATAAAACTCCTCATGTAGGTTTGTTATTCATCATTATGAATTCTTAGTTCACTGACTCAGATCCGGTCTAATGTTTGGTTGCAGACTTGCAGTTGCTTTGAGATATTCACCCTTTGGATAGGTAGAAAATTCAGAAAAAGTCTGAGTATCGTTCTAATAATTATGCCAAATCTACAAATAGTGATGTACTGTATGTTGAGTAGCACTCATGAATATTTGGTAGTAGTCTGCTCTCCTAATGTGATAACTGCACTCACATGAACACACACATACACACTTTCTTCTCAGCTCTTTTTGATGGTGTCTGTATCTTATTCATATCTGGGCTGTCTCTTGAAAGCTGTCTCAGCAGAGCCCAGAGACGACCACCATTGTTTGAGTCTAATCATGGTCGACGCTCCAGGCGTCAGCTTGATAAACAGACAATCTCTGCTTATAAATAATTGAACAGGCCCGTTAGTTCTCCCGCTCTCACGGTGTCACACTTGCAGGGTTTCTCAGCCGTCTCGTCTCACTCTCATATTTGCATGGTGATACCCTGCTTAGTGAGCTGTTACGCTCACGGAGGAATGAGCTGGATGAAGGTGCGCTGCATGCAAAGTCAAAAGAGCAAAAATCCTTTCACCAAATCGGAGCTGTTGTGCAGAGTGTGCGTTCTGTCACAGCTCACTAAGCAGGGGGGCGAAAATATGATGACAGAATCATGCCTGGCTATGACAGTGAGAGACAAATACACACCCTTAATGCACACTGATAGTCTTTTTGGGAATTTATTCACATGCAAACATGAGAGAGTGAGCTGTATCCAAGAGTTATAATTTTGAGAGTCAGCAGATTATCAGACATGAACACATTATTATTAATGATAAAAGTGCTGGTATAAGCATCTGTACACCTTTTCTCATTCATGATTGTGATAGTTTCTCTTAAAGGGATATTTCAGCGTTAATTTAAGTTATGGTCAAACACATCGTAACACAGAGTTTTTTTGAAGACTTAAAAACAGGCAACTGGACTGTGTAGAGTTGAGAGTTCTTATCCAAGAAGCTTCTTCAGTTCTAAATTTTGCTAGTTAGGAACACCTGGAGATGGGTTTGAGATTGCTTGCATTTCTAGTATACCAACTTTCAGTCGTTGTCTATACACAGCTGTCTACGTCTTCATGTGCAAACCTCAACCAAAAAGCCACTCTATAGCCACAAATAATGCTCTGAACAGCACCTAACTTCATCAACAGTACATATAGGGTCCCAGCCATAGTACTAGCCATCAAACATCTTTTTAACTTTGCCTGATTTCCTTAGCAAAGAGACTAAACACAACTCACCCACTCTCCTCCAGCAGGCGCTTGTTCGTGGGGGAGCCCTGACGAGTCGATCACAGAGTGCAGCAGAATTTGGCAGCTCAAGGAAGAACATTTCCATGACGTAAAAATCATAAATTTTCTGACAGTGTGTTTGACCATAACTTAAATTTACACAGGAATATCCCTTTAATGATCATTTTGATATGTTTTTGCCCTTATTGCCAGGTGTCTCAGACTGATGTAATAAAAGGTACAGTTGAGTAAAATAAGTCTCCTTTTAATGACTGACTTGCAAGAGTACAGTCAGACTTGCTCACCTAATTTCAGAGACATTTACTTTCATGTCTAACAAAGTCATTTCTGGTCCCATATTTAACTGCACTTTTAGTCAAGTATGTATTGAGACACCACCAAAGTTGCCTCAGTACAGCTTTAGTAACTGACAGTAATTGCTGGCAAAGTGGTCTGAAATTGAGCCTGTTTGCTCTGCAAGCTCAGAAATGATGTTAGTGTACACAGGCCCTTAAACTCTGACTTTAAAGGGATTAAAAACCTGAATATACCACAGAACAACCTCTTCTGCCCCACATATTTTTGAGCCTTTTCATATTCAGGACGGCCCACATTCAGGCCTCCTGTTCAGCGGTCCATCACCTTCCTCTGTGTGTCCTTCCTCTCTTTTTCTCCTCCTCTTCACTGTGTTTGGGTGGCTTTTTCCTTACTTAAGGTGACCGCGGTGAGCCAGGAGAGCTAAATTGGGTTCTTGACGGAAAACCTGAGAGCGACACAGCAAAGAGGTCATCAGCTCAGGGGTCCAACAGTGATGGGTTAGTTGTCTAACATCAGCTCCTCTTCAGGCCTGAGAGGGAATGGGTCTCCACCAAGTGTGCTTCAGATGTTGAAATTTAGACCCTTTTTCTTCACTTCCTTGTTATTTTGTCTTTTTTTCTCTGCGGCTCTTTCACATCTGATGCCTCCCTATCTGTTTGTCTGTTTCTATTCGCTCCTTTCCGAATGTTTATTTCCCTCGCCTCCTCTCTTTTTGCCTCTATCACCCTTTCTTTTTTCTTATCTCTTGTTTTTTTCTCCACTGTGTCCTCACTCTGCTGCCTGTTTGCCCTCCAAGTAAGCACATAGCAACAACAGCCTGTCTGCCTCCACCATACAAGCCTTTTAAATGTTGAATATACCTGTGTGTTCAGGCAAAACAAACTGTAGCTACCTGCTTGTTTTTCACCCTGTGTGCATGTTAATGTGTATGTTAGCATGTAAGTATGCAAATGCAGAGTCTGAGTGTGAGTTCATGCACAGGAGGTGTGAATGTTCTTCAGCCTTATGTTACGATGAGTGTAGAGAAGTTAGTGACACATCTCATATGGCATAGTGTAAAACATCTGATGCTTTGCAGTTAAATTGGTCTCCGATGAAAGATGTAGTGGCATGTTTATTAGATTTCTACACAGTTAGATTCTTTTCAGCGGAGGCCATTAGAAAAGGATTGTGGAAGAAACAGCTCATAGAGTCGGACAGTTGAAAGACAAACACCAAAGTGACCAGAGAAAACTGAAAAAATCGGAACTTCCTACTTGTATCAACTACACTTCTGGTTTGATTCGTATCAGAGCACACCAGCTTTGCCGTTTTTTTTTACACAAGATGTTGCATGATAAAAGTCTGCAAACAAATTCATATTTTTCACAAGTTCAACAGTGTTTTGGGTTATTTTTTGATGGACTCAGTCCTCTCCTACGCACCTGTCATGTGAATTTGTTGTAAACAGTATTTTTCGTATCTTTGGCATAAAACTGTAAAAACCTTCAGTTCTCCATGTGAGCAGGATAACTGCCTTTAGTGATTTATTCCAGCAAAGTCTGCTCCTTTCATTCATATTGATGCGCACATAGATGTTAACACAGATCCGTTTTTATTTTTTTATTTTGCTAAGGATTATCCTGTTGTGACCACTGCTCTTCCAGCTGTTTGTATTAGAATGAGGCATAGATTTAATACCATTATTGGGCTGATATATCTTTATTTTTATCCATTTGTTTTGTTGTGCAGATGGTAAAAGGAGAATTGAACTAGAGATGTGCATGCTTGGTTGATGATCTGATTTAAACACCATCGCCCTTGATGAATGAGAGAAAAACTGACCACTGCCTCTTTTGGGTGAAAGAAATCCAACCAAATAATAGCTATAAATGGGAATTCTAGAGTCTTTGGAAATTCAGTAGCCTAGAACAAGACAACTACTTTATTTAATAGCCATTGAGAGGCCAAATGTAGTGGACTGTAGGGCTAACATATTAATCATTACTTTTTTTTAAGAGATCAGTGACAAAACTTCAGAGAACAGTTCAAAGTTTAAGGGTTTCCATGAGTGTCTTTACAGTCTACCTCCATCAAACAGGACAAACAATATAATCCTGTTACCAGAGGTATCAATAGCATATCATTCATGTGTGTTTTTGACCGCTCATCTGACTTGTTACTCATCTAAATCTGGCACCATACTTACATGTCATATATTTCTTATTGTAAAGATGAGTATCACACCAATGGTTCCCACTTCAAAATAACTTTACACCGGTGATGTTTTAAAGCTAACAGTTCTTGAGCCATTTGAATAGAAATTTAATTCTGATTAGCATACCAGTATAAAGGTAAGTCAGTAAACAGTCAAAAATGAGCATGATTCAACTTGGCTTATAACGGGATCACAGAGTCTTCAAGTTATGAATGTCAAATTGAATGTGGCTGACATGAGCAGAGCTAGCACAGCCAAGCAGCCTCAGACACAGCCCATAATGGCATTTCAGGTCTACACTTCTAAAATAATTTATTTCACTGTTTAGTAATTCTGGTGCTGACTTGTAAGGCTGATGACGTCTGCACACATCCTTAGTGGGCACCAGAAATCTAGCCAAACGTGTAAACACAGCCCTATTTTTGTATCAGTCATATGTCAAGTCTGAGCTGTCATCACCAGCTGGAGCTGTAGCTCTAGTTCATAGCTGCTGCTATGATGCTTTTCTACTAGGACTTAAACTGGCACAGACAATAGTGTCTTCACTTTTTGATCTTGAAAATGGAGACTGAGTTGTATGCAGTAAATGTTTGGCTTAACTGGTATACAGTTGCTTGAACAGAGCAATATGTCACCAGCCACAGGCATGTGGACCGATTAACCAACTGTTCCCAGAGGTTTTTTTTCGACCTTTATAGTTAAGCTTGATGACTATGGTAACACATACCTTTGCGGCCCAAACAGAGGTAACAGTGAAGTCTTAAAGGGATATTCTGGCGTAAATTTAAGTTATGGTCAAAGACACCGTAACACTGAGATAGACACCCTCTCAAGAGATGATTGTTGCCAACTGCTTGCTTCTCTAATTATCTACTTCAGCAACAACTATCAACTTCAGTAAATGCAATCAGACCGAGACGCTAAGGCAGAAGAACTTCCATGTCTGCAGTGCACATACAAGATACACAAGAACTCTGATTGCATTTCCACAAGGAAGTAATCATAAATTTTCTTCTTTGAGCAGCGAAATTCCTCTACACTCAGTGATCGACTCGTCAGGGCTCCCCCCTCAAACAAGCGGCTGCTGGAGGAGAGTGGGTGAGTTGTGTTTAGTCTTTTTGCTAAAGAAACCAGGCAAAGCTAAAAAGATGTTTGATGGCTAGTACTATGGCTGGAACCCTATGTGTACTGTAGATGAAGTTAGGTGCTGTTCTGAGCATTATTTGTGGCTATAGAGTGGCTTTTTAGTTGAGGTTTGCACATGGAGATGTAGACCACTGTGTATTGCTATTGTGCGGTCGTTACTAAAGTTGGTATTACCAAAGAAACAAGCAGTCGGCAACATTCATCTCTCGAGGGGGAGTCTAACTCAGTGCTATGGTGTGTTTGACCATAACTTTAATTACGGCCGTAATATTCCTTTAAAGATCGGACAGATATCCCTGATGTTGCAATATAAAGCAACATCAGGAATGTGCAGACATGCCCAAGACAACACATAAACATATAAACAGTAAATATCCTATTGGAAGCAGCTTCCACAGTGATATGATTATGTACTGTATGTAAAGCAACTGTGTATATTACCAGGATTCAAACATATCTAAAAGTCAAATAACTTGTCCTATTTGGTCCAAAAAGTGTTGAATGTTGTTCCACTTTACACTTCATCTGCAGAGAGGTTTCAGAGTGAAATGGAGCCAGTGAGATATTTTCAGCCACCGTGTCTGAGTGGATTAGTCCAGTATTCCTTTAAGGGACAAAACAGTTAAAAAACTGCTGCTGTTACTCCCTTTCCTCTGTATGGATTACAGGTTTGGGAGAAACAACAAAAAATTCCCCCGTAAATATCTGCTTTTTTACATCATACAACAGCTGCAGAGCATCCAAAAGGAAGCAATGGTTTGCATCATGTCTTGAACTAAAAAAAGATGAAGTACTCTAATATTTTTCCAGTACGTTCATGGACAAAGACAAACAAATCTAATGAAACTGACTTATTTTAAGCATATTTTCCCCCTTTTTCTCACCCACACACAGCTTCCCTAATCAACCATGAGGCTAGTTTTCGTGTTTCAACCCCAGCAAGCGTGGTGACAGGCAAACACATTTTCTCACACTCCCCATTTTAATGAAGCTGACATTTCTCACCTTAAAATAGACGGCATCCCCTCTTTCTATGTTTGCCTCCTCTCACACATTGCAATAAATGGATTTATGCTCTGTGGAGTTTTATGTAGAACGGGCCAAGATTAGCGGGATGTTTAATCACGGGGCCTTTTGAAATAAGCTTAGAATCCATCAGAGTGCCAATGCACTAAAAAAAGTGGCACAGGAATTCTTTTTGTGTGTGCCGAGGAGAAGTATCCCTGGGAACATGAAATCAAGCAACCATGTTTCCCGCTTGAGTGTCTGTTTATTGATTTATTTGGGACTTTTTTGATATCTTGTTCCCTGTGCAGAACTTTGAGGCTTTTCCCAAACCGTTTAGGCAGAAGAAAGAGAAGGTTGTTTATTTATTTTGTCCTGTCTGGCGTTTTTCCTTCACTGCCACCAGAGACTATAAACTGGTCTTTGTCTTCTTTTTTGGCATGGTTGAGCTCTCCTCTCTCTCACCTTCCCACGGGGCATAAATCTCCGCTCTTTGAAGACAAGTGAATGCAACAAAACATGAAGCCTTACGCAGCGCCGCCATGCACCACAGGCTATCAACAGACACCAAATCTGCACTTTGATGAGTTAATGCTCTTATGTGCAGTTTACACCTGGAGTATTTTCACCCTGAAGTAAACATCAGTTCAAGATGCATCTATAGAAACAAAGCACAGGTTTATTGAGCATCCACCTCTGTCTCAACCATAAACTGTGTAAAGATAGACAGCAAAACAAGCCCCTGAAAGTGGAGCCAAAATATTAAGAGCTCTCCTTTTGGCTGGCTGCAGTACAGCTCCTAAACCCCCCTCCTCCTCTGTTGTCCATATTTAAATACAGTCAATGTTTCTAATGAGTAAGTCGCCTCTTAATGAAGGGCAGTATTTGGCACTTAAATACTAATTTCCGTCAAGTCTTGACTTCTAAATACTTTGGTGTAATGATCAACCATTTGTTGTTCTGGAAAGATCACAGTGACTTTATCTGTAAGATATGGAAGCCCATTTCCGCCAGTCAAAAAAAAAAAAAAGGCGAAATTATGAGATAAAAAAGTCAAAATTATGAGATAAAAAGTCATAATTATGAGATTAAAAAGTCAAAATTATGAGATAAAAAGTCAAAATTATGAGATTAAAAAGTCAAAATTATGAGATTTTAAAGTCAAAATTATGAGATTTTAAAGTCATAATTATGAGATAAAAAGTTGAAATTATGAGATAAAAAGTCAAAATTATGAGATTTTAAAGTCATAATTATGAGATAAAAAGTCGAAATTATGAGATTAAAAAGTCATAATTATGAGATTAAAAATCGGAATTATGTGATAGTAAATGCGCATGTTTTATGGCGCCGTCTTCAAGGTCTCACTTCACCTCACTGGACGCACCATGCAAACGATACTCATCAGTAAATTAGGAAATTATTATAGGTGTCTTTGATAGATATTAAATATTACTATTCATTTAATCAGTCCGTCCGTGCTGCTAAACAAATTACAACGTTATTTTGACAATATCTTTCAGCTGTCAGTGAATCATTGTTTTGAAGTAACGTTTATGCCACTAGATGGTGACACTGAGACAGGAACAGTGTCCGTACTTTCTATCTGTGAGTTGCATTATGTTACTTAGAGTCGGCTACAAATGTCTCCACAAAGGTCTTTGTTAAGAGTTGGTAAGTGTTATCAGAGCTAGTTTTACATGTAACGCTGTGTTCTCCAGCATGTTGAAAAGTCATGCGAAAATTGTACACTGTGCACTGAGTTGTCATTTTCCAGTTTAGCTAACGATTCTGAGAAATGATGCTAATGCCATAGGACTGTTGAGCACCTGTATTGTATCCTCAGTGCAACAGCTAGCATGAAGAACTGCACGTCACTCTTAGTGCAAATCTCATAATTATGACTTTTTATCTCATAATTATGACTTTTAAATCTCATAATTATGACTTTTTATCTCATAATTTCGACTTTTTTTTTTTTTTTTGACTGGCGGAAATGGGCTTCCATAGTGTAGCTTATGGTAGGACTATTTAAATTTTCCCGGCGCTGCGTCCGGCCGGCACGAAATGCATTCTGGGTTATTTAGTATGCATCTGTATGTAAACGCTCGGGCAGCCGCGGCATACTCAAATCATCTTTGAGTAGTCAGTAGGCAGTAGCTACTGCTTGAGTAGGTAAGTAGATAGTAGGCAGTATGCCATTTCGGACACAGCCATTGTCTTATCCTCTGTTTTAGTGACAGATTCTCTCTGTGCTCCTCAGAGTTCCGACCACAGACTGTATATACTATGGACAACCTGGTTCCGCCTTCCACCAGTATACAGATTTGAAGCTCTTGGTAATTCTGCGTTTTTCTCCACTTCCTGAAAGCAACATTGCGCAGTAGCGTTGTAAGCACTCCACCACAGAGTCACCCAGAATAGCTAAGATGACGCTCAGCTCAAACGGCTGGGTGAGCTACGCAATCTTCGTACACCTATAAGCTGTATCGAGTGTCAGTCATAGAAAACATGAACCCCCTAATGACTTTTAAAAATGGAGCTGTACAGAAAAAAGAGGACTTGAGCACAAACCAGTATTACAGTAACTACATGTCAACATCGCAAGCAGGGGGAAAAAAATGTATATTCTGTGTAATAAATCTCTAAAGTTTGTCCACAGTTCCATAAGCTTTGCCGGAGGAGGTGGGATTAATGACCTATACTGCAGCATGTCACCAGAGGGTGCTGTTCTCGGAGTGGCCTCACCCAGCGAGAAGACAGACACTTTCCATTTTGATTTCCACTCCCCGTCGGGGAATCGAACCCCGGTCTCCCACGTGACACGCGGGGATACTCACCACTATACTAACGAGGAGAATGTGTTATGATATGATATGATACAATATAGAACAATATGATACGATATGATACTATATGACATGATGTGATATGATATGATATGGTGCAATACCATACTATACGATGCAATATGATACAATACTATATGATATGATACTGTACAATATGATACGATATTATACTACATAGGATACAATACAATACAATATGGTATTGCGACAGTGTTTAGCTAACCATATGTAATTGACATCCTGAAAAGCCTTATTAATGGCCTTTTACAGCGACAAATGTATCCCATGCCCGCTTAGAAAAAACCAAATCAGAGAGCAGACAGAATGTAAAACTCAACAATAAACACTTGCTTTCTTACTGCTTTGCGTCACTTTGATGAGTGTAATGCGGGGGATGAGTAAAACTCAGTATATAGTAAATCTACTACCCATCATGAAAGGTCTATTTGAGCCACCCTTAGTCTGATCCCTCTCTCAAGACCTGTTTGCCTTGGGTGACCATACCAGAGGCATAATGCACCCGACAACTTAGCTCCTGAGATAATTGGGACACGCAAACCCCTCCACCACGGTAAGGTAGTGACTCGAGGAGGGGAATTTTTTTTATTTTATTTTTTTTAATATTTTTTTATTTTTATTTTTTTTAATATGAAAGGGTAAATGTTAGGAATGAAGAGGGAGGAAGAGGAGCTAATGTTCCGCAACATCAGCCGAACAACCAGCTACCTCCTCCACCTGGGTGTCTCTGTTTTTCTTCTTTCTCAAAGTCCAGAGACCTTTTTTGACTCTCTTTTCCCCCCTGTCTTGGTTTTTGCTTTTCTCCTCTTCATGTTCTCTTTCCTCTACTTCTTGTTCTCTTTGCTCTTCTTCTTGTTCTCTTTCCTCCTCTTTTTCTCTTTCTCTCAGCTGCCTTAATTCCTTCTTCTTCTCTTTAAGTTGTTTTCGGAGGGTTTTCTCCTCCTCTGTCTCCTTTTTAAAGACTCTGGACAGGAAGCGTCTTTTCTTTAGAGAGACAAGATGAGTCAGCTCCCTCTTCTCCTCCTCTAACTCTTGAATTCTGTCTGTCAGAGTCTTTTCCTTCTCAATCACTCTTTCTTTTGCCGTCTCGGCCTCTTCAACTCTGAGGGTCAGAGTCTCCTCCTTTCCCACCAGATCTTTATTCCTTTTCTCCAGCTCACTGACTCTGGTCTTCAGGATCTGGTTCTCCTCCTCCAGGTCTTTCCTTTGTTTCTCGTTGTTTTGCAGCTGAGTTGTGGTCTCAATGAGTCTTTGAGTGAGACCCTCTTTCTCCCTCCTCAGCTCCATGATGTGGTTGTCCCTCTGCTCAAGCTGCTGTTTTGTGAGCCTCAACATTGTTTCATTGTTCTTGCTCAGAGAAACAGCCTTCAGGTTCTCCTGAGACGCTTGAAAAAGCTGTTCTCGGAGCTCATGAACTTTCTGTCTCTCCTCCTTAAGTTGAGCCCACATCTTCTCTTCCTGCTCCTTCTGCAGGCGCTGGATAAGCTCCACCTGCTCGTCTTTTAATTTGAGGCTGCTGTTGAGACGTTGGATCTCAGCCTCCATCCTTTCAATAGTCTGGACATTATTCTGGAGTTCTACCTTGAATCCATTTTCTCTGACGTCAATGAGTCCCTCCAGACGGTTCACTTTGTACTTCCCGTTGTGAATTCTGTAGCCCAGCTTTACCCTCTCACGCAGCCATGCCTCCTGTTCACCACTTTGCTCGTTTCTAAGATTTATAATCTCAGCGCGAGCACTGGCAAGCTCCTGTTGAAGTGGTGCCATGGGCCGGCAGGCCAGCGGTCCCAGAAATTCAGGTGCAATTGCTCTGGACATGGTTCTTCTGATGAAAGTCTTCAGTCGACTGCTCTAAACTGTTGTTCGTCTCTGTAGTAGCTCCTACGTGACTCTTGCCAACAAGTGTGTGTGGCTGCCTTTAATACCTCCTTCTACATGTGATGTCATCGTGTGACATCACATCACATTCCTTTGAAGATCAAAGGATCGAAGCTAGAATGTGATGTCATCATATGTAGAATGTGATGTCATCGTGTGACATCTTGTTTCTCCATCTTGCAGAAACTGGTGCATGTGAGAGCCAGGGTGTGGACTGCATGATCACCATCTGGTGTGAAAGGCAGTTCACTGTGGTCAGTCTTTGAGTTGTAGGAGGAAATCAGTCCAGAGCAGCACCAGGTGTGTGAGTACCTGATTGGCTTGAGTGAAGTCAGGTTTGGGAAGGTGATACAAGTCCTTGAGCTCCAGTGCAGAGTGCTGAGTCATTGGCTGTGTCCGAAATGGCCTACTACTCCTACTACTCGTACTAAACCCGCCTCTGAATTGAGTAGGCAGTGCGTTCACACTGTACAGTATGCGAATTTTGTGTATGCGAGAAATGCCCGGATGTATACTCAATCGGCTTCGATTTCTGAGTGTGGAATGGAGCTTGCTTCATGTACTGCTTCTGCCCCACAATGCATTGCGCACCTCAGCTGGTAATATGGACCTCTTTCCCGAGGCTGAAAAGAAATAGATGGCATGTGATTGCAATAATGATTATATATATATATATAAGTAGTCAGTATACATTACACATTATCATATTTTGATCTTTTTACCAGATTTATTTGTATTTTAAATTAGGATTATGGGTAATGTTTTTAACTATTCGTATGAATTGACTTTATTTATTTAAGTGTCTATTAAAGATGTATTTATTACATCAAGTTTGAGCATCTTCTCATCTCTGAATGCATCATCAAAGTGGTCACTCATATTAAGCACAGACCTCTGATTAATAAAAATTATTATTGGTAGAGAGCACATGGTTCAGAATATACAAACGGGGGAGTTTCCAGTTGACAATCTATGTGAGCTTTACTAATTCTTACTTGTGGTTGAAAATCTGATGGTTTCTGAAATTATCATTGTACATGAAAAGAATGTAGTCGGGAAATTATGTATTTGCCAAGGAATAACCGAACGAGGTCATAATAATTATGTTGTGTGTTGGTCATTTTGCAGCCCTCTGCTGCTCATCACACGCCCAGCAGGTGGTGTATAGCATTATCACCATGGATACACAGATGTTTGTGTGATTTTTTTCATCCACTGCCGCCCGGTTTGTGTCGTGTAGATGTTGATTATGAAAACACTTTGCAATAATTTGGAAACGTGCAGGGGGAGCTGCTGCTGCCCGGTGTTTACGATAAATAGACGCAAACACCCACCAAGCGGACGCTTCGGTCTCCGAAAACGCCGAGACAAATTTACAAACAGCCACTATTTCAAACAACTGGGCTCATAATCGTGATGTAAACACTTACTCTCTCGCTAGAAAAAATATTATTATTGAATGAATTTATATAATTTGTCTGGAATGCAGTCGTTCTGTGTAGTATGGAAGCCCATTTCCGCCAGTCAAAAAAAAAAAAAAAAAGTCGAAATTATGAGATAAAAAGTCATAATGATGAGATTAAAAAGTCATAATTATGAGATAAAAAGTCGAAATTATGAGATAAAAAGTCAAAATTATGAGATTAAAAAGTCGAAATTATGAGATTAAAAAGTCAAAATTATGAGATAAAAAATTGAAATTATGTGATAGTAAGTGCGCATGTTTTATGGCACCGTCTTCAAGGTCTCACTTCACCTCACTGGACGCACCATGCAAACGATACTCATCAGTAAATTAGGAAATTATTATAGGTGTTTTTGATAGTTATTAAATATTACTATTCATTTAATCAGTCCGTCCGTGCTGCTAAACAAATTACAACGTTATTTTGACAATATCTTTCAGCTGTCAGTGAATCATCGTTTTGAAGTAATGTTTATGGAGACAGGAACAGTGTCCGTACTTTCTATCTGTGAGTTGCATTATGTTACTTAGAGTCGGCTACAAATGTCTCCACAAAGGTCTTTGTTAAGAGTTGGTAAGTGTTATCAGAGCTAGTTTTACATGTAACGCTGTGTTCTCCAGCATGTTGAAAAGTCATGCGAAAATTGTACACTGTGCACTGAGTTGTCATTTTCCAGTTTAGCTAACGATTCTGAGAAATGATGCTAATGCCATAGGACTGTTGAGCACCTGTATTGTATCCTCAGTGCAACAGCTAGCATGAAGAACTGCACGTCACTCTTAGTGCAAATCTCATAATTATGACTTTTTATCTCATAATTATGACTTTTAAATCTCATAATTATGACTTTTTATCTCATAATTTCGACTTTTTTTTTTTTTTTTGACTGGCGGAAATGGGCTTCCATAGTGTAGCTTATGGTAGGACTATTTAAATTTTCCCGGCGCTGCGTCCGGCCGGCACGAAATGCATTCTGGGGTATTTAGTATGCATCTGTATGTAAACGCTCGGGCAGCCGCGGCATACTCAAATCATCTTTGAGTAGTCAGTAGGCAGTAGCGACTGCTTGAGTAGGTAAGTAGATAGTAGGCAGTATGCCATTTCGGACACAGCCATTGTCTTATCCTCTGTTTTAGTGACAGATTCTCTCTGTGCTCCTCAGAGTTCCGACCACAGACTGTATATACTATGGACAACCTGGTTCCGCCTTCCACCAGTATACGGATTTGAAGCTCTCGGTAATTCTGCGTTTTTCTCCACTTCCTGAAAGCAACATTGCGCAGTAGCGTTGTAAGCACTCCACCACAGAGTCACCCAGAGTCGCTAAGATGACGCTCAGCTCAAACGGCTGGGTGAGCTACGCAATCTTCGTACACCTATAGGCTGTATCGAGTGTCAGTCATAGAAAACATGAACCCCCTAATGACTTTTAAAAATGGAGCTGTACAGAAAAAAGAGGACTTGAGCACAAACCAGTATTACAGTAACTACATGTCAACATCGCAAGTAGGGGGAAAAAAATGTATATTCTGTGTAATAAATCTCTAAAGTTTGTCCACAGTTCCATAAGCTTTGCCGGAGGAGGTGGGATTAATGACCTATACTGCAGCATGTCACCAGAGGGTGCTGTTCTCGGAGTGGCCTCACCCAGCGAGAAGACAGACACTTTCCATTTTGATTTCCACTCCCCGTCGGGGAATCGAACCCCGGTCTCCCACGTGACACGCGGGGATACTCACCACTATACTAACGAGGAGAATGTGTTATGATATGATATGATACAATATAGAACAATATGATACGATATGATACTATATGACATGATGTGATATGATATGATATGGTGCAATACCATACTATACGATACGATGCAATATGATACAATACTATATGATATGATACTGTACAATATGATACGATATTATACTACATAGGATACAATACAATACAATATGGTATTGCGACAGTGTTTAGCTAACCATATGTAATTGACATCCTGAAAAGCCTTATTAATGGCCTTTTACAGCGACAAATGTATCCCATGCCCGCTTAGAAAAAACCAAATCAGAGAGCAGACAGAATGTAAAACTCAACAATAAACACTTGCTTTCTTACTGCTTTGCGTCACTTTGATGAGTGTAATGCGGGGGATGAGTAAAACTCAGTATATAGTAAATCTACTACCCATCATGAAAGGTCTATTTGAGCCACCCTTAGTCTGATCCCTCTCTCAAGACCTGTTTGCCTTGGGTGACCATACCAGAGGCATAATGCACCCGACAACTTAGCTCCTGAGATAATTGGGACACGCAAACCCCTCCACCACGGTAAGGTAGTGACTCGAGGAGGGGAATTTTTTTTTTTTTTTTTTTTTTTAATATTTTTTTATTTTTATTTTTTTTAATATGAAAGGGTAAAGGTTAGGAATGAAGAGGGAGGAAGAGGAGCTAATGTTCCGCAACATCAGCCGAACAACCAGCTACCACCTCCACCTGGGTGTCTCTGTTTTTCTTCTTTCTCAAAGTCCAGAGACCTTTTTTGACTCTCTTTTCCCCCCTGTCTTGGTTTTTGCTTTTCTCCTCTTCATGTTCTCTTTCCTCTACTTCTTGTTCTCTTTCCTCTTCTTCTTGTTCTCTTTGCTCTTCTTCTTGTTCTCTTTCCTCCTCTTTTTCTCTTTCTCTCAGCTGCCTTAATTCCTTCTTCTTCTCTTTAAGTTGTTTTCGGAGGGTTTTCTCCTCCTCTGTCTCCTTTTTAAAGACTCTGGACAGGAAGCGTCTTTTCTTTAGAGAGACAAGATGAGTCAGCTCCCTCTTCTCCTCCTCTAACTCTTGAATTCTGTCTGTCAGAGTCTTTTCCTTCTCAATCATTTCTTTTGCCGTCTCAGCCTCTTCAACTCTGAGGGCCAGAGTCTCCTCCTTTTCCACCAGATCTTTATTCCTTTTCTCCAGCTCACTGACTCTGGTCTTCAGGATCTGGTTCTCCTCCTCCAGGTCTTTCCTTTGTTTCTCGTTGTTTTGCAGCTGAGTTGTGGTCTCAATGAGTCTTTGAGTGAGACCCTCTTTCTCCCTCCTCAGCTCCATGATGTGGTTGTCTCTCTGCTCAAGCTGCTGTTTTGTGAGCCTCAACATTGTTTCATTGTTCTTGCTCAGAGAAACAGCCTTCAGGTTCTCCTGAGACGCTTGAAAAAGCTGTTCTCGAAGCTCATGAACTTTCTGTCTCTCCTCCTTAAGTTGAGCCCACATCTTCTCTTCCTGCTCCTTCTGCAGGCGCTGGATAAGCTCCACCTGCTCGTCTTTTAATTTGAGGCTGCTGTTGAGACGTTGGATCTCAGCCTCCATCCTTTCAATAGTCTGGACATTATTCTGGAGTTCTTCCTTGAATCCATTTTCTCTGATGTCAATGAGTCCCTCCAGACGGTTCACTTTGTACTTCCCGTTGTGAATTCTGTAGCCCAGCTTTACCCTCTCACGCAGCCATGCCTCCTGTTCACCACTTTGCTCGTTTCTAAGATTTATAATCTCAGCGCGAGCACTGGCAAGCTCCTGTTGAAGTGGTGCCATGGGCCGGCAGGCCAGCGGTCCCACAAATTCAGGTGCAATTGCTCTGGACATGGTTCTTCTGATGAAAGTCTTCAGTCGACTGCTCTAAACTGTTGTTCGTCTCTGTAGTAGCTCCTACGTGACTCTTGCCAACAAGAGTGTGCGGCTGCCTTTAATACCTCCTTCTACATGTGATGTCATCGTGTGACATCACATCACATTCCTTTGAAGATCAAAGGATCGAAGCTAGAATGTGATGTCATCATATGTAGAATGTGATGTCATCGTGTGACACCACATTCTACATGTCATTGTGATGTCAGAGCCTCTCCATCTCCATCTTGTTTCTCCATCTTGCAGAAACTGGTGCATGTGAGAGCCAGGGTGTGGACTGCATGATCACCATCTGGTGTGAAAGGCAGTTCACTGTGGTCATTCTTTGAGTTGTAGGAGGAAATCAGTCCAGAGCAGCACCAGGTGTGTGAGTACCTGATTGGCTTGAGTGAAGTCAGGTTTGGGAAGGTGATACAAGTCCTTGAGCTCCAGTGCAGAGTGCTGAGTCATTGGCTGTGTCCGAAATGGCCTACTACTCCTACTACTTGTACTAAACCCGCCTCTGAATTGAGTAGGCAGTGCGTTCACACTGTACAGTATGCGAATTTTGTGTATGCGAGAAATGCCCGGATGTATACTCAATCGGCTTCGATTTCTGAGTGTGGAATGGAGCTTGCTTCACGTACTGCTTCTGCCCCACAATGCATTGCGCACCTCAGCTGGTAATATGGACCTCTTTCCCGAGGCTGAAAAGAAATAGATGGCATGTGATTGCAATAATGATTATATATATATATATATATAGATAAATATATATTTAGTCAGTATACATTACACATTATCATATTTTGATCTTTTTACCAGATTTATTTGTATTTTAAATTAGGATTATAGGTAATGTTTTTAACTATTCGTATGAATTGACTTTATTTATTTAAGTGTCTATTAAAGATGTATTTATTACATCAAGTCTGAGCATCTTCTCGTCTCTGAATGCATCATCAAAGTGGTCACTCATATTAAGCACAGACCTCTGATTAATAAAAATTATTATTGGTAGAGAGCACATGGTTCAGAATATACAAACGGGGGAGTTTCCAGTTGACAATCTATGTGAGCTTTACTAATTCTTACTTGTGGTTGAAAATCTGATGGTTTCTGAAATTATCATTGTACATGAAAAGAATGTAGTCGGGAAATGATGTATTTGCCAAGGAATAAACGAACGAGGTCATAATAATTATGTTGTGTGTTGGTCATTTTGCAGCCCTCTGCTGCTCATCACACGCCCAGCAGGTGGTGTATAGCATTATCACCATGGATACACAGATGTTTGTGTGATTTTTTTCATCCACTGCCGCCCGGTTTGTGTCGTGTAGATGTTGATTATGAAAACACTTCGCAATAATTTGGAAACGTGCAGGGGGAGCTGCTGCTGCCCGGTGTTTGCGGTAAATAGACGCAAACACCCACCAAGCGGACGCTTCGGTCTCCGAAAACACCGAGACAAATTTACAAACAGCCACTATTTCAAACAACTGGGCTCATAATCGTGATGTAAACACTTACTTTCTCGCTAAAAAAAATATTATTATTGAATGAATTTATATAATTTGTCCGGAATGCAGTCGTTCTGTGTAGTATGGAAGCCCATTTCCGCCAGTCAAAAAAAAAAAAAAAAGTAGAAATTATGAGATAAAAAGTCATAATTATGAGATTAAAAAGTCATAATTATAGATAAAAAGTCGAAATTATGAGATAAAAAGTCAAAATTATGAGATTAAAAAGTCAAAATTATGAGATAAAAAGTCAAAATTATGAGATAAAAAGTCAAAATTATGAGATTTTAAAGTCATAATTATGAGATAAAAAGTTGAAATTATGAGATAAAAAGTCAAAATTATGAGATTAAAAATCGAAATTATGTGATAGTAAGTGCGCATGTTTTATGGCGCCGTCTTCAAGGTCTCACTTCAGCTCACTGGACGCACCATGCAAACGATACTCATCAGTAAATTAGGAAATTATTATAGGTGTCTTTGATAGATATTAAATATTACTATTCATTTAATCAGTCCGTCCGTGCTGCTAAACAAATTATAACGTTATTTTGACAATATCTTTCAGCTGTCAGTGAATCATCGTTTTGATTTATGGAGACAGGAACAGTGTCCGTACTTTCTACCTGTGAGTTGCATTATGTTACTTAGAGTCGGCTACAAATGTCTCCACAAAGGTCTTTGTTAAGAGTTGGTAAGTGTTATCAGAGCTAGTTTTACATGTAACGCTGTGTTCTCCAGCATGTTGAAAAGTCATGCGAAAATTGTACACTGTGCACTGAGTTGTCATTTTCCAGTTTAGCTAACGATTCTGAGAAATGATGCTAATGCCATAGGACTGTTGAGCACCTGTATTGTATCCTCAGTGCAACAGCTAGCATGAAGAACTGCACGTCACTCTTAGTGCAAATCTCATAATTATGACTTTTTATCTCATAATTAGGACTTTTAAATCTCATAATTATGACTTTTTATCTCATAATTTCGACTTTTTTTTTTTTTTTTGACTGGCGGAAATGGGCTTCCATAGTGTAGCTTATGGTAGGACTATTTAAATTTTCCCGGCGCTGCGTCCGGCCGGCACGAAATGCATTCTGGGGTATTTAGTATGCATCTGTATGTAAACGCTCGGGCAGCCGCGGCATACTCAAATCATCTTTGAGTAGTCAGTAGGCAGTAGCGACTGCTTGAGTAGGTAAGTAGATAGTAGGCAGTATGCCATTTCGGACACAGCCATTGTCTTATCCTCTGTTTTAGTGACAGATTCTCTCTGTGCTCCTCAGAGTTCCGACCACAGACTGTATATACTATGGACAACCTGGTTCCGCCTTCCACCAGTATACGGATTTGAAGCTCTCGGTAATTCTGCGTTTTTCTCCACTTCCTGAAAGCAACATTGCGCAGTAGCGTTGTAAGCACTCCACCACAGAGTCACCCAGAGTCGCTAAGATGACGCTCAGCTCAAACGGCTGGGTGAGCTACGCAATCTTCGTACACCTATAGGCTGTATCGAGTGTCAGTCATAGAAAACATGAACCCCCTAATGACTTTTAAAAATGGAGCTGTACAGAAAAAAGAGGACTTGAGCACAAACCAGTATTACAGTAACTACATGTCAACATCGCAAGTAGGGGGAAAAAAATGTATATTCTGTGTAATAAATCTCTAAAGTTTGTCCACAGTTCCATAAGCTTTGCCGGAGGAGGTGGGATTAATGACCTATACTGCAGCATGTCACCAGAGGGTGCTGTTCTCGGAGTGGCCTCACCCAGCGAGAAGACAGACACTTTCCATTTTGATTTCCACTCCCCGTCGGGGAATCGAACCCCGGTCTCCCACGTGACACGCGGGGATACTCACCACTATACTAACGAGGAGAATGTGTTATGATATGATATGATACAATATAGAACAATATGATACGATATGATACTATATGACATGATGTGATATGATATGATATGGTGCAATACCATACTATACGATACGATGCAATATGATACAATACTATATGATATGATACTGTACAATATGATACGATATTATACTACATAGGATACAATACAATACAATATGGTATTGCGACAGTGTTTAGCTAACCATATGTAATTGACATCCTGAAAAGCCTTATTAATGGCCTTTTACAGCGACAAATGTATCCCATGCCCGCTTAGAAAAAACCAAATCAGAGAGCAGACAGAATGTAAAACTCAACAATAAACACTTGCTTTCTTACTGCTTTGCGTCACTTTGATGAGTGTAATGCGGGGGATGAGTAAAACTCAGTATATAGTAAATCTACTACCCATCATGAAAGGTCTATTTGAGCCACCCTTAGTCTGATCCCTCTCTCAAGACCTGTTTGCCTTGGGTGACCATACCAGAGGCATAATGCACCCGACAACTTAGCTCCTGAGATAATTGGGACACGCAAACCCCTCCACCACGGTAAGGTAGTGACTCGAGGAGGGGAATTTTTTTTTTTTTTTTTTTTTTTTAATATTTTTTTATTTTTATTTTTTTTAATATGAAAGGGTAAAGGTTAGGAATGAAGAGGGAGGATGAGGAGCTAATGTTCCGCAACATCAGCCGAACAACCAGCTACCTCCTCCACCTGGGTGTCTCTGTTTTTCTTCTTTCTCAAAGTCCAGAGACCTTTTTTGACTCTCTTTTCCCCCCTGTCTTGGTTTTTGCTTTTCTCCTCTTCATGTTCTCTTTCCTCTACTTCTTGTTCTCTTTCCTCTTCTTCTTGTTCTCTTTGCTCTTCTTCTTGTTCTCTTTCCTCCTCTTTTTCTCTTTCTCTCAGCTGCCTTAATTCCTTCTTCTTGTCTTTAAGTTGTTTTCGGAGGGTTTTCTCCTCCTCTGTCTCCTTTTTAAAGACTCTGGACAGGAAGCGTCTTTTCTTTAGAGAGACAAGATGAGTCAGCTCCCTCTTCTCCTCCTCTAACTCTTGAATTCTGTCTGTCAGAGTCTTTTCCTTCTCAATCACTCTTTCTTTTGCCGTCTCGGCCTCTTCAACTCTGAGGGTCAGGGTCTCCTCCTTTTCCACCAGATCTTTATTCGTTTTCTCCAGCTCACTGACTCTGGTCTTCAGGATCTGGTTCTCCTCCTCCAGGTCTTTCCTTTGTTTCTCGTTGTTTTGCAGCTGAGTTGTGGTCTCAATGAGTCTTTGAGTGAGACCCTCTTTCTCCCTCCTCAGCTCCATGATGTGGTTGTCCCTCTGCTCAAGCTGCTGTTTTGTGAGCCTCAACATTGTTTCATTGTTCTTGCTCAGAGAAACAGCCTTCAGGTTCTCCTGAGACGCTTGAAAAAGCTGTTCTCGGAGCTCATGAACTTTCTGTCTCTCCTCCTTAAGTTGAGCCCACATCTTCTCTTCCTGCTCCTTCTGCAGGCGCTGGATAAGCTCCACCTGCTCGTCTTTTAATTTGAGGCTGCTGTTGAGACGTTGGATCTCAGCCTCCATCCTTTCAATAGTCTGGACATTATTCTGGAGTTCTACCTTGAATCCATTTTCTCTGACGTCAATGAGTCCCTCCAGACGGTTCACTTTGTACTTCCCGTTGTGAATTCTGTAGCCCAGCTTTACCCTCTCACGCAGCCATGCCTCCTGTTCACCACTTTGCTCGTTTCTAAGATTTATAATCTCAGCGCGAGCACTGGCAAGCTCCTGTTGAAGTGGTGCCATGGGCCGGCAGGCCAGCGGTCCCAGAAATTCAGGTGCAATTGCTCTGGACATGGTTCTTCTGATGAAAGTCTTCAGTCGACTGCTCTAAACTGTTGTTCGTCTCTGTAGTAGCTCCTACGTGACTCTTGCCAACAAGTGTGTGTGGCTGCCTTTAATACCTCCTTCTACATGTGATGTCATCGTGTGACATCACATCACATTCCTTTGAAGATCAAAGGATCGAAGCTAGAATGTGATGTCATCATATGTAGAATGTGATGTCATCGTGTGACACCACATTCTACATGTCATTGTGATGTCAGAGCCTCTCCATCTCCATCTTGTTTCTCCATCTTGCAGAAACTGGTGCATGTGAGAGCCAGGGTGTGGACTGCATGATCACCATCTGGTGTGAAAGGCAGTTCACTGTGGTCATTCTTTGAGTTGTAGGAGGAAATCAGTCCAGAGCAGCACCAGGTGTGTGAGTACCTGATTGGCTTGAGTGAAGTCAGGTTTGGGAAGGTGATACAAGTCCTTGAGCTCCAGTGCAGAGTGCTGAGTCATTGGCTGTGTCCGAAATGGCCTACTACTCCTACTACTTGTACTAACCCCGCCTCTGAATTGAGTAGGCAGTGCGTTCACACTGTACAGTATGCTAATTTTGTGTATGCGAGAAATGCCCGGATGTATACTCAATCGGCTTCGATTTCTGAGTGTGGAATGGAGCTTGCTTCACGTACTGCTTCTGCCCCACAATGCATTGCGCACCTCAGCTGGTAATATGGACCTCTTTCCCGAGGCTGAAAAGAAATAGATGGCATGTGATTGCAATAATGATTATATATATATATATATATATATATATATATATATATATATATAAGTAGTCAGTATACATTACACATTATCATATTTTGATCTTTTTACCAGATTTATTTGTATTTTAAATTAGGATTATAGATAATGTTTTTAACTATTCGTATGAATTGACTTTATTTATTTAAGTGTCTATTAAAGATGTATTTATTACATCAAGTTTGAGCATCTTCTCATCTCTGAATGCATCATCAAAGTGGTCACTCATATTAAGCACAGACCTCTGATTAATAAAAATTATTATTGGTAGAGAGCACATGGTTCAGAATATACAAACGGGGGAGTTTCCAGTTGACAATCTATGTGAGCTTTACTAATTCTTACTTGTGGTTGAAAATCTGATGGTTTCTGAAATTATCATTGTACATGAAAAGAATGTAGTCGGGAAATTATGTATTTGCCAAGGAATAACCGAACGAGGTCATAATAATTATGTTGTGTGTTGGTCATTTTGCAGCCCTCTGCTGCTCATCACACGCCCAGCAGGTGGTGTATAGCATTATCACCATGGATACACAGATGTTTGTGTGATTTTTTTCATCCACTGCCGCCCGGTTTGTGTCGTGTAGATGTTGATTATGAAAACACTTCGCAATAATTTGGAAACGTGCAGGGGGAGCTGCTGCTGCCCGGTGTTTGCGGTAAATAGACGCAAACACCCACCAAGCGGACGCTTCGGTCTCCGAAAACACCGAGACAAATTTACAAACAGCCACTATTTCAAACAACTGGGCTCATAATCGTGATGTAAACACTTACTTTCTCGCTAAAAAAAATATTATTATTGAATGAATTTATATAATTTGTCCGGAATGCAGTCGTTCTGTGTAGTATGGAAGCCCATTTCCGCCAGTCAAAAAAAAAAAAAAAAGTAGAAATTATGAGATAAAAAGTCATAATTATGAGATTAAAAAGTCATAATTATAGATAAAAAGTCGAAATTATGAGATAAAAAGTCAAAATTATGAGATTAAAAAGTCAAAATTATGAGATAAAAAGTCAAAATTATGAGATAAAAAGTCAAAATTATGAGATTTTAAAGTCATAATTATGAGATAAAAAGTTGAAATTATGAGATAAAAAGTCAAAATTATGAGATTAAAAATCGAAATTATGTGATAGTAAGTGCGCATGTTTTATGGCGCCGTCTTCAAGGTCTCACTTCAGCTCACTGGACGCACCATGCAAACGATACTCATCAGTAAATTAGGAAATTATTATAGGTGTCTTTGATAGATATTAAATATTACTATTCATTTAATCAGTCCGTCCGTGCTGCTAAACAAATTATAACGTTATTTTGACAATATCTTTCAGCTGTCAGTGAATCATCGTTTTGAAGTGACGTTTATGGAGACAGGAACAGTGTCCGTACTTTCTACCTGTGAGTTGCATTATGTTACTTAGAGTCGGCTACAAATGTCTCCACAAAGGTCTTTGTTAAGAGTTGGTAAGTGTTATCAGAGCTAGTTTTACATGTAACGCTGTGTTCTCCAGCATGTTGAAAAGTCATGCGAAAATTGTACACTGTGCACTGAGTTGTCATTTTCCAGTTTAGCTAACGATTCTGAGAAATGATGCTAATGCCATAGGACTGTTGAGCACCTGTATTGTATCCTCAGTGCAACAGCTAGCATGAAGAACTGCACGTCACTCTTAGTGCAAGTTATCTCATAATTATGACTTTTAAATCTCATAATTTTGACTTTTTATCTCATAATTATGACTTTTAAATCTCATAATTTTGACTTTTTAATCTCATAATTCTGACTTTTTATCTCATAATTTCGACTTTTTTTTTTTTTTTGACTGGCGGAAATGGGCTTCCATAGTAAGAAGATAAAACTGAGATTGAAATCTTTTGGAGCAGGTGGACAAATTCTTACTTTTCTTTTCATTTCTGTGATTCTGAGTATCCTTCGGTGCTGTAACACCACATGTGTCTGTCCACTAAGTCCAAAGTGACCCTGACCATGCCCCAAAAAGTGAATATGAGCCATCAAACCTAAGATTCAGGGTCAAAAGTCAGTTTGAGGCCTCTGAATATGCTGTCTGGTGTTTGAACTGTTGTTTTGTCACAGTCACTTATTTATGTATCTTCTTTTGGATCTTGTATCAATCAATGACGTCATATCTAATCCAATATCATTTTCATCTTGACTTTTGCTTCAGTCAGTTTTCCATTTGAAACTATCACTTAGGAATTAGTATAAAATATAAAGCTATGTCCCTTTAGGAGAAGATTTGCTAATATTTGGCGAAGTTCTTCTGACCCAAGGGGCTGATGCACTTCAGCAGGTGGAGCTTAGTTCTTAAAAAACCGAAGTTCAAACTTTACTTTTGTTTGACAGCTGCTCCAGAGATGAGTGTTCTGCTGTCTTAGCGTCTGCATCTAATTGCATTTCTATGAGGTAATGATCATGAATGTTCTTGCTTGAGTTGAGACCTCCTAAACTGTTGGTAGATGACTGCCACTACTGAATGAGCCACAGAACACTTCATATTGACCTCATGTTTCACTAACAGAAGGTTCATTGGTCTCTTTTGTTTCAATCAAATTACCAGGAGTGGGGTTCGAACCCACGAGGGCTGATGCCCATTGGATCTTAAGTCCAACGCCTTAACCACTCGGCCATCCTGGTGCTGCTTCAACTGCAAACTGCTAGAACAATACACAAATGCGAACCATCTTTGCAATCAGACCGAAATGCTAAGGCAGAAAAACTGCAGTGCACATACAAGATACACAAGAACTCTGATTGTATTTCCATGAAGTAATGTTAAAGAATGTTCTTCCTTGAGCTGTGAAACTCCTCTACACTTGGTGATCGACTCGTCAGGGCTCCCCCTACAAACAAGCAGCTGCTGGAGGACAGTGGGTGAGTTGTGTTTAGTCTCTTTACTAAAGAAACCAGGCAAAGCTAAAAAGATGCTTGATGGCTAGTACTATGGCTGGGACCCTATATGTACTGTTGATGAAGTTAGGTGCTGTTAGCATTATTTGTGGCTATAGAGTGGCTTTTTGGTTGAGGTTTGCACGACGTAGACTGCTGTGTATTGCTATCGTGCCATCTTTGCTTAAGTTGGTATAACTAGAGAGGCAAGCAATCCGCAACATTCGTCCATTGAGGGGGTGTTTAACTCAGTGTTATGGTGTGTATGACCATAACTTGAATTAACGCTGGAATATCCCTTTAATATAAAGGAATGTTCAACTATTTTTAGCTGATATTAAAGGACATAAAACATAATGATTTAAAACCAGATAAAAAATTATATATTGTTCTTGTATTTTGATATATGGCTAGCGAACTCTCACATCCAACAAAAGATGAACATTGTGCACTCTCCTAAAGTCTCTGTAGATTTTTGTACATCTGCAGTTTAACTTATCAAAGCTCACATCAAATAAAAACCTTGATTTAACAGCTAAAACTGATGTTTTGCTAATCAAACTGCTCACTTTTGAAGCCTGTGAGCACACTTCAACTGAGAATCATTTTAAACATTTAAGTTAACTTGCAATCGAATCATTACATTACATAACTGTGTGCATCATTACATGACTGCGGCTCATCACCTGAATATTAATGAGTGTAATCAGTGTGCGCTGACTCCACCATATGCATAGCAGCACATAACTGCTACAAGAATCTATACCATGAAAGCCAAACACTGTTAACCCTGTACAGTCATTTTCACACTTCAGCTGACTATGTGTGTGTGTGTCTGTCTGTGTGTGCATGCTGGCGTGTGTGTTTGAGTGTCCCCCTCCTGGATTTGGGTTGTTGATGATGATTTGAAGTGTCAGGTTTCATTTACACCTGTCCTTGCCAGAGACTCTGTGAAATTAATTGAGCCAAACATTAATTTGCCTAAGGTTTTTCAAAATGTCCGTCCTGTCATTAACATGCCTCACATCAAAGCTTGTGGAGTTTTCTTTTTTCTCTTTTCCAGAGTACTGTAAAATATCTGTGCGTGACTATGTGAGATTAAAAGAGAGAGACAGAGACGGATGTTTAAACTCATCCCCGGAAAGTGCTGCAGTAGTTGATTACGAGGTTTCTAAAGAGGTCTGTATGCTGCTTTGAGGGGGGAATGGTTTGTTCTGTTGTGAGGATTATTAAATAGTCCATCTGACAGTACAGTAATAAAGCAATTAATTATTTGCTGCTGCACTCCCTGTACAATACTAATTAGCTCTTTGCACAGCATCTGCCCATCAGAATTACTACAATAAAATCTGGCACTTCATTTTCCAAGTGTCACAGTTGCTGGGGGATTTATCATCAGTGTTGGAGGAAAGCATATGATCTGTAAATAAAGAATCTGGATTTTAAGACATATTGGACGGATTCATTCATTTGGAAATGGATGAATCTACAGGCTTACAGTTTGTTAGCTCGGGCATGTGCCTATACAGATTTTTGTCTAACATGGTGGAAGTTGTGTTAATCAGCAGGAGTGAGAGACTACATCAGTTCAGCAATGGGTCTTCAATTATTTTACTCCCTGTGCCAAAAAAATATTTCAATTTAAAAGTAGTGATCTCTCCGAACTCATTTCACTCCCGGCTCCACTCACCACATCCTTACTTCATGACTCCTCAAGATGGTGCTATTCAAATCAATCCTAAATGTTACTTTATAGGGGTATTTTGTATTCCTGAATGAATCTGACACCATGGGGTATCATTGTATTATTGTCTTATCATTTGAATACTACTCCTGACTAACCGTATTGATGTTGCGGACAGCGTATCTACTATTGTAACATCCACTAGTGTATTGTATCCTATCGTATCATGCAGTGTTGTATTGTATCTTATCATTTTTTATCACTGGTATTATATACTATTGTATTGTTACAGACTAAATCAATTATATTGAATCATATCTTGTTGTATCTATTGAACTGTACTGTATTAAATCATAGCACATATCTATCATATCGCACTGTTTTGCATTGTATCATTCTGTATCATATCGTATTGAAACATCTCACAACATAACATAACACAACACAATATAACATGACATGACATAACATTTCATATTGATTATATTGTTCTGTATCATATCATATCATATGTATTAATTGCACTGTTTCATATCGCTTCATATTGATTGTATCGTATTGTGTATATTGTATTGTATCATATAACATCATATGTATTGATTGTACCCATAGACTGGGCATAGAGTGGACATCATCTGCCTCCTTCCTGGGTGAAGCCTCTGCAAGAACAGCACCCCCTGGTGATTGGTTGCAGTATGGGTCATAAACCCAGCCTCCTCCAGCAAAACAGAGGGAGCTGCAGGCATAATTAAAACATCATATTTTCTAAGATTGACGCTTGATACAGTCAAAGGGGCGTATGGAGATTGCATAGGATATCCAGGATCTCTGCTGTTTAAGCAAAGCGTCATCAAAACGTTCTCCCGCTGAATGCTACTATGCAAATGCCAGTTTCAGAAAATGTAAAAAATTCCCAGAAATACTAGGAGCAATACGGCTTCTAGATGGAGGTGGAATAAAGTTGTCCATACTGCATACAGTCTATGATTGTACCATACTGTAGGATGACAAGATGTCTTCTATTTTCAAGGACAGTCCCAGTTTTCAATGACCCTTCCCCAGCTAAAGCTGTCCCCTGAAATGTCCCCTATTTTAGCTTGTCACAAATGAGAAAAATGAGAAAAAGTAGCACAGGAATGAGTAAAAAAATGCGTATAGACTAGATAGCTGGGCAGGTAGGAAGCACAAGAGAGCATGTAGCACGCAGTCCTCTCTGAATCGATGACTTAATGTTGTAAAGATGGTTCGCATTTCCGTTTTGCTTTAGCAATATGAAGCCAATAAAGCAACAGGATGGCCAAGTGGTTAAGGTGTTGGACTTAAGATCCAATGGACATCAGTCCTTGTGGGTTCAAACCCCATTCCTGGTAATTTCATGATAACAGAGAGAACAATAATCCTGGTAGTGAACCAGAGTCAGTTGGCCTGGACACCTGTGGCTGATTCACTGGTGTCAGTCATCTCCCAAACAAAAGGTTGAGAGATTAATGCCAAAAACTACCCAGTGGTTTTGATTGCTTGTTGCTTTATATATATATATATATATATATATATATATATATATATATATATATATATATATATATATATATATATTTGATAAATAACACTGTAGACATCAACATGTACAGCACATGTCAATCCTCCACCCGAAGTTGTCTTTGGAACCAAAGGAGTTGAAGGCTGGAGAAAATTGTTTTTAAAAAAAAAAAATATATATATATATATATATATATATATATATATATGTTTGTTTGTTTTTTCAAACACAGTACACTGATGTACAATTTTTGTATTTTCTTGTGAGTTTCAACCTCCTGGGCTTGAAAAACAGCAGTCCCTCAAGCATCAGCTTGGGGCTTGCTCTAAAAACCAAGGTAACTCTACTCTGTCTTATATTAAAGTGCTTATTTTTACAACAGTGATAAAGATGTTTGCAGCCTGGTAAACAGGCTGCAATCTTCTGTTTATACACAGTGTCCAGAAGTAGTTTTCCATATACCCCCTACACATAACAAGGACTGACAGTTTCCCTCCGCTGTTTATGGCTGGTCAAATAAGTCATGGAAAAACAGTAATATTTCAGAATAATTCAGTCATGGAGAAAAATGTTCATTTCTGTCTAACTATGTTTTGACACAGATACTTTTCTGTGTGTGGCCAGTGGTCACAGAGCTGTGTGTATCCAGAACTGTTAATGAGGTAATGCCCCACTGCAAACTGTGACCTAGATTTATAGTCTAGTCCAGTACTGACCTGTCACACCATTACAGCTTTCACCCTGGCTCTTCCCAAGCTGAGAAAAAGTAAAGAATAAAAAGATCGAACCCTCTGTCTGCCCAACTTTTTATTACAGTTTGATTCAATAGGGAAAAACAAGGAGTTGGGAGTTTTATAATGAGATGGAGCAGGAAAGGATGTGATTAAAAACAAGAACCTCTTTGATGTTTCTCTGCAGACTTTCTGGATGGTGATGAATGAGTTAAAGACACGATGACATGCGTAGAACTGCATCAAAAGCCAGATTGATATGAGAGCATAATCAGCTAGATATACCATAATATTTTGTTGATGTAATGCCTGAAACTGCTGTCACAGGGTGAGTGACAGATGAATTGAAGAATTACATGCTGCCAAACAGTTTTAGTTAATATTGTCCGAAGCAGAAATACTCCATGAGTATGGTTTCAACCTATGGAGAGATTGTTGACACCTAATCCCTGTTTATTTCATTGAACAGAGACTAAATGCTGCTGTTTATTTCACATAAATTAACCTCAAAGGTATACAGAGCAACACCAGACTCCATGATCATGTAACTACATGCCAGCATGTGTTCACATTCACTCGTTCCATCCATTAACCATATAACCGTTTAGCGCCCTCGAATCTTGGTTACAGTGTATGAATGTTGAATTAAGTTCAGGCAGGCAGAAGTGTTGTAGAAAATGCATATCAATGACTAAAGTACAAAACTTGCCTCAAATAGTCTCTGAGGCAGGGAGGAAGACACAGAGGTGAGAGCTCATAACAAGCCAGACTCAGGTCATGTAGAGCTATTTATAGCTGTATTCTAGACATGATAATTTTATTGCAAAAGGCATTTATCTTAAGTAAAAAAATAAATAATCATAATGTGTTCCCAGCTGCTAAAGAGGATGAATATCCTCATGAATGTATGTAAATCTAAAAATGCTAATTGTGTGAGCAGGGAGCACATGTAAGTCTGTTTTCAGACTAATATGTGATTTATGACAGTTTTGCTTTACTTACATATCAGTCATTCTTGTTTTTTTATGAATACCAGTCAAAATCCTGCCTCATGTCACCCTTTTACGCAGCATAGTGGATCATTGAGTGCACTGTCACACCTCTGATTGACAACAATTCTGCTATGCACAAGTACTTCAATCTAACTGCACACATTTGTAACGCAAAGATCAGACCACACAGTCTTTTTGTCTTTTACTGGGTGATCACAGAGCCTTAAATTTGTGCAGTGACTTGACTGACTGAAATAACAGACTACAGAGTGGTACGCAACCGATCATCATGACTGACATGATGACACTGGGCTAGGAATGCCTGTGATTGTTGAAGTGTATCTGCAGTGTTTCTCTCTCCAGCATTTGTCTCTTGTCAGGCCGATGTGATCGTTCTTTGACGATTGTAAAGAGAGCTTGATCAACTTTTCCTCTCTTTCATAGTCACATCTTACATCACCAACTTTGTCATTTCTCTTTCTGTCCTAAGGTCATCAGGCAACCCAGATGTGGTCTTGAATGCCTTTCACTGTGACACACTTCACGGGCTATTATCATGTTTTTAGTGCATAACTTGTTGGTATATAAGTTATTGAATTGCTAGTTATTCAAAAAGATATAAATGGTACCCGTTTGTACTCAGGGGATGTGAAACTTGTCACAAACCAAAAGTTTCTCACAGGAGCTTTAATGTCAAAACTTGTGAATGCAAGAGACTTTGCAAGTATGGGATCATAAAAGAGTAGGTCAAGATTTATAAAGGAAATAAGTGAACTTTATCAAACTTATTGCCTTAATTCTAGGCTGAGTGCTGGATATGAATCACTGAGTATCTGATTAAGCATTTGGTCAGTCCACAGAATCAAATTAAAGAAGCAACAAAACTACCATCTTGGCTTAAAAACTGATCAAAGTACATGAAAATACCCTTTAAAGAACTATCCCTGCTACCTGGGTTGTACTTCTTACAAAACCAGAGAACGTTTTTGAACAAAATTTTGAAGAGAAAGAGAAAGTGAGTTTTCAAATTTGGGTGACAGAGGATGAATTGTGGATGAAGACAACAAGATGAATGTGGTCATCTCTTAGTGAATATGTCCTACATGATGCTCTGTGGTAGGGGCACTAATATGCGCCCTGTTTTGCCCAGGAAGAAAATATTGTTTGCCCTCAGACATCCACCTGTCTGACCTGCTGACCATGATGCTACATTGGCAGCCGTGTCAGAGCCTGACCTTGGTGACTTCCACCAGCCTGAGCAGTCCGCCTCTGCAACCCACAGACATAAGTTTTGTCTCACTGAGCTTGTCTGCCATCCTTCTGCTCACCCTCACCACACTCAGTTGTCTTCACATTTTGCTGCTTTCACTCCCCCAGGGCGTCTTATGTTTTTTTTTATTCTTTACAGCTTTGCTGTTTTTTTTTCTCACATTGCTGCTCAGACAGTCATGTCTTTCCTTCACTCCAGCTCCTATTCCTCTGCTGCTTTTTGCAGACTTACCCCGGTGGGCCTCGGCGGGCAGCAGGCGATGACAGTTGTATTAGCAGTCGATTGTGAGGTCACTTTGGCTCAGCCCCACTGAGACTCAACAGCACTGTGTGAGCCACAGAAACAAAGAGAGAGGGGTGGCAAATGGAAAAGATTGAAAAACATAAAGAGAAAGGTAAAAACTGTATATTGATAGCAATAAACTACAGTCTCATCACTGTATACAGAGCAGAAAGAGAGAAAAAATGATGAAAATTGAGCTGAGATGAAACAGAGGTATGAGTGGAATCAAATCCGGAGAAGGCATCAGAGGTAAAATAAGGTGAATACATTAACTTCAAGAGCACTAAATGTTTGATTTCCTGCTGTTTAAAAGGAAAGTAAAAATCAAACCCTTGCAGCTTGGATGATTTTCATGACATGATCACTGAACTCCACCTACGCATGTTTATGTTTATTTGCTGACGTCCTTTCAGCTTGTCTAAGGGTAGCGAGAGACTGAGTGTGGGTGTTGAAATCTAATAGAGAGGACCCCTCGATGTCTTGATTGACATTTAATCGTCATGGCAACTAGTGGGCTGAGAGTGACTGCTCCCCTGAGAGCTTTTAGTCGCCTGGTCGTAAGAAAGAAAAAGAAGGGGACTGAGGAGTTTCTAATTGAAGCTCCTCGTCTGTCGTGTTCACAGTTTGTTTCGTCTGAGTCTGGAGGAAAAATGAACCTCCTCAACTCTCATGTAGATACTCAACTGCCAGCTGCAGACTGCTATCCAAATGCTGCAGTGATTTAATCGGTCTGTTTCAGTGCTTGTATCTCCTACTGCCTTGTTGTTATAACAACAAACAACCTTGCAGTAACAGTTTTTATGTGACTGTGAAGACTTTCTAAATTTCTCCTTTGTTTTACTTTCTATGAATCACTTTTAACCTCTCCCCTTGGTGCCTTTGTTCATTCTCTCTGTGTAAAGCGCATGTATATTTTATATTTTTGGTCGTTAATTATTGTAATCTACTTTATTACTCAAAGTCTTTGTTTACTTCCCACAGTGTTTTAAATATCTGTCCCCACCTGCTCCTACACTGATTTCATTTTGCTTCATGGTTATGATTTCTGCAACCTATTCAAACTTTCTGATAAATTAAGAAGTGAGTGTAAGGAGCTTGAGCCTGCAGTTAAATGATCCATGAGGTTTATTTTCCCTGTGTATCAAACAGATTAAACCATGATCAATCACAGAAAGGTCCCAGAGTTACAGAAGTTTTCCCTTTCTGACTAAAAGCTGATGAAAACTATGGATGACATGACAGCTCTGAATGAAAGAAGCCAATAATATAAGGAACTGGCACTGGTGGTGACTGGCTTTTGTATAGATCCATTGACTGTATATAGAATGGACTCTGTCTGCCTCCTCACTGGGTGAAGCCACCACGAGAACAGCACCCTCTGGTGACGGACTGCAGTATAGGTCATAAATTCCGCCTCCTCCAGCAATCCCTATGGAGCTGTGGACGAACTTTGCAGAAATGTGTAGAATTAGAGAGTGGCTAATTTGACTGACAGTCAGGAGTACTTAGCTGTTTGCCAGGGAGCTCGGTTAGGTTGATTTAAAGTTAGGTTAATTAGCTTTTCTAACATGATGACTGCCATCGTTTGGCTCCATGACAGTCTTCAGAGAGTCTTTATGAAACTGAGACTACATCCAGTCTCTGGTCAGTGCCTGTGCAGATACAATGTCAAGTTACAGCTGATACCAGAGCAAGTTTCTGTGGTAGATGTCGGGTTCAAAGCAGCAACACGTTGTATTCACACCCTCTGTCTCCCAGATGGTGTTTGTCTCTGTGTTGTGATCTTGTTTGGTACAGTGTTGACTCATATCACTGTCTCCTTTCGCCTGTACTTTACCTCTGTCCCACTTTAAGTCTGCCTCTTCTTTGTTTCAGTCCCCGCTCTCTGACACCCGTCTCCTCGTGAGCTCCCCACAAAGTGTGGGATCCACGTGAATTGTTGAGCAAACAGCGATACGAGCAGCAGCTCTTGTGTTTGTGGAAGAAGAGGGGAAGGCGGACGGGTGGGCGGACGGGGAATCCCTAAGAATCAGAGCTGTAAGGCAGTGTTTGTTTTCTACATCTGCTGTGTGTGCACCAGCATTTCTTACACATCCTCCTCCAGTTTCATCTGATCTGCAGGTATCACTGAATGCTGGTGTCAGAAAACTCACACAAGAGTCACATCCAGTAACCATAGCACCCATTGGTAAGCTCAAATCCCCCTGCTGGGGTCCAAGTGTGGGGGCGTATCGAGCCCTCTGCAGATGGTGTCATTCCAAAGCGCCACTCGGCAGGGGTCCACTCAACTTATTGGATTCGGGGTGGGTGGATTTCACGGTTTGCACAAGATGTTTTGTCTTAGTGCGCTTATTCTGAAGGGTGATGAAAGGAAAGAGCCTCCTGCTAAGCTGCACCGTCCTCCGCTCGAGGGACAGATCTGCTCTGCAAAATAATGTCATGTAGCTTTTACAGATTTCTTTTATTTTTATTCAAAACACTGTGTGATATTCTGTATACTTCATTTTTTACAGACAAGACCTTAACAGGTTAGAAAAGTCAATATTAAATGCATTAATTCTTGCACTCGGTTTCTCTCACTACAGCTGGATTTTGAGGAGGATTTCAGGGAGAGTCAAATTCACAAGTTATAATGCAGGCTGGTTTTGGTGTCGTTTTTGGCATTTTTAGAGGAGATGATGGCCTCCTAATGATGCTCCCTCTCTGGATCAATGTGCGGAGGTTGGCAGGCTGTATTAATGACCTACATAACACATCCCTGCAGCTTAGTCTTATTTCATTTTTTCTTAAGTATACCACAACTATATCATCAGAGTGGAGAGTGCGTGTGAATATCTTACGACTGGACACTTACTTTTTGGCTCCACCCATCATTACATGGCCTCTTTTCTTCTTCTTGGCTGTCAGGTATCATTCTGGTTACTGGCAGCTCCTCTGAGAATTGAGGGAAAGAGCTGTGCGTAAGGCCCTGAGGCGGAGACGTTACTGAGCCAGTTCTCCTCTCCTGCCAGGAAATTATAGTTTCTCTACGAGCGTCTCAGTCGAACACAGTCTCCTGGAGACAGAGGAAATTGACAAAAGCAGAGGGAGCACAAGTTAAAGAGATAATAGTGGACTTATGACGCATTGTTTGGGTCCAGCACATGCCAACCTCATCTTACAATGATGCAGCACTTTTGGTGAAGTTGTTGGTCTGTCCACCATGTTTTTAAAAACCCTTACAGCCCTTAACAAAAATGAGTTGACCCTTTGCAAGGAGTAGTATCATCAAAGTTTATTTTATTAGGTATGCTTGAGTATAAGTATATCAAGCATACTACCGACCATGTACTTTTGGTGTATTACAATGTATACTAGTATCATACTTTTCCAGACTAAATTGGAACATTTTAAGTTTTTCAAGAGTAGTAGATATTTGTATACTTGAAGTACTCTTGACCTTTACTACTCTTGAGTAAACTCTTAAAAAGATACATGGAAGTATTCAATGACGAAGTATACTTATACCCAAGCCACATACTTATGTATATCTTGAACAAAAGTTTATGTCTAAGTACAGGTTAAATATATTTAGAGTTTTAGTATAATTCTTAAAACAAGCCAAATATATAACATTAACTTTGTTAAGTATATCTCTGAAAAGTCCACAAAAAGTAAACTGAGAGCATACTCAGTTTAAAAACAGTATACTTGACGTACACTTAAACATACATCTTTTTGTTAAGGGGAAAGCAAACTTTAAGGGCTGGTATGAATACTGTGAGTCTCAAAACTAAACTGGCTTTTAACTTGACGATTTCGTAACTGACTGCCAAAGTAAGCATGGAGGATAGAGGCCGGTGCTTTCAGTTACTGTGAGGAAAAAAAGGCCTCTGATGTGGGCTGCTGTTTCTCTATTCAACAGGAATTTACTCAAAGTAGGATCTGCCTTCACCAGATCCTCTTATGTTTGAAGAGCTAATTAATAATGACTCAGTGGTGGAAGAAGAGCCTTTTGTGTATACGAAGAGATGCAATTTTTGTCTGGCCTCATAATGACTGTATTATATGGATTCAAAATGTACCTCAAAAGACAGGGTTGTGCTTTTCTCGGTATATTCACGATTTACCAGACTCATAAAAACCTGGGTAACAGTTAAAGACTGTTTGCTCTTTCAAATGGTTGTCATGAGTCTTAACTATCAATTGAGTGTGCTGTTTATGTTAAAAGGAAGACTTTTTTCAAATTATGCAAAACATCACGGGAAGTCGAGGAACAAAGCAGTTGTTGCCACACTGCGAGTGCGTCTTTTTTTGTGTCTTTTATAAAAGCTTTGACAACATTAGGTAAAAAGACAGAAGGAGAAAAGATGAGAACAAAAGGAAAGTACAGATATTTGAAGGGGGGAAATAGAAAACTGGGAGCAGAGAGTGGAAGGAAAAGAAATAAAACAGTGGAGGTAATAACACAGATGGGTTCAGAGCAGGTCACAAGCAGAGGAGCCATGAAAGAGACTCTGTAAAGCGTCTCTGCCCATGCTTTACGCAAAGGGGTTTTGATCTCTGTCTGCAGGCCTCATGAATGACTACTGATCTTGCTGTGAGTTTTTACTTTTAAAGCTTGCTTCCACATCTTTTTACAATGTCTACACAGCAAGACTTGACCTGGTTAAAGCCGTCCCTGTCTGTGTTGTAAAATGAGGTATTTATTGATTTATTTAGACACTACATGTCTAGCCTTGAGGATTGTAAGTCCTTAATATTGGCAGTGTTATTACAAGATAAGATAGTACTGTAAATCCACTGCTGGTGGAGGATGACTAGACAATTTTTTACATGGATGCTTCTGTAGTTACAAGCTGATCTTTTAAATTTTTTAAAATGCTGATCTATTAAAAGGAAAGTTGAAGTACTTAAAATTTTTTAACCAAACTAGCCATGTTTAGATGTACAAAATTTCTTGATCTGATTAAAAATTTGAGGGATTGGGAAATCTGAATCCACTCTTTATATGGGTGTAAAATCTAACATGATCATGACGTGCATAAAACAACTGCAGAAGAAAAGTTGCATTGATGCCTGTGCTATCAACAAACCAACAAATGCAGTGGTGGCTCACTTCATCCAATTCAAGACTTTTCCCCCTGCTAACTGTTGTCACTAGACGGTCCCTTACTTATTTTACTGTTCTGTCAAAGGTTGTACTGTGCGTGCAGATATGACATCCTTACGCTGTATGTACGCCTTGTTATGTTAATGGAGGAGCAGGCGCAGCACTCCGGCATGAGTGTTAATAATAAAACCTCTTGTACTGGCCTCAACACATAAGCCACAGGCTAAAGAATGAAGACCAAGTCAGGTTACTTTTACCCATACACTGTAAATACTATGGACAACTTGGTTCCGCCTTCCGTCAGTGTACAAAACCGAATTTCTCTCCACTTCCTGAAACCAACCAACATTGCACAGTAGTGTTATACACTCTACCACTTGCGCAGTAGCATTGTATGCATTTGGCGGGAGAGTTGCAGAGAGTCGCTGTGACGACACTCTGCTTAAATAGCATATCCCCCGGGTGACCTACACAATCTTCATACACCCATAGGCTGTATCAAGTGTTAATCATAGAAAACATAAACCCCCTAATAACTTTGCCTGTCACAAGTGGGTGCTGTTCTCGTGGTGGCTGTACCCAGTGAGGAGGCACATGGTGTCCGTTCTATAGTCCATAGTTTTACCCAAACAGAGAGTCATGATCAAAGTAAGTGTTTACATGGACGTGTTTTGGAATAATGATCGGCATAAACCCCCCCACTCGATCGGAATACAAATTGTTTCCAATTGAGCCAAATGGATCAGAGTTTTCTGATCAACATGTTTATATGACGCTTTTTTATTCCGATCAGGCCTTTATTCTGATTATTTGTGCCCATGTAAACGTAGCAGTTTGCAAAGTAAAAATTTACTGTCCTCTGTATCTTTGTCTCATTCCCTTTTGCAAGAGTTGGCGACAAAAAGGCCTACTTTTTTTTTTACTTTAGTACTGTATTTAGAGACATTTGCAGTTTCTAAAATCATAAATGGCAAGTGCTCCAGTCCATAAAGTAACCTTTCTTAGCAGCTGCTTATGCAGAGTTTGGCCAAAAATAGCTCATCCCAAACCCTCAACTTGCAGCGATACTGTAAACCACAGATTCATGCACACAGAGGGGTTGAAAATATCTTTCCAGCTTATATCCTCAGAGACATCTCTTGTTCCTGTGTGTCCTGTGGATGAGATAAGGTTTGAACTGGGCGGACCCTGGTCTAACTCAGGGTCACTGCACAGTCTCACAAGGTGAGCAACTGGCATTAAAGCCTCTGCTAACGACTTATTGACTGTGTGGCTCTGAGCATGCTCCATCCAGAGGGCTTCAAAGGTAGAGCTGGCAACGCTGTGATGTGTTGTTCGATGGGACAAGACTGTTTGAAGTCAACTCTGCCTTGTCTTGCACTTCGACACTGTGGAGCTAAGAGTAAAAATAGAAAGGGCAAGAAAACACAAGCCTGTGAAGTTGTACAGAAACCTTTGAGCTGCACATCCTGTCATAGAGAGGGTGTATAGGAGAAATTCTCTGTCAAAAAAGCTATATGCTGTGAGCCACATATATATTTAACCTTGTACTGTGCTCTGTGTGTCTCTTTTTTTCAGAGTTCACTCCACTTCCTGCAGTGTGTTTGTGCGTGCCCATATTTGTGGACCATAGTGTGTGCTTTATAGTACTGCTTTCTTTAAGGAAGCAACCCAACCATAACATATTGAGCCTTTCTGAGGGCATTTCGCTCTCTTGTGCGCCTCCTTTGATGGAAGTGTGTCACAGACTTGAAATGCAGCCTTTTGATGTGGTTGGATGTGAACTGAGGAGGCCACCTGGGTACACTGATAAACATGCGCACACAAACTTGCTAATTATCCACTCCCAGATGTTTAGTTTTGGGATGTGTTGCAACCCTGGCACTGAGGGAGTACATCCATTGGGACGACGTCAACAAAATCAGGTTACATGAATTAGCTTTTTCATTAGCTGGGACCCACTTAGGCTCCCATTTCCTCTCCTGTCTGTGAGGTTTACGCAGAGTATCATCAGGCTCTGGTCAGATGTTTAAGAAGTTTAAGGCAGGAATATGATAAGCGAAAAAGAAATGTTGGTTTAGGTCAGGAAAAGGCCAAGATCATAAAAAAGAGCAGGACAGACTGAAAGCTGGTCATCATACCTGATATCAAGTCAATCCAAAATAAGCTTTTAATACAATTAGCTTGTATTGTACTCTTTCAGGGACCCTGTTTGCCAATCTTCAAAATCCTTGGTGATTTGTTTGCTGATGGTTGACTCTTTGAAACAAAATGTCAATATGTTTGGGCCTTGAGTTACAAATGCACCATTTATCGTAGAATTGTTGTCTCAGTTTATAAGCAGGTATTTGATTAGATAGATGGATCAAAAGCTACATTTCCATTGGCGGGTTCCAGGGTTTCTTTACAAAGTAGGCTTTCACTATTTGCACCCTGAAGAGTGTTTTCCTTCTTACAACTGAGACCTGATCTCATGTGACAGCTTTTCTTAGACACAGGTAAGGCTCCAAGGAAAAAAGGTTAGGAACCACAGGTCTAGATGTCCTAAAATTTGCCCTTCTTTTGCAGCTAGAAAACCTCTCTCGTTTATTGTGTTTGAGGATATCAGTGATTCTCCTCTTTAGGTCAGAAAATAAAAAAAAATAAAAAACTTTCCTCTTTTGCCTCACCCTGGTTGGGGTGTGGCAGGGTTAAGGAAAGATCAGAAGACTGTATTTACTAAGGACAACTTGGTTCCGCCTTCCGTCATTATACAAATTTAAAGCCAAATCGCTCTCAGCATTTCTGGGATTTTTTAACTTCTTGGAACAACCACTTGTGTAGCAGCATTGTACGCATTCAGCGAGAGAGTCGCCTAAGAATCATTGCGATGACCCTCAGCTCAAACAGCATATCCCCCGGGTGAGCTACACAATTTTCGTACGCCCATAGGCTGTATCAAGTGTCAATCATCGAAAACATGAACCCCCTAACAACTTTTAAAAATGGAGCTGCACAGAAAAAAAGAGGACTTGAGCACAAACCAGTCTTACAGTAACTACATGTCAACATCACAAGCAGGGGAGAGAAAAATTTATATTCTGTTTAATCATTTCTAAAGTTTGTCCATAGCTCCATAAGGATTGCTGGAGGAGGCGGGATTTATGACTAATGCTGCAGCCCGTCACCAGAGGGTGCTGTTCTTATGGTGGCTTCACCCACCAAGGAGGCAGACGGCGTCCATTCTATATACAGCTTATGGTTCAAACTGAACCAAGTTTAACAACTAGGACAAATCGGCACTTACAGCCCGTCGTAAAAGGGTGGGATGTAATTCCTGTGGCTTCATATTTTTCCTAAGTTCTTCTTCTTCTTCTTCTTCTTCACTCAGATCACTTCTGTGCATACCTCGGCGATAATAGCACAATATATTAGCAGCACAATATAATAGCAACCATAAAGGTGGTATATTAGCTTCACTTTTCACAGTGGGAGGAGATGAGCACAAGATATCTACTAATTTGGCTTTTAAAAAAAAGTCCTTGTGAATAAATTACAGTACACAACTTCTTAACAGTGTCTGACTGGTACCAGCAGTTGTCTGAAATATAACAGATGGCTGTAATGATGACACAGTTGCGTGTAGTTAACACTTGCTGGGGCATGTAAAACAACAAGGTTTGTGGATGTTGATTTAATCTGTTAGCTGTGAGTGTTTTTCTCTCTTGGTAGGAGCAGAATCCTTGAAATACAGCCATGTCTCAAACTTTAACTTGTTTCTCTCTCCAAACACTTCAAATACAGTGTGATGGAAGCTCAAAGAGGAGAGTTTTGTGGGGATTTCACCTCTGAAGGCCTCCTGAGTAAGACACCCCATCACTTCTGCTTTAGCTGTCCACTTTAGATATAGATCGACATTCCCCGTGTCAGGGACAAGCACCTGAGCCCATGGTGGAGACAAAGATGTCAACGCTTCCTCACTCTTCCCTTTTCTCTGTCTGTGTCTCTCACTCTGTCACTGTCTGTCCCTCTGTAAGTTCCATGTGCTTCCAGAGTGTGCTGATATTGACAGCTTGTTTTCCTCACAAAGTGCTGAATTTTCAAGAGACTGTCGCTTCCCATTTGCTATTTAATATTTCAGTGTGTCGTGTTTCTGAGTGTTGTTGCAACAGGGATTGAGGCGTCTGTGACTTGCATTAAAGGAGTTTGTTTGCTGTATGTGGAGGCTGAAGTGAAAAGTTTGAATAAAAATTTAGTTTATTTTGGAAAACTCTGTATTTTATTCCTCTGGAAATATATCTTATTATTACTGAAATTCAAGCTAGCAGTTTTAGGGTTGGCAGCACGCATGGTGTTTCAGCCCCGCCCCTCTGAGTGAACCTGATATCTTCATGAAGCTTCAGACAATCAAATTTGTGATTTTTGTAATAAGTTTTATTTTAATCAGAGGTACTCAAGTGTAGGCTCCTGAAATGTGGTGAGCAGACAGTGTGGCGAGACTTAAAGCCAAGGTTTGTGGCTGGGAGTTGAACCAGCTACCCCTGCGACAAAGACTGCATTTGGATAAAGGCACCGAAAGTACACATTTGGCAGCTTGCAAGAAGTGGTGCTAAAAGAGTAAGGCCATGGGCAGTTTGGCTAGCGGTCACATAAGCTGACACCTAGGTCTATGAAGCGTGCAATCCCGGTTCAGTTCCAGTGAGGGGTGGACTGGGTTGGTAATAAGGGCTGGGTGTTGGACTCCACCCCAGGTTGCTCTGTCCACATGAACCATTTACTGTTCTCTTTTAGCTCTACATTTTTACATTTAGTTAAAACAGTTGCCACCATGGTATAATAACTCAAATGTTCCTTCATCTGTTTCGATATTGCACTCCAGAGAAATATACCAATTAAGAGTAAGTACAACACAAGCAAAGATCTAGGGAGAAGAAAACAATATGAGTAAGTGCCACAAACTGCTATAAAGTGCAACTTTACAATGCGCTTTTTTGTTATACTGTATCATCCTCATCATCACCTTATCAACTAAAACAAACCATCAGTCATGTAAAGTCACAATGACACAGTAATCATCATCATCCTTTGTGGTGGCAGAGTACACCATGCAAAAGTCTTTCACTGGTACAGTGGCCAGGAGGAAAGACCTGCTTATAGGCCAGCAGGTAGGTAGGTAGGTGCAGCTTTGTAAAAAAGTTAGGTTTTATATTTGATGTGTGCTGCTACTGGAAGCCGGTGAAGAGAGATGAACAGTAAAGCGACACGTGCCGTTTTGGGTTTGTTGAAAACCAGATGGGTTGCTGCGTTCTGGGTCATCTGCAGAGGTTTGTCTGTGCGTGACAGGAGGCCTGCCAGTAAGGAGTTGCATGGCGTGACTATATTCTGAATCCCCAAAAAGAGGACACTACTGAGCGGGTCAGAGTCACAGATTTGTCTGTAGTAAATTTTTAGGGTTTTTCGGGTCGGGTTAAGTTTTTTTCTATGCACTTCTAAGCCATTTAGTCCACACTACACAAACTCAAAACTTCCATACACAACGCTGGACATTTGAAGGATTTTGCCTACTCCTCAAGATAGGCCAGACTAAAAAGGACATGTCCAGGTAAAAGAGGACATATGGTCACCCTAGAGTTGCAGTAGTCGATGCAAGCCATTGTTTGACAGTTTCCACTTTAAGCAAAAGTCCTTTTACTCCAGCTAGTTAAGAGTCACCTCATGGCTATGAAATTCCAAGAATAACCTTAAAAGAGTGAAGCTAAAACTGGTAGAAAAGTAAGCTTCCTAGCTTGCGGACAATGCATACCTGAAGTATTAGCAAATACCATTGTTGTTGTGTTTTAGTTCAAGAACAAGAAATTATGTAACTTTAAGCCAAAATAACTGAGTAGTCTGACTTGGATGTTTGATTGTATTCACAGGGTGCACACTTTAAACATAAGTGCTCCTCAAATATTTTTTGTGTGTGTTTGGGATGTTGACAGGAAGGATAAAAAACTTTTACACTTTTACTTAAAAAAGTAACTTTGTGTGAATTAGCAGAACTGGTTTCATCATTTCTAAATAAGTCACAACTCACACATTCATAATAAAGTCAGGCGGGAAAATACTGTTTATCTGAAGCGCTGCTCTTCTTCTCCTGGGGGCCTTTGTGGTTTCGAAATCCTTGCTTGCTGTTAAAGCATGAGTAGGGTTTTTGCCTGCCCTCCCTGAGAGAGCACTGGAGTAATAGCAGCTGCTCAGTCCTGATTAGAGCCACTGTCCTCACAGACCCAGGCCCACACATCTCTGTCCTACTTTTCTTCCTCTCCTCCTCCTTCTCCTGATCTTTCTCTACGCCTAGTTCGCCACCAACTCCTAAAGTCATCCTCCAAGCTGCTGCTTAAGAGTCACAAATTCACACTGCATATCATTTTTTTCTTGTTGATCCCGAGTCCTTTTTTCTCAGACCCCTGTGGGCTGTGAATCAACCCATAACTTCTTATCCTATAAGAAAATCTGTGGCATTTTAAGCTGGCATGAGGAATTTAACATGGATCCTCACGTACATGTACACATGCCAGCATATGGAAAATCCAAGGACAGACATTTCCTTTCCAAACAACTCGCCTACGTGTCTCTAGATTCCTCATATAAAATACACCCTCAGCAGGCAAGAGACAGTGTTTGGTGTCAGGTGCATTCTGGTTTAATTAGTCTGAGTATCATCCTGCAGCGTCTCTCAGGGCGTTGGTTGCATGAAGGGAAAACATGCAGAGAGCTGAAGAATCTAAATTCATATGATATGATGCAATGCCAGACACAGACTGACTATCTCGTGACAATGTTTCAGCTTTTTATTTATCTGTTATAGAAGCCTTAAGGTTATACTAAGTCAGTAAACACCCTAAGGGATGTTCAGACATGACTCATTTTAGCAGAAACTTAAATTCAAAGTATTAAAAGGTTAAAAAAAACAATCAATCAAAATCAACCCTTTTACAGTTAATGTATCACAGTTGGTTTTCTGACTTTCTGTGTCAGAGGCTAACACACTTTATTTGCTGTTCTGCAGAAACTGATCATTTTAAAGTTTGGCCGATAGCTAATGCCAGGATCACAGCAAGATAAGCTTCTTGAACTGGATATTTTTTGATGAAGCTTTTTTTTGTTTTTTTGTTTGTTTGTTTGTTTTTTGCAAATCTATGAAAGCTGACTTCTGCCCAACACTAATTGATAATAGAAACTTAGCATTAATGAAATACATTTCAGTTGTTAATTCAGTATTATTAAATAAAAAGACAAAATAGCGAGGTGAAAAAGTCAACAGTCTGAGTTAAAGTGATGTAATTTTGACAAAAACGTTAGTATTATGACAGGAAGTCAAAGTTATGAGAAAATAATAGAATAAACTTTAGGATAATATATCTAAATTATAAGATAGTCAAAACTATAAGAAGAAATGTCATTATTATGATGAGCGATAGTAGATTTAAATTATGGCATTAGAAGCCAAAATGATGAAAACGCCATCAGCAATTCAGGAAACTATGCCTAAATTTCAGCAAAAGCAGTCAAATTTAAGAAAAAAAAAGTCAACATAAGGAAAAGAAAGATAAAATTTTGGCATCAGGAGTCAAAATTCCAAAATAGAATCAACATCACAGAGAAAATGTCAGAATTATGATATCAGAAGCCAAAGTTACGAGAAATAAGTCAACATAATCAGGCCAAAGGTTTGGAAGCAAGATCAGATTTGTACAAAAAAGATAATAGTTTTATGTATATAATTTGCAACACAATAAACATGACTATTGTGTAAAGAGGAACTTATTAGAAGACATTTTAACTATAATTATTAGGTATTTGAGTTATTGTTGCTTAGACTTTGCTTTCTTTAAAGTTAACTCCTCTGGCTTTAACAACAGCTTGGCATATACCAGGCATTTGTTCCACACGTTTTTAAGGTCTGTTCCAGGGATTGCATTCCAAGCTTTCTTAAGTTCATCAAAAAAAGACTGCTGATTCGGGGGACGAGTTTTTCTGACTGATCGATCCAATTCATCCCGCACAAGCTCTATTGGAGAAAGGTCTGGAGACTGAGGGGGCCAAACCATCTTTTGAAGAACACCTTCCTCTTCTTTTTTGTCTAGGTAACCCTGACAGAGCTTGGCAGAGTGCTTAGGGTCATTGTCTTGCTGCAAAACAAACTGAGCCACAAGTCTGAGTCCAGATGGAACAGCATGGTGCTGGAGGATGGAGTGATACTGTTCCTTCTTCATGATACTCTTAACTTCAAATAAATCTCCTACTTCATCACCTGCAAAACATCCCCATACCATGGAACTACCACCTCCATGCTGAATTGTGGGTGTAACACATGGTGCTTTCAGATGTTCACAAGTTTGTCTGCGGACATAGACTCTGCGTTTTGAACCAAACAGTGCAAACTTGTTTCTAGTCATCATAAGTCCAATTTTTGTGAGCTTTTGCCCACTCATATCTCTTTTTCTTGTTCTGTGGATGAAGTAGTGTGTTTTTTTGCAGATACACAACCCTTCAGACCAGCCTTTCTCAAACGTCATTTCACGTATACCAGAGATATGGGTTTCGACCTTGTCATGTTGATTTCCTCCCTTATTTTTGGTGCTGTCTTTCTCCGATCTCACTTACTGTTGACAATTCTATGTTTATCCTCTGCTTTTGTAGTAACTCTCTTTCGTCCAGGTCTTTTTCTATCATCATAACTTCCAGGTTCCTCTAGTCTCTTCAGAGTGTAGTGGACTCCTTTGTTAAACACCTTAAGGCATTTTGCAGTTTCTCTTTCTGTGTATCCTTCTTTCCTCAATGTACAAACCTGTACTTTTGTTTCTTTACTCAGTTGCTTCTTTCTAGCCATTTTTGCGGTAGTTTGAACGCAGTTGAGATTCATTAGGATTTTTGTATGCAGACTCTCAAAAGCCAAAAAGTTGAAGTGAATAATCCAACTGTGATTTGTTTTTTTGCTTTTGCACTGAAGTTGTGACTCTTGCAAATGTTTTCAACCCTAAAACTAAGCCCTTATTATTTTTTGCTGACATATATTTAGCAATGGTCTGTTAACATTAATGTATATCTAAAGGTAAATGGAGTAAAATGTATATATACAGTGCATCCAGAAAGTATTCATACCACTTCACTTTTTCCACATTTTGTTATGTTACAGCCTTATTCCAAAATGGATTAAATTCCTTTTTTCCCTCAAAAATTCTACACAAAATACCCCGTAATGACAAAGCGAAAAACTTTTTTTAGAACATTTTGCACATTTTTTAAAAATAAGACACTCAAATGTTGCGTAAACATAAGTATTCACACCCTTTGCTATAAAACTCAAAATTGAGCTCAGGTGCATCCTGTTTCCACTGATCAGCCTTGAAATGTTCCTCCAACTTGATTGCAGTCCACCTGTGGCAAATTCAGCTGATTGGACATGATTTGGAAAGCCACACCTGTCTATATGAGATCCCACAGCTGACAGAGCACGTCAAAGCACAAACCAAGCCATGAAATCAAAAGAATTGTCTGTAGACCTCAGAAACAGGGTTGTATCGGCGCACAGATCTGGGGGAGGTTACAGAATAATATCTGCTGCATTGAAGATCCCAAAAAGCACAGTGGTCTCCATCATTAAGAAATGGAAGAAGTTTGGAACCACCAGGAGTCTTCCTAGAGCTGGCCGCCCAGCCAAAATGAGCAAGCGGGGGAGAAGGTCCTTGGTCAGGGAGGTGACCAAGAACCCGATGGTCACTCTGACAGAGCTCCAGCGTTCCTCTGAGGAGATGGGAGAACCCCACAGAAGGACCACCATCTCTGCAGCACTCCACCAGGCATTTATGGTAGAGTGGCCAGACAGAAGCCACTCCTCAGTAAAAAGCACATGACAGCCTGCTTGGACTTTGCTAGAAGGCACCTGAAGGACTCACAGACCAGGAGAAACAAAATTCTCTGGTCTGATGAAACGAAGATCGAACTCTTTGGCCTGAATGCCAAGCGTCATGTCTGGAGGAAACCAGGCACCGCTCACAACCTTGCCAATACTATCCCTACAGTGAAGCATGGTGGTGGCAGCATCATACGGTGGGGATGATCATACTGAGTGGCCCAACCAGAGCCCAGACTTGAACCCGCTTGAACATCTTTGGAAAGACCTGAAAGTAGCTGTGCACCGACGCTGTCCATCCAACCTCACTGAGCTTGAGGGGATGTGCAAGGAAGAATGGGAGAAACTCCCCAAATCCAGGTGTGCCAAGCTTGTTTCATCATACACAAGAAGACTGGAGGCTGTAATCGCTACCAAAGGTGCTTCAACCAAGTACTGAGTAAAGGGTGTGAATACTTATGTATATGCAACAATTGAGTGTTCTTATTTTTAATAAATTTGCAAAATGTTCTAAAAAAGTTTTTTGCTTTGTCATTATGGGGTATTTTGTGTAGAATTTTTGAGGGAAAAAGGGAATTTAATCCATTTTGGAATAAGGCTGTAACATAACAAAATGTGGAAAAAGTGAAGTGGTATGAATACTTTCCGGATGCACTGTATATATATATTATTACTGTCAGAAATGGACATCCATACAAAACACATCATAAGCCATTTGAAAACTCTGTCCTGAGCTTTCACACTATTTCATGAATCACCATCACATACCCTTAAGCATTTTGCTGATTCCAGTTAATGTCAGGCTTAATGTATTCAAAGAGGGCTGCATTTAGTCTGAGAGAGGAACAGAGGTCTTGGGGATCAAATTGTAGTTTTGGGTCCCCTTATGCTGCCACATTTCTCTGCATTTTGCTGTCTTCCTTGACAAACTGATGAGCACAGTGGCTGCAGGAGCTCAGATTACAGCAGGGTCAGATTGAGTTTAGCAGTTGCATGTGGAATGCTTTTTATGAAAAATTTAAAACCATATTTTTTTCTCTTTTTTTTAAGTGAGTCCTCTGCAATTTAAGTGAAAATCAATACTGACACTCAGACCTCTGTAATTTGGTGCAGTTAATTTGAATAGTTTCACTTTCAGCTGAGACAGACGAGGCCAGACAAATCATGAGTAGGTTCACTTGATTGAAAAAGGATGAAATTCATGCATGATAAAAAGAAGAGAAAAGCTTATTTAGAAAACAAAAATTGAAGAAATCATAGGAGCGACAGAGGATGATCAAAGTGAGCAGGGAGGAGGAACAAGAGAAGCTTCCTGTGGTTTCCCGCGGGCTGGGTATGAGCAGGTTGTTCAGCCTGAAGTTGGACATGCTCAGGGGTTTTGTGAATGAAATGGACGCCTTGGCAGCGTGCCCGTACATTACACAGCTAGATTTTCTCCTGTCTTCCTTCCCAGCCGTCCTCCCCTGCCCTCTCTCCTTCCTATTCATCAGGAGGCTTCCCAGACAGCAACATGTTGGAGTCCAGTTACCATCACTTAGCAACTCCCCTGAGTCAACAGCTCTCTCTGATGCTCTTTTACTCTCCCTCACTGCCTTTCTCTTTGTCTTAGTACAGCTCAGACAAGCTTAACTTAGGTACAGTTTGCTGAAGCAGTGTACCACATGTTATTTTGCATGTTGAATGTTTTCCTAGTGCAGTTTTTTTGTTTTTCCTAGTGCAGACAAGCTTAACTTAGGTACAGTTTGCTGAAGCAGTGTACCACATGTTATTTTGCATGTTGAATGTTTTCCTAGTGCAGTTTTTTTGTTGTATTTGGGGCTACAAAAATAGAAAATCAATTTCTTCTAACGTGCACCGTCTCACTCTGACCATTGCTTACAGCTTCATCCACTTACTCAGCCCACATTTACAGGCAAACAAGCTCTCAAACAAACACTCGTAACCTTATTTAAACTCTTCTCCAAATAACCACAGACCATCTCTTTCTCCCTGCTGCTCTCTCTCTCTCTCCTTCTTGCTCTGTCCACCTGCTGAACTTTAAGTGCTCTGTAGCGGTAATAGCCGATCTGTGTTTCCCTCTGTCACATGACAAGTGGAACAAGCTGTAATGGAGAGACACACCGAACCATTCAATGGTACGTGCACCAGACTATTTTTGACTCCAAGAAATGTATGAATACAAATTTTTGACTTTCAATTAATCCTCGCTTATGATTGGTCAGGAGTGATTTGAGGATATTCTTAAACAAACAGCCAAAAACAAAAGGCAGAAGACTGTGCACAAAGGTGGACGGTACACAGAAAGTGAAGCCAAAACATTTGAGTTCCCCGACTGACTGACTGACTGAAGAATGAGTCATAAAGCTCACCTCCTCCTTGTTAACACATGGGACATGAGTCAGATTATGAAATCAAAATACACTTCAAGTTTTCTTTTCTAAAACATGCTTTCTGATGTTAGTTTTTATGATACTTATTTAACTGCAAGGATTCTTTTTTTTTTTAAGTTTGCCATTTATTTACTTTTCTGATGTCAAAAAGAAGGAATGTGATGCCACAATGAACTGCTCTGTTGGCAAATTTGGCTCCTAGTTGTAACTGGATGAGCAGAAGGGAGGAGGAACAGCCAACTTTTCATAACACAAGGATTAACACACTGTAAGGCGCTGTACCCACCTGAGGGATCTTTGATGTTTCAGCCCTTATCCCTAATGTGCTTTTTGGTCAGCAGACGGGTTTGATGTCAGTTTTATGGCTCCACCAGCCAGATTGCTTCTTGCTTCATTGGCTGGAATCTTTTAATCACCTTGCTCTTGATAAGTGCTACAACTTGTTCAAGCAAAAGGTTTCAAATCCACCCTCCACAGTGACTGTGGAGAGTCCCAGGCCTCGACATGGTGCCATTTTTCATGCTGCATCATACTGGCTCAGCTTAAAGCTCCTATGAGGAGTTTTTTGACATTTATAAAATAGACTAAAAGTTAATACTTCATCTCGCTGATTTCCTTTTAAGAGTCGATATTTTACTGTCGTATATATAGCTATCTTTACATAACCGGACTCTGTCACATATCCATGGTTTAGGATATACCCTAGCGATTGTGTTTGAAAAGAATTTTGTTTTCATTACAGGCCAAGAGCACTAGATCATACAACTTGTGCCCCAATTTTTCAATTTTGTTTTGAAATTAGGGAAATTAGATCTAACACCCTGTGAATCTCATTTATTTTAAGACTGATGTACTTCTGTAAATTTGATTTGTTTGCTTTGTAGAGGATGATTTTGCTGTCTTTAAAGGACAGCAAAAAGAGGAGTATGAAACAAGTCCAAATGTAATGACTCCCAGTGACAAAAGACTGTCTATAGCTACAGCCTCTTCTCTTCAAATTATGCTGATTGGTACTTTATCCGAACAGGGAGATGTGCATCAACCTTAGCTTTTAAAGACAGATCTCCCCTCTAATGACAGACTTTAAATCTGGCCAATCCATCTACTTTGCAAGGTTATCTTAATATCTTCATAATATGAACATCATAATCAGGTATCTCAAATACAACAGCTTTGAATGGAGTTGTTGCTCCTGCAATTCATCACATTTCAAATTGTATCTGTCAGAGTATTTCTGACATCCTGAGGAGAGTGCACTCTTTTTTTACACAATCCCATCAAAATAAACACACCCCACTGTCAGATTGTCTATACATGTGAGATACTTCACTATTTTCACTTCCTTTTTTCCCAGAGGCACGACAGTACATCATATCCCAGCCCTTTCCTCTTTCACCCCGAGGCACATACAAGGAGATATAGCAGCTATCATACACACGCTGCTTTTATTGATAGGACAGGCTCTCCTGCATGAGGAATGTCTGCGTCTGACCTAACAGCCAATCATTTTCTCCCAGCTCTGATGAGGTGGAGAGGGGGGGCTGGATCGGGTGTCCAAAGGGGGTCTTTGCCCTGTCAGCATCCGATCCTCATTGCACAGATTCATGGAAGAAAAGGAAGAGATCCCAGGATACCTCTATCGATCTGATCTCCTCCCATCCCCCATGTCTCTTCTTTTCCCTCCACTATCTTCCATCTAACCATCCCCCAGCCTGGAAAGGTGGAGCAGGAGATCTCATCCTGACTACATGTGTTGTGTCTGCTGCTCAGCGTGTGTGTGACTCTGTGTGACTGTGTGACTGTGTGACTGTGTGTGTGTGCGTATTTTTCAGAGCTGGAAAAGCTGACACCATGAATCCAGGCGACTGTCTCGAAGGATTTATATCACATTGTGCTAGCTGGTGTTTGGGTGATGAAAGAAAGCTGTTTGTGGGGATGAAAATGTTGAAACGGACCAAAAAGAGAGAGAGAGAGAGTGCATGTGTGCATGTACCTCAAGGAAACTATGATGACTCTTAATTTTTTTCCCCCTTATTGTCAGTAACTTTATCTCACTGAGTCTGCTGTGCAGTCCAGACTGCACCGCTGCCTGTCTGTGACCTTAAAGTACCCTGCATAGCTACAGCACCTCAGTTCAGTTTTTATGGTCGCCACTTAATGTGCTTTCTCTCCCTCTCGCTCTCTTTCTCTCTGCCTGCTTCTTTCTCTTCTTCACTGCGCCTGCCAGGCTGATATTTTGATCTGTCACAACAGGTTTTGCTCAGCGGGCCTGTCAGAGACTAACAGTTTGGGGCTCACACATATGCTTTGTGTCATCAGATCCCTTCAGGTTGGCATGAGGCTCAGGGCTTTCCCTCAGTGACACTGTCTGATGGTGTGAAGTGCGGTATATGAATGTGATTGTGTGTGTTCTTGCATCTGTCTGTGTCAGGGTTGTTACTTAAGTGATCGAGATGTACGTCTGCGAGTGTTGATGCTTTAGGAAAAGACGTGCTCTTCCCAGCTACAGTCCAATTTAGATGGTTTGTATATTTTGAATAAATGTGTTTGTGTGTGTTTTAGAGTGATGGAATACAATATGTCACCACTCGAGTCGTGCCTAGCTCCAGGTATCAACATTTTATGGAGAACATGTTATTGTAAACATGTCCTTTTCAATTTGACCCACCATGTCCTGACGTAAGGACCCCTGAAATGCTGCAAACCAACAGACTTTTTTACTCTGATGCTATTGCCGACTGTCTGTCAAGTCCTTCATTTGCTGATCACTAAAAACCAACAAAGACCAAGCATTGCGACAGTAAACGGAATAGGACTGTAGTGATCTCCATACATAATGAAAGACTGGACAAATGATCCCACAGAAAACACACTCAGTGAGCATGTAGGTCCCTTATTTTAACTAATAATCCAACATTCATGATATGTCTGTAACAATCAAACTCTGTTTGGATAGCATAAATATATTGTTAAAGTTTGTAAGGTGCTGACTACAGAGATAAACATGTTTAGATTTTCGTTCTCACAGTGTTTTCCAGGAAACCTTTTTCGATTTTGATTTTTGAGTTTATTTGTGGAGAATTGGCACAAAGCAGCTCTGCAGCATGACGGCTGGTAGTTTGTTTCCCCCCTTGGTGCAAACACAATGTGAAATTTTCTAGTTTGCTGACTGTATTTATTGCCTGGACTGCAGGATCTTTTGCTCCTTTTTTGGTCTATCTTTATTTTGGTTTAAGCCTAGTATCTCCACAAACTGCTCTCCCATATTGGGGTTTCAAGTTTCCTATTTTTGTATTGTACATGTTAACGTCATACGGTGTTCATGTTATCAGCTGATCTCAGAAACTTTAAGCTCTGGTCCCAGTTCAGAAAAAACAAATTTAGCAAAATTTGCCCCTGTCTACAACCCCCCCAAAATGAGAAACTTCTATCCTCTCCCTCTCTTGCTTGTTCCACCTTTCAGAAAATGTCTGCACAAACGGGCTGATTGAAAGTATCGCCTTTCATGACGTCATTGACAGCGATAACTCCTCCCCTCCAGGCTGGTGACCCTTCCCAAAATGTTTGTTCTGCTCTCCAAAAATTTCCACTCAGACACTATTTTTCTCCCTCACAAACGCTGGTTCGAAACGGGCTAGTAGGCTAGGCTCGGCTAGTAGTTGGGGTTAGTAACAGTCCTCTGACGACAAATCTTTTTCAGAAGACTGCAAGAACATGGTCACGAGAGATAACTACACTTACAGTATTGTGCATTCACCAAAAGAGCTCCAAGTAATGAGAAGACAGCAGAGATATAACCGTTGGCCAGAGCTAATATTACCTAGCTACATGTAAGTCACTGTGTACCAACACACTAATAAAGTAAAAAGAAAAATATGGAGACACATAATATTTGTAACTAACCATTCAGAAACATCCTGCTGCAGCCGCAGAATTGGAATTTCTTGGCACTAGCATTCTGGGTTGGCACTAGAACTCTGTGTTAACATTAGCACATGGAACCGTAGCGCAACCCATGCCCCCTCTTCCAGAACGACAGGGAGGGGCGTGGCTTGCACTGAAGGAGGCGTGGACTGGAACAGCAAACAGAAACAGCATGTTCTCGGTTTTCAAGCTGGCTGAAGTCCAGGAAAAAACTGTGTTTTTAGACAAAAACCTTCAAATGGACTGTTCTGGGACCTCTGAGACCTATGTGAACCTGCTGAAAAGGAGCAAAATGTGGTCCCTCAAAAGAACTAGGCCATGTAGACGCCTTGCCCTTGTTTCTGACAGGTAAGACAATTATCTGAGCGCTAATTTGATTATCTAACAAACATGTCAACAAAAGCATCTCACCAATGGAACAAACATACAGTGAGTTTTGTCTTTGGGTGATTAAAGAATTGAATATAATTGGAAGTTTAGATGGAAGAAAACACTAAAATACAGAGTTTAAAGTGTAAATGCCACAACTGGTCAAAGGTAGCATCTGGCTTCTAATCAGGATCCCCAAGTCTAAACACACTCATTGTACAATGGCTGCTGATGGGTTACAGGATTGTACCACAGCTGATGCATTTTGCTAAACACACAGACTGTTTTTCTGCATTCAGCCAGAGCTTGCTAAATGATGGAGGACAATCATGCCCATACTATAAAAAGAAATCAAAGCACCAAAATCTGACCCCATGAGTGCAGATTTGCCTTTTTAAAAAAAGGATCTGTTAATGGAGATCTGCCCACAGGCCATCCATTAAATAGGTCTGCTACACGTTCATCCTCAAGCCTTTTCTAAGTGTGTTTGTGTCCCTTTAAGCTTTGGCAGCAGCAGCAGTGTCACTTATGATGGATGAGGTGACATATACTGCATGTCAATAATGAGCTAGCTCGCTTTCACTCTCATATATTCTCACTTCGCTCTCAGAAAGGAGCTCCTATCTTTCAAATTAGCGCGCTCTGCCACTAATCTTCCTCTCCAGTCTGTGAAAATAGGCCACTTTTCAGTCTACTGTGTGTGGGAGCTCTCTGCGTGTTCCCCAGGGTAAATCCCTAAAGAGGAAGATTAATATATCAATGGATGACTTGATCGTAGTCAAACATACACATGTGCTTGAATGTGTGTGAGTGTGAGTCTGTGAGTGAGAGCGTGCACACAGTTCTGGGGAGCCGCCTCCTTTATTTGCATGTCTGGAGTGAACATCTATCATCATCATCAAGGCGCTGCAAAACAGCAAGGCAGGCAGGCGCAGCCGACGCTGCTCTCGAGAGGGAGACAGAACACACTTTCAAACCTTTACCGCAGCGATATCAAACGTTTCCTAAATGCCTTCACCTCAGGGCAAAGGCACACACAGAGATGCAAAAAGACAGATTTTTCTGTAGCTGTATTCTCCCATAATTGACTTTGTCAAACATAAACCTCATCACAAAGACAAGTGTGAGAGCACCTGAAGAAAAACACCCTCAAACATGAAATAATTACAATCTAAGGAGACACAATTCAGCTCCTTTCCATCATATTGTTTCAACACTGATGGTCAGAGTGGCTCGATCCATTTCAGGGGAGCCAGAGGGGATTACTGGGCAGTACCAAACCGGAGAGGGGCTAGCTGAAATGGTACAACCTGATAGATAGAAGAGCAAGAGACAGTGTGTGTGAGCAGAATAGTAAAAAGAGCCCCCGAGACGAGGGGTGGAGGGGGGGTGGTAGAGAGGGAGGAAAGAGAGCTAGAGCGAAAGAGAGAGGAGTATGGTGGAGTGGAGGCACAGAGCCAGAAAATTGCATTGCGTGCTCGGTGATTAGTTTACCTCCTGGGTCTCATTCTGTCTCACTCCCCTCCTCTCACTCCCCAGGTTTCTCCTCCACCTCTAGTAGCCTCCTTTTTCTCGCCTTGTGTCTTTGTCTCGCCACTTTCGTCTCCTTCTTCCACTTCCTCTGTCACTACATCACAATGTCACTTCTCTCTATTCTCTTCTCCTCTTCGCCACTTTCTTGGCGGTTATCGCCACCGCCTCCCCTTTCCATCTCTCCCTCCCTCCCTCCTTCCCCCCCTTCCTCCCTTCTTGTGTGCTGACTTGGCTCTCACTTCCATTTGTGAGTTATCTGCACAGGTTGATAAATGCATAATGCCAACTAACCTGCAGGCAAACCCATCAAATCTTGGGAAAAAAAAGGGACGGGGAAGTTACGGTTTTTCATGTTACATGATGCTTTAAACTCACAGGCACAGAGGAGATTTACTTGGAGAACTTTCAATCAGTCAGCCAGTCAGGGAAGCGTTTAAACCCCATAAGCCAACCCTGCTAATTATAGTCTTAACAGTAATAAACATGAGCTTTGAGTGTCGTGTGCACAGAACAACAGAAGTGCTGACACTGGATAGAAGCCAGCCAGCATCCACACGCTCCTTCTTTTGGTTTGCTGCTCTTTGAAAAAGCAAGTGGGTCAAGCTTTTTCTTCTTAATCCTGACATAATCTGGCCCTTCCTCTATTGAAGAGCAGCCACAAAAACAGTAAAAGGAGGAGGAGGAGGAGGAGGCGAGACGGAGGGCAGACAGAGAGTGATAGACAGACAACGGGAAAAGAAGAGAGAAAAGAGGATTTTACCTCAGGCTGTCAGGGTTTTTCTCTCTAAACAGAAAAAAAACATTTCAAGGTAGCAGAAGGCCACAGAGGAACAAATTGTCTCCGTAATAACCACCTGTCCTCATATTTAAGCTCATTCTGTCATTTTTTCCCACCTTGCAGTCATACAGCTGCATGTTTTTTGTGTGTATGTGCCTCTGAAAAATTTCTATTAAGAGCTGTGAAACCAGCTGTGTGTGCCGTGTGTGAGAGAAGGTAATTTAGAAATATCACCACACCTGACACTTTAACCTTTAAAAAGTCCAAACAACAAATCAAAAAGATATTGCAAGCTGTGTCCTCCAAAAACTCCAATCAAAAAAAATAAAAATCGGGCACAGCATTTGGTAGAACATTAGCGCAGGCTTTTTAAGCTCTAAGATACCTGTTTTTTTTTGTTTTTTTTTTGTATTATTCACTTTGTTGTTATTGTTATTGAAGAAGCAGATTCACACATGTGTTTCAGGATGATTTGCCCCTGACACTGCCAATCTCAAACAGTGTATTGTTGTCAACATGATAATGGACAAAGCAGTAGTGTGATAAAGATCAATAAACTATTATTTTGTTTTTTTTTGTTTTTTGCCCTCAAAGTTAATTAAATAGGTTTGTAATGGTTAACTACGAAAGCAGGGACATTTCTTTAGTCATTGTAACATAATTGGTTTATAGTTTTTTATTTGTCAGTATGTGTTCATGACAGCTCTTCCTGGGGGATTCTAAGAGTGTACTCTTCAGGTTTTTCAATGTGATTGTGCTCTAAGGGTTGAAACAGATTTAATCGTTGTCACCTTCATTAAAGGGATATTCCAGCATAAATTTAAGTTACGGTCAAACACACCGTAACACTGAGTTAGACACCCCCTCCAGATATAAATTTTGCCGACTGCTTGCTTCTCTAGTTATACCAACTTCAGCAATGACCACACAATAACAACACACCGCAGTCTACACCACTCTCCTCCAGCAGCCACTGGTTTGTGGGGGAGCCCTGATGAGTTGATCACTGAGTTTCGCAGCTCAAGGAAGGACATTTATGATCATTACTTCATGGAAATGCAATCAGACTGAGACACTAAGGCAGAAGAACTACTGCTTCTGCAGTGCAAAATGATTAATATGGTGATTATTACTTCATGGAAATGATCTGCTGCACTCAGTGATCGACTCGTCAGGGCTCCCCCACAAACAAGTAGCTGCTGGAGGAGAGTGGGTGAGTTGTGTTTAGTCTCTTTGCTAAAGAAATCAGGCAAAGCTAAAAAGATGTTTGATGGCTAGTACTATGGCTGGGAACCTATATGTACTGTTGATCAAGTTAGGTGCTGTTCTGAGCATTATTTGTGACTATAGAGTGGCTTTTTGGTGGAGGTTTGTGTGTAGATCCATAGACCGCTGTGTATTACTATCATGCGGTCGTTACTAAAGTTGGTATAACCAAAGAAGCAAGCAGTCGGCAACATTCAACTCTCGAGGGGGTGTCTAACTCGGTGTTACGGTCTGTTTGACCATAACTTCAATTTATGCCGGAATATCCCTTTAAGCCCAAGTGTGTCCAAACAATGGTCAAAGCATTTTTTTCTTTGGTCCAGGTTACTCAGTACAATGTTTGAGCAAATTCTTCTGCGACCTCCAATTCTTTTATTCATCCTGTTACTGTTGTTCTTCTCTTGTCATTATCCCACCTGCTCAATAATGGCACAATTCCCCATACATTTTTCTCTGGGCTTACACCACCTTCACACATTAATATTATAAGTGGCCTGGCAGGGAAAATTGCAGATCATGTAAGGTCAAAATTTCAGCTGTTTGTGTTCACACATACATCTCACCCTGAAAACTCAAATAGTTTTGTTCATGTGTGAATACATCGCTAGACTAGCAGTTGAACAACAGTGGTTTCAGGTCGATCAATGATAGCAGTATCTGACTATCTGTTCAAGACTGAAAAACAACTTTCGTCTGCTGTCATAGGGAATTCAAGAAAGAAAAAAGTGTTCAGAGGTAGAAAGATGAAGAAAGTTTAAAATGTAGGAAAGTTCTTGAGGTGTTTTACAACCCCAGAGTTTCAGAGTTCAGTCTAAGGTGACTGCAGGTTTGATGTGTACTTTCAGATTCTGTGAATGACGTAGTTTTGACGTGATCTGTTAAATCAAACAAATCAACATAAGTCTGACCTGCTGATGCTCCAATGGATTGATCAGAAGTATTGTGTATGTAGAAGGCACAGCAGCAGCATCACTCCTCTTTAGCACTGATATAGAATCTACACCTCCCTATCTGCTAAAGTCCATTATGGGAGAATGACCCCAAATTACCTCAGATCAGCCTGAATCTCTGGCCGTCATCCATCTAAAGGCAAAAAGGCCTTGATTACATGATTGATGGTCGTCTCTCCCCCTCCTCTCTTTATTTTATCCACTTTTTTCTGCTCTTTTTATCCTCCTCTATCCCTCCTCCCTCGTCAACAATCACCTTACATCCTTTCTTCCTGTCTTCTTTTTTGCCCTCTCTTCTCAGCTTTCCGCCCATCTTAGTGGTGGCACGATGTCACGTGACCACAGTGCAATGAGTTTAGGTACCTGAGGACCGTTGCTAATGGTGACAAATGACTGGCTGTGCAGTAGAGAGAGTACAGCAGAGGAGAGAATAGCTGCTTTACATGCTAGGGGTCAGTGTTTATGCACTGTGCAAGGATTAAGAAAGATATAAGGGCCTATAAACACTGCCACATGAAATATAGGCTAGTATCAGTTTATTGTAATTAATATAATTTATGTACATCTCTACTTTGTTGATTGTCTAAAGCTGGAGTAGTCCTAAGCCACCTGTCCTCTGGGGTATTCTTAAAACTACTTCAGGAGATTGACAAATTTTTACAATTACATTGTTCCAAATAAATGTTTCATGTTTACAATGTGGTAAAAACTAGCATTATGGCATCTTAAATATTCCTTCTCTGGAAACCTGAGAGAAAGAGTTGTTGAACCCTGAGGACCAAAACTCCCATGATACAACATTTTTTTGGTCATTAAATAATACACCTGTGGTTTGTTTTGTTTAAGAGATTCCTTAGGGTTGGAATTACATGCTATATTTTTAATAAACATTTATTCCTTGTTTAGCCAAATTGGAGGTTCAAAATCTAGAATACTGTTAGCTAGGCATAACAACATTACACGATAAAATAAGAGGCCTGGGGTTTTGTTATCACAAAGAAGCTTTCAAGTAATGCAGATGAAAGAAAGACATAAACAAACTAATAAACAAACAAACAAAGAAGAAAGAAAGAAAGAAACAAACAAATACAAAAGGAAGGAAGGAAAACAGAATAAAGAAACAAACAAACAAAGAAGGAAGAAATAAAGAAAAGAGAAAAAAGGAACAAAAAGGAGGAAGAAGGAAATAAGAAAAACATACAAATAAAGAAGAAAGAACAAGAGAAAAAAGAAACAAAGAAAGAAAAAGAGAAAAAAGAAACAAAGAAGGAAAAAAGAAAGAAAAAACATTCAAAGAAGGAAGGAAAAGAAAGAAAGAAAGACAGAAAGAAAGAAAGAAAGAAAGAAAGAAAGAAAGAAAGAAAGAAAGAAAGAAAGAAAGAAAAAAAGAAAGAAAGAAGAGGTTAGAAAAAGAAGAGAAAGTAGGCAAAAAAAAGTATAACCAAAAAAAGGAAAAGAAAAAAGAATGGACGAGAATGGAGAAGGAAAGGAGCAAAAAGAGCTATATGCCTATTGAACAGATTATGCATGTTTTAAGGTTTTTTTTTTTCAATCTGATGTGCCTGTTTGGATTCTTAACCTTCCTGACATGTAAAGCTGACTTTCTTTACTTGAATCCTGTTTCCTGACTTCAGCTCTCTAAAGGCAGATCTGAGTGATCTTCACATAATTTTAGTCAAAAATTCAGCCAATAAACTTTTGGTTAACTTAGACAACAAGTCAGCTGCCAACAAGCTAATGCTGGTTAAAGTAGGGCACCTCTGCCTACAGTAGAACAATTTTAACCGGTGAGTTTGTGCTGATACAAGCGTCAGAAGAGAAATGATTCAGTCATAAATCAACTCAGTCCACATGAAGTGAGGAATTTTTTGAGGGGTTGTAATTACAGAGATAATATTTGGTCAAAATGTCAGAGGTAGTTAGCCCCTACGTACTCCAAGAACTGACAGAGTGGAGCTGAATTGACACAGCATCTCTCGTCTCGGTTTGCTGCTCCCCTTTGCTTTCAGCTTGAATCATGTCAGCCCAGTCTCCATTCAACAATCCAGCAGCTCCCGGTGTAGGAATTGCCCAAAGGCACTGGTCACAGATCGGTGTGTGTTTTTCTGAGAGTATATCTCAGTTGCCCGTGGGACTGGGATCTCAGTTCAGCCAGACTTTTATCTGGGGCTATTCGCTGCATGAGGGGGATAAAGATATCTGATTTAAGACTACTCTGAGAGGGGAAACCCATAATTAGAGCGCTTCAAGTTTTACACTGAAAGACAGAAATCATATTTACATATATTTGCAATGGCAGTTTTCTTTGACATTGTATAATTTGCCTAATAATAAAAAACATCAGCCATGTTCAGCCAGTGCTGTGATTCTTTCAGTCAGCGTTAAGGGTAAAAAGACGGCAGACTTGTGAGTTGGCTTACCAGGGTGTCCTTGAGCAGAAACCTGAATCCCTGATGGTTTCTTTTTATATCTGTCTGGTGCTTCTTAACTCACTACGTCTGAGTAAAAAGATGACTCAATCTTTTGAAAAACCCATGGTACAACTAGAAGTTCCTTTATCCATTCATACTACTACTGATATAATGAGCTGGAGATTTACCTCTTAAAAACTATGAAGAGTTACAGCTTCACACACATGCAGCCTTGATGAGCCGCTCACAGAAGCAAAGAGAGGAAAAATGTTGGGTTTTTTCTGTGTCGTGATTCAAAGATGTTGGTTTACAGAAAAAGATCAATAAAAGCCAATAAAGGTCACAGTGTTTGAATTCTGAGGAAGCAATTTGAGGTTAAGTTCGTGCTAAACTTGACAGCATAGTTTTCATTTCAACCCACATAGAGATATTTATACATGTCCTGACATACTCTCTCTTTACAGCCATGCTTGCTACTGCTGTGAAAAGAAAGAGCTGGGGAGAAGTTTAAATCACTCCATAAATGAAAGACAGATTATCAGTTTTAAGAGACTGAAATTCACTTTAGCCATTTTTAGCCAACATTTTTGACAAGAAATCATGACCAACCAACTGATGTGATCTAACTTAAGGATCAGAGTAGCCTATGTGTAAACTGTACTGTTACTTTTTTAAAATTTTCCAGAGAGCATGTCCAAAAAAAAAAGTTATTCTTTTTCTTATTCTTAAAAAAGAGGTTCAATCAATTTTCACTTTAATCAGCCAAGCTTTCAGCCCTCATCAGATAGCGCATGACCATCAAAACAGAAGAAAAGAGCAAAAAGAAATCTAACATAATTTTATAAACTCAGAATAATAAGGTCAGAAAACACTCAGTAGACTTGCATGTTGTTCAAAAAATGATTCCTGCCTCAGTCTGAAGTGTTGCTATTGAGCCAGGTAATAAACAAAACCTCAACAGATGAAAACAGGATGTATAAGAGATGAAACCTCGCTATCCTACAGACAAACGGTAAAGAGCTGTGATGTGAGAGTTTGCATTATTCGACGTACATACATTTACCTGTTCCTCCCCTTTTTGACAACTGTTCTGATACATAATAGGTCAACCGAGAAACATCCTAATAGTGACAAGCTGAAGGGGACATGTCTAAACTGTAGACTGTATATACTATGGACAACATGGTTCCGCCTTCCGTCATTATACGAATTTGAGGCCGAATTGCTCACAGTATTTCCAGGATTTTCTCCACTTCCTGGAATAAACACTGGAGCAGTAGCATTGTATGCATTCGGTGGAAGAGTCACTGTGATGACGCTCAGCTCAAACAGTGTATCCCCCGGGTGAGCTACACAATCTTCACATGCTCATAGGCTGTATCAAGTGTCAATCATAGAAAACATGAACCCCCTAAAAACTTTTATAAATGGAGCTGTACAGAAAAAAGAGGACTTGAGCACAAACCAGTCTTACAGTAACTACATGTCAACATCACAACCAGGCGGGAGAAAAATGTATATTCTGTGTAATAAATTTCTAAAGTTTGTCCACAGCTCCATAGGGATTGCTGGAGGAGGCGGGATTTATGACCTATACTGCAGTCCGTCACCAGAGGGTGCTGTTCTTGCGGTGGCTTCACCCAGTAAGGAGGCAGACAGCGTCTATTTTATATACAGTCTATGGACATGTCACAAGCTATGGTAAAAGAAGTGGACACAAATCTGGCTATAAGGACAGTAGTCAGTTAAAATGCTATGACTTACATACAGACTGACGCAGAGGCTGAGATTTTTATGGGACATTTACCCCACCAATGATGACAGTCAATGCAGGGAGATTTCTTGGACTGGAAAAGCTGGCATGCCAGTTTTTCTGCATATCAGCACTATCAGACAATATTCAGATTTTGCATCCCTGACAGTGACACAAGTATCCTGATTGATGCTTAGAATCAGGTTCAGGATTCTGGTGTAGCATCCATCAGAGGATCTCTTCAGTGTCCAGCACTCTGTTGCGCACTCACATCCATGTTGGAGAACTCCGCAGGGGAAGTTGGATTCCACACACTGGCCAAACTGTCCAAAGACTTCCACGCAACAGCCTTCCTGACTCTAATGTCCTGCTCTGACAGGCTAAACCCCTACCAAGACATTTAATAGTCACTGACCTCTTTCAGTGCAATCAAGGAAGCCAGAGACCTCAAATGACCCAAACAGTTGAACAATTTTGACAAGAGATACACACACACTGTAAAGTGTTCTGTCAACTTTTGACCAGATTGGTTCATTGTTTGAAAGTTTTTATAGGACTGCAGCTCTTTGAAGATTTAAGTTTCAAGCTGCTGATATGTTACTGAGCTACAAGAGTAAGAGGTGAAGATTAAAAAAAAAACTCCAAAGGGTGGAAACAAATTGAAACAGTAAAGACAGAGAGGAGACATAATGGTCAAAGGCAGTATACCTGCTATAACTGCAACCACACTACTCCCACACCCTTCCCCATGAAATGGAAAAAAGCAACAAAAAAAAAAAAAAGGGGGGGGGGGGGGGGGTCCACAAACAGGGATTAATTTTTCTCTCAGGAGGGGGGTGGAGTGTTATGGAGAGACATAAAAAAGAGAGAAAGAAACAGAGACATAAAGATAAAAAGTAAGAGAGGGAGAGAATTTAAATCTGCATGATGAAGGAGGTTCAAACCTCATTGAGAGTCGATGTGCGGCCCCTCAGAGTGACTCAGGGGGTGACTCACTGCAGCTGGCATTGCCTACACTCACACACACACTTTTCCATATACCCTCAGGCTGTGCGTATGTTATGTGTCCCCTGTGCTTAGCCCTCTACTGGATCCCACCTGTTAATGAGAGATGCATAAGCTCTGCTGTAATAGTTCTGATGATCTTCTTGTGAATCAGCTTATGATGAGATATGAATGCAGTCTGAGGGGCTGAGCCTTCCCACCAGCACGACTTAGAAGACAGATGCTGTTAAACTTGGCTACGAGTGTGTGCGTGCGCTTGTGTCTGTGTGTGTGATCCTTCTTACCACCCACTCAAGGGATTAGTGTAAGGGTGGTCTGATGACTCACTGGTCAATGACTTTAGAGGAGAAAGAGAAACAACACAGCATGGTCTGGAGTTGTTTGCTTGTATTTGAAGTACGTGCCTGAAAACACAAACCCACAAACTGTTTGTGTGAGTGTGTGCCGTCTTTTATATAGAAGTGACACCAATAGCAGACTGTGTCACAGTAACTTTGTACTCTTCACAAAGAGAAGCTGCTCTCAAGAGTAAGACCTCGCTCACTCCACGCAGGTGTACGAATATTGTGATACTGTACAGAGTGAGTCATTTACGAGACATGACCAAAGCTCATAAAAAATGTGCCAAAACTGCTCAGTCTGGTTGTAAAGCATGACTTTATTCTACATGTTGAGTAAATTTAGATCTGGGGCCTCATTTATAAAACCTGGCGTAGGATCCATACTAAAAGTGTACATAAGTCGAAAAGCTGAAAAGTGCGTAGGCCAAAAAAAAATCTGATTCATAAAACCCTGCCTACGCACACCTGCACGCACTTTCCCTTTATAAATCACAGACCAGCCGGAAAGTTGCTCAGCAGGGATTTAATTCATGCCCCGCCCTCTCCACACCCAAAATTCACCATGTATGGTCATGCAAATTACCTCATGAATGTGATTTGCATATAAATAAGCCTGATGGATCCACGGCATTTCACGCTTAACCATGGCATCAGCAAGTCGTAGAAAAAGAAACTTTTCAGAGACCGAGGTGGAGGTTCTTTTTCTCTTAAAAATCAAGAAGAAGTGGTCTGATCTAAAGGTGGAGGCAAAGAAAAAAGTGGCTTTGCATTGTCGGAGCGTGGCGACGACAGGTGAGGATCAGAAAACACAAGCACGTGTGACACTCATGCATGTGTTAAAAAAAAAACTGCTCCGTTATCCACCGCCGCTTATGTGGTGAAAGTTCGTAAACCAAAAAGATTTAGTCATGTTAATCTGAAAACAAATGCATGTCAATAGAATTTGTTTTTTTGCACATTTGTAAATTCAAATTGGCAAACTATCTACACCGCCACAGTGGGGTCTGTGCTTTCTGCAAGTATCACTGCCTGGTACGGCAGCTGCAGCTCTCAGGACAGAAAGGCCCTGCATCGAGTCATCCGTTGTGCTGAACGCATCACCTGGACTGCACTGCCCGGCCTCCAGGACATCTACACCCAGCGGTGCAGGTCCAGGGCAAGACAGATCATCAAACACTCACCATCGTTATTGTACATAGGATGTGTATAGGAGTGGATATTTATCTTATTTCTATTTTTATTTTATCTCTTTCTATAGATTATTTGATTTTCTTATTATGATTATTCTGTTTTTTTGGCACAATCGCAGACGTCACTTTCATTTCACTGCCACTGTACCTGTACATTTAGGTATGTGACAAATAAAACTTGAAACTTGAAACTTGAAACTTGTGCTGCATTGCGCACGACTGTCACTGTATGGCTTTTAATATGCGCGCTTTCCATTCCGTTCCCACCTTGCTCCAATTGTCTCCAAAAAGTGCGTAAGCAAGGTGTGGAGTTTTCTTAAAGTTGCGCACATTCCTACACTAGTTTTTCTTTTATAAATCCCAACTCTTGTGTAAGAAGTGGCGTAAGCACTTCCAAGCCAGGTTTTGTGCATAAGCAAGCTTTATAAATGAGGCCCCAGAGCTTTAAGATGTTACCACCACTTCTAAATGTAACCTCTTTTCCCCGTTAATCTGTCTGCATCAATCGAGACAGTAACAGCACACTATGATCTTTGCAGTCCATCTGTAGGAGATTGTAGTTTTTACTCAGATACATCAGTAAATGAGGTTAAGAGCAGGCAAACTCTCCAAACACTGTGCTGTCTGCCTCCGTGAGTGAAGCCACCATGAGTAAATTTAGATCTGGGGCCTCATTTATAAAACCTGGCTACTCCAGCAATCTCTATGGGGCTGTGGACAAACTTTATAAATGAATTACACAGAATACAGATTTTTCTCCCAACTGGTTGCGATGTTGACGTGGTTACTGTAAGACCGATTTGTGCTAGAGTCCTCTTGAGGGTAAGACACACACATCTTCGTTACTTTTGGGGATTTTTTCAATATACCCTTAGCCTGACTTTGACTCTGAATCAGCACCATAGTTATGGAAGCTGGTGGCAGCTCAGCTGACAGCCCCTTTACAGATACCCTTTATCTGCCAAAGGTAGATACAAACTGAAACAGCTTTATTTAATATTTGATTTTTTTTTCAATCACCTTGTATATTTGTTTTGGAAAGAAAAGACTTTGTGAAGCATCTGGTTTCTTACAGGTTCTTACGGTTTTCAGAGACTCCTCGAACTGGCTGCATTATCAGTCAAATATCAAAACTGTTCATTCTGTTCAGTACAGATTTGTCCCTGTTGTTGGATTTTCAGTACACCTTTCTCTCATTGCTTCTCATGGTTGGATCTAAAAATGTCCATTCATGCAAGAAGACCAAATTTTGAATGTGAATTCATGTGCGAGTGTAATTGTGTGTGTGTTTGTGTGTGTGTGTGTGTGTGTGTGTGTGTGTGTGTGTGTGTGTGTGTGTGTGTGTGTTTGTGTGTGTGTGTGTGTGGTGTTAATGGTCGCCTATGTCTCGACAGCAGTGGCAGACGTCTGAGCTTGGAACACAACCCAGGCACAGCGTTGAGCTGTTAGACCGTGCGTACGCTGCCTAACGAGCCATGAGCGATTGCTATGATCTCGCCACAAATAATTCATGAGGAGTCCTGTAGAGGAGCTATGGAGCTAAAAGGGGAGGAGAGGAGGGGGGAGAGGAAGCGAAGGAAGGATGCATCAAGTAGTGGACCACAGGCTAAGTGGAGATGGAGTGGGGGGTGGGAGTGGGGTCCATCTGAAATGGAAAGGAAATCCCCCATTACCTGCAGCACTGACAAGCATGTCTGTACTCGAGTCTGTGTGTGTGTTTATTTTTAGACAGCCATTTGTGATACTACATCAGAAAAAGGCACAGTGGGAGTGTTAACAGTGTGCATCACAATCCCAGGTTGTCTGTGAGACTGTGTGTGTGTGTGTGTGTGTGTGTGTGTGTGTGTGTGTGTGTGTGTGTGTGTGTGTGTGTGTGTGTGTGTGTGTGTGTGTGTGTGTGTGTGTGTTGGGTATGTGATAGAGTAGGTTCTGATTTTTCAGACAGCTGGGAAACCCAAAGTGTTTAACTGTACAGATTTTTTTTTATTTTTGCTGAATCCAAGAGAATCTGAGCCAACAAAGTGTGTTACTGCGATGAAAGGTGAAGATGTGAATGTGTACAGTGAAAACTTGTAATCCCTGTTTTGTGCTTTAACAGCAGAGCTATCATTAGTTCAAAGTAGATTCTATTTTTATTTCATGCCCAAACCATTATCTTATTCTTGAGCTTCTGACTTAACAGCAGAGCTATCATTAGTTCAAAGTAGATACTATTTTTATTTCATGAGTTACATGCACAGAACTCAGAATCTTGAGAGCACAAGTTGATCTTGTGTGCACAAGTTACTTTTTCATTTTGTCCACACAATTCAAATGTGCACAAGTTCATTATGTTGTGATGGTAATGGACTAACGTGGTTATTTTAAGTTTCAAAATTGAATCTCCACTTATTACTCCACCTCCTGTGTATCCTCCATAGAGTGTATATAGAATGGATGCCGTCTGCCAGAATATAAATTTTTCTCTTCCCTGCTTGAGATGTTGACATGTAGTTACTGTAAGACTTGTTTGTGCCCAAATCCTTTTTTTTTCTGTACAGCTCCATTTATTAAAAGTTATTAGGGGGTTCGCGCTTTCTATGATTGGCATTTGAGACAGCCTATGGGCGTAGGAGATTTCGTAGCTCACCAGGTGGATACACTGTTTGAGCTGAGTGTCATCACAGTGACTCTCCCACCGATTGCGTACAACGCTACTGTGCCAGTGGTGGTTCCAGAAAGTGAAGAAAATCCCAAAATACCAAGAGCAATTCGACTTGAAAGTTTTCATCTTGTATACAGTCCATGGTATCCTCATTAAGACCTAATGATAGCATGTACCTCAGTTTCCCAGCCTCTGTTTTCAGTGTTTCTTCTTTATTGTGTTTTTTATCTTATGTATGGATTTTAGCGTGTGTGGGGGGTGAGAGGGTCTCTTTTTTCTGTACTTAGTTGTTTTATCATTCATTTTTGTTCATGTGTAGCCCTTTGTGTTACAGTGTGGTTGTATGCTTTACAAAATAAATTAAAAAAATAAAAAACAATTGATTGATTGTCAAGTAGTTATCTGGTGAGAACAAGATAAAAGTTGTTATCTTGTGGGATTGCAGTAGCTCAATAAAATGTACTTTAAAGCTTTACCCACCAAACTTCACTTGTCTCAGTTGCCAATTAACACATTTCTCCCATTTGAATTGTTGTGCATTTCTCCAAATGATTCAAAAAATTTCTTGGTTGAAGACAAAATAAACTTTACTCTTTTTTATCACAACTGTACTTAAAGAACATCACAGCCTTTTTGTAATATTGCATAAAATCCATAAAATATCCATGTCAGCATGTTATTGATAGAAAAATCAATAACATGCCAGATTGTGACTCTATAATATACAGGTTGCTGGTTTGGGGCTGAAACTTTCTTCATATTTTTCTGCACATTAGATCAAGTTCTAGAAAACTGTTGCCTTTTCTTTTTAACCACCTGCTCAAAAGCATCATTCTTAGCTGCACTTTACCTTTGGTGCTCACATACAAATGTGAATAGTCTAAAACCTAAACCTGCAGCACAGTAGCATTGTCATTGAGAGAACGGTAGCATGCTTCTCGTAGTATTTTTCTGAAACACTGCTGTGCCTAAGTCGCCCCCTCAGAGCTGCTAGCACAGCCACAGAGTCAAGTTTTTCAAAGCGATCCAGCTACGGAGGCCATGAAGATTACTGTTTCTGACGGAGGCTCTACAGACCAGTGAGACGTATCAGTGGAACACAGACTAATGGAAATTGGGGGATGGAGACAAAGGGCCTGTGTAGGTCTCCGTGGCATGTCATTAGTGCGGGAGACGGGTTGACTTGTTCCCTCTGACATTTACCAGTCCGACTGAAAATGTCACGGAATGCCAGCCTTTACCGCTGGATATAATGCTGCCTCTTACAGCCCAGAGCTATTGATCCCAAAAAAAACTTTGGTACATTTTGCCCCCTCGCTTGTTCCCCATGTCCACTGTCCCGAGAAAGACCACTGTCCCTGTGCTCCCAAATTTACTCCCCAGCCAGATCTTTCTCTCTTTTTGATTGCTGTAATGCATTCGCATGCTTGGCTCAGTAAGAGGAGGAGGCCATAACAGGGCTCTGGACTGAGTAAGGGGATATTTGGTGCATCTATTGTTACTGTGTAGCATAGATTATTGGTCAAAATGTTTATTTTTATGCCTAGTACTGGAAAGGAGTGAAACATTGGCCATTGAGGTTCACACATTTCATTTGTCTGCTACATCTTTATGGGGTCTTTCTTTTTTAATGCTCCTCCTGAGACGTATGTGTGGCAACACAGCTGCTAAAACACGCCATATACCAGAGTTATTTTCTCCGAACAAGTGCTGCAGCTTCAGACACCGTTTGTGTGGATGTTTTTTGTTCCACTGTTTCATTTCCTCTGTTGTTTTCTCACCTTTGGGAAACTGTCTGTCTCTTCAGGTTAGCTAATTGACCGACTGAGTGACAGACTGCAGCGTGTTTGAGGTTTGCCAACTCTGTCAGAAAAAGAAAAGGCAAGCAGAAGGAGCTTTGTTGTGGGCAGACAAAAAGACTTGTCCAGTTTTTTTTACTCTTTCAGTATTTTGAAGTCTTCCTCTTGTACGATTGTTTAATTTGTTTGTGCTTTTTTTACGATCCCTCATCAGACCATGCTAATTTTCATAGCTGTGAAAAAATCATTATCTGTACACAAAAAGAAATTGTTAGTTGAAAAATAAGCGATTATTCTGCAAACATAACAACCTTGAACCAATTTCCTCAAGATCACAGGAAATGTGGCATCAGAGTGCAGAACAGAAATTGCTCCACGGTTATAAAATAATATTTTTTGATCCAAGGAAAAATGAAACGAGTCATTTTTATGTGGCTTTTCACATGTGACAAACAAATTTCATGTTCCTCTTATTCGGTTAAACTAAAGGACTGGTTTGTTACAAAGACATGTGGTGTTTTGCATGTGACAAGCACTCCAATCTTTGCCAAAACAATAACCAAAAGCAATCAGACCCTATACTCGAAGATGCTTGCTTTGAAGTGCACTGTTGTCAAGCTCATTTCAAATTAAACAGTAATCTCTTCTCCAGCAGCTAATTCAGAAGCTAATTACTCCGAAAGCCACTCATAAGCATTGTTCTGGATTCGTCTGTTATGCTGCGGTGGATTCGTGTCTCACTTAAAGAGGACTGAATTTAGATCCATGGACTTTCAATTTGTTTTAGGGAGTGCTACTGTCTAGTCTATTTCTGTCCTTGCTACACTATTGTCCTCGCTTGACTGCCTTCGCATCAAGTGCTGGATTTATTTGGTCACTCTGGCAGCTCAGGCAGATAGGCCCTGCAGCCACCACGCAATATGCAATGAACTGAAGTCACTGTTAAGATAACTATAAGCTACTATAGCTGTCATATTGGCTCCAGTGATTGTTCTCCTACAGGCGGAATGAGTTAACATGTTGGAAGAGATAAAGTTGTTTACAGATTTGAGAGATAGAAGCCAAACAGACTGCTGTTTTCTTTTTTTAGTTGAGTTGTCTTGATAACTTTGGTTGGATGGTCTGATGTTTTTTTCATGAGTAGAGCTTCAATCTTTAAATGTTTTCCTCAACGCTGCAAACTTTAATTGGTGGTGCCAGCTGCAGCGCTCCAATTCCAAGATCCATACCCAACAAAAGATTAAGATCTTAATTAGCTATATCACACCACTGAGCATATTGCATTTTTGCTCAGCAGTGCACACAAGCTTCTGTGTCTTGTCCTTTTAAGAAAAAAGCAGGGGTGCTGCTTTGATTGCAACAGGGGCTTGATTGAATTAGCTGCTACTTCCCAGCTGCACGACCGAAAATCTCTCAGCCTTCGCCACAGTCTACTCAACGTTATGTAATCTCTATTTACAAAGGTCTGGGTCTGGAGTTACTACATGAAAACAGTTCAGGTTTCCCATGTGGTGTACCACTTTTTAAAGGGATATTCCGGTGTTCATTTAAGTTAGGGTCAAACACACCGTAACACCGAGTTAGACACCCCCTCGAAAGATGAATGTTGCCAACTGCTTGCTTTTTTAGTTATACCTTCATGGCAATGCAATCAGACCAAGACGCTAAGGCAGAAAAACTACCACTTCTGCAGTGCATATACAAGATACAAACGAACTCTGATTGCATTTCCATGAAGTAATAATCATAAATGTTCTTCCTTGAGCTGCCAAACTCCGCTGCACTCAGTGATTGACTCGTCAGGGCTCCCCCACAAACAAGTAGCTGCTGGAGGAGAGTTGGTGAGTTGTGTTTGGTCTCTTTGCTAAAGAAATCAGGCAAAGCTAAAAAGCTAAAAAGATGTTTGATTGCTAGTACTCTTGCTGGGACTCGTGTATTACTATCCTGCGGTCGTTACTAAAGTTGGTATAACTAGAGAAGCAAGCAGTCGGCAACATTCATCTCTCGAGGGGGTGTCTAACTCGGTGTTCCGGTCTGTTTGACCCTAACTTCACATTACGTTGGAATATCACTTTAAGAGCCAATCAGAAAAGTCAATCAGATTTTTAGATTTACGATAATGCATCGTAAAATAATCAATCTGACATCCTTTCAAGCACTTTAAAAGTATTTTTTTATTTTCTGACAAAGTTTGCTTTGTACAAATCTATATTATACTTGTGAAGCCTCTGATTAACCAACTTGAAATAGATAAACTGGCACAACTACAACTTATTCCTTAGTGTTGCTTGTTGCTGGTAAGACTGCAAATAATAAGCAAGATATAAAAAGGAGTCTTGGCCAGCAAATCCCTGATATCTTGTCTGTATTAGCAAAAGCCCCAATGATTACATTATAGCTTAGAGAGGCTATATGATAATCATCAGATGAAAGTCAATGGGTCCTGAGAACACTGCTCAAGGCAAGGCAGTTGTTCTGTGTGGTTGAGATGCTTGGATATGCCAGCCAAGAAATTAATTTCAGGGGAAGATGTGACTTTGATGATGGCTCTGTTTCGGTGTCCTCTAGTTGGAGTTATCTTTATGTATTTGTAAAGTTAAGCTTTCACTGGTGTCCTTCATTTTCCTGTTTGTTTAAGGCGACATAATCCAGCTTCATTTATGAGGATGCATCCTTTGAACTGAGTCTAAATGCAGATTTTTATAGTTCACTGAAGAGAAAACATGTAGCTTAGTATGCCCTCTAGTGTCACCAGAACTTCACCATGTGCAGGTTTACTGAGCAAAGACTAGATCCTTTTTTAGGGTTCTTGAAGTTTCTTTCTGTCTTTTCTGTAAAAACAGTAAACTGTGTTTAATTGGAAACCAAATGGATTGACTTACTGTCCATTCTCTTCTTCTCTGCAGGTATATCCGCACCATGTACCTCGGTATACAAAGTCACCGGCAGAAGGAGAACCAGCGGCGCTTTTACTGGGCCATGATGTATGAGTACGCCGATGTCAACATGCTGCGACTGCTGGAGACCTTCTTGGAAAGTGCCCCTCAGCTGGTGCTGCAGCTCTGCATCATGATCCAGAGCAACAAGGCTGAGTGGCTGCAGTGTAAGAGACTCCCTAAGGCTTCATCATGCAACAAGAATGTCCAATGATGTTTCTGTACACTCTTTTTTAAGTGGGTCGTAGCGTTTTCATCACTTGTCTTCGATGTTGAGTTCAAAATTTACATTGAGTAGAATCTCCCAAACTGTCTCCATTTTCTATCATTTTTCACTCTTTTGGTTGGTTTTCTCATCCATACAGCTCCCACAGAAGCAAAGCAATCGAATCCTAACAAGTGATCCCCCTTGGGTGTCTATAGAAATGACATCAATACGTTTTCTGAGAGGCACCATGCTGCTGTTCTGCAGATAACCCTGTATCATTTTTCATGCAGCAGGTTGCAGCTCTGACATATCTGCTGTCTCCACTATAACAGCAGTCTTAAGGAAACTGAATTGTTGCAGTAAATGGAGACTGTGTTGACTGAGTGACCTATGATGATCTCTGTAATAATATGCCTCTCAAATATGTGATGGATTGCTTGGCTGGAATAAAATGTACTGTATAAAGCAAATCAAGTAGCAGCCAAGTCAAGATAAAACACTTTTTTCTCTCCACTTAAAGGATGAACCTGAATGTGGCTCTCTGAATTTAGTATCTTCCATTCCTCCAATTCTTCTCCCTCTGTCTGTATTTCCAGGTTTCTCTGCCATGTCCTCCCTCCTGTCCCTGGCCTGGGTGCTAGCCTCTTACCACAAACTATTGCGTGACTCTCGGGATGACAAGAAGAGCATGAGTTATCGAGGTGCTCTGGTGCACTTGTTCTGGCGCCTTTTCACCATTTCCTCTCGGGTGCTCTCTCTCGCCCTGTTTGCCTCCGTTTTTCACATCTACTTTGGAATTTTTGTGGTGCTCCATTGGTGCGCTATGGCTTTCTGGGTCATCCATGGCGGCACCGACTTCTGCATGTCCAAGTGGGAGGAGGTACTGTTCAACATGGTGGTGGGCGTTGTTTATGTCTTCTGTTGGTTCAATGTACGTGAGGGCCGGACGCGGTGCAGAATGGTGGCCTATTATGCGGTAGTACTGTTAGAGAATGCCATCCTCAGCTCCCTTTGGTATGCTTACCGTGACCCAGCCACCACTGACGCCTATGCCTCTTTAGCCCTCTGTGGCGTCTTCCTGTGCTTTGCTTCAGGTGTGGCCTGTATGGTTCTTTACTATGGGGTTCTACACCCAATGGGCCCCCGGCTGAGGGTGCTGGCCAGCTCCTGCTGTGCAGAGCTGCTGTGGGGTCTTCCGTTACCCCCTGAAGCGGAGCCCATGGCTCCCACACCTGGCCCTCGTGGCTCTCAGGCCACCCCCACACGTGGCCTGGCAGGGGAGCACGGGGAGTTGGATGAAACAATCGCGGACACCTGCCTTCCGGTTTTCCAGGTGAGGTCCACAGAACCAGTGGATGCAGCTGGAAGGCCCATCCGCCCTGAGGGTCCCCTCATCAAGATAGACATGCCCAGAAAACGTTACCCAGCCTGGGATGCACACTTTGTGGATCGGCGCCTCCGCAGGACCATTAATGTGCTGCAGTACATTAGCCCGAATGCGGTGGGCATCAGGTATAGGGACGGTCCGCTTCTTTATGAACTCCTGCAGTATGAGTCCTCCCTCTGAAGGCATCTTCTCTATCACCTCCTCTTACACTACAATGCACTTGAGTTTTCTTTCTTTCATTCTGCTTACCTCCTCCCTTCAAGGATTTATCTCTCTTCATTTGACACACTTCTCTCTTCTGTGATCATTCAGTTTTTCTGCAGGAGATGTGTTTTGTCTTCTGAAAAATCTTTTAAGACAGTCTAAACACATAGTCACAATTTATTTTTGGAAGAAAAAAAAAACTACAGCACAGAGAGGAAGTAATGAACCAACAGTATCTTATGTGATATATACAAAGGTCTCATATAAATCCCTCTACATTGATAGAGGAGGGTTCTGTATGAGTATGTAGATAACATATGAATGTTTCATTATGAAATGTGTTTAATACATTATACTGTATTGGTGATTCAACCTGTGAATACTTGTGAAGGGCATATTGTATGTCCCAGCGACACGGGACAAGTGCAAAGCCTGATGGGAATGATGGAGGAAGTCTTTGCACATCCTAACATTTACTGCCATTCCTTATGTAAATTACTGAGATGTATGGTCATGTTTACCAAATCCCCAGCCCTTGAATTGCAAAAGCACTGAAACTTCTATGATGATACCAGTACAGAAAGGACACAACCATACGTGTTTGTAAGTGAGCCAGTTCAAAATGGATTTTCCTGCAATGCGCTTACATGGCTCAATTGTATCCTAACTGTACTATTTTTGTTCAAAATCCAAAGTGGTAATCGCATCATGTATGGAAGGAGAGGAAGCACACTGACCTTCAATCAGTTCCACCCATATATTAAATTTGTACAGTGCAGAGAGCCCTCCAGTGGAGGCAAGCTGCAATAACATATTGTATTTGGTCAATTTTGCCCAAAGATGTAACAGCACAAAAAACAAAAGTACATGTTATAAAACACAATGAAAGAAACAAAGAATGTAGTTAAAATGAGCACAACTTTTTCTAAATTGGTTGTTATAAAAGTCGTAGTAAAACATTCCAAAGACTTTTTGAAAGATTGTCAGTGTCTTGTAAAGGGTACGAAGACGGAAAGGTAGAAGAAAACGTGTGTTTACTCACACCTTTTTCTGAAGTGCAAAGACAGCCTTCAGGAAATCCTCCACCATTCCCCTCTGAATCCCTGACAGAAATCTCTTATCAAACCTCCCTCGATTTTTTCCTATTGACAAATGTTTTAGGTTCATTGATATATGCTTATTGGGTGCAAAGACTCGTGCTAAGTTCTTGGGAAAAAAAGGCAAATCTAAGCAGAAAATTTCTAAGCTACTATACTTCAGTGCGTATTTGTGTCTACATTTATAGTCATTAACATAACTATATTTTGCCAGAACACACTTTTTTACATAACAAAAAAAATGTTGTGCCGTACAGTGTAAAAAGTGAAACTCCTCAAAATCAGCGTGCCCTCAAAGATGTTATACCTTCACATGGGTGTACAACTCTTCTGACTCCTACTGGTGCAGTTGAAACAAAGCCAAATCACATCTTCCAGTACTGTCTATTGAATTTATCTGCCCCTTTTTGAATGACTAGAACAAGTCCCTGCAGAGTGAGTGCCATTTCTAGGCCTGTGCAACAGTTGTACACTGATCTACATCTGCCAGCTGAACCTGTGAGAGCTCTCAACCACAGGACAGCCATTGTTTTCACTCATCATGGAAAAAAAGAAGAAAAAAACATGCCTTCTAAATCAAAGGAGCTTGACAAAAAAATCCAGAGGGCTACTGAGAATTCAACAAGAAAAATGAATGCATTTCATACTCCAACTTATTTACTCAATTCTTCACCTGAATATATAATGTGTGTTTTCTACATTGCAGTGTTTGGCATGTCGTTAGTGTGAGCATCAGTGCAAATACACCCAACAAGGGATGCCCAAGGGCCCTGCACCAAACCGAGACTCCTTTTTCCTGGCTTACTGGCTTTCTGCTTAGCTGTGGCTACATGTGCCTGCTAACATCGTACTGTAAAAAGCAGAAACTATTTAAGTCCAGGTTAAAGGGTGAGAGGGGGTTTTTGCCAGGGTTGGAAATGAACATGAGGACAGTTCATGGTAAAGGGAGTGAAACTGAAAAAAAGATTGATTCTTTCCAAGTATAATTTGTTGGGGAAGAGGCCGCCTAATCACATGCTTTCCAACCAACAGTATGGTTTGAAGATATTGTCTCTTTGTTACTTTCCCATACTGAGGCAGAACCATTGACTTCATTTGCTGATACCAAGTAACTCTCCATTACTATCAACGAAAGATAGACCACTGGTGGAAACACCAGTTTTTGACCAACTTTGACCAACATCAAACTCTCTCCTAGCATTACATTTCTGTTTTTCACAATTGTCACACACTTCTATAACTGAAACCAGCTGATTTCTGAGGGCAAGTTGCTTATGTTCAGATGGATTCACTGACTCCTCATACTATAGCCAACACCAAACCACCAGGTGAGGGTATACTGCTACTGCTACTGGTAATGGTCTTATTCTACTCCATTGACTGTATATTATTGTAGGAGAAATGCCTCCATCTCCTCTTAATGTGATACAGTGAAGCCAAAATACTGCTGTGATGGGCACTGACATATAGGGATGGGAGTCAAGACCCAGCTCCAGGGGAGAACCGGATCCAACTAGTTCATCATTTGCCTTTGTGTTTAATGGTTCCCTTGTCAACGCCTTACTCTTAGTCCCATGTGCCTTGTAGAACAATGATGTGACCTATTAGAGGAGACGGTCAACACCAAGAGTTCAAGGAGGTTATTATTGTCAGTAGAGGACTGTAACCAATTCCTCAAAAACGAAGGTAATCTAGGATGATTTCTATGTTAATTTTAGTTAAATATTCTTATTTCTGTGGTTAGCTGACTATGGTGGAAAGAGGCTGCCATATTTGTTCTGGTCTGCCGACCAATCAAAAGCTTTATCTGTGATCAGAAGACTTGTAAAAGTGCAGACAGAAGGCCAGGTGTCCCAGTCTCAGTAGGGAAGTAATGGTAACAGAACTTGTGATGAAATTTGTGTTGTATAGGCTTACTTCTTTTTCTTTCTTATTTTCTTCAAAAAAAAAAAAAAACACAAATTAATAAGGGAATAGAAACAGAGCTGGATTGATAAGCAGAATCAACAATAGCATCAGTACCAATAAAACCTTATCAATCCCCATTGCTAGTGACATCCTGATTATTTGCCATTCATTTAATTCTCTACAGCTGTTGCCCTTGTTTTGGCATCCCTTTTGGGGGGCTGTGAGGTCCTCTGATTAATGGTCTTTGGTATATCCATACCAGACAAACTCCTGTTGAGGGACCTAAAAGTGCTTTCACAGCGGTGAGTAGGCATGTTGTTTGTGAGTCACTTCAGCTCTTTACCACAACACTGTTCTTTTGACTATTGTTCGGCTCCATCCTCGGTTGCTGCTCCACCCTCTTGCCTGTCTCAGCGGTGCTGGGCCTTGGTGCACTCCCCCCAAAAAAGAAAAACTCTCTCTGGTAACTGAACAAAGGGGTTGAGGCTGAACAACTGGAGATCCTGACATGAGAACATGCAATGAGGTACACTGCCATAACCAAGAGCTTCAACATCCAGGGTCTGCCACCTTTCAGCTTAAGAGCGATGTTCAGCCCTGAGTAATTGAGAACTGGTGGGTCAGCTAGGGTGGAACAACCATCCAACACACCGTATGTATAGAAACACATAAGTATGCAAACAACCAACTCGTTCATTGTTTACCATAGTAGCCAGAGTAGTTTCTCTCTATAGTAGTGAATGAACAGCCATGTTAAAAGTTAGTCGATGAATGAATAAGTATTGTTTAACTTTTTAAGAAAACCTAAGCAAAACAGCCAATACAGGGGTTCCTCAGGACCAACAACCAAGACCACTGAACCAGCTGACTCAGGGGTGTCTCAATGCAGTTCTCATCCCCAGGCATGTCCTCAAGGGTCTCCATTTTTTTCCTTAACATTCTGCATCCAGGACCACTCCTGGCTGGGATTGTACTGCTAAATTATGGTTTGCAAGTTTTGCAAGTTTTGTTTTTTCACGGGAGAGATACTTCAACATTCGTATTCCTGGAGGAAGAGGAGCAGTGTTTTTGTGGTAGTTGGCTGCCTGGCGTACGGTGCATCCTTTCCAAACACTGCTGAACCTTTTCCAGACGTGGACACATGTCCAAATCAGGTGCAAATACACTGTGATTCATGCATATTTCTTTTTGTATGTGTGTGGTATTATTATACAGCATTACAAACAAGAGTATATACAAGAGTATGGCTGCATTTCATCTAGTGGTGCTTAATGGTGTAAAATGCAGAGTATTTATGCTTGCTTGACTGTGTCATTAGAGAAGTAGTAATGGCAGTTAATTAAACTAATTGATTTTAATTGAGTCTACAGAGAGTCTATATATATATAAATATATATAAATGTCTGGATTTTTACGAAACAGCAGAATATTTTATGTATTTAACCTCTATTTCGCCACATTCTGTTTTCTGTAAAATCATTCAGCGTAAGCTGGTTGAATAATAGATTTAACTTTTTGTGTTTTATCCTTAAATTTTACACGGGTTTCAAAGCTAGCTGTTCTCCTACTCTGAGTTATTCCTATTGGGTTACCTGCCCGTCTCCGCAGCTCAATGGCCGCAGCACACAGCAAGAGCGTTTGAACAGAAGGCTTGTTCTTCTCAGTCCTTGTTGTGCCTTGTTACTTTGGATGCTTCAATCCAGCCATGGCAGCCAGGTCCGCAAATAACAATGCCAATGTCTTTATTTCCTCGTTTCTCGTGCCAGCACATTCACCAAGATGATGACAGCACCAGACAGTATCTTCTCTGTCTGATTTCCCAAACCAGATCAAGCCAAGTTCTCGATTCTGTCAGCTCACACCTCAAGTCAACAGCGCTGATAAATCCTACACTAGATCCACGTTTTCATCTACAGGACCGTACTGTTTCCAAGAGTTAAAAACAAACTGGCAGAACCAAGAGATAGAAAATGAAGGTGATGGTTCTATCAAAAAGACAAAAGAGAAAGAAAGGCAATACTTAACATCTTCTGTATTCCAACACTGGAGTCCTTACCTGAATTATGTTTTAGTTTGCTGGATCACAGCAGCCCTGGTAATTCTGCAAGTTACAAAAAGAAGATTGAACTTGAGTCAGACAAGTTTGTTTTGGACTGTTTGACTAGTAGTCTTAATGGATGCCAGCCACGATACAGAACGATTTATTAAACAATTGTTTTGTACTTTTGTCTATGCCTTTACATCTTCTTCTGTCTTGCAATGATGAATGATATGTAGTGCCAAGACGTGAACTTTTTGTGTCGTTTGTCTCGTGTGAACAATATATCCACCAGCCAAACAATAGGGCCTGAAGCTGGAATAAAACAAGGAAGGTGCCAGTGATGATAAAATACGCAAAAAAAAAAAAAAAAGAAACAAAACAAAAACAAACAAACAAAAAAAACCTCTGTTGAGATTTTCTTACAACGGAAAGATGATACAGGCCCCGGCATTGATTGGATAACCTCACTTCCTGGTTTTCCCACCATCTCCCAGCATGCCTTTAGAACTCAGTGTGAGGGAACTCTTGACATTTAGCATGTAAGTGCTCTAAACTGCACAAGAAACACTCTGATTTCTGCATTAATGTGTAGCAGCAGGTTTTTGTCCAGTCTGTCTTGGTTAAATCTTTCAGTTACCACCATCTGTTTGACCATTGCAGCGGTGTGTTCAGATGATAAAAGGTGCATTTTTCCCTCTTACTTTGATCCTTCTTTGATTTTTGTTAACAACCTGGTGCTGATATATATAAATACATTTAAAAGGTGCTACCACTGTGGGCTGCAGAGTCCACTTGTTGGCTTTCTGAGAGCAGAGCCTTTCTGTTGACTGAGAGAAACTTGCAGTCTTAAAAATGCTCAAGAGCTTGCACCTCAAATCCGCACAGTTTACAGCAGAACTCGACTCTCAATGGTGCCATTTTAATTTCTGATCCGCGCACACAAAAATAACATTACTGTTCTTATAAGAAGTGTCATACTGGTTTCAGCATACAGTATGTTTTTGTTGATTTATGATTTTAACTGCACTAGGATTCACTTTTCTTTCTGGATTTTGTGAGAGAATGAAACTGGCGGATGACAAAATGCATCCTTTTGGCGCACAGGAGCACAGTTGTACTTCTGCTACTGGAAAATGGGTAAAATATATATATATAGAACGTGATTGCTGTGTTGTAAATTCCTGTCATCTAAATGTCTTTAATCTGTGTGTATCTATCTTTTGTTGTTATTGTAGAATTGGCTGTAAAATTTTGTTTCAAATGGATTTGATATTCCGATGATGCGACTATGGTTGTCATATTAATTGCTGCTGATTTTTTGAAATTGTTTTCAAAGTCTTTGGGAAATATTGCTTTGTTTATATTCAATCAATTTCTAGATTGTGTTAGCTTGTTGTTGTATTTACACAAATCTATCAGGATACTCCCTAAAACTGTATGACTTATCCGGGGTGGTCCAAAAGTTGGCACAATGTCAGTAAGCAAATCCGCTACAGTCTGTAGCAACTTTATGAGAGTGTACTCATACAACCTGTGTCAGAGAACATGTAAGGAATGACTCTTTCTTTGTTATTGTTCAATATAAAATGTGAGTAAATTGTTCCATGGGATCCCCATTCTTTAAAAAAGCAAAACTGATGTCCTATTTTTGGGAACAATATGAATATTATTAATAACATATGGTGCTAAAGTTCTTTTTGTATGTTTTGGTTTTTAGATGAAAAGAGAAATATTATGCTGAAAATGTAATGTTAAGCCTTACTGTAGATTCATATATCAGACTGTTCATCCCAGAAGAGAAAAATAAATCTAGTATTTGAAAGTGAAATTCTGTAGTACTTGTATTTGTATAAACACACATTTCATGCTTCATTAACCAAAGCAGTCAAATATATTAAAGAAAAAAACTAAACTACAGTAAAAACTGGAAGTAGGCAAATTAGGGCTGTCATGATATCAAGTTTTTACCTCAGGATTAGCATGGCCCTAAAATTACACCATAACAATATTATCATGATATTAATGGAAAAATTAAAACTAGTACAACACAGAATTCTTTTATGTTGAAGTATCAGTTATCACTGTTTCCTTATTATTAGCATATCAATATCTAATTTCCATTTAAGATGGTGACCATTAATACTGGTATGCTGCAATAGCCTAAATGCACATAAATCAGCGTGCTAAGAACTAACAACAATAAAAAGACAGTATTTTTGGAAAAAAAAATTGTAAGATGTGCATTTTTATTTTCTAGCTTGAGTCATTTCCTGTCTCTTGATGGAGGAGGTGGCTTTCTGAACATTTTACAAGACCAAACCCTACTATGTATTTTATTTGAATAAGGTCTTGATTTTAGACCAATGAAAATTTTTATACCTCCTGCAGGTGGTTGCAGACATTATAAATATCTCAGGAGGGGTTCTCTGTTCTTATGTATGCTCACTGTCGCTTTTTGAGGTCCTATAAGACACATTATACATTTCAGTCTGTTTTATCCCTGAAAAAATCCTCACAGACGCTTTAAGTAAAGGTACAAATCCTAAAAAGTACAAGAAAAAGATACAACATACACAAAAAGCTACTGTGATATTGATTGCACTGTAGTGAATTCTTCAAATTTTCACTGTGGAGTTACATATTTTTGACAGCTTTTGATGAGATAACCCTACATGGTAAAGTCACTTTATCTTAGGACTGCTCTCTCCGTGTCCTCAATCTCCTCACACATCAGCAGCTGTTTTGGTTCGAGCGCAGCAAAGCATGCTGGATCTCTGTTTAACGCCCAAAATGGCGGCACGGTTGAAAACTTTTGCCTGTTTTATCCAACTTTGTCCCTCTTCTGGAGTACTTTAATAGCTATTTTAGCGCCATTGACACAAAGCGTACACACACGGTTGGTAAACCGCCTTTTTTTCTCCTGGTTGACGAAGAGGGCCCGAAACCAGAATGACCATTTTTCTCTCAAGTGAAATTTCGGGCATCACTTTCCCAATGCTAGGCTAAGCCAAGCTAAGCTAAGCTAGGCTAGCAAGCTTTCTAAGGTGGACATGCTTTACCTGACCTGGACCTCACCGCTGAGCTGAATATGAAGAGGAGCACCGTCACGTAGAAATGGAGGATGATGTGAAAAAAGTGAAAAAGGTAAAACATGACTTTAAACTTTTTTGGTAAAGTAGCTGCTATGCTAAATCACCAGCTGTACAAACCAGGTTAGCTGCAGTGGAAAAGCTGAGTTTGGTCAAATATCGAGGAATTATCAGTCTAAATGAGTTTGTTAGGACACTGCTTCGTTTAGTATCCTCACATTTATTCATGACACTGAGCAGTATTGACAAAAAGAACAACTGGGTTAGGGTTAAATGGAGTATTTTAACATAAATGAAGTGGATTAAATATAAGTAATACTCTCACAACTACACCTTTTAACAAAATAATAATTTGAACAGATGATGGATATAAAGTTCAATAATCAGTTGTGTGATCATGTCAATATAAATTGAAGCTTCCTTAAAGAAGATTTTGTGGTGGAGCTGGTCCATTAAATCGCCCATGTGTTCCCAGTGTTATAGCTGGACAGATAATGTAAAATACAGATGAATTAGTGCCACCTGAGTGGGTTTACAGGAGCTATTTAAGGTGCTTTAATTTGATATACGGCAGAGGCAGACTGATTGAGATTAATGGCATATTTTAGTACTCAGGCAATGTCACCCATGTGTTTTATATTCATTAAAAATCCATTTAGCTGGCTGACCATAAATAATCATAAATGTTTGATTTTAATCTGCATGAAATAATACTGACTTCATAAAACTATATTCCAATTCACCATGGATATTTATTTCTTTTTTGATAATGTAAAACCACTGGACAGACCTCAGACTTCCTTTGTTGCAATATTTTATTTAGCCATCTACAGTTATGATAATCATGTCAGTTATTTATAAAACCTTTGACTTAAGCAAGTTGTTTACCCATGAGAGTGAGTTTTGTTGATTCTGTATTGCAGCGTCAGAAGAATTCTCAGTAAGGCAGTGAAAGCACCACATTTCCCCCTGTAATATCCCCGGCTGTTATGTGCAAACGTGGATCATGGGAGATCTGTGCGCCTGACATCAGCTGTCAGAAGCCGCTGTTATCAATGTCAGTCATGCTAAAAGGAATCAGCGCTCCTAGCTTGTTCAGACCATCCTGCCCTCTTTCTCACATACAGCACATACAGCCTAATGATCCTGTTTGATACAGAGACAGATCTTTTAGTTCAGACACACAGCAGACGTGTCTTTTATCCCCTTTCCCCTGCTGTGTCTCTGTGCAGATACAAGGGCTGTTTTCTCTCTATTCCTCTGGCCTGCGCAGGAGGAAACTGAGGGGCAGGGCAGGACTTTGACAAGCTTTCACAGTCTGAGCAGAGCTATAACAAGTGAAGGGTCTGAGGTTAACATCTTTTCCATGATAGTGCTGGTCATCCCCACATATTTCCGTGACAAAAGCACTGACGGTGTTCCCATATCCACCTCCATTTAATCTGAGGAGTTGGAAAATATTGATGGATGGAAATAAAGTGTCACGCAGAGTAAGATAGTGTTTGTTGTTGGTAGGAAATGTTTTTGTTGCTAATCTGAAGTAGCCTATGTCAGCTGTTTTGAGAATGAAACCAACCCCTGAAACTTCGCTTCACTGAAAAGAAAAAAAAAGGGGGGGTTTTAACAGAAAAAGAATGTTAAGATTTAGTAAACCTGCTTTTTTTGTGTTTAATACCTTTTGGATGGGCAAATAGGAAGGATTTTAATGTCTCATAGTCATTTTAATATAATTTATGATTACATTTTAATCACCAGCTTCATAAGACCTTCTGTGGCCTCTTTTTGGTGGTAAAAGCTTTATAAATACTGCAAAAAATGGATGAGTACTGTAGTGTCTTTTATAGATTTTTACATGTCATGCATACAGTTTCTGTTTATGCCACTTGGTGGTGACAGTGAACAGCATTCGCAACAGTGTATAGACTGAGTCTTGCATAATTACACAGGGCTTCAGTAAAAGCTCAAACTCAACACTTAAATGGTTGAGTTTGACTTTCACTTTGCCCACTGATGAAATGTGAAACTTAACTTTATCATGAAATTTAGACCGATACTTTGATGCCAGATCAGAAAGTTAAGAAATGAATTCCCGAAGTACTTTCAAGAGATCTCGGTGAGCCATCACAGATCAGGTCTTTAGCGTAGGTTCATCCCAGCTGACACAATGATGTCTAAACAGATTACAAACTACACAAAAAGGATCAACAGTGAACAATGTTTGTATTTGACCAAAGCACTGAAAGGACAAGCAAAAGATTCATACGCCTATTGGCTACTGTGGAAAACACCAACATAGTCTTGACTTTTACTTCCTTGAAATGAAAATCTAAATATCAGCTGCAAGCCGTGAAGGTGAGTTTCCTGTGTAGGTTTGAAGTGTAAGGAAGTTTGAAAGTCACCTCACCCATCACTGCACTGAAACACCCCATAGCATTTCTCCTTTATTTGTACACGGACTGTCGCCAAAAAAAGCACTTGTTCCCCTTACACTAGGGTCAACCCCTGAAGCTCTGATCTCACGTTTCACAAGGAGAGGCCATGAAATGTTAAAGCATGAGCAGATAAATAATGCACCGGTTAAAGGTGTCTGTGCTCTTCTTGGTTGCTTTAAGTCTTATATTCTAACTGTAAAGTTTGAGTCAAACACATCTGACTCTTTTTGTTTTTTGCATTGATCATCAGTGTTGGGTTCAATTTATTACATTGTATGATCTTCGCTATGTGATGCAGTTTCCAGACAGGGTCCTCTAGGTGAAAGAAGAGCGATGTGATGAAGCGTCACTCTTCTTGCTCATTTAATCTGTGCAGAACAAAGCTGTGAGGAAAGGGCTGAAAAATGTTTTCTACATAGCGTGGCTCTCCGTCAGTTTCTGTGCACTTTTCACCTTCTGACAGCTGCAGGGTTGTTTATACTTTAGATGTCACGTATGCGGTTTAAAGTAGCATAAGGTCTCGTATACCTGTGGTTAAGTCATGCTGAAGTGGACCATCAGTTGCAGGTGTGAAGGCTTGTTGAGCGATGAAGTGAAGCAACCAGAAACTGCTAAAATCATCCCATAGCATATTCATCTTCTCAGAAAAATGATACCTAAAAAAAAAAAAAAACACACACACGAGTTATCATTTCTCTTACTGCTTCAGATCTTCACTCTTAATATTCTAAGTATAATCGCACGTGTCATCACAGGAAGTTGTGGCTAGTCTTCTTCCTGCTCTTGTGCTTGAGTTTAGATGCAGACACTTCCCTTTCTCTTTGTCTTTGAGGGAGGTAACACCCCTCACACACACACACAAACACTACCTCAACGCTTGATGCTTCATGTCTGTCACTGGCTGGCAGCTGTCACCGTGTGCGAGTGGGAGCAACAGGTGGATAGTTAATTCACTGCGAGAGCGACGGCATCAGCGGTCAGACTATATGTTTGCCGCCCAATAGGCGACTCTTCAAGATCTTGGTTTCATGGAGAACGAGGTAGGCTGTGCAAGATGTTTGCACGGATGGAGATATGTGATGTGAGATGCAAAGGCTTAGTGCATAAAAAATGCGTCTCGATGATTGTTGGCCTCACTTAACTGAGCTGTTTAATATCACTGCAGTGTTACAATTGTACTGGAAATACTTGCGCTTAAGAGCTGATGCTTTGCAAGCAAACCAGTGAGGTCGAATTGAATACAAAGAAATACGTCATTTCTCTTGCTGCTTGTTCGTGTTCTAGATTTTGGTTTGCAAAAGTGATGATCATGTTTTCAACTCTCAGAGCTTAACTGCAGAGTCCTTCAGTGTTGCAAGATGCAGAGTTTCCCTTTGTGCTCGCTCTTGTTGACATTTGAGCAACACATATTGAGTAACACAGAAGGCTGCGTACTGCACTGGCAAAGAGTCCATCTGCTGTATCTGCAGCTTGTAGCACAGAGAGGGGAAGCAGGAATCACAAGGCGTACAAGCAGCACCACATTCACACAGAGTTTGACTGAGTTATTTTTGTTTGCTCTAGTGTTGCCAGACCTTTGTTTCAAACTTAAAAGCGTGGTGCAGTAATTATTAGAAACAGATGACTCAAAATGTTCATTGAAGAACTAAATAATGAGACGCATCCACACAAACTAGTCATTTAGTTTCAAACAGCAGCTTGTTTTTCTTACTTCTTTGCTCCCTGCTCTCTTTTGTCTCCCTCCACCAGCCTGGTATCGTGTCTCCATTCAAGCGAGTCTTCCTGAAAGGAGAGAAGGGGAGAGACAAGAAGGCCCAGGAGAAAGCCACTGAGCGCAGGGCCCTCCACACCTTCTCACTCTCTCAGCCTGACCATCGCATCGATCCAGACATCCTGCTCAATGACTACATTGAGAAGGAAGTCAAAGTGAGTGTCAAACGCAGAGATAAACCCACAATACACCAATCTGTTTCTGTACTTTTCACACAGAAAGAAGTAGTAGTAAAAATAATTGTGCGTGTTCTGTCCAGTATTTGGGACAGCTGACATCCGTTCCAGGATACTTGAACCCCTCAAGTCGCACAGAGGTGCTGCAGCTCATTGACAATGCCAGGGTAAGTTTGTAAACAGAAGTCAGTTCTGCTCAGCAGTTGTAAAAACCTCTGAAGCACGAAAAACAACCTAATAGTCGGCCTCTGTGATTGTCAGAAGTCCCATCAGTTGGCAGGCCAGCTGACATCAGAGCAGGACGCCGTGGTGAGTTTGTCGGCGTACAACATCAAGCTTGTTTGGCGCGATGGAGAGGACATCATCCTGAGAGTGCCCATCCATGACATCGCTGCTGTCTCCTACATCAGAGACGACTCTTTGCACCTGGTGGTGATCAAAACAGGTATAAAATAATCAAAGACCGTGAAATAGGACTGAGCGATCTGGCAAAGTAACTGATCACAATATATTTTGTCGTATCATCCGATATCGATTATTATCGCTTTTTTTATTTATTTATTTATTTTTTTTTTTTTAAACTGCCGTTTTAAAGCATTTGTACTAAAAAAATAAAGAAACCATTTTTACTTAACAGTACAACAAATGAAGACAAATACTAAATAATACAGTGAACTAGTTCACAGTCGTGAGTGTTTTATAAAAAATAAAATAAACAAATGGCTCCCTCAGGGATAATGAAGACGCCTTAAAATGTAAACATTAGGTGATGTAAACGTAGATGATATGATTGATTGCTGCTTTGGTCTGGTGGCTGCACAACTAGTTGTAGCTAAACTGCTAATGCTAATTGTGCCGTCAGCAGTGACAGGCTGTGCAGACTGCTCACATTTTCACGCTTTCCTCATAATTACTCAGGAAGTACTTCTTTAAACGATTAAACAGATTTGCTGTGTTGCCGAACTGACCGCCGACATACCTTACACATCTGCTTAATTGCTTAATGTCACTTTGGAAATACAAGAACCACCACCACACAACCGACATTAAATAACTTTTCTTCTCAACAATGGCATCTTTGGAGGATGACTCAAAGTCATGGTTGACATCTATTTTGCTGCCCTCAGCTCCGCCTTTAGCTCCACGTTTGGTCGTTCTTGGCTGTTGTCATGCACATTTCCACCATGATGATCAAGTAAATATGCTCACAGCTGATCACTATGATCGAACTGAAATTTATCACAACCATGAATCACAATCATATAATCGCCCAGTCCGACCATGAAACCAGTGTAGTGTAGTTTTTGTAACGTTGGGGCTTTCACTTTACACGTAAAAATAACTCGTCTTTATTGCATGAATGTAAATCTTTATGTGACTTCAATGAAGAAAAAATTAGCTGCCCTTCTCTCAAAAATGAAGCCAAGATGGTCTGCAGACTTGACAAGGATTTAACTTTTGAATGAAGAAGTCTGATAGTGTGACCTTTTTCTGGTTTTCAGCCCAGGATTCAGGAGGTTCTCCTTGTCCCAGCTCGTGTCCTGATCTCAACAAATCTCAGACCCTGAGCTCTTTATCAGAGAGTGGAGCTGTGCTCGTGGAAGTCTGCTGTCTACTCGTGCTGGCTGTTGATAATAAGGTAGTTTCTTTTGGCTGTGACTGGAGCCTTTGATGGTGTTTATTCCCATAGTTGAGTGACAGTTCTTGGGTGAATATAACACCCTTCAAACTGGACTGCACGCCTGATTATGAAAGTCTTGATTCACGGTATTCCTTTTAATTTTCACGTCTATATCAGGAAAAAAGTACCAAAGTTCTCTGCAGAAGTCCTGCTTGGTGGCATTTACTAGACATGATTAATATGATTGAAAGAGATATTTTATTGTAAAACTTCATTATTAGAGCTCATAGTTAACAGCTGGGGGTTTTTTTTGTATCTCACAGGCGGCAGCAGAGGAACTGTGTCTCTTGCTCAGTCAGGTCTTTCAGATCGTTTACACAGAATCCACCATTGACTTCTTAGACAGAGCCATTTTTGATGGAGCGACCACGCCTACTAGACACCTTTCTCTATACAGTGGTGAGTTTAAAAACATGTTCTCTCTGTAAAAAAAACCGAGTCCGATTCAAACCTGTAAATTTGTACCCCTCTGCCTCTTCTTCAGACGATTCTTCAAGCAAAGTGGATGTTAAGGAGGCCTTTGAGGCTGAAGCCGGCACATTGTAAGAGTTCTGCCCTTTTGATAGATTTCTATTTTTGCCAACAGTGATCAAGACAAACTTTGAAACAAAGTGGTCTATTTTTACTTGGCACTTACAAGAGGTGAAATCCTCTCTCAGTCCTTTTCAAGGCTCCTTGGAGGCAGAAGAAAACTCTCCATCAGCTTCCTCTCCAGCATCACCTCAGACGAAGACCGCCAGTGAAGGAGAGCTCAGTACCACAGCTACTGAGCTGCTGCAGGACTACATGACCACTGTAAGACACTTTCCTAAACCATCTCCTTGTTCTGTAATTCAGGTTTTTAGTGGAGGAGTTTTAAAGACTTGATTTTAATCATTTCTTTTCTTTGTGTGAAAGCTGCGGACAAAACTGTCATCACAGGAGATCCAGCAGTTTGCCACCCTGCTCCATGAATACCGTAACGGCTCCTCCATCCATGAGTTCTGCATTAACCTGAGACAGCTCTATGGGGACAGCAGGAAATTTCTCCTACTTGGTATTGCATTTCAAATTCCCTAAAAGTGACAGTACAGAGATCTTACATGGTAGACCTCAATGTGCTCATGAATAACAAGGGCTGAGAACAAAGGTTCTTGCGACAGTTTCCTGATCTTATGTGGCGTTCACTCCAAGTGTATGTAAAATCATTCGTGTGAATGAATTACATGTAAAGTCAATGCAAAGACGCGATTAGACGCTCATACTACTCTGGCGGCGCGAATTGGGCAAGTCATTCACGCGAGTTCGTGTCACAGTAACTAATCAGCATAAAGATTCCCGGGTGAAGTAAGAAATCGGACTACAAGATGTTCGCTGGTGTGAAAATATGTACACAAACCCATTTACTCTCAGCAGACAGATGGACAGGGGCTCTGCAGCTGGGATACAGTGCCTGTAATTGGTATCCTAGAGGGATATCCTGGCACCGCCCCTTACCAACAGGTCGTCAAATTTGGTTTAGGTAACCCAAAAATACAGCTGGAAACTGCCGTCATCCAGGCACAGCTGTCAGAGGAGACCCAGACATGGCAGCACCAACATCTGTGACAGTTGTGGACCTTTCACAACAAAAACAAAGCGGCAATCCGCTGAATGGGGTTCACTCCTACCATACTTGATGGAGACTCTCCCACCTCTTTCGCATCCACAGCTAGCAGTCCGGAGGAAGGTTGGTGAGGAGGTCAGATTATGTGGTAGATTGTAAAAAAAAAAAAAACGTCAATCACTTGATCCTGCCAGTCGAATTGGCAAGGATCACTGTTGAAATTAGCATAAACGGCTATCCACGGCTTTTAAGCACTCTGTGAATGGTGAAATTGGACTAAATAATTCTTGGGAATAGAGCAAATCATTCACGTGGATGAAGTGTGTGAATACTTTTCATTCATGGGTCTAGATGTGCGCGAATGAAGCGAATAGAAGATTTTATTTGCGCTTGGTGTAAATGGCCCATTATAGGTGAAAACATGGAAGGTGTTAACTTTCTTGTGCAAAGCCCCATTTTGCTAAAATAGCTTTACCCAATCACAGTCCATGACCGCACATGTCTCATGTCCTCCCTGCAGGCCTGCGTCCCTTCATCCCAGAGAAGGACAGCCAGCACTTTGAGAATTTCCTGGAGACCATCGGGGTGAAGGATGGCAGAGGGATCATCACAGACAGCTTCGGTCGTTACCGGCGCACAGCCAGCTCCGCTTCCGATTCCACCACCAATGGCAATGGAGCAGCAGGAGGAAGCGTCGCCTCGGACGAGGGCCAGGAAGCATCCGAGGGGGATGAGTGGGACCGCATGATCACCGACATTAGCAACGACATTGAAGCTCTGGGCTGTAGTATGGATCAGGAGGGAGTGACGCCCTGACAGGATGAATAAAGGGAAGTTTTTCTGCATGAGGACTCAGCCAATACTCAGCCAAATATTTAAGTGAAAGGGTCTGGGCTAAAGGGACCAGATGAAGGTGGTCCCAACACCCACCTGGGATTTGATTTATTGTATTTTCCTCTAATTGTCAAGAGGACGTTCTATCCACCTACAAACTCATGACACACCTCACCAAGAAAACATGAAGTCAACAAATGCACTTAAAGAGACGCTGTAGAGGACACACAGTCAGTCGGCTATTTTTGCATTCAGAGGGATTCATAGCCTTTGATATATTTTTAAACTGCTTTGATTTTTGTACTTCTTTATTGGCAGTATCTGCCACTGCTGTCACCAATGTAGCGACAGTCTCCAGAGTCTTTGACAGGCTGGTTTGAACACCTTCAAAGACTCTGGAGGGTCAATCAGAGGACTGTGTTTTTACAAGATTGAGGTTGTACTGGTTTTGTGCTTTTGTGTAACTTTAGGTCAATCAGCTTCATCCACCAGGAGGACTTTGGTTTCCATCATTTATTTCACATTTGCGTGTTGCTGTGAGCGAGAAACATTTTGCATTATATATATATTTTTGTTTTACAAGATTTGTGTACCACTTTGTTTTTACACTATCAGTTCTTATCAGTGTTTACTCATTTATATCATTTTTACCTTATCAAAACTGACCAAGGAAATGCTGTAAAGATTAATTCTCATTCAGTTCAGGGACTGAGTGGGGACTGTATTTGACAAAGCCTGTTAGGTTATGGCTGATGTAAATTTTGGATTTATTTTTCACCTCCTGCAGGTCATATCGTTGTGTCTTGTGACATTACATCTAACAGTCGTCGTGCCTTCACACTGCAGTACTGCTGCCAACTGTCTGCACACAGACAGACAGACAGACAGGGAGTTTAAGCAACTGTAACGACAGTTATTGTGCAGATTCATGGTTATTAAATAACAGCTACTTTATACAACTTGTCTTTTGGTCTTAATTTATAAGCTCCATTATGTCTTTCTCTGAACATCCAGTTCTTATCCATCGCACTTGACCTCAGCCTTCAACATTTAATTTGACTTTCATACGCCAAATCTGACAGAGGGAATGAAGGCTCCTCCTAATGTGATTACGATCCTCTCTGACTGATCATTTGCTTGGATGCACCTAAGCTGCTGGGGAACTTCAGCCCGAGTTTCATCAAAGCGCCCGTGCTGGATGTTCCCCTCAAAGTTAGGGATTAGTTTTGTGAGTCTGAGGGAACAGAAATTGGCAGGACAGTCGGAGTTGAGCACATTCCTCTCTGTAAAGCCACTCACCAGGCGTTACAAGACATTTCCATCACAGATCAACTTCGTTAGGACTTCCTCTTTAACTTTAAAAGTACAAAACCTGCTGAAATCAAACTATTTCTGTCTATCGGGGTTGTTTTATCATGGGAATGGAGCAGAGGTGAGAGCACATGTACAGACAGAAACATTACACCTGGGTTTAAATAACCTCTTTGGCTTGAGACACTGTCTGCCTTTGAACAAAAGGATGAGATAATCAAGACGCCTGTGATCTCACTGCACAAACACTGAATCTCCTCCAAACATACCCGTCTTGGTATTTGTTCTCATTTGTTGCATAATGACTTCACTACTAAAGGAATGATAATTTTTGATAGCTGGACAAGCTTGCTTTCTCACTGTACTCTCTGGAATCCTAATTGACCTCCTGTAAACTCTCATCCTAATCCAATTTAAGAAAAAGACATGACAGCAAGTAATTATTAAATAGATCAGTTAGTATACTTAAGTCATTAAAAGAGCCCATGCTGTTTGACGAAGACTTTGCCAATTATCTTTACAATGATGACCAGAGACCCTGTGGTGCCTCTAGACTGACTTTTCACCCTGAAGGAGCAAACTGTTCCCCCAGTGGGTGTTTCTTTGTTACACTAGGAAGAAAAAAGTAAAATTTGGGGTTTTAGCCAGTGATCAGAACGGCACCTTCAAATACATATGTTAGAAAAGTACTTAAAAAATTGTAAAAAGTTGTGTTGCTGCTGGTCCACGCTCACGCCCAACCTGGAGGTTATGTCTTGAGTGATTGTTTTCAATTTGTGGTTCATTTTCCACTCTGTTCCCTTCCCTGTCCACTTTCCTACCCTCATAAAGTACAAGCAGAAAAGCCTGAAAATAAATATAAGATATAAACATTTTGAATTTTCAACACTTTTCTAAATATAATTACAATTTGGTTGAAAATATTCAGAAGTTAACGTGTTGATTTACTGAAACAGAAACCAAAGAAGCAAAGACAACTATATCCTCTAAATTAGTAAAAAAAGAATTATGGTGTAAAAGATGTAACTCGTAGTGGTGAACAGATCTTACTACACTTTGCGACCTTGTGCTTTTGTTATTAGCACCTTTAATGTCATTGTTTTAGACCAACAGTTTGAACAGTACTGTTTATATTCACAATGTGCTCTTTCATGAACACAGTTTCTTGCATCAACTAAAGAAGTCAAGATACACATTTTTTGGGGGAAAACATCCACTACTTATGTAGCTGCTGCTCTTCCTGCCTTGTCTTTCCTCACTGAACTCCACTTAAAAGCTGGAGATGCTTGTTGGCACAACCATAGACTGTATATAGAATAGACACTGTGCCTCCCTGCTGGATGAAGCCACCGCAAGAACAGCACCCTCTGGTGACAGACTGCAGTATAGGTCATAAATCCCACCTCCTCTAGCAATCCTTATAGAGGTGTGGACAAACTTTAGAAATTTATTACACAGAATATAGATTTTTCTCCCCCCTTCTTACGATGTTGACATGTAGACTGGTTTGTGCTCAAGTCCTCTTTTTTCTGTACAGCTCCATTTTTAAAAGTTATTAGGGGGTTCATGTTTTCTATGATTGACACCTGATACAGCCTATGGGTGTACGAAGATTGCATAGCTCACCTGGGGGATACGCTATTTGAGCCGAGCATTATCACAGCGACTCTCCCGTCGAGTGCGTACAACACTACTGCACAATGATGATTTCAGGAAGTGGAGAAAAAAGTGGAAATACTATGGGCACAACTTTATATGTTAATAAACTGTTTGCTACAAGCTCATCGTGTCGATATCAAGGTACAAATAACTAACCATCTTTCCGATAGTTTGTTTCTGCAATGCAAAATAGTTTATGTAAGTTTTAACACAATCAAGTAGTGTCAAACACAAAAATAGTCATTTGTCTTGAGCTAAAACCCACCTACTCACCAGCCCAACCTCACACAGAGCCCACTAATCCAAAATGAAAAGGAATCTGCAAGCAAGTGGCTTTTCTAAAAGTAATATCCGACCAAGAAAGCAGTGGATAAAAGTCTATTTTTAGGTCCCAGACAAGTTTAATATGCGTCCAGGAGCTGCTCCAAGTGCTCTTCTGACCTTGTAAATCTATTTTCCGCCAACCCACACGGCCAGAACCAGCGTCTTAACACTCCCGGGGTTTAATTGTGTGGTCCCACTTAAGCCTCAAAAGTCAGTTTAGTGCCTTTTTCCCCTCAGCAAAAAGATGATTCAGCTATTATGACCACAGCTTTAAATATTAAAATATTTATTTCCAGTAAATCACAGATCTGGTTATTATTATTTTAAGACATGTCGTCAACACATCATTCAGGTTAGCACTCAGGCGTTTCCTAGTTAGGGCTGAATATCGTAATCCAAGTGGTGCAGCTTTGTGCTTGGATGTTCAGGATGTGCTAAGAGACTTGTTGTTCACAGCATGAGATGCAGTCTGGGATTCTTGCCAGTTTCAGCCTGTGGTTCACCTTGGTGAGGTTTCTGTCTGTCTGCTATTCACGCTTGAGTTTGCAGCCCAGTCAATGGAAAAAAGTGAAATGCTGTGGTTTTTACATCTGCTATATTACTTTGCATTACGTGAACGTCATAAAACTGCAGCTTTGAGATATATGGGCAAGAATGCAATTAATTACCCGTATCGCTCATTGAAATACGATCACGCTGAAGGAAAGGTCTCATATGCTTTAATAAATTTTTGCAAATCGTCTGACAAAGTTTATTTGAACCCTAAATGTGTGATGCCCAATATTTGCATCCAGACTGGATCTGATCACCATGCTCCAGCAGCACTGATAGTGTCTGATTTTATGCCTGTCAGCTCATTTTATCATGCTAATGAGATGGTTTAGGCATGAAATTAATAAAACTGCAAACCATAGGGACTGCTGTTGGGCAGAAGGGGAATTGACAATCAAAAATTCTGTTTTTCATTTTCACTGGAGAACATTCTCTCTTGAAATGATTGTAGACTGGTATTAGTCCTACTGTAATATCTCTAGAAAATAAAACCACATTGATTCTCATGCAGGGGCTTGTTGGGGAAAAGTATGTGATGGGCCTTTTGGCAGCCTTTCAGTCCGAAGGAGTTGTGGCTTTCAGCAGCGATAAGCCAACATAAAGCTGGAGCTCATGCATGAAAAATCTCCAGCTCAGCAGAGTCATTCATGAGGTGCCACTTCAACCCTGCAGATGGAGAGGAACACAGGGGTCAGTGAGTGGGTTACACTGACACTCACATGCAAGACCTCATGACCCCCGTGTTCTTGTCTTCAAACGTACCCAAAACTGTGGGAGCGAAATGTTTACACGAGTTTTCACAGTGCAGTGTCCATAGATAACAGGAACAAAAGCGTTGGCATGAAAATGATCCAGAAGCTTCTTTCAGATACCCCAAAGCTTAAAAGTTGAACCTCTTATAAATGATGGTTAGTCGTGTTCTTGTTGAGGGTTTATGAACATAGTGATGCATCTTTGATTAGTCTAAGCTAGACTGTGATCTAATGTTGCTTTACACTCACTGACAAGAGGTTCTGTCACATTTATGGAAAAATAAAACTTATACAGCTGTATAAAGTGTTACTAAAAAGCTGGAAGTCTAGGGAGAGGATTTTTTTAGCCTCTCAAGCCAAACTGGGTTTACCTGTTGGCTGTCTTTGCACTGAACCAGACAAGCTGCTGCTTTAATTGTAGCTGCTAATCATACAAAGAAACATTTACACTTTTAGTAAGGATAAAATATGCAGTAGTTGGGTAAAATGTTTTTATATTAATCTGAAAAGCCATATAAAAACCTCAGCTTGAAAAAAAAAAACCCACTGATGTGTCAGCCTACTTTCATGTTCATAAAGATTAATGGTTTACTCTACATAAACATCTTTAATGCTCATTATCCTCCCATGGTGAACTGTGAACACAGTATCATAATTACAGACCCTGTCTAATCCTGTGTCTAAGTGAGCAGCCTCACCACAAGAAAACAGAGACTGCTGACAGAATCCTGATGTGATGGCAGGAAATTAAAGCCTGACAAAGCAGCACATTAAACATTTTAATAGACTCTTTATTTACAGTACATTTGTGAAGTCATATAGCACTGACAGTGACTTATTCAAAATACTTCATTGTACCAAACTAGTTGAAGTTATTGTACAGTCTATTATAGGCTTACATAAGAGCAAGCTGACTGTTCAGTTATTTTTTCTTGTGCTTCACCATTCATTGTGCAAATTGAGACAAAACAAAAGTTTTATGTCTGTAAATGAAGCCAAACTGTTCGGTACTGGTAGAAACAAATTTGACCTTCTTTTATATGTGGTTGTTATGAGGTACTTTACTGTACGAACCACTGTGATGAGACAAGGAAAAGTAACCTCTGATTAAAACTCTCATCTTTTCTGCCGACAAAACAAAAAGGCTCCTAACAAGCTCCATTTGTCTTCTCATGCAGGTCATACAGAAATCTCAAAGAAGGACAATCCAGTGTTTATCCACAAAACTCAGCCAGTTGTTTTATTCAGACGTCATCTTAAATGGTTATTTTCAGACCGGGATGTAGAGCATAAAATGGACAAAGCTCCAAACGAGACCTGAATACACCCTTAATTGTGAAGGGAAACTGCAAAACAAGCCTTGAAGCCAACTTATACAGCCGTAGCAAAGAGTAGATCGTTATAGTTATATTCAAAAACAATGTTTACAAAACTGAAACCCCTCCTTTCTTACTGAAATATGCATCACATAAAAACTAGTATAGATTAAAATCTGAATTGACATTAAGACATTTATTAAAAGCCATAGACTGTATATACTATGGACAACTTGGTTCCGCCTTCTGCCATTATAAGGATTTGAAGCCAAATTGCTCTTGTTATTTCTGGGTTTTTTCTCCACTTCCTAAAACCAAAATTGCGCAGTTGCGTTGTATGCACTCCACCACATGCGCAGTAGCTTTGTACGCATTCGACGGTAGAGTCGCAGGGAGTCACTCGGCTCAAACAGCGTATCTCCCAGGTGAGCTACGCAATCTTCGTACGCCCATAGGCTGTATCAAGTGTCAATCATAGAAAACATGAACCCCCTAATAACTCTTAAAAATAGAGCTGCACAGAAAAAAAAGAGGACTTGAGCACAAACCAGTCTTACAATAACTACATGTCAACATCGCAAACAGGGGGGAAAAAAAATTATATTCTGTGTAATAAATTTCTAAAATTTGTCCACAGCTCCATAATGATTGCTGGTGAAGGCGGGATTTATGACCTATACTGCAGCTCAACACCAGAGGGTGCTGTTCTCACAGTGGCTTCAGGCAGATGGAGTCCATTCTATATACAGTCTATGTTAAAAGCACAAAACCATCATGTTAAAATCCAGTTCAGAGGTCAGTGTGCAGTAAATATAGCATTATTTCAATTATTATTTTGAGCGTGATAAATCTTGTCTAGCGTAGGAAAAAGCATAGAAAGTATATGTTAAAATACAAGTTAATTCTGTAGCTAAAAAGACTTAAAAGGTTGAGGAGAAAACACATTTTTTCTGTTTTTTGCAGCATGAGAGGCTGCATGTTAAGTGTTTCAAGTCAGCTGGTCCCAAGCTTCGACTTGTAGACAGAGGTTTCTGAATGTAGCTGCCACTATGGGTTACTAAAACTGTATATTTTCTTAATGAAACACTCAGTCAAATCTGTGTCACTCAATCACTTTGTTTCATTTTCAGTAATTTCTGTCTAAAGTGCCTCACTTACACTAACAGAGTGAGAAACGACGGGAGTTAATGTTCATCTTGGTAACACCAATGAGTCTCAGCGGAGCAGAGAGGCCAAGCCCTGGGGTGACCGGACATTCGCACAGCAGATCTGACAGCTCGTCACGCTCCTCCAGGCCAAAGGTGGCATCGTTGAGCATACGGCGGTGCAGGTGGCACGTCTGCTCTATCTTCAGCTTGTTGATGTCGTTGCGGAGACGCATGAGCTGCCTGGCCAGCTGCTGGTCCTGCAGACGCATGTCTGTCTGATGGAGAGAATAGGAAAACATTATTATTCAGCTTTCTTACTAATCACCTGTCTGTGTAAAATACTTGTTTCTAATCAGTGAAAACCCCAGAATAATGGTTTATTACTCTGAAGAGCAAGTGCGTTAGCCATGAGAAGGGGTTGGGCATATTTACACAGCTTATGGTTTCACTTCTTTCTCTTGACAGTGTGGGAAAATGTTATTTCCTCATTGCATCTGTGAACACCATGTAGAATATTTCTAAGATGACAATCAATTTTCTCTGAGAGAACAAGACTTTAGATTCACGGTTGATAGCTGACCAGACACCGGCAGGAATAGAAGACAAAAAGAAACAGTGTAAGAGGATAAAACAAAGCAAGACTAAAGTGGAAGAGACGCCAACCAAAATAAAGACACAAAGCTTTCACAAACCATGACGAAGTATGGGCTAGAGTGTAACAAGACTGGTTAGATGAGAAGAGGAGGCCAACTGAAAGGTTACAGGGAAAAGGACCTGCCATAGGTGTTGCTGTTGTTGTTCTCTGCACCTGTTCAAATTGCCAGTGTTTGACTTTGACTGTAAATCAAATACTTATCTATTCACAAGTGAGTTATTTGTTGCATTTTTTTAAAGTTCATCTTTTTAAGTTACTTCTTCATTCCTACTTTGAAGACTCCATGAGAAGTGGCAGATGGCTTTCCACCAAAGATCTTTGTTCTGTTTGAGGTTTCTGCCTGTTATTAGTAGGGGTGGGAATCACTAGTGGCCCCACGATATAATATTGTCACGATACTTTTTAACATTTTGCAATACAGTGAGTATTGCAATACAATATATTGCAATTCATACAATTTTTTTCAACTGCTTAGCTAATTTAGCATTTGTCTTTCCTTTATGTTTGTCTTATTTATACTGTATTTTACTTTCATGTCGTACATCTTGCAAACCTTTTATATATTTGTTGCCCAAACTTTCTCCGGCTCTATGATGTCGCCTCTGTAAATCTCACTGGACAAACAGCTGATTTTATTTTTCAATTATCATATATTTGACTTCATATTAGCAATTAATTTGAAAAATCGATACTTGGTAAATGAGAAGATACAATATATCACAAGACAAAATATCGCGATACTATGCTGTATAGATTTTTTCTCCCACCCCTGGTTATTAGGTATGTCTTCCTTGCTACTGCTGCCAAGTCTTCTTTGTGTGTAAGTAAATCTAAGACACTCACAGTGATACAACAGCAAGAGTTTCCCATCTCACCCTACCTCACTTTCATCCTTTTTCATTCACTGTAGACAGACTAACATCTGTGTAAAGACATCCACTCTCCTGTCCAATGAGTATGATTCTGCCTCTGATAGCCTCTCTTTGCGTGCTCAATTGTAGCCTGTGAACTGTGAGCAAATGTGCAGAGCAATTGGGCACAGTGAAAATGATTACACTTGCAGAAAGTGATCGTCTGATGCAATTTGCAGAGCCCCAATCAATCTCACTCACTTATGTGAATAGGATTCCTCTGGCCAGTAATTGACAACATTGTGTTCTTTGTTAAAATCTTATTAGCTAAGTAGCAGGAACTTCATGTCAGATATAGCGTTTGGCTGTAAAAGTATACAGCTCTTCAGATTAAAAAGTGTGGATTTAAATCTTGAAATCTTGAAATTAAGGTTTTTTAATAGAGTTCACCCAGTGGGTGCAAAATAAACCACATCTAAGATGCAAAACTTCCAGACAACTTCTTCATACTCAAAAATAGATGAAAACATTAAACTTTATCTTACCAGTTCTCTTCTCAGCCAAGTGAGAGCTTCATCCATGTTTCCAAATCCCATCTTCACACCCGAAGGCAGCTTGCACTGAATCACATCAGAGTCCACTGCTCTCTCTTTAGATGTGACCACTTTCTCTTTGGATTCAACTTGGCTTAAGCCTTTTCCATTTCCTGGCTCTTTGAAGCTCTCTTCCTCCAGACGGGCTTTCCACTCCAGGTAAGACGGCCTCCTGGTCTCCAGTCTTAATTTCTCAGTCAAGGCCTTCAAGTTCATAAGATGGTCATCTGCAGGCAGGTCCATGTCTGCTCCACATTCTGCTTCCTCCAGGACACAAGCTCTGTCCACTGTTATCTGAGGAGCTTTGAACGCATCCATTTAGTCCGCTTGGTACAAAAGATGTGTCAAAATAAAAATAGGTATCTGTTCCCTGTTTGTGGCCTCATTTGTTGTTACCTATGTTGTAGGCTTCTTTTAAGAAAGTGGATCCCAGAGGATTTTTATCAATCCACTGATGTCTTTGAGGTTGGGTATAACTGTGGTGGAGAGAAAAGAAAGTTGTGATGGATTCACTGACCACTGGCAGCCATCTGTTGTCAGCAATTGACAAGAGATCAAACTGAAGTTGACATGTGACAGTGTGGCTGTGCATCAACTTTGACATGAAAGACTTGGCTGAATGAAAGGATAGATTATATCTCAGAAAGACTGAATGTTAAATGAACCACAGTAAAGGAACTATCTCCTTCAGCCTGTAAACCAGATTCAATTTAAAATTCAACCTCCACCAATCAACTAACAAAGGATCAGCACACTAAGGGAACACACATTCAGGATTTTCATTTAACAGGAACAAATTGTTTCCATAGTGACAACGACGACGACAACACAGAGGTGTAAATGAATCAGCAATTTCCCACCTCCCATCCTCAGGGCTTATTACATTTAAGATGCGGTGTTAATGATTGCTTGAAAGATTTGCTCTTTTACAGCAGCACAATACCACGTTTTCAATATCAATTTTCAACATCATTAATATTGAGATACAGAACATTAACATCGAGAGCCACATCGAGACATGTACAAAACATTTAGCAAATGAACTGCACAAAGTCTGTACTCTAGGCAGCCTCCTAAATGGTAAAGCAAACACTGAACACATCAGCAGCTAAAGCAGACCTTCTGCCCAGCATCCTCTTATAAAGTCTTCCTGTACTAAGTAAGTGGTTCGAGCTCAGTTGGTCCATAATAGGCACAGCAGGCCAGCAGTGAAGTCATTGCCCTTGTATCTAATGATAGGTTTGACTGCTCTACAAGGTTTATAAAACAGACCTCTGCTCTTGCTCTCTCTCTACACAGTATAGCTGACTTACAGAGACGGGGCAATAGATCCTCTACTTATTCTTGAAAGGAACATGTGTGTCTCCTGGGACCACATTGTTACAGTAAACCAATACAAAGGGGGGAGAAAAAAATCCATGCCCTATGCATTTTTAAAGAGTTTGTAAAGACCTTGTATGAACAGAAAGGAAGTGGTTTCATTTTAAAAAAAAAGAGGAAATGCAGAGCCAAGAGATTAAGGAAGATGGGAAAATGTGTTCATGATAACATAAAATGAATAAGCAGGGCATGACTACTTGTATAAAAAGAAGAGTTAAATAATCCGTTACCTCAAACCAACCTTTTGTTGGCTGCTTGATAAGAAGATATTTTTTTTGGCAAATACTGCAACAACAACAAAAAAATTAAATTTTGGTGAAGAAAAAAAATTCTCTGTATGATCCAAATTTCCGAACTTGCATCTAACTCATTGAGCATCAACAGCACATTCCTCTGGTTTAAGGCAGCAGACTTTAGGGTAGCCACACCAACAGATTTTATTCTGTGGTGTAGGAATATCAGATGCCAAAACCTGGTCTGGCTTATGAAGCCTGGCCTTTCTATCTGCAATATGAGTGTCTGCATAACAAACAACTGCAGACAGGCTTTAGAGTATCTGTCTGATCTGTATTACTCACCTCTGGCCTATATAGTTTTATTTCACGGTGGCACATTTAAAACCACAGAGATGGCTTAAGTACATGCAGACAACTAGAGCATTATGAGGCAGAGAGAGAGAGATTAGGGCCCTGACAGAAAAGCTATTCATATAGGTTAACAGCCTATCATCATGGCATATTGGACTCTTATGTTATGGCAACAGGGCATTCATAAAAACGTCTTTGGGCCAACCCCCTAAAAACAGGCCCCCCAAAAAAGGAAGAATCTACACAGCCTGTCAGTATCAACAGGCTTTTTTTCCTGGCTTTTTATATCCAGAAAGAGGAACATATAACTATATAAAGAACCTGTTTTCCGGAGTTCTGACAAAAATGTATTTAATTTCAGTGCCATTGTGGCCAGAAAAACAAGATATCTTAGATTAATGAAATCACATACATATGCTGCAGTTAAACCAGCCTTTTTAACCACTGTATGATACAATAAGAAATGTATATAAATGGATTCAGGAGTACTCCAGACATGCAGGAAACTTGAAAGTGATTTAACACATTGCTATTAAGACACACACAGTCATAATACTATGTTTCCCATTGGTTTCATTGGTTAATTTCTTCCCATTTCTATTTTCATTGCCTGTATTTAAATAATGTCAAGTTGTAGTTACGTTTATTAATTGGTCGTTTTTAATCATTGAGCAAATACAGATGTTTTCTCGTTCATATAAGTAATCTTACATCATTTGCCTTTTAGAACTATACAATCTGTAAAAGCGAAAAGTTTATTTCACGCGCGCCTTACATTTTTTTTTAGCACGTGAGCATACATTAATACTAATTTCCTCTTGGTTCTCCGATACCGAGCAGCAAGGTGAGACATTTAACCATTATTTCTAACTGTGAGCGGTGCGTTTACCTTTAGTCTAACTTTAGCCGACACGAATCCAAGCAGCAGCATCAGCGGAGACCACCTCGAGCCCTCCGCCTCTCCCTCTCTGCCATTCTCCCTCAGCCGCTCCTCGGTTCACTTGTTTTTGAGCTAAGAGCTACCGGAGGAGGGGCGGGGAGTCTGCGTCAGGTTTTGGTTGCCTGGAGACGTCCCAGGAATCCCTATCAGCCTTCCCGCCACATGAATAATAATGCATGTGCGCCACCGATGACAAAGGTTCACTCCCGCTATCATTTATTTTATTCACGGCACAGAACAATTGGTCGAAGAGTAAAAATGTGAAAATTCAAGAACAAACAAACACAAACCAATTCAAAGTTTTCGTTTGTTACACTTTTCATCAGTCGAGAACTTACAGGAATAATCTCGTTGACACTAAGAACCTATCTCTAATAATGCATCATAAGAGTATTTATAAAGCCTCATAAGTGACCATTAAGACTTAATAACAACCCTTACAAGTGATTATAAGCATTCATAACAGCTTTAAACAATGTTTACAAAGTCTTATAAACAGTGAATGCAGTGCCTTATAAAAGTAGGTCTTATTATGCCTCATACCTCTGTGCAAAGAAAAAAATATAAATATAAAAATGTATTTTTGTTGTCAAGTGTGTTTATCTGACACATCACCTACAGCCACAAAATACTGCTTGTAAGTTCTTAGTAACTTTTTTTTTTATAATTAAAAAGAATTAGTTCTTTATAAACTACATACTGTTGTGAGAGTTATGTTTTTAAAGTTTAGTACAGTATAAATCATACCTTAAAAAGTAATTATGCTCTTTGTTTACAATACTTTATAAACAATGCTGTAAGCTGTTATGAATGCTTATAATCACCTATTAGGGTTGTTATTAATGCATTTAAAGGGCTTTATAAATGAGCTCATGGTGCATTATAAGAAGTGGGTTCTAATCAAGTGTTGCCATAGTGTCCACCTGAATAAATACAAAAAGCTCTTCACAAAATTACAACTTACAAAGTAAAAGGGTACCTATTGATCAACTATCCACAGAAGGGGTTTTTTTTGTACAAAAAAGTTCCTTTAGCTAGGACTTTGGCTATTATGTAATAGGGCTCATTAGAAAACATAAATAAATAGAGCTTGAAACTCTTTTCAACAGCTCTTTGTGGTTTAAAAAAGCAATGATTGTCTGCAGTCATCCAAATTTATGTTAAAACAAAATTAATTCACCACAGCTACACAACTCACTAACTGAGGATCATTTGCTAACTGGGTGAAATAATACATTTCCATAGGGCCAAGCCAATTTTCTATGTAATGGGACATGTATTCAGTGTCATTATAATGCTGGTTTCTTAAAACACAAACTAAAAATTTTAAATGAGTAAAGAACAAAAACTATACTAAAAATAATGTTTTATTATAAGTTATATCAATATCTTACTTAAATTAGGAAAATAAAGCTATAAGCCCTAAAATTATACTGTATATTAGGTACCAAATTTAGATTGACTCTATGCAGGATGGATAATTTTACAATAAGGGGTTTATTACCACGTAGGGGAGAGTGGGGTAAGATGAGCCATTTTTCATATTTCAGATCACTACATCAAGGCAATCATAATTTTGTCTCTAACTAGTGTATCTGCATATATTTCAGGATGTTGTGCATCCCTGCAAACCAACAGAATGAGTGTAAACATAACTGTCTTCATAATTTAGCATGCCAAAAAAGTGGTCTACTATGGTCCACTTACCCCGTGTATGGGGTAAGTTGGAAATAAATGTCTAACCCCTTTACACATGGGGCTTCTGACCTTCACAGACTCCATGAATTGATGCCCATCGCCTAATTATTTGGTCACATGATCAATTTCTTTTACCATTTCCAAGCAACACGGGGTGGCTCAACTTACCCCACTCTCCCCTATAGGTACTTTTGAATGTATGCTTTCCACTTTATGGGAGCTAATTACAATCATTAGATACAGTGCCTTGTAGCTTTATCAAAAAAATCCATCATTATTTACTTGCTGAATTCAATGATAAATTAATGTTCAAATAAAATTGTGCAAAAACAACACAAAATGTCCCTTTGAAAAGTAGTGGGGTTGTACAAAAAAAGCACAAAATAGAAGAACTTCAGTCATAAAAATCAAATGTAAATTCCACTGCTGGTTTAAAACACCTGTCAGACATGTGGCCAGCAGTTTTTGCACATTGAATCATCCCTATTCGAGACAAAAAAAGTCCTTGAACCTTGAATCACTTGTCATATTGTTTAGTGGTACACTCTATTGTTCAAATAATTAATAACAGAAATTCTTACTTCATATATAAATATGGCAAAGAGGTGAATTGTGAGAGAAACCTGCTTATGTGTGACTGTACTACTGCAGTTAAGGTAGCTGTTGGTTGGTGGTGAGTGATGGCTCTGCTATCCCATAATGCCACCTGAGGATTGTCTTATATTTAAGTGCAGTACTGGTAAGAGACACTACCTCAGAAAAACTCCAGGTGTAATTTCAAGGTGGTTTTTATGGCTTTATCTTTGGAAAGATGTAATAAATTCATTCACTTCACAAGGTCAGTTCTTCTATGTCATCATCATTGAAGGAGGCGATAGCACGGATGGCAGGTCTGCTTTCTGCAACATGTATTGTATTCATGGACGATGCTGTAGGGGTGGATGACCCTGAGTTGAAGCTAAAAAGTCCTTCCCTCCTTGAACGCATCCCATTGGTAGCTGGAGGACTGCTGAGGATCTCCATTTTATTTGGGAGGCTCACACCATCACCGGCAGGTGTTGCCAGGCTACCAAACAGCTGCTGCATGAGGCTAGACTTCCTATCCTTCATGACGCCTCTTTCTGTCTCCTTTTCCTTCTCTGTCTCCGTTCCCCTGAGACTGAAAACACCTATTGCTTCTAATGCAGAGTCCCTGTCTTCTGCAGGTGGAGGTGGAGGGAAGCCTGAGGAACTTCTGGAAGCTGAATTTCTAAAAGAAGGGGCATAGCTTCCAAATGCAAAGTCATCACTGGAGTTTTGAGATCGTAGCGCTCTCCTCCCTATTGGAAAAACTCCAACTTCTGTGCCGGGTCTCCTCCTCCCTCCTTCCCTACTACCAGCACGTTCCTCTGGTTCTGTTAGGTCAAAAATGGAAGAGTTATGGATCTTCTGCTCGGGAGGATGAGGAGAGGGATGTTCGCTGCTACTTGTGTTAAACTGAGAAGAACTAGACTCAGAAAACACAGCTTCTGCGGCTCCTTTTATGGACAGGTCTATCTCACGCATCTTCGCCAGCAGCAGCTCTTTTTTGCGACGTGCTTCCTCTGTCGTTCGCTGATTTGCCAGAGCCTCGTGGTTCCATCTCTCCACCTCTTCCTGGACATGGCCACGCTTCCTGATGGTCTCTTCCTCCTGGTTGAGGAGGGAACTTGTCCTTATGTTTTCTTCTTCTTCTTTCTCTTTTTCCCACAGTTTTGGTGGCGTCTTTGTCGAGGCTTCAAGGGCATTTGGCTGCTGACTGGACTCTTGTTTCTCCTTCTCCTTCTCTGCCACCTTCTCCTTGTTTAGTTCTTTTTCGCTGTCCTTGATCTTTTGCTGTTCTCTCATGTGATGTTTATCTCTCATCTCTGGCTGTCTGTCCCCACAGCCGATTTCCTGATGACGTATAATGTTTGAGAGAAAAAGGAAAAATGACAAACAGAAGTTATTAAAGGAGAATTATGAAATTATTAAACGTGGCCCCGTTTTTTATTTTTATTTTTCACGTATTTTGGGATCTGAAAGACTCTGAAAGAAGAGTGGTGAGGTGACATGACCTTTTTTTTAAATTTGCACATGTGATTTATTATATTGCAGGTGCAATTTAACTGTTCGTTAATCAAAATCATTTCCTGCAAGGCTGAGTATCACCAACGGCAAAGTTGCTGTGCTTTAAGGATCCTGATAAAGTGTCTCCTACTCAAAACAATACCAAATGTGGCTAAGCTGTAAAATATCTCTTTGTGAGTCATTCCTAAATGAAAGGAAATGTTGATGATATGCTCTCTGTCCATGACACTGTCCTTCTTCTCTCACAAATTAGGGGCACGGAGGATTATTTACAAAAACACATGCGCAGTGTGGGTATAACACGTACATTCAGATACTAAATCGCATGTGCCAATTAATTTAAAAAAAAGCTCTTGTCACTTTCTGGGCACTGCACATAATGGCAATCTTTTGTGTATTTTATTTTGACCGCTTTTGAACAATTTAGTATCCACAAAGAAGGCTGTTATGGCTGCTATTCAAGCCTTATACAGATCTTCTCCTCCAGTTTCAAGACACTTAAATAATCATTTGTGCCTACAAACAAACATTTCAGCTGGGTTCACTTTGATTGAGCCCATTTGCACTGAGAGATACAATATAGCCCCTGCAGCCTGTTACATATCTGCCAATTTTAAAACTTTTTGTGCTTGTCAGTCAGACATAATATGTAAAACACAGCTTTGGTTGAAGGACAGAGCAGGGTTTCTCTTCAAGTGAAGTGGAGGCACTTTACCTTGAGTGATAGGTATTCATCAGATGCCTGTTCGCTGTACTCATTGGCATCTGTGACAGCAGGAGGAGGTGTGGGGAAATCCAGACTGGACGACCTGTCTCTAGTCTTCACTGCTTTGCTGCTGTTCCTGCTGGGGGCTGTTCAATGTGTGATACAATAGCAGATTAATGATGGTAGTCCTATTCCAAACTGCACTTTGTGAAAGGAAAATGATCAATAAAGGTTAAGATAATTAAACAATTGCAGCCATCAACACATAGTGAGGCCTCACCTTTCTGCTTTGCCCCATTTTCCATCTCCTTTTTCACTGAGGGTTTCATCATACGGTTTGCATAAATGTTCCTAGTATCTAGTTCTCTCTCCTTCTCCTGATATGAAAAAAATATAATAAAAAAGGGAAATTTACACACTCAGGCAATTGAATTTTATGTGTCCAATCCTAAAGAAAGTTATGGTGTGAGTAGTTTCCTGTACAAGGACCTTGAGTTTGTTGGTCAGTCGTTCAAGCTCCTCCTGCAGAGTCCTGAGCTCCTGCTGGGCACTGATAGTCTTCTTCCTCTCTGCGGCCAGCTGTCTCTGGAAACTGCTGTTGCTCAGCTCCACGCTCCGCTCCAGTTCCTTCAAACGCAAAGACAAACAGTTACACTAACAGTTGTAAACTTTGCATGTCAAATTTGATAGGAATAGGCATGTATTTTACTTGTTCTTTGTATGTGATTGTCAAGCAACTTTGTAAACCTGACACCAGTGGCTTGTAACTGAATATATAATTTGTAAATTACGTCACAAGGCAAGAAATATGTATATTTTTTATGTGTCATGCCCTGCAGCCTTGAGAATTTCATATTTTAGACCTCAGCTTTTCAACAGATGATTAGATAAAATAAAAATGTATGAAATAACTGTACCTTTATCTTTCGTTCAGCCTCCTGGGCCTTAACTTTCTCTTCCTCTAGCCTGCGGCTCAGCTCATCTCGTGCTCCAAGTTCTCTCTGGTCAACCAGCTTCTTCAGCCGGGCAATAGTTGCCTGACTCCTTTGGAGCTGCTCCTCGCTGTCTTTCAGCCGCCGCTCAACAGCCCGCTCACGCTCTTGGGTGCGTCTGAGCCTTTCACGCAGCACGTGGGTCTCATTTGAGTGGCGTGACAGCAGCTGGGAAATCTCACTATCTGTGTCATCGTAGCGCTGCAGGGCTTTCTCTTGACGCACCTGAAGCTATAGAAAAATATTTGTTTCAGGGTTCCAAAGGTGTTGAAGACAGGAAAGACAAAGCATTTTGTGGTAAATATTGTGTGAACAGTTATTTATATCAAATATGCCTGTGTTTATGTTTAAACCCCACACTGTTGAGTCAAAGCTCTCTCTCTGTCCTTGTGTATGTAACCCAAAAGAACTACAGGGCCAGGTCTACCTGTTTGAGAACTCGATTCTCTCTCTGCAGCTCATCAGTGCGTTGCTGAAGTTCAGCAAGCGAGTTACGCAAGTCGTTGATCTTTAGTAGACGTGCTGAAAGCATCCTCTTGGTCACCAGGTCAAGGTCTTTAGGAGGTGTGGACTCTTTGCTCTGAGAACGTACCCCCCTGCGATGCTGCTGGGTTAGAGGCGGACCACCTAAGCGAAGTGGGCGAGCGAGACCTCGGCGACCGACAACACCTGAGGGACAAAGAGACACACAATATAGAAACCATTTTAAAATATTGACAAACTTTTACATATTGTTGTAAAATCTGATGGTTAGGTGGGCCAATAGTGGTGAATATTAACTAAGGTTGAAGTCAAAGATTCCTTAAAATCAAACTTTACTCATAAACTATTAAGCATGTTGTAAAATGAAACTTCTGCAGGAAGAATTAACTGTCCATAGAAGGCAGACTTGTGTTAGCTTGTTCCCTGCACAACCTGCATAAAATCTGCCTTACACTGCCATCACCTGGACAGTGAAGCACATTTATTCACAAGTTTTTACTCAGGCAAAGGTCCATACTGGATTATGTTCTTGTTCTACATACCCATCTTGTAGTGTGGGCTTCCAGAAATCCTCTTTTCCCGCACCCCTTTTTTTGGAGCAGGAGATGGAGTCCTGGACCTGGAGTATGGTGAGAGCGATCCCTCTGAAGGAGCGTCACTTTCATAGTCCTCTGAATAAAAAGACCGACCACTCCTTCGTCCCTCCCTGTCTGACATTTGGTCTCGATCTGGATCTGAATGCCAGGTTCTGGTCCTTGACCTGCTCTCAATACCGTCATCTTTTTCTTCCTGGTTATTCTCCTCATAGTTCTTTTTGCACTTTTGGGCGGATGACTCTCTGGAATACTTCTTCGTACTTTGTTGTGACTGGCGACTCTCATCCAAATCTCGATTATCTTCACAGGAGTCGGCTTTGTTTTCTGATTCCATTTTGATACCTGGAAAGCTCTGTGTTTGATTTACAAACAAAATCAAGACTTTGAATCACATTATTTTTTTTCAAAGTTGTAACTTAAAAAAAATTATAAATTATAAGGCTGTACTTCCTTTATTCTAAAGATAAATCAACACAGTTGTCCAGACTGACTTGTTTCTCTCAGGTTTTCTGTATTGTGTGACTTGGTCACTATGCAACAACGCACCTGAGGTGGAATTTTCCATGAGGTTAAATGATGTATGATATCATTACTCCACATCACTGCTGCTATATACATAACATTAGCTTGCCCCTGCCTGCCCTGGTTACTTATTGAACAGTCTAAATGCTAATTTAGACCACAATAAGATGTATGTATTTACATATGTTGAAAGAATAAAGAAAAGGGAATGTAAAATCTGTCAAATTTCAATACTGAGTGTCCTCTCCTGGAAATGATGTAAATTCTGGGCTTGTTTTATACACAGGTTTATACAGGGATAAGTGAGTGAGGCTGATTTGTTATATTTAAGATGAAGGTATGCAAGGGTCATGTTGTCATCTATTCCTTTAATCAACCTAAACAATAGCGCTGGATGAGCGAGTTTCTATGGCAACACCAGTACACACTGCAGCACCACTATAAATAGAATCAGCAGGACAGTGGGTAAGGAGGGGGATAAAGGCCCTGTGGACACTTAAGTACTAGTTGTTTTGTGATCTAACAGATGTGACACGATCGGGCAGAGCCGTCTGTTGTTGACAGTTGATACCTGAAAACATCTACACATCTCAGGCATCATTCTCAAACAAGGGAGAAGAAAGAAACGTATGTGATGTCCCCAAAAGCATTTCAAATGAGCAGATATTAGCTTTTAAAAAGGGTATCGTGTTAACGGGTAATGTTAAGACTGATTTGTTGATGGCAGTTGTTCTGCTAGCATAGCGAATATCCTCAATCAACAGGTGAGTTGTGTGTTACCGTTATCTCTCATTGTGTGTTGGCACTAACCTGTTCGTTTCCCGCGTTTAGTCTGTCTTGTTTTGCAGCATTGTCTGGTTTACAGATATATCTGTAGCGGAAAAAAGCTAATTGTTGTCATTCGGACAGCAACCGTTAGCTTTAGCAACTAGCGAGCTAGCTTTCGTGAACTTAAGCTACCGTTAAACACCAAACGACATCATCCTCCGTCCATTTTACAACAAAAAAGCAACCTTGAACCCTTTTAGATGTACTCCGTGTAATTATCTGCTGCAGAGAACCAAAAAGGAACAGCTGAGAGCGTCCGGGTAGTGTTTTTGTCCACGCCTCGAGGTTTTCCATAACCCTACCACTGACGCCGTACCATGGCAACCACAGTTCCTCCTGTAGTACCACTCCACCGTCAGAGGGGCGCTGTTGTACATATTGGGATATAACGTCTAAGTGTATTTTAAAGCAAGAGATGCAGAGTTTCATTGCAAAAGTCTTTATATCTTATTTTTATGGCACAAACAATATGGCTAAGAAGAACTATTCTGTCATCCGCAGTCCGTGCTTTCTCCCCTTAACTGTGCATTTATGTGCATAAGTGTGATAATAATTTCATACCTGTGTTAGGGTATCTACCGACCCGTTTTTGATTTTAAATCCTTAAAAAAACCACTTAAACAAGTTTTTTTTTTGCATCTAGACTTTTTGACTTTGTCAGGAACCTCTATTTTAACAAATAAAATAATAATAATAATAATAATTAAAAAATAAATTGTCTAAGTTATAAAATGCTCTTATTAAAATTATGGCACTTATCATGTTTGGGTCACGGTTGGCCTGGTTAGATCAATACATACAATACAAAAACTGAAATCATAAGTGCAATGTCAGACACCATACTGACAGTCAGATCTTCTTCCAATCATGTGAGATTTAGAAAATTCTCATTTTGCCATGTTTTTCCCTGCACAAAAAACAACGACAGGCATGTCCAGGCATGTGAGATTAGTTCTGTATGGATGTCTGTGTGAGGGGTATACTGTCAAAGAAAGGCCCAGAGGCCCATGGCCCCACTACAAAAAATATTATGATTAATATTTTCATGGATAATGAAGCCTAAAAAGGTAACCTAGAGATGGGAACCAAATTGGATGATAGAGAATTGTTTTTAGTGTAATTTACAGCTGATTTAAGGCATAGGTCAAAAACCGACCCTTAACATGGTGGGTGTGTAGCAAAAGCTAACACAGAATGAAGGTTAATAGATGAAAGCAGCACTTTTATGTGCAAATGTGTACTAAGGCTTTACTTACTGTACTTTGCATCTATAACTGCATCAAAACAAGACTTAACACAGAGGAATAATCACTGCCAGGGTCTTAAAATGCAGTTGCAGGTAAAACTGAAGCCACTCCAGTGGTGCACTCAGTAAGGAACAAAATAGGCACAAACTTAAAGTTCCCCACGGGGAATCAGCACGCATAATTCTTTCATTTGACTTTGTGCATGTTTTACAAATCACACATTTTCTAAGTAACTAATTCTGCTCCTCAATTTTCGCTAGTCGACCCTCATTTGACATGCTACAATAGAATAGTAAAATAATTATAACAAAATGCCTGATGAAAATAGAAAAATTAGGAACTTGCCTAATGAAATATAAAATGCTGTTAGAGGCAGGTGTTTACTGATCAAAACTTTTGGGGGATTGGTAGGGGAGAATGGGGTAAGTTGAACCAAAGGGTAAGTTGAGCCAACCCGTGTTGCTCGGAAATGGTAAAAGAAATTGATCATGTGACCAAATATTTAGGAGACGGGCATCAATTCATGGAGTCTGTGAAAGTTCGATCACACGGGTGAAGGGGTTAGACATTTATTCCCCCCCCAAGAAAAAACATTTTTCACTCTTGAAAGTGAATTTAGTCTGTCATACGTTTTATTAGAATTGTGTTCATACCAAAAAAGATCATTTTAAATTAGTTTTATACATCAATTGTGGTATCTATGAGCTACAACATGAGGTCAAAAACCTAACATAAAAGTCCACCATTTTAGCTTAGAGGACTAATAAAGTCATTATAGTAGTTCAGGGGAAGGTTGAGTCAGTGGCTCTACTGGGAAAGTAAAGAAGTCTGATGAGAGGATCAGAGTTTCAGTTCAGATTGTTGAAATGTGTTACTTTTTCTTTTCAAAAATACAGCTGTGAATGTTCTGAATCACTTAAAGGCATTCTCATGTTAAAATGACTTTTTACAAAACAGCTTTTCAGCAGTTACATGCAATAATAAAAAGAATTATTGTACCAGTTGAATAGCGTATAATAGATAAAAATACACATGAATGTGAAGAAGTGACTGTTATTTAGGGAGAGAAGGTAGGAGAGGGAGGGCTGTGGTGGAGAGTGGGGGGTAGTAGGGATACCACTCAACTTAAGCTCCTATGGTCAACTTAACCCATGCACGGGGTAAATTGACCATAGGAGACCACTTTTTTCTGTATGCTATATTATCAAGACAGTTATGTTTACACTCATTCTGTGATGTACAACATTTTGAAATATATACAGATACACTAGTTAGAGACAAAACTATGTTTACCTTGATGTAGTGATCCGAAATATAAAAAATGTCTCATCTTACCCCACTCTCCCTTACTCCATGGCTACCTGACCTAAAATGTGTGGAGGAAGTTACCTGCGTCAAGGAACCTAGTGTCAGCAGAGTCCAGCAGAAAGAATATTTTTCTTTCAAAATAAAAGAAAAAAATAGCGTTTGACCTTAAAAATATTCTCGCAATCGACATAAAAACGGCTAATAAAGGTTAAAATACGTGTTTTTTTTTTCAACTAGAGGCACTGCTATAAGCCATTTCTCAGTCTTGATAAATTTACTTTCTGCTAAAAAATTTCACAGCAGTATGCTTGACAACAACGACTTGCCATTAGTATTCTGAAAATCCGGACCGGAAGCTCGCTGATTTACATACTGTTTGGTGATTCAGAGCAGAGTGCAGACGAAATTTCAGAGCGGCAGACTCAGCAGGAGGAACGCACGCTGTTACATTACCATGGCTCAGTCTGAACGCCGGAGACGTGTGTCTCCACTCTCTTAAAAACACACCCTGGAGTGTAGCGACAGGACCTGCATTTTGGGGGAAAACGCGACTCGCCTTCACCGTGCAATTTGTTTGTCGACTCTCATTGACAGTAAAATTGAGATTAAAATGGTCATCAAGGTTTACATCGCCTCATCATCTGCCTCTGTAGCGGTAAGTGTTTGCAAATGTATTTGGACAATGTTTCATACACGATGCATAGATAAAAGCAATGCATTAAAAACACCCTATGCTCCCCAAAATGACTGAATATTGTTCTCCATTCTTATTATGTAACAGGACCGAGAGTGCGCCTGTTGGAGTGTTCTCAGGCAGCGAAAGTATCAGCATCAGTCAGACATGCTGGCAGGGTTGTTTTTATAGACTGAGATGCACATTTCTGATTGGCAGGGTTGGCTCCTTAATTCTTTCCAGGCTTTCTTGAAGATGCATTTTCAAAGTGAGGATTTAAATGTGTATTTGACATGACAAACCACCTGACCCGAAGCTCCCCTATAGGGCATTCCTTATGTAAACGCTCAGTAAATAACTTTATGTAAACATAAAGGCAGAACAAAGAAGTGTTGTGCACCATGAGTGGCCTCCGAGGTGTGCAAGTATGGACAAAATGAAGACATTTAACTGTGAAATAAGAAATGAAATGACAGGCTTGTCAGATTAGCAGATGCTTTTTGTAGTTTTAGATCCTGTGATGTTCAACGAATGCTGGGAAAAGCAGAAAGGACAAAGCCTTTATTGTAGTTCAAAGCTCTGTCTTTTGCTTTTAAGGCACTGTCAGGAGCAGCTACAGGTGCACCTGTGTGTTTTTGGTGGGAGGGGGGGCGTCTTTTATGTACTGTAAGCGGCCTTACAGCCTTATTTAATGTCATTTACCTACCCAAAAGTCACTTTTTGTGTGCTGTGTACTGCTTAAAGGATTAGCTCACTTGTCACATAGAAAAGTGTGATGTTTAACAGTGTCATATTTGCTTATGTTTAATATTCTGAGGGCTAAAAAATAAACTGGGGAATGTAGCTATGAAAAAGTTATCAAGCTCATTTCCAACACCTTGTACTCAAAAGATTTTGATTTGTAGACAGAAAAGCTGACACATGCATCTACAATGGAAAGACACTTAATCTGCTGCCTCTTACTCCCACTGTGTCTCTCTGGAACATCTGCACATCCCTGTGAAAAGTTCCTGCTCATGTGTATGTGCAGAAAATTATCAAACAAGACTCCTACGTACATGCTCAAAGTCTTAGGTAACGGTGCATACGAGTAATTTATTTATTTTATCATGCTCTAGAAGTGAGCTGCACAATCTTTGAGAGTTTACTTAGCGGTTATTTTTAACTCTGTGACACATACATCCAAAACTCAAACTCTCTCACTCTCACAAACACACAAAGCACGCTCCTGCAAGCTTGAATAGGCTGACCATTTGGGTCAGCTATGTGAGCGTGGAGCTCATGTGAATGTAATTCACTCTGAATGCTTTCAATTGAGTCACAAGTGATGGAATAAATAGGAGAGGTGATGCTGGACACTTAAGGGGAGTTGATGTATGTGAGTATAAAGAAAAAGCTAGAGAGAGGGAGGCCATGTCAGATGAAGTTCACGAATGAAATATGAGCTGGAAAAGACAGACATCTAAAGATTACAGTGTCCCATAAAAATGAGCAGTCCACAGCCTAACAACAGCAGATTAGTGAGGCGGAAATCATCAACACAGACTAAATCAAGGGCAAATTAGGTTATTCCCTCCACTCCCCCATAGTTATGTGGGTTCATTCCCCCCAGACTTTCAATTTTCTCTACGTTTACAGCTTTTTAAATCTTAAACATATTTTTAATAACAGAGAACACTCAGTATAATCAATCCTTTAAGAATCTTGTGATCTAACGCATGATTTAATGCTGAGAAAGAAGTTAATCCTTTCATTTCAAAGAATACAGAACAAGCCAAAACAGTATTTATTGGTTTTATATTTTAAAATGAGTGACATGTTTTCTCCTTTTTTTTGCCCTCAGGATGGCTGTAATTTATTTATTCTCCCATCATAATCCCAGTCTCTACCCTTTGTTTGTGCCTGTCTGAGGCTAAAGGATTAACCTCAGATTAATCCCCACATTTTGGAAAGTGCTCTCCAACAATGAGTCTGTGATGAGCGTTCATATTGCTTTAAATCGATGCACGCACGCACACAATCTGAACTGATCCATCCCTATGACACACACTCCCGCTCACCCTTACTAGGGGCACCTCTTGCATTATTTACACTCTTGCTGCCTGTATGTCCGCTCAGAGGAAGGTTGTATCATTTAAACTTTGCTGAAAAGCAGCAGTGTGACCAACAGTACTGACTCTTGAGGTGGTTCTTCTATGTGTGGAGCTTTAACCTTTACCCAAACCCAACTGACAGTTTTACTCTCTTAAAAGCAGTACAAATCTTTAGAATTCATTTGGCGTCCTATGAGGGTCCAGTTAAGACATTTTACAGCCACACACACAGAGTCACCTTTAGAAAGACTCGATAGATTATCTGCTTTTGTGTATGTTTGGGTGTGTGTCTATAACAGCCTCTTCAGAACAATCCCTTACTGTCTTCAAGGTGAAACAATGGCTCCATTGTGGCCCTTTACTGCATCAATGAAATAATGGACACACATGCCATGTTTACACACAAGCATGAAAGAAAGCCATTATGATAGTTCTGTAACTTTACTTTGACCTGCATGTTTTTATCTTCTCCATTTAAGGCGCAATTTGCGAGGAAGTCTGTTTTGGATTATAGTAAAATAAAAGTCCCATGTGATACTAGTTCACACTTCATCTTCCTAAAGTTGTTTTGACTATGCTAACTCTCATTCTAATATTAATGCATTGTTTTCCTTTAAAGCTCCTCATGGTTTGTGTTGATTATGGCATCCTCTGTGGTCAGAGAGGTACAGCTTATCTCTTTAATTAAGTCTCAAAATGTGGCACACTCACTGACATTGTTTTGCTTCTTTTCATGTAAATCATAGACTGTATAGAGAATGGGTGCTGTCTGCCTCCTCGCTTGGTGAAGCCACCCCGAGAACAGCACCCTCTGGTGACCGGCTGCAGTATAGGTCATAAATCCTGCTTCCTCCAGCAATCCCTGTGGAGTTGTGGACAAATTTTAGAAATTTATTACACAGAATGTAAATTTTTCTCCCCCCACTGCGTACGATGTTGATATGTAGTTACTGTAAGACTGGTTTGTGCTCAAGTCCTCTTTTTTTCTGGACAGCTCCATTTTTAAAAGTTATTAGGGGGTTCATGTTTTCTATGATTGACACTTGATATAGAAGATTGCATAGCTCACCCGGGGGGAACGCTGTTTGGGCCGAGCTGAATGTATACAACACTACTGTGCAAGTAGTAGTTCCAGGAAATGGAGAAAAAAACAGAAAATACAGAGAGCAATTCAGCTTCAAATTCGTATAATGGCAGAAGGCAGAACCAAGTTGTCCATAGTATATACAGTCTATGATGTTGACACACAATGACAAAAACACAGGAAGTGATACAAAGAGTAAAATGTTTACAATTGACCAAGAATGTAAACAGATTCAGTCTTTACATAACAAAAAAAAAAAAGGGGGGGGGGCTAAACTACGAGACTCCCAACTACCCTAATTCTTCCAAATCCCACCCTTAGCCAAGCTACAGTTGGGGTTCACTTAGTGCTGAGAAACAAGTGAGTAAAGGAAGCCAATGATGATGAAGAGTGTCCATTAACTCTGAGAGACACATTTTCAGATCTAGGACCAAAGACTGTCCAATTACTGGACGTAGCATCAGTGATATCACTCATTTTTTGAAGTCAATAGCAGCGGTTGCCATACTGGAAATGCTGACCCGACCTAACTTTTGTTCAACCTACCAGAAACAGGCCTTTAGCCTCCTTCAAATGGCTTCAAGTGTGTTTGTGTGCAGCATGCAGTTACTTACTTACCCACATTTACATCCCTCCGAAAGTTTTAAATAACCATGTAGAAATAATCAGTCTTTTTATTGACGGTCTTGTTTGCTTTTTAGCACATAAAAAGACAATAGTTTTAGTTTCAGACTGTTTCAGAACAGGCTAAAAATTCCTTACAGGAGCTTGAAAGCTGCAGTAAGTGGTCTACAACATGTGGACTGTGTCACTGTCTCTGTTATGTGCACGACTCTCCCATCCGTGGGAGTTTTCTGTCTTCTAAAATTATCCCTGCACTTTTTTCTTTCTCATAATTCAAAGACACTGTCATGCACTTTCACTCGTACACAAACAGGACATCCCAGAGCACATAGGACAACACTACAGGGAGCTGCTGCATCTGTTTATAGACCAAAAGTGACAAGAGAATACAAAACCGCCTAGTGTGTTTCCTTAAGAATAAAAAGTAGCCTAACAAAAGTAAATAAAAGAATCACTGACAGATAATGATTTAAGCTTTAAATCTCATCAGCTGTATAGAGGGTGAGGTCACAGTATACTGTCTTCAAACCTAAGCCCTTCAGCTAATCAACAATCCTTCCGAATGTCCCAATTACAAATGGAGAAGCTCTGCAGAGAATACATACACATGTGAAAGTGAAAGAGACACCCTGCTCTCATTCAGCGGGTGTCAGCTTACCATTTAATATTACAGGAGAGTATTTAAAACCCTTGCTTACTAACTAGAGTACACAGACGGGGGAAATGGCATGCACTCATATGGTCATGTTAAATGACAGTATATGTCTGGATGCATGAAATACTACAGATTCAGTACATCTGTAAGCTTATTTATGAGTGTTATCTTCATGTGCATCTGCATACTTGATTGTCCTGCATTCTCATCTTCCTCTCCAGGTAAAAAAGCATCAGCAGGCAGTTGTGGGTTTCCTCGAGGCCAATCGAATCAGTTTCCAAGAAGTAGACATCACCATGATGGAGGAGCACAGGCTGTGGATGTACCGCAACATCCCCAAAGATAAGCGGCCTGAGAAAGGCAACCCACTGCCGCCACAGATCTTCAATGAGGATCGCTACTGTGGGGTACGACATCTGTTCGTGTCTAACAGCTTTTAGGTTGCACTTCACCCCTCTGGTCAGTCTTTTTGGAAGTTTTACAGGATAATTCAGCTCTTATTGTGAAGTAAATCAATATAAAGTGGAGCTAAATATGCTGCTGATTGAGTTCAGTCAGTCAGAGCTGGCCCCTTCATGTCCGCCACTGAGTTTGCATGCTCCTCTGTAATCCTGTCGTAATCCAGTTTCATGGACAGGGCAGATAATCTGCTCTTCCTGCCGTCACTCTCACTGGCCTAGGTAATCCAACATTACTCCCCAATGTCATGGTCATTGAATTATATTTTAAGCAGCAGTATCTGGCAGGGATGTTTCTAACCATCCTTCAAATTTATGGAGATTATGTAACACCCTCTATTTTTTTTCCTTCTCTCTCAGGACTATGAAGACTTCTTCCAGTCAAAGGAGGACAACAATGTTTTTGCATTCCTCGGGCTCAGCTCTCAACCCTCAGTGAAAGTAAGAGCGATGTATTAGAGTTGCTGCTTAGCAATACAGTCAATTTATTTACAGTTAAAGACAGAACTGCAGACCGCCTCTGTTTTCAGCCCACAAGGTTTCCTGTCAGCACTGTTTCCCTGAAACTCCAAATTCTGCCTCATCTGAGTCAGCAGCTGATTTCTCCCCTAAAAATGTTCATAAAACTTCTCTGTAGTTTTTGCACAGCAGCTTCCCTCCTCAAAGATCCTCTTAAGATAATCAAAAGTTCCCACATCAACCAAAAGATGGATTTAATCTTAAATTTATACATTATATTAAACATTTGATCACATGTCTCCCTGATACACATGTGCAGCGACTATCTGAGGATCATCCAGTTGCCAACCATCAAAAAGTCTGTTCACTATCATCACCATGAAGCATCATTTGATTATCCGCAGTCATATCCTATTTTCTCATCTCTGTGCAGAAGGATGATTGGATAACGAAGTAAAAAGAGATCTGATTACGAATGAACCACCAGGAAATTGCAGACAGGCCTGATCAAAAATCTCCACCCTGAAGCTGAGGCACTGAGCCCTCATTGACTTTAATGGCATCAGGCATGCAGCGCAGGAGTGTGTGAGATCATAAAATGAAGACAGGGCATCTGCACTGGTCTCATGATCCAATTAGCATGATCTTATCAACGAATGGATTTGTATGATAGCACAATAAATCACAATACATTACATCCACAATTTATCTGTGCTACTGCACTTCTTTTTCACCAATGGATACAAGCAGTCAGATAAATTTGAGCTCCCTATTTATCATTTAGGAAGTGTCCAAGAAACAGTTATTGTGAAACATACCCACTGATCTTCACCTCTTTGCTGTTGTAAAGACAAACCTACCAACCTTACTGTAAACATTACATACAAAGAAAAGTTCACACAGCAATCAAGGATAACGTTGATATGCAGCTCATTGTGTGTGTCTGTTACAGGTAGATAGATGTTGATATTTAGTTACTGTTAGACTGGTTTGTGCTCAAGTCTTCTTTTTTTCTGTGCAGCTCCATTTTTTAAAGTTATTAGGGGGTTCATGTTTTCTATGATTGACACTCGATAAAGCCTACGGGCGTACAAAGATTGCATCGCTCATCCGGGTGATACGCTTCTGTGCAAGTGGTGGTTCCAGGAAATGGAGATAAACCTGGAAATACCGAGAGCAATTCCTCTTTAAAATTTGTATAATGACGGAAGGCGGAACCAAGTTGTCCATAGTATATACGGTCTATGTGTCTAACTCAGGGTTAAAGCTTTTCAGTGCTTTCCTATAAGAGTGTGAAAATTAATCTCTTCTCTGTTTTCTCTCACTTCTCCAGGACTCAGAGTCATAGCTTGCGTCAAACTGCTGGTACACAATGTCCAGGGAACTATGAAATATTTGGACAAAAACAGCTTCCTGTGTTCCTTCTGCTTGCACGCCAGCATGTTGCCAAACTACAGATGCTCACAGACGACAATTTGTGTGGCTTCTCTCAACTTTGAAACATCATTTCTCTTTCCCTAAAGTCACCGAAAAGATGTTTTACCCTGGAAGGCCGCAGTGGTTTGAATAAAGACGTCTGACTCTCTTTCCTGTTTAACACACAATGACAAACACTGTCAGTAGCATCAGTTCTGTGCAAACTAGAAGACATATGTAGCAGCCTTTGCATTCGATGATTTAGGTCAAATTACAGTGCAGCAGCACAAGTCATCCTATGTGTGCATGTGTTTGTGTGTGTGTGCAAACCTAAGTGTGAGTGTTTTGGCCAACAGCTGTTTATGAAGGCCATATGAGTGTGTGTGTATTTGTGTGTTTACATGTGTGGAAGGGGGGACAGTGATGCTGCAGCTTATCACAAAACAGATGTAACCAAATGCTTACAATGATAAAATACATGAAGGGTGTACTCATGATAGTGAGACCTCATTTGGTTTCACACACACAAAAAAAACAAACAAACAAAAAAATGAAACACTGCCACACTGGTTGAATAAAATGTTAACTCCAGTGATCTTCTACGTACTTATTTATGTCTGCATTCCCACAGACAGGACCAAAACCATCTAAATGGTTGTTTGCTTCTTGTGACCTCGTATTTGTAAATTACACAGTTGAAATTCAAGCTATTTTCTACCACAGGGACACGCTGTAGAACTTTAAACAAGTCCAAATCATGGGCTTGGTAGTCAGGTCCTGGGCCCTATGTACAAGGAGCCACTGTACACTTACCTGTTCTCTAAATAAACACACAAAAGCAGAAAAAACAATAAACTTGAAAAAAGCATCACAAACAGGAGTAAACAGAGTATTTGCACAGACTATTTTAAGCCATGGATTAATCCACAGTTGGTGCGGCATTAGCAGCAGGATGCTGCATGTGGGACTAACTCAGAATTGAAAACCCTGTCTGTGTTTATAATATTCATGTGTGAAGGGCTACAACAGAGCTCTGTGAAACAGAGGGTTAAGACTTAAGATGTATTTATTGTTGGTATTTTCATGGGATTAAAAAACAAAAAAAAAATATTGATTATTGCTGGCTTAACTCTCTGTCAACCCCCCAAAGCTTGCCTGTAATCAGGGTCAAATGGGTACACTTTACATGAGAAAGAGCACTTTTATTACAGTCTGGTATGACAGAGGACAGGGTCTAGAAAAATGATATTTAACTGCTCAGATATAATCTGGTGACAAAACTTCCCCTGATGTGCCTCTCCTTACTCTTAACACTTAATGTCCACATGACTTTTTAGGTTCACTGCAGCTGAAATGTGAGCAGACTTCCCGTCTGATGATTATTCTACGAAACACCTGCATTTTTTTTTTTTGAGTTGTTTATGACTTGTATTTTCCAATACACTATTAGCCAATCCTCCCTACACTTCTTAGCCATCATGTTAGAGGATGTGTTATTTTCGCTGAGCACGTAGAGAGTCTCACACTAAACGTGTCTCTGTTACTGTCCACATTAACCGCTTTCCAATTCTGCTGAGTTGTGTCCTTGTCTATTGTGAAATTGTGATATCTATGTTGTAACTTTTGTGAATGGACCTCACTAAGCCTGTTGGACTGTAAACTGACTAAATATATTTTGTAACACCTCTTGGCCTCTGACTCTTTTCTGGTTAATTTTGTTCTCATGCTTTCCTATTTTACATTTCCTTGTCATTTTAAACGCAATTTTTACATGAGCATTTGCTTAATTGTAACTCTGGAGAAACTACTCTTTAACACATATGTAATTTGTCTTGTATTTGATGAGCCACATTGCATTTTATTAGATGTCATTGAAAACAGTAGCTTGTGAAGTAGGTGTTAGTGGTTTAGCAGTCTGGTATGAGGTTAGTGCATTGACCAGGTAGTTATGGCTAGATTGGAGGCTCTCCTTGTACTGGTATCTATGACAGGAAAACTCCTCATATTATGTCTGCCTGGTCAGGAAACCACACTGGTAGGGATGGGCAATGAATTATCATTCACAATTTATCCTCAGAAAATTCCCCCATGATAAATAATTGTCATCTCCCGATAAATGCAAGTTGATGACGAAAGCGTGAGCGACGGACTCGCAGCCGTAGCTCACACAGAGCGGAATAACAAACAAACCTGGCCGAAGTTAACAACAAGCTAAAAAAGAAGACGTTTCTAAGCAGCTCGTTACTGAACGAGGCTCCACATGAGGGATTTCCCTCAAGATTGGGGCTTAGATGAGCACCATCAGGTATGCCTGACATCAGACAGTGGATCTGCTGCTGCTGATCACTGCAATAAAAGTTTTCAACAAATGTTGAAAACGTTTTCACATTTGAGACTTGTTTGATGTCATTTGTTTTCTTTTTAACCTACCACTCAAACTTGTAGTTAAGTATCTTATTTGACTATTCCAACTGCTGTTCTCATGATAAAATGAGTAAAAAATATAGACTGGAATTATAATATTTTTATCTGGACTTTTATTATTATCACCAGAATGGCAAATCATATTGTGATAAATTTTTTAAGCCTATATTGCCCACCCCTACTCACTGGATGAACATCAACTGTGTGATACTTTTTTTTCTTCAGGGATAGCAAAGATGGACCGGTGAGGCCAGAAAAAAACAAAACATCAAAAACAGACAGATCATAGAGTCAAGAAGAGAGGAAGAAGATGGTAAACAACATAAGAGGAGGGAAACTGCAGGGGCAGCTATACAGGATATACTGTATGTGAGGAATGATATAGAACAGTACTGTCTTTGTTCAAGCTGTAAATCTAATGTTTCGTTTAAGTTTACCATTGGTTTCAGTCTCAATGCATGTAGAAATACTTAAACTGCCTATATTAGATCACTGAAGAAACAGACTACATACTATACTGTACATGCTGGTACCACTTCTTCATGTTAAATGTGTCTGACAACTGGATGTGTAGTCTGCGCAAGAAGCTATTTATTATTTTCTGTATTATCAAGGAGTATTTTGTGGGTTCAAACTGACATAATTCATTCTGTCTACCCAGGGTGCCCCACTGCTTTGTACAAGTTGTAATGTCATTTCCCATCAGAGACATTGCGTATATCTGTCTGTAATGATTTACCCAGACATCAATATGTGTTTAACCCATTGTCCTCTCCAAACCTCACTACCCACAGTTTCTTTCAGCAGAGAAGACCAAAAGTTAGCAGGCCTTTCAATCCTTTTGTATGAAGTACTGGTCCACAACCTTTCAGAGTACTAATCAAACAATAAAAACCATCAACCCCATTAGTACTTTTGACTGAAAGTAGCCCAAAATTGATTGAGCTAGAAGTTTGGAAGAAAGGAGAAAGTTAAAACTATATTCCCACTGAGCATTTTTTGGTCTAAAATGTAGACTAAATGACTGGTTTAAAATCAGGCTACCACAGGTCTAAAAATGAGTTTTTTAGATGTCTAAATTCAAATCTAAGTTTAGACTAAATATAAGTCTGGGCTATATCTTCACTGTATCTTGCTTAATGGCTATCATAATTATTTTGGTTAAGTTCTTGGAGGTCAGTTATGCAACTCACAGTTGCTTTCTGAAATAAATAGTTAATGAATAATGGGCTAAAGTCCAATGTCTAAATTCCATCTGAAAATATACAGAATCAAGACGGTTGAAATTAGGTCTAAAAAAAAACTAGACGTCTAATAGCCGTCTATTGCTCAGTAGGCTATAACCAGGAGATTTTAGAGCACTTCATGCCTCCATCTGCTTAGAACCTTAATGGAGATACAGATCTCCTTTCAGTAGCAGGACCTGGCACCTGCCCATAATGTCAAAACTACCAGAAAAACATTTTTACTGATCATGGTATTACTATGCTTGTCTGACCTAAAGCCCATAGAGAATCACTCGAGTACCGTCAAGAGAAAGATTAGTGACACCAGAGCAACAATACAGATGAGCCGAAGGAGCTATTAGAGCAACCGTCTTTAACGCCCCAGACTGGGACACAGACTGATTCCCTCTATGCCATGAGCTCCGAGTGAGTTTTGGAGCTTTCTCATCTTCACGAGTTATTCTAAAAATGGTTTTCTATTGAGTGGGTACCAACACGTCTAATATACAAACATGCAACATGACTAAATCAAAGAGAATAGAGGAAATTAAGGACGGTATAATTTCTTGTTAAAATGTTTATTGTTAATGTGGCATAACTACAGCAGTTAGAGAACTACTTAGGAGAAGTTTAGGATGTGGTTTTTGACACGACCAACTGTAACCGGAGGCAAATTCGGGAAACTCTGTACATGTGCAAACAGATGGTCAAGGAAGGCGTCTAAAAACGCTGAATAGACACTTGAGTTATGCAACATCATCTTATAAAGAACAAATAGCAATGTAACTAAGAATCTATGATTAAAATTCTATTTTAGATTAAAGGTGTTCAGAAGCAAATGAGAACACTGTAGAAAAGGGCAACTACAATTACTAAAGGACCCTCAATCAAAACATGAATCAATCCAGACCAGTGTTCACGTAAAGTGAGACTAAAAAAATGTCCTGATCTCATCAAACTACTTTAAATGACACAGTTATACACATGTTTGCTAAAATCCTCCAAAACACAAAAAATCTTTGCCGTGCATCAGAAGAAATGATTGTAAATGTAACTCTCCTGCAGCTCAGACTTCAGTAAGGGGAAGTGCCCACCGTTCCCGGGCCCTGTGCGTCATGTTAACAATAAGACCCTGGACCAAAACTGGTTCATGCAAGTTGAGGATTTGTGGGGGAACGGATCTGAGTGGATTGAGGTTTGTTGCTTTAGACTATAACTGTTCATTGATCAGCAAAAACCACATCTTTTCAGTAACAAAGGTAAGACGCTCACATGTAAATTTTGATTTTACTAATGTGGTTCGTCATTTTAGACGTGTTTCTACTAGGATACGTGAGTTTTTGCCATCTGGGAACAGAACAGTAAAGTTGTAGTTAACACAGATTTTTGATACTTGTCAGTAATTTCTCATCATAAGTTGATAAATTGTTATCTTGAGTGCACAATTTTATTTTTTTCAATGCAACAAGTACTGGACTTGTGGTGAGTAACAGCATCCAAGATTAGGAGGAGGATTTCTTATCTTTATAGGGTGCACATTTACCAAATGAATGATGAAGAGTCACTCTTTTTTGCTGGGTAATGAAGGTTTTCTACTCTTAAGAATAACATTTGGAGAATTAACAACTAAGACTGGCACTATTTGGTTACATGAAACACAACCAGATAGAAATCAAGACTAATCATCTTTGGGGATTTTTCTCTTAAGTAATATTTAGATTTAAACAAACAGGGAAACTAATAGCCTGCGTTGTTTTCCATCAATAGAAATAGAAATATTCGGCCAAATATGGGCTACACAGTGGTGGGAGGGAGCACACTGTGAGGTAAAAAAACATTTGGAGTCAATGTTCAAGACCCCCTCTTGACGGTAACTCTCCTTTTGATCTGTTGTTACCCTTCCTTTTTATCTCTGCTGCTGATTATTTGTGCCTACACATCAGTGTTACTGGCATGTATTGCTGGAACTAAACATTATGGTACATGGGTGGGTGTTTTTTTCCTGTTAAAGATGAAGTGCTTTTTTGGCACAGTGGTGTAGACTTTGTGCAAAACTAAATGAAATCTCCTCTCATCCTCCGCCTTTAATGATTGATCAAAATGTCAACATGGATCCAGGTTGCAGTTCAAGTCCAGGCAGCTCGTTTTAACAATTACTGAATCTGTACATCGGCGTCTATCCTTCGCAAGTTTCTGATTTAGTAATTTTCTTCTTTTGAATTTTAGTTCACTAACGTAGCAGCTGAGGATTGCTGTATTTAAGAGGTAAGCGAGCATACTCTCATTTAATTTTTTGGCAGATTTTGGTGACAATGTTAGATTATGTAAGGTTTACATGAGGCAATATTGTAATTTTAGTTTTACAAAGACACAATCTTTACAATTTTTTTTTGTCTGTCCCTTTTCAGCGTTTGATCCACTTTGATGCCACATTATGATTTTAATCCCATCAGAAAAATTACGTTCACTTTTGTATCTGTCCATTTGTGAGTATCTGTTTTTTTTTTTTTCTCAATTTATTTTGTCCCTCTGTCTTGATATTACTTCATTATACTTGCATAAAATGAAAAATATGTAGTACAAAGGAGGTTTTTAAGTCTTACAGCTGATAAACATTTCAATTCCTTAAAATATTCCACCTTTAAAAATGTTTGATTTCATTTCTGGAAAGTTTTTTTTTTTTTTTAAAGAAAGCTGAACTGCTTGTTTCTCTTGTAGGTCTACTGAGTCTACCACTGCTGACAGGTCAGTCACTTTTATATTTAATACCTTGAAATCTGTGCATTACACTGAAACATTTGAATTGTTACACCCTGATCTTTATTGAAGTTTTGACAGCTGTTGTGCTCATGTTGAACCTCCAGAATGTGATAAAATCCGGCTGGTTGGGCCATCACGTTGCTCTGGCAGAGTGGAAATCTATCACAGGGACAGCTGGGGAACAGTGTGTGATGATCAGTGGAGTATTGTCAGTGCTGAGGTAGTGTGTCGAGAGTTAGACTGTGGAACAGTTCTCGAAGCCAAGAAAAATGCCTTCTTCGGGGAGGGAAAGAATGAGATCTGGTTGGATGATGTGCAGTGTACCGGTCAGGAGGCATCCATCCTCAAGTGTTCACACAGACCCATCGGGGAAAATAACTGCGGCCATGGTGAAGATGCTGGGGTCATCTGTTCAGGTAAGACAGACGAGAAATCAGTGCTTGACTTGCCGGCTTGACGTCAAATTTGTTACAAATGTTTTTTGTTAGTATTAAAGCTCCTGTGAAGAACTTTCATGTTTGTACTTACTATGGCACCCCCTGTGGGTAAAGTGGTAATTTTTTCATAGTCTGTTATTTATGAGGCAGATAGCTGAAAGAATCCAAACACCTACATCCGATGCTTTTAAATTCAAAAGCCAAAAACATCAATTTCTCTCAAAAACATACTGCAAGTTCCTGACTAACAGAAAGAGTCATCCTTGTGGCGGGAAATTGTCATAAGAAATTGGGAAGTTCAAAGAAAATCAGCTAACACAGCATATTTCTCATCAGCTCATTGCATCTATCGTTAAAAAAGGGACATGATCACCAGTTCACCAGTGGTCATCTTTATCTGAGATGATCGCAGCTGTTGTTGGCATTGCTGTTGCAGCAGCGACACAACAGCCATAACAGCATGACCGGCATGCTGGCAATGTAAAGTACCAAAAATACGTATGTCACTAGTTTGTCCCTTCTGTCCTACAGTAGAAAGATAATTGTGCAACATGTTGATCTTTGAGGACACACTGCTGTTAAAGGCTCAGTCAACAAAAACAAAAGGATTTTACTTTTACGCAAATGTATCAATATTTTTTAATGTTATCTTCCATTCGTACACATTTTTAAACATTTTTATCTGCAGTTCAAATGTAAACAGACAAAAGGCATTTGTATTTGCTCAGTCTTGCTCAGGTGATGGATAAAAGAAGAATATGAATACCCACTGTCTTATTGACCTAGCAGTGTTGTTTGTCAATGAGACTTCAAAGATTTCTGAAAAAGTTACAAACTCAATATGAATTTATGCATCAATAAGATTTGAGCACTTTTATGTATCAGATTCCATAATTACATTCAGTTAACATGATTAATTTGACACTTTAAAATGTTTGTGTGTCTCTGCACTTCTTCAGATCACGTTAAAACTGTAAACGGAAGCAACCGCTGTAATGGCAAAGTGGAAGTCTACCATGATGGTCGCTGGAACAGAGTGTGCAACACTGACTGGAACATGCAGCAAGCCGAAGTCCTGTGCCGAGAGATAAATTGTGGCACTCCTCTCCCGCAGGCAGAGGTGCCTCCTTTAGGAGAGCAAAACATCTTTGGTGGGCTGAAAACCAGCTGTTTTGGAAATGAGAGCTCGGTTTCTGAGTGCAGTCTGCAAGATATTAAGGAAAACTGCGTTGATGCTACAACTTTTTGTACACGTAAGTCACCTGTAATTTTAAACTACATAAAAAAAAAACTCACTTTGTTTTATTATCTGCTGGTTTTCATATCTTCTAAGTTTTCTTTTTTCCAATCTGACAGACAGCAAGCCAATCCGCCTGATGAATGGGACTAACCGCTGCAATGGTCGTGTGGAGCTCTACCATGATGGACAGTGGGGGACAGTATGCGATGACAGATGGGGCATGCAGGAAGCAGCTGTGGCATGTCGGGAGATGAACTGTGGGAATGCCCTCTCAGTGAGGTACAAAGCCTTCTATGGCACAGGCACTGATCAGGTTTGGCTGGACGATGTTGAGTGCACCGGTTACGAGAAGTCCCTTGGTGACTGCCCACACAGAGGTTTTGGACAACATGACTGTGATCACAGTGAAGATGCTGGAGTTGAATGCTCAGGTATCACACACTTAACTGTTGGCCCCATATATAGACTGTATATGCATGTGAAAACAATCTTTTAAAAAAAAGAAACTGGCATAATGTTCAGTATTTCTTACACCAAAAGAAGAACCACAGGTTTTATTTTTCAGTCATGCACTTTGGCCTGCAAGCAATCCTTGCTGTTGACATGTGGATGCTACATTGTGATATGACTTGTCAACATGTGCTAATGTTTACTGTGGAAGAGTCCTGCTCCCTTTCACTTCCTGTTTATTCTGGATTTCCACTTTTACAGAAAAAAATATTTCCACATCTCTACAGAGTTAGAAAATCATTCTGCAGCATGTCACAATCATGTGGTTCCTCTTTCTGTGTTTGTTCTTTGACACAAAATCCTTTACTGTGCTTTGTAAGCAGTCCAGTGGGCCTCTCCTTGGTGTCAGCTATTCTTGAAAAGCTTATATCGATGCTGATGCACAACTATGTCCTTGCACATTTAAAATCTTTGTATCTTTTGCCACTTTCTCCTTCCAGAGACTGTCAGATTGACCAATGGGACTAACGCCTGTTCTGGCAAACTAGAGGTCTACTACAATGGCCATTGGGGGAAAATGTGTTCAAACTACTGGTCCCAGGAGGAAGCTGCCGTGGTGTGCAAAGAAATAAGTTGTGGAGCTCCAAAGAAAGACCAACAAACTTTTCACTTTGGCGAAAGCAGACTAGGAGGGTTGACAGCGAGATGCTCTGGCAATGTGAGCTCCATTACCCAGTGTGGGATTCGCGAGTTCACCGGGAGATGTGATGGTGTTTCTCTTGCTTGTGAAGGTAAGACACAAAAGCCGATGGAAGGAAAATGTATCCTGGATAGGGATGGGAACTAAGTATTCTTTCAACTTGATACAAAGTACATTGATTTGTTTGAGAGTCCATACAACTGCTATACTAAAGTGGTGCTAGGTCTTACTTTGAGTGAACCTTTCTGCAGGTAGTCCACAGCTCAGGCTGGTCAATGGCACTGACCGTTGCTCAGGTAGAGTGGAGGTCCTGCATGATGGCCAGTGGGGAACAGTGTGTGATGATGAGTGGGACATCAGAGATGCTCAGGTGGTGTGCAGAGCCATGGACTGTGGAACAGCTCAGACAGCCAAGTCCGGAGCCTTTTTTGGTCAAGGACAAGGAGGCATCTGGCTGGATGATGTTGGTTGTGTTGGTAATGAAACATCTCTGTTGCACTGCCGCCATCCAACTCTTGGAGAAAATAACTGTGGACATGCTGAAGATGCTGGCGTTGTATGCTCAGGTATCTTTGCTTTTATCCATCCGCCACATGCATCTTTCAAACATGTCTGAACACATACCAACTCACTGCTGACCCTCTGCCTTTGCTTCTCAGCTACTATAAGACTGATCAACGGGACCAACCAGTGCTCAGGCAGGGTGGAGTTACATGACGGTGTCCGCTGGTCACCTGCGTTTTATATCAACTGGGGGATGAGTGAAGCTGAAGTGGTGTGCAGAATGATGGACTGTGGAGATCCTGTAAAGGTCTCAGGATCATTTGGGCGTGGCAAAGAAACAAGAGGATATAAGATCACCTGTAATGGTAGAGAGAGCTCTCTCTCTCAGTGCAACATGAGAGCATATGTCAGGACCAGTAGTGACCGTGTTGAAGAGGCAGGTGTTGAATGTTCAGGTAAGACTTTAATGCAAGTATCTTGCATCTTCACCAATCTGCGCCTCTCTTAGGTTTTTCTTTTTGTGAAGATTTCATGTTTTTACACAGACCTTAAAAAAAGTCCTTCACAACCTGCCTTTTCTGCCTCTCCAGTAAAATTCAATAGCTTGTACCATGGCCAAAATGTGGAAATGGTATAGCTTCTTGTCATGTGGCACTGAACTCAAAAACTCTGGTATAAAAAGCAGGAAATTACTACTGGATTTGCAATGAAAAAGCCAGACTATAAACTTGGAGTCTGCAGTCCTTTCCTCTGCAATGCCCACAGTAGGGTAACCATACGTCCCCTTTTACCCGGACATGTCCTCTTTTTTGGGGGGCTGTCCGGCTTTGTCCGGGGAAGTTTATAAAATACTTCAAATGTCCGGGGTTTGTATGGAAGTTTTGAGTTTGTGTCGCATGGACTTACCGAGCACGTTAAAGACACTCGATACAACCTGAAAAACTCAAAATTAACTTTGTGCGATTCTGTGACTCTGCCCCCGTGCAGTCGTGTGCTCTTTTTGGGGATTCAGAATAGGGTCACCCTAACCCACAGTCAGTGTTGACATCTCTAGGAACTGTTATCAAGTTACATAGCTAAAGCTAAAATTGGATACAGGGAGATGCAGAAAGAGACAGACGGACAGGGACACAAAAACTAGGATCATGTTCTGTACATTTATAAAACAACTTTGATTTCCAGGTAATGTAAGGTTGGCTGGTGGTAACAATCATTGTGTTGGAAGAGTGGAGTACTACAACAAAGGCCAGTGGGGAACTGTGTGTGGTGAAGCCTGGGATATAAGTGATGCCACAGTGGTGTGCAGACAGCTGGATTGTGGAAGGGCTCATAAGATAAGCACCACAGATGAGCGCAGCCGAGACACTGGACAAACATGGATCGATCGAATTGAATGCAATGGAATGGAGTCAACCCTGACCCAATGCAGGCAGAGTCCATTTAGAGACAGAACCTGCAACATCTCCTCTGTGGCTGGTGTTATCTGCACTGGTAAGAACAAGTATTTCCAAAAAATCAGTCATATATCTGTATGCATTCATTAATGAATCTCATATTGCACAAAACCAAGAAGAGTCTACCTTGTAGTCATTATTGACTTGTTAAAAAAATATATATATAATTCTACTGAATGTTGACAACAAAGTTTTTGATTGTGCTTAATCAATTTAGGAGGTATGGAGGTCCGTTTAGCCAATGGTAAGGATGAATGCTCTGGCAGAGTAGAGGTCCGTCATGGCGAGGAGTGGTATACGGTGTGCGACACTGAGTGGAGCCACAGTAAAGCCGGAGTGGTGTGTGCTCAGCTGGAATGTGGAGAGCCAGTCAGTGCCCCCGTCGGTGCCCAGTTTGGCCAAGGAAATGGATCGGTGGTGGAGGCCAGCGATTCATGCTTCCGCAATGTTTCAGATCTTCAGCAATGCTCACTCAGAGGTTTCAGTAGCTCGACGTGTGGGCATGAAAAAGATGTTGGTGCTGTCTGTGCAGGTAACAAACTCTCAATTCTTTGTTCACACTATGAATCTGAGTATTTGCTTTACCAAGCCGTGGCATCTGACTTCTGAGGTAAATGGAAAGCAGCATAAAACAGCATGTGATAAAAATAGTGGTTCAAGCAGTACTTGCTTTCTCAGTATCAAAATGCTCTAGGATTGATATTCATTTTGTTTTTAATTATCAAAGATGTCATCTTCTACCTTTTGACACTTCCTTTTTAATTTCTTGTTTCACATGCAGCGCAGCTTCGGTTGGTTGGCGGCTCAGGTCCATGCTCTGGTAGAGTGGAGGTCCACTACAAAGGCGAGTGGGGGACTGTGTGTGATGATGAATGGGAACTGCCGAATGCTGATGTGGTGTGTAAACAGCTTGGCTGCGGTCATGCAGTTTCTGCTCCTACAAGTGCCCATTTTGGGAGAGGCAGTGGTCCAATATGGCTGGATAACGTGAGGTGTAGTGGTGATGAGTCTGCGCTTACACAATGTGAGCATCCTGACTTTGGAGAAAATAACTGTGGGCATGGAGAAGATGCTGGTGTGGTCTGTATAGGTAAGGTGTCTTGTGTGTAAAGATTGCTGTAGATAAGAGGTTGCCTAAACTGAAAGAATTTACAGAAATATTTAATATCTTTCAGGTGCTCTGAATAAGCCTCAGCTGACTTTAAGTCCTGGACCTGTGGTAAACTGGGGAGAGAGAGTTGAAATCACCTGCACTGTATTAACAGAACACTTGGGTGGGACATTCATCCTGAAAAGGTTACCAGGAACATTTAAAATGGAGAAATACTCTGAGAATGAAGCAGCAACCTTTGTTTTCCCTACGGTGGACTTCACCGAAAAGGGGTCATATTTCTGTGAATATCAAAAGAGACTGCCAAACCAAGTCATCAATTATCCTCAAGGAAACATTGCTGAGCTCTCTGTCACAGGTGAATCATTTTTTTCTTTACAACCATCAAAACTTTTTAAGTTTTCCGATCAGAAATGACAAGTTCTGTCTCCTGTTTGCAGTGAAACTGGAGACTCCCAGCATCTCCTTGTCATCGCCTCACTCCATGGTGATCTACAGCCCTGACAAAATATCAGTCAAAGAAGGCAGTGCCTTCTCTATCACTTGCTCCACTCATTCCAGATATCCTGGGGGTTACTTTTATCTGACAAGGTCCAACGAGAGCACCACTGATGCCAAACCAGCTTTTGGTCACTCTATCTTCTACTTGGCTTACTTTGAATTCCCAGCTATTGATTCCAAACACCAAGGAGACTACACATGTGTCTACGGGGTCAACATCTCTTCCAAACCCTTCTGTTCAGTTCCTTCAAAGACACTACAAGTCACTATAACCGGTAAGACCCAAAGACATTTGTTTATTTATTTGCTATTCTTCAGATATTCTCTAACTTACTAACTTGACTCCATGACCTCCATCCATACAGCGGCTTCATCCTCTTCGATTGTCACAGGAGTTGTGGTAGGGCTTATGCTGGTGCTGATTGTGGTGGTTTTAGGTTACTTTCTCTGGAGAAGAAGATGGCGGGTAACTGGTAAGTGGAAGAAATTCAGCTTTTATATCCCAATATTGACGAAAATTTTGACTCTCACTCTTATTTCAAATATTGTTTCTGGAGACTTTAAGAGCTCTACATGACGAGATTTTTATTTTTCCCAAATTGTAAACATCCTGACTGTATTCACAGGATATGTGTTTTTTTTTTTCAGTTTAAACAGCAAGATTATTTTTTTAAAGAATCCCACTTTAAAATGTAAAGTTTTATAAGTTTGTAACCACAAAAAATGTTTTTATTTTTTTTAATAAAAGAATGGCCAAAATACAACAGCAATTTACAGTTATTTTTATGTTTGAGCCCTGAGAGGAAGATTTTCAGTGAAGAGGATGTGAAGTTATCCAAAGGGAATACATTTTTATTGAAAATAGCTCCATAACAAATCATTGCTAAAATTGCTTCTTGCAAGTAATCACTACCACGTGTGTTATAGCTTTTTATGCTGCCTGGAAGTTAAAAAAAAAAAAAAACAGGCCAGTTTTGATTGATGTTTGCTGTATTTAGTTTGGCCTTTCTCCTCCTTTCTGAGAGTTTTGACTGCTGCTCTGTATTTTAACTTTTCAGATACCTTGGTGCAGTTCAGCAACCGGTTTGGAGGAGCGCTAAAACAAGATGCCGATGACAGAGTTAATGGAGCATATGATGGAAGGTAGGGGGAAAAAAGACAAAATAACACCAAAACAAATATATATTTGCAGAATTTTGGACATTTTGGATCAAACAACCTAACATTATGCCTTGTAATTCACTTGATTTACTCGGTAAATTTAGCTCAAAAGTGAAAGTTGTACTTAAGGTTTTCCAAACTAAAAATCATATTAATTAAGAGTATCTGATTACGTTTGTCATTTGAAAACTAAACTAAACTGAACTATAAACTCTGCAAAAGACAACTGAATAAAAGATGTGAAAGCCTTCTTTCAATGTAAAACAACAAAGTGCCTTTTTTGCAAAATTTTAAAGTTATAATGCAACTCATGCTAGGTCTCAGATATTTCCTGGCTAATATAACATCATATAACTTCAGCTAAGAGTTTACACTTTATTTATAATGAGCAATAGCAATATACTACCAAAGAGCAACACAAAATTTCAACCACTGCTTGGCTAACTTTAATAGGCTAAAAAGTGGTTAAATGCTAGCGAGTAGATTTTACCTATTTCAAAGTATTAGCTTGACATATGCCCAACTTTCCCTCCAGTTGCTTTCAAACTTTCCATCCCATACCTGATATCAGATGAAAAGAGCTGCTGCATGAGCTTGTTCATTGCCAACTTTTTTCTCCCTTAAAACCCGCAACATTCAAGTGAATGAACAAGCACTGAGTCTGAGTCTTTTAAATTCTTTTATTTTTTCTGGTTCCTGGTTGCATGATGAGATGACTTATCAGATACTTTATTTTTTTATACTCAGTACACCACAGACAACACTGTGTGACAATGCCAGCTTTCAAACTTTCTATCCCATACATCACAGGTGTCCTGGCCCGTGGAAAAGTTATATCTGGCCCACGAGATCATATCATATTTTTATCATTACTTGCCCACTCATATGAGGTCTGGAGATTTCATCAAGGATAATAATGTTAATTTTAGCACCATTATTTAAAGTATCCTTAATAAACCATGGAAATCTGGGAAAGTACAGAGTAAGGAAGGTTTGATAAATAGTCAAGAATGTGGGGAAAAATTTGTTTTTTATCCACATTTCCATTTTTGCATCTCAAGATTAAAAGTCAAACATAATTTTACTTTTTATTTTGTGCTTTGTTTTTTTTTTCAACTCAGTATTTAGATTTATGTCATTTTAATCCTTTAGATTCCAATTTAAAATTTTGAGTCAAATTTTGACTTCAAACTCGATTTCAAAATGATCTCATATTTTGACCTTTAAAACTTATGAGTTAAAATTTCTTCTCATGTATTTGCTCTATTTTTAGTATCGTGTTCTGATCTTTTGAACTAATCTATTGGATTTTTTTTTTAATCTCAGATTGCCTTTAAATTTATCTTTTTTACTTTTTGAATTTCAAAGTGGTTTATAATCATTGCTGATATTGTTATATATTTTATGGCCCTTGCTGTGGTTGAGTTTGACATCCCTGCCATACCCAATATCAGATGAAAATAGCTGCTGTATGAACATGTTCATTGCTGACTTTTTTTCCCCTTAGAACCCGCAACATCCAAGTGAATGAACAAGCACTGAGTCCCGTCCCAGAGGAAAAGACTGCAGAGGTTGAAAACTCTGTTGAGAGGGCCCCTGAAGACTTGGCGGGGAGAGTTTGTTATGAGCTTGAACCCCTTGTTTTCCCATGATAGCTGAATGACCAGAGTGCTATACCACTCAACTTCACTTAAAGCAGGAGTTGTTACCTGTTTATGAAACAAACTGAAATGAACAGGAATGTCTCTTAATTGCCTGTAAAAGCAAACTAGACCATTAGCAATACCACTGAAAATTTCTACTTTGTGACTTTTTATGTAAGCAGCTGCTGTTAGGGGGTAGGTGTCAGACAAGGCTTATTTGACTTCTTCCATGGCCAATACTCAAAACATGTGAAATATGTGAGCGTTAAAATACATGTGCATGACGAGAGATACAAGAGGTATCACTTTATCCACAGGGGGCACCAAAGTCAACACAAACAGAAAGTTCCTTACAGGAGCTTTAATGTTAATAGAGACATAACCCCCCGCCCACCCCCCTCCCCCATACTCATTACTGGGTAGCTTTTTATTTCTCTGAGAGGCTCTACCAATCACAAAACAAGTCCACTGATATGTTGGAAAAGAATGATTCTGCTGACTTTGTATTGCATGTTAATTGCCTTTTTTTTAGCAAATGTGAGTGCTCTTCAATAAAGTTGTATTTCCTACACTTGCATTCTCTCTTTTGTTTTATAACTACACATAAATTCTCGCATTATTTGTAATTGTACAGATCAGTTTGAAACACTTTGACGGTAGAGTGCTTCATTTTGTATGACCTACAGAGTCATAAGACATGAGATACAATCACACAGGCTGTTTGTCCTCGTCTGGGTCAGTTTAAAGGACTCTTCCTCAAAGCAGCACAAACCAGGCTGGATTTATGATTAACAACCTCTGATTTATTGCAGCCATGCATTGTCTCATAAAACTATATGGTCTTATTATTTCATATCTTGATGTTCTTTGTGCAAAGCCACAATAGATCTGGACTTGCATGATATGAAACAAATCCTGCTCCAAACTGATTCATTGAGCTGGAGACAAAATTTTTCACTCTGCACAGACAAGAGGAACTTTGAAACCCTGAGGTTTCTTAGAGTATTTATCAATACACAAGATATTTGTGCCCAAAAGTAGGGAAGTTAGGTTGGGGGTGGTCACTGGGTATGCATTTGAATACATATTTTGGTAGAAAGTGCTTAAAGCTTCGCTCAGAAGTTTTTTTTAAATTTTAGGAAATAGATTGAAATTCAAATCAAAGCCTATAGCAAACAAAACCATGAACGACATGATTGGTTATTTTTATATTGTGATTTATTATGCCTGAAACTGGTGGAAGTGGGCAGGAGTAAGCTGAACAGCATCTATAAGAGTCACTAATTAACCTGACTGTGCTTGGGATTGGACTGTGGGAGGAAGCCAGATCACATGTTAAAGAGCATATCTGCACACGGACAACATGTAAACTTCACCAAGAAAGGCATCGGCCTGCAGGAAGCTCTGAACCCAGACTCAGTAAGGTAATGCTAGATTATGCTTGTGCATTTCCCACTACTTGTGTATCTGTGTGTGTGTGTGTGTGTGTGTGTGTGTGTGTGTGTGTGTGTGTGTGTGTGTGTGTGTGTGTGTGTGTGATTCACTGCTTTCACAACTGACAGGGACAAGCTACGACTGGAATGGCAGTCAGACAAGTGGGTGTGCCCAAGCAAGCAGGCAAGCCGTGTCCAAACCTGCTCACCTTGTCTGCTATTACAGCAAAGCAGCAGCACATACCTGCACACAGGATACCGAGCCATTCACTGCCTCTTTTGCTTGTCTCCACACCTCTATCTATCTTTCTCTCTTTAAACCTGTGATTTTTGACTCCTTTTAATCCTTTAAATAACAGATATGCCAATCAAAGTGTTTTATGCCAGTGTCACCGGATGTCGAGAGGTAATGTGTGTGCTTTACTTACTCAGTCTTTTACTTTTAGGAGTTTTGTCTTTTTGCTGACATATTGGTATTGTTAAGAAGACATGTCAGACGGCATGCTAAAGTTGGAACACCAGGCTATGTCTGTAAAGTATTTACACTGTAGAGGTTCAGCCAAACCGTAGCTTTCATTGGGGCCTGGAGAGCGAATCGTGTTGTGAAAGAGAGCTTTGCATAGTCATAAATTCGTAGGGCTTTATAGAAATGTTTGATTCTTGCAAACATAACTTAGAATTTTCTGTACCTTTCAGATGAGGAAAGGCCAAGATAAAATCTTCATGGTCCTGGACTCAAAGAAGATCGAGTATGAAAAAGTGGACATCACTGTGGGTAGTGACAACAAGGACTTGATGAGGTCTGTGGCAGGAAACCCCTCTGCACTGGCCCCGCAAATAAGCAACGGGGACATCTACTGTGGGGTGAGTCTCACACTTTTACCTCCTGAATAATAAGGACCTGTACTGACAGTATTACACACCATTTAACAACAAACTTGATCATGATAAGGTGTTCATGATTCACTCTCTTGCTGCATACTGTATGCCACGGGGGGAGAAATCTTTTGGTTGTCAAGGGTGTGGAAAGAGAAGAGAATAAATATTTACAATATATTAAAGTATCACAAGGTTTGCACTGACAAAGACTGCAGAAAAAAGAACATGCACAACTTTTCAGCTACACTTACAACAGAGACACAGATGTACTTGCACACACCCTGATCATCAAGCCTCACACCTCTGTTTGCCCCTTGAGGGATTTCTTCATTTTGGCACTCCACTTTTTCATTGCTATGAGTGACAGATTACAGCCTAGTCTCAACAACAGGTAGTACAACATCTCTGGAGAGGTAGAAATTGTCACAGAGTAATGTTTTAAGCCCTTATATCTTCTTCTTTTTCTCCTTGTTTATTTTCAAATGACAAGTTTCAATAAGTCAATGTGTCAAGCTGAAACATCTCAACAAGTTTTTGACTCATTTACTTTTGATTTTGTCGATACCTTCACAGGCACACATCCTGTTATCTTAGCGCTCTCCTTGCTTTCCCACCTGTCATCAAAGCAGGACATTGCTGACGTTAGCATCAACACTCATGGTAGTGAGTGTCAGCTGTAAATAAGGGTCAAAATGATCCCCAGTCAGTCAAATTTGTCAATAAAAAGAGGACGCGAGGCCTTTTATTTTTATTGTATATTGTAAATATGTGCTATGAATTTAGAGACCGTGCAAAAGCAAAAATTAAAAGATTCAGTCAAAACCAACAAATAACGATGAAACATCCATGCAGGCTCAGCCTTAACAGCTAGTAACAGGAACAAACTATTAACATGAGGAGTGCATTAGGGCTATCTTAAATTTTATAGAACCTTTAGATATTATTGCACCTAATTAGGATATCACTGCACATGCTTATGTCCAAGGTGTAAGGTTCTTTATTGTCACAGCAAATGAAAACAAACAGTTTGTCCTCAGCCACCAGCTGAGCTAACACAAAGTTTTAGAAAAATAAAAGCACAGTAACTAACATTTAAATTGTTAAATTTTAAAAATCGGAAGTGCATCATCAAATTTGTGCATGATGAGCAGCAAAATGTCAAACAAATCTGGGACTTTGGCTTGAGGGGAGATACTGCTCCTCAACTGGCTCACCCTGTGTAGCACCGTTTTGTCCTGGGAGGACAAGTTCCCTTATGTAATATAATCATGAATAAAGTTTTTTTTTTATCTTGGTGTCTCTTTGTAACGCCTCACCTTCTTTTCTCTCTTTCAGGACTTTGCTGCATTCGAGAACGCCATCGAGATGGAAGAATTAGAGCAGTTTCTCAAACTTTGAAAGAAATGATGACCAGCTTATCACAGTCCTGTGTTTACTGCGTTACTACACATCCAAATTGACCAACTATAAGGACTTGAAGTGGTCATAAAATGGTTTTTATTTAGCACTGATGCCTCTTTATGACCCATAAGAGTTCACAAGACCACCTGTAACCGACTATTTCAAACCCTCAATGTCAATCCTTCTATGTACAACATGCTCATCAGAGGATCTACGTTCACTGGCAAAGTCTTTTTGTCAAAACAGGAAATTTTTTTAAGAGAGGCTGCTGTGCACAGATGTACAGAGCAGGACCAGAGGAGCAAAAACCCCAATATAAACTTAAGTTGCTCATTGTAACCTTCAGCAAAATGAATTGATGAATAAAGTTTCTATTCAAATATTTGGTTTTTGATTTGACTTTGGTAATGACCTGTGCTGTGTTTGAATGTAAGCAGATTTATAATGAAACTGACATGCCAGACAAATATTTCAGATATGCAAATGACATTTTTATCAATTTAAAACTGTTCACATGGTGAAAATAAAAAATGCTTTTTTTCTCAATCTGTGACATTTTTAAAAGTCTCTAATTTTACTGATGGATTGTAGCCCATTTCCAGTAAAAGGGGAGAGTTTTCCTGCTCAAAGGGGAGCTTTTATAACCAATCAGGCCATCAGCTGCTTATATTTGAACCACAAGTGGGCCCAGATCTCAATCACCAGAAAACTGAGATGAAATTAAGACTAGCAGGAAAGTCCAAAGCAATATAAAGCGAGTATAGCAATAAGTACTATTGCAATAAGGGACATTTTAATTCCCAAAAAGAAATAAACATTTGCTTTAAAAAGTTAACAAAATATTTAATTGTTAAACCAACATCAGGTTTTCAATGATCAAATCTTTAAAGTTTATTATTATTATTATTATTATTATTATTATTATTATTATTATTGTATTTTCATTAATAACAAAAACAAATGAAAAAAGATGAACAGCAGATATTTAAGACATTAGTTTTTTTTGTTTGTTTGTTTGTTTTTTTCCACAAATGATTTTTAAACTCTTAAAACTGCAAAAGTAGGGTTTCATATTTCCCCTCTTGTTATGATTAGATTTAACATTAAAAAACTTTATCTTTCATGCCAGGAAACAGATTAATTTGACTCACTGATTTATTAAAGAGCGTTGGAGATAACATTAATAGGAATACCGTGAGTAACTACAACAGGCAGCGCGCTGGACGCCGCCACACGGGGCCTAGCGGTATTAAATCAGCGTCGCGGACTTATGACGTCCTCTTTATCCGCTGCCCTAGTGGAGGTTTTGGTATGTTTCATGACTTCTCATACAATCTGTGAGATTTCACAAACATCTCACTTTATTTAAGCCACAGAATGACCTTTTTGTGTCGGATAATAACTTCTCTTTCATATCTTTGCTGTATTGCAGAACTTTAGATCCAACATCCGTCTTTAATCGACAATGGCCGAGGAAGGGTGAGTGTGAAGCCGCCCTGGCTAACTGTATTTACCGGGATAAACGGAGACGGAGAAAGCAACAAACAAGCTTTGTGTAGAGCATTAGGTGTAAATGTGCTATTTTAGTGATCCGTGCTTTTTTATAATGACTATCTGGATCATTTTTGTTATAGTTATGGCTCTATCTCGCTATCTTAGCCTCCACAGGGAAACCCGATACCCGCATGTGAAGCAAGGCATGAACTAATATTATACTTTGAAATATTTATGCACTTTTTAGATCGGTTTGAACTGTCTCTGAAAACTAGAAGCATTGCCTACATCTCTCTCCTCAGGGGATAAGGGTTCAGAACAACCAATAGCTATTGGAGATGTTAATATGCTGAGATTGTCTTTTAAAAAAGATTTGTATACATGTTTTTTGCAGCTAGAAGTCAAATCTGGTTTAGATGAGGCTGCTACAGTTTCCCTTTACTGTTGTGGGCTGTACATCCATCCTTAATGCTAAGTCAGCCTCAGTCAAGACTTGATGTCTGCCTCTCCTCTCAAGCAAGCTCCCCAGTGTTTGAATGATGATTTTATTTCTTTTGTCGGATACCCCTTCACTCTTCAATGAGTGAGATCCCTCTTCTGACAGACTGGGAGCTCTACTGCATTCAGCTTTGTTATTGTATGTGTTTTGAACAGTGCTTTAACATCTTTTCTCTCATTACTGACAGCATTGCTGCTGGAGGTGTCATGGATGTTAACACCGCTCTCCCTGAAGTGCTCAAGACGGCACTCATCCACGATGGCCTCGCCCGTGGCATCCGAGAGGCCGCCAAAGCCCTGGACAAGTGTGTAAAAATGTCCTCTCAGTACTTGCTGTAGTGTTAAATTGGTGTATCGCTGATGATAATTTGGCTCCCTCTACTGAACACCCTGAGGAGATTGCCACTGTTACCCAATTTCTGTCTGAGATGCGCTAGAAAATTTGTCAATGCTTATAACCCAGTGTATGCAGTCCTGAAAGCTCACTTGCGATTGTCTTGCAGGCGTCAGGCCCATCTCTGCGCCCTTGCAAGCAACTGCGACGAGCCCATGTACGTCAAGCTGGTGGAGGCTCTCTGTGCTGAGCATCAGATTAACCTGATCAAGGTAACGGAACTGCTTCACTGTTAGCTGATCTCTGAGACTTTGTTTTACACAGAAATGCGTGTAAAATTAAAATGTTTAAACATGGGGTTCAGACCTCTTCGTGTTGAAGGTTTTTGAATACTGACAGACTTTTTTTAAAAGAAGCTTATGAGGTCATGCTGTATCACTGATGATAATTTGGCTCCCTCTACTGAATACTGTGAGGAGACTGCCATTGTTACCCAATTTTCTGTCTGAGATACAGCCAAGAGGCCTGAAATTTGATGCTTAGTGGAGCAGATTGTTAAAGAAACCTGTGACTGGGATTGTTTAACTGCTTCACATGTTTGGTTCCTGCTCATCAGGGATAGCGAAGATGCTCAAGATGACCTACATTTTTTGTGATGGTAGTAAAATATAAATATGACACACATTAATGTCCATTCACGTCATTTCAGGTTGACGACAATAAGAAACTCGGCGAATGGGTTGGTCTGTGCAAGATTGATCGTGAAGGCAAACCCCGCAAGGTTGTAGGCTGCAGTTGTGTTGTGGTCAAGGTGAGTTCTGCTGTTCTCGGGTTTCTCTACAGTTTAATAAGTAGATGTTATTAAAACTGGAATAAAAAGATCACAATCACGAATGAAATACCTGCCAATCAAGTCCAGGTGCTTGTGCTTCGTGCCACGCAGCTGTTTTTAAATTCTTGGCAAGATAACAGCCAGGGTACGAGCCCTGACATCTACCTGTGGTGTCTGCGGTCCCTAAGAATGGCTACACAAAGAGAAACACCTTAACATGAGACATCCTCAGAGGCCATCTCAGTCTTGATCTGTAAACAAGCCTTTATTTTAGCAGTGTTATGGGCTTCCAGAGCCTACAACAGGTCCCTGAGAAATATGGGGAAGACCACAAAGGCAAAGATGTCACAATGTCTTTAAGTCTAACAGGGAATCTTAAAAAAATATATTGTTTTCACTTAAATTTCTGAAAGTCAAGGGCAGGAAGGAAGTCAAAAGAGAGAAATGTTGTGTCACTGTTGCAGTTTGACGTTTTTTTTCTTCTCTGATTGGCTGGTCATCCGATCTGGACTGCACTTGAAGTCTTCTGTCAAGCCTGCTGATTTTAAAACTGTTTCTGTCTGCAGGACTACGGCAAGGAGTCTCAAGCAAAGGATGTGATTGAGGAGTACTTCAAGGGCAAGAAATGAGGTGTCAATAAAAGTGGAAATTAAGAAGTTTGTGTGTTGTCTTGAGCTTTATGGGGATTGAAAATGACCAGTGAGTTAATTTAGTCAAACTGGAGGCTGTGACTGTCAAAAAAAGTGTGGCTTGTTTTCCCTATTGCTATATAATTATTGGTAAGTGACTTTAAAACTAAAAAACAAAATTGATGGTCAGTTTTGACTTTATTTAAAAGACGGGTATTTTGATTCATGGCTTGGTTCTGTATAATGACCAGAATCATGTCTGTAGTCAAAGTCTGGCTTCCAATTACCAGGCAGGGCTATGCACTTAAATCCTAACATCAATACAATCTATTTACATATTTAATTCTATCATTTAATAGTGGGGCATTTTAAATGTCAAATATGGCCCTAGACTGATCTTAACTCAAGGTACTGGTAATCACTAAAATGTGAAAATACTAACCGGTTATTTTACGTTAGAGGTGAGATGGTCAGGATCATTGGATAATGCTCAAAACAACTGGCACAACCATTTCGGCGAAAATGTCAGAGAGGGGTCTGGCTATATCAACTGTGAGGACTCACCTCCACTGACCAGATCAGATTTTGATTTGAAGCCTTTCAAAATAAAAGCAATTACACTGAAAAGTACACATTTTTTTCTGGTTTGAATATATATATTTATATATATATACACTACAGGCAAAAAGTTTGGTAGCAAGGCCATCACAGGCCGTTGGGAGTAACTTCAAGGTTTTGTTCACAATGCTTCTTTTAAAATCCAGCATGAGTTTTATGTATTTTGGGATGTATTTACTTCAAGATCAGATGTTGCTTTCATGGAAATGCACCATTTTACTCCATTTATCTTTAGATATACATTGATGTTAACAGACCATTGCTAAATATATGTCGGCAAAAGATAAGGGCTTAGTTTTAGGGTTGAAAACATTTGCAAGAGTCACAACTTCAGTGCAAAAGCAAAAAAACAAATCACAGTTGGATTATTTACTTCAACTTTTTGGCTTTTGAGAGTCTGCATACAAAAATCCTAATAAATCTCAACTGCGTTCAAACTACCGCAAAAATGGCTATAAAGAAGCAACTGAGTAAAGAAACAAAAGTACAGATTTGTACATTGAGGAAAGAAGGATACACAGAAAGAGAAATTGCAAAACGCCTAAAGGTGTTTAACAAAGGAGTCCACTACACTCTGAAGAGACTAGAGGAACCTGGAAGTTATGATGATAGAAAAAGACCTGGACGAAGGAGAGTTACTACAAAAGCAGAGGATAAACATAGCATTGTCACCAGTAAGAGAGATCAGGGAAAGACAGCACCAAAAATAAGGGAGGAAATTAAAATCACAAGGTCAAAACCCATATCTCTGACAACCGTGAAATGGCGTTTGAGAAAGGCTGGTCTGAAGGGTTGTGTATCTGCAAAAAAAACACTACTTCGTCCACAGAACAAGAAAAAGAGATATGAGTGGGCAAAAGCTCACAAAAATTGGACTTATGATGACTAGAAACAAGTTTGCACTGTTTGGTTCAAAACGCAGAGTCTATGTCCGCAGACAAACTGGTGAACGTCTGAAAGCACCATCTGTTACACCCACAATTCAGCATGGAGGTGGTAGTTCCATGGTATGGGGATGTTTTGCAGGTGATGGAGTAGGAGATTTGTAAAGTAAAGGGTATCATGAAGAAGGAACAGTACCACTCCATCCTCCAGCACCATGCTGTTCCATCTGGACTCAGACTTGTGGCTCATAAGTTTGTTTTGCAGCAAGACAATGACCCTAAGCACTCTGCCAAGCTCTGTCAGGGTTACCTAGACAAAAAAGAAGAGGAAAGTGTTCTTCAAAAGATGGTTTGGCCCCCTCAGTCTCCAGACCTTTCTCCAATTGAGCTTGTGCGGGATGATTTGGATCAATCGGTCGTTCAGAAAAACGCGTCCTACGAATCAGCAGTCTCTTTTTAATGAACTTAAGAAAGCTTGGAATGCAATCCCTGGAACAGACCTTAAAAAACTTGTGGCACGGATGCCTGGTACATGCCAAGCTGTTGTTAAAGCCAAAATATCAAAATGTCTTCTGATAAGTTACTCTTTACACAATAGTCATGTTTATTGTGTTGCTTTTCTTTTTTTGTACAAATCTGATCTTGCTTCCAAACTTTTGGCCTGTAGTGTGTGTATATATATATGTGTGTGTGTTTTTCCTTGGGGCTTTATTTTACGTTTATGATAATATGATTTTTTTTGTGTATTCATAACTTCAAAGATCAAATACAAAATAGGGTGACCACTGCATGTGAGAAAGAAGGTCACATTGTGTCCTCTCAGTGGCGGTGGGTCCTGACAGCGGAGGCCTGCTGCCAGACCGCTCTCCCAGATGTATGCAAAATGTATCTTTTAGATATTGGAAAACAACAGTGGTGCAATATGTGAAGAATTTAACCCTTTGCATGCCCCTTGAAAAAGCAGATGTCTGGATTATTGCACAGATTTTGTGGATCCAAAAGCTGCACAGTGCTTTAAGAAGCAGGAACTCATTTTTTACTAAAATACAAATACTGGTTGTCAGACTTCCCAGAACTTGATCGAAGCTCTACCTCTTTTACAAGTCCAGTGCCTTATGCAGAAAAGCAGAATTAGGCCGTATTTATTTTTAGGGATTGACAGTGCAGGTCGAACAATTCGAAAATCCTGAAAAAATTCTTTTTATTAACTCCCCTTAATTTAATTCAGAAAGTAAAATTTTCATTTGTTCTGGAAATGCTTCACAAATTATTTTTAAAGTTCTTTCAGTCCTGAAAAGAGCTTTAATCAGCTAACCAACTCTAAACACCTGCAGATGTTTACTGAGCAGTTATTCTCTCACTCTGGTTCTCTTCACCCAAACACAATAATGACTTGACAGTCATTCAGAAGATGATTATTGATGCCAAGGAGGGTCAGTCACAGAAGGTCATTGCTGGAGAGGCTGATTACAGAGAGCTGTATGGAAGTATTCTCATGGGAAGTTGACTGGAAGGGATAAGGTGACCAAGCAACAGGGATACAAGAAGTTAAGGGGGGTTCACAAGGAGTGGACCGAGGCCGGAGTCAGAATATTAAGTTTCCACAGTCTGTGATGGTCTGGGGTGGTCTAGAGCCCATGTGGTCTTAGGTCAACCAGGAGCTCTCAGCTCTCAGAGACCTTCATTGGAGATCCAGATTTCTTTCAGCAGAAACTGGTTTGCTGACCATGTAAAAGAAGACTGTGGATTTTGATTTTCATGAGTTGTAACCTGCAATCATTAGATTCAAAGAAAAAGAAGTCTTAAAATATGTTTACTTTTATGTGATGGATCTATAGTATATGGAAGTATCTCTTTTTGAATTAAATCATGAGGGTAAAATACTGAACTTTTCAGGACCTTACTTTCTTGAGCTGCACCTCTCTATATATGCATTGAAGACAAGATGCATGTATCATTTGGATAGGTTTTTACCTTTATATCTACATACATAAACATTTCTGAATAAAGAAAGGACATTCAAACACATTAAGGCACAACACATCATGACGCACATTCTCAGCCCCCCACCCAAAATTACAAAAATCCAGAGAACAAAAAACCCCCAAAAGTAAAGTTCCCTTCCCTTGAGCGTAATATCCACCTCTGCTCTTTAAGTTTATTGTCAATAATTTACACAAGTTTCTGCTGCAGACTGCATTGATGTGTTGTGATTATACCACCAGGAAGAAAACATTTTTAAAAAGCAGCCGTTGTCCTCGCACTCATCATCACGCTGCCAGTACAGAGGAGACCTCGATAATGGGAGATCATTTGATTTCCAGAACAACCCAAAAATCCTCCAGGACCAGGTAAGGTTCAGGCCATTTCAGGCTCTCAGTCTGCTACAGCTGCAAGGAGGGTCATTTTCACAGCAGTCTATTCCCAGAACCAGAGCCAGGCAGGCTGAGCTGGGGATTCAAAATCATCTCTTCACCCTCTTGATGTTCTTTTCTTCATTTCTCACCTCTCCTTTGCTTCTTAAGACCATTCAGAGTTTGTAAATCCAGACGTTCAAAAATCAAGACAAAAAAAAAATCACAAAAAACAGTTGCAGTGTATTGTTTGTTCTTAAATAGTTATACAAAAGAAGGAGGCTGCCTGGCTGATCATGTCCATGGTAACATTGCATGAGTCCACATCACTTTAACAGTTACAGGTACTCAAACTCCAGTGCTTGGTGTAGTGCCAGCAGGTCAGAGTGACTGGATATCCTCCAGAAAGGCATGTTGTGCTGCAGATTGAAAACACACACACACACACACATTAACACTAACAGGACAGTTTCATGCCGCACACCACCACCTCAAGTCATGCAAGCTACACTACTGTAGCTTGTAGCTGCTCGCTCTGCAAAAGCACTGCAAACAAAATCCATGCAATCCTTGTGCTTCAAAGGAGGAGTTCAACATTCAGGGAAACAACGCTCACTGCCGCTGTGCTCAGATCTTTTAGTTAAGAAGATGTCACTCTGTTATCAACCCTCTAAAGCCACAAAAAGGAGCTGATGACCCAGCTGAGCATGAAAATCTAACAACAGATCCAGATCGTGTTGACAGTGACATTAGGTTTGCAAATTCTTGGACCACTTTTATAAAGATTTCAGCATTTTTAAAATCTTTTTAATGATGCATTTACTAACACAGTACCAGACAGCAGAGTCTGTGTCTGTTAGGGTTAGATTGGACTCTGCAAAGATGGGAAATCCAAAGAAAGCCTCTGTTCAGAAATCACACTCTAAAATATGACCAACTTGTTTTATCATCTCAAACAAATTAAGTTAAAAGTCGTTTTCGTTAGGATTGCTAAAGAACAGATCCATGTCAACTTTGTCGTCCAGAGTCAGCTGTATTTAGCACTAATTGACCAAATCACACACAGATTCAATCACAGTGAGGCTCTTTTAAACTTCTTTTCTTAGGATTTGTGATTTATTTATTTTTAAAAAGGACAATATGCATTAATGAACATTACATGTAAATGCATGAGATTGTCCCAGTCCCCAGTCCCATTAGCAGGTTGGTGTCGATCCATAAAAGTTTTTAAGACTGTATTTTTGGAATAGGGATAGTGTTTGATTGTAATTGCCTGTGACTTTCAAAAAAGCTAAAATATGATTAAAAAAAAAAAAAAACATATATTTTTACAATATTTTCCACCCCGGCTGAGAAGTGGACCGTGTCAACTTTAAATAGAGCCAAACCTGCTATTTTTGGTAGCTTCCTGCATACTGAGTTAGGCATAGCAAGGCAGATAAGAGAGTGACTTTAATCATTGATGCTGATTTCCCACAATGTCAAACTCTTCCATTGACTATTCCAGCACCCAGCATTAAGAATGAAACCCAAAGCTGGAGAAAAGATCGGATCTTGATTCATTTCTCAGAGATAAAAAAAAGTGACAGAGTAAATCTCTGTGCTGCAACTGCTTTAATCTTGATCTTTTTTAAAGGCAAGATCCACAAACCACACTCCATACAACCATCATTACTCTGTACAAAGATATTTAAGGTTGAACCCCTGTGTGCATTTAGGTAGCCTTTAATCTTTGAACTCAAATGTGACAAAATCAGGGTCAATTTTGAACCTATTTATCTGATTATATGACCCCCTACTTAAAAAAAAGCTGCAGTTGGCACACAAATTGTTTTTCAGGAGTTGGTTCAAAATGCACATTTAAGTCCTATAAAAGCCAATATCAGAAGTCTCTGCTACTCTACAAAAATAAAAAAGCAACAGCAAGTAGAACAGGAAAAAAACCAACCAACACAAAACCTCTACAGCAAAGAAAGGCAGGCTTCGTCCAATCAAAGCTCACACTGTGAGGAGGAGGCAGGGTCACAGTGAGGCCGGGTGTCCATTACCTTTTTGGCCGCCTGCTCCTCTTCAACACCGTCCCCAACTACAACATACACTACTTTCCTGCCAAACCTTTGCATTATGCGTTCAAAGCAACTCTCTTTTCCTGCAAAAAAACAAATAAACAGGGGGGAGGAAGGAGGGTCACATGGTCAGAGGGGTCAAAGTTCAGGAGCCGTTTGATTACCTGGCTGGCTGCATGCTCTTCATCCTTCCCATCGCCAATCACAACATATGTAATGTTAGTGCCAAAGCGGGAGACTATACGCTCAAAACAGCTCTCTTTTCCTGGAGACAAACAAATGGCTTTCACAGCGTTTTCATTTGTTTACATGGAAATACAACACATGAAGAGGCACAGCTGAGTGCAGCAGAGAGTCACAAACACAGTTATCCCTTTACAGAGGACTGGGCGATAATACATCCGCATGCTGCACTTTGAAGCGTATATCCACTGATCATATTCTCTACACTTTCCTTGATAAGTTTGTATTGTAGTTTTTAGACTCCTTCACTTTCTATGACTTGAAGAAATCATCCATAACCACAGACACGTTTTCATGTAGGGATGGGCGATATGGGCTAAAAAATTAATCACAACAAGATTTGCCACTCTGGCGATAACGATTAAAGTCCCGATAAATAAAATATTAGAACTCCTATCTACATTTTTGACTCATCCTGTCTTGAGGACACCGGTTGGCATAGTCAAATAAGACACTTATTTGGTAAGTTGTAGAGAAAACTAGTGAAATGTGAAAATATTTTTAATATTTGTTAAAAACTCCCATCGCGCAGAGTGAAGAGATCCACTGTCTGATGTCAGGCATACCTGATTGCGCTCCTCTAAACCCCAGTCTTGAAGGTAATTCCTCATGTGGAGCCTCGCTCAGTAATGAGCTGCTCAGAGATGTCTTTTTCACCACCTAGGCCATGTTTGTTTGTTATTCTGATCTGTGTTGGCTACGGCGGCGAGTCCGTTGCTTGTGCTTACGTCATCAACTTGCATTTATTTTGTTTATCATGACATGGCAAATGAATATCGTGGAGGAATTATCTGACGATAAATCATGAATGATAATCTATTGCCCATCCCTAGTGCACAGCAACATGTGGCTCAGTGAAACATCCTGGTATTTCTGGTTTAGACTCCTCACTTTTAACTACTGTGTTATGCAAAACTCACAACCTTAATATCTTTATTATTAATGTGTTGTAAAAAAGCACCCCTGCACAATTTGTGTGGACAGAGGAATTATGCTGCGTTCCAGTTCAGTGGCGGCTGCTGGTCTTTCAAGGAGGGGAAGCTCATTTTTCTGGCCTACATCATAATTGTATTTGTTTATTAGTATGTAACAGAACAGAGTCGCCAAACACAACGGCAGTCGTTTTTAACAAAGACAAAAGTCGCTGAGGATCGGTAAAGTCTCTGGAGCAGTTAAGAACAACGGAATGAATAACTTGGAAAATGCTCTGGTAGATGTTTTATTCTTCAAGATCGCTGATTCGCTTGTTTAGCTGTCAATCAAAAAAGGATTTCGCCTCAGACAGCTCATCCAATCATGAATGCAGAAGCTTGGAGTCCGGGAGAAAGTCGGGACCGCCCTCTCGCCATAGAACTCCAGTGAAGCTTAGCTTCCATTGGGCGGGACAAAGCCCAGCATTTATCCAATGAGCGTCTAGTTTCGCTGCTGGAACAACCCACTTTAAGCTTCCACATTGAAGTCAGCAGAAGCCCAGCGTCCGACTGTTTGAAGCGCTGAGGCGCTGCGAGGATGAATGAGAACGAAGTTATGCCGGTTACCTGTGATTATCAGCTTCTTATCACAGTGTCTGAACAAAAGATGAAGGCTTTCTAGTGCGTATTTAGTTAATGAAATGTACACACAGCCGTACGTATTTCACCACTTTTTCTTTTTTTGGGGGGGTGACATTTTAAGGGAAGCCGAGCTTCCCTTGCAGTCTTAGAGCAATCGCCACTGTTCCAGTTGTACTTAAAAGTCAGAATTTCTGAGTCGGAAATTCATCTGAAACGCCCCTCTGAAGTTGGATTTCCGACTCGGAAAGTCGGACGATCCTCACCAACCCCAACTTGATGACAACATCATTATCCAAGATGGCAGCCCAGTGCATTTACATTCAATAAAGAGTAACAGTAAAAGCTCTCATAATGTATTTTTTATTAGCACTTCTGTTTTGTTTTTGTGAAATTAAATAGGTGGTATATGTTGTACTGCCCAACGTCTAACTGTGGACACCGTACTATAGTGTTTGTATGTGTTGTTTACAACTGGTATAGCTAACAAAAACTAACAACAACTGACAACGGCTAATGACAGCTGACAATTGTTAACAACAGCTGACAGTAGGCGTCCATCTTGGTTTTCCAACTTGTGTTCTGAAACGCCGTCAACTCAGGCATAGCGTCATTCCCAGCTCCGTTATTCAACTTTCAAAGGTAACTGGAACGCAGTATTAGCTATTCAGAAGAAAACTTTTTCTTTAACAAGGCTGCAAACATGTTTTATTTTGAATTGTTGTGTGTGTGGCTCCTGGTTCTTTTTCAGCCAGGTGGACATCGAAGGAACTGTGTTTTTTTTGCACTTCTCTATTGGCTCCATTTCTCAAGAAAAAAGTTGCTGTAATAGAGGCGTTACAGAGCTTCTGTTTATGGAAGCTGAACCAAACTAAACCCATAAGAGAGCAGGACATGAATAACAAAGGAGTGACATGAGTAAACAACATCAAAATAAATAATCAATAAAATAAATAAAACCTTTGAACTGGCAGAGAGCTTGAAGTCAAATGCACAGTAAATTATTAGATTATTGCTCCCCATTAATATCAGATGACTGAGAGAGTTAATGTGGCATGTTAGCGAGCCAGATTTCACGACTTACCTATTTTTGTTGCACTGTAGATGTTCTCGATGGGGAAAACTGATCCCAAACTATATAAGAGAACTTTCGCCAGCGCCGGTATAAGCTGTGTTGTGGTCACCAACACATTTACACAGTTACTCCTGAGAAACGCAGACAGACAGTTGAATACATGAATGACAGGGAGGATAAATGGAACCTACAATTATTTTGAAGGGATTCTGAATATAGAATAAGCTTGTAAAAGTCTTCAGTTTATGAATAAAACAAGGGTTTCACACAAAATTTCACCTGGAGCTAATGATGGACAGGGACTTGAGCGCGTGGGTGAGCCAGGAGTCGGTCAGAGCCTCCACCTCTGCTCTGAGCTGCAGCCAGGCGTCTCTTTTAGCAGGACCCAGCAGACCTAACACAGGGTTACAACAGGGATAAATCTTAGAGGGATTACAGCAGGAGCGTCAGGACTAGATCTCATCTTTTCTAAATAATTTCTCTGAAATGTAGCAATTGAAGATTTGGTGCTTTCATACATGGAGAGTCTCAATGCCTCAGAGTCTAAGCACAGTATCAGGTTCAGTACATTGTGTACTCTAAGTAATAACAGGTACAAGTGAGCAAAAACTCTTCTTCTTCTTCGTCAGCCGTCACATTGGCTTACCCCCCACATTGTTTTTGTATGTGCTATACAACTCTTTGACTCGTCGGTAGCGGAAGGCCAGCTTCCTCATCCAATCCACCCCGCCGCGGACGCCCGTAGCCAGGCACAGGTTGGCGCTGGTTGCAGCTGCATGGAAGCCATCAGTTGCAAAACTGTAAGTACTGTCAATAATAATGATATGTTTTATTTAAAAAAATCTGCTCTGGTAAGAAAAAAGATCAGATGTTTATTTTCATAATCCAGCACCACAGATACGATTACAAACAGTGTTTCTATAACTTAACTACTTACATTCTATAAAACGTACAACCAAACTGTATACATTTTCAAGTTTTCTCTGGAGCTAAACAATCAGCATTCAAATCAAAGATACGTTTGAGACACCAAAAGTTTTCATTGTCCTAAAATCAGGAAAATATGTTTGGTTAAATCCTCACCCCAAGTCCTGGCCGTTGTCGTCTGATGACACATCATCAATATGAACCTGGTCACACTCCTGCACACACATACACACAAATATACAAACTGGTCAAAATAATATACTACTACTTCTAATAATAATAATAATAATTATCGTAATACTAAGAGTAATAATAGATTAAATGCAGGAGGTTTAAGGGTTCAATCGGCAACAATAGACTGATAAATACTCAGAGGGCAACAAACATCTTTGCCTTTTACCTCCATTTAAAAAACAAAAAACTATAAAATAATCTGCTGGCAGCTCTAACAGTAGGGGGTATGTAGTTTAATTTAACACCACTAGAGGGCAGTAGGAGTCTGTCTCTAACTCTGACAACCCTTGAGGCTCTTCATGTTGAATTTTGTAGAAGAAAAACCTGAAACCTTTTCGATCAAGCTTGTAAATGTCATGTGTGGTTTCTGGTTTGATTCTGATCTCTGTGTCTCACCTCCAGGTCATTAAAGAATAAGTGTGTGTCAGCCAAGTTGAAGATCATCTCCTCCATCCTCAGGCCCAGGGTTACCGCCATAGGAGGGTCCTGATGAAGAAAAAGATGACATCAGCGTTACTAACGATGACATCAGCATATATCAGGTCATGGCCTTTTTTTTTTGCTTGACTTTACTTCCTCCTGCTCTCCCTACATAAAAACATTCAGCCTTACACTCTTACTCTTCCTCAAATCCCCCTCTCCCCACAGTTGGTACGCTCCACTCATCAGAGCAGATGCTGACAGACAGGTTGCACTTGTTCTGTCCCATCAACATTCCTCATACTTGGTGTTGGTGGGTATTTGTAGAGGGGGGGGGGCACAGAGAGGAAGAGTGTGTGTGTTTTCGTGTGTGTATACGAGAGTGTGTAACCTCAAAGAGGGATGCTTGGAGTGTATGTGGTATGTGAATGGTTTGTGTGTTTGTTTGTGTGAGTGTCTGCACTGCCAGCCAGGGGCTCAGCTGCAAAAACCATCATCTGTGATAGGTCAGGGAGGGATGACAGCTTGCAGCGCGATTCGCTGACGCTGTCAGACGACCAGAATAGAAAGAAAGTGACTGAAAGGAGAGTGAAAGTGAGCGAGTGAGGGACATAGGGAAAAAAAGGAGAGGGTCAGAGAGAAAGAGAGAGGGGGGGGTTATAGATTGACAGTATTTCTGAGTGTGAGAAAGTGTGAAGAAACAGAGAGGGAGCACGCTATAATGTTCTCCAAAAACTTAACAGCCATTAAAACCAAGTGCAGCAATTTTACTGCATTTCTTTTCCTGTCACAGAGGGAAGAGGCACTCGAGATTATCTGTCAGGTAATGATTACGTTGGCTGCTTTCCAGATGAGTGTTGAAATGAGTTACCTTGCACCGTGTTGTATATTTTTCCAGAAAAGTTGAATCAAACACAGCTGCGAATGAAACCATCCCACTGCCCTCATGATTTATCTCCTTACAATCATTATCCTTGATTAAACCATCCCCAACAGGTGTGTATCTGTGTGCTACCATTACACAAGTACACCATAAGAAACACACAAGACCCTATGAGAGTTGCACATAGGTCCTGCGGTTGCTATGTCAACACTGTAAACACTATTTCAGGCGAGGTGTGAACAGACACAGCTGCCACTGTATTTCTGCAGAGCACTGGTGGCAGATGAGGTGAAAAAATGCTTGTAAAATTATTTCAGGGGCAGGTATTTCAGAGCTCATCCTTTTTTTTTTGTTTTTTTTGTAATGCTTACGTTTGGTCAGCTTACATGGACTGAAGCGACCTTGGATTACAGTCTGGTTTTTGCTTTAAAACTCCAATGAGGAGTTTGTAAATGGTTACCTGCAACAAAAATATTTGATGGGAACTTCATTTGACTCTTAAGGGGAGTTTCGCAGCTAAAGTAAGAACGTTTATGATTTATGATCAGAGTTCTTGTGTATCTTGTATGTGCACTGCAGATGCGGTAGTTCTTCTGCCTTAGCGTCTCGGTCTGATTGCATTTCCATGAAGTAATAATCATAAATTTTCTGCTGCACTCAGCGATTGATTTATCAGGGCTCCTCCACAAACAAGCAGCTGCTGGAGGAGAGTGGGTGAGTTGTGTTTCGTCACTTTGCTAAAGAAACCAGGCAAAGCTAAAAAGATGTTTGATGACTAGTACTATGTCTGGGACCCTATATGTACTGTTGATGAAGTTAGGTGCTGTTCTGGACATTATTTGTGGCTATAGAGTGGCTTTTTCATTGAGGTTTGTGTGTGGAGACGTAGACCGCTGTGTATTGCTATTGTGCGGTCATTACTAAAGTTGGTATAACTAGAGAAGCAAACAGTCGGCAACATTCATCTCTCGAGGGGGTGTCTAACTCGGTGTTACAGTCTGTTTGACCATAACTTCAATTTACGCCATAATATCCCTTTAAAAACAAGCTGAATGACTTGTTGTTTAAATATTCTAGCACATGACAGTTGACAGTTAAAATAATGCAAACCAAGATGAATTAACCAAAAGAATGCCTCTGCTCTCGTTTCCATACTCATGCAGAAATTTACAACTCAACAGGGCGTTTTTTAAGGCCATTTAATACCGATTGCCAAATATTAAATTCCACGGCTGCAGCTCAAATAGGAAGTACATCTGTGGCCACAAACCCGTTCAGTAAAATGCCAGGGCTTATAACTGTGTGTGCGTGGTGCCAGCTTTTGTTCAGCTGCCAAACAAGACCATCGGAATGGACTCTGCAGGTCTCAGAGCGTGTACAGGGCAGGCTGGTGGTGGCCACTCGAGTGCCCATAGGAAACGACATCACCCAATAAAAATCTGCAGCCTTGGCCACATATGATGATCCCAGATCAGAGCCAGGGTCTATTAAAAGAACTGGAGCTATAACACTGTATGTAAAAAGGCGAGACCACCGAATAGACTTACGGTGAAATCTGGACCCTCTGTGTTAGAAAAGATTTAATAGTAATGAACCAATAAAAGCATCTATGATTATTTTTGACATGAAGCTCATTGAAACACATATTTTAATGTTTGGGACCTCTTAAAAAATCTACATACATATTGTATAAGTATTTGAAGTTAGTAGCTATTCACTGAAGGAAATTGGATTAATGCATTATAAATCATAGCTTCATGAGGCATTATGCTCACTGCTTATAACAAAAATGTTGCTGTATGCTGTTATAAATGTTTATAATCATTCATAAGGGTTGCTATAAAGCCTTAAAGATGCATTTATAATGTGCTTATAAAGTGTAATAAGAAGTGGGTTCATAAATGTGTTACCAAAGTCATTATCTATGTGTGAAATAACACCTAGAGAAATATCATATGAGCATCCAGCTCAAATGAAAACCTTACACACAAACATTAGCTAAATCAATATTACGAAAGAGGATTCGGGCCACAAGAAAAGAAAAAAAATAATTACAGGAGGGAGATTTTTTTTTTTACCATTTCAAGATTAAAGTCGAAATTTAAAAAAGCCGAAAGAAAAAAATCACATTTTGCACAAAGACAGCAACCTCCTCCAAGTTTGTCTGTTTAATTCTTCTGTAGAGTCGTAATCTTCTCTGAGTCTGAGTACTTTTGACCACACTCAGAGTGTGTGCTAAAAGAGCAAGGATTTTCTTGTTACCAAATCCAATTCTAAAGTACAGCTTTACAAACTCTTCTACAGAGGACATGTTGTCGAGTGACGAGCGACAACACTGTTCATCATCTCAACATTACGACTTTATTCATGAAATTTTTTCTTTATTTGTGTCAACTCTAATCTCATAACTTCGATTTAAATCTTTATATTTTGATTTAATTCATAAATTTTTGACCTTATTCACATCAACTTTAATCTCAAAGTTCTGACTTCAATCTCAAAATTTTTGTTTTTTTTAACCTCGAAATTTCAGCATTATTCTTGACATATTGTGATCTCAAATTTTTGACTTGAATCTCAATATTTTACTTTTAATCTCGAAATTTTGACTTTATTGACATAATTTCAATTCTTTGAATCTTGAAATTTTGACTTTAATCTCAAAATTTTGACTTTAATCTCCTTCCTGTAATTTTTCTCTCTGTATGTAGGACCCTAATCCCCTTTCGTACAATACAGATGGTAATTACAGCTATAATTCAAACAAATAATAAAAGGAGGGATTCTTCTATTTTATAGCCCTGAATGGTTTCTGCAGCTCTTTAAAAAAAATGCACCTGACAAAGGCCAAAAAATCACAGCTGTCTGGATGCACCCTGTGAGTCAAAGAAAAGGGCAAACTAGTCCACAGACAACTCACTGCAAGAATACTTAAAGGGATTATTAAGGAGATGAGGTTTCGATGAGAAAACCCCCATTTGTCCACTTTAGGCTTCTTTTAAAAAAACTTGGCCCAAAGTGTGAAGCTTCATCAGCCTTCATTAACTCAGATCCTGCCCCGTGTTATCCCAGCTGTAATCTGGTGCTCCAGTTTAACTGAACAAAAGAGGACAGGGGGATTTGACCTTGATTTAAAAGGCAATTACAGCAAACACACAGTAAAGGCAGCATGATGATCTTACCTTGCCATATTTCTGTGCATAGGAGCCAGTGAGCAGAGAGTGGAAGACGATGATCGTCTCGTCGAGGTCCCACACAAACACCCTCTGCAAGAGAAAAAATTAAGACGATGAGAAACACAAGTACACAAACAGACTGTGTTATGTGTGGTCCTGCCTGTCCCCTGCTGTCTTCTGAGACAAAGAGGATAAAGATCATAAGGAATACCAGAATATCCACAGAGATTTGAATAGGATGTTATCAGTTGCTCTGTCAGCGGGTGTTTTCTAGTTTCTTACCTCCAGGTCACTGTCAGGCGGAGGGGACGGGTTGTTTTTGCGGCCTCGACCCCGTGACTTAGATCCCCCGCTTCTGCAGGCACGGTCGTCCAGCTCTTTGATGGGCGTGGAGGGGCTTTGAACCGTGTCAAAATCCGCTGCAAGTGCATGCAAACATTAGACTTTTAACTCTTTTAGATTATTCAACAGTCCACTGTTGCTCTCAGACTGTATCTTCTGCATTAAAGCTACGGTAATGACGTGGCTTGAGCCGATCCCACAGGTGCCCTGGAGTTGTATTCACCTCAGGAAAAGCCATAACTCAAACTTTGCGCGGTAATAAGCCATCTTGTCAGCTTTAATAACTCAAGGTAATTGGCACTGCGGATCAGCTGAAACACGACCGAAAGAATAAACAGAAGTAGCCCTGGTTTTTCTGACTGATTCACGATAACTCACTGTGTCAAGATTTAACAGAGGAGTCGTACAATAAATCAGGAAAAGTTAGGAAACCCGAGGCTTTCCTCAAAGATACTGTACATACAAAGTTTTCGCAGGAGCACACATTCTTGTATGCACACTTAAACACACGCACCCTCCTGATGCCATATGCTCCCACTGCTGTGTGGTAACTAGAACCAGACGCTAAGCTTCAGCTCACATATTGTTATGTCTCAATCAGGGAGGGAGAGAGGGGGAGGATAAAGACAGGGAAAGACACAAAGAGCATGTGAGCGACAAAAATAACAGACACAAAGTGGGACGAGAAGAAAAGGAAGGAGTGAGACAGGGAAAGTGGCAGCGGCAGAGAGAGCGATAAGCTTCCTGTATGACAGCCAATAGAAACTTTAGAAAAATGTTTGACAAAGACAAGAAAGTCCTTTTTTCGTTTACGTTGGCTCTTTTGAGGTTGTTTTTTATTTCTTCCCCCTCTTAACTTTTCTACAGAAGTGCAATATTTAACATAGCTTCAGCATAATCAAAGCCTCGGGGGCTAATGTAAACACGACTGATTCTTCAATTAGGGAGCTCAATGCCAGGTTGCTATGACAACAGTTTGACGTGACTTGTGCTTCATCTCGCCTGAAAAAAGAGTTTTGAACTCTCTTACCCAAACTGTGGTATTTCTCAACTGGAAAACACGCCTGTGGAGCCAGTTTGAAGAAGAAATTGATGAAAAGGCAGATGTTTATTAGCATATTTTCGACTCTAACCTGGGTGGAGTTCAGCAGCCTGTCCCGTTATGGCAGGAGCTGGATCCTGCAGCTGGTAGGCTGCTGTAGAGCCCGTGCCATCCACGCTGTTTGAGGTCATGTAAGTCCCGTAAGTGGACGCGGAATAATACTGGGCGTACTGGTTTTGGCCAAACGTGGTGTATGAGGGATAATCCTGAGTGAGACAAAGAGAGAAAAATAAAGGAAAAACATACATGTGACACTGTTCTCCAAAGATTCTGACTTACTTTTGAAGATTTTACAAGCGTTCTCTCTTTTTTTATTCCCTAAATCCTGTATTTTATACCTCTGGAACAATTAAAGCCTTGTGTCGCTGCTTTTTACTGACCCAGAGGAGATGGGTGCTTTTACGAGCCAGCTCTCTAAACCTGTCACTACGTCCATCTCTACAAGTCCTTGTAAAGTGGAGCACACCACATGAATGCACTTACACACTCCCAGTTTGTGTGTAGTCAGCAACGCATGTACACAAAGACCTGCTGTCTATCAGTCCCTCTCTCCATTTCTGTCTTTGCTATTAAACTCATACACTCTCTATATTCCCCCTAATCCACCCACACAAGCCAAACCTTGACTTTCTTCCTGTAAACAGCCACATCTATCACAGCGGGACATTAAAATCCCCTTTAAGCATTTTATTGCCACATTATAAATCATCATAAAGACATGGAGAAATACTCAAACTGAAACACTCTTTCACAAAGACTAATCATCTGACTCTGTTCTAGCTTGTCTCTGTTGCAACAGCTCAGTCAAACAAAGCTTTATTTTTTGAAGCAGCTCTAAGTGAGGGGAAACTGTGTGGGAGTGCGACTGTAAAACCACTTCTGCTTTCAAATACTATCAAAACTTCACCGCACAAAATCCCCTAATTCAGTTTGAAAAAAGCGAGCGCTTTGGGTCAATCAGAGCGGACAACTCAGAGCTAACCTCCAGAGAAGCAGGGCTTTCTTATTACCCTGGGAAAGTGTACACAATATTCAGTAAAACCATAACACCGCTCCAGGTTTGAATTAGAGTCAAGCCTGTACAGAGACGATGGCTTACCTGCTGTGTGGCAGTGTAGTTGGCGGGGTTGGACACTGAGTTGTTGGTGGCGTAGAGGCCTGAGGACGGAGTGAAACTGGAACCTAAGGACACAAAGAGGAAGCAATAGAGACAGAAAAGTTAAAGGTCGGTATTTTGAGTCAGAATGTAAAATTGTTGGATGTTTTTGAGATATTGACCTGGCATCTGGTAGGGGGAGTATGCAGTCTGTCCGGGCTGAGGTGTGGTAAAGCCGGGGCTGTAGCTGAGGCCGGTCTGCAGAGGAGACTGACTCTGAGCCAGGCCGCTCTCTGTTTTAATGCCCGGCAGCATCACACCCAGGTCTGACAAATTCAAAAGAATAACAACAAAACATTGAACAATCTTTACAGATTTGACAGCACCAGTAAACCATTAGTCTCTAAACTGTAAGACTGACACCACCGTTTGAGATTATTATTAATGTATAAATAACATTTCAGTTTTATGTGCAGCGTCAGCCTTTTGTCTAAACAAACAATACTCAGGGAGTATAATAAAGAAAAGGTAAGACAAGGGTGAAGCAAGATAAAATACTGCATATGCCCATAAATTTGACCAATAATCACAATTACCTTACATTAAACTATCCATTTCTAATTATGTTCAAATTTATGATTTATCCATATCACAGGCTGTGTGACTGAAATATCTTTGGAGAAGAGGTTTCCTCACAAAGAAATTATTTGTCTCGCTTTTATTTTGAAGAATAAGATACATCTGGTCGATTAAAAGTTGTTTTCAAGGATGTTTTTCCCTTATACTAATACTAATACTCCACAGTGGAATAAGCGAAACCTTCATGCAAAAGTTGATTGGTGCTTCCACTGTTCTTTGTATTGCTCTACTTTTGTCTGAGAGAGTGTGTTTATCATTACCATAGGTGGACAGTCCGTACGCCTGTCCTGTCTGGGAGTATGCGGTGTAGACAGTAGACTGCTGCATGCTGCTGAACTGGGGCTGACCGGCGTACGTGGGCATGGGGGGAGCTGCCGGTGTAGAGAGGATGTGTGGGTACGGCCTGTGACAAAGAGGTCCAAACAGGTGAGGAAACAGCAGGTGCTTGCAGCAGAGAGCAGATTCTGTAATGTAGGACTTCAATACTTACTTCGAAGGATAAAGCGGAGGGGAGTACTGGCTGGCTGAGCGAGGGCTGTATCCACTGCTGGTGATTACTGAAAATAAATCACAATTACCATGATGTCAACCATAGACTGAAAATGAAGCTCAAATATCTGCCTTTGTACCACTCAGTGTAGATCATAAAGCCTGCCTCCTCCATGTTAACAGATGGGACATGGGTTAGACTATAAATGTAAAATACACATTAAATACATGTTTCCCAAATATGCTTTCTGTCACTGTAGTTTTTTCTTATAATGCAGATTTTTTGTCCAAGATTTCATTATTCAGAGAAGTTCGTTTACATTGATAATCTGATGCAATAAAAATGAGCCTTGATTGACAGCTGTTCCTATCAATCTCTACCGTGCAAACTGCCTCTGAATGACATTAGACCTCAGCGCCCATTGCAGGGAGGTGGAGATGTATCATTTTATCTATTTACAGTCAAAAGCGTCAACTCAAATCTTCTGTTTCTTTCACAAGTAACTAAACTTAGCAGCTCAAATCAAGGCCTGTGTAAGTTTGAGTAAAAGTTCTCCTCTGGTAAATATCATTTGAAGCATTTTGAATGGAGCTGAGCCAAGTCCTCCCTCTTCAGAGAGCGTACAGAGCCCTTACAGCGGGCCTCTTAGTAAAACACAATGTCTGTTTGTGGTCATTGAGATGTCAGAGCTCAACACTGACAAACCACCCGCTGCTTCCAAACCCTCACTGTGTGTGATTGCTTAATGGTTCTGTGTGTGTGTTTGAAAGCAGCACAAGTGTAGTCAGTGTGAGTCTAAAAAAAAAAGACTCATGTAAAAATGTCTCTCCCTCGCTCTCATCCCTCTGCCAGCCTTTGATGACGCCACCCAAGGACAGGCAATGCTTCATGGGATTAAAGCTTTCAGCGGGCCTACTGCTGAGCTGAAATGGATGATGTTGTTTGCGCGTAACACTGAGTCATGTGAATTTGTGTTTCTCCCTTTTACCAGATGTACATGAGTGTGTTTCTGTGGGCAGATATGAGTGTTACCTGAGCCTGCGTATGTGTCCAATACTGTGTCGCCTGTCGTGGTGACTGTATCGCTGTTGTTCATAGGCTCTGTTTTCACTTAAAGGAGATGGAGGAAGGTAAGTATTAGAGGAGACAAGGAAGCAAGTGCCCCACACCCACACAAACACACACACAAAAAAAAAAAACCTGAAAAATCTCACTATCATGCAAACTTCACACTTTTATTGATATCAAATTTAACCATGACCAGGAGGTTTTACTCCCACTTGGTGCTTCAAAGCTATCTTTGAGTTAGCACCCAGAAAGTTTATTGAATTCCACAAATTTCATTGGGGAAGATGTTTGGTGGGAACCTTTCAAACGACTCAACAAATACTGACATACATCCACAGCAGGGAAAACTGCATATCAAACCAAAGTCACTGCAACACCAGGCTAGGAAAAGACAAAACAATAGAAAAACCAAGTCATTGTGTTTTTGGGACAACACTGTATGAGTTCTGCCCTTGGGTTCACACACATGCACCTCTGTACCATAGTCCTTGGAGCCTGGGGCAGGGGGCGGGCTGCTGCAGCCCAGCAGCCAATCAGCCGTGTTTAGAACTGTCATGTTTTCACCTAAAGGGGTGCAAGGTGGGGAGATGGTGAGGATACGATGCACTGAGAACAAAAACGCTAATCTAAGGCTTTTAGTACATGGTATTAGGGCTGGGCATTATGGGAAAAAGTTTATCATGATATATTTTTTATATCGTGATATATATCACGATATAAAAAATCACTTGTCAATCTTAAATGTTCCCTGTTACTCTTAAATGAAATTTAACAGTTCTTTAGATAGCATGTCTTTTGCAATACAATAAGCTACTGCATCTGTGGGGTCTTTGTGTCTTTTTGACGTTTTGTCATAAGGCGTTGCGCTAGAGAAAGTGGACTGAATGGTCGGCTGTTTCGGCTGCACAGGCGCCATGGGCTCAGGGTTTGTAACTTTTTCCATTGTGCGTGCTCTGCCTCGCAATGGTGAAAAAGCTTTGAGGTACTCCCAGATATTGGAAGAACATGTACTGAACATAATTTGCAGTGCACATTACTCTGCTTCATTAGCCTTAAAAAAACCAAAATACCTCCACATCACCTATGTTTTCATGCCAGTGTTGTCGTCATCTGTTGAGAATTCATCTGCATTTCTGCCGGGGGTAGCACTCATTTTCTTTTTTTCACACCAACAGTACTGTTGGCTTCACGTAGTGCTATAGTTGTGTAGCTGCAGCCTGCTACTACACAGTTGTTTGCTTCTTGGTTCTAATTCAGCACATGATTGGTTCAGTGTGAAGTGGACACAGAGCAACTCCCTTTTTCATTGGCTATTTGTATAGTCTACCAAAACAAGGCAGAATGCCAACTATCGAAAAGGATATTGACCATGTTTTACATTGATATGGAGGGAAAATAATTTTCGATATATATTGTTATTGTTTTATCGCCCAGCCCTACATGGTAACAATATTTTTTCAAGAAGAAAGCTTCCAATCCCTAAAAAACAACAAATCACCTCCTAGCTTCAATATGATATTCAAAACTTTAAAAGCTGTTTTTTTAGGCAGAAAAGTAAAGTGAAGCCGACTTGTAAAGATCCAAAATAAAGTTATCCTGTTTCTTTGTCTTTCCCTGAATAGACTGCAATTAAAACTCCTCATCAGTGACCATCTGAAAGCTCCGTTTAAGTCAGGATAACTTCATTAGTCCCCTCAGGCAGCAATACAACCCATGTGACAAGCCTTAATGAAGACAAATGAGTTGCTATGGAGATGGCCCGTGGGCCTGAGCTCCAGCTGATGTCAGGTGAGGGGAATGTTGGGTATGTAGTTTGTTTTGGCTGTGAGTGTGTAGTCCCAGCTCTGCCTGCTTTAACCATTAAGAGTGAGCTCATCAAAAATGATTTAATGTGCTCTAATATGGTCTGAGTCTCTGCTAAGTCCAGTCTGAGCCCGGCTGTTCCTGAGCCTCCACTCGTGGTGACACACCAAGCTGACTACAATGGAGGATCTCACTTTTTCCATGACATTTCTATCAAAAAGCATTTCCCAGTGCCTATTAAATCAATGGTAGATCAAAGGGTCGACTGCGACAAAGGCGCATACATTCAGTTTTATTAAATCAGACTGCCGTGTCAAAAAAGTAATGCAGCTGACAGAGAATAAAAGGGTGGAGATGAAGGGTGAAACAGACAAAGATGAGAGGATGGGGAGGAAAAGGAAAGGCATAAAAAGACGACAGAGAGGAGAGGGCTTGCTGGTGCTGACAGTTTAGAGAGCAGTGATGCTTTAATGTTCTTGTAGAGGAAATAGTTTCCAGTGGGATTTTGGGCTCACACACACACACACACACACACACACACACACACACACACACACACACACACACACACACACACACACACACACACACACACTTTGCCAAGTGGTTCGCAGAGGAGAGTAGAAGTGCTTCACCGTGTGTTTACACACATTCTCCAGCGGTTTACCCAAGTCCTCATGCCAACCTGGGTGTGTATTTGTGTGTTTGCATATGAATCTCTCCTTCTGTGAGTATAGACTCCCCCTAAAAGTACTTTACTTTATCACAAACATGGTTACTGATGAGTCAGCAGTTGATTCCACGACATGACATTACACTCAAGAGTGATTTACAACACCTCTGCTGGGCAAAGTCTGGACGTCAAAAGTAACTGAAACTAAAAACTGCATGTAGAGCAACTTTGTTTATTTTCTAATTGAACCAAAGGAGTCAACTAAGAAAAGCTATCATGATAAGTTTGGGTTCCATGTTAAAAAGTTGTTTTTATTGTGACACTGCCCTGACTTAATTAACCTGAAGTATGGCTCTGGAAGGGGCTACACAGCTGCATAAAAACTGCACACTGTGGACTTGAATTAACTCACTGGACATTACCACGCACAGTGACAGCTAGATGTTAGTGTGAAAAAGGTGTGACAGCACCATAGAAAGCCGAAATATTTAAGTATTTTATTGTTTTAAATTTGTTTAAAATTGATAAAATGTAAGTGTTTAAAGAAACTTGCAAACACCTTTTTAAATTACTGATATGTAGACCCTAAACTTTTTCTCTAGAAGACCCTGCAAAACAGTTGATACCATGGTGTGACTTAAACTGAGAATTTTTTGACTGAGGATCCTGAACTGAAGGTGAGATAGACTGTGATAAAACTAAAATTTCCTCTCTTTTCTAGGATTAAAAAACCTTCATTTGTCCCTGAGGGCAAATTCGATATTGTTCTTGTTACAATATCTCACTTATTCATCAGTTCAACACGCTCTGCCTGCTCACCTCCTGTTCCATTAGTGGTGATGGAGGGGCTGCCGAGGTTGTTCTTGTCCAGCTTGGAGCCTGTCGAATCTCCACCTCCCACACGGTTATGAGGACTGGCTAGGTCCTGCATTTCCATAGACCTGCAGGGGGGGAGTTGAGGAGAGGAAAATGAAATGAACTGCGATTTTTGAATTCTGCTGAATGAACAGCAGATCAACAATAATATGCCCTCACAGCTGGGAATCTCCCACCTCTATATATTACACTGAGATATCACCGGACACACACACACAGTCATAAACTTCATGCTTGTTCGTTCCAGTTAGCCTACACAGCATACATCCAGAGGTGTAAGACATTGTCTGCGGGCTTGATGGCTCTATGAGTGAGTATGTGTGTGTATATTTTGTGTGTGTGTGTGAGTGCACTTCAGGGCTTGAACACAGACCCACAGCCTGCCAGCATGCTTTCGTTTTACAATGTGTTCCACATGCATGACTGGGATGAAGCAGCACACACGGTGGTGAGAGTTTGTGGTATGGTTTTATGCATGTGTTTGTGTGTTTGTTTAAGTGTGAGGAGGAAGAGAAGTGGAAGTAAATAAACTCGTCCCAGGAAAATAAAGATGCATATTTACATCAAGAGTTTGTGTCTACCCACACTTCATCGTAGCAACAGTGTTTGTTTCTGTTTATTTGGATCCCGGTTGCCATGGCAACATTTGCCAGCCCTAAGGTCAGTAAACCCCTGAAGAGAGTTACAGGAAATGTAACTTTATTTCACAATAGCCTGCTTCTAAAGATGTGGAGGCGAGTGCGTTAAACCTGCATACTTTCAATGTCCAGCAGAGGGCACTGCGCTCGGAAAGTACAAACCAGGAAATAACCATGTTTCTCACTCAGTTTGATTCTTTGGTTGATGGTCCCTTATGAGTTGATCTTAAACTTTCCAAGCTTTATTAAATACAGCATGATGCCAGTTTGGTAATTTAAGGCCCAGTTGATGGTGGACAATAAGTAGAGTATGGTTTCGGGTTTGGCGACCTGCACTTTACAAGTTCCTACCATTTTCAACCATTTAAGAGATATACAGTTAAAGCTCCAGTGAGGAGTTTTTTTGATGTTGACAAATCAGACTGGAATTCATGTTGATGCCTTTTAATGACAAAAGTGAACAAGAATAGCAGCAGCAACAAGACTGACATTTTTTATATTACCCTACTTCTGTTGTCTGAATTTAGTGCGAGGGGATAGGTCCAAGCCTTGCAGCTCAAGGATGGCCTTGCTCTATCATTTCTGAATCAGAAATTCACAATAAATAATACATTTGAGTCAGAAGAAAAGTCAGCTGACTGAGATTTATTGCCAAAATCAAAACTCAATCAATACTCTTGATGTATAATTTAGTTGACCTGCAGTAATCGCTCCATTAGGGGATATAACGGGTCAACTGTCTTGTTCTAGGCTAAAGCATCAAATAAAAGCATATCCATCTCACAGTTGATCAGTTACATCACATACCAAAACGATCAACAAACACGTTAGCAAGAAGCCAATAGATTGGATGATGAAAACAAAGACAACTTCAGAGCTCTGTCACTCGTGTACCTGATCAGATAGCTTTGTGTTTCTAATGTCCCTTTGTTTGCCAAGCTTTTATCGAGTAGGCTGACCCAGCTCCCTACAGTGCATTTATGCTGTTCAATGCTCAGGCCACTTTTTTTTGCTTTCCAAAACTTGTGAAGGGGCATCAATATGAATTACAGTCTCCGTCAACAATGTCAACAAAAAATTCCCTACACAAGCTTTAAATAACATTTTTACCAACTTTGTAAATACCTATAACATTACTGACCCATTTCAGCTTCTCAACCTGAGTATGATGTTAGTGCAATACACTGACATCATAGTGGCTACAACCACGTCTTGGTCACAGACTATAATTTTCAGATACGCACCCTCTGAAAAAAAATGCATGAAAGACTAATTCATGACTCCTCATCGCGGTTGCCACTAAACCCACATTTTGAGCTATCGTTTGGTTGAAGGCATAGCTTAACAATGAGACAGTGTGTGTGTGGACTGTACCTCATCTGAAGGAGTGTACATGTGGGCATGTGTGTGTGTCCTGACTCAGGCTACCCGTAGGTTGGTCACACTTGAGCTTTTGTGTGAGACATCAAAGCGGAGAGTGACAGAGATGGAGGGAGAATTAAACAGATGGGGGCTACCGCTCTGTGTGAGGACATGTGAGTGTGTGTGTGCTGTAAGAAAGTGTGCAATACATCTGTGTCACGGCCTGGAAGAAGTCCATCTCAGTGCTATGGACTGATAGCATCGCTACACATGACTGCAACCCACAGTCATGACTGACAGGTATAAACATATGGGTTTCAGCAGACGCTGCTTCAGGGTGCAAAAACGAGAGTGTTGGACAGATAAACACGATTAAACAACCCTATCCTTCTGCTTCATTTTTATTTACAGCCAAACACTCATCCTGTGCAGCTTCACACTCTGAACTGGAAACACAGATCACTGTTTTATCATCAACACTTCATGCAAGATGAGATATTGAGCCAGGAAGCCTTATCTCAGTCTGCTTTCTCCTGAATATCAGCTGAAGACTTTCACAGATTATTTTGCTTTTCTTATTTCTCTCCCTCTCTCGTGTGCTTCAACACTCTTCCACCATCCTTTTCTTTTGTCTCTCAACAGCAGGAAATGATTCTGTCTCGCCTCCTTATCCTTTTTTTTCCTCTTTCCTCTCTGTTTCACTCCTCTCGGGAGGCGATGGCAGGAGTTGGTGTTTCATAAACTCCTTTCTGGTTTTCACATTAAGTCTGGCCATTGAAAAAAATATGCTGCATTGTACTGCAGTGTACAATGTATGATGTGGTGTGTGTGAAATAAAATATAAGCACGTCACCGTATGTTCATACTCGACAACCATTTATATAAAGTTTTTCAAGCTGTCTGATATATTAAAGCTCCAGTGAGCGTTTTTTAGCTGTTTTTGAAACAGACTAAATTTGATACTGTTGGCTATCGGGGTTTTTCAAAATCAAATACCATTATCAAAGAGAAAATATACTGTTTCTATTTTTTTGTTGGACATGAAGGGAAGTTGTAATTATCTGCCTGGACCTGCTGTGCAAATGCAACAAATGATTAGAGGATATTAATAACAGACTGCAGCAAGCAATCACAGCTTGGACCAGCTTTTGTAACTTCACAAGCTTTGTTAAGTAGTGTCCTTTAACTCAAAAGATCTAATCATCTTATTTACCTCTGGATATCATGAAAATGTGCCAGTATGAATTGCAGCCTATTTCATAAAACTCCTCATTGGAGCTTTAATGGCTTTATTTTCAAAACATAATGACTTTAATCTTATAACAAAGCATAGTAACTTTATTCTCATGATATAATGACTTTAGTAGGAGTTTATTCTCATAAGAAAATGACTTATTGTCTCCACACATCAGGCACGAGTAAAATTATTTGCGCAATGGAATTACATGTTAAGTCAACGTAAAGACGCGATTAGACGTTTGTGGTACTCTGGCAGTGCCAATGATGCGAAGTGGGCGGGAGATGAAAATGTCTCAATTTGAGCTGATATTCGCGTCACAATAACCAATCAGCACAAGGGTTGCCGGATTACGTATAAAAATGCACGGTTGTTCACTAGTATCTAAAATGGTGGACCAACTAATTGTGTCGGTGTGTGGGTGCCCTGAATTATATGATGCCATTTCTTTCAACTACCAAAAACAGAATAAAAAGGAGCTCACCTGGAGGCAAGTGAGTAAGGAGGTCGGATTACCTGGTAGGTCATAAAAAACCTTTGTCTATCACTTGATCCCGCTGGTTTAATTGGCAGGGGTTACCATTAAAATTACTGTTGAAATTACTGTTGAAATTGCTGTTGATGCGCAACTGAAGCAAGTAAATACTATTCATTCCCGTATCTATCTAGGTGCGTGCGTTTAAGCGAGTAGGTGATTTTACCTGCCCTTTGTGTAAGTGCCCCATAACTGAAAAAATCACTTAAGTGTGTATTTATTTCATGTGGCCCTAAGAATCTGTCATAATCCTGATAAAAAAGAGTAAGACTTATTTTCATTTATTAAGTAAGGAAAAGAGGGGCTTTTGCAAAGCTCTGACGTCCCAAAAATAAAGACAGGCAAATATTTGTCTTTTAACTTTTTTTTTTTTTTGCACTTCAATATGAGCGGAAATCTTAAAAAAGGAATAAAAAAAAGGAAAAAAGGAAAAAAAAAAAAACCCTATGGGGGCACCAAAATCTAACACTGACATAAGCCAAAAGTCCCTTACAGGGGCTTTAAATGTCAAAGGCAGTAAGATAATATATTTGAGTGACTTCCAACAGAAGTCCAAAAGCTCCTGTGAAGCTCCTCTTTCTGCATGAGGAGCGTCCCCTGACAAGAAACCTCATCATGACTTTTGACAATAAAATGCATTGTTTGTTGTGAATATTTGATGAGTCAAATATAAAAAAGAAGCTACCTCTTCAGTGGTTCCACTGACACCTACCCCCTGCAGTATAAAAATCATCAAATTTATGGCTGTTGGACAAATCTCTCGTAAATTAATTAAACTTGCTCTGTATTATTTTTTAAAACTTTTTTCATCACTAAAACCTCAAAGGATTAATTGAAGCTCACATCAGCTTAAAATAAAGTAGTTTGACCCCTCGCCCCACAACTGTATCAATATATCTTTTCATGGCGTGTATCGGAGTGCTCGTGTTTGTGTGAGTGTGTGAGAGAGACACCGAGGTCTTGGGGAAGTGTTGATGACCTCATCTGCATCTGCAGTGAAACCTCACCTCTCTGCACCATGACTGGCAAACTGGACCCACATAACTGTACAATAGCAACACACACATACACACACACTTCTAAAAAAAAATACTGTCTGTCTGATACACACACACACACACACACACACACACACACACACACACACACACACACACACACACACACACACACACACACACACACACACACACGTTAGCATACCTGGCGTCTGAAGGGTCTGGAACATGAGATTCACTGTGTGATTTCTTCACCTGCAGAGGAAACACAGCAGAGAAAACCTTTACTAAATACACACACACATTACTCCATATAAAAACACACTCAACTACACACAGAGATAATTAAAACCAGTGTTTGTTGGGTCATAAAGCCGCCTCATAAACAAGTGTTTATGGATGAGACAAATTCTATTACTGTCTTGAATGTTTGCACTGACAACTAAATGAATTCCTTCTTTTTTACACATGGAACAAACGGAAAAGAAAGTGCTGCCAAGCTCAAATCTGATTAAAAATAACCCCAAAGTAAACACAAACTTGCAACGAGATGATCTGCATGAAGTTTTCAAATTCCTAACCCAAGAGTGACTGAATTCTGAAATCACAGCGAATAAATCTGAAGCCAGTGTCTTTGCTTGCAGGGACCATCGTGACAGGAGTGCTAACTGGCTCTTAAGTGACAGGAAAGGTATAAACTTTCCCTTGTTCACCTGTGACCCCGCTCCATCCCCTTCCTCAACCCCTTCAAGAGTTCAGAGATCACTGTGAGGTCATGTTAGGTCACAGCACTCACTCCTCACCCTTTAACGGGTCACGTTGGCCGTGCACACTAAATCCAGCCCCGACTTTTTGAGAGACATTTGGTCGTGTCAATCACTGCAGGCTTGAACTTTTTCCTTCATCACGGCAGGGAAAGAAGAAAAAATCAGCCTCAGTGTGCTTACCACACACACACACACACACACAGACACACACACACACACACACACACACTAGGGCAGATTTTTACATGTGTGTCTGTGGTGTGTGAGGGTATGTGGAGCTGGACAGCAGAGCAGCGGTTCTCTATTAAAATTCCTCGCTCTTATTTGGAACAGGAACTAATTAGAACAGTAAATGCAGGGCGGACCGAGGGCCAATGTGTACCAGCTGCCCTGTAATCACTGTGTCAACACACTGTCGAGGTGTAGGGCACGCGTGAGGTGCCAAACACACACAAACGCACACATATGCACACTTACAAGATTCAACACGGCTGCAAATATTCATGTCATTTGCACATTATCGCAATCACAGGTAAGTATACGGAGAAAGTGCTGGACCAGCAGACACTAAACTGCAGGTATGTGGCGGTTTGTGTGCGTGTGCGAGTGTGTATGTGTATGTGTGTGTGTGTGTGTGTGTGTTATGGTTTTGATTAGAGGATCCTGCAGAGAGTGAATAAGAAGCAGCACTTAGCCGTTTAAGACAGAGTTCAAAGGTTAGCTGGTGCCCTCGTATGGATCACTTTACGCACACATACACTCACTTTCTGCACACACACACTACCTCCCCGACACACTCTCTCTCCACGTACACACACAAGCCACTTTCATGTCACGTTTCATGCTTTACTGAAATTTAACAAGGCTGTCAGTCACGACATCAGCAGCATGGCCGTGAGAAACTGCAATCCACATGCAGTGCCGAGTACACACCGGCTGTATGCGCGCACACACACACATGCACACATGGGGGAACACACTATCCTGTCTGTTTCTGTCTCAACATGATCTGTGAAAACACAAGCACACGCTGACTTTGATCCTGAAAAGCTTTTATCATCGGGCTTTAATCCGTCACACACTTTCTCTCCGTGTCGACTTCTCAGAGCCCCTCAAGCCCCTCTCTGTCCATACTTTTATTTTTTTGTTCCACATTTCATTTAAAAAAACTTTTTTACAACATTTAAAGACACTTATCCCCAACACATTTTAAATATTAATAATCTTAGAGAAAGCCTTTAAATTCACTCAGTTTTAAAAAGTTGCAAAAATTTAAGCGACGGAGTGTAACTTTAATATTTTTCCTTTTTTTCCCTCTATTCCTACATTCAAGGTCCAACTTTTAATTGTCACAGAGAGACAAAGGGCCTCCTAAGTGAATCTTAGGTGGTCACAGTGCCTGAAGGACTCATTTGTGTCACCTGAGCCTTTTAAATAGACGACCTCTGACCTGGTTGGCTAGGTGACCAGTCTGGAACACAACCTGCCGGGCTGAGAGCTCCCTGAGGGATAAATACAGGTACGCTAGTTAATTAGCGCTAATAACAATGATTTATTTAAGGGAAATACGCACTGCTAGGTCTGTGTGGTTACTTATTAATACTAATCATCATCTAATGGATGTAATGATAATGTGAAGCCTGAACCGAGGCCTCTGGCAAACATAATAAAACAGTGAATGTGAGTTAGAAATAACGTGAAGTTCTCCTAGCTTTTTGTTTTTCATTCTTCAGTTTCTTTCCTGGTTAATTTTGCTTTCATTTAAGTTTCTAAAATTTGTCATGAAATGTGGAGTAAGCATTTTCATTTCTATCAAACTGTGACGACCTGACGCTGTAAAAGAAAAGGGTGCTAAAGAGAGGAAGAAGAATAGCGCTGTGTGTTTCTGGTAATAACCCAACCCATCTGCACTGAGATATCTGATACCATAGAGTTGTGCTCGAGCACACATACGCACACATTTGCAAAAATGGTTTACAAAGAAAATAAAGAAATCCAGTTTTATGTTCCAGTATATAGAAAAGTCTTATTTCCCACATTAAAAAATATGTCTTATGTGAAAATCCCCTTAAAAACACAAACATACTGTTGTAGCCTGAAATAAAATTAAGAGATTTTCAAAATAAATACAAGAGAGGAGCTTTAATTCTGCAGCAAATTACACTTGAAGCAAAAAGGAACAATTATTACGCAGAGTACTGAAGGATATTTAAAAATATTTATATATTTAGAGAAAAACCTAAGATAGTGTTTCAATTATTAAAAACACATTTAAAAATTATTCATGAGTACATTTAATCATAAAAAAATTAACTCACACTGAAATAACTACAGTGTTGTCAGCATAACCTACTAACCTTATTTCAGTGTGGACACTCTAAATGTTGCACCCATTCAGCCAATTTATGTTAAAATATCTGGAGTGGCAGTCGTCAGATTTCCTTTATAAGCTTCAGCTTTAAGAGCATATTTGTGCAGAGGTGTGACTTTTAAATTTAAGTATTTGGTTCACAACACTGACAGCAGAAATGATGGTAAAAACACAAAGATTAATGAGCTTACAAATGATTAAAAACTAGGATCAACTTTATAGTGTATGTCACATAATTTGAGAGATATAGTCTTACCTGAGGCTGTAATCTGTTAGTCGATCAGCAGCTTCTCAAAGTTACACAGATGTACAATCCACTTCTCTCCCTCCGACACACACACTTACAGATCTTATGCAAACAGAAACACGGACACACACTCCTTCGTAGCGAACAGTTCGGCTCTATCTACCTGCTTCTGCTTTGCTCTGTACTCCAGGTGTCACGTTATTCTCCTTTTTCAAGTGTTTGCTTTCTCTATCTTTCTCTTTGCATGTCTCTTCTTAGACATGAATCCTCAGCAGAAATGACTCAAACTGAAGGTAAACACCACTTTCTCCATCTCTTTCTGTCTTTCTTTCTCAAAGTCAGTCCATGCACAGCTCCTGTCTTCTTCCACTCTGGTAATGAGGAACATTTCACCCGTCCTGTCTCCCTCCTCCTCTGCCTCCTCCCCCTCTTTCTCTCTCCCCTCCTTCCTCTCTATCTTTCTCTCTCGCCCCCTCTCAGCTGTTAGACACTACAGACGCACCCGGGCTCCGTCTAAAATCTAATATTTGATTAAGTTTACCCTTTTTGTGAAGGTCCACACCAGACTTCATAATATTTTTTGTCAGTTGAAAAAAAACAAGACGTGATACTTTAAATGCAAAACAGAACTCAAATCAGTCAAGCGCTGAAAATTAAAAACACTCATGTGTGCAATTCTGCTGTCATTATTTCCTCGTAACTTAAAAGGTAAATGTAGACAGGGTGTGGATGTAAAGTCAATGCCCCGCTGTGCAGAAGAAAGTATAGACCAGACCATAAACTTCACACCATGAAATTGACCTTCCTCTCTCACACACCCTCCCCCATCTCACCCACTACCACACAGAAACTCATATACACACCTGAACGCATACACACACTCTGTGATAATTGGAACCACACCGGCTGCACGTGTGTGAAGTTTTGAGGGAAAGGTGGAGGGAGTGTTTTATTAGCTCAGGGACTCAAATCTGCCTCCGTCTGAAGATGGCACTCTTTCACTTTGGCCATCAAGGTGTTTCAGAGGAAAAATGCACACAGACGCATAGTGAGTCAGACACTGACAGGAAAATGATGATCACAGAGCTCAAACCAGCGCCAGCACCTGATTCTGCTTGTTCAAAACACTTTTATAAACTTCTGAAGATAAAAGGGAAAAATAAAAGTAAAACAGAAATTTTTTTTGAGTCAGTCTTGCTAAAACTTCCTTTTACACAACAACTAGGAATTCAAATAGGAGTCCTTTGTGCTTTAAACATAGCAGTTTCATAAACTTTGAAGGTAGAGGTGGGAAGAAATGTTGTTATGGCAGTAAAGTGTGACTTCAGTGCAACACACGTTGTGTTACTCTGATGTGAACCCTTACAGATGGGCTAGTAAAATTAGACCTGCTTTTAAACTTTTAATGGATTTTTTCATCCTTAGGTTAAACAGATACACTCAGTTTATAACTATAGAAATGACATAATTGTAGGTGATGTATCATATTGTATTTTACCTTATCTCATTAATCTTACTGCTTAGTTTTTTTTCCCTGTTGTATCGTATTGAGACATTTTGTACTGTGCCGTATTGTATTGTGTCAAATCATTGCATATGTTTTTGTTTTATATCATTTCCCTTTTTTGTATCAATCATACTGTATCACATTGCATCATATCGTATGGTTTTGTGTCATGTTGTATCGTATAATTTCGTAGTATCTTTTTGTTTCATACCTTTTACACAGTATTGTTTCTTATTGTGTAGTATCGTATCGTATCCTGAAATACTATTCCAGTCACTTACTTGTATCACGTGTGAGGCAAAAATTATAAATGAATAGAAGTGTGTGAGATCATACAAGTTGTCAAGCTGTTTCCCGTACCCTTCTCCTCCAAGCATGCAGGGAACCTGTGATGATCTTTATTTGTCCCATCTGGGCTGCTGTACATGGTGTCAGTTTAATTGGAACTAAAAGGCTCATATTATGTCAACAACATATTACAACTCGTGTTTAAATGATCATGTAAGTAAGATAGGTTTTCAGTAAGGGTGAGCTGAATGTTTCGCAACACACGGAGCAGTCTGAATGTAACTGCAAAGCTAAACGCAACAGAAACAGCTGAGGAGGTGCTGAATGAATACAGTGCAAAGCCAGACACCAATTTGGAACAGGGCCACCGCCTCCAACTGTGCACCGGCCACCTTTAGCTCACTCACCACAGTGACAGCATGCAGCTCTGTCCCACAGCATTTATCCCCCAGCCCCAATAAACACCTTGATTGATAGACTGTCTGTGGACCTGTGTGTGTACACATCAGGGCAAATGTCCGTTCAAAGTGTGCTGCATGTGCATGCCGACGTGCTCGTGTGCATGTGTGTGGGTCTTTTGAGAGTGTATGTGCAGGACGAGCTGTCAGAACAGATTAGGGTGTTGCCGAAGTGCTTGACAACTCAAGCACTTTATTATTAGCCAAGCAGGACCCCCATCAGGAGGGGGTCGTCCTAAAACATCCTCCATGAAATATTTTCACAGCAAGTGGAGAGGGGAGCTGGGGAGGCGTCCCAAAACATGCCTGATGAAATACAAAACAAGTCAGAAGAAGACAGAAAAAACAAAAGAGTGTGTGGCACGGGCACCATGGAGCAGTGAACTGAGGAAAGGAAACTGGTAGTATATCATGGAGGAAAAGAAAGGAACCCAGCTTGGGTTTTTGTTGACTTAAGGAGTGTTTTTAAAAGTGTGTGACGGCGGTGCTGCACTCCCTTTCAAGAGGCCCTCGAGAAAAACTTTGTTCTTCAAGTGGAACAACATCAGTTTATCTTCACTTGAGGAGCCACAGAGAGACAGCTCAGACAGACTCTGCTCCTCTTTGTCTCTTTTGTCTTATTTTGATCTCGATGAAATATTTTTGGAGAAGCTCTGTCTTGTTTTGTCTAAAACACAAAACCTGAAAACGGGGGGAAAAAATCTTGCCTGGCTCTTTTTAAAATAAACAACTTCACCTCACAGCTTCTCTCAACTTCGCATATAAGCAGATTATTATTTGTTCATTCCTTAGAAATCTAAGTGTAAAAAAAAAACAAGCAGCTAAATCTTCTCCTGCTCTGCGCTGAGGTATGCTAACTGACAGATAGCCTCAACCAGCTCTTTATTATATTTGACATACAAAAATACAGTGTCAATCTTCTTACCTGTACCTTAGCTTTAACAATCATGCTAATTTTCCAAACTGTTGAAAAACATCTTTTTACTTTATTTACCAGAAACAAATAATAAAAAAAAAAACTCCTAAAAAGTAAAAGAGTCCTTTGGAGTGTGAAGTTTAAATGATTTTTAGAGTGATTCAATAAAAAAAGGGACACACTTTCTTATACACACACTCACACACATACACACACCTGTAACATGATCATTCAGTTATCCCTGTCTGTGACTCGCTGTGTCGACCACAAAGCTCACTCATGAAGGATGTTACTCACCACACAAACACTACCTCCATCTCTATCTATCCTCCACGTTTTCTTTCTCCCTATTACACGCACAAACACACACTCGAGCACGCAAACACACACACACACACACACACGCAAACACACGCACACACATTTACCTGTCCTCTGCTCAAAGCTCCCTGCTCTCCCCATTTGTATGAGTGGTTATCGGCATGGTAACTCTATCCCCTTCCTTTCATGTAAAATACATTGTGCCAAGCCTCCTCCTCCCTCCCTCCATCACTTCACCACTCCTCCTACACCCCTCCGCTCCCCCAGCCTGGGGAGGTGTAAAACTATCCCTCTCTTTATGTCTCCAAAAATGCCCCTTTTTCAGGTGTAGTAGGAAGTTATAAAAGAAAAAAGAAATGAGGGAGTGAAAGGGAAAAACAGGCTGAGTTTGTGGAGTGGAGAAGAGGTGGAGGAGGAGGTGGTGTTTGAAAAGGTACTCTCCCAAAAAACATCTCTCTCCAGCTGGGTGTACCTCTCTTTACCTAACAATACTCAATGTATGCTCTACAAGTGCTTCATCAATGTTACTATCACCAAGGGGAAGGCCTTAAAAAGAGTGGTCTGAGAAATGAGGGAATAACAACTAATAATGATTGAGAAAGAAGTGACATTTATACATTTCTTTTCCGTTTGGAAAATGTTTACTGAAACATAGTTTCAATGTTTACTTCCTGAATTTATCCACCTTGAACCATCCCCCTCATAACTCAATAAAACTAATACACATAAAAGTAGAATAAAGAAAAAAACAGGTTTGGACTCAATACCGATCTGGACCTAGGTAAAGGATCTCAAATTGCTCCATTTATCTAACTCTTCTGCGGAGAGCTACTGTACAGACCTACAACCAATCAGATTAATACAGCATGTGAGGAAGAGTAAAGCACCAGAGATATACACAGATAGATTGTTATGGGGACATGTATCTGCAACCAATGGGAATCAATCTAGAATCAGAATGTTGGATTTATCGCATTAATTGGCCCTAACTGGACTTTTTAGATACATGTGAACACACTAGTCTGACTGAAATCACACCAAATCCAACTTCTCATAGTCGGACGTATAATTCATCTCTCACTGATAATTTTGCCTGGTACACGTGGATAACTTCAGACTTGTCCTTTCTCTTGTTTTCATAACTCTCTGCCAAGGCAGTCTCTACTGCTGAGTTGACTGTATGGCTGTACAGTCCTAGACAACTGGTCGACTTACTGGTCGATACATGCTGAGTTGACCAAAATTCTGATTGGTCGACTTGATTTTTTCCGTGTCAATTTACAGTCTATGGTTAATTTCATCAGGGGGAATGTACCAAGTGCTAATGGGGATGTTTTCAGGGCACCCCCGTTTCACAGGTAACAGACTATCTCAGAACACCCCCCTTGTTTTTAACATTTTGGATTCATCCAACCCACTGGAGACCGGCTGGAGACAAGAAGATTGAAGAGCGTCAACATTAATCAATGTCTGGTGGTTTGCTGAATATTTGTTTCTATTTTGAGCGTTTGAACTTTCATGTGAGTCCTCCTCTACCTCCTCTGTGTCTATGTATATTGTCATCCCCACCCCCCACTTAGTCGATTTTTGGTCGAAAATTTCCGGGTTTTAATCGACCAGGAATTTCTTTGGTTGATTCCAAGCCTAGTTGACTGTTACATCTCTATACCTCTATGCAAAGACTGCTTTGTCCACAGGGGGGCGCAAAAACGGACACAAACCAAAAGTTCTCCACAGGAGCTTAAAAATCCCAAGAAATATCACAAAAACAAGCAGAGACGCCCCAGAACAGAGATGATTATTTTCGAACAATTTATTGTAGAAACTCAAGTTTGAAGAGGAAAAGCAGTGGACTAGAAGAGCGCCCCTTTATCCCCCTCCTCTTCGTCCTGGTGGTCTGCATTTCTACTGTTTGAATTGGCTCCTCTTTGTCTCACAGAGTGAGGGATCACAGACGTGATTTAATGCAGCTTTACTCAATGGACTCAAATGAAAAGTCACTGATGGATGTGTGTGTGTGTGTGTGTGTGTGTGTGTGTGTGTGTGTGTGTGTGTGGCCGGTTCTGCGCTGTTAATTGTGAAGCGTTTGGCCTCGACTGCCCCTGCTCAGCTAATCTGATGAGAGTGATTAAAAAAACAACTGGGAGAAACCTAAACCAGTCCACGGCTGACCAGGCATACTCACTCACACACACACACATACACACGTATCCACATCCACACACTAGCCATCACTCCATCCAATAAGAGGCACGCTCAAGAGCACAGATCAGATGTAACGCCTTAACTCAGCAGAATGTATGTCTGAATCCTTATCGTAATAAATTCATCCTGCTCACATACAGTATGTTTTTTGTTCCTCATAGCTGGGTCACAAGATTAGCTATGTTTTCTGTTGTACATCACATTAAAACGTCGCCTTTCTATTTCATTTAGCTTTTCCATTGGCCTTTCCAACTGACATTAATTGGCTGCAGCATCGATCAAGGTCTCCTGCCCCATAACTTTTAAACCTTGTATCTGCCTCTATTTGGTTAAAATTCATTCAGCATCTTGTCTTGTAAATTTTACTTTAGGGCTTAGATGCTTGTAATACATTGCCAGGAAAGTGGACAGAGTAGGAAACTTAGAAATGAGAGTGGGGAATGACATGCCTCAAAGCACTGCAGGTTGAAATCAAACCTGTGTAAAGAACTTAAGTAAGGAGCAGGCGGGCCAGGAATGAGAACAAAATATTTTTAGAGGAGGATTATTTAAGTTTTGAACTAGCACAAAATGACGGCAAAGCTGATGCTATATAGACTAATACTGATCATTTTTAAACAAACATGTTGAAGAAAAGCTTACATCACCTAGTTTCTCTTTGAGGTCAATGGATCTTACATTTTCCTTATTTTTGTAAACTGAGCATCCGGTTGAGCTAGCAGCCCTTCCTCAACGTTATATGGTATCTGTGTGCGGTGAATCTCACCAGCAGAAGGAGAAGAAGTGTGAACAAGCTGTGTGATCATTTACACCTACACTGTGTATCACTGCAGCTATTTAACCTTATGTATACATTTCTAATTTATGAGTACTGTTTATGACTTTGAATGTCACTCACATTACTGTACAATATATCAGTAAATAGAAGGGGTGGAAATCACCAGTGGCTCCACAATACAATATAAGCACGATACTTGGGCCACAATATGATATTATTGCAATTTTCTACATTTTGCAATACAGTGAGTATTGCAAAATACAATATATTGCGATTTATATATATTTTTCAACTGTTTAGCTCATTTAGCATTTGTCTTTCCTTTACGTTTGTCTTATTTACGCTGTATTTTATTTTATTTTCATGTAGCACATTTTGCAAACCTTATATATACATTTGTTGTACTAACTTTCTCCTGCTCTATGATGTCACTTCCGCCAACCTCACTGGACAAACAGTTAATTTTATTTTTCCATTATCATAGGTTTGACTTCATATTAGCAATTAATTAGAAAAATCGATACTTGGTAAATGAGACGATACGATCTATTACCAGACAAAATATCCTGATACTACGCTGCACTGATTTTTTCTCCCACCCCTAATAAATAGCATATGTTTACCTCTATTTTCATGCTAACTTAGGGGACTTCATAGAATTTTCTTTCAGCCATACAACTGAAACGACAAGTTTGAGCTAACGCTTACTCTCCTTCCTAACACATGGAAAAAAAATATCCTAATGATGAATTTAGCACTACAGCCCTCTGAAAAAGCAGGCTTATGCAGAGGTGTGATGCTTCCATCTTTTCCTTCCTCCAAATTAAATTCTGAATTTCTATTTTAGTCAACATCTCAACTTTACTCTTAAAAAACATTACATTAACAAAATCTATTTTTTTTTCTCATCCTCCAGCTTCTAATGGAGTGCTTATTTGCCAAACCAAACCAGCACACACCACCTTCTTGCCTTTCAACCTTTCTTACTTCACTGTTTTCATCCTCTCTTCTTTGCTGCTTGTGACTGGTCTGCCATTAACAACAAACTTAAGTTGTGATCCATTTTAAGGATGCCTATGGAAATTAACATTTTTGCCACAGGGTCAACTAGCAGATGCAAAATGGGTCAAATCTTCTCTGCACAAGTCAAGTTTTTAACACAGCTGAGTAAAGATAAAGACACACAGGTCACTGACTGATTGTACAAAGAGGGACTCTGGGAAATTAGGTCAAAAACTAACAGACAAAGCTAAATAAATTAATGTGAATGACTGATTTATATGTGGGACTGGTTTCCCGACACATCCAATGGTCTGTGTTTTGTAGTAGAATGAATTTTGATGAAATACGGACTCAAAGAGTGGACTTGAAGAATAAGCAGTCCTCCCTGCTGCTGTGTGGGCCCTAAAGAAACCCAACACCACCACTGCGACCCCTCTGCCCCCCACATGACCGCAGCTACTGCACCCCCTGTTCTGTCCTCTTGCTGCAGGCTTGCCCCCCATGGATTCACCAAACCCACCACCCCAAAGAACCTCCACATCCCACCATGAGGCTAAGACAATGAGATGTGTCTGTTTATGGGAGTCAGACAAAGAAAGAAGAACTGTTTGTGTTCTTACGGGGAGTCTGAGGACAGTCTGAGTGGAGGTCCTAACAAGAGTGTGTGTTTGTGGGCCTGCAGAGAGTGTGTGTGTGTGTGTGTGTGTGTGTGTGTGTGTGTGTGTGTGTGTGTGTGTGTGTGTGTGTGTGTGTAAGTGCGTGTGTAGCAGCAGCATCAATAATTAAAGCTAATCTCATTAGGCCTCAGATCCCTTTCAGACGCTTTTAATTAAATGATGAATGGCCTCCCAGCTGCCTGTTAAATAATGCTGCTCATGACATCACGGCGTGTGTGCATACGAGAGGTACGACATAAGGTAGATATCCTTAAAAAAAAAAAGACATGCACGGAGAGACAGGTATGCTCTCTTTCACACACAAACACACACACACACACACACGCACGCACCATCTGCTCTGGGACTCAATGTGCAGAAGTCACAGCTGACCAGGAGTTGAATGTCTCAAGCTGTTCCATCAAACCAGACAGTGAAACACTTCATATCGTCTTCCTAATAAAATCACTCACAAAACCATATGTTGGCAAAGAGGGACCATGGGGTGAGGGGAGAGGAGGATGTACGTGAGTGTGAGAGAAAACAGCGAAGGTGTGGAGGGCTAAAAAAAGGACAGTGAAGGGCTCGGGGGTGTGAGAAAGATAAAGATAAAGCAAGACAAAAAGAGAATGAGAGCAACAGGTAAAGCAGAGGACAGGTAAGGGTGCCAAACAGCCTCGGGGCTCCAGACAGCGAGGACCTGGCTCTTTGAGAACACCCATAAACCTTTTCTGTTCCTTCTCCTCCTCTACTGCCTCCATCGCACTCACCCCCCTCCACCCTTGCTCTCGGGCTGCCTCTGTATCGGATTGCTCACTTCACAATAGGCCCTGAATCATCACTCTATGGCCAGAGAGACACAGCCAGAGACGAAGAGTCGGGAGGCGAGCAGAGGGAGGGTGGGACAGGTGGACAGATAGACTGAAGATTAGAAAGACAGTCAGGGAGCGTTATCTGTATCTTCCTGTCACTTGACAGAGGAACTGATAAGGGTAGACGACGTGAAGTTAAGGAAATGTGCTTCCCTTTGCATTTTATAATATGCATTTTAATTAAATCTGATACAGGTTCTCACAAAACTTTCCAATTTCATTTGGTTTTCAAAAAGTTCTCATGATTCTTTTTACTACATGAGGTACATGACTCTTTCATCAGTCCTATCACCATCCACTTTACACCTGCAGAGATGCTGTCTGCTAGTATCTGATTCACAAACTGATGATACTCCTGACAAAAACAAAACAAAACAAAACACATCACCGATTATTAAAAAGCGAAGTATGACTTTTTAGTGTCTTTAAGGTAACTGTGAGAATTTTCTAGAGAAATGTCTTTATGCAGATAAATATGATAAAAATGATTTCTGCTTTCCCAAAAAAGGATTAACAGCTGATTGGATGTAAATGCAAATTTGAAGACCTGATGAGCTGGTTAAATATTTTATAATACTATGTAGCTTAATGATAGTTGTCAAGTATTCTTAAATCGGCTTATAGACTGATAAATAGACAATAGTTCAGTGTTGATATCACAGACAGGGTAAAGCATAAGATGACATACAATATAATAAGATAAGAAACGATATGATGCAATACTGTACGATCTGGTACAGTGTATACTATGATAGTAAAGATTACCGCATGATGTGATATCAATATATTGCAATTTATGTCAATTTTTTCAACTGTTTAGCTAATTTAGCATTTGGCTTTCCTTTATGTTTGATTTACTTACGCAGTATTTCATTTTTATGTAGCACATCTTGCAAACCTTATTTGTTGTACTAACTTTCTCCTGCTCTATGATGTCACTTCCGCCAACCTCACTGAACAAACTGTTGATCTTATTTTTCCATTATCATAGCTTTGACTTCAAGTTGGCAATTCATTTAAAAAAAATTGATACTTGGTAAATGAGATGATATGATATATCACCAGACAAAATAGAGCGATGCTATGCTATATCGATTTTTTCTCCCACCCCTAGGTAACATATGATACAACTAAATAACATAATTATAATAATAATTAATTATAATTCAGTATAACATCACAAGATATAATGCTACATCAAACAATTGTCACAGTTCAGCATGATAAAAGAAACTGTGGTGACATAGGGACCGTTAGTGTGTGGCAGAGTATGATACAATGTGGTACAATATTATACAATATCACATGATATAGCACAATACCATACCATATGATAGGACACTGCACAATAGAAAACAATAGGATAGCATGCAATATGATAAGATGTAGTGTGATATGGCCCAATACAGTGTGATATCTAGTACGATATGATAGATACTGTATGACATGATACAGCTCAGTACGGTGATCTACTAACCAGTACAATACTGTATGTTACAATATGATACTATAGATTATGATATGATGTGATACAATAAGATACTACAAGATACAGTTCTGGACTGTATAGTATGTGGTAGTGTAGTTTGGACGGGTTTATTCATGATAGCTTTAAAAATGAAAAACTTTTAAATATCCAATAACTTTAGCAGTATTCTTCTATAAATAGTGGATGACTTTAAGACATGAGAAATAAAACTACAGACAATTGAATTTCCCTTTGGGGATGAATAAAGTACTTATCTTATCTTATGATCGGCCTATAACATAACACGGTATCAAAAAAAAAAAAATAAATAAAAAGTCTAATGCAATATTATACAATATCACAGCATCTCCCAAGTCAGGGTAGCAAAAAGGGGACCGCAGCAGGAAGATGCTTTTATTATGATTATTTAATTATTTTGATAAAAGGTGATGAAGAAAAAGATGCTTCAGGCCCGCCCTTATAGTGTACAGTAAATGACTCAGGTCACGGCCCATCTGGCCTGGGTGACCCCTCTGCTACCTCTCTGGTTCTGCCTCTGCAGAGACAGAAATACAATCTCTCAGCAGAGCTGCAGAGGAAGTTCTCACTGCGGGAAAGGAAGGCAGGTTCCTCTGAAACTAAAGCACAACTGTTGCATTTTCATTTCCTTCCCTGCAAAATGAGGAAATGTGCTCCCTTTTAGTAACCAGTGACAGATGAGTGTTTGGCCCAGAGATCAGAGTGAAGAGATGACCCATCCTATGATAATGCTGCTGTATACATAGAAACAAAAGATAACATGCTTTACTTGTTTACTGTTGACCTCTGTTCATTCATTGTTGTTATCGGAGCTTTAAAAATTCACTGACTTTGCAGACTAACTCTTCGGGAATCAATCTCTTTAAGATGATTTTCCATTTCTGAATGGTTATCAAACATCCCGCAATAATCTCTGAACAATCACTAAACTGAGAAATCTTGGCCTGGGCCCTTGTATCCCCACTGACTCCCATTAAACAAGCATGGTCACAATATGAGACACTCAGATGACCTCAACTGTCCCACACCACAGAAAGAATATGCGTAAAACAGAGAAAGAAACACCTACACACATACAACACACACACAGTTATATTCTTTCACACGGACACACACTGCAGACACTCAAGCGCACATATCATGTGGTTTCCTGTCTGCTGCGTTCCTGCAGAAAGCCCACGCTGGTCGCTCTGGGTTTCTAGATGGATTCTCCAGTCTGTTTGGGGGTTTGACTCCATCAGACTGTGATTAGCTCACAGGCCGTCTGTGACCTGCTCACCTCACACCTCACTCGCTTTCTTTGGCCTGCCAGACCCTCACTCAGCTCGCTTGTATGTGCGTTATTAATTATCTGAACCGCAGCGAGAACCGAAGAGGTTTGGTGAAAGACAGATGTTTTGACAAGTGTCTTAAATAAAAATTATGTCAAAATAAAGGAGCTGTGGAAGCTGTATTTCAAAATTTCAAATAAACCCTGGATCCTTTATGCCGCGAATTTATCCAGTTTAGAAATTCAAGGTGTAGTTGCAACACTTTTTAATAGATTTTCTCTCTCATTACGTTATTAATTATACAATAGATTATTAAAAAAAAGTTTACTTTGTGATTACAAAGTACAAATACGGATGGCGTGCTGGTTTGACTCCCCACACTAGTATCAACAAATAGGCTGTAAGCAGGGAGACTATCCTTACCTCAAAACTATCAATTCGAACGTAGGCTGAGGTAAAGTCCTGCATGTCTTGTGGCTATTTCAGGATGTCACAAATAAATGGCACTAGAGAGAGCTACACAGCTGCACAGAAAATGCATACCGCTTTAAGTCCCTCTCGGTTGTTTTTTTTTTTCACTATTAAGAGTGTTATCAGTGGTCTTTAGATCGCAATTGATATTTTTTTTTAGCTAAAATCACGTTACCTGTGTCATTTTCAAGGCCTTTTCTTCTGCAGAGCTCCAGTAGCTCATTAGCAATTGACCTCTGAGTCGTGGGCGGAGACAGCGCTGCTCTGCACACTCCTCTTCATGCTAGTTTGTAGTCTAACATTGCCAGTGCAGCCAAAGTGGCAGGTAACATAGGAGCTATTCAGCTCTTAGACACTAATGTCTTTGGGGACATGATGAAAGTTAATATCATAATTAGCTTTCTTACAAGCATTGCAATCCGCTAAAGCACATGCTTGTCCCAAGTTGTCCTCTCTACTTCCCAGAGTCTGGCCTGCATAGTGGGCTCCGGGGTCAGAGCTTGCAGTTGTGACATAGGAAATCTCACTGTATCTGAGCCTGCCGTTTAGGTCCGCCAGAGATTCACAGAGATTTGAATGAAGAAATACTCAGAAATGCAATTTTGCACTTAATTTCCTCATGATATGACCTGTAGCATCTGAAAAATGACATATGAACATGCAGACAACAAGAAAAACATGATTTTCATCAGAGTGGGTGTTTAAAAGAAGTCCTTGCAATGGCATCAGGATAGAATCTTTTTCCTTCTGGGTTAACCACAGCACACCGTGTCCTAAAGGTTTTAAATGACTCTACAGATAAGACTGTGTTATTCACCTCTAGCTCTTTATTTATATTATACAGGAATGAACTCATTCCATAATCCTTGATGAAGCAGTTTGTCCTTTCTGGTAAATGGTGAAACATTATTTCATCAGGCTGGTGGGCAGAAATTCACTGAAAAAACCTTGTTCTGATCATCTATGTCCAATATTTTTATTTTTTTTCGACAGAGGTTACATAAAATCAAAGGTTGATGTTTAGTGATAAAAACCACTTTTAAACTCCATAAATGTGGATTTTCAGCCACCTGTCCTCTGTCCTACATCACAATGGCTCTTCTGTGCTTTCCTCCATTTATAATTTGTCCACTTTATCTTTGCTGTAATTACCAACTTTAATTAAACTGTAAATGATGGTTTTTATATCTTGATAGCATACAGTATCTCAAATAGTACCCTGAGCAGAGCCCAAAATCAGCAGAGGTGACTTGAAGTCTGACAGTCAGACACCCGGCATCGCTCATCTGTCATCCAAACATAAATCTTACAAGAATCACTGTACACCCGGCTGAAACTGAAGTGCATCTTGGTGCCACAAACCAGGATGCCAGCCTACAAGAGGGATGCCAGGGAGGGTAGCTATTACACTCCACACTCTTGTGATCCGTCCACACGCCTTGTCACCGGGCAGATTTTGCAATGACCGTCTGTGACGCCAAATAATCTTGGCAATTGGGGTAGGGCCGCGCTCGCATTTAGCTACCACTGCTGCTGCATGTAAGTTTGTGTGAATGTGTCTGTATGGGGTTGTAGGGGTGAAAGAGGGGTGCAACATGACCCCCTTTCCTCCTCTAAGTTGGTCTCTCTCTCTTGCTCACTCTCTCTCTCTCACACACACACAGACTGGGACAGCTGCCATACTCAGGGCCTCTCCCAGAGCACCAGAGGAAAAGGCTTGGGCTAAAAGAACCTTTTTTCTCCTCTTTTTTCATCCCTTTTTTCTACCTCCTTCATCTTTCTCCCTTTTTTTCAGCTGGTCATACATTTAAACCCTTTAAGCCCCCCGGGGTCAAAAAACACCAGCACTCCTCCTTCTCCTCCACATGCAGCTAGTGGACTCCAGACTTTAATCTGGGCTCTGTGGGCCATGTGTATGAGAGCTTGGGCATATAGACCAAAAGTCTATTTTTAACCAAAATCTGCTTAATGCTAATACAAATTATGGTTGTTGTAAGGACTAAAAATATCAATCAAGATACCACAATTGTTTATTGTCTATTTATTTCTGAGCCAGGAACAAACATCACTTATCACCTTTTCTCCAAAGCTAAACAAGTATGTGACAACAGGTGGAGCACGATACTTAAACAAGCTAAAAGTAGCATTCAGAGCTAACCACTGCCCCAGGATCCTTCCAGCGCTCCCAGAGGACCCCAGACGGCAAGCAGACCCTCAGCAGGCAAGAGGCCAAAGAGGACGCTTGACCGTAACCCAGATGACGCGCAGTAGATGTGGTAAAAAGGCGGGGTGGAGGGAGGAAGTGTGGTGGGGGGGCTTTAAAGGGTAGAGGGGAAGGGTGGGAGTATCAGGTGTCAACGGACAACTCCCCAAACTTTGTGTGTGAGGTCTGTGCTGCTTTGTTGGCCGCACGAGACACGCCTCTTTCAATTTAGCAAAGGAGAGGAAATGAACACAAAGATAATGATACAAGTTCATTAAAATGAACTCACTTTAAAAATTCAATGTGTCATAATTAGTGACACTTAATTTCATTAAATTTGTGGGGTTAAGATTCCTCCGTTTTCAAGAGACAATTACATTAAAAAAAAAAAAGGTTTTGTGATGGAAATGGTTTATATTTTGAGAATTTGTTGAGCTAAAATGACACATTGACATGCACTCAGGTCAGATCTTTCGGATGAACTTCTTCACTTCTTGTTGTCTGATTTACAACTTCTTTAGAATACAGACTTTTTCAGACTCAGCTTAGATTCAGAGATCAGACTTTTGTCAGATTTCTAACCTTTAAGAAGCCGGACTCCAGACATTTTAATTCAGGATTTCTGACTTTCCTCCAAGGATTTTGACTCTTTATCTTTTAAGGTCCTGTGAGAAATTTTCAGTTTGTGTCAATTTTCATGTCTCCTTTGGACAAAGCTAACTTTGTTCATCTTGTCCTTTTACATGCTTAACTTAGGGTGATATTCATATTCAGATTCATATTCTGAATCCCCAAAAAGAGGACAAGACTACGCTGGGCGGAGTCACGGAGTTGTGCGTAGTTAATTTTGAGAGTTTTTTGGGTCGGGTCGAGTGTTTTTCATGTGCTTCTAACTCAGTAAGTCCACGCGACATAAACTCAAAACTTCCATACAAAACCCCAGACATTTTAAGGCTTTTATAAAACTCCACCAGACAAGGCTGGACAGCCCCCTAAAAAGAGGACATTTCTGGGTAAAAGAGGACATATGGTCACCCTAGCTTAACTAGCATTTTCTGAAAGTTTGTTTACGTGTTGTTGGAAAAAACATGGATTAACTGCTTTAGTCCAACTGAAACTACACTTTCAAAAAACATGTACATATCAGTCTGACTAAAACTGTGCTAAATTGAACTTCTCAAAGTCGGGCTTTCATACCTTGACAGTGTAGTTGGGGATTCTCTCTGTCATGCATACTCTTTTGTCAGATTGGCACAGGCCTAAGCATTCTACCTATGCTCAAGAGTTCATAAACTGGGCTTTGAGCCAGACGTTGAATAGCATGAATGTATTGTTGGAAAGCTAAGTAGTAAAAAAAACCCTCAACAGTCAAAGACAGGACATAAAAAAGACTCAACTTGACACATCCCTTAGCCACTTGCAAATGTGCTTTGTCAATCGTTTTAGTCTGTAATAGGTCAAATGGAGATGACCCAGTATTGATGAGCTGAAGGGGGGTATGTGGCCACCCACCGCAGTAAAGGCAGACAAGGACAAAGATCACATGCATTTTTAGTTGCCCTTATCATCTACTGTTAACAAAAATAAAAACCATTGAATTTTCTGTCTGAGGAACTTGACTCTCATAACAAAAGTCAAAGAACAAGTTATTCATCACAGTAAAATATGGTGTAGTGTCCACATTGACACAGGCCCCGATTTCAAAAAAGACTATCAAGTTGTGTCGACACTTCAAAACAAGAACTGAACATCATGACGTGATCGCACTAGAATTTATTCAGGCGTTTTTTCATCTTTATTTTTTTAAACATAGCTCACTGTATTATGATATAAACTGTACATCTAATATTATATCATATCAGCAATATTCAGCTGTATAAAAGATAGGTAAATTTAATTTTACTTTAAAAGGTAAAGATCAGCATTCAGGGTGTGCATCTTCTACCTTTCCCAGCTTTTCAGCTCTATATGATAAAAATCAGTGTTCCTGATCTGAGGTCTCATTTCCAACCTGAACAATTAATCAATGCCTCTGAGCTGCAGCTCAAGTTCACATTATAAATGATATCACTGCTCTATTTAAAGCAGGTGAAGTAATTGTGGGATATGGACATCAATATTTGATATTTGGATGGCACGAAGAGAAGATGGATGTTCCTTTCTTTTCATTCTTCATCTCTCGCTCTTTCTCAGCGTGTTTGTGTTGTGTTCGTGTTTTGTACATGTCGTGTGAGTGACAGAGCTCCGCTGGGGTTCGAGTGTAATCCAAACCCAGGGCGAGTCTGACAGAGCAACACAAAAAGTGGGGGGAAAAACAACATAGTTCATGCGCTGTGTCCCACTTTGCGCTATTATTACCGAGCAGGCTGTCAGGTCAGAGGGAGAGAGTGAGGGAGAGAGGAGGGAGCCTGATGGGGGAGGAGAAGGAGGAGGAGGAGGAGGAGAAGGAGATGAAATTACACCTGTTCTGGTGGCTGACTAACGACTTTGAAATGTGAGTGGACCTCACTCGCCGCCAAAATCATTTTCCCAACAATACAGCCTGATCTTTAAACAAGCAGAAGTGGGACGCTGCACTGAGGTGACGCAGAAACCGCCCGCTGTGCTGAGACACTAACAAACCCTCAGGCACAGGGAGAGAGTGTGTGTGTATGTACTGGGCTCATGTGTGTATTTTTAGGTCTAACAGAGATAGAAAAGTCATACTTTTCCAGTTTATTGTAGATCATTTAAATCACGACTTCATCTTATTTAACTTTTGAGGTAATGTATTTTAACTGATATCTAACATTACCTCATTTCCCATTATGCACTCCTTAAAATTCCTGGATTTTTCACTCAAAGTTTTTACAAAATTTTGGAAGCTTTGCCCAGAAGTTTGTCTGGGCAGGCATCGGCCAGACAAGATGCAATGATAGAGGCAATATAACATCAAAAGGAAGCCGGGAAAGCCATGGCAAAATGTTTACAACATTACATACAGCAGATGTAACAACATGGACTTTTACGATAATGACAGTTCCTGAGTTTGTATCGATGGAAAGTGAGAATACAACTGTTCCCTTCTTGAAAAAGTTCTTTCTTCAAATTTTGATGCTTTTATTTGACCCTTCACAAGTCACCCTTTCAGAAGTCATGACTGGCCTACTTGCATGCCTTCCTGTAGTAATGTAATTTCCACACAAATATTTCCTAGCTGCATTCTTGAACAGGCTCACCCTGACTCCTTAGGAAATTTTACCCAGAAGTCAGAAGGAAAAAAATTGTAGGTAAGGTCAAGGCAAAAGTACAGGCATTTGCAGTATAGCCCAAAATATTTCAGAAAATTTGCAGGAGTCCTATGCGTGTGTGAACACAGGTATTTTGTTGTTAGAAATGCTGTTGTTCAGAATCAGTATTACGGTCTCCACACACCAAGTGCAACTAAAATCATTCCAGTGACTGAATTACATGTTAAGTCAACGCAAAGACGCAGTTAGACGCTTGTACTACTCTGGCGGCGCGAATGACACGAACTGGGCGAGAGCTGAAAATGTCTCAACTTGAGCGGATATTCACATTGCGATAACCATTCAGCACGAAGGTAGCCGGGTGATGTATGAAAACGGACGGTTGTTCACTGGTACCTAAAATAAAGTCGGTGTATGGGTGCCCCAAATTATATGATAGCTTTTCTTTCAATTACCGCAATCGGAATAAAAAAGGAGCTCGTCTGGAGGCAAGTGAGTGAGAGGGTCGGATTACCTGGTAAATTGTAAAAAACCTTTGTCTATCACATGATCCCACCAGTTAAATTAGGAGGGATTACCGTTGACGCACAAATGGAGAAAGTAAATACCATTCATTCACGTGTATAAATTCACGCAAATTAAGCAAGTAGATCAGGGGTAGGCAATCATGTGCCATGGAGGGCCGAGAGGCTGCAAGTTTTCTTTCCAACCCAAAACTCCACCAGGTGATTTCACTGATTACCTTACCTCCAAGCAGAGAGCAGAGACTAATCAGTGAAATCACCTGGTGGAGTTTTGGGTTGGAAAGAAAACCTGCAGCCTCCCGGCCCTCCATGGCACATGATTGCCCACCCCTGGAGTAGATGTTTCTACTCATGCTTGGTGTGAGCACGCCTTTATGTTGACTGCCGACAAAGTTTGATTTGGGTGCCATTTTTTTAAGATTACTCAAGGTTCTACTTTGGGACCTCTTTGGTTCTGCATTTTTACAAATTACCCAGGTAGCAACATTAGGGCAAAAATACACCTTTATGTTGACGACACTGTTATCTACACCGATGCTTCCTCTGTTACAAAAGCAGGGCAGAGCTTTTCCCCTCTTTGCAAACAGCTCTGCTTCATTTTTAAAGTTCATAAAAAAATTAATAAATTAAAGAAGATGGAGACTGAGCGTCTGTTATGTGGATCGATAACTTTGGGCAGTCTCTTATTTTTGATGAAAAGTGACATCCAAAACGACCCTTGTTTGGTCCAGTTTCAAGCCAGCATGTGCAAATGTCTGCAGTTTTGTTCTGTTAAAAGTGTTAATATGAGTCATTCTTGTTCTGATTGGGTCATTTTTCCAATTCTAATTTAATCAATAGTGTTCATATAAATCTACCTTTCAATTAATAATATTCAAAAATCCTTTATTTGTGTAATGCTGCATCCATTTTTCTGAATTTCAATTAATTCCTCTCTGTTGTATAAGAAGCACTTTGGGTCAGCATCTTTGCTTAACAATTGCTGAGTAAATTAAGTTAAGCTGAGATGACTTGAATGTGGATTTACTTGGTTTCTTCCACTCTTGGACACACACACACACACACACACACACACACTTGTCTCCCAAATTGATGTCCTCATCCAGCATTGTTTCTAATGAAGTCTCTGACTGCCGCCATCTGGTTACTGTACACTCACTGAACCACATCTGCTGTGTGTTAACACACACAGATCTCTCAAATGCACCCATTCCCCTGACTTATGTGGGGATACGTAGGACTCTTGCTCGCTCTCTCTCTCTCTCTCACACACACTTGCATGCATACAGTAGCATTTAACTCACCATCTGTTCGTTGAGGTCCTGTGAGGCCTCCATGGCTGCTTGGTTTGTCCTCTGTCACACACTTTAGGAGCAAAAATGATCAAGTTAAATATGGGTCAGTGAGGAACAGAAAAATATAACAGCTTTATATCTTGACCTGTGCACAAGTTTGATGAAAAAAAACATCACAGGTGTGTTGCTGTAAAGGCTACGTTGCAGTCTGAATCATGATACAGTATTAATTTCTCTTTCTTTCATGTCTACATCTGTCTGTTACACCTTCTGTCAGTGTGTTTATGTGTGAGCAACAGGAGACCGAATCAGGGAAGCAGCAGCGCTAACTTCGGCATATCATCTTCAGCCGAGGGTGAAGCTGAGGGATAATTGCAGAAGTAAATATCAACAATGAAAAAGGAGAAGTGTAAATGATCTGGCTGCTTGGCTGGCTCTGGACCACAGACACAGTGGCTGGCGAGCTCACGAAGACAGTGAGTGACCCCGTTAATACGAGACAGGAGACAGGTTGGCGCAGAAGTCTGCAGCCGTGGAGAGGCCGAGGTGATTGTCTACGACTGGAGGGAGCGATCGGAGAAATGTTAATAGAAATTGCCCCGTGTTCTTGGCCTTTTTATGTTCCTGTAAAGCTGTTACAAAGGAGGGGACTGAAAAGGTGGAAAACAATGCCAGCACATCCCACAAAATGTCTCCTCTCTGCTGTGACGTTTGACAGCTCAACAAAAGAGGAGGCTGCAAAGACACGCACTTACATGCACACAATACGTTCTCAAGTGCCGTCAGATCTGCTGTTCACAGCAAGTGTGTTTACAGGTATTTTAGCCAAAAATACTAATGGAAAACTAGTTTCAGCATTTTATTTCAGCTTAGAGTATTTTCCTGTGACACCATTTTATTTCTTGCTGAGTGTGTCCTCAGTTCAGCAGATGAGGTTTTACCGGAGCAAACAATTGATTTGATTTGTACGGTGCAAGATCACACCTGAAGTTATCTTATATTATTACCTGTCTGTGTTATATACTCTTTACTGTACTTTAATTGGTCAAATCCCCAGAACAGCCCTGACTACACAGGTCCAATCAAATCCTCCTGTGTGATGAAGTTCAGCCTATTCACCTTTGCCTGTTGATAATTGCCTCTTGCTGGCCATGAAATAATGAGAGATGCTGGGCTTTAATATGAGAGCAGCCTGGACAGTGACTGCACCACCTAACCATCTCTGAAAGAGAAAGGCAGAGCAACAGCATATCCTGCAACAGCAGCTGGGCGGGTGAGTTTATCTCTAAGTTGCTAATCTTTTCAGGATGAAATAAAACTTCCCTGCTTCACATCGGGGTCCTGCTCACCATGTCAGAGTTCCAACTTGCATAACCAACCATTCACTGCACATTACACGTTACGCCATTTATACACAGGCCACATTTAGATTTTACTTTTTAAATACTTTTGTCAAAGACCTAACGTAGGTCCGCCATTAATATTCACTTATAGCAACAGTATCATCTATTTACCTGCAGCATCAAGGAGGAAGATGTACACCAGGAAAGACAGAAAGAGTGAAGCAAGTAAATAATAAAAATGAATAGATGAGTAAATCAGATAAAATCTCATTTTTGTGAGAATATTTTGTCAACATTGAAAAAAAGAGGAAAAAAATGTTCATTGTTTTGTGAGATTACATTAATATTTTAAAGCTCCTGAGTAAGTTTTGGTTGATGTCAGTTTTTGGCGCCCCCTGCGAAGCAGTACCTTCCATTTCTTTGAAAATAAGTACAAAGTAATGATCGATCTATGTGCTGATGGTCTTGTTTGCTTTTGTAGGTTATAAAGAGGTGTCAGTATTATTATCAGCCTTTTTCATAACCAGCTGCAAACTCCCACAGGAACTTTAAATGCTAACTTCATTTTAATAAGGCTAACAATTCTGTCAAACATTAAATTTGTGAAAAGTGAAACTTATTTTGTTCATTTCAAGAGTCTGTATTTGTGTGCATGTGTGCGCTGTGGTGTTTTCTGGCTCTATCCTTTAAACTAACTGGCATCCTTTTAATTTTTCATAGCGTAGCTCCTCCTCGCCTGAAACCCAAGACAATAATGCGTCTCTCAGGTGAATTGATTTGTGCACCAGCCTCCCCTCTCCACCCCTGCTCCCTCTTTCCTCTTTCTCTTTTTTTCCCTCCCTCTCTCTCCCCCTCTCACCTTTGTGGAGGACAGAACAAGCCTTCTGTCTGCTTCAACTTTACTCTTGGACTCATTGTTTAGTCTTTTTTAGAGAGGATATTGTGGACAGCAAGCCATAGTTAAAGTTAAACATCATTGTGAGAGTGGTGAAGGGGCTGCCAAACTCTAACGGACTGAAATATTATGTTTCTCTTTGTAGTGAAATTAATTTTAAATCATGTATATATATAGGCCTACTGTATATTTTTTTAAAGAGATTATATTTTTCAAAGGTGGCAAACTGCAATTGATACTCTTTATCTTTCAGTTTAAAAGTTTTGAAATACCTGTAATAGACTGTCCCTCTCAACGTTTGCCTCGCATGGCCCTTCATCCACCCCGTAGTTAGCTACCTGACACGGCTCAGTGAATCAATAATGCTGCCATTTCCTTTAGCGTCCCAGAAGAGAGAATTATGTTTCCCTCCGTGGCTTTTGACAGGAGAAACACACATGAGACGACGGAGGATTAAAAGTGACAACACAGGCCGACAAACTGTGGTGAATTCAGACATTAGGGAGGCTACAGACCAAAAAGAGGACGATGATTAAAAAAACACTGCTCCAGGACCGTTATAGTTGGCATGGAAACAGCTCACGCGCAAGTAATTTTCAAATTGACGCCTTCAAAATGTCCTCCTAAACGTCCAATATAATGTTACAGCAGAGCAGGTTGTCCTGTTAGTTTAAATAGGCCACATTTATCCCAGTACTACAATCATCCACAGTATTACACGTGTACACAGAATTTTTACCAGAATTATTAGCAAGAAAAAAGCCAAATTAATGTGTTGTGGGTCAGGTTATACATTACGACTCAAATTCAATTTTATTAAGCGAGATCAATATTCAACATTATTTTATTTAAATTTTATTAAAACGTGTCCTTTGGTTTTTCCAGTTTATTAATTTGGATTAAACATTATTCAGTTAAAAGCCACTTAATTCGCAGGTTTCCCACTTGGTCTTATGAGGTCTTTGTTGGTGATATGCATAAACTAGTCAAGGATGGAGTTTAAAATAAGTGTGCTATTTAATATAAATTGATTCCATTTCATTTTTTTTTAATTATGAGGAAAAACAAGGACAGGGCGTTTTTATAATTTGAATTAAAATCTATCTAGAAGAGGAAAACTACAGAAATATTTTGGCTCATATCAATATAAACGGACAACCTGTTCGCGATGCGTCATACTTTCCCAACCAGGACTCAATATCTACTCAAAGACAAATAAACACTTATAAAAAATCCAAAAATGTTTTGTTCTTTTTCTGGGTGTCCAGTGGCTCATATAATATCTAATCATTCACGGTTCAAATCTAGTACATCTCCTCGCGCATTACTAATCGCTGGTTAAATATGAGCCCGACGTGAAGTGTAATCTGCGCGGATTAAGGTGCAGAAGGCCTCTCAGATATTCAGTCAGTGTAACTCGTCTTGTTGTTAGGGGCAGGCCAATCACCAAGGGCCATTCCAGCCCTATGAGAGCCCGGCCGTGGTTTAAGATTCCCTCTTTCCTACATATCAAATATAAACACAAACTCCACGTGGGATGAGGGCACAGATGGGGAGGAAAAAAACGGGGACACGCGGAGGGATGCTGAAGGAGCAGAGAGAGGATTAAATTCCTGCAGGTGGGATGAAATCTGGATTGACGGAAGCCACTCTGACCTCTAAATATCAGATTCACAGACATTTTCTTTAAATAGAATTTTTTTTTAAGAATTTCTTCATGGCAGATCAACTCCATCAGTCAAATCTCTTGATCGACTACGACTGGTCAACTCAAAGCTCAGAAAATGAAGTTGTCCTGTCAGTCTATATAAATAGAGTCTAACATGAAAACCAAAAAGTAAAAAAAAAAAAAAGAAATAAAACAAAAAATATATTTCATTTTATCGGTAAAGGCCTGTCTATGGGATTAGAACGGTGGGGCTACATCTCAGACTGACCCCTAAAACAGACTCCGATCTACGACATCACAATAAATTTGAATGTGGTCCTGTGAAGCACAAATTAAAGACGTTTTTTTTTTTTTTTTTTTTTTTACCGTAAATTAGAGGCTTTATTTTCATGTGGCATAAATTTGATAAAACATCTGATGAGTGTGAAGGCTTTCGGCGAGTGTGCAAGATTTACTGTCGTTATTAAGACTGATTCAAGGCAGATGGCTGTCCACCATCAGTCTGACTGTTTTCGAGATTTCTGCCTTAAAGGAAATTTCTCTTACACAAGACTATTATTGAGTGCCAGCTATTGGTGGGCCTCTTCTATCAGTTTTTCCAGATTTATTCCTGCGTTTGGTGGAAAGAGTCCTGAGATAACTTTTTGTGATTTGGCTCTCTAAAAAATAAAATTCAATCAAATGACTGTTAATGACAACAAGCTTGAATGTGAATGCACGTCTGTATCACTGCATGAATAGACAAATGAAGTAAACATACCTGCTGTGTAAAGTTATTTTCGTCCCAGTAAAGCTCCCAGATTTCCTTCACTCCTCACAAACTTTCATAATCAAACACAGAGAGGTCTCCGCACAGCTCTCCCTGCTGTCTGCAGCCTGTCACTGACTGTATCTAAACACTTCAGCCTCTGCTGCCCATTAGCAGACACAGTCCAAAAACTCAAGCCCGAGAGTCATTCACACTCGATTTAACACGTTTACAAACTCAAAGACAAGTCCCGAGCCTCTGTCTGGGAGACCTGGCCGCTCACTTCAGCGGGAAACACCATTATTTTCACTCCGCGTCCAAGTTTGTGCACCGGGCTGTTCACACGCATTACACTCAACTTCATTATTGCTTACAGCGCCGCTGCGCATGCGCCCAGCTGCCATGCGGACAGCGTTGGGCAAGAATCCAATGGACTAATGGGGTTCAGAGGGGGAGAAGGAGGGGGACGGAGGGAGGGGGGGATACCGAAGTGACATTCTTATTAATAGTTTGAGCAAATGACGAGCTCATAGTTTTATTTATCCCTTCAGAGCAACACAACATGATGCACCCACTGACCAGACCACATCTATCTATCTATCTATCTATCTATCTATCTATCTATCTATCTATCTATCTATCTATCTATCTATCTATCTATCTATCTATCTATCTATGCTGTTGTATCTTTAATACTGCAAGAGGCCCATCATGTCAGCTTTTACAAAATACTTACTTTTTGTTTGTTTGTTTGTTTTGTTTTTGTTTTGTTTGTTTGTTGGCTTTTCTTTTTCCTTTTTGTAAACTTGTATTTGCAGTCCTTTTCCTGTGGAGATTACAAATAAATCTTAGTGTGTCAGGATAACAACAGGCAGTATTTTTTAAGCAATAGAGATGAAGAAATAATAGCTGAACTCTGATTAGATTTGTGGTTGTGGGGAAAAAAATCATTTTAGGAAATGAGAGAGATGACCATGTTGGCTTCAGCCAGTACTTCCGAAAATACATTATTAAGACCATTACACATTTCAAAGCTTGAATCAGATACTGACTGTGAAAAAACAAAATCATTCTGTCTTGGCATTGACTCACATAACCGCACAAAATATTAAATTATACTGCATTTTTTCCTTTTCTTGATCAAGGCTATATTGTTATATTTTCTTGACATATTTTAAGTCCCAAACATCTCCCAGTCTCCAGAGTTAGACTATGAGTACAGCCATTTATGTCTACTGCATGTGTTTATTATAATTTAAATCCCTCATTATTTGACCGTTATCTTCTGATCATTAATGGTGCTGTTTATCCAAAAATCATAGAGATTATCAAGAGATTACATGGAAGTTATCAATCAGTAACAGTAAGTGTATTTTTTTCTTGGGTACGTTTGTATAGCTCAATGAATGCTATCTGAAAAAAAAAAAAAGGGAAAAAAATGTCAGCAAAGTTGTGTGTCCTAGTTAAACCACAAGAATTAAAATGCATTTCCACATTTTGAATGATTGCCTCATTATTAAATAAAATAAAATAAAATAAATAAATAGAGATCCATGTTTGGTATAATACACTGAAATGAGACCACTTGACCCTGTTTTCAAACAAAACAAAAAGCATGGATTGTGGGCAGTTTTCATTTTATCTTCTCAGTTAACATAAAATTTGTGTGTTTTTTTAAACTTAATCTGTTTTTCAACAAAACCAACATAATTTTTTCAATATTTTTTTTGAAAACTATATTCACAGGTTATATGTTTGCGATCTCTCCTAACATCCGGGAGGTGGCAGTTGTTCATCTCCAGCTTCTGTATATCAGTAAGCAAAAAGAAGAAAAAGATGCCACAGGTAACACAACTGCAGATCCCTTAGGTCTTCTGACCAGGGCCTACTTGCTGTTCCCCTTTCCAGACTGAGAACAAAAGGAGATTGTGCTCTTCAACTTGTGTCGCCGACTCTCTAGAACTGTCTTCCTATTCAAGTACACTGCACTGCTGATGCTTTTCAAAAGCAGCTCAATACACATCAGTTTAAATTGGTTTTTAATAACATTAATAATGCATCCAATTTTGATGGTGCTTTTTATCAGAAACCCTCAAAGTGCTTTACATTGTATACATCATTCATTCACTCACACAGTTAGTGGTGGTAAACTACCTTAGTAGTAAGAGCTGCCCTGCGGCAGACTGACAGAAACACGGCTGCCAGTTTGCACCTACAACCTCTCCAACCACCACAACAACAACACTCATAATCATACACCAGTGGAGAACACAAGGCGGGTTAAATTGTGGGGAAGGCAGGATCCATTAAAGAAGCATCTTTTTTGTGGTGTATATACAAAAAAGCTTTTAATATCAGTCAATAGCTATTAGTTATTGATGACCTTTGGGAGTATCACGATATCGCTGTGTTTTGTCATGTCTATGTAATCAACATTTTATAATGTCCACTCTTTCTGGCTGTAAACAAAGCCATTCCCCGCCTCCCCCAACCTGATTGGTTGTGTCGCTGATGCTGCTCCTTAGTGCTGATTGGTTGTGAGGCAGACACTGCTCCCCCGTGTTGTTCAGGAGCGCAAACAAAGTTAGCGTGCTACAATATCAGACAGTAGAAACCAACCAGAAAGTACAGAAAATTGTCTGAATCCTCCTTTAGCCACGACCACCAACACAAGCAAGAAAATGAACTAAATACCGAAGACTGGCGGATCAAAGTGCACTTAAAACTGAGGTAGACGGGACAAGAGCTAAGAAGCCGGGTCAACAATGATGGGGGGCGCTTCGGGATCTTACGGACCCTGTAACCTTTCTGCAGGACAGGTAAACCGCTTTAACAAAGTAAGCCAAGTGTAACAGAAGTGTTTCTGGTCAAATGAGACCTGCTGCGTGTTGTAGCGCCACTCAACTGTTTACCTCGGGTTCTGGACTATGTCACTTAATCCTAGTTGTAGAAGTCCAGCAAACATTGTATTTGCTGGTAGTCTGTTGGCATCTATAGTAGCACCAATGCTGTTTACTTTCAGGTTGACTGGGCCGCATTTGTAATTGTCTGAAGTATATATGTGCATTATATCTGAACTTAATTGGAACGATACGAGCGAGCAGGAGCGTCTGTTTGTGGGCGGGGCTTGCTGGAGCAGAGACAGAGGGGAGAGGAGGAGTTGAGGGGAAAACTGGTTGGGAGGGGTAGTGTTTACATTCAAGATTTCTCCCCAAAACTGGCACTTCCTCAGATCCTGCCTACACCACCTTTAAGTGTCTTGCCCAAAGCACAAACGGGCAGACTAGAGACAGGGCAGGGATCGAACCACCAACCTTTCAGCAATTGGACGACCACTCTACTTTCTGAGCTACTGCCACCCCACTTTTGACTATCAGCTGTTGCTATTGCCTCTTAATAATATATTTGCTACTGTTGTTAATTTGATTTGTTTTGCATTTATTCTTCTCTCTTCTCTTATTGTTATTGTTCTTATTACTGCCATTTTGTGAAGCACTTTGTAACTTTGCTCTGTGAAAGGTGCTATATCAAATAAACTTCACTTACAACTCATCACAACATCGATAAGTTAATGTTTTTCTTTAAAAGTCATGGTGGTTAATTTGAAGTTGGTTACAGCTCGCCAAGTTACTCCAGGTAAGTATTCTCTTATGGCTACATAATTCTCTATTCTTGTTCTAAGCATAACTGTACTCTGTTTTATTTCCTGCACATTCATCATATGTGGTATTTCAGTGGCTGAGTTAAGCTAGCGACATGACTTCTGTCAGTTTCGGTAGGCTTTGGGTATTCAGTCCTTAAAAACTGCATGCTTAAGTGTAAAACCTATGTTTTGACATATTCGCGTTCAGCATTTATTTCTTGTATGTTGCTGGAATAGATTACTTTGCTAGTGCAGCATCACAATAAAAGCTTTCTGTTGGCAAATTAACTGGAGGCTTTTATTGTAAAATAGATACAGGAAGTAGAATTTGTTTTCATGTAAATAGCTTGTTGGTAGTTTTTAATCATAATCAAATTTTATAGATTGTTTTATGCTCGTGAATTCAAAAATTTGAGTGAGACTTTGGCATTACCCATAGGAAAATGAATATACAATGTAGCTAGATTTCCATGTATCAGCAGTAATATTTCTGTTATACATGTCAAATATGGCAAAAACATTGCAATCACATGCATACATAAAGGTGTCGGTTTAGATCATACAAGAGAAACCTATATAACCTTTTTTATGTTAACAAAAAAAACAAAAATCATCTTCATAGGGCGTAAAAATTTTGACATAAATTGCTAATAAAATATTTTAAATTTATCAATGAAAGTAAATACAAAATTATGATGAATTCATATACAGTATATATTTTATCTCTATATATTACAAAAATATGTTTGATTTATTAATTGATTTCTAAAATATACAGTATATTAAAAATCTATTTAATCTATTTACTTATATGTGTTTGATTGTAAATGTTGAAAAAATAGGACCATATATCTTTGTGGGGACCACACATATATTAGTATATTTGTTTCATTTCTATCAATCAATCAATCAATCAATCAATCAATTAATCAATCAACTTTATTTCTATAGCACATTTAAAAGAACCACGGGGGTAGCCAAAGTGCTGTACATTAAGACATAAAAACAAATAAAACAAGCAAAGAACACGATAGAGAGAGCAAAAATACATAAACACAATCAATAAATAGATATATAAATAAGCAGGCTCACGGCAGGTGCTAAGATGATAAAAAACAAAATAACACTAAAATGTACTAAAAGCCAAAGAATAAAAGTGTGTTTTTAAAAGGGATTTAAAATAGGGTTAAAGTCAATCCATATGTTTACATATACGTTTTCACTTCAAATATATATGTACACTACAGGCCAATAGTTTGGAAGCAAGGCCATTACAGGCCGAACAGTTGTGAGTAACTTCAAATTTTTGTTCACAATGCTTTTTTTAAAATCCAGCATGAGTTTTATGTATTTTGGGATGCATTTACTCCATGATCAGATGTTGCTTTCATCGAAATGCACCATTTTACTCCATTTACCTTTAGATATACATTGATGTTAACAGATTATTGCTAAATATATGTCAGCAAAAGACAGTGGCGATTGCTCTAAGACTGCAAGGGAAGCTCGGCTTCCCTTAAAATGTCATCCCCCAAAAAAAAGAAAAAGTGGTGAAATACGTACTGCTGTGTGTACATTTCATTAACTAAATCCGCACTAGAAAGCCTTCATCTTTTGTTCAGACACTGTGAGAAGAAGCTGATAATTACAGGTAACCGGCATAACATCGTTCTCATTCATCCTCGCAGTGCCTCAGCGCTTCAAACAGCCGGACGCTGGG